ATAGGTTTGGCAAATATGCGGTGTCGAAAATTCGGCAAACAGCATGCAGCGAGAAATGATAACGCAAATTTCGGAGAAGTTCGAGTTTTTTTTCTAATCCATATATATATCTTATCAGGAAGTTTTCTCAAGAGACAAAGGAACACGCAGTATGATTGGTCGATAAAAAAGGACACGGCATCACGTTCTAATGAGATGTATATGCTGTCCAATGACAGCGACGACAAGCTAAGGCCATTTCATTTAGATTATTTTTACAGCACCTTGAATAACATGATTATAGTTTCAACACGTGACCTAATAAAACAAACCGTTCAAAGCGATATAAAAAGGGCAGTACTCTGACATTGCGACAAATCGATTGCATCGATTCTTTTTGCACATCCCGACTGGAACAAAGGGAAAATTGGCCGACCCGCATAACGTTCCAACAGATTACATCACCTACGATCAGTTTCATGTGATTCCAACAGCTGCAAGACTACCGTACCGCACTTAAAGATGAGCTCCCATTCACGAATGACAAAGTATGTAAAACTGGCTGGAATTCTTATTATATTATTCGCCTTTCAAATGGGTTTCTTACCACCAAGCAACGCACTTGGAGGTGGTAATCGTTTATGCAGGGTGAGAGGTCGATGTCAATCGCTGAAAAAGCAAATGTCTTCCCGAAGTAAGCTAGCTCGTGCAAGTTTCAAAAAGAAGAAAAAGTGGCGCTGACCAAGAAAAAGACGGAAGCAAGCTTCGAAGTTACCAAGAGCTTTATGTCAGAGAAGAAACTGCAAACAGTAAAACGAAATTTGAACAGTCCACAACGATGGAGACTTTGAAAGGGTCTGGTGAGAAGCGCATTCGTTAGTCGGATGAAACTTAAACACAAGTGTCTATAGAACTTAAGGTTTAAATCTATTATGTGAAGCTTATCGTCTTTATTCATATTTACAAAAGCATGATGAAACTTCAAACAAGATTGTATATTCCCGCAGTGTATAAACGAGCCATGAAATTAAGTCGATTATTTTACCACCAGCTTCTGTATTGAGCTTGTTACATAAACACATGCAATGTTAACACCTTTCGAATTCCTCAACCATATACTATTTGAAATGGAATGTTTGTCTCCCATGTACTGTTTGAAATCGAATGTACATGTCTGTGTGTATAACTACTCCTGACGTAATGCATGCGCACAATATATACATGAACTATAACGAGACTAGGCTGCACCTTTCGTAACACTTATTCGATGGCATGTGCAACATTCCATTCGTCGCCATTAATACACGAGCTGTTGCGTGCGCATCTATATTCATTTAAATCATCAAGCAAGCGTAGTTTCTTGTTGACAACAAGCATTTTTTTTAATCAATTCATACATTCGTCCAGTCTCATGCTTTGATTTAACGTATACTTGCATGAGTGATAGCAGATTATCGTGAACGCCCCAGAAGCAATGAAAACCTTCTCATAAAAATTGAGAACTTGCATCGCTTGGAAATACGTCATCGATTTTCTTACCAAAATCAAAGTTCAGTAAGCAAACAGTAGTTTCCCTTTATTGAAAAATTATATTTTGCCGAATATATTACTATAGGCATGTTACGAGAACAATGGCAGCAAAGTGAACTGCATTTTCAAACAAATACGAGCAAGTTCGGATAAGGCTAACCGCAGCCAGTAAGCTGCTAATAATACCTGTACAGCACCAAGTTGCACTGCAAAATGACTTCTGTTTGGTTTCTATATACTAGCCGTGAATCTTAATGAACTTTTTAAACCAAGTTTAGGCAAAAAATACAGTATCTAAGTGACGCTGAAGTTTTTACAAGGCAAAGTCAAACCTGCCCGATAGCTAAATATTGCTATCGCTGCATAATACTCGTGTATTTAGAATAAAAAGAGACAACACGTAAGTGGAACAGTTACTTCGCGATGAAAATAAATGATTTATCTGGGGGTTTAGCGATAAGTTCTTTATATCCAAATATTTTGATTAAAAATTTATAACCACAAAAGGGATAAGTTTCTTAACGATAGAAAACGATCTTGTTCTAAGGTCTCACAGCATGCACAACGCTCTAAAAAATCCGGTTCATTGGTTAATTTAACAAAAGTAGAAATGATCACAGAAAAACTGTTGGCTTATAAGGTCGTATGTAGTGTACAGTGTATACGCATTCAGTGCTTATCTTTAGGACTTCGCCAGCACCGATAAGGAGTGTTTGAAACTAAAGATGGCTTGAATGACTTTTAACGAAATTTAATCCTTCGTTGATGTATGATGTTTTCCAAACAAGTATTCTTTATTGGTCTTGTATAGTTGTGGTCAAGAATACGTCAACAGCTTCGGTACACGAGCGGACGTTTCACCACAGTCAAACGTGACCGCAAATTATCAAGCAGATAAACATACGTCAAGAATATATGTCGTCATTGGCGTAGCCAACCCGCAAGTTTGGTCGAGCGATGTACATATTTCAGATCTTTGGCATTATTCGTGCAATTCCTCGGAAATCTGTTGTTTTTACGGAGCGTGAATAAACACGGAAATATTTAAATAGAATGACCAAAGTTGCGAGATGGTTACGCCACTGTACTTCGTCAAACAGAAAGATTAAATTAAAATGGAAGAATCGTGGGGTTGTGGCAAAGATGGTATGACTTACTGTAAAGTCCGAAAATTATAATTCTTATCGCTCGCACTTTAATTTAAAGTCTTATAACAGCCCATTGCGAACATGTATGCGATAAACAACATTTCGGAACGGATGAGTTGAAAATCGCAAATACAAACCGGAACGGTGTATGACCGCAAATCCTATAATTATCAACAATGCACAAGTAAGGTACTTCTCAACAACACGCATTAATTGGAATTATACGTATGTAATTCCCAACTACCATCCGCAAGATCCGAGTGTTATACAGGAAAACTGATGGATACAAAACTAAAATTAGCGCTTGCAGCAAAATTAAACGTATTTCGGAAAGCACAACAAAACAAGACGTTCGTTCTCGTTGACATGTATCAAGAACATCCTTATTTCTAAAAGTCAAGAAAATATTGAACACGGTTCACGGAAATACATCAATTAGTTACAAAATGATGCTAAAGTAGCAACAAAGTATGACTATTTCGGAGAAAATGTGGTAAATCGAAATATATATACTCCAAACAAAAACATACACAGAGGATGTGGTGAAGGAAGCCGGGTTTCGAAATTCAGAAAGCCACAATCACAAACGAAATTTCTACATTTGGGTATTAGTACACTCGACGATAGCGTAGAAGCTAATCCAGGGAGAGGTAAGCGGTTTGAGGAATCCAGTCATCTCCATTACCTGGCGATCGAAAAAACAAAGCCGTTTCATCTTATCAACAGAGAACATAACCTCACATGCGGCTTGCTCGTCTGTCGTTCGTCTCCTCTGTCAATTTTGATTAATCTCGTATGCCTATTCTTCACGCATAACTCATCCAATATAGACTGCACCTTTAAAAACTGATTCGAAAATTCGCTTTTGAAGTGCCTCGATGACGGTCACCACTTCCAAAACATCGATAGTTTTATCTTGCCAACGTTTCTGGACGCGATGAATCCAATCAAGTAGCTAGCTCCTCCCAAAAAAATAGCATCGTCAAAAACAAGAAGGTAAGCTTTCCTGTGGCGAAGCTGATATACGTCACTCCTGGAATCAGTGTTATTGCCATCGACATTCCTTATTTCTTCCATCAGTCAAAGATCTCGTTGATTTTCTATGATGTCATCTTGTTTACTACGTGTCGGGGCACTCCACTTTGTCTTAACTTCCTTGTAAAACGCCAGTGCTGAGTTGATAATTGACAAGTAGGTAAATGTAGTTTGCAGTGATCTAAAAAAGGTCAGAGGCTCACAAGCTTATAAATTTCCACAGACTGTATGGACACCAAAATGTTTAAGGAAATGGTCGGCCAGTTAGGGTACATGGCTATATGACAATCAGTTATTATAAGAGAATCAGTTTGAAACCAAATATATGACCAAGCATTGTGGGTGGAATGTCTTAACACTGTGATCGACAATCGACTAGTTTGAGTCCATCTCTCGCTAACATTTCTACTGTCGCCTTCTAAATGTGTTCTCAATCGTTTCCTTCGCAGTATATGAAGTGGACAAGTATACTTCTAAAATTCGAGCTATTTTTGATCGTGATCAACGTCTAAATTTCTCACACAGCTGCTCTTTTCAAGATAAATTCGGTGTCAAGTTGAAAATCGTGTTCGGATTATGCCTTGTATATAAGAATAATACCCACCTCCCAACAATTATCGACGAGGCCTGTTAAATGAAGTTCAAGTTAATTATTTAAATACATGTTGTTCGATGTTATTACTGGTATAAGCAATAACAAAATTACATTTTACCTGTCGCTGAGGCCTTGAGCGAGGGTGGCGTCATAACCATTGGCGACTTCTTTGACACTCTTTTTCGTGACATTCATAAGATATAGCGCCACTGCCATACTGCCATTATTCCATTTCGTTTTCGCCAGCGCTTATTTTCACAAAGAAATTCGTCCGTAATTTTCAACAGTTCACATTGACGTTCTGTAATCTTTGATAAACTACAGAAGCTTTCGATGTCATCCGAAGCGACCTGCACCCTTACTTCGAATCGAAGGATATAACACTAATAACTTATTCGCAAAACAAAAACATCTTCAAACGTAGCACCCAGGTGCAGTCGAAGTTCAAGATATCTCCCGCCAAATCATAAAGTGAGGTCACACAATACAAATCGCGCATGTCTACCGATATTCTATCCGTACATAGCATACAGACGAAATAAATTAGAAAACACGGTGTAATAGACTTTCTCCGGTAAATTAGCGCCATGTTTTTTGGTCATGCACCACGTGCACATGTCAATATCTATGTAACATCATATCGCAATGGAAGGGTCTAGGAATATAGTACCGTTTTAGCATTTCGAAATGTATATAACAACAACATAGACTGATTAAAGATTTTAACCGCGGAATGCGATCGTTTCTCAAAATTTTAAAAAGTCTACTTACAAAGTGCAGTGCAAAATGGTCTTAAAAATGCACGTTCTATAAATAAATACATTTTCAGCAAGAGTGACCACCAATTCAATGGCATTTACAGCTTGTGTTTCCAGAAAAACACTATATAATACCTTCCCCTTTTACCAGTCTTACCACATGTCCACGCGAACAATTGCAGAACGGTTTCAGTAATTTTGGATCAACCAAGACCTCGCCATTAGGCCCCTTGAATATGGTCCCACAACACACTTCTTCAGTACGCCAACCACAAAGATTGATAAAGGGAAACTTCATTTCATCCTCGGTCACTTGTGGGAAAAAGAAGGATGTCTGGCATGCGGTTGAAGTACGACCATCTAGGGAAAGTGCTGTCTCTGATATGTCACTCGACGTCGAGCTACAAGTTGGTGAGGTGCTTGATTCACATGTCTTCTTGGTTTGGTCTAAAGGTGAAGAATTTAGTGTATCAGTAACCTTTCTTCGCTAAAGGCTTCTCAAGAGTTATAGTACTTTTTCCATGAGCAGAATGGGGAAATGCAAGACTCTACACAGGTAAACAATTCCATAAAGAATTCACCTTGTTTATGCATTAAGTTGAAAAATATTGATGTTCTATTACATCTGTTTAGTAAACTCATTACAATATTCAATACAAATGAGTTTGTCAAAATGTTAAGGCCGATGCACCAAATGACTGTTTTCAACAAATTTTGCCAATTTAGTTTTCATTTGCAAAACCTCAACAGGGCAAAATTGAAAGACCAAATATCCTGCTATTCATGTTCTTGTCATGCATGACAAGCAGTGCTGATATAAACAATGTAGTCTGCAAATTTTATTGCTTCTATTAATTCCGAAATAACTATATGAATTGCTAATATTCTACAGGAAAAGGTGGAGCTGTGGGAATCAGCAACATATTTTCAGCTTCCATTGCACAAAAATTCAAAGGCATGACTGAGTTCAATGAAATATCTGTCTGATTAAGTGAGAGACAAGATACAAGTGCCATAAGCTACCAAATTCAAGCTGTGTTACACTATTTTATTGCTCTTGCCTCTGCTATCAGATGTGCATCAATAAAATCCACAAAAATTTATGCAAATGCATCCTGCACGCTCATAGGAAAATATTTGTCAATCGACGTCATGGTGTTTTATAATGGTAGAGAACAGCATATCACAGTTTAAATACTGCAGAAAAACGGTCTTGAAAATTGAATTAATCAATAAAAATACAAGCAAATAAAAGCATGAGACTGGGCAAGACATACCCTTGCTCTTTTGCCTGCTGTCACACTTCGATTGATCGGTTTGAGGCGACTTTTCGTCACTTTTCTTTCTCGTCTTCTCGTCTGTAGACGTAGATCGCCTCGAGCCCCTTCGCAATTTACACTTTTTGTCCACAACCTGACAAAAGTAACGCTCGCATTAAATAATGAAGCCAGACGGCATTTGGCATTAAACATATCACTTACGTGTGCACATGACCTCTTGTTTTCTTCGGGAAGTTTCTGCCAACGTTTGACAACGAGAACGCACGCGTTACATATGAAGCCTGTACGGGATCCTTGCTCGACCCCAAAGCAAGCAGTGAAGAGACTTTCGTATTTTTCTGTCGTGGCGAAACGTGAGCTGGAGGATTTCGAGCGACATATGCAACAGCCACTGCTTGAGCGATGCACTCTCGGTTTATGAGAAGCAAACATAATGTAAGACACCGCGCTGGCCAAGCAAAATTGTTTCCTTTTAAACCAAATAACGCTCAGCCTTTGCAGTTGACATGCGAGAAGGAAAGAAAGGGGGACGTCTTAGACAAATGTGACAAGTACTGCGCATAAGCGGAAGTCAAAAGGAGTTTTCCCAGAGAAAATAGGTATATCCAGGTTCATTCAAAGCATATCAGTGGCATAGTTATGTGGGAGGAGAGGGGGATGGGGTGTTCGACTAGGGACGACAGCCTATCTCATTCGCTAAGATAGTACTTTTAGAAAATTGATCGGAAATCTTGAAACGAACTGGCGAACTTGGAGACATTATTACCAATAAAGCAAAAGGTGAAACATACAAATGCGATGTTTGTTTCGTTTTCAGCTTCACAATACGTTGTCGCCATGTCACTGTCGGACAAGCAAACCAACAGGGGAAGACGATGACTTTTAGCGACATACCAATGTCTGATGTGAAAAGGGTTTTAAGGTGGCGATGTACTGGTGGGTGATGTAATGTAGCGATGTAGTGGTTATCGACAATGAAGGAAAAAATATGAAGCTGTATGATTTCAATTGAAGATTATTCAAAAGCAGGCTGTGATGTTATCTAAAAGTAATATACTTCGTCTACAAAATTAATGCTTTCGACCGAGAGTATCTTCACATGGAGTCTGGACTGTTGGTGATAGTGGTTGGTTGGAATGTCATCAACACCAACAGGACTTCACCAACCTGGACAATTTACACCTAGAAACATTCGTCTAGACGAGTATATGCATTATCATTAAGTTCAAGTGTTTCCACAGTTATCAACTCTACACGAGTATGGCATTATCATAAAGTTCCAGTGTTTGTGCAGTTATCAACTTGTCCGAAGTTCGACACAATAACGATAGTACAAATTTCTCCAGCACACAACTCGCCTGCTTTTGAATGGAAAATCAGTATCGTAAGCGAGAAGTAATTTTTCGAGCAAACAAGCGAAAATCGGCGGTCGATCACAAAAAATCTCCGTGTTACAGTGGATAAAATCACCTAGGACAACATACAAAATTCTTATACAGTTAAAGTTTAAAACATAAATTGATTTGAAAAATTCGGCGAATCATCCATTTGAGATTGTAACGCCTGTATTCTAAAAGCTCACTGAAAGGTGCTTCCAAATCACCTCATAATTATTCGAAGAAGGTATTTTCACTCAACTGATTGCTTAATATGGAGTATTTGATGGAGAAATGTGTTTGCAATCGATTGATGCGAGTGCGATTTCTGTATGTGTCGTGTAAGTGGTGAGTGAGCTTTCAGTCTCCGGCGTAAGTCTTGTATTTATTCCCATGTACCAAATCACTAGTGACTCGACAAAGAAGGGGAATATAAATATATGAATAAAGGAATAAAGGTATTAATAAAGGAAAAAAAGAATTTCACGTATATAGCAAACACAACAACTATGTGGTGAAAAATTTTTTTTACAATTCTGCAGGCAAAATGAAGTCAATGTTAACTGCGCTTAATTACTGGCCTTATAAGTAAATTTTCCAGCCACAACACAACTACATCACTAGTCAGCAGTCTCCGTAAGGGCTTTATGTGTTGTGTATTGTGCATATATAAACGCGCGAACGAAAAAGTATGAAATTATACGAAATGTTTCGAGGATTTCTTATTAAATAGATCATTAGATCGATTGTAGATTACGTCGTTCAAAATTTACAACACGCGATGATCTTTTCATTACGGAAAAATCGATTTCGAATAGAGCATCGCTTGCATATCAGGACTTGTCTTTACCACATCCGACTATATAACAGGCCAATGTGTTAAAGCAAAATCTACACACATCAAAACAAATAGTTGCATATATATATATATATAACATAGAGCTCACTCCTTGTTTGTTATGGAGTAAAAAATGACCGAAGACCTTCCAGCAAAAGATCGAATGCAAGTAACGATCACAATTCCCTTGCCAAGTTGATTGCACGACAAGGTTAACATATGGCTTATCTATCAGTGTATATCTTCAGAGCTTTTTCCTTTGGTTTGTACGACGATTTAGTAGCACTAGAAAGTGATCTATAAGTACAATAAAAAACTGTGTCAGCAGTGGATAGCAATCAGAGATTCCTTATAGATCAGTATTATGTGTGTCATGCGACTTTCTTTCACACGATGGCCAACCAAAAAAATAGAAGTCAATTTTACATTGGTTTAGGCAGCGGTGTTATCAAAAGTTGTGTTTGACAAATTTCAGTTAGTCAAGCAATCAGAGAGTCGTGGCTTTTTGCGGCTACTCTCTATCTCGCTGAGAAGCGGTTAAAATCTTCAGGGGAATGAGTGGTATAAACGCCTGTGTTCTAAAACCTCGCCAACACTAACTGAGGTGCTTGAAAATCACCTCATAACTATTTCACTACACTGCATGCTTGACTTAGCAAAAACCGTTCCAATGATCGAAGCGGATGTGGGAAGCGCCATTTCTGAGTCTCGCATAGTGTGAGTGGCTCAAGTCTCATTTATCAAGTAAAACAAATCGAAAACGAAAGGTTCTACTACAGTTTTATCAGTGATCAACAAACAGATGCAGGTGTTGAGATGTCCCATGATACAGGCCTGTACTTTGTTCGGATTAAAGTTAGCTTTGTTTATATAAATAACGGCGTTCACAAGGACCGAAAATGATCATTAGTTCCGCAGCTAAAATACTTTAGGAAGCAATCAGTGGCATCCGCAGTATTTCATTTTGATAATGGAAAGGCAAAACATCTCAATAATGTCACTTAAATATACAACGCATTATTTTATATGACTGACATTTCAAAGTCACATATATTTAAAGACGTTTGAATGAAAAATTTTTGGTGGTGCCTCTGGAGGAAACCTTTACTCTGAGTTACCCTTCGCTTAAATTATAATAAAACGTAATTTGTTCACGTACTTAGCGTCCTCTGCCTTTTTTATTTCTTTCTTTTTATCTTCCGTCAGTTCCATCAATTCTTCAGTTTTATCCCTATAAAAATAGAAATTGAATGTTTGTCAAAAGACTAAGTATTTTTGTTACCGTCATTTACAGTGCCTATATCAGAATCAGAGAAATAACTTTTTTCGATAGTTGAAGCGATTTTTAAGAACACTCGCAATACATTAGATAGGAAAAAAGTGTCATTTTCATCATCAAAAATGTTAAATTCCATATAACAACGAGCGTTTTGGTCGTTTTTCAAAACACTTCCGGTGGGGAGTCGCTTACTTCTTGGCCCAAAAAGTTCATGAAGATAAAATTTTTGACAAATCAAAAATAATGCGTATGTCCTTAAATTTTTTTAGCTATCTAAAGAGAGAGGTTACAGTCCTGACACTGATATCCGCACTTTTAAGGAGTGGAGACCGGGAAGGAGTAGAAGTATTCTCGAGAAATTTGATTTTTTCGACCAAATGGTCCTTTGCTCGGAAACAAATAAAACAAATAATTTCACAAAAAGTTTGTTCTTTGTAATAGTAAACATATTGGAAAGTATAAGTCCTTTTTCGAGAGCTTTGCACAATAAAATTATCGGCTAAATGGTGAGGAAATGTAATGCACTGGTGAGCACAAAGCAATCAATCAATAACATCAGATTATCGGCCATCATTATTCACGTCGGTCTATGCAAATTTTCATTGAAAACAAAACGAACAAATGTAATCTTCTACTAATTACCACAAGTTGAATGAAACGTCTCGCTACATATTGTGTAACTTAGTCATACACACAAAAGAAGTGGATATCCGCGGACTAGTATCCCCAAGGTGCGAGTTCAAATCATGTGCATATTAAAACCGTGTTGGGATTAATATATTATATATATTCTCTGCTGATGGCTTTAGAACAAAAGAAGTGGTATCATGTGAAAATCTCCGACGCGCTAAAAACTAACTTCCAGCATATCTGATAGCGTAGACCGCACTAATTCGATTAATGTTAATATGGCAGCCCCTAACAGCTAGCAGCCAATTACTGCAAACCCCCAAAACATGACGATTTAATCAACAAACAACAAACAAATCGCACCCATTGCATTCCCGTGAAATAAAGCAAAGAAGAAAATTATAAAAGTGTGACGGAATACAGCATTATTGCCTACAGAAAAAAACATGTAAAAAGTTTCTTATTAAAACACCACTCCTACAGTCACTGTTTACAGTGAAAATCCAAAAGTTGAAAGAGCCTTTTCACAATTCACTGTAATTATCCCCAACCTTCGCCCTTACAATTTCCAGTAGCAGAAAATTAGACGCGCAAGACTGCGCCCCGAGTGTCGTCCGAGGCACATCTCTCAATAATGGAGGTTTTCGAGCTTGGAATTTACCGCTAAAGGTAAGTATCGTTCAAGGAATGTGTGTTTTAACTTTAACAAACTAAAGCAATTTGTATCAAAGTTCAACTGAGACACGAGAAAGTTCTCTGCGGATAAACTGTATTATTCTTTGTAAACCTTCGGACAAAGAGTGACGTTGGCCGCGTCCAAATTGGGAATGTGCGTTTGTGCGACATATAATCTTCATAATTTTATTTCCGCTTACGTGCAACAATTTGCAAGTCAAATGAAACCTGATATACGCATTATGTTACAATGTGATTGTTATGCGAAGGGCCATGCGATATTGCGATGTAGTGTTGTTGTACAACGTATTCGACTCGATAGAGCTGCCAAAACTAGAGATATCAAACGAACAAGATCCATTCGTCGAAGGAAGAAGGTAAGTTCGACTCTAAATCAAAACGGCATGAAGAGTTTAGGTAAATTCATGCCGTAACAGAAACATGGTGCCGTAATATCGCGAGTCGAAACGTCAGACAACAGTTCGGCAACACACACATAATACGCTTTTACAACGGTAAAAAAACGAAACGACACCACGTAAAAGGCAAAAATCTCTCACATTGATAAATGGCTTGCTTCCAGGATGCTTTTAGCTAAGATTTTTCCTCAAACATGAAATTCTTGAGGAATTCAAAGTACTGGTTCAAAGTAAAATTTCATTCGATCCACAAGAACATCTAATATGATAACATAAAATAAAACTCCTTTCCATAGCTCGACGCTCTGCTTCCAACAAAGAAGCAAATCTTCTCTGTTAGGTTAAAGTAAATATTGTTTTTCGTTATAAAGCGAGTGTGTGTCACCTATCCATGCGAAAATGAACGAAATGCGGGGCGGTAGTTCGCTTCCCTAGCCACCATTGAAATTATTATTCAAATTTTAAAGCTTAGCTCCCACATTTGTTTTATATGAATATTTTTCAACCGGATCCCTTTCAATTAAACATCTTTAAATTTCTGCAGTCGGGTTTTGTGGTTCGCCGTAGCATAATCTTCACTTCTCTTGCTCCTATATACACATCACCGACGACAAAGAAAAAATAAAATGCAAAACAAGCTTAAAAGGAATTTAAGCTTGGTTCGTTTGTTAAAGCCTACATATGGAAGCAAGCTTTAGTTAAAGGGCTTAGAGTATTGGAATCCAAGAAGCACACCACATTTGCTGTCCTAAGAAATTGTTTACGAATACGAAAAATCAAGCAAGAATACATCGTGCTCTGAATTAACGACATTGTACGTTGCACAATACTCGATTATATTCAAGTAGAATAATTGCCACCTGTGTTGCATTATGTTGTCACCAATGGTTGCCACGTTGCCCACGAGAATAAGGCTTTCGCAATGCAGATTAAACAACTACAAAAACAAACGCAAGCAGCTTTTTTTAATTTGACACGCCGGGCTATGCCAAGCTGAGTTGGTTTACATTTTCACTGTGATTATCATAAGAGATTCAACGCGATGTAACGCTAGTACTATCCAATAGTACTATCCAATTTTTTCGCGTCAACTTAATTTTCCTGCATTTTGTACGATTTTGAACGAGCGGCCTTGCGGTAAATGCGGTTGTTTGTCAACAAACTCGTTTCTTTTTCACGCGTATGAATTGAACGCAATTCGAATTCGACCAATAGAAATATAGCTTGTTCATTTAGTTTTGTTATTTTTCTTATTATCACGCGCGGATTAGTTCTTGTGATAAACGAGGAAATTATTTTATGCATTTGTGGATGAAAATTGCCCTTGTCCGTACAACATAAACAGACTTATGCTTGATACAGGTACAAGCGAACAGGCCACTAGATCTCTTGGCCTTGAAAATTCTCAAAGTTATTGCCCGTGGGTAGAAAAACCGGGGCACTTAACACACTTTAGCTTGCTATAATTCTTTGAGCGTTTCAGACTTGATAATAGGTGAGAGGGAATGTGAACTACTTCTGACTTTTTCGTGTCCTTCAGCAAACTTATAGCAACGTTTATCGTGGGAAACGAAAGAAATGCATGATGTATAAGATTGTAGGCAAAAACTCCAACATTTACCAATATTGGTACTAAGTATACGCTCTCGTAAATTCAAATTGACCATACGGTTTTTCAGGAGTTATGGAATTGCGCGAACGATTGATGGAAGACATCCGACTGTATCCGTGCATCTACGACAAGCACGACAAGGACTACATGGATAAGACCGCGAAAAACAACGCTTGGGCGGCGATAGCTGCCAAATATGGCTTGACGGTGACCGATGCCGATAAGAAATACAAGGTCGTACGAAGTTCGTTCACGCGGTACTTGAAGAAGAAACGTTCCACCCCTCCTGGCATCAAACCACCCCCCGTACCAGTGGGCTTTGCTAATTTAGATTGGCTAGCAAATCACATCGACCACAAGGAAACAGCCGTCAGATACTCGAGCAACAATGTTAGTGTAAGAGATTCGTACTACGGGGATTATGTTGCAGGTAAGTGGTTATGTCAGAAAATGCAAATGCCATAAAATGCTAAACAAACGGCTGACAATTGTCATCCTATTCATCAACCCAGAAAACGAAGACATATAATCTTTCATTTTTCCTTTTGTACTATATGCAAAATGTTCTTGCTTCATTTTTATACCATGCATATGGTATGGTTTGCACACGGATAACAGCCTCTCCGTCCCATGATGGCAAAATTTTGATCTTGTTGATGTATAACGCCAGACACCACTAAATATTAAAATTCGGGATAAAAGGGTTGCATTGGGGATAAAATGATTACATTAAAGCCTTTTTGACGATGGACTCTATATGTCCGCAATGAAAAGACGCCATTTTCTAAGCTCGACTTTATTCTGATGCCTAGCCATGACCATAGCTTTCAATAACCTTCGATCTTTCTTCATTACATGAACAAATTTCTCGATGTTGCAGATGACGACGACGCTTATCACAGCAGTTATGACGAAATAATGCGCGAGGAAGACAGCGCAGCAACAGAAATGATAGACTTAAACAACTCGCACTTGACAACCCGCCCACAAGATGATCCAAAACACGCGGAGTCGATGCACGCTCAAACTGAAAGCAATGGAAAATCATCGGATGATGTACCAAATCAGGTAATACACGTCAAAGAGAGTTTGCAATCGGAACCCTTGCCACCGCCCATACTTCATGTAAGCACAGCCGAATATGCGGTCAGTAGAACCAACTCCCCACCAAGCGCCCATGTATCTTCAAGTCAGGTGAGTCATATAAACGGGCAGAAATCTATCACTATGTATTACAACAAAGCAAACGGGCACGAGCCGAAGAACGACACAGTCATTAGTCTCATCCCTTATGAATCAGTTCAGCCAGGACCGACGACATCGACACCTGGAATGACGGAATACTTCGGAAAACGAAAGCGGGTCGAATACGACGACGAAGATGAGCTCTTCTGCTTGAGTCTCGTACCAACATTAAAAAGACTGGGAACCAGAAACAAGACAATCGCCAAAATGAGATTTCAACAAGTTCTGTTCGACTTGGAATTCCCCTCGAATGATTAAAAGCCTAAAGCAATATGGTCGTTTGGCGGAGTGCTATTTGCGAAGATTTCCAAATTTCTACGTGACATAATCTTAACTTCCTTTAAAAATCCTCAAGCTTAAATTCTTAAAAGCTTAATATATGTATAGAATTTCCAGCAAAGAAAGTTTAAGAAAATTGTCTAAGAAAGTTTTGTGGAAACGCCTGGATGAAGAGCAATAGGAAGTGTTAACGCGATATACCAGTTGCTACCATGTGGTGATGGTGTGTTTTAGAAAGCAAGTGCAAAAGATGTCGTAAAACTAGGACACCAGTTCCAACTACCTACTGGCGGATATGGGGCAAATCAGAATACATTAGAGCGGCGAATATATCGCCCATATGATCAACTATTTAAAATTTAAATTAGAAACTTATTTATGGCGATGTGGTCTGACTTTCTCCCTGGTTTGCTACTGTAGACAGTTTGCCTGAGTTAACTTGATGTGTATTTAGAGTGAAGATTGACAAAACGGTTCAAATTCAATTTATGAAAACACACATTGATATAGCAGGTTGAAGATTATATTTTTATTATTTTGTATTCTCCTTAAGCTCTTTCTTCTTAAGCGTGTATTTTTTTTATCGATTTTTTAGAAACACGGAAAATTCTATGACTCATCGGAGAAGATAAATTTTTATTTCTCAACATAGTCATAAACAATTTAGTTTTATGAAATTTATTAAAAGAGTGACGTTTCGTCTTTGCTTAAGACTTTTTCAGACTAATTAGGAAGTTAACAAGGATATAGATATATATAGAGCTATTTACATAGTTTGATGTATCAGATTACTGTGAATGTGTAAGTGTGATGTGATGTATTGTGTGATGTAATTGTGATGTATTATTAAGGTGAGGTGTTGAGACTAGCTTAAGAGGGATGGAGCTGCCTTGGGTGTTAAGTGAAGGTTTTAGTTTGGAGATGAGGAGGCTTTCGTGGATCATCTCCAAACTAAAACCTTCACTTAACACCCAAGGCAGCTCCATCCCTCTAAAAGCTTCTCTAGTCTCAACACCTCACCCTAACAATACATCACACTTACATCACACAATACATCACATCACACTTACACATTCACAGTAATCTGATACCTCAAACTATGTAAATAGCTCTATATATATCTATATTCTAGTTAACTTCCTAATTAGTCTGAAGATGTCTTGAGTAAAGACGAAACGTCACTCTTTTAATAAATTTCATAAAACTAAATTGTTTATGACTATGTTTAAAATTATTTGTTGAGCTCTAATATTTACATCGAGAATCCGTTTCCCGCCTGGCATTTCATTGGCAACAATATTGATAAATTTTTATTTTATATGGACTAAAAATTCCTTGCATGGTTTGTATCACGTCAAAAACTTTCAAGGAATTTTTCCAACATCGCACACAAAGAGCTCGTGCATTTTGAAAATTATTATTTCAACAAAAGCATTCAACGCACAAAAATACATATATCTATCCCATAATGCATTTCAACGATGGTGATGTACTATGAATAAATTTTTCCACCAATAGTGAATTTTTACGATGGTGATGAACCATGAATAAATTTTGCTACCCCATAGTGCATTTTTACGATGGGGATGCACTATGAATAAATTTTGCTATCCCATAGTGCATTTTTACGATGGTGATGCACCATGAATAAATTTTTCTGTAACAAAGTGAATTTTTACGATGGTGATGAACCATGAATAAATTTTTCTATCCCATAGTGCATTTTTACGATGGGGATTCACTATGAATAAATTTTCTATCCCATAGTGCATTTTTACGATGGGGATGCACCATGAATAAATTTTCTATCCCATAGAGCATTTCAACGATGGTGATGCACCATAAATAAATTTTTCTACCCATAGTGCATTTCAAGGATGGTGATGAACTATGAATAAATTTTTCCATCCCATAGCGAATTTCAACAAACGGTGTCCGGTCAATCAAGGTGTCCGGTCAATGGTGTCCAAGCAATAAAGGGTGTTCAGTCAATACAGGGTATCTACTCAATGCAGGTTATCCAGTCAATATATGGTTTCCAGTCAATATAGGGTGTCCCGTTAATAAAACGTATCCGCTTGACACAAGTTTGATTGCATATGTAAATGTGAAAAGGTAACGTTACCTGTAATAGAACATGGCACCGTCGTCAGTAACCATCAGAGGATAATGTTTTAATTTATCGCCTTCGGGATTCCATTCCAAATCTTCATGAATGTCGAGAGTAGAAATCGAAAACGGGAATGAACCGCGCCCCTATGGTAAAAATAGAAACAATAAACCAGGTGAGAATAGAATAGAATAGACGTACAAAGCATTACGATGAACTTAAGACAGACTTGCAACTTTTCAAAATGCAAAACATGGACACATGAATATGCAACCAGCAAATACCTAGAGATTGAAAATCAAACCTGAAGATTGCTTTATTTGTGTCTTGTTCATAATAAACTTTTTTTATGAATTTCTTAACAATGATTTTCACTTATCATGCTACATAGGATCAATTCTACTAAATAAGGTGAATCAATTCCACTAAATAACGTGTACCAATTCTACAAAGTAAGGTGAATTAATTCTACTAGAAAAAGTAAACCAATCCTTCTAAATAAGGTGAATCAACTCTGCAAAATAAAAAGAATCAATTATACTAAAAAAAGAGATCAATTCTACTAGATAAGGTGAACCAATTCCATGGCAATTGCGCTTTTTAAGGGAATATTTAAATTGTTACCACGACAAAGTCTCAGTCCTACTAAATAAGGTGAATCAACTGCAACAAATCAGGCAAATCATTCTAATACCGTAAATTGGCACTAAAGAAAATTGCCACAAAAAGGTTTTTGCATATGTAAATGTGAAAAGGTAATGTTACCCTAAAGGTAATGTTACCCTATCCGGTTTGTAGTATCACAGTATAGGAATATACAGTAGGGCCACTTCGCTGTGCAACTGGCTGCTGTATATTTAATAAGTTTACTGGCTGCCGTTTGCCATATCGTCACACAATGCAACTTACTGGCGGCCAATATGGTAATCACATGTGTAAAAAGATATGCGTGGCACGAAAAATTCAATGGAATGGCCCTACTGTATGTTCTCTATATTGTGGTAGTATCTCCGCTGGACAAAAGGCATGCACAACACTTCCTAATATTTTATTTGATGTTTTCTGTAGTTTGAATATTTCACTCTAAATTTCAATACAATTTTACTTGTACCACTGGCGTTTCTTTTTTCATGCCGTGAAAATTAGTGGTCATGCCGAACGACCGTGAGACGTTTCACAATACTGGGCGTCTCGCAGTCGAACCGTGAGAGTTGGACGGCGTGGAAAGATTTCGTACATAAACAAACCTTGGCGACTTCAATGTTTTCGGTATTTATTTCATCGTGATGAGCCATCTACAAACCAAAGATGATAAAGGTGGAGAGAAAATCCATTTCCGCTAAAAAACAATCCCCGCGGAAATATCAACATTCTCACCTGTGCTTTGAGATCGTCGATTGTGGCTGATGAATCCAACACAAGTTCCCACAATGCATCAAGTACGTACGTGGAAGGACGCCATCTTCGAACGAAGTATACAATGCTATTCGTACTCTCGACAGGTTCTCTTCCTAGAAGTTTCAAAATTGCTTTTTGTCTTCTCGCATATAAACATTCGTAATCCTAGTGCTTAAGTATACAATAAGATTGGGAAAAGAATTTCAGCAAATCTATTTCCAAAGTTAATAAGGCGAACAAACATTTTTTCATTCGATTTCTCGTTTTTTCCAGAGACTAAAATTTTTCTTTATATGAGCTTGTTTCTTTTCAATCCTTTACTGAAACATTAAACAATGAGTTTCAACCACGATGCATTGCGCGCTAAATCCGATTTTTTCAAGCACGAAATTAACTGGCTAGACTCTATACACGAATATATTTTCTTCTTCGCAATGGTTACAATTCTTGTTGAATTATTCATTTTTTAAGAAAATAAAGTCGATACATGATACTTTACCCTTATTTTGCAAGAGAGGAAAAGTATACTCATCCGAGTCAGCGTGAAATACACTGAGACTTCGTATGAAAATAAACAAACGCGCGCAATGCATAATGGCCGACACTCGCTTAACTCATAGCAATCCAGTGCATGTGTATCCTAACGAAATTCTTATAAAACATATTAAAATCAGCAAGTTTCCCTGAATGTTTCGCAAACGATTCACATAGTGGAAACATTGGGCGCGTCAGGAAAAGATAAACAGCAAAACGGGCCAACCTTCCAGTTCCTCGACGAAAAACTCGCATGAGCTGAAAGTCAATATGACGTCGTCTAACACCTGGTGATTTTGATAAACGCGACCAGGTGATTTCCACGATTTCTTGCGCAGTCTCATGCTACAAGTGAAAAAGCGAATGACGATGTTGCAAGGCGATTGCACTCTTATAAGTGGGAAAGCGAGGGGGTTTTTAGTGCTGGGCATACTTCGGAGGTACAACCTCCGGCTTCGGTTTACAACAGTAGGGGTTTATATGACAAAATCATTTTTTTAAGTCGACCTCCAACTTTCTACCATTCACTACGTTAAAAAACTTTCTACGTTTCACTACGTTACAAAACTTTCTCCGTTTCATTACGTTACAAAACTTTCCATGTTTCACTACGTTACAAAACTTTCCATGTTTCACTACGTTACAAACTTTCTATTTCATTACATTTCCATTTCATTCCATTTCATTACATTTCCATTTCCACGTTCCATTCCGTTCCATTCCTTTCCATTCCATTCCATTTCCATTCATTTCCATTCCTTTCCCATTCCATTCCATTTCCATTCCATTCCATTTCCATTCCATTCCATTCCATTTCCATTTTCCATTCCATTCCATTCCTTTCCATTCCATTCCATTCCATTTCCATTCATTCCATCATTCCATTCCATTTTCATTTTCACTTTCCATTCCAAAACTTTCCATTTCACTACGTTCCATTTTTTGTTTCACAAAACTTTCCATGTTTCATTACGTTACAAACTTTCCATGTTTCACTACGTTACAAAACTTTCTATTTCACTACGTTACAAAACTTTCCATGTTTCATTCCGTTACAAACTTTCCGTTTCCCACGTTACAAAACTTTCCACGTTTCACTACGTTACAAAACTTTCTACGTTTCACTACGTTACAAAACTTTCCATGTTTCACTACGTTACAAAACTTTCTACGTTTCACTACGTTACAAAACTTTCTATGTTTCACTACGTTACAAAACTTTCTACGTTTCACTACGTTACAAAACTTTCTAAAGACAACTTACGTTATACAGGCGAGAAGCTATATACTTTCACATCCCTACCACCCCCTTCTGTTATTCATATTCCTTCCTATCCATTATTTGAAAACTATACATCAGTTCATCTGTTCCTTCTATGTATTGGCTTCTCGAAAATCTCGTGGAAAGTATATAAGTTTATGCAAGGCTTTTGGTCGCAGGTATACGATATTTAAGAAATAAAGATGTTTACTGTGTTCGTTCAGGCTTATGCAAACCGGGGAGACCTTTGGGAAAACTCGAGAGCAGATCAGTGCAAACTCCAGACCGAAGGTCGAGACCTTCAGCGCATGCGTTGTATTGTTGCAATATTAAAAAGAGACAAAGGAATTAAAACTTACCGCTCTAGTGGAATTGTCTTTTTTGAACTTTTAGTCAATTCTTCGATAAGCGCGACTTTTGTCTCGTAAATTTTCATACGTTTTGAAAGAATAATTTCGATTAGAAACTCCGTGTGCTATAGAAATAATGACAAAATTATTTTTTAATTTCGAATGAATATCGAAGCAATACTTCCGCTTCTACGACATTTTGTTTTTAAACTCTCGTCCAGTTGAGGTAAGTGGGATGAGCGCCGACGAATGAGAGCCATTTATTACAAATAAGAAATACATGGCAATAAAAGTGGGGGATGGGGAGGAATACTTTATGACGCCATCATTACTTCCCAAGTTTTTTGTAAATTGTGAGTTCAGGTAGTCTGTATGATTATTGAAACGATTTTACCACTTGTAGATGTAGCTGTAAATATGTAGATGTAAATATGTAGATGTAAATATGTAGATGTAAATATGTAGATGTAAATATGTAGATGTAAATATGTAGATGTAAATATGTAGATGTAATTGTAGATGTGGAGGTTGATGTGGATGTAGAAGTAGAGGTAGATGTAGATGTGATGTAAATATGTAGATGTAATTGTAGATGTGAAGGTTGATGTAGATGTAAATGTAGAGGTAGATGTAAATGTAGATGTAGATAGATATATATAGGTGCAAATGATAGCCAATTACATTAATTAATTAATTATCATTATGAGCAGATTAACGCACCAACCTGCTCTTCGTTGAGTCTGAACAAGAAAATTTTCGCTCTAAATTCTCCTGTTTTCAATGCACGTCCATGTTTGATACGTATCTATTTTTTTAAAAAGAAACAAAATCCATGCAAGGCATTCATAATTTTAAACAACAGCAAAACGTGTTGAATGGTCGTACCTTGCTTTTGTCGGGAACAATGGAAAAGGTGTCGTTCAAACGATCCATTTCCGTTTCTTGATTCGTGGAATATACGCGAAATACCTTTAAAAAATGTAATGAAAGCGATGAGGCTTGAGCAATGACTGTAAGACATACTAAGTACCTAGCATCTACTTGAAGCGTATACAGTGTTCAAGTTCGTGAAAACGGGTTTTTCCTTCAGAAAGTAAGATCAAAAATTGTTGTAAAAAGAGCAAATACCATGGCGAATGGTCAAAATACTAACGCAATAGTTCTTAAAAGAACTGTTTGAAACCATTACTTGCGAACTATCAATCAACATGTTCTTAATAACAATATTTTAAACAGTTCTTTTAAGAACTATGACGTTATTATTTTGACCATTCGCCATGGTATTTTCTCTTTTTACAACAATTTTTCAATTTGTCACCACGATAAGTCTCTTTTTACTATTCAAGAAAGTAAGATTACAAAAAAAAATGACGTACTGACGGCTTTTCCGAACTAAAAATAAAGTTTCATTATTATTACTATTACTACTATCAATATTTATACAGCATTTTTCTTCAGTACAGAAGACTGTTATCAATGAAGTATTTAATGTAATGTAATGTGATGTTCAAATAGCTCATACTTAGTAATGATATTAAATGTAATGTGATGTAACTTTTATTCTGTCACCTCGCATTTGAGAACATAACACTGATGACATACTTTAACTCGTTTTTCACATGCCATACCCAATTTCCTCGGCTTTGCCACACACCCCCCCCGGGGGGAGGGGGAGGTGTTGATAGTTTTCAAGTGGAGGTTGTAAAAAGCGGGGGTTATTATAATGGAGGTCTAAAATGAGACTGGGGACAAACAGGGGAAATACGGCATTTATATTCCACAAACCTTGAACATTTCCGACGAGCAGCCCATTTCCTGTTCCAAACTACGTTTAAATTCGCCCAAAGTCGTTTCCTTATGAATGCTGATCTCCGCTATAGAGAAAGACGCCAAATTAAAAATACATCATAAGATAAAGTCAACTTCACCTTCACGACAAAATTGAAAAATATGAAAATATTATTCGTTTCTATAGGCGCCCTGTTTTGTGCACCGTATTCATACAAATATCCCCCACTGCATGCTGCTAAAAAACTGCACGAATTCTGCTCGCAAAAATGCAAACTATCGACAAAATACGCACATACTCAACAAATGGAAATTTTTTTTAACCGAAGAGGGTTACAAAATACGCAGCAGCACTTCCCAGTGTGTTCACAAATGAAATTTTTTCAACAACATTCTCTCTGATGAGCGTAAATTCTGCCCCTGCTTTATATAGTTGCAAAGTTCAAAACATGGGCGGGGTGAGGGGGTGTGTGTGTTTCAGCTCATTCGACCAATTTTGTAAAAAAATGCATATATGGTCACATCGCCACACTGCTATGTCTTGGTTCGCATAATGAAGAGACGTCAACTCGTGATGCAAAAAGCCTACGCGTGGACGGCACGTGATTGGTTCCAAATAACTTACAAACACGTTGTTGCGTGGTATATACATCTTGAGGCAGATGGACTTCCAGCGTAATAGAATTTGAGAAATAATCCAATACTTGTAATAATTTTTCATCCAGAGTTTCACCCGGTTCATCATCCGTACACTGAACAAATATCTAGATGAAAAACAAAAATAAATGCCTTCACAAGAGTTTGGAAAAGTAATTACGAAGAGACTGTTCACCATCCGCTATGTTCCATCCACAACCACCACCACCCCGAAACACACGCACACAACACACAAAAGTTCGATCCCTACGGTTTCACACCCCACCCCTTCAGTCACGCATTCATAGAAAGTTGGGAAAAGATTTAAGTCAATGATTTAGAACCCAATCCCCTAGATGTCTAACTACCGTGTCAAGGTGAGGCAAGGACGCCATTTTGAAAGGTGGCAAAAAGCAAAACTCAAAATGAAAAATAAGCTAAAAGAAAGTTTGAAAACACAATCCTATCAAACATTTTAATAATTAAACATTGAATATCAACTTTGCCACTGTATATCAACTCAGGAAAAGCAGATATCAATTGTAAATATCGTCAGCTTTGCAACCTTTCAAGATGGCGGCTTGCCTCACTCGTAACTTTAGAATTTTGGCGGAGTCAGATGTCTAGTAGATTGGGTTCTAGGTTATACATTTAAATCGTTTGCTTTCAGCACTAGATCGCAGACAGACTTCAGATTCCGAGGTAAATACGTCGCACAAACATGAATATTACCTTGTTCTTTTTGAAAAAACTCTCGTCTTTTAAGGTTTTCTCGGAACTCGGCTTCAGTTCGTAGAATTCCGAAGAATGTCTCTCCCACACCATGACAATATACTCGCATGATGTCTGAAGCTTCTACGGTACAAATAGAAAAAACACAAAATTGTTCGCCGGCTGCATAAATGTATGAATGATGTCGTTTTTTTTTCATGCACCTACTGCAAATGATAACAATACGCGAACGAGTCGCTATTCAACCTCATCTCTAATGCTATAATTTATACACGTCTAAAATACGATAGGTTGTACATTTCATTACGTATCTTTGTATCATCTTATGAGTACACTATAGTAACAAGAAATTTGAGATAGTAGGAAGCATTTCGTGCTAAATTAACGCTAAATCAAAATATGTTTACAATAAAAAAATCCACAGGTTAGTAGATGCAGATAATCGCAGGTTAGCGTTCCTATCACTACACGACTATCGCTATATTGTAAGGTTTTTGAAATGTCAGTCGATCGTCTAGGACTCCAATTCTGTAACGGTTTTTCACTTTTGAAAAATATCTAATCCTTCTAATGGCAATCACGTCATAAGACAATGCACCAACATCAAACCCTTATTTTCATTCGAGACTCGACGACTAGTATTTCAAAATCACTTCGCCGTTCTAATCTATCTAAATTTTTCAAATGATAACGAAAAGGAACTAACCTTTCTTATACTGTCCTGGAGAGTTTTCAAACTATCTGTCCACGAAACGCGCACGTTGAAGGCGGGAAGAACGCGATTCTCTGAAACGTTTGCCAAATGAGCCTTGATCGTTACAGCTGTAAAAAATTACAATAAAATTAAAAGCGATATTAGCTCCATGGCGGGACGTTAGCTGAATGGTTTCACCATTGAACTAAATTATATGGATGGCTAACTGTAATACAAAACCCTAATAATTTTTGAAGCCGTGATTTTACCCTACATGCGTGTGTAGTCAATCAATTATCAGTCCGCGAGAGAAGCTCGAAACACTACACACGCATGTCTGGGGTAAAATCTCGCGTCGGTTGTAAGATTTGGCTTCCATTATTTGCTTCAGGTGGCGTTTCATGTATTTTAGTTCAATAGGTTTCACAGACGGTGGTCATGACCGGTGAACTACATTATCAACTGGAATGCTTTATCCAACGCTAATGTTATAAGCCATTTTGTCTCCAACGTATTATGTTAAATAGGGTGTGCTATGCGGTGTCTGGTGCAAAATGTCTAGTTTTCAAAATTATTGGGATGCGGCAAGCCCCCCGTGCAACCAACTCCTGTCGTCCCCCCCCCCCAAACAGTTTCCGTCATTGAAAATATGTACAATGTACATGCAGCATGTATGTAACTACAATATATAAGATATTTTTGCAAACTTTGTGCAAAAGCACTTCAAAATGAAATTTCCTAATTCCTATATAAAGCCTATTTTCCACTAGGCAGAATTTTCCGCGTGCAAAGTCAACTTTGCCACGCACTCGGTTTGTCAAAAAATCGCTCGTTTGCCACGCGCTCGGTTTATCAATCACGCGCGTCATCAGCTAAAACGCGCTGAAAATTCAGCCCAGTGTGGAAAATAGCCCTAAGAACCAAAAGCGCACCTCCAGATTCGTAAACAGGAAATTCCTCTCCATCGCGTTTTATTTCGAGCAAAAGATCAAAGCGATATATCGAGTGAGCTCCGCCTAATACCGCGTCCATATCCCACTCCTACAACGTAATTCAGCTATTTGCAATGCAACAAAACCACGTGTACATTTGTTAGAAGTTATAAACGACTCAAACATTGATCAGATACAGACAAATTACAGGGTGTTTTTCAAAACCTACTTCTTGCCCATCGTAGGATAGCTCTATGTGTTCGTTGTATTCGTCGTACTTTACAATTCGACAGTTCTCCAAAGATACCACATCCTCCAGATCGAACAGCTGAATACAATGGAAAAGACGCATGAACATAACATACAACATGAAACTTTCAAATTCGTCAAATTCATTCGTTTACGTCTCGGGCTTTCTCCGTAGCTTCTCTTAGCGTTTTCCCCTTGTGAATCTCGAAGTTTGCGCTCGACATTTTGCATTGTTCGTGAAAACAGAAAAGCTTGATCTAAAATAAGTACAGTGAATTGGATGACAGAATACTGGTTATATAGAAAGGTCACACGCTCGGGGGGGGGGGTCACGTCCTCGCGTCTGCCACTATTCCAGCCAACTGATAACAAATTTGTCACTTATTTCTAACCACTAAAACGACATGACGTCATTTCCGAATGACGAATTCGGAATATTTAGAGAAATTGTTTCGGGTCATGATCGTGGTTGGGAGCGAACGAAAAACCCTAATCTGCTGGCTGGAATAATGGCAGCCGATACGCACGGCACATCATATGCAAGGACAAAAACATCAGAGGTTTCCACACGATAAAACCTTCTGTTTATTCTTTATTCGGTGACATTGGATGACAAGCAAGATTGGTACATGGTAGCTGCTCAATACTATGTCAATGCTGCTCAATATCGACTGAGCAATCAATATGAAGTACTCGATATTACTATCAACGTCGTAAAACACTCAATGTTATCAATATCAACTACTCGATGCTATCGATGAATAGATTTCGAAAACTTAATAATCATCAATATCCACTCATCGATATCATCGGTGCTAATGATCACACCAGAAAATACGGGAATCCTTTAAACATTTTCCCTCTTTTCACGATCATTACCTAAGGATTACACTTCTACACTTCACCGACCAATAAACGGCTTTTATAATTTTTATATCAAATTTAGTATCTTTGTCAACAAGACTTCCCTTTCCTATTGTCTAATTACATTCTTGAACCGCGCGGCCTTTATCATAAGTAGGGAAATTCGTTTGAGGCGCGTATCATGCGGGAATCGATCGATCGACTGACTTACTTTACACATGTTGTGTTTAAATTCCTTGAGTTCTTTCTCTCGTAGTTCTTCCTTACCCAGACTGGCGACCAGCTTTTTTACGTGTTGTGGCAGCTCGTTCTCTTGTAAAAAAATACGGTTGTCTGGGCGTATTTGACGATAGATCAACATGTATGCGTTTGCAGAGCTATGGAGGGAAAAATTTTACGAGGATAATGCGAAATAGGAAAAAACGGGCGATCAAACAAGTAAAGTAAAACCAAGGGCGGATCAATGCTAATTTGAGAGAGGGGTACAGAACGAGGATGCATCATTGTGCTAGCTTAAGATGTCAGTGCCTCAGGCTAATGTAGATTTATAGGCTTAAAGAGGAGTGAGCCTTGCCAAATGAAAGTGCTAGTGTTATTAGCTTTTTAAGAAATTTTTCTAAGTCCTAGTTGTACAGCTTTACAGTACTTCATCAAATAATCAACAAAGCTGAGGAAACGGAGTACGCATGACAAAGTAACAGGATTTTTTTTAATGTTTCAATGAAAACGCGCACACTAGTAAATCAATTGCAAATGGTGGTAGTAGAAAATATGTATTTGCCTTTGAAATGATAAGTTTCACCTTTTGCTCAGTCCTGCTGCACAATTTCCTAGCTTCTAATAGTATTATCATAATAAAACCCTCCCCTTCTCATAAAATCCGCCCTAGAGTAAAACTTTATCAGAAATGGTCACTATAACCCAGAATGGAATACCTTGAATATGTTGATGAATAATAACTTTTGTTAGACGTGTAAGATCCACCAAATGTACGCTCTATATCGCTTTCGGTTATCTACAGAGTAAAAATACCAAACCATTATACGAACACAGGGGCGAAACTAGAACGTTAAGTGGGGGAGGGGGGGGAGTGAATATTCATATATTCAGCTCTGCTTGACTGATTTGGTTTGATAGCGATTATAATTTCAAAAGAAATCAGCAGGGCACAGCTGAATATTTAAATGCCCCCCTTTCACTTAACATTCTAGTTTCGCCTCTGTGCAAACAGCACGGGTTCAAATTCTTCATACTTTATCAGACTGCGATTACAACAGCAAGATGACATTATCATGTGAATCGAGAAAAAAGTGGAACGAATTTACACAAGTGAATGCAAGATGACATATGGATGGAGCCATACAAAAGGGATCCATACTAAAATGTACTTCGATGTACGTGTCTATACCATCGAATCCTTCCCCCACTCTGGCATTCTCGGTAGAGAGAGATCATAAAGGAGGGTGGGTTGTTAACAAGGGAAACGTATGTATATAAAGGATACCTTGGACACCGTTTGATCATTGAAACTATACCATTGATCATCCTCAAAAGACCTGGAAAAAACGTGAGTATGAATTGCCAATTTTTCGAGCAAAAGTTTGTGGAAAACTTCTATTTTGTGTGGAAAAAGGCAATTTACTTCAGCCAACATGACAAAGATTATATAACACGGATGAATGTGTACTTTGTCACGCACGAACTAACTTCATTCGTTTTTGTCTCCCTACATGGGCTGTGAAATAATAATGGTTTTTCAAAGTGAAAGGTTTGAGTCCGGGAGTATCATTACATGTTTTTAGTTGTAGATCGTCCAGGTTAGTAGAGTCCTGAGAAGGATTGTTGGTGTTGATCTTGACTGACGTTTCGAGAACCTTAGCGGTAGTTATAATTTCGACAACTGATTAAGTTGTCGAAATGTCAGTCAACATCAGTATTAGCAGTCCATCTCTAAAGACATTTTTCTTGTTTGCACAGGCTTATGAAAACCTCGGAGAGGTTTGTGAGAACTCTCAAGCAGGTGTAACCTTCGACCCTCGCTCTCAGGCTTGCACTGATCTGCTCTGGAGTTCTCCCAAAGGTCTCCTCGGTTTGCATAAGCCTGTGCAAACACCATAAACATGTTTTATTTCTTAAAAGTAACAAAAACTACATGAAATACTACATTCAATAATACCGAAATAGTTATATTGACGTATTATAACACATGGTAAAAGTAGCTTGGAAACGTTTTCATGTAAAATCGGCCTTCAACAGAAATAGATGAAAAATTAAACGTTGGTAAATCTGGCCACCTACTTCTTCGAAGACATCTAAGGATAAGCCGAACTTTTGAATAAAGACTAATCTGGCCACCTATTTCTTCGAAGACATCTAAGGATAAGCCGAACTTTTGAATAAAGACTAATCTGTCCACCTATTTCTTCGAAGGCATCTAAGAATAAGCCGAACTTTTGAATAAAGACTAATCTGGCCACCTATTTCTTCGAAGACATCTAAGGATAAGCCGAACTTTTGAATAAACACTAATCTGGCCACCTACTTCTTCGAAGACATCTAAGGATAAGCCGAACTTTTGAATAAAGACTAATCTGGCCACCTACTTCTTCGAAGACATCTAAGGATAAGCCGAACTAAAATCCCACAAAACTAAAACATAAAAAACTTCAATGGTATTTCATACCTTATGTAAGCGTAATAATGGCCTCCAATGGCGCTTCCCGAATGGATCATGATGGAGAAAAGTTTATACACAAACGACCCCTTAAAAAGAGCAAAAAGAAGAGTTAAAAATTAATCCTTCCGCTTTCACACAACTCCGCATTGCTCTAGTATGTTATGTCATTCTGTTATACACGTCCACGTTAAATGTAATCCACCCTCTTTCTAATACAAAAGTATGCGGTAAAGATTATGGAGATATTGAGAGTTGGAATCAGGGATTGAACCAATTCGTTGAATGCTGAACAAACCTCAGGCCCCTTCATGTCTTGTGTACAATCATTTTCTTCAAAGTTATCTGAATCGGCACAGCCGGCGGCAGACCCCTCGTTCACGTCCATTGACACGTCATTGAGAGCATCCTCTGAGGAGGTATCGTTCTCCGATGACGTCAGGCTAACACCGCTGTCCGTCTCAGTCTCAATGGAGCTCGGCGAATCACTTTTCGGGGAAAGATTGTCGTCATTGTCCTGGTATTCGAAGAAATGACATTAACAAGTTCATCATGTATGCGCATGCGCAAAAAGAAACAACAACATGCGTGGTTTGACGTGTGACGTTAAAACTTTTATTATGATAAAAAATATACGGCAGCATACCAACCATTAAATTTAGCAATTCGTCGTTGGGATAAATATATTTGTTGAGATTTAGAAGTTGTGGAAATGACATCCTACAAAGACCGAAGCAAAACAAACTAAAATAAAAGCACAACAATGTCTCCATTGCTTAAATATGGGCGCTCATGAACTAGCAAAAAATTAAGTTATGGTGTACGTTTTCCCACAGAACTATACAGAATTCCTGTGCGAAGGAGAATGAAACTGTTCGAACTCCTGGCCCGTTCACACGATCCAGATTCGTCGGATCCAGTTTGGACATTTATAGTCATGTGAACAGCAATTTGCGTTATACAGTATATTTATCTATATATTCTTCGTTATATGTTCTTGTTTCCAAGTCTTTTCAAATCTATGTAACTTGACTAGTCGGCTACCATTGATCTTTTCGGATGAAAATAGAGCAAGTTCTATTTCCATCAGATTTTTTAGACAGACGGATCCGACTGTCGGAGGCTCACTTTATATGTGCTCGCACCATCCGTTTTTTAGGATCCGACAAAATCGGATCGTGTGAACGGGCCTTAAGATAACCACTAAGTTTAATGACCAAGAATGGAGTAATTTCAACTGGCTGTATACAGGTCGCAAATTAACGGACGGTCTGCGGACGACGATCGTCCAAAACAACTAGTTGACTTTTTAGCTTGCCGATCATTGTTAAACGTCACAAATGAAAGGAATGAATGCACATGGCTGCGCAGGCGTAAACAGCCCGCTAGTTTGTTCATGTAGTGTAATTTTTTCTGTGCTCACTCATAGCAAAGACGGTTTGAATTTTCAATCGTGGACTGGTCACTGATCTAAAAAAGACTGGACAACCGCCATATTGGAAGGTCCCACTTGATACGAAAAAGTAATCAAAATATTAATCATATTTCCATAAAATCTGCTATGTTTATACATGGCGCTAAGTTCCAAAAATAACAAAAATACGTCGTCATCAAAGCTCTGTCGAATATGAAAGTTGGGTTTCACTCCTCGAGCGGGACCTAGTAATCGGGTGATAACAATGTAAGCGCCCGATTACTTTGGCTCAACTTTTGATTGGTCGTTGTATTGCAATGCGCAATCCAGTTTATTATACATTATCTGTGGGACTGTTTCACCACCTGAGAATGACGAGGAGTCCATCTTACCTGTCATTCAGTTTAATGCGATGTAGGAGATTGTAGTCGAACGCGAACCGCTTCAATTGCAGCATCATGATGTACGGGAACTTGCAGAATTTTAGACCCTGTTTTAAAGGCGTAGTATAGTATATGTGAAGCGAGAATGAAGTGGGGTTCGAGGATGAAGTGGGGTTGAATGGGGATCGTTGGGGTTTGAAATCAATCACCCCTAAATTAAAACTAACAAAAAATTTTAATGTGCAATTTAGCTTGATCGCAACTCAAAAAAGAACATTCGGTTAAGTTTTTCAAACGCAACATTACAGGTGTGAGTATGTTTTTCATTAAGAGACTATACGAACGCTGTGAACTCGTGATATTTGAAATACAGACCACAAACCTTGTGTGCGTCGCAAAGCTTGTCGCACTTGTCACATTTGTACTAAAATAAAAGATCAAGCTAACAATGACTGTCACTCATCACTTGATTTGTATGAACGTATGAAAGGACAACGCGGTTGCTCTCTTCCCAACTCTGGTTGCAGCCACAAAGAAAACATCAGGAAAGAGTGATGATAAACCTCTTCGTTAAATCCTAAAAGCAGCTGCTACACAGAATAGAGGGTGTTTCTGGAAGGAGATAAGTAAGTCAATAAAGGTGGAGGGAGGAGGGATGTTCTGTGAGGAAATAATGAGTTTGTATGTCAGGAAATTAGACAGGGTCTTTCCATAAAAAAATAAGGAGTTATTTTGTCAGGAAACAAAGAGGGTTTTCTGTGAGGAAATAAGGGGGTCTTTCTGTGAAGAAATAAGGAGGGTTGGGGGATTTGTAAGGAAATAAAGAGGATCTTTCTGTGAGGAAATAAGGAGGTCCTTCTGTGAAGAAATAAGGAGGGTTGGGGGATTTGTAAGGAAATAAAGAGGATCTTTATGTGAGGAAATAAGGAGGGTTGGGGGGTTTTTAAGGAAATAAAGAGGATCTTTCTGTGAGGAAATACCGGGGTCTTTCTGTGAAGAAATAAGGAGGGTTGGGGGGTTTGTAACGAAATAAAGAGGATCTTTCTGTGAGGAAATAAGGAGGGTTGGGGGGTTTGTAAGGAAATAAAGAGGATCTTTATGTGAGGAAATAAGGGTATTTCAGTATTTCCTCAGAAGATCCTGGCCTTATTTCTTCAGAAAGACCTGTGAAGAAATAAGGAGGGTTGGGGGGTTTGTAAGGAAATAAAAAGGATCTTTATGTGAGGAAATAAGGAGGGTAGGGGGGGTTGTAAGGAAATAAAGAGGATCTTTATGTGAGGAAATAAGATAGGGTCTTTCTGTGAGAAAATAAGGGAGTTATTTTGAAAGGAAATTAGAGAGTCTTTACGAAAAGAAATTAAGAGGGTCTTTCTGTAAGGAAATAAATGGGGGTTCTGTAAGAAAATAAAGGGATCTTTATGCGTGGAAAAGAAATATGCCTCGCTCACCTGATTGTTTCCATTAAGTGTCTCTGGGTTTACAAATGAATCCAGGGCTTCTTCCTAACAAAAAAATGATTAAAGGAAACACTCAATACGTAAATAGCAGATATAGACTGAACTACAGGGAAAAGCATTTCTGACGCTACATTCCAGAATCTAACGCGATCGTGAGCAAAAAACGATAAAATAATATGAACTTTAGCGCCACTGCATAAGTACGTAAGCCTCAACGCGAAAGTGTTTAAAGCAAAGTTATTGTACGTTTCGTCTTCATAGACGGCGGTAAAATCAAAAAGAAAAACTGTTAAATATTACTGTTGGAAGAAAGCGCTCTATGTAGAAACTCGCTGAAAACTTAATACTTACCACGCTCTCGTGAGGGACATTGGCACCAAACGGTCTTATGACCAGAGGAATATCTAAAAACTTGTCAATTCTTGCACTTTCGTATTCACACTAGCGAAAGAACGATAAAGGTTTATTTGATGCTTAAAGAGATACCTACAAACGTGTCAACTCTGGCACTATGGTGGTCGGTACAAGCAGATGAAAGAACGACAGAAGATAATTATGTTCAGAAGTGAGAGGGAGTTGATGCAGCCCCCCCTCTACGGGGGCGTAGCATACGGGAGAGGTGTGGGGGTTCTACACCCCTCCCCAGCTTTAGAGAAGTAGTCAGTGAGACGCAACATTTGTCGGTAATGATACGACTTTCACATGGTAAAATAAGTGTTCCCAAAACAAGTTTTGTATGTATCACCCCTTGCTAACATTTCAAAAAAATGCGTTATAAGTACCTCGTTTCTGTGGGTAAAATTTGTGCTTCGCAGATCCCCCAGTTCAAAATGTCACGTTACGCCCCTGCCCCACCTAATAATTTATTTAACTTATTTATTTAACCATGGGGTGAGTAGACACTACCATGGGGTGAGTAGACACTACAATAGGGTGAGTAGACACTACCATGGGGTGAGTAGACACTACCATGGGGTGAGTAGACACTACCATGGGGTGAGTAGACACTACAATGGGGTGAGTAGACACTGCCATGGGGTGAGTTGACACTACCATGGGGTGAGTAGACACTACCATGGGGTGAGTAGACACTACCATGGGGTGAGTAGACACTACCACGGGGAGAGTAGACACTACCATGGGGAGAGTAGACACTGCCATGGGGTGAGTTGTCACTACTTTTGCGTGAGTTTATTTGCTTAGTTTTTTTCCATATTCGAACAGCAATTGCTGGAGAACAACCAATTTACACAACGCAATGTTCAAGGAATATATCGACCAAAAGAACGTCAACATGATTATCCATATCAAGTTCATTGACCTCGTTTAATAATTGATAACTCCTTACCTCCAGGCACTTGACATAATCTTTCAACTGTCCTTGGTAAAGATGGTTGATGAGTTGTGCCTGAATTTTATAGAATTGCAATTGACGTAAGTTAGGCGATGCATTGACATAAAAAATCCACACGCGTTCAACGCAGAATTATAAGTACATTGATCATTTTCCGGACGCACTAATACCTGATCCGTATTCTTAAAGACCGTTTCCAAAGCATCAAACATAACTCGGCACAACTCCTGCACGTCGTGTTGTTGCCAGGCTAAACGGACCAACAACATGAAATGTTAAAACCTGAGACTTTGCCGTGATGAAAAATCCAAAGTATTGCCTTGAAAAGCGCAATTGCCACGGCAAATGGCCGTGACTATAGAATTCCCAAGAGTTCTTAAAACCAATAAAAACCAAAGAGTTCTGAAACCCGAGAAAACACAAAGAGAAAACAAAGAACTGTTTTAGGAATAGCGTCTCAAATTTCTAAAACGATTCTTTTCAATTTTCGGGTAAGTGCTCAAATTCTAAAATAGTTCGATTCAGAACTCGTGTGTTTATCTCTTGTTTTCTCCGCGGTTTCTTCGTCTTCTTGGTTTCCTTTTTGGTTTCTTGGATTTCTTCAAGGGTTTAGTTTCTTACGGTTTTCTCGCAAATTTCTGTTGGTTTTCAGAACTCTGGAAAACTCCATAACATATGGCAACTACGATTCTCAAGACAAAATGAAATACATATGTGATTACGATGTATAGATGCTTTAAAAACACTATTAAAACTTTAAAACTGATGCCATATTGCACAGAGATAGTCTGCTAATTAAAAAGAGTATAATGACGTTGACTGGTCGAAGAAATATACGTTGTTCTTAATTTTTTTTTGTTCATCGACACACCGTGGACAAGCTTTTAAGTATATCATGCTTCGTTTCAATTTCACATAAAATTACGTGATAACGACTGCTTGAACAACAACATTTAAATAAATACATATCATGTCTTCAACATCTTTCATAGATTGATCCTTTAAAAGAATCTTAAAAACATTACTCGCTGTGCTATTGCACAATTGAGAAATGAAAGAGAGAGAAGATTAAATTAAACAGGACGCGCATCTGGCGTTCACTCAGGCCACTCGAAAACGGCGTTTCATACGTTTCATTACTAACACTCACGCGTGAAAGGATGCAAGAAAGATTTTCATTGGTTTAAGAACTTCGCATCAATCACGCGTGAGTTATGTAGTCTCGAGATGGGACAAGAAAACCCGAATTTTGAACTCAGACTTACTTTCAATGTCCTATACCATCCTATTATATCCTATCCCATCCTATTATATCCTATCCACATCAACAGTATAACATTGCAAAGAATGGTTACACTATATGGTTTTACCATCACTGCTGTCCCATCCAAAACTCTTTGTCACATCAGTTGTTTCCACAGCTCTCTTACCACTAAACTAAAAAAAAGTTACAAACATAAATTGACGACAGGTTTCCGATGCGTGATTACATCTGTTTAACAGACAACAGAAGAAGAATATTTCTAGGATAGAAGTGCAGATCTAAACTTTAAATACGTTTTCATGAAATGTTAGCCAGCTGAATCGACATACATGCGTAGAAAATTAATGACATACTTGGAGCTGTACGAATAGTTTCTGTAGCTGATAAGGAATGCTTTTTTCGGCCTCCTCTTGACTGCCTTTGTATCTCCATCTGTAACATCAGTAAAATCTGGTTCCAAGCAGCCACAAAAACTCAAGAGGGCAAATTACTCAATAAAGATGAAGACTGGACAGAAGAGAAAATATACAACTGGATGGCATGCAAGTGCCACAATTTGAAAAGAACTTTCACTCACTTGTATATTGCATTCCTAAACTCAGGTGTCATATATAATGTTTGAAGAAGACTGGACAGAAGGCAAAATATACAACTGGATGGCATGCAAGTGCCACAATTTGAAAAGAACTTTCACTCACTTGTATATTGCATTCCTAAACTAGGGTGTCATATATAATGTTTGAAGAAGACTGGACAGAAGGCAAAATATACAACTGGATGGCATGCAAGTGCCACAATTTGAAAAGAACTTTCACTCACTTGTATATTGCATTCCTAAACTTGGGTGTCATATATAATGTTTGAAGAAGACTGGACAGAAGGCAAAATATACAACTGGATGGCATGCAAGCGCCACAATTTGAAAAGAACTTTCACTCACTTGTATATTGCATTCCTAAACTCAGGTGTCATATATAATGTTTGAAGAAGACTGGATAGAAGGCAAATATAAAACTGGATGGCATGCAAGCGCCACAATTTGAAAAGAACTTTCACTCACTTGTATATTGCATTCCTAAACTAGGGTGTCATATATAATGTTTGAAGAAGACTGGACAGAAGGAAATATACAACTGGATGGCATGCAAGCGCCACAATTTGAAAAGAACTTTCACTCACTTGTATATTGCATTCCTAAACTCAGGTGTCATATATAATGTTTGAAGAAGACTGGATAGAAGGCAAATATAAAACTGGATGGCATGCAAGTGCCACAATTTGAAAAGAACTTTCACTCACTTGTATATTGCATTCCTAAACTCAGGTGTCATATATAGTGTTTGAAGAAGACTGGACAGAAGGCGAAATATACAACTGGATGGCATGCAAGTGCCACAATTTGAAAAGAGCTTTCACTCACTTGTATAATGCATTCCTAAACTCGGGTGTCATATATAATGTTTGAAGAAGACTGGACAGAAGGCGAAATATACAACTGGATGGCATGCAAGTGCCACAATTTGAAAAGAGCTTTCACTCACTTGTATAATGCATTCCTAAACTCAGGTGTCATATATAATGTTTGAAGAAGACTGGACAGAAGGCGAAATATACAACTGGATGGCATGCAAGCGCCACAATTTGAAAAGAACTTTCACTCACTTGTATATTGCATTCCTAAACTTGGGTGTCATAAATGTTTGAAGAAGACTGGACAGAAGGCAAAATATAAACTGGATGGCATGCAAGCGCCACAATTTGAAAAGAACTTTCACTCACTTGTATATTGCATTCCTAAACTCGGGTGTCATATATAATGTTTGAAGAAGACTGTTCAGGTAACAAGTCATTGCTTGATTGACAAGACCAACATAGCCTACGAACAAAAATACTAATTGTTTATTGTTGAGCGACATGATGAGATTACACATGATTAGCTTCAGAAAGAACTAAAATTAGAATGAAAAAAAATCATATTTTGCAACCAAGAAGATTCCAATGCTCAAAAATCGAAAGCCCTTGAGCTGCTCATAAAATAATAGGAATTTTAACGAACCAGTTTCTGATTTGGAAAGGTCGCTGCAGCTATTGAAGGAATTTGTGTTATTATAGGGTCCATAGTAAGAAGTACTCGACGTTGTATTTGAAGAATCAGCTTCGAACATGTTGCTTATACTGTTGTCCTCTAGCGCAGCATTTTCCACAGGTTTCTTATCCTACAAAGATAATAAGATGACATCATCATTTTTTCGGTAATTATATCCCCAATATAAAATGCTAATAGTGTAAAGCTATTCACCATTGCCAATATTTGAATAAAACATAAAACATACTACTAGTACAGGATAGGGAATGATAGTTTCATGATTATGGACTAATTATTGTTTTCCGTTTTAACAAAAGGGTTCTTGATTGTTGCTTTTCAAAACACTGTTTACAAGCAAATTTGATGCAAGCATCTTTACAAAGTCACATTTTCAAATCACCAAGCATGGTTGGAGCATAAGGGTAAAAAGTACAATGCTTGGAAGGAGATAGTGAGAATTTTCTCATCCTTGTGCTTAATAACGGGGGGATCTTAACTTTTACATCTTTGTTGGCAATAGTTGGGTGGTAAGCTGGAAGGAAAAAACAAAGTGATGCAAGACAAATCTAGATTCTAGATTTAAAGGGCAATTTTAGTAGTGTAGCCACCAAAATTGGTGCAAAGAGTTGAAACATTTTCCAGAGAAACTAAGTTCAACTATACTACCAATTTGTCTTACTACAATTTAAGGGCATTTAAAATGTTTCTTAGAGGGTGGGTAATTTACGGTGTAAAATCTGACATTTGGGGTGCGCCTGCTGGAAAATCCATACACGCTGATGATTTTCAAATTAAATAAAAAGACACAAAATAGTTGAATTTATGTAAAGCAATGAACCCACATATCTTCTACCAAGCAAAGCCGGGATCAAATCAGGTTTATTGTAAATGTTAGCATTGAAGTTTAGATTTTATGTGAAGTTTATAAGCTATTTACGGTGTAAAAGCTTAATCAACTGCTCTAAACCAGGCAAAGATGGCAGTTTGGGGTTGAAACACAATCTATTTCCCTTGACTTCAGTTATTACGAAAAAATTATCAAGTCTTGAAAATTCATAGTCGGAATGACAAACGGAACAAAATCCATCACACCTGAGCAGGAGGCTTAACACGAGTTGGGGGGTTACCATTCTTTTTTCTAAGATAAAATTGGTGTTTCTTCTTTTCCGGTGGTTGGCAAACCTCTTCCAGTTGTAGGCTTTCTACATTGTCTGTCAATTCTCGTTCTTCGCTTTCATGGCCTGCCTTCGCGCTTTTCCAAACAAGCAGGAAGCTTTCTGGGTCGTAGCCAAACTCCTCTGCTGTTTTCTTGTACAATTCGAGGATAGATGTCGAGCGAGGAAAATTAAAATTGTATTTGGAACGCTGGTCAAACGTCAAGGAAGTTTCGTCGTAAACAATACACAGAACATCGTTTTTCGAGTCATTTTCGTCAGAGGATAAAGGTACAAGACTGTTAATGCTCCCTGCCATGCCTTTTAGAGCTTCATTCGCATAATGAACACTTTTGTGCTTGGAAATAATTCTTGGCTAGTCGTTTCGCTTTGAACGAAATGTCCGCCATGTCTAATGGTCATGACGTCACCATTATACAGCATACAGAGGTGCTGACATTCATCCAAAGATGAGACTCCGACACACTCCGCCAATTTTCAAATATTCACTCGTTATAGGCTCGTTGTGGGCCAATAAATGATATAAATTATTATATATTCAGAACATACATTCATGTTATGCCGTATTAAGGTCTTTTGAAATAAATTTTTTCTGCGTTTATAACATGTATATATTAATATTATATTGCCCAACAATTATCGAGAGGCTAACTACGCACTAGCTGGGGTGTGGTAATGGTATCGACCAGAAAGGTGCGGGACTTCATATGCGCTTTAAGGCAACTTTAAGAAGAGCCTGATGCAATCTATTGTGATTTTAAAGCGGCAAAAGAAAATTAAAGTGGACTTCAGGAAAGTAATCAACTTTTTATCAACAGCAGATTGTCATCACACTGTATATAAATGAGTTGAAATTTGACCGACTAGTGCAGGACGATCTCAATGAATAAATATAAAATCCAAAGAGACTTTTGTAAAGATACAAATACGTGAATTTTTTATGCATATTTCCTCCAATTTAGAAATTGCACATAGTGTTTGGGCAAAATGAATTGTGGGAAGGGCAAGGAAGTGTTTTTAAAGGGGGAGCAATATATTTTATGTAATCTATTTTTGAATTTGCAGTGTGAGATAACACTTTAGTTATTTATTGGACAGTTAAATGAAAATATTTTGGGAGTAGACAATAAAAAATGGGCCTGATAGCCCCACCCCCTTAAATAGAGTGCATATTTTGTGGTCGACCTTAGGAAAAAAGTATTAGGGAACAGTGTATGTGTGTCATCAGTAAAGTGTGTTGGAGAAAAGATGAATGCAGACGAATCATTGGATAATGAACACAATCAAGTTAGGAAAACTGCATATTCTTGCCAAAAACTAGTACTTGGACTGGCAGAGTTTGTTGTTGGTACAGCACTTTGCTAGCATGTGCGGATGTTACTATTGTCGAATGGGGGTCGAATGAACAATGAGAGAAAAGTTTTATCAAGAATAGTCCCAATGGATGTTTCATGGAGATCTCAAGGCAAAATGTGACGAGTTATGTGATCTGACCACGCTTGAATAGCTGCTACTAGTGGCAAAAATGAAAGAGCAGCCGAGGTGCAAGCAATAGAGAAGTTAAGTGAGCATTTTAGAGTCAAAAACACATCAAACATCATCACGTTCATTTCGGTCAGCTCAACAGCACTTTATCAATATGCTTTATCAAAAGCAAAGAATCTCGGGCCCAAACAAAAACAATTGAGTGAGAAAGGCAAGTTGGAGAGCGGAGAGTAGTAATTTCAATTTACTGGATAAAGAATGTATAAACACTTCATCATCGTCAAGGTCTTACATTTCGTGGCCAAGAAAGTAAGGATGAGCAAAGCCATCAATAAAAGGTTGCATCGAAACGGAGCACGGCGTGAGTGTCTTTTAGAGACAAAGAAAATCCATGATAAGACATGTTTTAGGCTAGCATAAGACTAAAGCCATCTTAGAATCTTTCCATGAAAGAATACACACACACACTATCAGATTGTGAACATACCATAGCGCTGCAGGTGTACATGCAACACTCTCTGGAAAGTTCAAAATAACTCAACAAGTCATGTCAGAGTTGCTGGTACGACCCATCACTTGCACAGTTTGATTTCTCACTGTTCTGTTATTTATTTATTGAGGATGTTTCAAACGCAAGCCTCATTACTATAGTTACATATTACTGATGTTAGAAGCGTTGTATGCGTTCACACTTGGCTTGCAGTAACAGAAAGCATAATTTTAACTTGAGTAAGTATAAAGCAAGAAAGATGCCGAGAGCTGCATGCTTGTCGCGATGGAGTACCAAATTAGAGGCAGGGAAATCATGCAACTCAAGCAGCATGCATTTATTTCGGCTATAAGCAGTTTGTTGTCGATGCAGATTATCTAAATAAAGATATTAAAATGTTGAAAACGTTGTGGAGAGAATATTCTCTAACCATTTTCAATCTTTTATACCGATAAAACCTTTATTTTCGAGTATTACACTTCACATGACAACTTATCAACTTCTAGTGCATTCTCTCTGATATTTGACATCTTTTCCTGGGAAGAACCATTCGCGCTAATGAAGATACTTGTCAGCAAAAATTGCCGGACGCTTTTATAAGTAATTAATTATATGAGAGCATGATTCATCTTTAAAAAACTGTGTGCAGTCCTTCGTGTTGATTATGTGTATTTTGAATGATTGGGCTGTTTTCGAAAACAACTACTTGACATAATTGTTTTAAAATTGTCGGCCATTGAAATGCAAATTTTTCTTTCCGCGATTAATGTATTCATGGCATGAACTTAGCTGTTCAATACTTGGAAAACGAAACGCTTGAAATTCCTGAAGAACATGGAATTTTGATTTGAATGAATGAATAATGATCAATGGTTTGGAGTTATAACAAAGATGACAGCGTACATGAAGATCGAAAACGGATATCGACAAAAACAATAAATTTCTTTATTTTATCGAAGGTGGAAGATCTTGATGAATTTATTGGGGTAAATATGGTGTTCAAAACACAATATTCATAGGAACAATGGATAAGATTTGCGTACATTGAGATGCCTAAATTCAAGCCGAATCATGCAAAGTCTTATGAAAAGAAGATACCGAAAATCAATCATCCTTCGTCGACACCGGACACTTTGATATATGTTGAATTTGTCTTTCAGTGCCTGTTCAAAATATTAGGATTTGCTTTGATATATGGCTTTCTCGTCGTAGCTGTTCCGATATCTCTGATCGTCAAACTTGTTTCGAAATTGCTCGCATTCGCTCGGCTAAAGTATCGCGATGTGAAAGCGAATTACGGCAACGCTTGGGAAACCTTCTGGTTTTTATCTGATGGGGAAGGTCATACGGCGAATTTAATATTATTGTGCACTGTGAACGGCAGTCTGAGTTCTGAAAGACTCCAAAACTTTCTCCACGATCGTTTCCTTTGCAAGAAGGAGCGCGAAGAAGAATCCGGTTATTTAAGACGATTACGTCAAAAGCCGGAGAGAGTCTTTCGTGAGCTTATCTGGTTGGACAAAACCGCAAATTATGCTTTAAATGTCACGCAGGTTGACATGGACAGTGCTTGTATGGAAACATGCAACAACACAATCATGGACATACAACACATGTCTTCTTGCAAAGAATGGCAAGTGTTTCTTTATGCTCCTACGAGGGAAAATCAGTCAACGGAGAAATGCTTTATCATGTTGCGATTTCGACACACTCTGACAGATTTGCACAATTTGGCTGACGCAACGTCAAAATGCTTTCGAGACCAGCAGGCGTCCACATCTTGCGAGAAAATGTGGATGAGTCGAAACTTTTGTCTCGGTATGTTCGCTTTCTTTGAAGGACCGAGCATTTTCTTGAAAAGCTTGTTCAAGCCAAAGGACAGTATGTTTGCGAGTCCCTTCAGCAAAAGAACTCTGGTTTATGCGGAGCCTATCAGCAAGAACGATATCGACATTGTTACTACGGCAACAGGCGCATCAGGTACCTTTTCTGGAAGAGTCTTTGTTATTACTTACAAATTTATTTGTTTAGGGAGGAGTGGGGAATTTATGGGAAACGTCTGGAAGGCAGAAAATGTAACGGAGAGTCAAAGATCAAATGAAGCTGCATTCTTTACATTGTTTAGCCAATCTGCTCATGTCGTTAAATGATTATTGAAAAATCGTCTTTGAACAAACGCAAACGGTCAGAATCAAGATTGTTATAATAAAAGCAGTGCGAACGGACTAAGAATGAGAAACATATATCACATGCTAATTATACTTATTGCCAGTGCATCATTGGCGAGGCTGACAAGCTCCATAAAGGCGAAGCCAGACTAATCTTTCATCTTATAACCTAAAATGTAAATTTTCCAGTAAAGTTGCCGGGTATTAATTTCATTGTAGATTTTAATTTTATTCGTTGAATGAACACAAAAATATTTGCAGTGCAGGAGTAAAAAATGGGTTGGCTTCGCTACTGAATTTAGCTACAGCGGATGACGGGAAGATAAAAACATTTTTTGCTCTTTCACCAAATCAAAAATTCGTTGTGAACATGCAGTTGTGACAAACTTGCAGTAATCGCAACTATAACTTTTGCTTATTGCTTTTGCAACTTGGGAAAGTGCTCGATAAATTTTTTCAGCCAGAGTTAATATATATTTTAATTAAATTGGTGGAGGTTTCTTTAATCTAAGTGCACCTGAGTGGATAAATTTGTTGTTTAGCCGGAGCGTTACATTTGTGCTGCTGAGACTCGCAGCATTTTTCAATTAGTTGAAATAGATGCCTCATTAATTTTTTTTTCAAAAGAATCTTCTGAACTTTCATCATTTCATAGACAGAAGATTCTTTTTGCCTTGAAGCGCTGCCTGCGTGACTGACTCGATGCAATTAAAAAACAAGGTGAATTTGAACTAAACAGGCAAAATTTCCAAACTAATAAAGTTTGTGCATGTTTGAATATATTTTTAGATGTAAGCTAAAATCAGTGAAAGTACGTTGTTTATGAGTTATTAATAGAGAAAAGTTCAATATTCTTACAGGGAAAATATATTTCAACTTTCAAGCCAGGTAGAAGCAACGTTCAAATGCATTAGATTATGAAAACCAATTATTCTTTGTATATTTAGTGTGTGATGTCATTCTGTCCTGTCTTGCTGGCAGTCTACGAACATGTATGAGATCACGTGGCAAAAACTTTCCAAATGACGTCTCGGTGTATTTCCCGATTCATTTGGACAGCGGCCGCTCCCTGCGTTGTTTTACTTCCTTCAATATTTTTTCGTTACCTGTGGCTACTGAAGGTAGGTCTTGGACAATTCGATTATCATTTTTGGCACAAATATTTTCATGACAATCGAGGGGCAAGGCGATGGTTTTTAGCAGTGGCGTAACTGGGTGATGTAAGGATGTCAAGTAAAGGTCGATGAGCTTTCAAACCCTTAGAAATAGAAGCATTTTTGCTGAGGTCTGCTCTAAACAATATAGATCCTCGAATATAGAAATGTAAATTGAGCACAAGTCGTAAGATGCAGGTGCATGAATGTTTATGTACGATCTTTTGGCCTAGTTCTAAAGGAGAAAATATGTCAAAGGCGGGGACCACACGTGCTTAATTGACGTTGGGCTCTCTGTTTTCTTGTGCCTCTGGTAACTAGGCAGGAATGCAAAAACGTATGTGTTGGATCGTCATTAAATCATAGTAAATCATTCACAATATCTTGGACAGTAAATGAAATGTTTGTTGACCATTTGAGGGCGTTTCCTCATTAAAATTGTAACTGCATGTCGATAAACGTCCCATTTTTATTTGTGTATTCGCAAATTAATTCCCTGCATTACTTGCCGTGCGTTTTGTGGCAGGGATAGTCCGGATGGATTTACTCGAAGATGCAAGATGCGATGTGCATCTCTTCTAACTTTGCATTGCTAGAGAGGGCAGGCAAGATACAAACTTCCCTTCGACTGAACATTTTGTTTCCATTCAGCTAGACAAAAGTATTTTAGGAATACAATTCCCAAAATATCTTCAAATTATTGTACACTATAGTGAAAAAAATAAGATAAATATAAAAAAATACACATAAAATGGTCTGATTGTGGCACAGCAACACGAATTAGCCACCAAACTTCAATTAAAACAAAAGCTCCCCCTTCCTTCTGAATTACGCTGGGTACATCTCTGTTGACAGTGCGCGTATTTTAAAATCCTTATACGAAATGCTATTGGAGAAAGAAACTTCCTCGTTTTTTATATGAGAACAGAATTGTTACTCACGTTTTTCAATAACGTGTGCATAATTTCAACCTTTGTATGATAAGCTTTGCGCATGATGTAGTGCATATTATTTTCTTTGAATGTTTTCTTCATATTTTAAGTTTTTTTGCGCGACCCCTCTGGAAAAAAGCCTAGATTTACACGAGAAATGTTATGAAATATAAGTTTTCTGTCTATCTATCTATTACACTTGTAAACGTCATAAGCCAAGCCTGGCGTAGAAACATAATGTATTGTGTTCTTTCGTACGATTTTCATGTTATGTCTCGTTGATGCTTTTCATTGGTTGGATTTTGGCCAATATGCTTTTTTTTCAGGAGCAATACCTCGCCTTTGGGAGACACAACTTCGTCGGAACAACACGTATTCAATCGTGGAGGCGATCACGAGTCGTGTCATTGTACAATTGGCTTTTCTCATACTCCCGTCATGTTTAGCTAGACGACTAGTCCAATCTTTCGTGGCAAAGGCATCTTGTACCATAAACTGTATTTTAGAAGATAGTTTGGAGGACTTACGAATTGACGGCAGGCCCGTTGAGAATTTTATACCAATGGAAGACAAAGACGATGGATTGAGCATCACGATTATTCAATACAAGGGTGTATATCAAATGGCAGCGTTGATGCCAAGCGCAAATGACTATGCAATTCATCCTTCGGAACTTTGCGCCGAGTTCGTCCGACAGATACGCAAGCTCAGCATACGATTTACGGAGCGTGCGCGTGCCGTTCGCGCCCGGGGGCAGAAGGTTTTGAGTAGTCGACGAAATAGTGTTTTTGTTATTGAGCAAGATGAAGAAAAAAGCCCCTAAGCAGCTGAGGTTATCTAATAATCAGTCTAATGATTATTAATGCTATATTGCATATCTATTTTTGAAGTTCAAGCTTCTCGAGTTTACTTTTTAATAAAAGGAGCCACAACAAATAGTTACAAAAATTATACCTTGATTTTTGAGCATAGTCCTGACATCAAATTTCCACTTTTATTTTCTTTTTCTTTCGCTCATCAAGCACAGAAAGATTATTGTTTTGAGTACACTGCTTCACAACAAATGGCTAGTAAAACTTGCAAATTAACAATGAATTTCTTACGTCTTCTAAAAACTGCTGTATGTATATGGCGTGTATGGCACCCTTATTTACAGTGTAACCAGACTTTCTAAGGGTAAATTACAAAACCAAGCTTCATAAATTACCCAAATCAACAAAATTAGTGATCTCGAGTCTGATGGGCGGAAGCTTACTATTGACATCCCTAACGAAACGTTAACGTGCGACGTTCTTGCGCATGCCATTCAGTGCACGACGGTCAAGTTGTTCAAAGAAAACAAATGTTTCTTTAACTTTTCGCTTTTTGATTACCACAAAATTGGACTCACGTGTATAAAAAGTCGCAAATTAAAATTCAACTATTAAAATGGACGAGTTTGAGAAATATTTTTGAAAGAAATGGCCAATATGTATAAGGGTAATTTTTGCGCATTTATTAGTAATTTATATGGACGCCACCGCGCGCTCGGCCCAATGTTTTTGCACCCCCTGCAATATGGCTGCGATAACCTTGAAAAGGTCTATTAACAGGGTATCGGGAAGCATGGACCGAAAACGGGATTTTTTATTTTCAAAATTTGGCTAATTTATCATCGTCAAATAAACTATAACATCCAAAGATACTGCAAATGTTCAAACAACTTTTGCAGTTTTGACTTATAATTTCAGCAGACTCTAAACATGTTCATACTATTTCAGTTGAAAGTTGTTTTAAAAATAATGGCGTATGCACTAATATGAGGCATGCAAGTTGAAAAGCTTGCTCATATTTTTCGGGAATTTTGTCGTCTTTTTTAAAAGCTATGTATGGATTCGAATGTGGAAAAATCATCTTATTTTTTAGTAATATAATTATTATTTTGAATATTTCATTTTTTTACGTATTGGGCCGCCTATGATGACACTGAGCTCATGAGCTGTATATGTATTTGCAGTGTGTGCATTTTAATCGCATGAGGAATGAGGCATTCTTAAAAACACATTTTTCTCCTTTGCAAATCGCTCAATTTTCACAAAACTTTGTAGTTTTGTGCATTTAACATGGAACTACAATATTTTCATGGTTTTAACGTTAAGGTGTGCCTGGAAAATTCAAAAACGTAGAACAAGCTACAAAAAATCGCGCGGATTTTTCTTAATTTTTATCTTTACTTCTACGTTCTTCAGCAATACTATGACTTTAGGCCGATTTTTTTGACATTCTATAAGTTTGATATTATTCTTCAAATTTAATAGTACTTTGAAAAGTTAACGCTAGGTTCACTTTTAAAATTTTATTAATATAAAAATGCCATATTTTGAAATATTTCTTACAAAAGGTCTTCAAATTTGGCTCCCAAGTTATCGTTCCAGTCTCCTGAGTACACTGTTCATAATATTATAAAATGCTGCATTCTGGGATAGGCAAGTCACTTTGGAAAGCCCCCCAGCAAAGATTGAAAGAAAAACACGAAAAAATGGATTAAGTTCGTCGAAGAAGCATTGGGGGTTTTTGAATCGTTTTGTTTCACCCTTTTTCTCAATTTATATCGGTAAGTCGACATTTGTACTTTCCGTAACAAAAAGCCAAAAGAATAACGACTAGAGTCGAAGATGGAGGGAGAAATTACGAGGCCGAACGAAGAGTACACGCTCGCCGAACACGAAGTTGCACAGCAAATCGACATCTCCGACTCAATTCCGAGTGAACACGAAGCGGTAGCAGAGGTATATCAAAACACTGCAGAAAGTTCAGAAGAAAGCCAGCAAGCGGCGATTCAGGTTGCAAATACACGTTTCACTTTTCCTGCCTCGAGTAGCACTGTAACTCTGTCGACGAGCGCGGATGGCTCCCAGCCACCGGCTGTCTTGCACGTTCAACAAATACCAAACAATCTTGGGCCTATTCAAAGCGAAGCTCTTCGTGTTGCAGGGCTTGAAGCGGCAGCTAGTCTCTCGCAGATTTCCCAAGGTAAGTGATTTACTTTAGATTTGGCAAGATGAGAAACTTTATACATTCACTAAAGCTGTATCATGGCGTATTTTCAACATTCACGTGAATATAGACGTCGAACATTCTGGAGTTGGTAATGGTAACCTTTAGTGATACTTTGTACTCAGTCAATCTTTTACTGAAAATCCCAAGTTAATGCTCTATGAAACGCTTGCAGGTGAAGAAATCATGTACCTTGCTGCCAGGGCCATGCTCGTTGCAAGTGCCATTTTCCTTTCTTTATTCTCTCCCTGATTGATTTAATAATTGCATGTATTTTAGTTTCCAAGCAAGCATTTGGCTTTAGTCAGAAAGTAATTTTCTTTACACTCGTAGCAAGCCCACTAAGTTCAGTTGGAAATTTGAGCAAATCTTGGAAATTTTAACTCTTGAAACAAGCATGTCCTTTCCAAAAGAAAACAGGTCCATTTTGAAATGGTACTAAATACTTCCAATTAGTCCATTGCATGTCATCTTCATTCTAAAATTACAGAACCTTTCGATATTTCAAGGTTTTTTGGTAAAGGTTACCTCTTGAATTTCATATCTCGATTCATCCTGCTTAGGAATATGTTTGGCAATTGCAACTTAATAGTTCTATAAGATTTTTTGTGCCAAAAAGCCAAAAAAGTTCAAAAGGCATACTGAATGTGGAGTGCATGTGATGAGCCGTAGAAGTGCTTGCTTGAAAATGTTTATATCTTAGCTTGGGAAGTTTCTCTGTCTTGTAACATGAGTACCAATTTGGAAACACATTTCTTTTAGCAGGTCTGTACGTATACATAGCACCACTACCAAATCCATAGGAATGCATCGTGGCAACCTGCCATATCCATAACCTGCTATATCCATAGAAAAACACATTACTGCCACCAAATTCATAGGAATGAATAGTAGAAACCTGCTATATCCATAGAAAGACGCATCACCGCCACCAAATCCGTAGGAATGCATAGTGGCAACCTGCCATATCCATAGAAAGACACATTACCGCCACCATATCCATAGGAATGCATTGTGGGAACCTGCCATATCCATAGAAAGACACATTCCCGCCACCAAATCCATAAGAATGAATAGTAGAAACCTGCTATATCCATAGAAAAACACATTACTGCCACCAAATTCATAGGAATGAATAGTAGAAACCTGCTATATCCATAGAAAGATGCATCACCGCCACCAAATCCGTAGGAATGCATAGTGGCAACATGCCATATCCATAGAAAAACACATTACTGCCACCAAATTCATAGGAATGAATAGTAGAAACCTGCTATATCCATAGAAAGATGCATCACCGCCACCAAATCCGTAGGAATGCATAGTGGCAACATGCCATATCCATAGAAAGACACATTACCGCCACAAAATCCATAGGAATACATAATGTGACTACCAGATTCTTTGCAATACACAGGTGTCACAACCACATCCGTAGAAACCTACATTTTGTGTTGATTTGTGATTAAGTAATTCTACCGTCATCATTGATGAACCTAGAAGATGAGATTACGATGATATGTTCCTTTTGAGTATCTGTTGCATTGACTTGATGGCTTTGAAATTTTCAGTTGGATTTCTTGGACACCTACTTTTTCTTGGGGTGGAGAAGTCTAAAATGGAAGGGAAGGGGGGGAGGTGGTGGTTGGCCTACGCAGAATAAGTGAAATGCTTTATCAGATCTATTTTTAAGACTTGGATCATTACGTGAATAATTCATTGTTCGTTTCAATACAACCCCCCCCCCATTACCCCCTCAAAACGAGCTTGGCTCCACCCCTCGTAAGATTCTACGAAGTTTTCTTCATCTCTTCACTGATGTAAAGTCTTCCACTTACATTCGTAATTTTGCTTTCATCAGGTATTCTTCAGACAGACGAGGCATATAAGGCTTCTGAAGGAGGCCAGGTCACTGTGAACGTACCTGTTAGCCAGGCAGCTCAGGCTCGTGCAAAATGGCAAGAAGCCATGAACAGCGATGTGTTGATCGTACGATGTCGGGACGAAATCGGGGAGATGCATAAAAACAAGCTCGGTTCGGGAGGCAGAGGAAAATGTATAAAGGTTAGTAAAGATGGCAATGTGGAATTTTATCTCGAACTTAAACGAAGGTGTTATTTGCAAACATTAAATTTGTGACGTCATTACAATCAGAACTGTGTAAACTCGGAAATAGAGAATTTCATATTTCCTCGCATTGTTCTCGTGTGATTTTGGTCTAAAGTGGAAACATCAACATACCAATGATTTAGAACCCAATCCTCTAGATGTCTAAATACCGTGTCAAGGTTAGGCAAGGACGCCATCTTGAAAGGTAGCAAAATACAAAACTCAAAATGAAAAGTAAGCTAAAAGGTTTAAAAACGCAATCTTATCAAACGTTGTATAAATTAAACCTAGACTATCAACTTTGCAACTGTATGTAAACTCAAGAAAGGAAGATATCAATCTTTAATACAGTTAGTTATGCCACCTTTTAAGATGGTGGCTTGCCTCACTCGTAACTATAGAAATTTGGCAGAGTCAGATGTCTAGTAGGTCGGGTTCTAGGTCATTGCAACATGCATGTTATGGTTGACTCATACTGTCGGCATGGGTGATGGAAATTAATTGCGTTGCTAGATAAATCGAATGAACTTAATGTGCAAAATAGCAGCGATGGACAACTCTTTTTATCTTATAAAACCCCCAGTCTCATTTAGGTCCACCCCCCTAATAATCTCTGCGTGAAAGGTAGCAAAAACAAAATAAATCTCCATCGTTCATTTACCTCCCACTCTTGGCAAATGAAAAAATCACCGGGAAGTCAACCTAACGATGAGATCGCAACTCCATACTTGAAAGGTATTACACTGCTTCATACTTGAAAGGTATTACACTGCTCCATACTTGAAAGGTATTACGCTACTCCATACTTGAAAGGTATTACACTGCTCCATACTTGAAAGGTATTACACTTCTTCATACTTGAAAGGTATTACACTCCTCCATACTTGAAAGGTATTACACTGCTTCATACTTGAAAGGCATTACACTGCTCCATACTTGAAGGGTATTACACTGCTTCATACTTGAAAGGCATTACACTGCTTCATACTTGAAAGGCATTACACTGCTCCATACTTGAAAGGTATTACACTGCTCCATACTTGAAAGGTATTACACTGCTCCATACTTGAAACGCATTACACTGCTTCATACTTGAAAGGTATTACACTGCTTCATACTTGAAAGGTATTACACTGCTTCATACTTGAAAGGTATTACACTGCTCCATACTTGAAAGGTATTACACTGCTCCATACTTGAAACGCATTACACTGCTTCATACTTGAAAGGTATTACACTACTTCATACTTGAAAGGTATTACACTGCTTCATACTTGAAAGATATTACACTGCTTCATACTTGAAAGGTATTACACTGCTCCATACTTGAAAGGCATTACACTGCTTCATACTTGAAAGGTATTACACTGCTTCATACTTGAAAGGTATTACACTGCTCCATACTTGAAAGGTATTACACTGCTCCATACTTGAAAGGTATTACACTGCTTGTTTAGTTTGTTGTCTGCCATGTAGCTTCTTTTTTACGAAAGTTAAATTGTGTCTTGTGCTTGTCATCTTGAGTCGTCTTCTTCATTTTGATCCACTCACTGAAAATTGTGTTATACTCTTGTACACTAGATTGCTTTATTCGCGTTACAACGTTCGAGATTTTCGCACGTTGCTCAAATATTATAATATTAGATTTGGCATGATTTCTGAAAGAGAAAATAACAAGAATACAAAATATGATGAAATTTCGTTATAAAATATATACTAGAAGTGGATAGTCCAATATGGCCACCGCTGTCAAAAGTTGGCTTCAAAATTTTCTAGGCACCAGAATGAGATTGCGTTATCCAGTCTTTATATATATCAGTGGGCCGTAGCCATCTCGAGAATTGTGGCAGGCAATATTCATAAATTCATGCTCTGCCGTATCAAGGTCCTTTGAAATCAATTGTTTTCTACGGATTATAACGTGCATATATAAATATTGCCTTCCCTTATATCAAATTAATGCGACCCCCCTGTCTGCAACATTAATTTGCAATTAAAAGATGTTTAAAGAAATAAAAGATGTTTACTGTGTTTGCATGGCTATGCAAATCAAGACCTTTGGGAGAACTTTTTGAGACCTTTGGGAAAACTTGAGAGCTGATCAGGGCAAGCCTGAGACCGAAGGTCGAGGCTCGCACCTGCTCAACAAACGTCTCAATTTTTCTTTTAAAATGAATTCATGATCGATTTGCAAATTCTTATTGATTTATCGATTTGATTTGATTGGTTGAGCTCTCATCGGTTTGCACTGGCTAACGCAAAGTCAGGTATTGACCAATCAGCGCGTGCGTTTAATTGTTTTTATTTCATACGTATGACGAACTTCATTCTTGTGTAGCATAGTGGCAACTGGTACACGCCGAGCGAGTTTGAAGCCTTGTGCGGTCGCGCGTCCTCCAAAGATTGGAAGCGTAGCATTCGTTATGGTGGTCGTACTTTGCAATGTTTGATCGAGGAAGGCATCATAATGCCGCATGCCCTCTCTTGTACCTGTTCCACCTGTTGTGACGACAATACCCTCGCGGGTCCCGTTCGTCTATTTGTACCGTACAAGAGGAAAAAACGAGAGTCCTCCGACAGTCCCATGACGAAAAAGAGACTTTCACTTGCTGGTATAATATTCAGGGCGTTCAGAAGAGGGGGACACAGGGGCTATTTTCAAACTAAAGGGGGTGGGGGGTAAAAAGAAGGCAATGGAAAATTGTAAAATGTTTTCATATTGTAACATGTGCAATTACCTAGAACCCAATTTACTAGACTTCTGATTCCGCCAAAATTGTATAGTTACGAGTGAGGCAAGACGCCATCTTGAAAGTGGCGGGAAAACTGACGATATACATGGCTAATATCTAATATCTGCTTTTTCTGAGTCGATGCTCTAAGCAATGCTCCAATGACACAGGATATTGTTGCTAATATAGCTTACAGAAGTCTAATTATCCAGGCTCTAAGCAATGGTCCAATGACACTGGATATTGTTGCTAATTGCCAATGAATCCCAATTATCAATGTTCCGCCGTTTTTGGTTCCGTTGCCAGCTGAAGTGTGCGTAGTGTATGATTAATTTCTTCTATTATATTTTATAGGCTTGCCTTCAAGGTCAATGAGGTTGGTAATTCATTGTCACATTACCCCATGCTTGCAAGATGGTAGCCACCTTTAGAAAGAAATCTCAAAAATATATAATTTAAGTGCCCGGTACATCGAATATACGGTCAAGTAATCGCGAAATCAGATTGTTTTGCCGGAGTCCTAACTGTTCATTCTAAAAATGAGCCAATTGTTGACCAATTTGTATTTTGCGCATCGCTGATTTGTAACGTAGCAGATTGTTCAAATAACAATCAATTCAAATACTCAGGGAAGGACTATCGATAGTCGGGGGCGGTGGCTCATGTTCATATACGCATGATATGCTGTGTTAAGTTCCTTTGAAATCCATTGTTTTCTACGGATTATACCATGCATGCACATATGAATATGAGCCCCACCCCATTACCACCCACCCCCCATATTATCGGTAGTAATGAAGAACTGCAAACACCTACCGAGTAGTAGGAAGTTTGGCAATAATTATGAATAAATAAATGCGTTGAATGCTATGTACAATGTATTTATAGTATCGATTCAGCTTGTTCTACCCCTGGTCCTCTGACTGGTGACGACACGGTTACTGTGGATGGAGGTACGCTATGAATATTTAATTTGTAGGAAAAACATATACACGAACACATATAAATACCGACACAGGAGAAGTCTTCGCTTTCAGTGACGTAGCCACCGAGCTTATAAATTCACTCCTGCTATGCAGATTTCTCTCCGTTGATGTACTGCGAAAATAGCAGATTTCTGATGAAACAAGTGATGACAATGAACTGAAATTTACATCGTAGCCGGACTAAAACTTGCTGAGTGACTATGCTACTGTCAATCTCCTTCCCAGGATCTTTTTCCGGGGTTGTTGTCGCCAGGGTCGTTTTTTATTACGCAGCATATTCGAGTTTATAATTTTTACGATGTTCTACCTTCATTACGCAACAAAGGGGAAAGGTTGTATGAAGTAACGGCTGTCTTTTTAGTTGGTTGAAATATTTTTCTATGCCAAATCATAGCTTTACCTCTTCATTTTTTGTTCTTCGCTTGCAACGAACAAATACATATAAATGGCGCGTTTTTTCAACCTTGCCTCGTGAAATTTTATTTCGTAAAATGTAGCTGAACGCTCCCGGTAACCAAGGCTTGTGAAAATCCGCCTGCATGGCAGCATGCTGCTAGGAGATTTTTCGACCCCACAAAAAACTTTTGGGAGAAATATAAAACATGTCGAATGCATATGCACAAACACATAAATTAATTCATTTATTTCATTTATCAAGTGAAATAATGAACAGTATAAATTCAAAAGTATGAAATAACAAATAACTAAACAATTTTAGAGGAAGTTGTTTGCATATAAACGTATCCTGCCAAAAAGCAAAGTCTGCCTGTAGCATGCACGTATCTATTAATGGCTTTAGAAGATCAATGACTGGTGGGCGGGGCTTATATCACTGATCTGAAAATAAACTGGATAACGCACTCCGCTATTTCTGTGAAGCCAGAGCGCCATATTGGAGGGTCCCACTTCATACGAAAAAGTAATCATATTCATCATAATCATATTTCCAGAAAATCTGCTATGTTTATACATAGCTTTAAGTTCCAAAATAAATACGTCATCATTAAAGCTCTGTCGCATATTAAAGTTGGGTTTCACTACCCCGGGTGGGACCTAGTAATCGGGTGATCATAATTGGGCACCCGATTACTTTAGCTTTTGATTGGGCGTTGTATTGCATTCGCTATCTAGTTTATTATAACATATCTATGGCTTATATTCACATATTCATCTGTATTCATCAGTTATAACCATCTATATTCATATGTTCATCTAAATTCATCAGTTATAATCTGTAATCACACTTGATTTCCAGAGAAACTGCTAATGAAACAGAACGTGTGTTCCCTCTTAATTAATGTTACCCCTCCCCCCTCAATTATTGATCTTCCTCGGTCCCTGTGTCCCTGTGATTGTGAGATGACTCATGAATGAACTTACGCTTTCAACTGTTGTTTATTTGCGAGTGTTATTTTCAAACAATTCACCTCAATTCTCGTGTTCAGCTGACCTTAGCAATTTGTCGTCAATGTCGGCGGGCGGAGTGTCGGTTGTACCCGTGGGATTCCAGACGAATACATCACCCACGATGACATCGTCGGATTTACAAAAGCAATGGTGGCATCTCGAGGAGGTTTGTCTCTTATATAACGTTTCAATTTCGCCTGTTCATTTTCCATCCTTTAACTATTTTGACCATTTCGCTGGAGGAGTGTGTTTTATGTAGATTTCCACTTCAACAATGTCTTAGCTTTTGTATTTTTCCCCTCAAAATCATTTGTTCTTTTTCTGTTGATGATCCAAGACCCTAAAACTCTTCACTGCCATTTTACAATACGTTACGTGTTGGATGAGAAACTTGCTTCAAACCAATAATTTCATACTTTGCTGCAAAAAACTTTATTGCACTCATTGTAGACGATCAATAACGTGATAACTACAGCCCATCAACTACGCAACATGCTGAACCACGTTAGAATGCAAGTGGAAAGCGTACGAGAGAATGCTGTCAACCAGGCGAAGCTTCATGCCGAGTCGGAGAAAAAGGAGGTATAGTCTGGTGATTCTCCCCGACTACGACGTCACTATGACATGTTGAAATTTCTATAATGAGATGGAGGTAGAGAGAGGATGTTGTATCTATCGACTCAGCATGTTAATTTTCGTTTCTGATGCTACTTTTTGTTTACGAATTTTTAACTCTAATTATACTAACTTAAACCCACCAGTATGGTACTTAAAGTCGGAGGCTCCAGAGTTTGAGTTGATATATACTTACAATGTCTAGAACCACATGAACTCCCGTGAGGTTGACTTGATATAAACTTGTATTTTGTATGACATCATTAGGTTTTGGCCCAGACTCGCATGAACTCTCTCATGCAACTATCGCGTGCGTTGATGGAAGCAAAACAGGAAAAGGAGACTGCGGTTGCTCAAGCTTTGATTGAAGCGAAGACAGTGCGACTAGAGAACGCTGCGGATGCGAAACAGCAAGAGTTGTTGAAGGTATGCATTTCTTGTTGTTTATTGAAATGTGCTAATAACAGATTTTCACAGTAGTTATCTATGGAGTGTTTTCACTAATTGTTTTACACTGATACTTCATGTATTTCCCGTTTTGTTGTACAACGTTCGGAGCTTTTATGCTAGGTTGCTCATGCCTTATCACTGACATCATCATCTGAAGTTTATACTCCACAGCTTTTTGCAAGCCCAAACAGCTTTTTATAAAGACTTTATTCACATTTAGGAAATTCACGTGATACAAGTAGATCAAAATAACGGAATTGAGGAGGAAACGGAGGAAGTTGTCGAGCCCGAACAACAGCAGTGACGTGGGATTTTGTGACTTGTTTTATGTTCTCGCGACGTTTTGATTGGTAGGCTTTCGATGCCCTCCATCAACACTCATTTCGCAATGTCTTATCCTATTTTACCCACTGAAGTGTATATGATTGCACTCCCGAGGTGTTCTCGATCGATTTTTAGTATTGCTCTTTTTGATACGAGCAATGTTGTTAGAGGTAGCGGGGGTATTTCCATAAAGTGCAAAGTCCGGAGGACTTAATCTCCCCATCGTTATTTTGGTGTGGGTGATTTTTTTGATACTTTACTCAATTAAGTGTTAGTATAAGCAGCAATTTCTGATCGAATTATTGCATCGTTCAAGAAAAGAGCACAGACACTTTACTTTATTGCATTAATTTATTTCGGGTATGAGTTTTTTTTTTTCAATTCAAACCGGATTTCACGTATCTTCTCTATTTCATTGACTTTGGTTATCGCTCAAGATATGTTCATAGTTATTACATAGCCGCTATTCTTGTGTACAAATTACCAAAACTTGCAAAAATAAAAAATTAAGCGCGATTCCCGCAGTCGTTGACTACACTTGACTAAGTGTTTGTTGATCATGAAGAAACAGCATAAATGATCGCTATCCACTGAATAGCCAAATTTTTTTTGAACATTTGAAAAATCATTTGAAAAGGGAAAAGTATAGCATTTGAACTGAGCAATCACTGAAATGAAATGCTGCTTTTACAAGATTGCAAAATAGTTGTTTGTCCTAAGGAAAATATAAACACCTCTTACCAGTGTGAGAATTTTACCATCCAATAGATAACGCTATCTAGGGTTGAGTGGGACTTCTCGACATATGTAACTATTCAAAAACGGTATTTCAATTGTTGCTTGATTTTGAAATATTTAAGCAAAAAATCTTTCCATTAAAGGAGAGATAAGTTTGCTATTGATAATAGTGGGAACACGATTTCTGTGTCGCACTCGGTGAGTGTCAGGGCGAGCTTTTAGAATAATGTGGCCGATTGCACGAAGCCTGGATGGTGTTATCCATTGGACAGTAGAATTCTCAAACTTGCAAAAATGTGTTTATATTTTCTTTGCGATAAAGAAAATGTGTAATCTTAGAAGCAATACTTTACTTTAATGATTGCTAAGAAAAAATCGTACTTGTTCCCCTTTTAAAGAATTTTAAAAGCGTTCAAAAAAATTTGCTATCCATTGAAAAGCGCCTTTAGGACTTCGTGCAACCTCCTCCCGGCGTAGGATTCACGAAAGTAGATCATACTCGCTCCGTGTAAAATTACCGTATCTGTCTTTTATGAAAGAGTTTTGTTTTGCGAGCAGTGTTTTCTTTAATATGTTTTTTGACCTTAAGAGCGATCTGGACTTGCCAACTTTGCTCTTCGTGTTCTCTTTCCGAATGTTGCTTCTTATTTCCGGTGATCCAGTCATGTTCACATGATACGTTACCTCATTCTCGTTTCCTGTCGTTCCCTTGAGCTGCGACTTTGTTGCTCCAGGCAAAAGCAATGGGGCAAATACGATTTTCGCGGGCTTTGAGCCTCCCACGTGACTTTGAAGTTCTACTATCCGGTTTTGAAGCTGTATTTTAGGTACGCTGTAGGTTTTTTGAACTGAAAATGAACATGAACCGACTTTTTCCTTCAATTTCCATACAATCCCAATGAATGGGGGAGAGATAAGGGGTATTCCTCGCTGTTGCAGTTGCAGTCACGAACAGTCGGTCTGTGGAAGTTTGTTTCCGTATCGGCATGGCAACGATATTGTCACAACAACATTAATCAAATGACATGCACGAGATAATGGTAAAGCGTTTTTCCAACGAGACCAAAAATGACAAAAAAAATTTACCTTCGATGGTCTGTGGTACAATTCTTTCTTCTACGGTCTGTATTCCTTGATGGCTGACCATGGTTTCTCCGACACGATTGTGTACACCGGTAACGATAGTCGACGGGGCGTAGTGAGTTGTAATAACGTTTGTTATTGTCGTCACTTGGTTGTATGTTGTTAATCCAGGTACATCATTGAGTGCAGTTCTGGGAACACATCTTCACAACAATGAGTTGAAAAAAAGAACTGAACCGTATGATAGATGTTTGCATGCTATAATCTAATAAAATATGCCTCTACTCGAGGAGTTGCACTTTCTATTTGCATTCTTTCACACTACAATCTGATATTATAATACATTCCACTTAGTGTTGGCGTTCGTTTACCCAACAGTCTAATATTGACATTATAGCATATACACTAGGAGTTGCATTTACTGTTTTCATCCATTCCCACTAAAATCTTATATTAACCCTTTAAGTGGCGAATTTTGTCGATATCTGTTTCCCATTTCACTTTGAGATTGTTGCGGGTCAGCTATACTGCCACAGAAAGAGTTCACACTCGGAGTTGCACTTTGTGTATGGGCGCACTGATATTTACCTGTAATCAACTTGTAGATATTTGTAAACATCTGGGCAGATGACAGTGCCGTACTGTGCGAGAAAATCGTTGCTCGCCGTCACTTCACATTTCGCCTCTCCTTGGCAAAGGTCGAGGACGACAGCTTTCACCGTGACGTTTTGTTCGGCGCAATTTTTTTCGCTCGGATGCTGCGGATGCTTGCACACGACCGCGTCCTCGCGTCCAAAGAAACAAGAGTGTATCTGTATCCGGTTGTATATATTTGGGCATTCTATGAAAAGTTTTTGATCTTCACAAGCAATTGTCGTTTTCTGTCAAAAAGTTGCAAATGAAAATGTTTCAACGTGTTTGAGAAGATGTCCAAAAAACACCTCGATCTCGTCAGTAGAATTATTTCTTTAGGCATTGCATGCAACATACCCATTGTAGATCATTCTCTGTTGGTACTGCTCCTATCAATCCACTTCTGTCAAGAGATGTACCTTTCAAGAAGATTGCGAACGACATCGTTTTTTAAGTCAAATAATTCCGCTAATCGAGAGTGAATTCGCTATTAAATTAATTAAAGCTGTTACCATTTTTCTCGGCGTTTTGAGTATAACCGAATTGTATCGACACAGAAAGCATGACGATAACAAGAACGAAACGAAGAAATTTCTTCATTTTTTAAAGCCACTTCACATTATAAACTCCTCGTTTATTGGAAGCTGGATCATATTTCTTCATCTTGTTTTGCTGTAAATTGTACTACTAAGGAGGAATCGATGTGTGAGTGGAATGGACAGTATGAAAATCACTTCTCCTTAATCTTTTCTCGGCGCGTTCGTCACAAAACCATGAGCTATTATGCGCATTTGAATTCTCGTTTTGTCGTATTGTCTATTCTATGCTCGCTCTCGTTCGTCAAAACTGCTTTCGTTTCATCGTTTCGAATTTAAAATCAGTGCAAAGCTTCAGGCATGGATGAACCAACAGGTACCAAAATGGTGAGAGGTTTTAACGTACGAAGTGCAATTTCTCGAATAGCAAGTCTTGTTTACACGTCTCTAACTGGTTTTTCATAAGACCCCAAGTAGTTTCTTATTGCCACGATAAAAAACCTCAAGACTACTTGTTGCTCCCTTAAAGATTCACATTTCACCTCTTCATTTGCTGATTTGTTATTGGGCTTCGATTGGATACAATCAATTCGACAAATCACAATTCACACTTTTAGTTCTAGGCAAAAAACTTGTTTTTTTTGTGTGTTTCAATTGTTGGCAGGTGTGTAAAAGTAGCCATCTTCTCGAATTTATGCAATAGTTTCTCCCAGACCTGAATTGAAATCAAACGAATTTTTTATTGATTCGCAAGACCAAGAGCGCCTAATGAGGTTCATTGCTAGATTGAGGAGTAAGGAATCGCTGGAGTGATCAGGAACATACACCTTTTGGAAATTTTCGATATTATGAACCTGTGAATGAAACGATGACTTTAGACGACTCTGCTCCATCCAATCGGCCATTTTAGAATCCACTCGTGCGGTTCATTGGTTGGGGAGGCATCTTTGAAAATCTCATGTGATCATCTTACTTTACTCTACATGTTTGTAAATGTAGATCGTCCAAGTTAGTATAGTCCTGAGAAGGACTGTTTTTGTTGTTGTTGACTGACATTTCGACAACCTTAACGGTAGTCATCTTGAGAGTCAAATGAGGAGTAAACGTCAGGTTAGCTGTATTTGTTATTTGGTTCTTACGTTATTGTATTGTGTGTTCAGGAAATGCGTATTGTCATTGTGAATTAGTGTGAAGTGTAATGTTTTTAGTTGATCGTTTGTTTGTATTGTGAATAAGTCGTTTGTAAGGTTCCGGTAATTGCTGTGATCTGTTCAGGGGGGTTTGTTCCAAGTTGGTATACCAACTTTCTAATGTAAGCCGTTGTCTATAGTCAGTACTGTAAGTAATGCATTTTGCCGAGTCCCAGTCAATGTTGTGCTTTGTGATTCGGTGATGTTCGGCAATGTGATTAGTTTTGTCTTGTTTCTTTGTAGCTCATTTGTGTTCAGTAAGTCTTATGTTTAAGTTCCTGCCAGTTTGCCCAATATAGGAGGCGTGGCAGTCGAAGTAGTTTATTTTGTAAACTGCACCTTGTCGTTCGTTGGGTTGTTCTTTGTCCTTTATGTTCGTTAGTACTTGTCGTAACGTTGTGATATGGTTTATGTGCGATACGTATGTTGTATGGTCGTAAGATACGCGAGATAGTCTCAGACGTACCTTTGATGTAAGGTATCGTTGCTGTTGTTACTGAGTTGTTCGTTTCGTTGGGTTCGTTGGGTTTGTAAGTGTTGCGTTTGATAAAGTCAGAGTTATAGTTGTTTTTGTCAAAAACACGTTGGAGATAGTTGTTTTCGTTGTGTAGAGCGTCCGGTGAATCATATATGATTTGTGCACGTCTTGTTAATGTTCTGACTGTGTGGCTTTGTGTGATGTAGGGTTGTAAGATGATTGGTCTAGTAGTCGGTCAGTATGTGTTGGCTTGCGATAAACTGTTGTTCGTAGTTTTTGATTGTCATGTTTTACCAAACAGTCGAGAAAAGGAAGAGCTCCGTTTTCTTCGACATCTTTGGTAAATTGTAAGTCGCTGTTCTGTTTGTTGATGTGAGTGTGAAAGTAATCAATCTCGTCTGCATGTAGTGCTGTGATTGTGTCATCTACGTAGCGGAACCAAAAAGGTAGTGCATGTTTGTAAGTCGTGAGCGCCCGTTCCTCTATAAATTGCATTACAATTTTCAGCAACTACAACAGAAACGGGTGAGCCCATTGCTGTTCCATTTAATTGTTTGTAGTGTGTACCTTTGTACTGGAAGTAAGTCGAGGTGAGGCGGAGCTCCAGTAGCTCCATAATGTCTTCTGTCGGTAATGGCAGTACGTCCGTGGTGTTTGTAATGAGGGTTTTTGTACAAGTAAGTGCCAGATTAAGTGGAATACTGGTGAACAGTGATTTCACATCAAAAGACACTAGTATATAGTTGTCCAGTATTTGTATAGTGCTCAGTTTTTTAATGAAAGTTTCAGTGGATTGTAGCTTGTGTTTTGATTTGCTTGTAAGTGGTTGCAGTATGTCAGTCAAGTACTTTGAGAGTTCGTAAATAGGCGAACCACAGAATGATACAATTGGTAGCATGTGTATTTGTGGTTTGTGAAGTTTTGGTAGTCCGTATAGTCTGGGTGGTCGTGGTACTGAACATCTAAGTCGATAGTTAATACGTTCATATATAATGTTAGATTTTCTCATAGAGAAGTTCTTGCTGTTAAGTTTGAGCACGGGAACTTAATTCTAAGTCCTGCTGGAACGAGACCAAAATCTTTGCAGCGGTGGTTGAACCAGAGTTGTTTGCGTATGCGCCTGACGTTGCTTGCAAAACGTATGTAGTCGCTAGCAAGTTGTTCGCTCTGTCGTCCAAATTATCGTAATAAAGTAAATGGTTTGAACCCGGGAGTATCGTTACATGTTTGTAAATGGACGATCTACATTTACATTAACGATACTCCCGGGTTCAAACCATTTACTTTACTTTACTCTCCCGAACCTCTTTTACCGCATGACCTCCAGACAAAAGATCATCAACTTACATACTACCTCTTTTAACCCACGTGTCCTGCGGACTCTTCAAAATGCATTGATCAATGATTGATGATGCTCACCCACTGACGCCCTTCCAAAACCAATTACAAAGCATTTTCTATGGCAAATCCTTAAAACTCACTTTAAATACTAACTCGTATGCTTAAATACTACAACTAGCACTAATCCTTTAAATAACCAAAACAACTCTCTGGTGCTCCAAAAGGTTGTCCGGTTTTGAAACCCGACTCATTGACTATGATCCTGCCAGGGCCTTAAGGACATATTTAATTTCGGGGGGGGAGCTCAAAAGCAATTGCCATTCGACAAAGTATTTAGATAGCTAATATTATAACTGCACTTTTTGTTCACTTTTGTAGACGAAAAAGCAAAAGAGGTCATGATACAGATTGATTCTATCTTTCAGTGCACACCAATTTTAACGTAGAAATTTTACGGGTGCTCAGCAGGCGGGCTCAAGTCTAAAGTTAGAAGAAATCAACGAAATCAACCCCCCTGTCTCATGCAATGGTATTTCCTGTCAGCACTCCAAACTGTGCTCCAAATGCCAACTGTAGCCAAAGTGTTCACGATGAATGTTGAGATTTTTTACGATTTTGAGTTGCAATAATTTTATTTTAAATTCTTCAGATAGTCGTTTGCCAAGCGATGATTAATTAAAGCATTTTAAACCTGGCTGTCCGATGTTGTTGCGATGAAAGAGCTTGACGAAGCTGGAAAACTCTTCATCGGCAACAGGGAAGATGCATTCTCGTGTTTGACAGAGGATTCGGACATCACACATATCCTGACCATCGAAAGTGAGCCACTATCTGACACGGAGATGTTCGACAAAGGACGGGGTTTTGAAATCGCACTAAAACATATTGAATGCCTTGATCAACTTTCTGCTGACTTGCTTGTTCATTTTGACGATTGTATCAAATTTATTAACAGTGGAATAGCCAGTGGCAAAGTTCTCGTGCATTGGTAATATGAAAATTGTTTCAACGTCGTGAATATTTTGTTAGTTGATATCTCAGTGACAAAATCTTACTCCTCAAATTTTATTTGTAAGCTTTGGCAGAAGAAGAAGGAGAAGAAAGTTTAGCTCCTTCACTCTTTTCTAACCTCCGACCCCAACCTCCTAGTACATATCTATAACTATGTTGCCTTCTTATCCATTTACTAGCCATTGACGTATTTTTGTGATTTGGGGGAGGGTGTGTTGACTGTCAAAATCAGGTTCAAGCAGTTGTCCAGATGCCAATTAAAAACATCCAAAGTAGTGTCAGAATTGTTTGGGAAGGGGGTGGGGGTGGGTGGTATATTCCCTTGGCTTCCCTGCCCCAAAGCTCATGATGCGCATAGAATGATGTGGTGTTTGACACGGCTATTAAAATTTTTACATTGTTTAGCTTTTTGAGATCTTTTTTCCTAATCATAGTCATGGGTTTGATATTAAATATGGTATTATAAAAAATAACTTTGCCTGTGCTGTTTTGCCTTTGCCATGTTGGTAGTCTAGAATTGCTTTCTTTTCTTCAGTTCGGCAGGAATATCCAGAAGTTCAACTGTGATTTTGGCATACATGATGTACAGTCGGAAAATGCAATTGGATCAGGCATTGTTGGAACTCACATCAGTATACCCGAAAGCAAAGTTAGTTGGATTACTTTCTACATTTGAACTTTTTACGGAATATGTCATCTACATGACAACAAATGTTCTTTGTTTGATGAATTGATATTATACTGTTGGAAAATTTAGTCAATCTACTCCATATTTGGATAAATTATAGAATATCCTGCCGCATTTTGGTACTTACTTTTGGTATGACATTAATCTTAACCTTTTTCCCAATCATAACCAAGCCAGATTGTTTATTGGGAATATTTGTCGGCCATGTTCTATAACTTTTGCCCCATATTCCTTGTTGTGCTTCTAATTAATGTAAGCCAGTGGTTTGAGTATGTTGACATACTGTTCAGACTGGGTAAATTTCAGAATGAGTTATATGGATAGGGATTGGGAATATCAGTTACTGCTTTGGCGTATCATGGTTTCATGTTATTCTGATTTTAGTCCAAATCCTGGCTTCATGTTTCAGCTACATTTGTTCCAAGCAATGGGGAACAAATTGGATCAATCAAACTCGTTGTACAAACAGTATCAACTTCAAGCTATTGCTAAAAAAGTGCAAGGAAATGGTAAACACTCCTGCAAAATGGGCGTTATTGTTATTTGTTTATTGTCTCTGACGCAGTTGTTTGGGGCATCTTTTCAGGAGCCTGAGGCTGAGTAGCGCTGTCCACTGCATAGCAATATTTTTGAACATTTCAAAGATCTCTTAAAAGGGAAAATTCAATGATTTAAAATGTACAATCAATAAAATACATTATCTTTTCTACAATTACCAAGTTTCATTATCGTAAAGACGATATCGCCATCTTTTTAACAAGTTTGGACAATTTACTATGCAATGGATAGAGCTATCCAGGGTCCCAGGGCAGGCAGCAAAACCAAATTTATGAGAGGGGTCTCCACGAAGGTGAAACTTTGTAGAAACATGCGTGACGTCATTGTTGACAACGTGGATGTTTACCACTGAACTCTTAAACCATCTTTGAAAAGGAACTGACGCTTGGAATAGCACGTTATACTCTGTAAAAAACGCAATGAAATGAGTGTATTACAACAATAAACGGACAATTTAAACAGTAATGACAACCCTTATTCGCTATGCTTCTATTGGTCGGTATTATCTTAATTGTGCTCCACAACATTTACACATATGGTAAAATAGTAATCATTTGGCTTTCCGGATGAAACTACGATTAATTGATATAAAAAAATACTCGTTAAATTGATAATTTTTAAGTAGAAATAGTCATTTTCAATTGACAGCTAAAATGCGTCGAGAATTTGGTGTGATCGTTGATTTACTGAATTTTATTTTTCGTCTCGAAATTTTGCCGTAGGATGTCAAGAAATTCCATTTGGTATGTTTGAGCCAAGAGATGAAACCGTCGATTTCAAAGAAAAAAAATACAAGTGCAGAAAATGCAGGTACAATGTTTTCCCAAAGTTTTTTTGTCGAATTTACCAAATTTTCTTTTACGAACCGTAACCTGCGCACGCATGGTAGCGATGAGCGATGCCAAGCCTCTTGTCTTTGCTGCAATATCAGCCTGATTCTATTTTGATCGTGATCGATAGCTTCGTACATTTTATAACTAATTCTAGACGATTAGATCTCGCACAACTAACTTCAGACCTCGTACAACGAGCTCCACACATCGTACAACTATAACTCTAGATATCGTACAACGAGCTCCACACATCGTACAACTATAACTCTAGATAACGTACAACGAGCTCCACACATCGTACAATATAACTCTAGATATCGTACAACGAGCTCGAGACATCTTATAACCAGCTTCAGGCTTTGTGCAACCTACTTAGCTTTAAACATCGTGCAACTATGTATAGCTTTAAACATCGTACAACTATATATAGCTTTAAACATCGTACAACTATATATAACTTTAAACATTGTACAACTATATATAGCTTTAAACATCGTACAACTATATATAGCTTTAAACATTGTACAACTATACATAGCTTTAAACATCGTACAACTATATATAACTTTAAACATCGTACAACTATATATAGCTTTAAACATTGTACAACTATGTATAGCTTTAAACATCGTACAACTATATATAACTTTAAACATCGTGCAACTATATATAGCTTTAAACATTGTACAACTATGTATAGCTTTAAACATAGTACAACTATATATAACTTTAAACATCGTACAACTATATATAGCTTTAAACATTGTACAACTATGTATAGCTTTAAACATCGTACAACTATATATAGCTTTAAACATTGTACAACTATACATAGCTTTAAACATTGTACAATTATATATAGCTTTAAACATCGTACAACTATATATAACTTTAAACATCGTACAACTATATATAACTTTAAACATTGTACAACTATACATAGCTTTAAACATTGTACAACTATACATAGCTTTAAACATCGTACAACTATATATAGCTTTAAACATCGTACAACTATATATAGCTTTTTAACATCCTACAACTATACATAGCTTTAAACATTGTACAACTATACATAGCTTTAAACATTGTACAACTATACATAGCTTTAAACATTGTACAACTATACATAGCTTTAAATATCCTACAACTATATATAGCTTTAAACATCCTACAACTATACATAGCTTTAAACATCGTACAACTATACATAGCTTTAAACATTGTACAACTATACATAGCTTTAAACATCGTACAACTATATATAGCTTTAAACATTGTACAACTATATATAGCTTTAAACATCGTAGAACTATATATAGCTTTTTAACATCCTACAACTATACATAGCTTTAAACATTGTACAACTATACATAGCTTTAAACATTGTACAACTATACATAGCTTTAAACATCGTACAACTATATATAGCTTTAAACATTGTACAACTATATATAGCTTTAAACATCGTAGAACTATATATAGCTTTTTAACATCCTACAACTATACATAGCTTTAAACATTGTACAACTATACATAGCTTTAAACATTGTACAACTATACATAGCTTTAAACATTGTACAACTATACATAGCTTTAAACATCCTACAACTATATATAACTTTAAAAATGGTACAACTATATATAACTTTAAACATCCTACAACTATATATAACTTTAAACATGGTACAACTATATATAACTTTAAACATCGTACAACTATATATAGCTTTAAACATGGTACAACTATGTATAACTTTAAACATCGTACAACTATATATAACTTTAAACATGGTACAACTATATATAACTTTAAACATCGTACAACTATATATAACTTTAAACATCGTACAACTATATATAACTTTAAACATCCTACAACTATATATAGCTTTAAACATCCTACAACTATATATAACTTTAAACATCCTACAACTATATATAACTTTAAACATCGTACAACTATATATAGCTTTAAACATCGTACAACTATATATAACTTTAAACATCGTACAACTATATATAGCTTTAAACATCGTACAACTATATATAACTTTAAACATCGTACAACTATATATAACTTTAAACATCGTACAACTATATATAGCTTTAAACATCGTACAACTATGTATAACTTTAAACATCGTACAACTATATATAGCTTTAAACATCGTACAACTATATATAGCTTTAAACATCGTACAACTATATATAACTTTAAACATCGTACAACTATATATAGCTTTAAACATTGTACAACTATGTATAGCTTTAAACATTGTACAACTATATATAGCTTTAAACATTGTACAACTATGTATAGCTTTAAACATCGTACAACTATATATAACTTTAAACATCGTACAACTATATATAACTTTAAACATCGTACAACTATGTATAACTTTAAACATCGTACAACTATGTATAACTTTAAACATCGTACAACTATATATAGCTTTAAACATTGTACAACTATACATAGCTTTAAACATTGTACAACTATACATAGCTTTAAACATTGTACAACTATATATAGCTTTAAACATTGTACAACTATATATAGCTTTTAACATCCTACAACTATACATAGCTTTAAACATTGTACAACTATACATAGCTTTAAACATTGTACAACTATACATAGCTTTAAACATTGTACAACTATATATAACTTTAAACATGGTACAACTATATATAAGTTTAAACATGGTACAACTATATATAACTTTAAACATGGTACAACTATATATAACTTTAAACATCGTACAACTATATATAGCTTTAAACATGGTACAACTATGTATAACTTTAAACATCGTACAACTATATATAACTATAACATAGTACAACTATATATAACTTTAAACATCCTACAACTATATATAACTTTAAACATGGTACAACTATATATAACTTTAAACATGGTACAACTATATATAGCTTTAAACATCGTACAACTATGTATAACTTTAAACATCGTACAACTATGTATAACTTTAAACCATCGTACAACTATATATAACTTTAAACATCGTACAACTATATATAACTTTAAACATGGTACAACTATATATAGCTTTAAACATCCTACAACTATATATAACTTTAAACATCGTACAACTATATATAGCTTTAAACATGGTACAACTATATATAGCTTTAAACATCGTACAACTATGTATAACTTTAAACATCGTACAACTGTATATAGCTTTAAACATGGTACAACTATATATAGCTTTAAACATCGTACAACTATGTATAACTTTAAACATCGTACAACTATATATAGCTTTAAACATGGTACAACTATATATAGCTTTAAACATCGTACAACTATATATAACTTTAAACATCGTACAACTATATATAACTTTAAACATCGTACAACTATATATAACTTTAAACATCGTACAACTATATATAACTTTAAACATCGTACAACTATATATAACTTTAAACATCGTACAACTATATATAACTTTAAACATCGTACAACTATATATAACTTTAAACATCGTACAACTATATATAACTTTAAACATCGTACAACTATGTATAACTTTAAACATCGTACAACTATATATAACTTTAAACATCGTACAACTATATATAGCTTTAAACATTGTACAACTATGTATAACTTTAAACATCCTACAACTATATATAACTTTAAACATCCTACAACTATATATAACTTTAAACATCGTACAACTATATATAACTTTAAACATCCTACAACTATATATAGCTTTAAACATTGTACAACTATATATAACTTTAAACATCCTACAACTATGTATAACTTTAAACATCCTACAACTATATATAGCTTTAAACATCCTACAACTATATATAACTTTAAACATTGTACAACTATATATAACTTTAAACATCCTACAACTATATATAACTTTAAACATCGTACAACTATATATAACTTTAAACATCCTACAACTATATATAGCTTTAAACATTGTACAACTATATATAACTTTAAACATCCTACAACTATATATAACTTTAAACATCGTACAACTATATATAACTTTAAACATCCTACAACTATATATAACTTTAAACATCGTACAACTATATATAACTTTAAACATCCTACAACTATATATAACTTTAAACATCGTACAACTATGTATAACTTTAAACATCGTACAACTATATATAACTTTAAACATCGTACAACTATATATAGCTTTAAACATTGTACAACTATGTATAACTTTAAACATCGTACAACTATACATAGCTTTAAACATTGTACAACTATATATAACTTTAAACATCGTACAACTATATATAACTTTAAACATCGTACAACTATACATAGCTTTAAACATCGTACAACTATATATAACTTTAAACATCGTACAACTATATATAGCTTTAAACATTGTACAACTATGTATAGCTTTAAACATCCTACAACTATATATAACTTTAAACATCCTACAACTATATATAACTTTAAACATCCTACAACTATATATAACTTTAAACATCCTACAACTATATATAACTTTAAACATCCTACAACTATATATAACTTTAAACATCCTACAACTATATATAACTTTAAACATCCTACAACTATATATAACTTTAAACATTGTACAACTATATATAGCTTTAAACATCGTACAACTATATATAACTTTAAACATCCTACAACTATATATAACTTTAAACATCCTACAACTATATATAACTTTAAACATCCTACAACTATATATAACTTTAAACATCCTACAACTATATATAGCTTTAAACATCCTACAACTATATATAACTTTAAACATCCTACAACTATATACACCTGTAGATATCGTACTAGTAGCTCTGGAGTCTGGACTCGTACGAGACAAATTACAACTGGCTCCAGGCTTTGTGCAACTAGGTTCAGTCGTCGTACAACTACTTCTATACACCATCTAACTTGCTCTAGACATCTTACAATTAGCTTCAGACATCTTATAATATAAGACCCAGAAACTGCAAAGTTAACCTCAGGCGTCGTGTGACTAACCCCACAGTCAGCTCAAAACTAGTTCCAGGCATTTTGGGATTGGCTGTGAAGGATTTGTATAAAAAACGATAAATCTCGCGTATTAGTCTGTTCACGAAACTGATGCAGCAATGATTTAGAACCCAATCCCCTAGATGTCTAACTACCGTGTCAAGGTGAGGCAAGGACGCCATCTTGAAACGTGTCAAAAAGCCATTCTAAAAAAGGAAAAATAAGTTTAAAAAAGTTTTAAAAACCAATCCTATCAAACGTTTTCAAAATTAAGCCTAGACTATCAACTTTGCATTTTTATATTTAGGAAAAGCAGATATTAGTCGTAAATATTGTCAGTTTTCCCACATTTCAAAAATTTCAAGATGGCGCCTTTCCTTCACTCGTTACTATTGAATTTTGACAGAGTCAGATATTTGGTAGATTGGGTTCTAGACCATTGTGCTCCAGGCAGTGGTGTAAGCTGCCCGCAAGTTTGATAGGGCCATCTAAATATTTCCTTGCTCCAGTACAAACAAAAAAAGAAATTTTAAAGAAATTTTAAAGAAATAACTGATGTCAACGATCTGAAATTTACGTTACTGAGCACCATTAAACTTATACAACTGGTTACTTGTCAAGCCAATGCTTTTTTGTGTGCAATTAGATCACATTTCGCTCATAGGAAGGCCGCTCAAAAGCTATATAGCTACACAGCTTACCGATTTCTAATCTATCAATTTTCAGACAAACGTTATTTACGCAAAAAAATCGACTCGATCATGTTCCAGTTGACGGCAATAATTCTTTGTCCTGGAAGAATCGTTTTTTCACACCGAAAACCCAAGTCACCCACATTGGTAGATGTACATCTTATTTTGTCGAACCGTTAACATGGATGAAGGCATTGCTTGTCGGTAATGTCGAAGGAAAGGTGAGTATATTTTCAAATCAATCTCGTCAGGTTGGTGGAATTTGGGGCTGGAAGGAGAGGTAGTGACGCCGGAAGATCTCTAATTGTGGGGGAGGATGTTGGGCTACTATTTATATCTACAAGTTCTACTCTATTGAAATCATTTGTGGTTAGGAGTTAAAACTTATGAATATATGAATATGAGCCCTCCAATTATTTATTTTTCCGCACCCCTGAGATGCCATCCCTCTTGTGTCTTCCTCCTCATCGTGTTGCAATTGACGTTCGGCCCAAACCCCTGGTGGAATATTATTTTGAGCTAGAATCATCAATAATTAAGAAAGAAAAAAGTTTATAAACCAATCAGCGCATGCGTTAGATTGTTGTTATTTATAATGGCTTATGAAACATCGAATGCTTTTGGGGTCGTTGTCTCCAAATCTGCTATTGTTACACTGTTCCTCTTGTGCGTATGTATGGACAATAAGTGTTTGTATTTCTAGCTTTGTTGTCCGAAATGCTCTTGTCGAATTGGATCGTTTAACTGGGCAGGTAATAAAAAAATATTTTTTAAAGATTTGATTGTGATCAAAGTCACACAGAGCTTTAAATGCATATGACTTGAAGATTTTAGTTTTTAATCTACGTTTTCATTCGACATAACTTTAACAGTGTATTTTCTAAAACAGTTTAGGCTTATCTCTTTTCATTCTCAAGATATTGAAGTTTTTGTAATGTCCGATTTACCCAACTTTTGACGTCATTTTGCGCAATGAGTCGCTGTAAAGTGTCAAACATGCTTTAGTTTCCTTGTTACTTTTGGTTGAAATGATCGGGCAATTGTTTCTACACTTAATTCTTCACAATGAAAGGAGCTCTGCTTGGTTGAAGTCACTTATCAGCAAAAAATACTTGCTCTTTCAAATTCTCATGATGCTACAGGACGTCACAAGTTGTGTAAAGGCGGATATTACATAAACTGCAATTAAGGAAAAAAAGATGTTTACTGTGTTCGCACAGGCTTATACAAACCGAGAAGACCTTTGGGAGAACTCGAGAGCAGATCAGTGCTAGCCCGAGACCTTTTATTTCTTTTATAAAATAACAATAATGCGAAACAGACAAATTTGAAGTAAACGTTTTAATTTTTCCTCTAAAATGTATTCAAGATCGATTTGCAAATTCTCTTTGACTGATTGATTTTTATGCTTCATTTGATTGGTCGAGCTCAGATGTGTTTTGCACAGGCTAAAACAAACACAGCTCTGGACCAATCAGCGCACGCGTTTCATTGTGTTTATTTTATATCTTGTGAATGAAAAGTGATATGAATAAATTGTCTTAGAAGATATACTGTCATTTTCAAAGTTATGTTCTATGAAAATATAATCTAAATAGCACAATTTTCGACTCATATGCACTTTTAAGGAAGAGTATTTGACTGTTTTGTAATTCGTCTGGTGGACCAGCATGGATATTTTTTTCAGTGACGTAGCCAGCCCGCAAGGTTTAGTCTTGCTATGTAAATTTTAGAAAATTAAAATTGTTTATTTCTTTGGGAATCTATTGTTTTTGCAGTGAGTGAATTTAAGACCGGATACAAAGGCTTTCCATCAATTTATTCACTGCTATATAAACACGGAACATTCAAATCTTTTTTAAAGTGGAAACAAGCTGCTCATTCAGGGCGAACAGTGAACTGTAATAACAACTGGAATGATAACTCCTATAGTCTTTCCCATGATTGTTTGAAGCCAAACTATGGCACTGAGCTGTATATATATATTTGCAGATGTGTATATTTTCATGGATTTGAAATGCTCTTAAAAATAGATTTTCTACTTGGCGAATTGCTCAATTTTTACGAAACTTGGTAGGGTTGTGTATTTAGCATGGAACTACAATATTTGATTGAACATTTAGGTACGCATGAAACTTTCAAAACGCAGAAAAGCAATAAAAAATCGCGCAGACTTTCGGTAATTTTGTCTTTGCTTTAACGTTTTTCAGCAATACTATAAGTTATGGTTGATTTTTTTGACATTTTGCAATTTTGACTAATATTCGTCAAATATAATAGTATTTTGAAAAACTAACGCAAGGTTTACTTTTGAAATTTTATAAATATAAAAATGCCATATTTTTTACAAAAGGGACTGGAGCTACCTGCAAGCTGGCATCATGCTGGCTTCAAAGATGGCGTCGAAGTTATCATTCCAGTTGATATTATAGTTCACTAGGGCGAAACAATCACTTAGAACCCAACCCCCTAGATATTTAACAACCGTGTCGAGGACAGGCCATTGAAAGAAGGCAAATACAAAACTCTTAATCAAAAATAAACCAAAAGTTAAAAAAATCCTATTAACAATTTAAAAACTGAACCCAACCAACAACTCTACAACTGTGTATCAATGCATATGAAGCGGAGATTAGTCGTAAATATCGTCAGTTTTGCCACCTTCCAAGATGGCGGCTTGCCTCACTCGTAACTGTAGAATTTTGGCTGAGTCAGATATCTGTGAATCTTGAAAAAAGACTGGATCAAGCAACTCTGTATTTTTAGTAAATAGATTTTGAAGCCTCCTCCGCCATTACTAAGGGACCAACACATCGAAAGATTTTTTAACAAAACTATGGAAAACATAGCAACACATGGCCAAATCATGCTTTAAGATAACGCAGAAGATGAAAAACAACCTTTATAACGATAGTAAAGCGAGTCAGAAAGAATAATCGGCCGTATAAAACAAAACGCATACAGGTTTCACTCCGAATCACACGTAAAAAAGGCTTGTAATTTTAAAGGATTGATCAGTTTATAATCGTAAATATGATTATTTAATCACTTTGTACTTCTGAACTACGATTCCAACAATTTTAGGTATTTCCATTCCGTTGTGGGCCATTTTCCATAGTTTTTCCATACCACAGTAGAGTTACCGATGACAAAAATTGCTGCATTTTGATCATATTTCATCATATTTCATCATATTTTTAGCTCTTCTATAAACTGATTTATCTCTCAGTTATGTTCATGTAGTTATATGCGGAAAATTCTTGATTATTCTCATATAAATCCACAATATATTTGCTCCTTATTTTCGAAAGTTGGTCCCTTAGTAATGGCGGCGCTCCATATTTTTTGTCTTTAACTTTTGTGCTAGATGCTTGATCCAGTTTTATTTCAAGATCAGTGATTGGGTTCTAAGACTTTGGTGCGAAACCTTTCTCATCTTTCTACAAGTGTTTCCATTATTTTCATAATTTCTTTTCTTCACGTCATATATTAGTAATATTATAAAATGTATTAGATACCATGATTTTTGTCCGCACTGTGTGGTCAAAGTAAACGTCGACGTTTTGTGTCGTGTTTGAGGACTGCGAGTAAAGAAGGTTGATAAAAAAATCAACGTGAATTCTTTTCTTTCATGTTAGGTGAAAAGTGCTCATGTGGTCTTTGGGTGACGCCTGCTTTTCAAATTCATAAAAGCAAGATAGATGAAAGCTAGCCGAGTGAAATTTTTATTAATCCACTGCATGCAACTGTCTTTTCAGGTACTTTCTGCTTCGGTTGCAAACGTATCCGTACTCTCAGCGTGCGGCCACAGGTCTCAATGATTAATACATCGAGAGCCGATGTACAGTTATTAATTTGCCATAATATTGAAGAATTTATTTATTTATTTATTTTTTCAGCGAATATTTTCACAGGAGAGTCACTTCAGATATTTGTAAAATATTAAAAATCTGTTATCAATGTGAGTCTTGCTGAATAAAAAATTTTCTAACTAAATAATTTAAATATACAAGTATTATAATCATTTCGATGATTCAATCTGATCATTCCGCTGACACGTTTTGTTTGTCAGTTAATATTTGTGAGCCTTGCACATTGTCATATGACCCACACCTCGATTACGTGCCGCACTACGATGTCTTCGGCATTTGGTGGGGGAACTTCACCCACGACACTAGAGCAAGGAACACGAAAAAAATTTGTGCATCTATGTGAGCTTGAAGATCATAGGGAGGTGATAAGTTTTCTTAACAGTCGAAAATTTGTCATAAGCACAAGCGAAAAAGTAATGTAGCGTAACAACGAAATAAAACAAAATTTTAACATATGTAAATTAATAAATACGACCAGTTTTTTTAAAATAACCGTGTTTCAACATCTCATGACGCCATCTTCATTATTATAAAGAGTATAATGCATATGATAAATGTATATAAGAGTAGTATATGATACAGTGATACAAGTTATGCAATTATGAGTAGATTGTGTATAGTATATAAATATTACAATGAAATAGTGACTAGAATTAATGAGTGTATTTGCAGACTGCATATAGTGTTAAAACGAAAAACTTTTATACTACATTTACACTTAAAATCAAAGAAGCACTTCACATTAACAAAACTTACCCTAATCTCAACGTTCAAGTTCTTCGTTTTACCACTATATTCAGCCTTTAAATACACTGTGGATTCTCAGGTTAGCAGTGCGGTAGATCCGTGAGTCGGAATCGTATAGATTATAAGTAAATAATTTTTATTCGATCTAGTAAATAATGATATAGTATAAATAACATATGTGCTCTGTTTAACAGTATACCAAACGTAAATACGTGAACTCACTTCTTTGCCGGGTCCTCACGATCTACATTAATTTCAATACAGGTTACCCGATATAATAAAGTAATACAATGATTAAGCTTTCGCCCAGGTTAGCATGTGGTAACTGTCAGCTGCACTATAGACTAAAATCCTTTGTGTCCCAATGAATATGACGCGTCAAATTACGCGTCAGTTAAAACATGCATAAATTAAACTCTAGTGCTAAATAATTATATCCGTGCAGTTTGTCAGCAATCCACACTGTAAATACATACATTTATCATATGCATAATACTCTTTACTATACTGAAGATGGCAGCATGAGATGTTGAAACATGATTATTTTAAAAAAACTTGTCGTATTTATTAAATGCGCTTTATCAATAGTGCTTTCACGCAGTTACGGTAATATTTAAGTTAGGAACTTTGATTAATGATCATGAATTTAAAATATCTAATTTATATAACATTAAAACTTCAATATTTCCCGAAGTAAGCATGCAAACATTGATGTTATAAATATAATCCATTACAGTTTTTGGAGATATTTTACCTAAGAAAACAAACTTTTACCATTTCACCCGACATTCAACCAAGACCCACAACCACTGCATTCAACCCGAGATGCACGACTCACTGCGCATCATAACGAGAAGCAGGCTTGATGCAAATTCACATTATTATTTATAATTATCGACCAGTCAAAGATTCAAGTGTTCGCAGTTGTTGACCTGTTCGTGATGCTGAACACTCTGCAATAAATGGTGGACGATAAGTTATACCACGTCGAAAAGAGCAGAAATTCGAAGTAATACTTTCGAAGAACGAAAGCCAGAGATCCTGGAGTGGAAATTTATAATCGTGCAGGACTATAACGTCTAACTGTAATCGACTTGAACAACATGGAGTTTGTTTAGTATCTTAGACAAAAACACACTTCAAAGATATTTAACTTTGCTTTCTAAGATTGGCGTCTCGACGAAGGGATGATAAAAAACAACATATCGACCAAAGCATAGTATCATTAGCAATATAGCTAGACGTATCATCCGTACGAATTGTTTATCGGAAAGGAGGAATATCTGAGAGTTTGACGTCAGGAAACGCTTCATAGATTCGATACGTATGAACTTTATATGTTAATTTGTCACATTAGAGCTGTTGTATTGGCATGTCTACGTTATAAGTTGAATCAGCTAGTCCCTTTTGAACTGTGCTCATTTTGCTGTGTTTTTTAAGTCGACCATATTTTGGCTAGTGATCTCAAACGTGCAAGAGTGTGGTGAGGAGGTTTGCGATTTTGATGTTTAGAAATTGACGTCTGGTTATATATATTTTGCCCAAACCAATCCAAACTCGATGGACAATAAGATGTTTAAACTCGAAAGACCACAATATGATTCATCGTCCTCAGATTTCACATCGGAAAGTGACAATTCGCAAGCAACCGAGAATGCTTGCGTTTCATGTTTGGACGAAACTATGTTCCCACCGCGACAAAAACTTCCCGAAGGGGCTTACAAAAAACTTTTGACCGTGGCTCGAAATCTTGCTTTCGTTACACTTTTCACAAACGTCGTCGTGTCCACATTTGGGTTTTTTACCTCGACTGAATCTGGTAGCATGGCAACTTTCGGCTTCGCTTTCGATTCATTTTTTGCCATAATAGCATCGATTGTACTCATATGGCGATTTTGGTCGACTGACCTCGACAACAGCGTTGCAACACGTAGAGAAACAAATGCCACTGCAGTAATTGCCTTCTCCGTTGCTGTGTCTTCCCTGGCGATCATTGGACGCTCTGTAGGTTGCTTGTATCACTCGAAGAAGCCGAAAAACCAGTGGGAAATCATTATCTTGTCGAGTGTTAGTGTATTTGCCTTTACGATGTTATTCATTATGAAACGAATGGTTGCTGTGAAGATCGGAAGCAGCGCTTTGATGACTGATGCGATCGATTCGCTATGCGCGTCGTTGTTTGCCGTCAGCATTCTTATATCGGCGCTCGTATCGCAGTTCACGGGAAAAGTTTGGTATCTTGATGCGAGCATCGCTATAGTAGTGTCTATTTGCTCATTTGGGTACGGCATCCTCGTTATAGCGAGACTTGTTAGCATTCGCATGAAAAGGAAACGAGCTGTAATGTTCGCGATTAACGATCTAAAAGAGGGTCACGATTTGCTTTAAGAAGAGGATGCACGACCAAGTCATTGTTGGTGTCATCCTCAACTAGGGAAAAGAGATCACTGAACAAGAGAATGTTACATATCGGAACGACTTCGGTGCTTGTATGAAATGCGGTAATTGCTGTTTTTGAATACTTGTTCACGGAGGCGTCCTTGGGACGTTAATTGGCGCGGTTGTTTTATTCTTTTATTTAATCATGCCCAGTGGCTTAAGCTTGAACCAGCCTGCCCGTGGTCCTTCAAGGATGGGGTGCCCCCATCCCTATCCCCTCCACCAGAATTGGACAACAAACATTTTCTTAATAATCGTTAATAGAGCACAATATTATAAAAATTAATGTTCAGATACATACCAAATAGAGCTTTCAATTTACTCTGAGGAACACGAATTCACGAATGACCTCCAATGAGAAATATTCAGTGCTTCAAGTTACTCAAATATAAACCTACTTTTTTTTATTTTCATAACACCGTTCAGGTTGCACCCATGCAAGCTGATTGCTTGGGTGACTGATAACGATTTGTTTTTAGTAAAGCAAATTACATTCATAACCCTCCCTCCCCGAATAAAAAAATCAACGTTTCAGGTACGGCTCTTCTTGCTTATTAAGAAAATCTATAACTGCGTAGGAAAGTCGAGTACTGGTCGGTGTACATCCCACCGTTGCTGTTGAAATTTCTTATTGTTCTCCTCGAAGGAAACAAAAAAGACATGATTCTATTTGATGAACGTGAACGTTTAAACCGATTCTTTCATTTTGTTGTTTGAATATGAATACTTCGGATTTTATCAACTAACTACTGTTGGTACAAAAATAGTAATTTATCTTATGAAATGGCATGTTTGGAAAGTTACGTGTATTAATAACTTTATCTTTCGTACATCGGCTCTCACTAGCTTTGATCCTCATTTCAAACAATGATACTATTAAAGCAAGCGTTCACGCGAAAACTTCCAGTTCCATCGAAATTGAAAATTGTGTCTGAGGTATTTCTTGGCTCCGACTATATTCGGAAAGAATGAAGTGTTATTTCCTGCCTTATTTTGAGTATTTTTAGTTCATTGCGTTTATTGATGCACGTACCCATTACTCAGACGTAGAACTTTTAATACAAAAAAGGATTTTCAAATATAGAAAAGTATTTTTCAATTATAAAAAAGTATTTGCTTTTTCACGAACAATCATTTAATTTTTTCAGGCCTTTCTTTAACATCAGCGATTGCATGCGTATAAATTACTATTTTACATATCCTAATTATGTCTTGTTGATATCACAGTGATGTTTTTTAAATATATCTAGAAATTAGCAAAAAAAATTCTACTGTAGAAGTTATTAGGTCATTTTGAATAATCTTTGCCGTGAAATCATAAAACTGTGAGAAAAAATTTCATTTCATTAGCGCTTTAAGTTTTACTTCAATTCATCGACATGGAGATCTTCCTTTCCCTTTCCTTTCCTTGTCGGTCGTTTCCTTCGTCGTAAAAACAAAGATGAGGAGACCCTGTAAAATCCATTGCAGTAGGAGTAACGTCTTTTGCGCTAACAAACAGTCGCCCCCCAAGGCAAGTGCTGTGAACCCACCTCCTTGCAGGCGAAGTCTATGCCATTAACATCTCCTTTTTCCCGGACCATTTGCTATGAGCAAGCGCAAGCGTGATAGGTTTGTAGCATTACTCAGCGTTACTCATTAATTACTCATTAATTACTCAGCGTTCTTACTTCGCTATTGGTCTGAAAGTACAACTGCCTTGCAATAAGTTAAGGTTGCACCATAAAAAAATTCAATTTGACTTTTTAATTGTTAACGGCATGTACTGTAATCCAGTAGGTAAGTTTGTCATGCGTTAGATGGTAAATACCAAACGCGTTTGATACTTGTATTTTGCGACTTCGTATGAATAATAAATCAAGCTTTGCCTTCCAACCTTGGTTTGTATACAGCATAACTGACTAGATTAATAGCTCAGCGTTCCTATTGGTCAGGAAATGCAATGGAGTGGTAACCATTTATGGTATCACTTGGCTCACTGAATGTCCCTACCATGGTCCCAACTTTGTTTACCTTTACCACTGCAATGACCCAACATGTGCGCTTGTAGTTTTATTACCCGGTGACCTTGCTCGCGCTTGGAGTTTCATTACCTGGTGGCCTTGCTCTAGAGACGCGAAGTGTTGTAGTTGAAAGTTGCCATTTTCGCAATGAAAATGGAATCCTTTGTTACGTGAAGGAAGTCTGTAAGCGATGCTGCTTACCTTCATCGTGAGTTTTTCAGATGATGAATAATTTCGTTGAACTTTTAAACATGCTGCGATCATTTAACTGCTCACCGACAGAATCTCGACTGCATGGCCGCGAATCGACCGCCTTGATATATTGAACATCCGGAAGCGGCACTCGTGGAGGCCTGGGGGTATAACAGAAGAACGTTTCACTTAGAAAAAAAGTTGTATTTGGATTTTGAATGCTCGAGTCGCAAATGCGCCCGTGCCTTGTGATTTGTGTGGTACATTCGGATGTCGCATGTTCTTTTTGCTCCTCTGGAGTGCCAAGTTAAAAAATGTCTTTATGTATAGTAAAGAACAACATAAGTGCATACATTTCATGGATGATCACCTTGAAGTATATGCAAAAAAATTTGCCGTATACAATTAGAAGCATGTGACACTGAGTAGCGTATTCCATCGCAAGACTGAATGGCAAAAGTGTTGATTTAATGTGTACGTTGAGAAACGGCTTGTTATCAAGCGGTTAGGTGGTAGTTGCTTCAACTTCAATTGATGGCAATCTGTTTCTTTCAAATAACAAATCGACAACCGAAGAAAGTTTATTGCTATGCATATTTGTGTGATGTCTTTCGTTGAGTAGGCTTTAACATTAAGCATACTGATTGGAACTTGACAACTTCTTTGTTTACAGTACAGCAAAAGTGGCAAAAGGCAAAAAGGTGTCTGTGGGAGAAGTGCCATTGATATATTACATTGCCACTGTCGAAAGTCCGCTTCTCGAAGGCTCAAAATGCCGACTACGGAAAAGGAAAAGCTTCTTTCTTCATTGTCATCTTATGGTGCAACGATAACTTACGACGACGACACGAAGTCAAAGCCATCCATTTTCTTCACGTCCACTGATTCCAAAACTAGTTCGATTTGGGGCTATCCCGAAAGCGATTTGCTCAGCATAGAAAGTGATCGGTACATTACCATCAGCGAAATAAAGCACGAAATCAACAAGGCCAAGCGGGCTGCACTTGTGACATTGATCTTGACCATTTTATTTACTTCGTTAAGTTTTATTGCATCACACGAGTCCGGCAGCGCGGCAGCTTTTGGGCTTGCGTTCGAGTCCTTGCTCGCCGGCATGGCGTCGCTCATTATTCTATGGCGATTTTGGTCCGTTAAGGAAGTGGAGATACGTCAACGAAAGCGAGAATTGATCGCTCTTTTCATCATCGTAGTTTCATTACTTCTCTCTGGTATATCCGTCGGCTTCAAGTCTATAAGGGCCCTAGTTTGCACAGAGAAGCATAAGAAATCTCGAATGCTTCTCGTTCTATCGTCAATATCAGTTTTTGTATACGTCACACTGTTTGCTGTAAAATACAGAATCGCAAGACGATTGTCTAGTAGAGCGCTGCGTACGGACGCAATCGATGCACTCTGCGCAGGCCTTCTCGCCCTCAGTATAGTTGTGACGACTTCAACCCGTGAGTTTACAACTAAAGTATGGTTTTTGGACTCTATAATTGCATTGGGAGTGGCCTTATTTTCCTTTTGCTACGGTTTGTATTCTCTGTTGCATTTCACTCGACTATGCCAGTTGTATAGAAAACGAAAAAAGGCAGAGAATTTGCCAACAACAGAACATGTTCTTTGTCCAGCTGAAGTGTAAACTAATTAGCTAAGGGTTATGACTTTATGAGAATGAGGAAAGTTACTGGAAACTTAATAACTGTTATGATTTAAATTTGCTATAGAAGTAATTGTTACGCGCCGTTGTAATTAAAACAATTTAATTTGTTTCGCCGTGAAATTATGATACATGAGATGGCTTTTCAGGAAATCGTGCATTTGGAAGTAGTGCTCTGCTTAAGATCATGATCGACTTGTAGACACGGTCTTTTGAAAAATTATAGCGTTTAATTGTGCGTCTCTATTCTCGATACACTGTCAGGCATTTAAAGACTTATTAGAAAACTAGCCTTCACGAAGTTTGTGTTTATGCATTTCGAACATCTAGGTTTGTATTCTAAGCCTTTCAAGGCGAAACTGTTCAATATCAGATTAGTTTTTTTTTAACAACCCACGCGTCTGGAACATTTTACTTGCATGTAGAATTCTATTAAAAAAGATGAAAAATTCTTTATAAGCCGTTACAGATCTAACCCAGAAAACTTTAGTTATGTGTAGTTCGAAATTCCAAAAGTCGGTTTGTAACAATTGCCTCTCCTTTCTCCTCTGCGAATTGACAATTTTATTCTGGATTGTTGTGTGAATTTGTGTGCGGTCTTGTTAGAACTGAACAAATACAACGGCGTGGGCATGTGATGGAACAACTGCCTTTTCAAAGCAGAATTATTATTTTTTAATTCGCGAAGTTCAAAATATTTCATTACAATTTTCACTGTTGCTGACTTTACTTTATTTACTCGAGCCTCTTATGAACAACAATCAAATTTATTTGATGCAGTGATCGTTATTGACAGCGACGCGACGAAGTTTGTTTGCTTTATGTTTTATTTATATTGACTTATTCCTTACGGTTATCGTCCCCCATCATCACGAGAGACATATCATTCGGTGTGGAAAGTGCAACGATTACCAGAAACTCTCAGCAAATGTTCCATAACTAAACTTTCGGACAAGAATACTTGCAACAATTAAACGAATAGGTTATTAACTTAGTTTGTTGCTTCAGACAACAATGGTAAGTTCTGTTCTGTCCATCTTTATCCAAATTTGCGGGATAAGGTTTCTTGTTGTTATGCATTACCAGTTGTTTATAAGCAAAGGCTGGCTACCCTAGGAAGCGAGTGACCCAATGTCAATATGTTTTATATGTAGCGTATGCGTGCGCGCTAGGATTGCCCTAGCAATAGAGCCATGTTTTTGTTTGCACAAACCATGCAAACGCGTGATCTGGGGTTGCCCTTTCATTAGTGTAACATTACATGTTCTCTCTCCTCCATTGTGTACAACACTAGCTGTATCTAAGTGCTTCACGACAAGAACGATAACATCAGTTTTTTTGGGGGGTGTCACTGAAATTGGAACGCGGGCGCTGGTTCCAACAAATTCTTGAAAATCGTGTCTTGTCTAATCAATGACTAGGTAATTTCTCCATTGAATCATTGATGGTGTGAGTGACCTTTTAGTATACCGCCGTAAGTCTTTTTCTATGCTTTCGGTGGTCACATGGACAAGTAACACAGCAAACGTAGTGAAGATGTGGTACATAGAGTACACTATTGTACACCTGAGTATTGGAACAAAGGTCACCTACTGTGATTTATGCATTGATATGTATATTACATGGTCGGGCATTCCCGATATGATGAGGGCAAAAATTTGAAGCCGGAAGTTGACAGCTTTAATTAGATGCGCCGCCATATTGAACAGTCCCACTCGTAATAATAATCTATAGTAAAGAACCACGATAGCAATGAATTTTGGAGCGCACTGTACTTATACAACCTAAGAAATCTTTCAATGTGAAGCTGAAAGCATTCTCTTGCGATAGCATTTCTCAAATGGTGTCACAAAAATTTTGAAAAAAAATCATTTCTTAATAGTACAACTGCTTCCTACACTGAATCTTGTTAAATCTAATACGTGGCAGTTTTGTCAATGCATCATAAGAGACGCTTCTTGCAATTTTCCATAGCAGATATTGATATAATTTGTATGTCCACCTCGTGAAGTAGGACTGTTCAATATTTATGTTCACGTCATTCATTTGTCACTCAACTAGTGCCGGAAAAAAGACAATAAACCCCGGATGTATTCAAAATGTAAAACAGAAAATTTATTTATTTATTTATTTATTTACATTTATTTAAACACGATAGTATCTCAACTTAGATCCTAAAATACAACAACATATAAAAATAAAAAGTTGATTTTCAGATAGCCGTGTGATAAAATAAAATAAAAAAGGATACTACATCTAGGTAAAAAATAAACAAACAAACAAAAAACCAAGTATGAGCTATATAAAAATAAAAATATTAAATCTATAAAGTTTATGCATGCAATAGATATTTTCTTTTATCTTCAATGTTATTCCAAGCCTCTGCACCTCTATATGCAAAGCTACGTTTTAAGGCATTTGTTTTTGGTTTTGGCAAGTTGAGAACGTGATTGTTATTTTGTAATTCATACATTTCATTCGTATGTATTGAGAAAAACTGTCGAAGATAATCTGTAGAATTACTTTTCATCATTTGTATCATTAAATTCTCTAATTGCGCTTTTCTCCTTGCCTCTAAGGTGTCCGAAGAGAGTTTAGATCTTACAGAGTCTGAGGCAGGTTTATAAAAATCACCTGTAATTATTCGGCCAGCTTTATTTTGAAGTTTTTGTAATTTAATCTGTAAACTATTGGAGCAGTTGTTCCATACCAAAGCACAGTAATCAAAATGTGGCAATACAAATGCATTATAAATGACTTTAAGCGTGCCTTTGTCAAGTATTTTTTTTTTTGATCTACGCAGTACGCCAATTCCCTTGGCCGCATTTTTGGCCACATTTTCAATATGATTTTTCCAAGTGATGCATTCATCCACATCTACACCAAGTGTCTTGGTGGATGAAACACGTTTAATAGCCTCAGTCCCTATCGATAAAATTGGATCAGCACTAACTTGGGACAACTTTTGTCTTGTTCCAATTAACATATACTCAGTTTTTTTGACATTTAAGGTCAGCTTGTTACTTAAAAGCCACATATGGACTTTATGTAATTCAATTTCCAAATTTTTTGAATCTCGTTTTATGTAAAGGCACAAACTGTGAGATTTGTATCATCTGCAAAACGTGTTGGTACGGAGGAACTAAGACAATTCGGCAAATCATTTATATAAAGTAAGAAAAGAATAGAACCAAGATTTGATCCCCCGTGGTACACCCTTCGTTATATTTTAAGTGTTTGAAATAGACATTCCTACTTTACATACTCGTCTTCTGTTGCTTAGATACGAGATGAACCAGCTAAGCGCATTATTTTGTATGCCATAAAGTTCTAGTTTTTTTTTTATCAAGATGCTATGATCTACGGTATCAAAAGCATTCTGTAAATCTAAGAAAACTACGCCATTTATTAACCCTTTGTCCATGTTAAATAACCATTCATTTGTTGTTCTCAACAAGGAGGAACAAGTGGAATATCCTTTCCTATAATCAAAAAATATGCTCAGCGCATATTCTGTATCATGTTTTCATTGAGCAAAGACAACACTTAATTAAAACACACGAATATCTACTTTGAAATGAATGAAAGACTGAGCAAAATATAATTGATCGCTTTTCCAATTTTACGATCACGTGGTTTGAAAATCTGGAATGAATTTAGAAAGCGTAATAACGTGGCGTAATTAATATGGAATCATTGACAACTGGGCGTCACCAGGTTGTCCACTGTTGTTCAGCACCAAAGCATCATAATTATTCATTTCTTTAGAAATGTATTGATTTTGAAGTGATTTCCCAGTTCGACCAAACTTGGGACCTGGCTACTTCACAGGTCATACGCCTAGAAATTCTGAGTATATTTTCAGACAAGTTGTAACGATGGCAACACGCGACCTAAAAGACCTTCGGGATCAAAAATGAATTCGCTGTTAATGCAAACAAATTGCACGTGACGATTATAGCGTTCATGATCAAGAACTTATCTTTGCATTATAACATGGTTGAGTAACTTCTCATTTTAAGCGGTTATACGCACGACCGACGATGTACTGTGATTGAGTATTGCCGTCTTCTGTTTTCAATTCCAGCAATTATATTTTGCGACGGGAGTTTGTTGGGGTAGAATGTTGGCTATTATGCACGATGATGTTGCATTTATTAGCAAGAGGAGCAAGTGGATGTATTTCATAGTCTGTCCACAGAGCGATGGAGACGAATCAAAGTCAAATGGGAGCGAAGCTTTGAAGTATCAAATGACTCTTGCGTGTCGTTTATTGACGAAACCATTCTACCGAAACACAAGACTTTACCAAAGCTCTTTGCGCAACGCCTTTCGCGAATGGCTGTAACTTTGGCAAGCCTGACATTAGCGTCTACTCTGCTCATCGCGTTGCTTGCGTTTCTGGCTTCGAGCACCTCGGCAAGCTCGGCTGCTTTTGGTTTTGGATTCGATTCAGCGCTCACGTCATTCTCGTCGTTCTTAATAATATGGCGTTTCTGGACGTCGAACAAATCGTCGGTGAGCTCGATAATGAGAAAGGAAATTATTGCTACCATTGCTGTTGCAAGCAGCATGGTATTAAGTGCCGCTTGTGTATTTGCTCGGGCATATCAGTCATTGAAGCAACAGGAAAAACCCTCCGGCATGGCGTTCGTCATTGGAATATCTACGGGTAGTGCGCTTTTGTATTTACTCCTGTTCGCCGCAAAATACCGAGTTGCGTCGAGAATGGGAAGTGCAGCGCTTATGACCGATGCCGTGGACGCTCTGAGTGGTGCAATACTTGCCTTCACACTCGTCATATCGTCCGTGGTGTTGCAATATTCGCAGACTGTGTGGTTTTTGGACTCTTCAATTGCGCTGCTGATCGCCGTCTTCTCTATGTTCTACGGCGTTCTTGTTCTCGCGCGTATGATCGCTGTGTACAAGGATCGCATTATCGTGGCGTCTCCAACTTTATATATCATCAATCAAATGTAATTAACTAAATGTAAAGTTTTGCTGCAGCCATGGCTTCAATTGATTTCTTTGAGAGAAGACTGCAGCAACGCCATATAATCTATCATAGAAGCTAAACACATGATTGTGTGATTTACCATTTGACAGAGCTTAGTTATTATCATATTTTATGCTGTTTTTTTATCATGTTTTTCGCAGTTAGAATAAGTTGTAAACTTTTAAAACAATTAGTCGGATAATGAATATGAGACCATGCAATTTGGCAAAACATTCAACGCATCCTAGATAGCCGCGCTCATGTAAACAACTTTCGAAAATAAGAACCTCAAATTTGTTATATCTCGTCAGAGATGGTTGCTCGCTTTAGTCTTTCTTTTCATTGATCGCCTTCGTCCTTATTGAAGGCTATCCGATATGATATAAAATGTATGTGTTAGTGAATATCATAATTAGATCAATTAAGTGATTGACTCACTAGCTACATTCAAAAAGTACGATTTCTTTGTCGAAGGAAAGTAATGTTCTGAACAACATCTTGCCAATAGTGTGTTCATCCGTGAAAAAAATGGAGTAAAAAAAGAAGGTAAATAATACGACTTTCTCTTGAAGGAATAAAGGTCTCGTCCAGGGACGCCGGGACGTTGGAGGAAGGGGCAAATATTCATATATGCTTGTTTTCCCTGATTACTTTCTTTTGAAATCAATTATTGTTTGCAAGCTGTTACTATGAATACCAGAGTATTTGCTCCCTCTCCCCCCAAGTAATGGACATTCTGGCGTCCCTGCCCCTAGTCTTGGAGTTAATGGCAATTTTTAAAGTAAATGATTTGAACCCGGGAGTATCGTTACATGTTTGTAATTGTAGATCGTCCAGGTTGGTATAGTCCTGAGAAGGACTGTTTTGTTGTTGTTGACTGACGTTTCGACAACCTTAGCGGTAGTCATCTCCAGAGTCAAATGAGGAGTAAACGTCAGGTTAGCCGTATTTGTTATTTGGTTCTTACGTTATTGTATTGTGTGTTCAGGAAATGCGTATTGTCATTGTGAATTAGTGTGAAGTGTAATGTTTTTAGTTGTGATGTGTGATTTAGGTGTGATGTTTTTAATTGTAATGTGTGGGTGTCAATTGTGTATTGTCATTGTGAATTAGTGTGAAGTGTAATGTTTTTAGTTGATCGTTTGTTTGTATTGGGAATAAGTCGTTTGTAAGGTGCCGGTAATTGCTGTGATCTGTTCAGGGGGGTTTGTTCCAAGTTGGTATACCAACTTTCTAATGTAAGCCGTTGTCTATAGTCAGTACTGTAAGTAATGCATTTTGCCGAGTCCCAGTAAATGTTGTGCTTTGTGATTCGGTGATGTTCGGCAATGTGATTAGTTTTGTCTTGTTTCTTTGTAGCTCGTTTGTGTTCAGTAAGTCTTATGTTTAAGTTGCTGCCAGTTTCCCCGATATAGGAGGCGTGGCAGTCGAAGTAGTTTATTTTGTAAACTGCACCTTTTCGTTCGTTGGGTTGTTCTTTATCCTTTATGTTTCTTAGTACTTGTCGTAACGTTGTGATTGGTTTGTGTGCGACACGTATGTTGTATGGTCGTAAGATACGCGAGATAGTCTCAGACGTACCTTTGATGTAAGGTATCGTTGCTGTTGTCACTGAGTTGTTCGTTTCGTTGGGTTCGTTGGGTTTGTAAGTGTTGCGTTTGATAGAGTCAGAGTTATAGTTGTTTTTGTCAAAAACACGCTTGAGATAGTTGTTTTCGTTGTGTAGAGCGTCCGGTGAATCACATATGATTTGTGCAAGTCTTGTTAATGTTCTGATTGTGGTGGCTTTGTGTGATGTAGGGTTGTAAGATGATTGGTCTAGTAGTCGGTCAGTATGTGTTGGTTTGCGATAAACTGTTGTTCGTAGTTTTTGATTGTCATGTTTTACCAAACAGTCGAGAAAAGGTAGAGTTACATTTTCTTCGACATCTTTGGTAAATTGTATGTGGCTGTTCTGTTTGTTGATGTGAGTGTGAAAGTCATCAATCTCGTCTGCATGTAGTGCTGTGTTGTGTCATCTACGTAGCGGAACCAAAAAGGTAGTGCATGTTTTTGTAAGTCGTGAGTACGGTGGCCGGTACGGGTCACCAGAAAATAATTTAGAAAACATAACAAACAATAAGAAAACATCACTCAAAATCATACTACACATTTCAAAATACTCACTACACATTTCAAAATACTCGCTACACATTTCAAAATACTCACTACACATTTCAAAATACTCACTACACATTACAAAATACTCACTACACATTTCAAAATACCCACTACACATTTCGAAATACTCACTACACATTTCAAAATTCTCGCTACACATTTCAAAATTCTCGCTACACATTTCAAAATACTCGCTACACATTCGTCCCAGTCTTACCCTGGTCTGGCCTGCCCACGGTCGTCATTAGTTTCCATCTACGAAACTGACATGACATCATAAAGTAAGCATATTAAATATATAATTCCGCATTTCACAAGGCAAACAAAATGGGACATTGGGATAATAGCATGAAAATATTGGCTCAACTCTAATCAGAAATTCTTCCAGGGTTTTGCTGGACTTGGTCGGGCAACAACATTAGTAGACGATCTACATATCGCCAGCAAATGTATTTGCAGTGGCTTTCGACACATGTTCGTACTTTAATAGCAAAAATTTGAGTATATGAATTTGCATTCGCTATGTCGCGTACGTACTTGTGTGATGCGTTACAAAAATAACAAGGAAACCAAAGAGGAAATTTACACATAGTGCTATAATTTGTTGCACAAGAAACGCCAAAGAAAATGAAAAGTTCGGTAATTTCGAGTAAACGCAATAAATTTAGAACTTCAATACCAGTCACGTCAATAAGTGCATTAGTTAAACTAATGATTGTCGAATATCACCAATACAAATACAATTACATGTAATCTGTAGATTGACCACTCATGTTGTGTTGTCTAAACAAGACCAAGAAATCCCTGGAAGAAATATTACTAATAGTTCATGTACGCGTATCGCATATTTTGATGCTATTGTGGCGATATGTTTGTCTATGTGCCGAATTCCACATAGACAACATATCGCCACAATATCATCAAAATATCCTTACGCGAACTGAACTGTTAGTAATATCGGAAGCGTATATTTATATTAGCTTTCTGCCATCACGTCAATTTCGTAGATGTAAACTAATGACGACCGTGGGCAGGCCAGACCAGGGTAAGACTGGGACGAATGTGTAGCGAGTATTTTGAAATGTGTAGTGAGTATTTTGAAATGTGTAGCGAGAATTTTGAAATGTGTAGCGAGAATTTTGAAATGTGTAGCGAGAATTTTGAAATGTGTAGCGAGAATTTTGAAATGTGTAGTGAGTATTTTGTAATGTGTAGTGAGTATTTTGAAATGTGTAGCGAGTATTTTGAAATGTGTAGCGAGTATTTTGAAATGTGTAGTGAGTATTTTGAAATGTGTAGCGAGTATTTTGAAATGTGTAGTGAGTATTTTGAAATGTGTAGTATGATTTTGAGTGATGTTTTCTTATTGTTTGTTATGTTTTCTAAATTATTTTCTGGTGACCCGTACCGGCCACAGTACGTGAGCGCCATTCCTCTATAGATTGCATTACAATTTCAGCAACTACAACAGAAACGGGTGAGCCCATTGCTGTTCCATGTAATTGTTTGTAGTGTGTACCTTTGTACTGGAAGTAAGTCGAGGTGAGGCAGAGCTCCAGTAGCACCATTTTGTTGGAGTAATCATTCCTGTCCATGACCACAGTCACGCGTCCTTTGACTGCTGGTAAAATGACGATGTTGTTGTCGTGTTTTAGTCGTTTGAGTGCTTGTTGTTCGTCCTTTGTCAAGTTGTTGTCACGTGTAGAGGACGATTGTAAAGCAGAGGCTACCCTGCTTCTGATCTCGTCCTTAGTTGTCTCTGACAAGTCTCTTTGATACGCTAGGACAGCCTCGACACTTGATACTATCGTCTCAGTCGGGATTCGTCTAGGTGTTATGGAATGTTTTGGTCCGTAAGATAGTAGTCGCGTTTCAGTTTCGTCAAATGAGCGGGAAGAAATATTCCTCACCCGCGAACATTTGACCATAAACAGATATTCAAACAAAAATATGGTAATCGTATTACACATATGTAGAATTCAATTTGAATTCTCTAAAGTTATTCTTTGAGATATGTCGAGTCGAGATAAGGATTCATGTTCTTGACATCCTGAGCTGACCATCCCATCTCAAATTGCCCCTTGACGCCGGGGGAAAGTTTGACAAATTTTAAATGTATTTTCGCTTCAGCCAGTCATTGGACAAAACTATAGGAGTTATCGTTCCAGATGTATTTTTACGGTGGCTCACAAGGGCCACCACACAAAATAAAAATATTAATACACACACAAAATAAAATTACACACAAAATACATTATACACACACAATATAAAAATACACACACAAAATAAAAATACACACACAAAATAAAAATACACACGCAAAATACATTATACACACACAAAATAAAAATGCACACACAAAATAAAAATACACACACAAAATAAAAATACACACACAAAATATGATCGCGGGCGCTTGCAGTGTCGGATGGTCTGACTATCATATTATCAGTTTGTAATCAGATATGTGTAATTCACTAATTGTGATTTTAACATGTGGTCGACTTGTCGTCGTATTTAACTGTTTCAACAGCGAAACATTTGAAATTACATTTGGAAAGGAATCGAAAGCAAGCTCTTGCATAATCTGGCATAATTATGTTTTGTGCCAACTGTGGTGCACAATCACTTGACGAAGCTTCTTTTTGTCACAAATGCGGTGTGCGTTTGGGAAGATTAACTTCTTTGCCAAAATGTTCTGAAGCGTCAATGACGAGTAGCGTCTCTTCAAGCAGTTGCCCTTCGAGCTCTGCAAGTCCGTTAACTTCAACTTCAAGTACCCCAAAGCTGTTTATAACAAATACAGGACAGGCTAGAGCAATAATGTCCTTTCAAAGGACAACACATTAACCTTAATTTTAACAAAATACGGGGAGCAATATCGTAAGCAACTTTGAAATAATTGATCACAGTGAAATCAGTGAATTTTGTTATATACTCTGGAAGTTGGAACCATTAGAACTTTGAAAACAAATGCGATCAATTACGAGCAATTCCGAGTAAGCCGACACTGCAAGCGCCCGCAATCATATTTTGTGTGTGTATTTTTATTTTGTGTGTGTATTTTTATTTTGCGTGTATTTTTATTTTGTGTGTGTACTTTTATTTTGTGTGTGTATTTTATTTTGTGTGTGTATTTTTGTGTGTGTTTTATTTTGTGTGTATTTTTATTTTGTGTGTGTATTAATATTTTTATTTTGTGTGGTGGCCCTTGTGAGCCACCGTATATTTTAGTTCAATGCCTAGCTGTTAATTTTGCCTATCGCATATCTTTATTAAAATATTTTATTTGCAAATACAAAATTTAAATGAATTCATATGTTTATGAATAGGAGCAAGGGTGCAAAATGTAGATATTTTACGATAAAAACTGTCAATGAACTGCTGTATCCTAACAACCATTTCCTACAGCTAATTATGTAGTGTCAAATTACCATGTTATTTATTTGCATAAATAATAAGTTAGATGGTATCAAATGGTGCCGAACAGTGCCGAGTGGTACCGGGATGTAACGATTATCGATCAAAAGTTGCGCGCGTCCGTTGGTTACGAAGCAAGTTTATTTATTTTTTAAATATCTTCGTTTTTGGAGCTTCAATGATGGCATTCATTTCCAATTCAATGACGGACGACGACACAAGTCTTCCCCTTGACTTGAACAAAACGTAAGTGTGCTATTTTGTGTATTTTGTTCGATGCAATGTTGCCAAAATGCAATTTGAACGCGACATCAAGTAATTGGACTGTTGGCCAACGTAGACAGTCATCATGCAGAGCACTTGGTTGCTAAACATATCATATTGACGTGCCAAAAGGCTAAAGGTTATAAAAATCAGGACATGTGACTGTGCCATAGCAACAACTGAACACATTGCAAATGTTTATTTTCCATATTGTAGCAGCGTCTTTCCATTGATGATGGAGGGTGCTAGTAGCACCACAATGAATGAAACTCAAGGTAGTGGTACGTATTGTTTTTGGACTGTACGATTGTTGACCATATTGGTTCATTGATAAATGTAATTCTTGTATGCAGTAAATCTTAGTCACAGTTAATCTGTTTCTCATTGACTTGCATCACCAACATGATCATTGATGAGCTTACAGGAGGTACCTTTGACAACATGCTTTCATATCGTTTTTGTTGATGAAATTTAGGAAGTATTTGCATACTTCTATCAAAATTACATGTCGGCTCTCATTGCCTATATTTGACAAAACATGTTCACTTTAGGTTTTTGTGATAATCCTTCTCAATAGCGAGGTTTGGTCAGAGGTTTTTGATCATTTTGCATTGCCATGCATGGCTAATAAGCATTCCTCATTGAGTTTCTAATGTTGGCATGTATTGTAATTGTTGTAGAAGTTGAACCAGATTCATCTTCTTCAACAGCTCTGGATTTTTTAGTGATCAAATTGCAACGCTTACAACACACATTCACATATCTTTGTAATTATTGTAGACTGTCATGGCTCATAGACTATAACAGCTAAAACTAAAACTTGAACCAGGCTTTATTTTGTTCTGCTGTGCAAATTTTTCTGTGTTCACTTACTGCAAAAACAATAGAATAAGCACAATGCTTAGAAATTTAAATAGCAGAACTACTGTAAAACATACATGTTAGCAATGCTACTACTTTTCACCCATTCTCATCGCTGTGTTACTGTTTGATTGCTTCGCTAATTGCTATGTTTCTCTGTGCAGTTACATGTTTTACGTCATTTTCATGTCAAAGTATCTTGTGCCTAGTGCATTTGTTTTCTTTGTGAAGACAGTAGACTTCTGCATGTTAGAAACTCTGGTCTAAATTTCTGTTAAACTGTATGTGAAGACTGGTGTGGTGCTAATAAAGACACTAACTACTTATGTTCATTTTAAACTGGGGATAAAGATCAATGAAGTTATGTGTATTTAAGCACTTAGGTTAATGTACAATAAATAGTGTATAATATATAGATACAGTTATAAACTAAGAAGTAAAAGTATTTCAATTAGACATATTCTGTTTGGTGGTATTTGCATACAGCCGGCAGTTGTAGTCTGTGATAAGAAGTTACCCACCAAAGGCTGCAATATATAGGTTGTCCTCTGAAGCCTTGTTGATTTTGAAGGAAGTTTTTCCCTTGGATATGTACTTCACTTAAGTGCATTTATTAATGGTTGCTGAATATATATTTGTCCCTATAGTGCTCGTTTAAAGAGTCAAACAGCTGCCAAAAGGCCAAGCTGTTTAAGGGTAGTGGGCTTAATACGTCCAGCTTTGTGACAAAGATCTTAACCGTGTATGTATTGATATTTTAATCATGCAGCAAAGTACTCTGACGTTCACACCCTGAAAGAACATGAAATGGTGAGCTATTTGCGTGAAATTGTTTTGGCTGGTCAGTTTTTGCACATGGCTTTTGATCGTGTTTACATTTTGACTCTACGCTTGCCATAATTTCTGTAGAAAATCTCAGATTTGAGGAAAGAAAATTTTGAGCTGAAGCTGAGAATTTACTTCCTTGAAGAAAAACTACAGCAATCCCAAAGGGATGACGATGAAGATGATGCCTTTAAAATGGTGTGTTTCCACAAGTGAAGTGTGGTATTAGTTTCCTTAAATCTATCTTTTTGGTCCTGAGAAGATTAGCCTCTATGTTTCTTGAAAATTTTTCGCCCGTAAAGGTTAAAGAAATTTGCAATAGGCTTGTACTCATCGGCTTCGTTTGGACTAAAATTTAACCAAGAATGGTTTTTTAGAACAAGTTAGTCATATACGTAAATAGGGACACATTAAGGTTTTTTGGGCCCTCCATGTCATTGTTTTACGCTTCGCTTGCGGGTTTTATTCTTGGCCCATATATCTCGGCAGTTGCAGTTGTGTTTATCTATGAATGAAAAGGCGCAACGCACGGAGCTTTAGGTTTTCAATCAGTCGAAGCGTGAGAGTGATGTGACTCCAATGACTTTTCAATAGTGAAATATTGTCTACCTGCATTGGCGTACAGATTTTCACTTCAAACAAGAAATTCTTTGCGATGACGATTAACTATACAGCAAACATTTGTTTTCATATTATATTATTGTTTCTCAAATTAAATCTTATTGCCAAAATAAAAACATTCGGGCCCAAAAAATCTGGAGCCCCAAAAATTTTTGGGCCCCCTGGGCACGGGCCCAGAGGGCCCATTGGTTAATGCTGCACTGCCTGTATATAACATTCTTCAACAGCACATCAGCAGTTTAAGCTTGATGCTACAATAAGCAACATTCAACAGCAATATAGAATGAAAATCAACAATTTTATTACATCATGTTAGCTGTTGTTGAAAGTTGTGTCATCTTTTATACAATTTAGAACATTGAGTTGAAAATTGAGATCGAAAAACTGAAGAATGAGCTCAACGAGAAACGAAAGTTGTTGTCAAAAGCATCGTAAGTAGACAAAGACGTCTTTTTTGGTAATTCTCCCGAAGATAAGATGGTGTGTTTTTTTTCGCGAAAAATTGCGATTGTCAAGGTTTACATTTTTTATGTATATTTTCAAAGAACTGTAAATAATAAATAAAAGGGGATCTCCCTAATTCTCCTCCATTTTGTGGATTGCCATTTATATGATAGAACCGATCCCAATCTTATCTTAAATTCTGTAATCATTCACAAAATAGTCGACGACAATGTGATCTTTCTATTGTTTGAACAGGACTGCCGTCGATAGCTTGGATCGAAATCACCAAGAACAAATAAAAAAGGTAAAGTCTTTTCGAGTCTTTACAACCGTCCCTGCCCCACCTGCACGGGTAACAAGTAATTTTATTACATGGCAAGCTTCGCTTACGGCAAAATGGCGCGCTTTGATTGGCTCGGAACATTTTTGCCTGTCCATTATTTTCTCGTAATCGACCACGGTCCAAAACGCGTACTTTTACAGTCAAATGTAAACAAACTTTGTAAAGCATAAACAGCAAAAGCAAAAACGAAACAAAAAACCATTTACGAATGTGATTCGAATGAAAAACACTTGGAAAACAGTTTAACTATCAAGACGATACAATTTGAAACGATTTCACAAGTTTCGTTTCAGGTCGAATAATGCCATATAATAAACTTTCAATAACCTCGCTTTCTCGGTCTTTACTGAGAAATATCGGACCTCTGTCTTTTTGTAGAAACCTCGCCCTACGGGCTCGGTCTGTACAAAAACACCTCGGTCCGATATTTCTCCGTAAAGACCTCGCGCTTGGTTATTAAGGGCTTAGTGTTAAAGGTATGCTTCCTGTTCTACGCAGATACGTAGCATGACTGATTTCGGCTAACGTTATTTCACCGAGCTCAAGGTCTTGAATATTTAATTTGAAATAATTAGCACCGTAAACAGGTGTTTGCATATTTGGTGTCATTCTGGCATTTCTGGCTATATTAACTTGGGATGTATTGCAAATTTGAGTCTCACCGAACATTTATAGCAAGTTGCACATAAATAAGGAGAACACCTTTCACACATTGACGAAACATGGGTGAAAAATTTTTGTGGCTAGTTGTTTTTTTGTTGTTTGAAAAAATGTAGCATTCGATATTTTTTGCGCGGTCGTCAGTGCATTCTGAAAAGAACTACTTTGTGACTATAGTCTACGGAAATACGGAAAAGTCCGTTCGCCGAATATTTGTGTGTCAACTGTTCTTTTCAGAAACACTAGGCAATAGTTGTTATAATTTTTACAGTGTCATTTTTGTGTATACCTCGTAGTTATAGTGCGCTTTTAGTAACTGTGACCTAATCAGAGCGCGCGTAAAATTTTCGATTCTCACTTTCTGTAAAAACAATACATTTCTAAAGGAAGATATAATGATAATGATCAGAAATTCATTTAGCACGACCAAACTAGCAGACGGGCAACGCCACTCTCTAGTTTGTACGAAGACTTCCCTTTATTCAAGATCTTGTATTAGCTTATGTTTTGACTTAGATCATTTAATGTATGCACAACTTTAATAATACCTACATCGACAATTTTCATTTAACTATGCAAATTTGTGTGATGAGAAGTTTTTAATTTCTCTTCATTAAATTTTCATTTTGTACAGCTTAGAGACCAGCACAACCGCGATCTCGACGCACAAAAACAAAATTATGAGAAAAAGCTTCAAGAGAACGAAGAGGTACGTTATAAAAATTGCTCGCACCCAATAGACACCTCGGGAGTATTTGTTGAGGAAGCAGCCGATCGATTTGTGTATTTACGCATCATTTATGACGTGAATTGTAACATTATTTTGACATTTTATTTGTTTACTGCATCTCGTATAACTCACATTATATAAGTTTAACTGTCGTCATTGGATGGCACGGCCTTTACCTAAGTAACTGGTTTTGGAAAAAGAGATCGCTTGTGTTTGCTACTCGGATAGCATTCTTTAAAATGTTCTTTTCGTTTGATTCATTCGTTTGATCCATAACTACCGCTCCTCATTGTCTGTTTGTTATCATGTCTACTTGGAGATCTACTTTGAATGGTTTAGTGGCGGAGAGGAGTATGTTTCTGTGTGTGTGTGGGGTGGTTCTAGTTTGAATTAGACTTTGATGGTTACTTGTTTCTTTGGCATGTCAGAGTTTTGTTAATTTATATTTTTATGATTTTTGAAAGTGTGCTCCATTAAAAACTAATCACAATTTCTTTTGCTTAATTAGTGTTTTATAAGTAAATTGGCACCTCTCTGGCAACCCCTCTCTCCTTTACACCCTCCCCCTTTACTCCCCTTCTCCCTTCACTCCCCCTTCTTCACACCCCTCCCCCTCCTTCACACCCCTCCCCTAAATCCATCCTTGACGTTAAAAATGATGGATGATTAAGCAACTAACCTGTCGAATGCCTTTAACTAGTCTCTAGAGATTGCTATCATCTTTAGTACTTGGTTTGTTAGCAAAAACTTGGATGCTTAATTCGAAAGATGGTTCAATTCATGATTCATGTTTATATTCACCAAATGATGCGCATAAACCGATAGCTATTAATGCAAAGTTTCATGTGTCCAATATTGTCGTCAGGGGTTCTTACTTTCGGAAAATATAATAGCACGACAATGACAAAAACACAACAGTTTTCATGCTAGTAACGAAACCCCGTTTCTGTTTAGTATCCAAAGTACAACTGAGGTTTGTCGCCCCTGAGACCTTTCTTCCTATAGATACTGGTCTCTGTGATCAATCTCTCATAAATCACTTTTCTTTGTGTAGGCAATGAAATCAGCAAATGCTCTGTCGGAACAGTTGAGGGAGAAATTGGAAGAGCTGAGGGAAAAATTGGTATTGAATAATAAGTGTTGTATTTTAAATCCGACCGTTCCTTAATATCCAGCTGAAATTTAAACTTAGAAAATCAATCGTTAAAGCTGGATAGGACTTATGAATTTGATGGAATTGAGCATTTTGGTTGCAGGGCAAATGTAAACTTTGTGTATTAAGCATCTCCGTACGCTGCATTTAGTTGTACGATAACCTTTCCAGCCGACAATTTGTAGAAGTATAAGATAAAACACACTCCAAGAATACTCATAAATGAAGTACTTATGTTAAATAGATGGAGGCGGAAAGAACCAATCGGCAAATAAAAGAGGGCTCTGGTGCAACGTCGATTGAAGCCACCGAAGTGCAGGTTACTGAGCGTATTTTGTTCTAGGCAATGTACTATTACATAAAAGTGTAGATTTTTGAATGGTCTCATCAAAACAAACGAGTATTTTGACAGGGCTAGAAAAGCAACTGAGCCGTGGCCACTTAAGGCTGATTTCCACTCAGTGCAAATTGTCGCGCGATCGACTTTTTCAGATCACTTTTTTTTTCAATTGTAAGCTCTGAACCAGAACAGTTTCACATTGCTACACACAATTCAAACGAAAGTGATCGCAAAAAGTCGATCGCGCGACCATTTGCCCTGAATGAAAATCAACCTTTATGTACAGACCAATATTTTTTCTATATAGTGCCTAGAAATACCATTTGTGGCGTTATACTGTTTTTTAGTCCATGTGAAACGCTATGTAGGTATGCTCAAATTGCATCATCTTGAATTTGGCTACACGAGTGTTAGATATTGAGATCTTCGGTAGCCGCACTCCGTGCAAGCGCATGAAGCTAACTTCAAACCGTAGTCACTAGAACATTATGAAATTTTAAGTCCTTCCGTGACTTTTTCCACACTTTACTAAATAGAATTTTCAACCAATCGCATTTGAATGCAAAGTATAAAGGACCTCGGTAGCTACTTCTCACCCAGCAGGTGTGCTGCCTGCAAAAAATAACTATACACGCTGGCAACACTGATATGTATATTACACTGGATAACGCATCCATGTATAAAATATAGTAAGATAATTGAAGCTGGAAGTTGGCTCATCTGATTATGACCTTCGTGGGGGGTATCGGTCCCACTGTAATATACTTTTGTATTACAGAATCACACTTTTTGCGTTTTTATTATACAAAAGTATAGTAAATTGGGACTGATACAACCCCCATGAATTGATGTCATTTCATCGTTTTTAAGGGGGGAGGGTCACATTTCAGAATGTATGTTTGGAAAGAAATGTCGAGGGAAGAGTCTGAAGAGGTTTTTGTCCATTCAGAATTGATGTCAGTTCATCTTTCTAAGGGGAGAGGGTCACATTTCATGATGTATGTTTGGAAAGAAATGACAAGGAAAGAATCTGAAGACGTTCTTGTCTGTTTAGATTTGAAATTAGCTCGATTTTTCTAGTTTGAAGAAAACATTCATAGAATTTGAAGAAAACATTCATAGAATTTGAAGAAAACATTCATAGATTTGGAAGAAAACATTCAGTTCAATGCAGGGTCGTAGCGTGACATTTTGAACTGGAGAGGGGGTGGGGTGGGGGTGTAAAGCTCAAATTTACCGACGAACACCAGGTACTTTGAATGCATTTCGTGAAATTATAAATTGAGTTGATGCAATATCATGCCTAATGAATTGGTAACATACAAAACTTATTTTGGGAAGAGAAAGGAAGATTATTTATTATGAAGAATCGGCTCAGGACCTGAAAAAATCAGGTGACTCAACGGGATTCGAACCCATGACCTGCGGTGCCGGTGCAGTGCTCTGACCAACTGAGCTATGAAGTCATACATGTATGACTTCATAGCTCTGTATGACTTCATACTATGTATGACTTCATAGCTATGTATGACTTCATAGCTCAGTTGGTCAGAGCACTGCACCGGCACCGCAGAGGTCATGGGTTCGAATCCCGTTGAGTCACCTGATCTTTCAGGTCCTGAGATGATTGCTTAAATTGTCCAGCAAAGTGCGAAGATCATATCTTCATTTAACTTCAAACACCGCACTGCATAAAACATTCATAAGAATCGGTTTGTTAATTCAGAAGTGGTATGAAACTCGTATCATTTCCGACAAATGTTGGGTTGCACCGAACACCATTCTAAAGCTGGGAGGTGTAGCAACCCTACACCTCCCCAGTATGCTACGCCACTGGATGATTATTGAACAGTCAGGCACGTAGCCAGAGGGATTATTGGCGAGGGGGGACAATATTCATATATTTATTTTATCATCCGTAAAAACAATGGATTTCAAAACAAACTAACACGGCATGTCATACATGTATAAATACCCCCCTGTTATTGTTTTGGCTTCGTGCCTGAAAACAATTTACCTGGATTGTTTATGAACCATTAATCTTTTTGCTTTATAAGCCATTTCAAGAATCTTTTACGAAGCATTTTGTACGATTTTCCTGTTTTTATTTCTGTATGTTTAGGCACAATTACAAGCAAGACTTCGAGAGAAAGAAAGGTAATAATTAAAATTTGAAATTTAACCAACCCCATGCTCCTGCTGGAGCCAAAGTCCTTACTTTTGATTGTGAACTGGAAATGACTCTCCTTGTTTGCACCACTGAACTATTTTTGCTTTAAACATCCTCGCGATAGATTTGTCGAATTGTCATTTTCGAAACATCTTGTTGAATTATTTGTCCAATCATACTGGTGGAAACTCGAGAAAAAAAGTTGGAGGCAGGATTAGAGGAGGGTTGTGAACAATGAGTCAAATGAGTTTGGGAAACGTCCTTGATACTTGACTCTTTAATAATTGTTCTCAATACTTAAGAATCATTGGGTGGAGGCGGGGAGGGGGTAGGCTACTGATCTCTCTTCTCGTCCACCTCCCCCTCCGTGTTTTTTCAACTGTCTTTTCAATTATTATTATCGTTTTCCATTACACGATTATCTGTGTCCATATTTACTCCTCGACACTCTTTGAAAAAGAATCGACAACCTCTCGCTTATCTTTAGGATCATAGACGAGCTGAGATCGGCTGTCGACATTCGAGAGAGTCGTGTGAAGGTATTGTCATGTTTGGTATTTTACATAATGGAAGTTTAACAATGAGTTTTCGATGCCAACTCATCATTTGTAAATAAGCTATTACCTATCGTAACCCCTCATAAGCAGATAGCTGGACATGGGAGTCCGCTTACTCCTGTACGCAAGATATGCGTGTCTGGGTTAAGAAATGCAACTTATGGGTAATGTCCGCTGTACATTAAAGTGCCTATATCAGTCAGGGGAAACAACTTCTTTGGATTATCAAATCGAACTTAAGAACATCTACAATATATTTGATAGGTCGAGCATTTTATCTTTTCGTGCCTAGAAGTACGTGACTTCACAACGGAAGTGACGTAAAAAGGAGAAAACTCTCGTTTCGCTAAGTGGAAACACCGTAAAATAATATCGAATTTCAGTGGGAAATGGCGTCCAAACAGTTTTGCATTTTAAATGTTTTCTTTAATTATTCGCTCAAACGTTGTCAACTTAAATTCATGTTGCAGTTTTTTATGAAGATTTGCTAAAACAGGTTTATTTTTTACCATAAACCTGTGTAACCAAGCCATATCTTTAATGAAGCTATGCAAGTTGCTCTTTTTACGTCACTTCCGGTGCTGAGTCACCTACTTCTAGGCGAGAAAATTTTCGTCGTCTCAAATATATTGCAAGTATTTTTGAAGTCGATTTAACTATTTAAGGAAGTTATTTCTCCGAGCCTGATATAGCCGCTTTAAATGACTGGGTCAACAAATGTGATTTGAGGGGAAAAAATGAATATATACTCTGCGGAAGCTTCTTTGTTTTCATAAAGCTTGTCTACTTAAGATTACTACTTAACACCAAAAGAGAAGTGTCGAGTTCCACACGTACATACATACTGTATACATACAACTATAGAAGTGTCATACAGCTATAGAAGTGTCAAGTTCCACACGTACATACATACTGTATACATACAGCTATAGAAGTGTCAAGTTCCACACGTACATACATACTGTATACATACAGCTATAGAAGTGTCGAGGTCCACATGTACATACATACTGTATACATACAACTATAGAAGTGTCGAGTTCCACATGTACATACATACTGTATACATACAGCTATAGAAGTGTCAAGTTCCACACGTACATACATACTGTATACATACAGCTAATAAGATCAGAACTTCTTGTCGTTTCAAGCGAAAGGCCATTCGTCAAAGGATTCGTCCAAAGCATATTCACCGTTATTTAAGTCGTTTGACGAAGCGCCTTTGCGGTCGAGTTATTTTAGGCAACGGTAGGTCGACATGATATCGATGCCTTAACATCCTTTAACATCATTCAAATGAAGATTTACATTATTTCGTATGTAATTCTTGTAAGAGAAGTTTGCGAGCGTCCAGTGATGTTGACATAATGACACCATGACTAAAATACCCGATGATTGGTTCAAGTGTATGTCTACGCGAGCCAATAGCAGAATAGTTTTTCACATGTGTTTTTATGAAAATAATGTATTGAAGACGAATTGTTTTTGCATACTTCAGCTGATGTGATAATTTGTGCAACTGTTTAGCCGGTAACGAAAGCAGACCATCCCGAGATTGCCCAAGAGGTATTACGTTACATGTATTTGATTGACAAAGCAGGCTTCCATGCTTAAGGCAGGATTCACGAGCAATTATGGCCTTTGAGATTGCTCTTACGGATGCTGTCTTTTCGGGCTGTGAAGAAAGCTTCAGGAAGGGTAATACATGTTGGCAGGTTTCTTAGTCAGGGCATACCTGATGTCCTCTCTGGTAGTTTATACATGTTGGCAGGTTTCTTAGTCAGGGTATACCTGATGTCCTCTCAGGTAGTTTATACATGTTGGCAGGCTTCTTAGTCAAGGCATACCAGATGTCCTCTCAGGCAGTTTATACTTGTTGGCAAGTTTCTTAGTCAGGGCATACCAGATGTCCTCTCAGGTAGTTTATACATGTTGGCAGGCTTCTTAGTCAAGGCATACCAGATGTCCTCTCAGGCAGTTTATACTTGTTGGCAAGTTTCTTAGTCAGGGCATACCAGATGTCCTCTCAGGTAGTTTATACATGTTGGCAGGTTTCTTAGTCAGGGCATACCAGATGTCCTCTCAGGTAGTTTATACATGTTGGCAGGTTTCTTAGTCAGGGCATACCAGATGTCCTCTCAGGTAGTTTATACATGTTGGCAGGTTTCTTAGTCAGGGTATACCTGATATCCTATCAGGTAGTTTATACATGTTGGCAGGTTTCTTAGTCAGGGATACCTGATGTCCTCTCAGGTAGTTTATACATGTTGGCAGGTTTCTTAGTCAGGGCGTACCTGATGTCCTCTCAGGTAGTTTATACATGTTGGCAGGTTTCTTAGTCAGGGCATACCTGATGTCCTCTCAGGCAGTTTATAGTTTCTTAGTCAGGGCATACCTGATGTCCTCTCAGGCAGTTTATACTTGTTGGCAAGTTTCTTAGTCAGGGCATACCCGATGTGCTCTCGGGCAGTTAGGTAATTCAGACTCTTAAACTAAAATAAAATCAAGGCAGACTACCCAGATCATTACTGTGGCAGATTTTTAGACAGTTGGGTAAATTATGGTAGCAGGTGATTGAGATGGATAGGCTACTGAGACAGGCGGCTAGAAATGTGTTTTCAGGAGTATTTTCTGTTTGTTTTGTTTTTCAGTTGATGTCTAAATGCCTTCTGGTAGAATCATTAACCGTTGGTATATTTACATGGACATACCACCCTATTCAAATTAGCTTAACATTATGGCGCCATACTTGTATGTGGTAAATTAATTTGGTGATGTCATACAATAGTCATACAATGTTATTCCACCGAAGTCCACCCCTTTGAACATCGAGGTAGTTTTTCATAGATCAGTGTGTACCCAGCGTAGATAATTTTCCAAGAGCATCAGGCAAAGATACTTTGTTTTCAACGTCTCGAAACCAGTATTGTTCGTAGATTAATTCGTTTATAACCGCTTTGTTGACGGTTTTTGCATTGTGAATTTAGATAAAAGGACTGACGCTGAAGGTCGCAGATCAAGATGCACAAATCCAGGCTTGTACATTATTACACTTGAATAAATTGATATGCTGTGAGCAACTGAACGGTTTATGTTGATTTAGAACCTGAACGAGGAACTGAAAAAGTCGGAAACATCAGTAAAAGTATGTCTTTCAATGGAATGTTTGCGCAAAACGTACACTTTGTACCTAGAAATTTGTGACTCGGCACCGGAAGTGACGTACATTGGAGAACACGCTTGCTTTGTAAATTGTAAACACCGTATGATATAGATTTTTAGTGGCAAATAGCGTTCGAACAGCTCTGCCTTTTAAGCGTATGTTTACTATAGACCTGACTGATGAAAGCTATATCTTCAATGCATGTGTTTTCCGGTGTACGTCACTTCTGGTGCTGAGTCATCAACTTCCAGGCAAGAAAAGCCTATCAATAATACATTTTCGTCCAATGGAATATTTGCAAATGTTCTTAAAATTGAGTTGACTATCTAAAGAAGTAATTTCCTTGACCCTGATATGTGGATCATGAACTGTTCTCACGAATGCTGGATAGTACTATTGCAAGGAAGTCTATGATGATGATATCAATTATAGCAAAGTTTCATCTTCGTCAAGAAACTATTCCCATCATTTAAACACTCTTGAAAAGTCAATATCCAGCGCTATTTGTGCTGACGGCTGATACGCGAATCTAATTGTCTTTAGGAATTAAGAAGCCTTTTGCAAGACAGTGATCGTAAATTTGATTTGGCTTCACACGAAGCGATTTCAACAGCGCAGGTTCGTAACGTGGGCTCATAGCGCGCTTTCATCCTTTGAACTAATTAGTGTTTGTTCTTCTTCGCCTTTGAAATTTGCAGAAGTTAAACGAGAAACTTCGTCTGAAACAAACTGAGGTAAGCAATATCTTAAAGTTCATCAATATGATGAAATAGAGGAAGGCTGGCCTTGGAATTTACGAATTTGCCAACAAGACAAGAATATCTTGACTATCCACATAGAATTATTTTGATAACTCGGCAAAGTGTACTTTAAACAATAGATTTCAATAGAACTTTGTTCTTCTTATCATGCATACACGAATTTTACCTCCACACACACAGACAATTATTAATGTTCCTACGGTCACGACCTTGTCTACCCAGCTGAATATATTTTGACTACCCACATAAGAATACATTGATTACTCGTGTATGCATGCACATGAATATTTTGCACGGCAGGGGGTAGCTGTATGTTAAGTCTTTTTCAGATTGAACCAGGGTCTTGATCTGCTGCATTTTGGAATCTTTTCATGTACTCCGGATGCGTCAAAATAATTGCATTGTCAACTCACTGTGCTCATTAGATCGAGTTAAGCCTTTAGTATTTTATTGTGTACGTGGAACAATTGACTTTCATAAGCTTCTGTTGCTGTGATCGTTTGACAACTTCAAGTCCAGAATGGACGAATGAAAAATATGCAAGAACGGCACTTTAATGTTCACTTATCTAATAACTTATCGCACAGCAGTTTCGAAGCATGTCGCTGAATGCGGACAATGAAGAGATGCGCGCTTTTATTCATCACATTGTGGCGTTGCATTTCTTGCAGCTTGACGAGATGCAGGAGAAGTTCCGTGCACTTCAAGAGAATTTGGAGAAAGCCCAGGATATCGTTGACGCTGCCAGTCTAAAAGATGTCGAGGTGAGGAATTCGAATTTTGATTGGAAAAGAATGTGGTTAGGACCAGATGCATCATGGGATTATGTGCAGTGTACCTTTTCTCACGATGCCCGCGTAAAACTGACCACTGTTCCTTTACATTTGAACTTTCGACTCGTTTCAATACGTCAAAATCACTTCGCGCTTTGCTGAATTAATCACTGCTAAACGGAATATATATAGCTCTTGGCGATTCTCTGAAATAGGGCTTCAATGGAAACAGCTTCTCGACTACTTGTTTGTTGTCTTATAACATGTTAATATGTCTATTTCAGTTCAAATTGAGATTATTGGATGTAGTATTTCGTGTTTTTTTTTTAACTTTGCCATTTCCAAGTTAAAAGAATGCGGCACTTGTTAAATAGATGAAGAAAACGTCAATTTTTGTGGGTCTCACTCGTAATGTAGGACATTTAACAATTATTGGATGAGGCTGAGCATGACATCACGAATTTTTCAGACCGAGGTCAACGGTATCTCCCTAAGCAAAGCTAAGACGCATAACGTTGACCGAGGTCTGAATAATTTTAATGTGCGAAAACCGAAGTCAATAATTGTTTTATTATACATGCAGAAGCTTTAAAACTATTTTGTGCGGAAGCCGCAAATTTTCAGTGCTTCGACAAACAAAAATTTTTGCTGTTTGCTATCATATTTTTCTCGTAAATACTCGAGGAAAACTTTCCCGACTGACAGTGTAATCTTTCCGTTTATTTTTACGTCTTCATACTCAATAATTCGAGCGAAAACAGTTGGTAAAACGCTTTCAAATTTCGCACAATTTTTTCGTTTACAATTTTCTCACGAACAATTACGTCACCTAAAGATAATTTTCAATATTTTGTAGGTGGCAAGATATTGAGAATTGTCTGTATGCTCTTAGCCAATCGCAATCGAGGTCGCATCAACATTTTATAATGTTTGCCCTTTATACGTATCTCTGAGCTAGAAGGGTGGTGAAAAAGTATATCTGAATATTTTTTTATGTAAGTTACCCAAATACCCCTTATGCATCCCTGAAATGTCTTCATTTTTCGTCTGAGCTTGAAACCAAAACTCAGAATTTTGGTGTGAGTGTCATCTACTGTGATGTCACGGGGGGGAATCGCCCTCAAATTAAGGTTAGAACTCGAACCCTCTGTATGACACTTTGTGGCTGTTTGCGTAAAGTGCACGTTGTTCAAAAGCATTTTTTGCATATGATAGCACATCATCAATGGAGGTCCAAAATGTGATTTATGACAATACATGACCTTACTTTTACATTTTAAGCCTTTGCCTTCACTTGCGATATAAGCATAAGTTTAAGTATCCTCACTTGCAGTAAACTGCATTACGCCCGCGAGTATAAGCATAAATATGCGTAAGAAAAACGAAGAGTTTTGATAACCTTGTTTAGTTATGCTGAGGTTGCAAGGGAGGACCATGCTTTACTATTGTCTGTCTAAGTATCTATTAAGTCTGGTCCTCGCTTGCAACAGAAGTATTGGCATAGGCACAAATGTCCTCACTAGCAACAAACTGCACTAAGCATAAGCATAAGCGTGAACAAGATAATGGAGAGAGTTCTGATAATCTTTTTCTCATGCTTATGCTTTTGCCGAATGTTAGGAAGAGGCTTGGTATCTGAAAATTAGAGGAACGACGTATATTGCACATTAACTTCTAAAATATTTGATGTATTTCTAACTGGAAAGCTTTGAAAATTTTCCTTTTGATATTGTTAGGCTTTTGAGGAAAAGTCTAAAGCGTTGATGGCCAAAGATGCATTGATTGCCGAGCTTCAAGGAAATCTGAAGGAGAAAGAAATGGAAAATGACGTTAGTGTTTTCAATGCACAAAATTGATATTAAAAATTTTTCTAGTTGTGTTAGATTTTATTTGTCTGTCAATCAGTACTTTTTTATTTGCCTTTCGCATGTGGGAGGCGACAACTGCGATTGCTCAAAGACTTTTATCTGTTTTGTATTTTGTAGCATCTCAGTCGCTCATTGGCTCGCAAAGATATGGAATTGAAGGTAATGGTAGATATCATACGTAGGCTTGCTTCCTATTGTTTTTTGATTGGCTAATTGCTTACTTACGAGCGTCTTGATTGGTTACATCGATCACACACAAGCAGCAGATTATTCGGTTACCTACAAACGTTTATTCTGCATCAGAATTTGCATTGTCGATGTCTTGCATCAAAACTTCATTCGCCTTTACAATTTTGCAATATCTCTGATCTAGGCCGTAGCTAGGCGATAATCGGAGGGGGGGGGGCTGGGTTTCTTCATATATTCAATTGTGCCTGAGTGGTTTCTTTAGAAAGTGTTTGACTCTCTAAAGAAATCAGTCTGGGTCAACGGAGTATATGAATAAACGTCCCCCCCCTCCCCCAAGTGACGTTTCAGCTACGCCCTTGTCGCTGATACCCAGTTGAGAGTATCTTGACAATATAGACTTGAAATATTCAACCGACTACATTGTGGGTAAGAAATTTCTCGAGAATACTTAAAGACCAAAGTCGGATGAACGCAATTAGTTGTAAAGTGTTGCAAAGCTCAAATGTATTTATAGCAACGCATTTCGGCATTCCCTGGACCCGCTACTGCTTTATGCTGTGTTAAAATAAAAATCGTGTCAATCGCTGCGCTAAGTTTTTACGAGACAAATGCATTCTTTTTATCTGCGGTGCAATAAAATTTTAGTCCAATCTTTTTGAAATTAAAACTAGTCGCGCGTATTTTACAATATTTGATCCTTCTGGAGTAAAAAGATAGATGTTGGTATTGAACAGGCATTAAGATATAAAGTTTTTACTTGGACACTTTTTAATCCGCTAACTTTTATTCCAACGAGTGTCAGTTTGTTTCCTTATCGTTCCAGGAATGCCAAAGCACTCATTTTTTTGCTTTCAAGCATTCAGTGTGAGCGATAGAATTAATATAATTTCTATATTTTTCATTCTAAGAATCGCTCCGTATTTTCAGTGAAAGTTGAATGAATTTTTGCCAAAATCAACGAACAGACGCATTACTGCCATTATGTGTGTTAAGCATAGAGTAAATTTGAATTCTTTCTGTAAAGGACACATGTTTTCATTTACGACATATTCATGATTAATAAGGACTCAAGTGTGTGCAAGAAAGTAAAAAAATAACCCAACTTAGTTTAAAGCCTGCTATTTACTGTAGCAGTGTCGTGCATTAAAAACATTTTGCGAAACAGTTGTAAATTAATACAACCAAAGGTCCAGATGATCGAGTAGTGATCGCATATCTCTGTTGTTTGTGTTTGGAGATGTGCATGAGCAATAAAGAACCGCGGGCTCAATTTCTTGTCCACGAGCCGTGATTCAATCATTTATTGGAATATTTCAGAGAATCGCAGAGTCTCAAGAATCCAAACAAGATGATATCGATAAAGTTTATGAAAAAGAAAAAGAATTAACGGTTTGTGGATCTTTGTTTTTGTTTAATCTGTGATAAAAGGGGGGATTTCAGCAATGTTTCCCAATTCTTATTGTAGTTATTGTGTAAGGCATTTATGATTTAACGCGCGCGGTGATTGGTCATAGCTGAGTTTGCATTAGCCTGCGCAAATCGCTCTCTGCTCTGTCAATTAGATCAAGGAAAGAGAATTTGCAAATCAATCATGAATACATGTTGGAGGAATAACTAAAATATTTTTTTTAAATTTTTATGTTTCGCATTGTTGTTATTTTATAATTTTCAAGAAATAAAAGATGTTTTTCGTACTCGCACAGGCTTATGCAAACCTTGGAGACGTTTGTCGTAACTTTCGATCTTTTATGAAGTAAAACAAATTCCGAAGACACAAGACATCTTGAGATTACAAAATATGAATCAGAACAAGACGCGAAGTGAACTGTAAATTTTCGACTTTATTTCAAAGTCATCCTCCGACATCCTCCGACATCCTCCGACATCCTCAGACATCCTTCACCTTTCGTCGTGTTTTGATTCATATTTTGTAATCTCAAGAAGTCTTGTGTCTTCGGAATTTGTTTTTTACTTTATTTTTTAAATTGTCGGCTGGACGCGGTTCTCGATCTTCTATCTTCGATCTTTGCTCTCCCAAAGGTCTCCTCGGTTTGCATAAGCCTGTGCAAACACAATAAACACTTTTATTATTCACTATGTGAGCATTCTCGGCCGTGATTGGTCAACTACCTGCAGATAATTCTCGATATCTGCAGGTTATGACGTCATAGCCTACAGATAATAGTTTCTACAAATATGGACGCCATTAAAAGCCGGTTTTGAAAACAAATTAAACTACAGCGATGTTTGCCACAGTTTCTAAAAAGGATGTGAAAGCTTTTAAAGGAAAAGGATGCGGAAAACACTAAAAAAGCGGCGAAGCTTGCTTTGAACACATTTACAACATATTTAAAGGAGACGAACTTGAATAAACCGTCTGACAAACACAAATTAGCGAAAGTTTGAAAAATGTTTTATATTGATATGTTTTGATAATACTTCAGTGAATGATAAAACAATTATTGAATTCGTTTTTCGCATGATATCAAGAATTATTCAGACCTCAGCTTCGCTTCGGCAGATAACAATGACATCGGTCTGAATAATTCTTGATATCATGCTCAACCTCACCCAATAATTGCTTAATATTTGTTGTGTTTTTATGTTTATATAAGCTTTGTCAATATGTTCACAATTTTGTGTAAGCATCAAGTTCTTACATAATCCAATCAAAACTTAGCTACTTTGATCAGAAGTTTGAAATTTGAATGCACGATTCGTGACATTTGAAGTGAATATCTATTGTTTTATGGTCAAAGTGACGTAAAATGAACTGTGAACGTTTTTGGTTATTTGAAAGTTTTCGTTTAGACCCTGTCTGAAGAATTAGCGGAGACAAAAAGCAAGTTGCGCACAGTCTCCGATGAATTCGACGAACGGTTACAAAAACTCAAATCTGACCACGAAAATCAGCTGACTTGTAAAGATCATGTAATACAACGCATCACGGAAACACTGAAAGATAAAGAGAGCATCATCCAGGTAAAAACATATCATTATAGGTGTGCAAACTCCAGTGGGGGGGGAGGGGTGTCATTGTCGCCTTCACTTCACTGTGCATCTCATGTATATGATATCGAACAGTAGCGTGTCCAGCTTGCAAGTTTTGGTCCTGCTGTGTAAATTTCAAAACATCTTATTGTGAACATTCGACTCTGGACAGCTTATTGCAATAATACGAATTGCCATTGTAAAATATAATGTAGTGACGATGTAATATAATGCGCGACGAAACGTCAATAAAATTCTTACACTGCATTATATTTTATAAATGGCAGTTCATAATATTGCAGTAAGCTGGGCTCTAATGTTCACAATAAGTTTGCGTTTTCCGCCTGGATAATATATCGCCACTTCATTCGTTTCTTTGTAAATATATTGTTTTCACGGTACCGCGAATGATCTGACAAATGCCTAGGGATTCAAATGAATTCTAGTGGTTTCAGGAGGAGGTGTTGGATAGATGCTAAGTGTTTAATAGAGAGAGGCGTTTATATCATTTACTATCTATATATCAAGACTAAATATACAGTTCTTGAGCCCAAACGACGACCCACTATTATGATATTATAATTTAAATGAAGTGGGTGAGCGTCTTTTGGAGACGGTCGTTTACAAGGGAGAAAGGTGTCGAAGACAAACTCACTCTTCAAGAGTGGGGGAGAGGGGGCGTTTATCGGATACTTCACGGTATGTGAACAGAGAAAATTTTGTATAGCAGGATTAAATAAGTGGGCTGGTTTCGCCACTGGCAGTGAAGATGACTTTATTTTTGTTGCGATTGCATTCATTCGAACTTTGAACATTTTATCTTTTAGGATTTGATTGTGACGCAAGAAAACATTTCTTTATCGAGTTCTCTGGATGTACGTGTGATCACGTGTGTATTGGGAAGTGTTTTCAAGGAGGGGGGGCGCCATGTTTGTTTGGAGGCCGTTCATTGAAAAGAGCCCATTTATTAAAAGTTTTATATGATAGGTTGATCAAGTTCATCGGATGCTTTTCTTAGAAAGCTTTTCTTATTAAAAGTTTTATATGATGGGTTGATCGAGTTCATCGGATGCTTTTCTTAGAAAGCTTTTCTTATGTTGCATACTTTTTTTGGAAGGATGTTACAGATACCAAAGAAGAGCTCGTCGAGAAATTGAGAGATCGCCTGAAAGAACGAGATGCTGCCGTCGAGGTAATTGAATCGATGTCTGTTGCAATACGACACGTCAAAAAATGCCGAGTGAACGTGAAAAATCAAGTAGTGCTTTTATCCGATTTTAAGTCTTTGTGGGAGATGACATCATGTCGGCACGCTTACCTAAGCATGGTATCTTCATGAGAAGCGACCTTGTGAGTAAGAATAACCTCCTTTTCAAACCTGAGTTTTTTAGCTGAATGGTGTTGTTTCGCATGCTCCGGGGCGTGCACTTAAGCGTGAGAGTAGGAAGATGGGGTCTCATCTTCATATATGCATGGTATTCACTGTCAAGCTCGTTTGAAACTCCCCAATAATCGACCTTCCTACGCCCATGACTTGAGGATTGTGTTTATGCTTTGTACTCGTGGGGCTGTTGCACGAAGCCTGGATAGCGGTATCCACTGGATAGCTATATTTTTGAACGCTTCAAAAATTTCTTGAAAAATAAAAATCTATGATTTCAACTGAACAATCAATCAAATACGATATTGTTTCTGGAATTACAAAGTTTCATAATCATATAGAAAGTATGACCGCCTTTCTAACCAGATTGAAAAAAATACTAACCAATGCATGGATAACGCTATCTAGGCTTTGTGCAACCTTACAATGTGCTTCTTTTTATTGATAAGAGTGATGCTCTGTTGATTATGGATACCTTTCTCAATCATACGTTGAAGCATCGGTATCTATTTGAATTTAAGTACCTATTGTTGAATATCAGGCAATATACGAAAAGCTAAAAGCTAAACAAAGAACTTTATCTTAATATTTATCGTGTATCATCCATCATCTATGTCATATGGTCATTCCAGATGACGTTCTTTTGGTTTTCATGTATAAAATTGTATTTCTATTTATTGTGAAATAATCAAATGCGCTATAAGCCATACAGTTCCTTCGCGTTAAAGTTTTTTCATTCACCATTTAGCAAAAGTGGTTTAGAGGAAATGCAAAGTTTACTTTCATCGAAGGTCTACTTCGGTCACGTTTAATCGGGATCTAAATGGAATTGCGATTCTTAAGCTTGTTTTCATTCCGGCGTCATGTTTCACGGTTGTGTTAAAATCATTGCAGGCGAATATCGAAGAGAAATTCGAAGCGCTTCAAAAAAAGGAAGAGGAAATGCAAGAATTGCGCAAAAACGTACGCGAGAGAGATCGCCTCCTCGAGAACATGAACGCCATTATGATGCAACATGAAGATGCTGTCAAGGTATTCTGGGATACGTTGCTTTTTTGACTGCAAGATTTATAGGTTTTCACGGATGACTGTCGTGATAAAATGTTATAGCGGGATACACATTTACGTGGTTGATGAATTGGGGGGAAGGGTTGTGTCACAGACATTGAACTAAAATACGTGAAACGCTGCCTGTAATAGAAAACCCTAGTAATTTTTTGAAGTCAAATTTCACACCCTAGACACGCGAGATTACACCCTGAAGCGTGTGTAGTTCAATCAATTTTCACTCCGCGCGAGAATCTTGAAACACTACACACGCGTGTCTGGGTGTAAGATTTGACTTCAATTATTTGCTTCAGGTGGCGTTCAATGTATTTTAGTTCAATGGTCACAGATGACTGCAATGATAAATATTTTTTTCCGAATGCATTGTTGCATTCCTCGTGGGATTAAGGGGAAAGGGTTGGATCGCAGTTGATTATCACGATAATGATGGGGAAAGCGTGGTCATAGATGACTGTAAAGTGAGTGGTTTGAACCCGAGATTACCGTTACTCGTTTCAATTTGTACATGTAGTTCCTCCATGTTAGTGCAGTCACGAGAAGGACTGTTGGTGTCGACAAACGTTTCGGTAGGAATCACTAGACTCCTAAGATGACCACTGCTAAGGATACACTAGACTCCTAAGATGACCACTGCTAAGGATACACTAGACTCCTAAGATGACCACTGCTAAGGATACACTAGACTCCTAAGATGACCACTGCTAAGGATACACTAGACTCCTAAGATGACCACTGCTAAGGATACACTAGACTCCTAAGATGACCACTGCTAAGGATACACTAGACTCCTAAGATGACCACTGCTAAGGATACACTAGACTCCTAAGATGACCACTGCTAAGGATACACTAGACTCCTAAGATGACCACTGCTAAGGATACACTAGACTCCTAAGATGACCACTACTAAGGATACACTAGACTCCTAAAATGACCACTGCTAAGGATACACTAGACTCCTAAGATGACCACTGTTAAGGATATCGAAGCGTCAGTTCACTCCTTCTCGGGACCACACTGGCTTGGACGATCGACATATACAAACACCTATACTGATGATATAGTATAAAGCAAATTCCGAAAAAGCAAGACATCTTGAGATTGCAAAATATGCATCAAAAGAAGACGAGAAGTGAACTGTAAATTTGAAAATGACTTTGTCATCTTTGTCACCCTGCCATTCTGTCTGAGGATGACTTTAAAATAAAGTCGAAAATTTACAGTTCACTTCTCGTCTTCTTTTGATGCATATTTTGCAATCTCAAGATGTCTTGCTTTTTCGGAATTTGCTTTATACTATATTTCTTTAAATTGTCGGCTGGTCATGGCTTTTATGTCTATACTGATGACTATCATGATAGAATAATATTGCAGAATACATAATTGCATTCTCTGTTGGGTTGAGGAGGTGGGGTATGTCTCATAGAAGATTGTCATGATGAAATGTTGTTGCTTAGTACAATGGCAGACGAAGAATAGCAGTTAAAGTCAACCTTTGTTTGCAAATCAATATTTATAAAGCTCGCTGAGTAGGAGGTTAAGGTTTTTCACGTCGTATTCTCTATGTATTGGTTCAAATCTCTTTAGAGTTTACAGTGCTCCCTTGATGAAAAAGTAGCGCTCGTATGCGATCGATATTTATAAAGCTCGCTGAGTAGGAGGTTAGGGATTTGTTTTCACGTCGTATTCTCAATGTGTTGGTTCAAATCTGTTTAGAGTTTACAGTGTTCCCTTGATGAAAAGGTAGCGCTCGTATGCGATTTGAAGACGAATCAATCAACGAGAGAAAATCAATTCCAGGTTTTTGAATTTTCGCTAAGAAATGTCTTCTACTTTTTTCTGAAGAAATGTTACATCTGGCGAGTAACGTTCTTTCTTCCATTGTCAGGAAGCTCATGAGCTTGCTAAGAAGAAGCAACGTGAGAACGAGGGCCTGATTGAGAAACTCAAACGAAATCTTGCAAATCGGGAGCAACAAGTCGAGGTAAACCGTTAGGTGTAACTTTGAATGAGTAAAACATTTCTATTTTGCCGAGGGAAAGACACGGAGAAATTACTTGCTTTCTTCTCGAACATTATTTTTATCTGAGTGAAACGTGTACTATTTTGTAAGTTTCATGTGCATTTCTAGAATTTAAAGAACATCTTGCATCAAAATACGTCGAGCGAGGTTTGTAGCTATGTAGCTAAAAACATCATAACATCTTGCGATTACAAAATATGAATCGATGTACAAATCGCGGATCAAACTGTGAATTTTCGACTTTATTTCAAAGCCACGTATTGATTGGTATTTCATATTTTGTAATTTAAAGATGTTGCGTATTTTCGAAATTCGCTTTTTTGCTTTACTTTTTTAAACAGTCGGCTGGACATGGTTTTATAGGTTTCTATTTTCGATATAAAGATTATAGACCAACGGATAATTTTTAAAATAGCCATAAGCAATTTGCTTTTTATAAAATTTATCAAAAGCGAGTGACAGAAAGCATGACAATGAAGAACCGAGAAGATCGACAAATTCCTGTAACGTCAGCAGCGAAGCGCTGTAATGTCGAACTGCTCAAAATCTTAAGCATTATTGAGCGAAATGAATTTGAATATATGACAACCTGAGGTCGGCAAGAAGTAACTTTGTCTATATGACAACCTGAAGTTAACAAGAAGTAACTTTGTCTATATGACAACCTGAAGTTGACAAGAAGTAACTTTGTCTATATGACAACCTGAGGTTGACAAGAAGTAACTTTGTCTATATGACAACCTGAGGTTGACAAGAAGTAACTTTGTCTATATGACAACCTGAGTTGACAAGAAGTAACTTTGTCTATATGACAACCTGAAGTTGACAAGAAGTAACTTTGTCTATATGACAACCTGAAGTTGACAAGAAGTAACTTTGTCTATATGACAACCTGAAGTTGACAAGAAGTAACTTTGTCTATATGACAACCTGAAGTTGACAAGAAGTAACTTTGTCTATATGACAACCTGAGGTTGACAAGAAGTAACTTTGTCTATATGACAACCTGAAGTTGACAAGAAGTAACTTTGTCTATATGACAACCTGAGGTTGACAAGTAGTAACTTTGTCTATATGACAACCTGAAGTTGACAAGAAAGTAACTTTGTCTATATGACAACCTGAAGTTGACATGAAAGTAACTTTGTCTATATGACAACCTGAGGTTGACAAGAAAGTAACTTTGTCTATATGACAACCTGAAGTTGACAAGAAAGTAACTTTGTCTATATGACAACCTGAGGTTGACAAGAAGTAACTTTGTCTATATAGCTCGAAAATATTTAAATGAGAAACTAGGACTTCATTGTGATGCTTCACCATCTAACATTGACCATTTAGATGACCAATTCACCATGTAACATTGACCATTTAGATGACCAATTCACCATCTAACATTGACCATTTAGATGACCAATTCACCATCTAACATTGACCATTTAGATGACCAATTCACCATCTAACATTGACCATTTGGATGACCAATTCACCATCTAACATTGACCATTTAGATGACCAATTCACCATCAAACATTGACCATTTAGATGACCAATTCTCAAGATAAACAAGTAATTAGTGAACTCAGCATAGTTCTCAGGGAAAAGGAAAATCTAGTTGCGGTGAGCTTCGATTGTGGTCATCATTCGACCCTGTCAAATGAGAAAAATTTATGCTCCCTGTTTTGGTAGGAATTACTGGCCGAAAGATCGAACATGATCGATAATCATGAATCCAGTGAACGTACAACATTGAACACTTTGGCAGAAAAAGATCGTTTACTGAAGGTAAGCAGTTGTAGTTTCTATAGCAGTGGTAGTTCCTATAGCAGTGGTACTTCTTTATGCAAGTGATAATTTCAATGAAGCAATCGTAATTTAAATAGCAGTGGTAGTTTCTTTGGCAGTAATAGTTTCTAGGACATATATAGTTATTCTTGATGACATTTTTTAGGATCTCTACGAAAAATTGGATCACACGTGTACTGAAAAAAATGGCGAGATCATGAAGCTACAGCAGAAAGTGAACGACTTGAATTTAGAAATCCAGGTACATGCATTCATTGAAACATATGCACGGTAAATATTGCTGCTTCAAAAATGAAATGCGTAATGCAATATCCCTAATTCCAGCAGTTTCAATCATAGCATCAACCCTTTGTGCATGCTTAGTTTTCTTGATGAGATAAGATGCCATTGTGGTAAGATTTCGGTTGTTGTTATGGTTGTTTAGGCAGCCGAAAACAGTAAATCGTGGACGAAACAAGAACATGAAATTCTTCACGGAAAACTGAAGCAGAGTTTAGTTGAAAAGGATCGAACGATTGAGGTAAATATTCGTATTTAAGAAATAAAAGATGTTTACCGTGTTTTCCACAGGTTTATACAAGTTCTCCCAAACGTCTTACGAGGTTTTCATAAGCCCGTACGAACACGAAAAACACCTTTTATTTCTGTTATAAAATAACAATAATGCAAAAACATATAAATATAAAACAAATGATTTCCTATGACAGGTGTTATTGATTGGCAAATTCACTTTGATTGATTTAATTTTTGCCGAGCTCGGATCGGTTTGCACAGTCTACTGCGAACTCAGCTATGGACCAATCAGCGCATTCGTTTATCATCATGCATAAAGCACGTGAACTCTCTATGCTCACATTATATATAGTACAGTAAAAGCAAGGAGTGATCTTTTATTGTTTTGTGTTATAGAAGTTGATAGAGAGTGGCAAGGAAAAGGATAAACTTTTCATAAAACTTCAGGTATTTAAAATGGTTATGTTGGATTGTGTAAACATGAAAAGAAAGTCTATTGTCTAAATCATGATCAGTAGGATCAGTTGGCAAAAGCAACTTTTAAACATAGGTATGAAAAATTGAAAAATTACTTAACTTAGTCATTACCAGTTTTACTCCTCCGCCGATAGGAAAACTGTATACGTAAATTTTTCTTTTTCGTAGCGCAAACTTTGTTGTTTTACTACTATCCAATTTTATCTTTGCTCTTTTTCGTCATAGGATTGCACCAGCAACAGTCCCGTATCTCCCGTGAAACAAGAAGTGGTAATATATATGTACATATTTATATGGCGTACCATTGTCTTATCCATGCGTTGCAACGTGCAACCTGCTTGCTAAAGGGCAAGTATAACAAAAAAAAATTCGCTATTAAATTATAGTTTCATTGTAAAAAAACTCGTGAAATGATAGTGGAGTTTCTAAACAATTAAGTCATATCGCTTTGCATTCTCAAGGTATTGAACTTTTGTGATGTCCGGTTTATGGAGAAAGTGATGTCACATTGCGAAATGAGAATTTGAAATATTAAGAATATTTGCTTTCGTGTTAGCTACATCAACCGGACAGTGCTCCTGTCGTTGTTAAAGTGTTAATGGTATAAAATTCTTCATATATTTTTCGTTCAAAAGCAGGCACGCCAGTAAAGGATATTTATAAATTTGACGTCACTTTCTCTATAGATTTCTCTCAAAACTTCAATATCTCGGGAATGCAAAGAGATACGACTGAACTGTTTTCCTAAGTCCACTGTCATTTTGCGAGTTCTTTTGAATGATATCATAATTTCAAAAGCAAATTTTTTGTTATAATTGCTCTCAACAAATTCCATGTTCTAATGACGAAGTTAGCAACATTTCCCACGTAGACTAACCTCAAAGTGAAAGTTGGCGAACTGGAAAATTTGCTTCAAGAAAAGCAAGGTAAACATGTTTTGAAAGTTTCAAGAAGATCGTTCAGAAAACGACTAAAGTTGCCATTTTCATGTTTCCTTCGAACTCCTTTTGCTTTGAAGATATTGTAGCTAAGCTCGAGAGAGATAAAGAAGAAAGCGAATCGAAAAACAAAGAAGGTCAGGAAAAGGTAAATGAAGCTTGTATCATTTGTATTCTTGTAATTATCTTGCCTTTGCATCGCTCATATTTGGAGTGCTCACGTAACGAGCATTTGTTAATTGGATGCGAAACGTTGAGGGGGGGGGGGAATGGAACGAGTTGGAGGAAGAATAAGCGGGAGTCTTATAATCTTTCGGAGTCTTCATTTTTTGTTGTTGATGTACTTTTATCGAACATTGTTTTAGAATAAGGAATACGTTTCTGAGTTGGAAAGTCAGTTGATGGAAAAAGATTCTCTTCTCAAGCAAGCAGCGTAAGTTATTTTACTTCTGGTAATTTTAGCGAAACGGAGTTTCTCACTCAGAGGCGGATCTAGATTTTGGGTTGGCTTCATCGAAGGAGTGCGGAGGGGTGTCGATTTCCTTCATCATATTAAACAATTAAGCAATAACAATCGTGCGTAGTTTCAATGGAGTTCACGTCCTACCTTAATGAAAAGGTAACAGAGTTTACCAAAAAATGTCTGACCTGCTATGGAAAAATTTGACGACCAAAATCCCATCCAAACTAAAGCACCCCTCCCTCCTCCCCTATAGAAAAAATATATAGGGATAGGTATGAAAAAATATATGTAGGTATTAAGACAATTTTTAAATTTGTCACCGCGACAAAAGTTCTCTATTTGTTGGTATACAAGTATAGAAAAAACAATTTACTACGATCGGTTAATTTTATTCTTTGCAAATTCATCACCGATGCCATTGTTGCTTAGATATTTAAATTCGTAATTAAAGACTTTCATTTATTATTTTGCGTAAACCTGAATACGCTACTCCTCTCACTTCGTGCATTTTTTCAACAGGGAGACGATTGAAGCTTTTCGCGTGAAGTTGAACAAATTGCCAGTTCTAGAGGTAAACGGAAACACTCGCACATGAATGCAATTGCGCAGGGCTTGTGTAAAGATTTGAAAGATATTTTGATTTCTTATGACAGGAGTTGACAGAAAGCTTGGAAAAATCTCGAAATGTAAGTTAAAAAAAGAGTACGAACTGTTCCAAACGGTTTTGTCAATTTCCCTCTACAGGATACAAATTCAAATTATTCAATTTATAGATTTGCCAAATCTTTACAACAGGTGTCTTTGGACACCTAAATGTGGGGGGTGGGTGTTATCTTTGCTATTACCTCCAATGCAACGTATAATTTGTTATACGTTGCATTGGAGGTAATAGCAAAGATAACACCCGTATTAACGGAATTTTTATGCGCAAATTTTATAGGCTTACAGCGAATCCGAAATTGAGCGGAAGAGACTGGAATTGGAAGCGGTATATTTCGTTGGTTGTGTTTTGATGGCATAAAAATGTTTCTCCTTGTTGTTTGAGGGCACGTTTCAACGTTCGAATTCGTTTTTTTATTTCAGCAAACCGTGCAAAAAAGACATTTGGATGAAATCAAAGGACTGCAAGAAGAAATTAGCTCATTGAAAGAGAAAAAATCACCAGGACGTAAAAATCTCGAAGGAGTGAAATCGGATAATCAGGTACACTGTTATTTCGGTTGATAGCTTTTGTTATCGGGGGTGTCTTTGAGTTCAGTGAATAAGTTGACATCGGTAACATGAAGTAATGGATTTCATGTTTCTAACGTTCGTCATTTCCGGTATGTCAAGAGCGGGCGATATGAAGAAAAAAACGGGTGGAAAGAACAGTGGATTTTATCAGGTCTTTGATTTAAAAAGATCTGTACAGTTAGACTGACATGAATTTCAAAGCACGTCAAAATGGAATGTAATTCGCCGCGATTTAGTTTTTGTCAGTCACGTGATCAATTTCGGTTTAACAAAGTGATGTTAATAAGTAGTATTGTCACCCTTAATATCCCATGGAATTATAGTTATGTATTTTTTATGAATGGGGAAGAATTTTTATCTTCTTTCGGCCACAATTGAAGTGTCTTTATCGAATTTTGCCTTATAGGAATTTAGATAGCTTAGACAAGTTTAAATACTTTTCCGATATATTTGTAACTCGAAAGTATGATTTTCGAAAATTTTCGTGGCTCCATAGTGGAACATATTTTGATCATTTTTAATGTTTGACCGCCGGTATTAAAAAGCAGGTAAATGAAGTTATATGCGAAGTCAAATCGGGATCTCGCTTAAGAGGAGCATTGTATTTTGAAATAGATTGTGTTGAACACACAAGATGACGTCACGTCATCACGTCACATAACACAGGTGTGTTATGTGACGTGAAAAGCTCTGCCTTCGACGAGATTCTGTATGAAATGTTGTGTTTTCTAAAAACGCGTTTCTCATATGAATTCAAGTCATGGCTCTCGCCCTAGTTTTTTACCAACATGGTCAAACAACAAAAATTACCGACTTTGAGCTGCAGAAAATCTACGAATATCGAGTTCCGAAGTTATAAAATACATTGCAGATGCGTTTAAAATCCTGTAAACAACCGAAATGACTCAGCTAACAGAAAATAGACTCTAAAGTGTTTACGTTTGTCATCGTGACAGGTTCATCGTCTGAAGGAGCTGCTTCAACATCAGATTCAAGAAACAAGCAGACTGGGAGACATATTGAAAAAAGAGAGAGAAGCTTACGAGGAGGTGATAAAACGAGTCGGCGGCCATTCATCCGTCGCTAATATTGGCGAAGATATCCAACAAATCTCGGAGTTAAGACGTACTCTTGAAGACGGAATCGCACAGAACAATCAGCTTAGATTGCGACTTCAAAAACAGTTCTCCGAAAATCAGTTCGACCGTTCTCTCGAGGACGAAGTCGTGAAGTTACGAGCTAAACTGGCGGATAGAGAACGGTGGAATGCATCCTTACAGAGTCGTTTAGACGCGCTATCTCCTCGTGTCAGGGGAGTTGGCGGCTCGAGCAGTTCTCTTTCCGAGTCGACGGCGTCATCGCAAACATCTCCATCTATTTATGCCGATGAAAAGGACAAAGTAAGTTCACTTGTCTACATTCAATGATGTTGTTCACAAGTTAGTATCAATACTGCTAAATAAATACCGTAAACCTCCGTCTGTAAGCTCCCCATGCATAAGCCGTCTCATGAATAAGTCCGTTTCACAACTCATTTCACGAAAGCCCACTCTCGTACAAGCCAACCGATACATAGGCCCATAGATTTAATAGTGCAATGCTTGCAGATCACTTGCAGATCATAGTATATTCCATGCATTACCCCCCCTGTATTCAAGCCTTCCACCATGTATAAGCAGTGCCGTAGCTACAACGTTAATCCCGGGGGGATGTATTCATATATTCAGTTGCGCTCGACTGACTTCTTTGGAAAGTAAATTGGTTTACTGAAGAAATCACAGTCAGTCACAACTGAATATACACACACCCCACCCCCTCCCAATTGACGCTGTAGCTACGGCATTGTGTATAAGGTTGATATGTTTACGTTACACTTGATCGATTCTACCTGCTTTTGATTGCTCACTATGACTGACGTCATCGATTGAATTCACGAAATACTAGCATGCAAAATTTCACCTCTAATGATTTGTGTGTAAGTGCTGATTCACCGCTCAGCCCATGGAGTCATCGCCTCTCTAGTTGCATTCAAAACGGCGGATAGAAAATTCCAACGAAAATCTATTCATGGGGAGAAATTGCCTCCCAATGGTTGCACTCGCTGAGTAACGATTCAATGCCATATGACGGACACAAATATCACCGGAGAGGGTTCGTCCTTGAATTTAAACTAAATATTCTAGGTCGTACAAGTAGTTTAAATTATTAAGATGTGCTTGCGGGTGCTTGATTTCGAATTTTTCTTTATATCGAATTTTTGTAAAAATCTCATAGCACTACTTTATTTTCACGAGCGGAGTGGAAATTGCTTTCTTTATTACGTGCGAAAAAGTAATCCACGTTGTAAGGTTTCGTGTTAGAAGATTGAAGTAACATACGAACATAGCAGCTTTCAAGTCATATGAAGACACGCCATTTGCTCTAGATTCATCAGAAAAATATCTTTTGTTTTGATTTTGATAATGTTCTTGTTTGTTTTTTACTTCATATTTATGCTTTGTGTGCAAATCAAGTTCTTCCCATTCCTTTTCAAGATATGTCCTTGTAAGTCCTTGAAAAGTGCTTGAATTCAAAGGCAGTGTTCATCTAACACTCATCACATCTAACACTTACCACCTAACACCCACCATCTAACACCCACCATCTAACACCCATCATCTAACACCCACTACATCTAACACCCATCATCTAACACCCACTACATCTAACACCCGCCATCTAACACCCCCACACTCAGCATCTAACACCAACCACACACATCTATCACCCACCACGCTCAGCATCTAACACCCACCACTTTAATAAATGTGTTAAATACAGCACTCACAAAGGTGTTGTTCTGCCATTTCTTATTAACACCTTTTTTGGTGTTTATCCGACACCCTTGTATGAGCCCTGTGGATATGTCCATCTGCTGTTGCAGTAGAGTTATTTTAGATTGTTTTAATCTTCACCCAGTTTTAGAGAACACTTTATTTTGATCACTAGGAATTTACGGTTTTGAGATCACGTCTGGATGAAAGCGAAAGATGCAACTCGAGGGTTCAAAAGCAGCTCGAAAACGCGAGAGATTCTTGGCGAGAAGAAAAAATCTCTCTCAACAAACTTAACGAGAAGCAAAAGCATGAAATCGACGTGTTGCGCGAGCAATTGATGAAATCCAACGATACTTGTAACGATTTGCGAAGTCGAGCAAAAAAAGCGGACGAAGAAATTTCTTCATATAAACGAGAGCACGACGTAGAGTTCAACACATTGAAAAGAGCTTTGGAAGACAGTAAACGAATAAATGAATCCTTAAGGGAGCAACTGAACGAAAATAGGGTAAACACTTCACCACAAACATTTCCTCTGAACAGGAACGACTCACGAACGCTGGATTGCTTGCAGGAAGAGCTCGAAAAAAAATCGCGTACAATAGAGGCTTTGAACAACAAATGCGACTCGCTGCAGAAGTATTTGAACGAGAGGAGTTTAACGATAGCCCCGAGCGCCAGTGATAAGTCTGGGCTTGATTCGGAGAAATTTAGACTTGATAACGAGAAACAGAGTATTGTTGACAGGTTGGAAGAAGACGTTGATGCGACTTTAAAGTCCTATCGCTTTACTGAAAACATTCACTGGAAAACGGGAAAAGTCGAACAGCTCGAAGCCGAGTTGCTCGAGAGCCGTCGTGTAATCAAGAGGTTGCAAGAGAGATTACTAAACAATGAAGAAGGCGAGTCGAATTTGAAAAACGAGCTTGGTTGCCGAGAAAATTTGGAAGCAAGGAGAACTGATGTCTCAAGTACGAATAAATTTCACGAGAACACCATCGGTTTAGAAGCTTTGGACGAACCTGATGGTTCGACTCCAACTGTGATTGGAGGCGCAGAACAAGCGCAAAAGCAACTGCGAGACATGCAGCTGAGAGTTGATGAATTGCGGCAGGCGCTGTCTGATAGTTTAAGCGTGAGTAAAAAACTCAAGCAAGATTTGAATAATTCGGAGCAGACGGTCAGCTTACTTGAAAAAGATCTTGCTAACTATGCAAAGAAATTAAGAGAGGCGGACAGTGAGGTGGTCCATTTGAAAGAGGAGTATTCGAAAATGTGTACATTCAACGCCGCCTACCTTTCACAATTGAATGAACTGCGCCAACAAGAAGAGTCGTCAACGAAGTTACGCGAAGATTTGGCCGCTACGAAAATGAGCAATGAGAAGTTGAAAGATGAAGTACAACGATTGCTTGCTTCGATTGACACCACCGGCAAGGAAAACGAGAAGTACGTGTGTTGGTAATTTATTTTTCGATTCTGGGAAAAGCAGTTATGAGGGATGAGTCCAGGATGATTTTGTGGGGGTCGTGCGCTCTAGTTTTAATTAAATTTTGGTTGTTACACTATGGAGGTGTCGCCATGACTTGGAAGTGTGCGCCATCACAGAGGGCTGCTCTAGTTAAGATCATATTTTGATGGCTACTTGCTGCCGTAACTTTTCGGGCTTTTTTTGTCATTTTCTGTTACCTTTAATCCTTTACCAGACGACAATTTCTTAAGATATAAAATAAAACATAATCCGAAAAAGGACATCTTGTAAACTTAAATTCAAGTTATTAAACAAGACAATTAAAAGTGTAATATTTCGAACAAAATGTTGTGTGATGATGTCAATTAAAAGTGTAATATTTCGGACAAAATGTTGTGTGATGATGGTTTTGAAATAAAACCGAAATATTACACTTTTAATTGTCTTGTTTAATAACTTGAATTTAAGTTTACAAGATGTCCTTTTTCGGATTATATTTTATTTTATATCCGTTACCTTTTTGTCATGACTATGAGATTTTGAGAACTCTTCTCCATTAAACACTTATTTGCAATTGCTTTAGCTTAGTTGTTTCGTATATCAGTATTTTGTAACGAAGCTGTCACCTCTCCTGCACCCCTTCTCACTCCTACCCTTCCTAGTTGAAAATAATTTTAATAGACTATGTGAAGTCCATGTGAAATGACAGACCAAGAAACGCTTTCCACCTCGATCTACCGGTTTTATTCAGGTCACGAACCTGATCACACTAAGCGCTTTTTCAAACTACAAAGCACATATCTGGTAATGTACATGACAACTGGTAATGCATCGCATCAAGATTTTGACAAACCATTTTCATTTTTGTGCATGTAGGCTACGGGAAGCGTTATTGTCCACGAAGCGAACAAAACAGCACAGCAAGAGTACATTAACTTCTCCAAGGCTTTCAAACGCTTTGCATGAGCAAACTGGGAGTCCGACTTCATCGCGTGAGTACCAGTCTTTACGGGAAAGACTGAATCTCAGCGAGAAGTTGAACTCGGCGTTGAAATTTGAGCTAGAAGCTTGCAAGAAGAATGGCGCGAGTTCGAAAGCCAACGAGGAAACTTTTACGGCACCCCTCGAGGAGTTGCGCGTTTTGAGGGTGCGGCTCGAGGAAAGCATCAAAACCTACGATGAACTGTGCATTCAGCTTGAAAACAAGCTGAAAGAATTGGGTGAAGACGGCAGAGACGCCATCTCGAACGAAGGTAGTGAAGCGGTCGTACGGGAGAACGAGAATTTGAAGCGAAAAATAGCGAAGTTTAACGAACAAGTGAAGACAATTCAGCGAGAATTGGAAGAACATAGACTGGCAAGAAAACGGTAATTTTTTATTATGTGTGTATTTCTATTGCTTTTAAGATCCTCACACAAAAGTCGCATACATTTGTACGTTGCCAATATTTGATTCCTCATTGCTGTATAATACCAGGCTGAAGCATGTTTCTGATGGTATATGTTTTCATATCAAATATCGGATGCAATAACTTCGTTTGCGACGACAACTGGACATTTATGAATATATTGAAACAAACTGCACCACGAAAAGATTCTTATTACTTGTTTTTCCTGTTGTTGTTGTTCTTCATCTTCATTATCATGGTCTTCATCAAACCATGATTCCTTTTCAGTCAGTCGTAAGGATCCTGTTCCTTACGTCACCGTTCATTCAATCACTTTCTTAAACATCTTTCCATCTCATCAACTGTTGTCCTCCACTTTACCCCTTCTTGGGTTCTTCCCGACCTCCGTGCACTAATTCTCGTGCATTCTTTCATGATAAATAGCCATACCATAGAAGTTTACTTGATTGCAATTTACTAACCGTCCCGTGTGAGTTTCGGCAGCTTAGAACAGACCCATCGTAAGCTGTACGTGTCTTTAAAGGGGTGGTGTCAGTAAGGACATCGGACCATAAAACATTATGCTTCATTTATATAGTGTGATCCCGAAAGGAATTTTCTCTCCATTTACCTCTAAATAACTCATAGACACCGAATAAAGTCGACTTTTAATCCTGACCACTTGATATAACTTTCAAACCTTTATGAAATTTACTGCGTGCAGTAACTATGTTTATACGACAGGTGTCAATTTATATTTTTCAGCGACAAAGAGAAGATCACTCTGTTGAACAGTCAATTGGTGGAAAGCAACAAGGCAAACGAAAGCTTGAGGAACGAGCTTGCCATATGCGACAGTATCATAAAGGCAGGACAGAAATCCAAACCCGAAGGTTGGTGCTTGATGTCAAAATAATACGATTTGCCTTTGGAGATATTTTGGCCTGCGAACATAGAAAGGTCTATACCGAAACCGATTCTTCCATTGGCGTAGCCAGCTCGCAAATATTGTCCTGCTACGTTAATTTTTTTGTGTCCACTCACTTTATAAACAACAGATTCCTAAAGAAATGAATAATGTTAATGATATAAAATTTACATAGCAGGACCAAAACTTGCAGGCTCGCTACGCCACTGGATTCTTCATCGGCATGTATATCGCACATCATCATCAAAAAGTGTATTTTGAATTTCCATTATTTTAACCGGCTGATTTCCAATGGCTATCTTACGTTCCACTAAACTTTGAGCAAAATTTAACCAGTCAAAGATGTTTACTGTTTTTGCACCGGCTTATGGGGGCTACTTGAGAGCTGATCAGTGCAAGCACAAGAACTGGTCAGTACCTGCTGTCGAGAGCTCTCACAAACATATCCGACGTTTGCATAAGCCATTGCAAACACGAAAAAATGTTTTATTTCTTTTATAAAATGGCAACTGGGCGAAGCAGATAAATTTGAAAGAAATGTTTTAATTTTTCCTCTGGCATGTATTCTCAGCTCGAGAAAAATTTTCAAATGTTTGGATCAGGCATTCTCGAAAAATTTTTGGCCAGCAATCAAAATGTTATTTCATCATTTTCTCTTCGGGATGACTTCACAGCTTATCGCCACACCATCTTTTCAAAAAAAAAACACTTTTCATGCTAGAACGATGACATCGGGAAAATTAATATTTTATGTGTCCACTAACGGTTTCAACTTGCGAAGGCGTTTCATCTTGCTAGATCTATCTTCACTCCTGCTGCCAAACTAACTTTGTGTTATGTTTGTCAGGTTCAAGCAACAACAACGACGCCATAATGCTTCTGTTGGCCGAGATCCGCAGTTTACGCGAGCAACTCGAGACAAGCATCAAGTCGAATAACTCTTTGAGAGAAATGTTGCAAAAACAGCTCACATCCTCACCACAGCGTCAAACACAGTTGCCGGCACGCTCTCCCGAACACTCAACGCTCAGAAACAGCCCAAATGTCTCGCCTGGTAAGTCCACTGTACTGATGAAGTGTAAACCTATACTTTGTTTATGGTATCGATTTGCGTCGCAGTGGCGTAGCGAACCGACAAATTTCTTCATGCTATGTAAATGTTTCATCATTGGCAAAATTCATTTCTTTAGAAATCTATTGTTTTTACAGTGAGTGAACATCAAAATTTATACATAGCATGAACAAACTTGTGTCTATCAATTATAACAACGCGCTGGCTAAGCTATGATGAGGGTGTGGAGAGTGAATTTTTGTTCTCGGGGATTGCATACATGAACCGGGCGTGGTTACTTCAGTACAAGATTTTTGAAACAGCGAGGCAATTTTATATTGATGGGAAGATCCATTTTTTTTTGAGGTATATCGAAAGCTGCTTTATAAAATGTTTACTTTCTGTCATCTCTTCCTTCATCAGTTGTACCACACTTGATTCATGTTCTCATCTGTTAGCCAATAGGATGCTTTAGTGGCCTTTGATTGGTACTGACAGCAGTGGAAATTCATCCTGTGCTTTACTTTTTGTCGTGCCATATTTGACCAATCATATTCGTTCAGATTCTTTTGTGAGCCAATAGGATGCTTTCGTGGTCTTTGATAGGTATTGGCTGTCTTTACTACAACGGAAGTTTAGTCTGTGCTTCATTTCTAGACAACGTCACAGAATATGGAATTTACAGAAGGATCACTCGTGTTATGCTGCGCATATCGACGGCCATGGTGTTCCAGCCATTTGATTTGGGTTTGTTGCTCGCTACCAATCTCGAAGTCATTACTCAGAAATGACGTCATGTCATTTTACTGTGTGGAAATAAGTGACAAACCCTAATCATCTGCCTGGAATAAAGACGGTCCTCAGGATGCGTGGCACACAGAGTGATCCTTCTGTATAATCATCCTAGACCCAAGCTCTCCTCACCTTTTTTTCTTTTAGTCATGGGACAGAGCTCGACGACGTCATTTGATTCATCATCGAGTCCAAAAGAAAAGCAATTGAACTTTGAAGCTTCTAAGCTTCAAGAGCTTCGTCGGTACATCGACTCCGGTTACGAAAACGTCGAATCTCTTTTGGTCAAACACATGAGGATGGATTTGGGAAATTCTGACAGGAACAGCGAAGTGAGTAAATGAAGGTTACTACATGCAATATTTTTTTCCTATTACAATGTAAAGACTTCTGTTGGCGATGGGAGGGGGGGGGGGTAGATTTTAACCGTACAAATTACCACATTCTCTAGACGAAAAATATGTCGTTCATGCACAATTCAATTCAATTCCTATTGATACAATACCGCTCAAGAATGATTTGTTTAGGGGTGGGGGTACTTTTTGGAGACACCCGATTTGTAGATCGTTTTCACCAATTGGCTTTCACTCATTCCCGCCCGGGCATCAACTTGACAACGGATGAAGCGGCCATATTGGTGTACCAAACAAAAGAACTTTCCTAAAATTCTTTTCAATTGGTACACCAGCATGGCGGCTGTGACCTCAGGTGAAAATGCTTGACTTGGACATTTTGTGGCATAAATTTGTACGTTCACGTATGAAAACGAGTGGGTAATCATACAGTTGTATTTCTTTCAGCTTGATGAAATGAAGAAAGACTTGGAAAATTTACGAACATTGTTGTTCAAAAGTGGCCGGCTATTGGACCACTTGTGGACGGCGCAAGTTGCGAGTGGACCAACATCAGCTGACAGGTTGACCAGACAGGTACGTCACCAGTGTGGAGGGGAGATCATAGCCTGGTTGTGGCTTCTGTGGGGAAAACCACGAAGTTTGTTCTTTGTTGATTTCATTATAATTCGATTTCATGATGAATTGGATCCCTCCAGTATAGCGACCAAGGAGAGACCAGGTAGTAGCGGATCCAGCGTTCGTCAAAATAAATTATAGCTGCCCAATTTTAAATTCAAAGTACTTTCAGAAAAACACTGTTGGTTTTGAATTTTTAAAGAATATAATTTTACCATTGGCTTTTCTTCTAAGGTGCTTAGAATTGTAAATACATGCCAAAATGTGCTGCAGTAATTTATTTTAACGTACCATAGAATCCGCCACTGTTGCCAGGCGGGAAGCAAATTCTTATGATAAAAATCAAAGCCCGGCAGAGCTTCAGTTTTTATTAAATGAATTTGATTTCAAAACGAATTTGATTTCATGATGTATTTGATTTCACGATAAATTTCATTTCATGATTGATTCGATTTTGTGCGACAAAATAGGACGAATCAGAGAGTCAGTACATACCTTTGATAATCAGAACAAGCTTTGCACATGCGCAAGATAAGGCCGCTCTCATTTCAGCGTGACGTAAATAGAAAGTTTTTATCCACGTGTAGAATGACGAATTACGCAAAGAAATTTCGCTGCTCAAAAAAAGAGTGCTGAGTCAAAGTAAGATTTTGGAAAACACTGCGACGCGTTTGGAGGTGAGATGACGATAGGAGAAAATGTTTTCAGTTTTTTTTTGTCGTCTTTGTTGTGCACATTATTGATCGTGAAGACGCAACTAACGAACCCTTTGTTTTTATTACTCTTGGCTGCGAAGAAATGAAGTTGGTCCGAGACTTACAGACTAACGATGTTAAATCATTGTAAAATATGTTTTTATGTTTTGATTCTTTAGTCATCCAGCCGCATGAGGAAAGAAGTTGAACGATCTCTCTTCGCTCGATGTAAGTCATTTATTTGTCGTGTATCGCTACAAATTTTTTCATTCTCTTCGAGCGTGGGCACATTTGACGCCACGTCGACGCTTATGACGATTTTTGCCTGAAACTTGATTTTGTTCCTTAATGCGGTGGTCAAAACAGTGGAAATGTTCTGAGTTTTATGTGTTTATCTGTAGTGACCGAAACTCGTGAGACGATAGGCTCTTCTCGGAAACAACTCGAGGTGAGTGAGCTTCTATTTTTTGAGTCAAATTTGAACCGCCAAAATCATGCGCGAATTTCAAAACTTACAGAGAAACCTCTCTGCTTGAGTAGCATTTGTAGAAGTTTATAGAATATAATGAAGAATACACCTCCGAACCCCTAACTCTCGATGATATTGACACAACAATCATTTATATTCGCTAACTACGGACCTTTTGTAGGATCGTTTGAGCTCGAGGAATGGAAACTAGTAAGTCGAGAACGTGAGAAATGAAATTTGTCGTTGCTGTCTGTTGGCAATACGATATTAATACATATATAATGTTCTTACACGAGAGAAATATTTACGATTCTACAGTTAAATTTTAAGTTCTTTACGTACGTATACGGGGATATATGTGATATTAATAATGTTGATATGACCTCATCACTTCGTATGTACATATTGGGAACGTTTATATACAAGAGAAAATTAGTTGTGTCTTATTTAAGAGTCCGACACCGGCTAGACGATGTAAGTGTGACGCGCTAAGAAAAGAATATGGTTAGTCTGTACTATCATGTCGTCTAGCTTCGGTTGCGTATTGTTTGTTGGCCATCCGCGATCTTCATGTTTAAATTTAGAAAACCACGATCATGTACTTCCCTTTTGGCCAGTATATAATCTCCCGCAGCTTAATTAAGAAAGGTCCGTTCACCGTTCTCTGCGGGAAGGTTTCCTTTAAGGAAGTGAATTCCCAAATTCTTTGATTCTTTGAAGAAGATTATTGTAAAGTTTTTCGGGTTTCGTAATTTTCGTTAAAATTTTAAAAATACGTGCTCTCGGGCAGTTCCTGGCTATCGTCAATGTTTTTGAATAAGACACAGATGCCCGTGACAAGTGCGTCACTAAAGCTTCGTGCCATTTTCAAGACATTTTGTCCAACGAACGTGCTTGTTTTCTTCATCAGGCCGTCGTGATCAAAGTCTTTATCGCGTTTTGTTATGTCCAACGACCGAAATTGATACAACATGTGATCCTATGAAATGTAAAACAGTAAAAGTTAAACCAGATTAACGATAGCTTTTTTATGGTAATAGATAATGCATTTTGTTATCATAATCTGCAGGTAATCTGGGCTTGGTTGCTTGTTTTAGCCATCACATTGAGCGTAGGCGAAGCATTGTATTTCATGCAAGATTGGACCGATACTTCACTTTTGTGTCCTAGATGATCCTTTTCCAAATAAATAACAAGTTTAATGTGTATGAACTATCATAAATACGATTACACAATCTTTTCGTGATCGGTTAGTTGGACTTACGAAAAACACCAATATGTTGCACCGGATATAGTTTCTTACTTTTTCATTTTGTTCCTTGTCAGCAGTAAATTTTGTACGACAATTATGTATGTAAATTCAACGGATGCTAAAATTTGAAGCTGACTAATTTGATGCAACGCCATATTGAACAATCCCACTCAAATGAGAAATTTGTTGTAAAGAAGTGATATATTTAACCGTAATCAGGAGTTTTGGAGTGCATTAGAAGAATATTACTCTAAGTCCTATAGACACGAACCACAGATCTTCAGAAACGATATTCAAATCTCACAGTTTGACACAAGCGCGTGTTAAACAACACAAAAATTACTTTCTACACTTGGCCTTGCGCAGTTGAAACGGAGCGGCTTTGTTAAAGCACGATCGTAAACACCTATGCGAACTTTTCCACGAAAATTAATCAATATCCATTGCGTCATCTTGGCATAATATAAAGTTCAATATGGCGGCATATTGTCTTTATATTGCGTCAAATTATATTTGCATACGCGACCCGTGTAGTATACATATCTACGGCTGCGATGTAAATATTTAAACTTTTGAATTGTACTTAGACGTGACTAAACGAACCACTGCTCCCGTTGTTCAGTGGGAGTTTGTGAAAGTGATGTGTGTCATCGCATTACGAAACTTGAAATTTTTGAAAAATTGCTACTGATTAGTGATTACTCTTGCATGTGATAATGCTCACATTAATATGAGAATCTAGCAAATTTTATCGAAACTTTTATTTTGTTTCCTTTGCAATTGTTTTGAATTTAGACTGGGCTGTGTGATTCATGTCTATGCATTAGTTGTGAAACCCGTGTTATTATAAGATTTCGAGTTAAAACGAAACCACTTGTGTACGTTTTGGCGCTGGAGGATAATCGAGCATGACGAAACTTCTTTAGTTTTGAGTAATTTCTTTCATTTCGAAAACTTCATTCGTTTCTCGAAACTTAAAATGTTTTCCTTGAAATTATGATGATGTTGAAAGGTTGTAAGTGCAATCGTTCCTTTATCGCTTGTCTCGTCAATGGTGTTGATAATCGAAATGTAAACTCGAAATACTTGGCGTCGATTGATACTTTTCATCACGTTGCTTAATCATTATATGTAAACGGTTTCTCGGGTATTGAGCTTGTGTGGCTAAATAATACAGACTGTAGCTTACCCATCCTTCGTTTTCTTTTATCCACGGTACCAATTCACCATCGATAAATTGCTTCACAGCGTATATGATGTTCACTATATATTGACAATTACCCTTTGTGATACACTCGACCACCAGCGCACTGATGAAAGCGTAGAACGCTATTACTTTGGCCCATGTTATGCCATCCCTAAAAAGTCCTGTCTTTAAGCACGAGAGTGCATGGCATACCGAACGTTTTGTTTGCAAGGGCATCTTTAGTTTTTCCTGAAGATGGTCGAACAAGCCCGGATTTATTATCTGGAAGTGCTCGCACACCATGCACACTTTTTGCGCTTTTTCCAAAAAATTGGCGTCAATCGGTAGCGCCGTTCTGAAGTCGAAGTCTATGTCATAGCCCATAATGTTTTCTGTGCTTTGTTCTACGCACTTCATGCAATAGTAAAGACACTCTTCGCTGAAATTTAACTTGCGCTTCTTTGACTGCATGATGAACAAAACTTCGTTTTTCACGAAACTTGCTTTTAGAATTGCTCTCTCCTGCGAGCTCTGTGATGTTTCCTTCATCGTTAGTCTGTGCACTAATGTCGCACTGTTCTATGTTCATATATAATAGTGCATGACATTGAGATAGTAAGATTTCCGGTGTGTTCTCGTGATACAAGTGGCAACACGACACACCCGTAGTGTTTGTTTGGTGAACCAAAGCCCTTGTTATCATCGATTCGACATTCGACGAAAAAAACAGCTCATTTTAGATCAAGAATACTCAACAACTTACAACGATGAAGATTCTATCTCGCCTATTTAATTTCGCCTGCTGCAACGGCTTACCAAAAACTGGGAGTTCACTCGGAAGTTCAACAAAATTATTCATACATTTAATCCCAAAATGTTCAGAACTGTTTAATGTTTACGAATGTTTACCCTAGGATTTAACATGCAAAATTTTTGAAGCAAAAATTTCATGCGTGCGATTTATAAGGCGCGTATAATGTAATGTTGTGTTATAAATGTACGTGTCGGATTGAGATAAACGTAATAAAGAGTAAGATAAACGAAACAGAGTTGGACGTGGCAGTTGCATAAATAATGCATTGTCGTCATAATTAGACGTTAGCCAGTCATTGAGTAAGAATGTAAGAATGCGAAAGCAATATTTGATGAAACAGGAAGTAATTTCAAGTAAATGGAAGGCTACTCTAAACATCTAAATCTACCGTTCCAACCGTTACTCTCTAACACCAGAAGCTCTCTTCCGACTGCAAGCTCAAGTGCGCAGATCTTTACTCCAGGAATTTTATTCTCTCAAAGAAAATGTTTTACTTCAATCTTGTGCGATTACTAGAATTAATTTGCTTGTTTTCAGTTCATTAACGCATTTCAAAATCCTGCCTTTGAAAAGTACATTTTCGTTAAAACTTCCATCCTACGTTAATTTGTCATTGAGATGATGAATAAAAAAAAAAGTCTTATTGAACAAATTGTCTTCAGTTGAAGATACCCACACCGTAAAACATCCTTTAGGCAATTTCTCCAAAATTTTTTCATTTTTGTCGTAGTGGATGTAGTTTTTTTCACACGTGCGATAGCAAGCATTTCATGAGTGTGGGAAGGTGTTTTTCTCATTTGAGAACGGAAAATCCTTGAGAAAAAACGCAGTTGTCTTTGTTTCGTATTCATTGTAATTCCACGTATTATGAAGTAGTTATTCATAATTGAAGTTCCTGTGTAAATTACTTGTCGTGGTTTTCTGGCAAAGTATCATATTTTTTTGAAAAGTCAATCTTCCTCTTCGACAAGAGGCTTAGGACTAACGACTAAAAATTTCACACAGCTGATAAAAAATATCTGTTCCTATAGCATAGCATTCAAACGGGTAACTCTGAAACGCACAAATCGCTAACGTATAGAGGAAACAGCACGGTATAGCAGTTCGACATGGTTAGAAAGAATCAGAAATTTTAGAATCGGCAGTTCAGCACATCACATGTCAGGTGTTTTAAAGACAGAGTAAGGGAGGCCAGGAATAGTTGGCTTAATCATGTACACTGTTGGAATAATGAGTATGAAGGTAGACAAGATGTCGGGCTTAGGACTGCCGGGTAAGAAACCCAGATTAAATATGTAATGAAAGAGTGCATGAAGTTAGTTTGAGACAAGGCAATACATTGGACAGAAATTTATGGAGCTTGAGGCAGAATATTTGCTTTAACTAACCACCAAGAAAAAGAAGAATAACGGCACGGGTCATATAGCTGTTCAGTTGCGTTCAGTGCATTGGTTCAGTGACCTCAGATGTCGTCACCAGTGGTCGTCACACTTTTTTTGTGACGTTGCACATGCGCATTCCATGTCAATTCTTTTACTCGTGCTTTTGAACTTGAGTAGGTATGAATTACAGTTTTTCCGAAGAAATTCTCTCTTTTTCCATCCCAAAGAACTTGAAATGCCCTCAATTTATGAAAGATACGTCTAAATAATGTTGTATAGTTATGAAATATCGAAAATTTGCTGTAAAAAATCCTTAAAGAAACTTGAATTAACGTATTTTGAATTTCCCACTGCCAAACAAGCATATAACGTCTCCATCACTCTTGACTGTTTGTGTTAAATTGTGTAACGGATTTTGTTAATTTGAAGATATTTGTGAAGTGGCGTCATTTTATCATCTTTGAATGGAAATTTGAATTTTAATGGCGAAGATGCTCAACATTACACAACTGTTCATATTTTTGGACATATTTACCTGAACAATACTCTAGTCTTTCTTATAGGATTTTAGCATGTGCTTTTATCTTTAGGGAGATAATTTACATCACAGCACAATGTCTGCAAGTTTGCAATGGTCCATAATCAGGAACAACTCCTCGTTTCTTGTCAAAAACTTGGGAAACACATTTACTAAGGTACCGTGCAATTCTTATGTCAAATATTGACTACTTCATGTAAATGTGAGAAAATTTGCTACCAGTTTTTCCTACTCTTCGATGAACATATTCATTGTCAAATTATATTTATGTTCAAATTAAAATGACCCAAATGCAATTCTTCCACAGGAACCCAATAATTTGACTGGAAAAAATGCTTTCAAGTACAATGGTCTTGTTAACAAAAGGTTAGTTCCACAAGTATTTAGGGTTATTTTGAAGTTTTGCTTAAAAGTTATTGTGTCCCATTTTACACAGAAGGATTCATTTTTTGTTATCATGAGAAAGGGATAACGAAAAATGATTGCAGTTTTCTACGATTTAATTGAACCCTAGAAGAGGTTTCAGAGCTCAATGAAATCGACAATTGGAACTGTAGAGTTTGATGTGAATGGTCTGAACCTGCAAGGCCCAAATTTAAGCTGCCCAAATTGCAAAGCACTATTAACATTTGCAAAACAATGCGAAGATATTTTTGCCAAAGTTTAAAAGCTCATTTAGATAATGAAAGATAAATTTGCTTACAGAAAACATTTCTGTTTACATTGCTGTGAAAGCTGAGCTCATATCCTTTTGCAACCATCACTGTTGGGTTAAAATATGTCAACAGATCATTTTAATTAATTGCTCCTAGTTTGCATAATTTAGAAGTGGATAATACTTTTTGTCGTTAAACACAATGTTTTCAGTTGTAATATGAAACTTAAGATTTTCAATCTTAGTTGAAATCATAAACATCTATTGTACTAATTCACTCATATGCTAGCCAAAATGAAATGCTATCCTACAAAATTGTTTGAGTTTGCATCAACTTAAACCTCAGCAAGGATTGGTGATGAAGGATGTCTGCTTGCTTAATTCAATGCAGAAGAAACTCTAATCCTTCCACAAAAGGGAGAGGGGGCTAAATGAAAAATTACAAAAAAAAGTTGCAAAGCAATTTTTAGCAATAATTCAGACCATGACCTGGTATTGTCATATGTTTGTAGATGTAGATCCTCCATGTTAGTGCAGTATGCAGGGTTTGATTCAAACTTTTATAACTTCAAAACTGAAATTTCAAAATTCGCTCCTAGCTATAAGGTTGCTCATACATGCCTATGTTCAAATTCGCAAAACAGTAGTGGAAAGTTTTGCAATAAAACCTTCTACCACATTTTACCACTGTCTATATCCACGTAACATTTATAGTTGACTCATTAACATAACACACCAGAAAATTATATGTTGAATGTTAAACGTATTATTGCTAACTTGTTTACATCAAAATATTCAGTGTCAGTATCAACTACACTGAATCTGACAAAGTGTACTGTGCTATACTTCACATGTTCTGCTTAACGATATTTTGAAGGAGCATTTGTTACTGAACAGACAAAGCATAAATGGCACCCGTACTAAATTATAGTTTTAATAACTCTCCATTTAAAGAATGTCTACAGTAAGCTTTAACTGTATTTTTTCAAATTTCAATTCGTAATTTATTCGTCTTTGATTTGCTAATGCACAAAATTGGCTTGTAATTTGCAAATTGTGATGTGCTAATTCAAACCCTGGTATGTAGTCCCAAGAAGGACTGTTGATGTTAGTATTGACAATACTAAGGTTTTAAATAATATCATGGGTGCAATACTATCTCTGATAGCCATTCTCAAGACACCACTATTATAGACAATCTACATGTAAATGTAAACATGTAGCTGTTGATTTTAGCTAGTGTGTCGGTATTTTGAATAAACGCCAACTAGAAGAGGATTCTCATTTTTCCCATTAGAACTTATGTGTAATGATTTAATTCAATTACTTTTGTTTTTTTACAAAATCATGCTTTTGTGTACCAAACACCAGGTACGACAGCCACAATCTTGTGTAAAATCATCATGAGATATTGTTGATTGAGAAATGACAAGATTTGGATCACAATACTGCTGACCTTGCAAACGTCATATTGCATAGACTTTTGATGCATAGAACTAGACAAGCTTGTGCACAAACATGAGCACTTGATGATTAAACAATTTGAATTGTGGAAATCATGTTTCAGGCATTCTAAACTGTAAAAAAGGGCAAGTGATAGGCAAATGAAAAAATTGATTGAAGTCAGATTGGCGCTACAACGTATCTCGTCTTTTGTGCAATTCTCTGTGTTGTTACTGGTTGCTCATTAGAGGTGCAACATGTACTAAAATGATTATTGAAACACGTAATAACACATTGCAGCACGTCAAATGTTAGTTTGTAACTTTTCAAATAGCTACCTTTCGTTGATATTGTCCACAAACTTGATTATATGATTAACTTCATCACGTTTTAACTTTTCAAACTTCGTTTCATGTTGCGTGTTTTTTTTGATGTTATTTTGTTTTTAGGTTGTTGGTATTGAGGCCAGTTCTGATGGTAAAGGTGTGATACTTGTGACGAAGAAAAAGAGAGGTAATCTTAGTTGTTTATTAGTTTAATTCCATCAGCACTTTTTCATTCTCAGTGAATAGTTACCAAGAAAACATATTGGGGGGAGGGGGAGTTGGAAGATTAAAGCATCGCAGAGTGCTTTAAGAAGAGCCTTTCAAAAACAATTATAACGAAAGATTATTCATCAAAATCACCTGCAATGTTTCGTCATAGCTGTAAAGACCTCATAAAACATTAGACTGCATACAATATGGAAATTTTTATTTTGGCTTTCCATTGACAAGATTGCAGTCACTCCAACTAAAACCAAATCAGCCTTCTTTGTCGTGCTGTTTTCAGGTATGGTGAAACAAGGTTTCTCTGTCCATTTAACAAATTTCTAGCCTTTTCTTTGTTTGAAGACTGAGTAAAGACAGACTAGACAATTTTTTTGAGGGGGGGACTAGACATTTTTTGGGGGGTGCAGTGGCAATATGAGTCGAATGACAATTTGAAATTTTGAACAGAGAGCGTCAAAGGATAATTTATATAAATTTCAATATCTCTGCCCACTCCCCTCCTAGCATCCGATGCTGAGATTCTAAAGTCCAGTCAAGTTCACTCTTTCAAGTGTGAGTGCTGTTTTGCGTTGTATGAAAGTCTAACCACTCGCCAATTTATGCACTTTTCTTGAAATTCAGAACATTTGGGTGTTACTCCGCTGACTGAAAAACTGTTTAAAAATCAAAATCACTCATACTTTTACACCTTCTACAGAACGCACTTCTACAATCATTAACTTCTTGTTCAGACTACTGTACTAACTCCTCATCCATCCACTATGGCATTTTTTCAATAACAAAAATGAAAAATCTCAACTTCAAAGGAAACTCCGTTGGTCTTCAGTTGTTCGAATTTCGTTTTGTTAGTTCTGTACATATGTGTACATGCTTTGTAAATCGTACTTATCCCCTCCTATCCCATTGCCATGTGTTTCATTAATATTCATCAATGTAGTTCAACGTGCCCCAACTATCATTGAGCTATTCAATATTGTTTACGATTTAATATTGTCTGATGATATCTTGATAGTTAAGATATAATGCAGCGCAATAGTCAAAATACATTTTATTGACGAAACATCTGGCATCTAAATAAATGCGGTATTGCTCATTAGGGCAAAGTTTGTTTTTTAAAATTCTTAGCCCATCTTTTCCTTGTTAATTGCGAAAGTCCATCCATAGTAAAGTAGCGAAGCTGACCCAGCAGTCCATCTATAGTAAAGTAGCGAAGCTAGCCCAGCAGTCCATCCATAGTAAAGTAGCGAAGCCAGCCCAGCAGTCCATCCATAGTAAAGTAGTAAAGCTAACCCAGCAGTCCATCCATAGTAAAGTAACGAAGCTAGCCCAGCAGTCCATCCATAGTAAAGTAGCCAAGCTAGCCCAGCAGTCCATCCATAGTAAAGTAGCGAAGATAGCCCAGTAGTCCATTCATAGTAAAGTAACGAAGCCAGCCCAGCAGTCCATCCATAGTAAAATAGCGAAGCCAGCCCAGCAGTCAATCCATAGTAAAGTAACGAAGCTAGCCCAGTAGTCCATTCATAGTAAAGTAACGAAGCCAGCCCAGCAGTCAATCCATAGTAAAGTAGCGAAGCCAGCCCAGCAGTCGATCCATAGTAAAGTAGCGAAGCTAGCCCAGTAGTCCATTCATAGTAAAGTAGCGAAGCCAGCCCAGCAGTCGATCCATAGTAAAGTAGCGAAGCCATCCCAGCAGTCGATCCATAGTAAAGTAACGAAGCTAGCCCAGTAGTCCATTCATAGTAAAGTAGCGAAGCCAGCACAGCAGTCCATCCATAGTAAAGTAGCGAAGCCAGCCCAGCAGTCGATCCATAGTAAAGTAGCGAAGCCAGCCCAGCAGTCGATCCATAGTAAAGTAGCGAAGCCAGCCCAGCAGTCGATCCATAGTAAAGTAACGAAGCTAGCCCAGCAGTCGATCCATAGTAAAGTAACGAAGCTAGCCCAGCAGTCCATTCATAGTAAAGTAACGAAGCTAGCCCAGTAGTCCATCCATAGTAAAGTAGCGAAGCTAGCCCAGCAGTCGATCCATAGTAAAGTAACGAAGCTAGCCCAGTAGTCCATTCATAGTAAAGTAACGAAGCTAGCCCAGTAGTCCATTCATAGTAAAGTAACGAAGCCAACCCAGCAGTTCCGCTATTTAGATTTCGGACCATTATCATCATTCTTTTCCTCAGAAATTGTTTTCACCGTGAGCGAACGCGTAAAACTGTACATAGCAGAACTAAATAAGCGAACTGGCTTCGCAAGTGAGTACATCCTACCGTTTCCTTATTCATTCCCAGTTTTCTTAACTGTCAGCACAATGACCACCAAATTTTACAGCCTACGTACAGGCAATGTTTCTCATTTACCAATTGCTCTCATTTCAACTTAACATCTTTCATTTAGGTCACAATAAGCCAGGCTCGAATTTGGTTTCAACCAAATTGAGCTGTAACAGCCGTGCTACATTGAAATGCATACGAAATGCCTGTGGTAAGAGTCACTATCGTAGCGACCTGGAAGATGCGGCCGTCCGTCGTGCGGCCGCGCTGCTGCGAAGTCAAAGACCCACAGCTGTCGTCCAGAAGCGACGTACCCGCAAGAAGCAAACCTAGATTGTATTCATTGTAAGAACTACAAATAAATGATTTGTCTGCTTACTTAAAGAAAGTGTTTTTTGAAGCAATACGAGTAGGCTTTTTTAGATTTGGATATGATACGCCTGGAAATGTTTTTTTTCATTGTGACGACGTTTTGATTTTAGAAATGCGCGTTCGTACCATGTTCGTACTGAAGCAGCACGCAAACAGCCATTTGCTGTTTCTATTAGATTGCTTTTCTCAATTGCTTTTTTCCTATCGTTTCGTACATGGCAAAGTAAAGCGCTACATACTGATGTTGCTTTGTATCTTATTTGCATAAAGTGCGCAACGTGCACTGATTAAAATTTCGGACGAGTTCTATTTTGTATTTTTGGGCGGAGGTTTTCGAATTTTAGAATTGCTTTTCGATGCTACGGAAGAAATAGATAAATTGTTTCATGGCTCAATACATAACGGTCTGGTATTCGTCGGTAAAATTGGTTGAAAATGGCCAAATTGGGAAAACTACAAGAAATTTACAATGACTACGCCAGTAAAGGTTAGTACACGAGTAACACGACAAGTCGACATTACAATGAATATTCAACCGTTTATTTTATTAAAAGAACATGGTGGCCATTGAAAACATTCTGCACAGTTGCTGTGGACCAGGTAGTAATGGATATCGCAAACCGAAGCCTCGTCGAAGCCTGGTCTATATTATAAAGTCAGGTTAGTCCATATTATAGTCTAATTTAAAAGAGTTCTCCCGTGCACATGTGAGGATAGAGTGCATGAAAGAATATCAAGTAGTAAAATTTTGTAAAGTTAATGGCTGATAAGGCTTAACGCGACGAAAGAATATCATTGTTGAATCATTGGCCGCAATACTTAAACCAAGTGCTTTGCAGGCTAATTTTAGTATATTGTATGTTAAAAAGCTTAATTTACATCATTTGCTGTCTTGGCTCAGTGGTCTAGTGGTATGATTCGCGCTTCGGGTGCGCGAGGCCGCGGGTTCGATTCCCGCCTGAGCCCCCTATGAAGATTTTTATTATGTTTTTATTACCATTTCAATGTGTGTGACTAATTTTTTACCAATTTATTGTTAATGGGTGTTTTAAAGATAAACAAAGATGGACATTTGGGGTATGTCTTGACGGGAAATAAAAATTTAAAGAAATACGTAAAAATGGGGGCTCAGGCGGGAATCGAACCCGCGGCCTCTCGCACCCAAAGCGAGAATCATACCACTAGACCACTGAGCCATCACCTGAGTTGTCGTGGTAATTAATGTGTTTTAAAACGAGAGGCGTAAAGTTGCGCTGAAGATTTTGAAATACAGCCGAAAATTTGCAATTATATTTATGTCTCTTATATTTCAAAACTTGAATTTCAAGATGACTTTATTTGTCGGAATCTTCTCCTTTTTATGCTTGTTTTCAGTGTGACGTGGTTTTATTTTTACTGTAAATACTAGTACTACACTAGTTCGGTCGAGACAAAAATGTTAAGATAAAGTGCGGTGGAAGCCTTTTTCTTTTTTCATTTCTCTGCCATGCATGTATTGCTTGTATAAATGTCAATGTTAACACAGTGCTAACTTTTGTTTATTTAATAAGACTTTATTCAGTGTGTATTTGTTTCATAAGTGTGTGTGCAGGTGGGGACACTTGTGAAATATGTTAAAGAAGTCGGTCCACACAAACTTATAAATTTATGAATATGGTGAGTTAATTAAGAGTTTTGGGACAGAAGACTGAGTGTCCCTAGAACATTGATAATTATTATCACTAAAACTGACTACAAACAACTAAACTCCTTTCTCTTGAAAAAAAAAACACTACGTGGAGCGTCCTCTATAAAGAGTTAAAAGTTTTTTACACGCTTCTTTGTGTTCATTTATACAATGTTACATACGTTAAAAATGCTTTAAAAGCGGTTATAAACGAATTTCTTCTTTTAAGAGAGTGATTAGCATAAAATATACAATGTTCATTTGGACGCCATGTTCACACACACTCCAACAGGATTATTCATTGTCGCAGTTCTCAAATCGCAATGGCCATTGTGTGCACATTTGCCGTGTATGTAAAATTTCCCTCCACAAACTTCACCTTCACCGCGGGCGCATATGTTGCAGCAGTTACAAGAATCACGCAGTATTCCAAAGGAGCACTTCTTCACTCTACCTGGGCACCGCATATCTTTACAATCTGGACAAGTTTCACCAATGAGCATGCGACGGGAAAACAGGCTCCGTGCTCCGTACGGTGTGACGGTACTATCTTGCGCATGTGTGAAATGTGCCAAGAAGATAGCAAGAACGAGAATTTCTTTCATTTTCTATCAATTAAAAGAGCTTTTTCAAAAATATAAACATCACCAGAACGATTTATTATTTGTTAGCAGCATTGTGTTGGCTGTTTTCTCTCACAGTCTTTGTTCCTGCAACAACGTTTCTGTCTCGTGACTTATGTGTTCCTGTTCTCGTGACTTATGTGTTCCCGCTTCTGTCTCGTGACTTATGTGTTCCACAAGCTTAGAATATCGCTGTGCTCTTGCCAGCGAACTCATCGATCATTGAAAATATCTGTGACTAAATGGTTTTAAGTGAGGAACTGGACCTGATAAAGGTCAAACACTCGTTTTGTTTTTACCTTTGTGAATAGACGATCGCCTTTTTCTTTGAAACTTTTCTTTTGAGGTCGTTGATTTGGCAGAGGGCTTCAATTTTCATTAAATCCAATGTTCACCAACACATTGGAGAAGAAACAATGGTCTTACTGGCACCACCAGTTATTGCTATTGAAAGTCAGCAGGTCAAAACGTATTTTTGTAGGCTACGCGCATGCGTGATTGAAAACGTACGGCTATTATGAATTTAACCTCTGTTGTAAGCGACTAGGCAACGGATCGAATGTCCACATCATTGGCCAGTTATTGCCAACACATTTCGTAAGGTGGCTCAACTGTCGACTCGTTGCTATTCATGTGATAGTGTTGCTTGCATCATCAATTGAAAATTTTGATTTACACGGTGAACGAACGATATGGAATAAATCGTCCAAGTCCGTTTTTATCTTCGTTTCTACCTTTATGTCTATCTTTGTGTCTACCTATGTGTTTTTTTAATGTCAACGTTCATGTCTACCTTTGTGTCTTTCTTTGTCTACTTTTATGTCTACCTTTGTGTTTATCTTTGTTTTAAACTTTATGTGTATCTTTGTGTCTACTTATGTGTTTTTTTTAATGTCAAGTTAAAAGGTGAATATAAAGGTAGATATAAAGGTAAACATAAAGGTAAACATAAAGGTAAACATAAAGGTAGACACAAAGGTAGACATAAAGGTACACATAAAGGTGCATAAAAAGGTAAACATAAAAGTAGACATAAAGGTAGACATAAAGGTAAACATAAAGGTAAACATAAAGGTAGACATAAAGGTAGACATAAAGGTAGACATAAAGGTACACATAAAGGTACACATAAAGGTGCATAAAAAGGTAAACATAAAGGTAGACATAAAGGTAGACATAAAGGTAAACATAAAGGTAAACATAAAGGTAGACATAAAGGTAGACATAAAGGTAGACATAAAGGTAGACATAAAGGTAGACATATAGGGTAGACATAAAGGTAAACATAAAGATAGACATAAAGGTAAATATTAACGTATAAAGGTAGATATTAGCGTAGACATAAACATAAACCCATGTCTTGTGTTTTAAGCCTGGCTCACATGAGTGAAATATGCACAAGCTATAACAATAGGCAATCAACGAAGCAGGTGAAATACGCATTGACATAAGCTCAAGGATAAAGAAAAGAGCAAAGCATATTGTTGGTTTTTCGACAATGGAATGCGACACTTAGTATATTATCAGAAAAAAATCGCAAATAAAAAAAAAGAAAAGTAGGTCTGTCGCAAAAATTTTGCCCTAAAATAATTAAGTCTTTTGATCAAATTTTTCTATGATTTGTCGAAGGAAGTAATTTTTTAATAGTCAGGAAGCAGAGGGCAAACCGAACGCCCTTTCACATCCTCACCTAACCTCAACGCGTGAATATGCATGAAGTATAGTCTTTGCTGTGAAAATTCATGAACTATAGTCCCTTGCGTGAATATGCATGAAGTATAGTCTTTGCTGTGAAAATGCGTAAATTGTAGTCTTTGGTGTGAAAATGCATGAACTATAGTCCCTTGCGTGAATATACATGAAGTATAGTCTTTGCTGTGAAAATGCGTAAATTGTAGTCTTTGGTGTGAAAATGCATGAACTATAGTCTTTGGTGTTAAAATGGTTGGACTATAGTCTTTGGTGTGAAAATGCATGGACTATAGTCTTTGGTGTGAAAATGCGTGAATTATATTCTTTGGTGTTATAATTCATGAATTATAGTCGGTGTGAAAATTCATGAAATGTTGTCTTTGGTGTAAAAATTGATGAACATGCATGAACTAATGTTTTTGGTCATTTTTTGGTGTGAAAATGCATGGACTATAGTCTTTGGTGTGAAATGCATGGACCATAGTCTTTGATGTTAAAATGCATGAACTATTGTTATTGGTGTGATATAGTCTCTTCACGATACTCTTGAATGACAAAATTGATTAAGGACATTCGCGTCACGACCCAAATTCACCACATGTCAATGGATGCCATTGGACTTACTTTACTCCTCTTGTTTCTTCACAGTAAAGCATTTATTGCTTAGAGTGCGATGAGAAAGTCCTTGTCTTAAGAGTTCTACAATTTCTATGATGCCGTCGAAGGCATATTTTCAAAACACGTTACAAACTAAAGCCTCATGTAATAAAAGGCAATAAATGCTGTTCTTTCCAAGTACTTGATATGTTTTCGGCATCACATCTCTCTCGCATCACATCTTAACCATGCACGAGGTCCTTGGTTCGTTCCGGTGTCGTCTTCAGTTCGGGTTGTTGATTGAGGGTTGAGTGCATGGTTAAGGTTAGAAGGGGATGTGAAAGGGTGTTCGGTTTGCCCTATGTTTCCTGACAATTAAAAAATGACTTCCTTCGGGAAATCATAGAAAAATTTGATCAAAACACTTAATTTTTTTAGGGCAAAATTTTTGCATCTGACCCTCTTTTCTTTTTTTTATTTGCGATTATCTTTTGAACATATAGTAAGTATCGCATTCCATTGTCGAAGAAACCAACAATAGAATTGACGTTTGTACAACATTTGTACACTACTATGCCCTTTATCTCCCCTTACTTTGCTCTTGACTTTCACAGTACTCGTTCATTGCAAGTCTTTTATGCTCAACCCACCATATCCAACATCCAACTGTCCCTCGAAGGGTTCGAACCCCACATATCCACCTGAGAAACCTCACTCTACAACACTCGACCAGTGTGTGCGTTGAAACAGTGAAAACAGTTAGAAAATTTAGTCCATTTACCATAATAGATGCTTGAAGTATAATAAAAAAAAATTATTTCGTAAAGAAACAACAAACCAAACATTTGTAGCATCGACTTTCAAACCATTGATATTTTCACAAAAACACTATAAATAAATCGAAAAGCATTTCGTTGTAGAACATCATCATTTAGTTTTAGCCATGGGATCTATTCTCTCTTGAGACGTCGAAGAAAGTATGTCTGCAAAATTTTTTTCTCTGTCCAATATTTCACCAAGGTGATCCGGTACAGATTTGTTTCAGCAGCTGTACAATATACGTGTTGAGAATACCATATATATCACTAAAACAAGACGCAGATATAGAAACTGTAAATTTTCGATTTTATTACAAATCCATTCGTCGGATAGACGTTGACCATTTTGGCACGGAAATGCCGTGAATATTTGAGTAGATATGGTCCAGTACAAAAACGATTACATTTCTTCTTTTTTGACAGCATATTTTATGGCAGTCTTTATCCCCTTTACTCGGCCATACCTTCTCGATGTTCAAATATTATATTCATATTCATCTCTAAATACTGTCGACGTGAAACAAATTAATTGTTCTTTGAAAACACATTATACAGTCATGACGGTGTTTTACAAGAACTGGTAGATGTGATAACTTCAACATAAACAGCATGCCTTTCATATGTTTAAATATGGTGTGTTATATCCACTGATAAATAGCTTTCTTGGAGGACGTCGTTGTAACTCAGCACTGAAAGCTTGCGTGTAAAAAACGTTTTGTTGAGAGTCACTTCAAAGCTTGACAAAATAGTTCTACTACATGTGGTCTCATAAATATCGGTAAATATTTCGGCTTGCTCTCGACCTGTTCATCGCCCAAGTCATCGTCAGTTTTCGAGAAATGTTAAAAGCGTCAATCAATTATTTCTCTTTTTCTTGTGTACTTCCATTTCTCACTCTTTCAGCCATTGCACTTGCTGTTGTTCTCTTAATTCACAAATCTGAATCCAGCGGTACTTTTATGTAGGCTTGTTGCTAATTATTTAGACATAACCTTGTGCTTGGTTTACACGTGTCTGATCATAAGCTTGAACGATAAGGCTTTTATTTTGTTTGCCAAATACAAAAAAATTTTATTTAAATATTCTTTTATTCTTCTTTTAGATCATGCTTTACTCTTTTCTTTATCCTTGAGCTTATATCTTATCGTATTTCACCTACTTCGTTGATTGCCTATTGTTATAGCTTGTGCATATTTCACTCATGTGAACCAGGCTTAACAATTAAGACATAAGACATGGGTTTATGTTTATGTCTACGCTAATATCTACCTTTATGTCTACCTTTATGTCTACCTTTATGTCTACCTTTATGTTTACCTTTATGTGTACCTTTATGTTTACCTTTATGTGTACCTTTATATTTACCTTTATGTCTACCTATGTACCTATGTCTATCCTTTATGTTTACCTTTAGTCTACCTTTATGTCTACCTTTATGTTTACCTTTATTTTTACCTTTATGTCTACCTTTGTCTACCTGTCTTGTCTAACTTTATGTCTCTTTATGTTTACCTTTATTTTACCTTTATGTCTACCCTTTATGTTTATGTCCTTTATGTCTACCTTGTTACCTTTATGTCTACCTTTGTCTACCTTTGTCATCCTTTATGTTTACCTTATGTGTCTACCTATGTCACCTTCATGTTTACCTTTATGTCTACCTTTATGTCTACCTTTATATTTACATTTATGTTTACCTTAATGTCTACCTTTATGTCTATCCTTTATGTCTACCTTTATGTCTACCTTTATGTTTACCATGTTTACCTTTATGCCTACCTTTATATCTACCTTTATGTCTACCTTTATGTCTACCTTTATATTTACCTTTATGTCTACCGTTATGTCTACCTTTATGTCTATCCTTTATGTTTACCTTAGTGTCTACCTTTATGTCTACCTTCATGTTTACCTTTATATTTACCTTTATGTCTACCTTTATATTTACCTTTATGTCTACCTTCATGTTTACCTTTATGTCTACCCTATATGTCTACCTTTATGTCTACCTTTATGTTTACCTTTGCGTGTCTACCTTTGCATGTTTACCTTTATGTCTACCTTTAAGTCCAACTTTGTGTATAGAAAAAGAATTGTTTTATTCTTAACTATTTTCGTCAATGATAACCACAAGTTAAAGGAACTTCTACTACCTACAAACGTTTCGGCAAATAGCCTTATAACAATTAAGAAATATAAATTTCCAATGATGCATGTAATCTCTTTTCTTCCATACTGTGCACGCAAAAGTAAACTTTGTGAGTATACTATAATTTTAAATGATACGATATTGAATATAGTTATAACTTTTATATGTACTTTTACATTTAAATTACATTCAAATCTTCGTAGTATGGAAGAGTTTTGAAGTTGTGAACTGGAAAATAATATTTTCCGTGTTTTCACGACGTCACTGTTTGTCACATCTAATTGGTCCTACGGTAGAGTCACGTGACGTGAAAACGAAGATGATGTTTTAAGTTGTTTTCTTGAATTGCGCGTATATTCTTTGACAGTCCTGGTAAAGTCAGAGACAAACTCTGATAGTCATTATACAGGTCCTAATTCGCATCGTTGACTTCGCAACAGGTTGATTGCGAGACGCCTTCGTTTTGCCTTGTATAGTATTTGTAGGGGACAAGTCTAATTAGTTACTAATTTTGTGCAGGGATGCGTTGCATTGTTGCTCTGGTGTCAGAATTCAACAATTTGCCTGGCGTAATACGTCGAAGAAAGATCATCGCTTTCACCTGTCCCACAGGATCGCAGAAGAGAATTTACGAAAAAACTCTCTGGATTCGAGGTACTCTTCACTGGCTGCTAGGTGAGTTTCAAAAGACAACGTCAAGAGCGGTTTATTCGGTGTTACTTTATGAACTGGGAGGTGAGATGTTCAAACTTTGTTCGCTTTCAAGCTTCACTAGTTTTGTAACAGATGAATAAGTTCGAAACATCGAGCCGTATCGTTTATCCTTTCATTAAAATTGGCATCTTTGAAATGTTTGGCAAAAATACATTTCCAAAGTGTGTCGTATGATCTACGTATCAACGGAGTTAAATAAAGCATTGCTACACTTAAAACAGACTCCATTGAATTAATTGTAGTTTCAAGTGACAAAACTCGAGTAATAAAGCGCAAAAGCAAAGACAAAGAAAATATTTTACAAATGTGTAAACTTGTGACACATCGGCACAGCTGAGCAAGCAACGTTTTCCATGTACTCGAATATTGAAAGAACTGCTTGTAACTGTGCATTTTGCGTTTTCCTTTTTGCGTTCCAACAGGAAAGACCGTCGGTTGCTCTAGCTGTAAAATGTGTACAAGATCTTATTTGTCGTCCAGACATAACAACGATGAAAAACAGCAAAAGCAACTGTCAATTAAAATGTATCTCAAATCCTCCTCTTCCATAACAAACTGTATTTTGTGTCCGAATAGTGACACATCCATTTTCACACGGTTTTCTAAATGATTATCCAAAACTTCGGTTATGAAAGACATCTACTTTTCTACATAATTCTACTGCCTTTACATCGGCCTATTCTGTTGACAAGAAATTCCTCCATTCTAGAATCAGCAAGCGATCCAAAATAATTATAAACCCACTTGTGATCTAGTTAACTGACACATGATAATCCAGTGCTCCAATATTCTGATCCAGGATCCATCAGCGATCCAATGATGTAATCCTGGATCCAGTATTGTACTAAAATATCATAACATTGACTGGTAACTTTTCAACTGATCTTTACACGTAGAGAGGACACAATGACAGACTTTCAGCGAGCGGGGCTATTACTTTTGTTCCTATATATAAATTCTTTAGAAGGTAAGACGTAGACTTTCCGTTGTAAAACGTTCCCAAGCAATCTCTTTTCCATTTCTTTTACTGTCATTTCATTGCAAACCGATTTTTACACACTTAATAATAACGGTGTACAATAATGTTTTGCACCCATGGTGGTTAAATTACCAAATTAAATCTGTATTCCAGTAGAAATAAACTGACTATAAACTCATCTTGCGCAATTATCCAAAGTGCAATGAGAGGTCACCTCATGTGCTCAATGAACCATCAGAAACATGTCTTCCTATTACTCATTTCATTTGCTCACTCGAAGCACAGGTAGTTCTACCAACCATCTTGTCGTGTTTTACGGAAATATTTTTCTTTTTCCACAGCTGGATCGTGTAGGAAAAACAATTTCAAATCAAAATATAGACGAGGTGAAGTTCCCCAAGCGGTGCCAGCTGTAATGGACATCGACACTCGAACGTCTTCGACGGAAAGTAGGTTCTATAAAATTAGTATGGAACATATTAGTTTTGCCGGTTCGTGTTCACTGTCGTCATGATTCGAAAGTTGTAACTCAAGGAGCTTATTGTCTTGGAATATTTAAGTTTGTCCGAGGGATTGGGGCTTGGGTCGACTGAATAATGTATTACAAAAGTAACAATTTCAATAACCATTGAGCATTTAAAATAAAACATAATCCGAAAAAAGACATCTTGTAAACTTAAATTCAAGAAATTAAAGTTATTAGACTTTTAATTGTCTTATTTAATAACTTGAATTTAAGTTTACAAGATGTCCTTTTTCGGATTATGTTTTATTTTATATCTTATGAAATCGTTGTCTGCTCAATGATTGTGCATTTTATACAACTTTATTGAGTTACAAATTTGGGATGTCCTGGACAGAAGACAGTAACGTAGCCAGGCCGCATGTCTCAGTAGCCAGGCCGCATGTCTCAGTCCTGCCATGTAAATTTCAGTACATTGTCATCGTTCATTTGTTCAGAGATCTGTTGTTTTTACATTAAGTAAAGAGAAAAATGACAGCAGGAGTAAACAAGCGAGGTGGCTTCTTCATTTACTTGAGTGCTGACAGCGGAGCACTCAGTTCGTTTGGGATGTATGTGAAAGAGTGGGTTGGTGGTGAGCTTGTTCAAACCACGATTAGGCATGATCTCAATGAAACAGTGCCGCTTCTTTGCAGAAAACGTTCCGGTGTCGATAGAAATCGGTCATTTCCGATAGTGGCACTGTTGGTGAATCAAACTGTAATTTCCTAAGAACGTATTTAATATTTTAGAAAAACTAGTGTGTTACCTCGATTTCGAAGACCAACCTGAAACTGGTACGAATATCAAGGACAAATCAATGAATGGTAACGATGGTTTCCGTGAGAGAGGTCTACTATTGGTGAATTTCAAAGGTTGTGGTAACGCTGCTTATCTGTACTCTGGTGATATCTTGTTTCATGGTGACACTTTTCAATTCAAACCCCATACCGGTAGGTTCGCCTCCACTTTTCAATTCAAACCGTGAGCACCACGTGGTCATTTTGTCAAACACATTAACCTAAGAAGAAAAATAGACAACTGTTTCATCTAACAATTCTGAAATTCATATGCTTCCTAGTTTTTATTTGGTTTTATTTTTACCATTTCATCCGTCGATAGCATGTTTGCCAGATTCCTTGTTCGAGATAAAAATGTCATACATGGCCGTCGAACATCAATTGGGGGTGAGGTGGGGATATTCCTATATTTAGTTGTGCCCAATTGATTTCTTTTGAAAGACACTTTGAAAATAAATCAGTCTGGCACAGTTGAATAAATGAATGCACACCCTCTCATCACCAATTAACGTTGAGCGACCACCCTGTACGCCACTACCTTTTTTAGAGCATTCGAAATGCTGTTAATCATTTTAACGATAAGCTCTCTATACCTTTTCCTCTCCAGGTGTCACGATCGCAGCCTGGGTTCGAATCATTGAGCTGCCTGGTAGTCATTCGATCTTTGATACGATCGGCAGCAGCCACGAGTGCGGTCAGTATCATTTGGAGATCAACGATGGTAATGTCCGTTGGTTTCATCGCAATGAGACACAGGCAACGGTGTTTAGTGTCGAAGCAATTGGTGGCATTATCAAGCAAAGTATGTCAGTTGAAAATGAATTTAACCGCAGTTGAAGCATATGTTGTGGACATTAAATATTGCATGAGAACTATCGATATTGAATCTTATATTAGAACTATAGACACTGAATCTTATATGAGAACTATAGACATTGAATCTTATATGAGAACTATGAACTTTGAATCTTGCTTGAGAACCATGAACTTTGAATCTTGCTTGAGAACCATGAACTTTGAATCTTGCTTGAGAACCATGAACTTTGAATCTTGCTTGAGAACCATGAACTTTGAATCTTGCTTGAGAACCATGAACTTTGAATCTTGCTTGAGAACCATGAACTTTGAATCTTGCTTTAGAACCATGAACTTTGAATCTTGCTTGAGAACCATGAACTTTGAATCTTGCTTTAGAACCATGAACTTTGAATCTTGCATGAGAAATATGGACATTTCAATCTGTAACTTGCTAAGCATTTTAATTGTATTCATTTCCAGGTGAATGGTTTCACGTGGCCGGTACATATGACGGTATTATTGGCAAAGCAAAGATTTATGTGAACGATGAGTTGAAAAATATGTCCGTCAACGAGTACGGTGGATTTTTGTCACTTGACTGGAACATGCGCGTGGGAATAGGCGATCACAAAAACTACCGTCCCGTGTTAGGATTCGTCGACGAGTTCCGTATATATAACTACCCTGTGACGAAAAACGAAATCACAGAGATGTTCAACAAATGCTCATTCAACAGTAAGCAGAGCGACCACTCGTCGGCATGTTTCTTAGCATATTGCATGCAGGTTTAGACATCGACAACTTAATGTTTCGCTACCGAACAAAAATATTCATGATAAGATCAATACTATTTTGTACAATACTTGTTGCCAGTGGGTTTTTTTAATATCACATCACCCATTCTGCCATATCCATGAATCAAACCAATTAGTGTGTACAACTTTTTCCAATGTACAATGTAGTAACAATTTTGACTTAGTGAAACATTTCAACTACGTGAAACCTATAGAACTAAGTCAAACCTATAATTTAGTAAAGCCTCTAAGTTCGTAAACAAAACGTTTAACTTAGTAAAACCTCTAAGTTCGTAAACAAAACCTTTAACTCAGTAAAACCTTTAAGTTCGTAAGTAAAACCTTTAAGTTCGTAAGTAAAACCTTTAAGTTCGTAAGTAAAACCTTTAACTTAGTAAAACCTTTAAGTTCGTAAGTAAAACCTTTAACTTAGTAAAACCTTTAAGTTCGTAAGTAAAACCTTTAACTTAGTAAAACCTTTAAGTTCGTAAGTAAAACCTTTAACTTAGTAAAACCTTTAAGTTCATAAACAAAACCTTTAACTTAGTAAAACCTTTAAGTTCGTAAGTAAAACCTTTAACTTAGTAAAACCTTTAAGTTCGTAAGTAAAACCTTTAAGTTCGTAAAACCTTTAAGTTCGTAAGTAAAACCTTTAAGTTCGTAAGTAAAACCTTTAAGTTCGTAAGTAAAACCTTTAAGTTCGTAAGTAAAACCTTTAAGTTCGTAAGTAAAACCTTTAAGTTCATAAACAAAACCTTTAACTTAGTAAAACCTTTAAGTTCATAAACAAAACCTTTAACTTAGTAAAACCTTTAAGTTCATAAACAAAACCTTTAACTTAGTAAAACCTTTAAGTTCGTAAGCAAAACCTTTAAGTTCGTAAGTAAAACCTTTAATTTAGTGAACCCGTTAACTTAGTGAAATCATGTCAATTTTTCTTCATTTTTCTAGATGGAGCTGTTGCTTCTACTGTACAACCAACTACTGGCGTTCCAACTAACGTGACAGCTTATACAATACTTGATCCTCGGACGACGACTGCAACTCCGCCTGGATCTTTGATACACGAGGCTATCTTTGTTAGCGGTAATATTGTCGATGTCGATAAGATTTGTCTGCAAGTGGCTGTATGCGCTGTCGCACCCCTCCCTCCTCCACCAAATCATTTGGAGCGATGGGATAATATTGCAGAGATATATTAGCCCGAGTAAAAGCCGTAAAAGTACAGTTAATTTTCAACGAGGGAAATCGATTTTCCCGTTAGCAAGGATTGGTGCTAGCAGAATCAGTGACGCACCCAATCCTCTTGGTGATTTCTTCTGGGCAAATTTTTCTGAATATGCGAAAACAGAATATGTTTAAAGAAATGAATAACCAAGTTCTGATGTTTACGTAACACGACCAAAACTTTCGGGCTGACAACGCTACTGTAGTCTATCCACGAGTTCTAGCCATGATAAGTAGATATCAGAACGTCGAAAAGACTCATTTAAAAATTTATTCTGTTTACACGGAAAAAAATTCCCTAGCTTGCTTCCTTTCCTACTTCACGTATTTTTTACGTTTGTGGATTGGACGAGCGATGAATTTGGTGTAGTTTTAAGACAAGAATTTATCAGCGATTTCTTTCTGTAGACAACCAAAAACATGTAGACACACACAGCATAATGAACAACCAGAATAGCACACAGAGGGAACTGAGCCACCAGGCAAACGGATACAACGAACTGAGCCACCAGGAAAACGGACACAACGAACTGAGCCACCAGGAAGACAGACACAACGAATTGAGCAACCTGTCTGGCAGATACAGGGAAGTGGGCACACTGGATGTCAGACACACGGAGCCGAACAACCACAAAGACAAACAAAGCAAACTAAGCACCCAGGAAGACGAACAAAGCAAACAAAGCACCCAGGAAACGGTGGAAACCATTTTTAAACGTGGAAAAATCTTCAAACACCAAAGAGGCAACTGACGCATTTGTCAAATCTCGTTGCCTCGGCAACCTCTATTAGCTTATCTAAGGAGCTCAATTCGACACTTGTTCAACAACAAACTAAACTAGAATGATATTCACGAGAGTTGAATGTTTAACTTTTAGCTGTGTGTCTATTAAAGACCCATATTTGTCTTAGAAATTGTATGTAAATTTTATTTTAATAAATCCGCAATTTTCATTTATTGGTCTGAAGTTACATACGGAAGTGTAAAGAAAGACAAAATTCTCTCACAATTCCGCGTTATTAGGTGGGGGTGGGGGGTGGGTGTTTTAATTTGCATTAGACTTCAGTGGCTACTTGTTACCGTAGCAGGTCAGACTTTTTAAAATTCTGTCATCTTTTTATTATGGTTGATAAAACACTAATTGCAATTGCTTCTGCGTATAATTGTTTGGTATTTAAGAATTTTGTAGACAAATTGTCACACACCTTTCACACGCATTCTAGTAAAGACTAAGAGAAGTGCGCACCTTCACTTAAATCCATCCCTGAACGCAACTAATACCGCACTTGAGGGAGACACGCAAACGTCTGCAGTAAATAGAAAATCGTCTTCGTACATGTGAGAAATATTTTCTTTAATTTGGTAGAATTTATTCGGTCTTAACAACAACACCAGTTTATAAGTTTGAAGTAGGCATATTCGCAATAATTTGTTTCTAGAAATTCATATTGTTCTCATGAGAAGATGAAACGAGAAAGCAAGCCAGGCACAAGCAATCAAATACAGATGACAAAATTAAAAGAATCAATGTCACAATAGCATGAAGACATCTCAAATATTTTATATTCAAAAAGTAAACTGGGTTTTGTTTTCTTCTGACGCATGCAACTGCATACATTAGATGTTTTTGTGTCACCCAATACTGATTTGTTCAGTTTTTTTCCCTAAAATCAAGTTCAAACTTGCTCCGGTTGGCCTGCGTAATCGTTTTCATCCGTTTTTCATCACACCTCTCACAAATTGAGAAAAAATCAAAATTACGAAGCAAATATTTATCTTTTTGAGAGAGACACCGAACAAAGTTGACGTTACAAACAGTGGGAGGCATTTATGAACTACAAACACGCAACAAATGGAAGCATTTACGAAAAAAAATACACAACAAGTGGAAGTCCTACGCAGTCTTCGTCTATCTTACTTGTGGAATAACCACATGGACAAATTCATGATTCAATTTCACATAAACAAAAGCACAAACAACGTTGAATAACATCACAAAACGACAGCAATCTCAATGCATCTTTATATAAGTACTTATTAAGCGAATACCATAATCACGTGCGAAGGCTTTGGTCACGTGCGATTCGAATACATGTGAGCATTTTTGACAAGTCTAAAAATAATGAAATGCAAACATTAGCAATTCAGTCATTCAAAAGAGATGTAAAAATACGAAAAAATGTGGTGAAGGATTCTGGTTATCAGAAGCACATAAGAGAGTTTTAGCTTGACACTGACGGAAAACCGCAAAAAGTCACGTGATCATTGCTTAGCAGTTTACGTGGTAATTACTTTAACTGACCATTCCTGAATTGTATCAATATGCTGTTATAAAAGAACACACGTAGTATCTTCCTACGCAATCTTAATCATACTTAGCCATACGTAGGACACCTTAGCTATGCTTAGTTATACTTAGACCACCTCAGATATACTTAGTACTCTTTAGACAACCTTAGCTATACTTAGACCACCTCAGATATACTTAGTACTATTTAGACAACCTTAGCTATACTTAGACCACCTCAGATATACTTAGTACTATTTAGACAACCTTAGCTATACTTAGACCACCTCAGATATACTTAGTACTATTTAGACAACCTTAGCTATACTTAGACCACCTCAGATATACTTAGTACTCTTTAGACAACCTTAGCTATACTTAGACCACCTCAGATATACTTAGTACTCTTTAGACAACCTTAGCTATACTTAGACCACCTCAGATATACTTAGTACTATTTAGACAACCTTAGCTATACTTAGACCACCTCAGATATACTTAGTACTCTTTAGACAACCTTAGCTATACTTAGACCACCTCAGACATACTTAGTACTCTTTAGACAACCTTAGCTATACTTAGACCACCTCAGTTATAGTTAGTACTTTTAAACAACCTTAGCTATACTTAGACCACCTCAGACATACTTAGTACTCTTTAGACAACCTTAGCTATACTTAGACCACCTCAGTTATACTTAGTACTCTTTAGACAACCTTAGCTATACTTAGACCACCTCAGATATACTTAGTACTATTTAGACAACCTTAGCTATACTTAGACCACCTCGGATATACTTAGTACTCTTTAGACAACCTTAGCTATACTTAGACCACCTCAGATATACTTAGTACTCTTTAGACAACCTTGGCTATACTTAGACCACCTCAGACATACTTAGTACTCTTTAGACAACATTAGCTATACTTAGACCACCTCAGTTATACTTAGTACTCTTTAGACAACATTAGCTATACTTAGACCACCTCAGTTATACTTAGTACTCTTTAGACAACATTAGCTATACTTAGACCACCTCAGACATACTTAGTACTCTTTAGACAACATTAGCTATACTTAGACCACCTTAAAGACATAAGTACAGCTAATGTAAGCTGTATAAGCATATGTAAATATAGGGTAACGGCCATTCCCCTCACCTTCCCTCCAACCAAAAGTTAGAAGAATTGCCCTCCCCTAGCACCCTCTCCCATCAGTAATAACGTCTCTGGTACAATGTACTGTATAAAGCTATAATCTCGTACGGTCGTAAACTAACCTAAAGTGTTCTTCAATTACAGATAACTTATCATCACCAACATTACGACATAACACATCAACTACAATTTGAGCTTCTCTGTAATTCTTCTCGAGGATTTTGGGTGAACACGAAACAAAATCTTGACACACAACGGACAAAAACGACAACCTTGCAAGAAAAAAACTCACGATAACGAAATGAAATGAAATTAAAAAAAAAAGTAGAAACAGCGAGCAAGACTCTGGGGTTGACTGTTTTGATTAGCAATAAACAAAGTCAGTGTATAATGTTCGCCAATTCATAATGCTATTAACACAATCGATGATTACAACGAAGACCTCTAAACCAATGCACTTCTGAGGTAATTTATCCCGGACTATATTATCCACTATCCAGGGGCAGGAAGTCCAAATACCGCTGATTCACGCGATAGGAGCTTTTCAAGCGTACTTAAAAGTTATTATATTTTTCAGGAAAATGAATCTTTGCTATTTTTAATAGACGATTTTTTATATTGATTACTCAGTTTAAATCGCTGGTTTTGACCATTATCTTTCAAAGACAATAGCCAATAGAAAAATTATTTTACAGTGAGCAGCGTTATTACGGATTTGAGAAACTGTTTCCAGAGCAACACAATTGAAGAAGGATCGTGGTCTGCATTCATATAAAGCCTTCCACAATGACGGGCTCGACTTCGCCCATGGTTTTACCATCATTTTCAAATGCTGTTCAGTGAATTGGATCAACTACATGGCGCGTTCATTTGCTTTCTCAGAGATACTTAAAAACGGGGAATTCTTTAAAATTCTAGCAAGTTTTAGAGTGGAATGGCAACTTACCACATCGTGTAGGATTTAAAGTTATTTTCGTTTATATTCTTTGAGAGATCCGAAAGACGTTTCAACAGCGCAGCAAGGATTCGCAGCGTAAACTAGAAACAAAATATCGATATATTTACATATGAGGAAGGCAAAAGACGGATATACGATTACAGATCCATTCTATAAATTTACATAGACCAAACTTGGCCTCCTGGCAACGATACCACTCGCAATATGAAAACAAAGACCAGAACATACAAGACTTTTCGAAGCCTGGAATTTCAAAATCCTTTACCTTGTTACCAAGCAGATGCAGGACGGAATTATCAGCTTCCATGACATTGTTACGATGCTGAACGATTAATTCATAAGGAGTCGCATTAACTATGTCCACAACACCGTCACAGATGCTTTCTGTTTCATCTTGATACAAGTCTCTTTTAGTAAACACGCGAAGATTTCTCGTAATGGCTAGAGCAATTTCGAAACGCTGATCCTATGAAATAAGCATCGATCAGCAATCAAGAAATCAAAAATGTAGGTTTTGTGTTTGAACAGCCTTTTTGCAAACCGAGGAGAGCTTTTGGAGTACACGAAAGCAGATCAGTGCAAGCCCAAGACCGAAGGTCGAGGGTTGCACCTGCTCGAGAGTTCTTCACAAACATCTCCGAATCTCAGATGTTTGCATAAGCAAGTGAAAACACGAAAAACATCTTTATTTTCCTTTGCAAAATAACAAGAAAGCGAAACAGGTAAATTTAAAAAGAAACGTGTCGATTTTTCCTCTACCATTTATTCAGGATTGATTTGCAAATTCTCTTTGATTGATTAAATTGATTGAGCACATATCAGTCTGCACAGGCTATTCCAAACTCAGCTACAAACCAATCAGCGCATGCGTTCTACTGCAGACAAGTTCACACACGACTCATCGTTGCTCCCAAGAATCAAGCGAACCTTACCTGCTTAACAATGCGAAGAATTTTGCTCACCAATCTTCGACCTTTTCTTACTGAGAGTATTTGAAGCAAAGTGTCATCATTGTATCTAAAAAGGAATAACAATCAAAGGCGGGAAAGTTGAATAAACAATGAGTTACTTGTACTTATTCCCCCCTCCCCAGACTGCGAATGCTGCTCAGAAATAATCGTGTTCGCACGCCATAGTTAAAGTACGTAATTGATAAACAACTAAATTTTCCATCTGGAAAACGATAAACCAACCATTGTGGGCAAACTAAACCTGACGTCGCTGTGCTTAGAAATGGATATGTACAAAAACAATCAAGCTCGTGTCCTTCGATTGAAACCGGGATTTCCGAAGCCTTTAAATTTTTCTTGAGTAAGATGTAACCTCATCAAACAGTAATGCACAAATTACCAAATATGTGGTAAACTTTCACGAGGTGGGGGGGAGGGGGATTAAGTATCCACGGCAAATTACCAAACATGTCGTAAACTTTCACGAGGGGGGGATCAAGATAAAGTATTCACAGCAAAGGCAATGGGACTTTTCCAAACAAAATTTATCCAAACCTAGGAGCGGTAGAAGGGACACCAGGTAACGCTATTCATTGACGCTTATGATAGCAAATAATAAACAGATCAAAGTATTTTATTGTTGCACAACATACTGTGTAATACCCAACCTTTAATTCTTGCATAACATACTGTGTAATACCCAACCTTTAATTGTTGCATAACATACTGTGTAATACCGAACCTTTTATTGTTGTATAACACACTGTGTAATACAAAACTTTTTATTGTTGCATAACATACTGTGTAATACCCAACCTTTTATTGTTGCATAACATACTGTGTAATACCCAACCTTTAATTGTTGCATAACATACTGTGTAATACCCAACCTTTTATTGTTGCATAACATACTGTGTAATACCCAACTTTTCATTGTTGCATAACATGCTGTGTAATACCCAACATTTCATTGTTGCATAACATGTTGTGTAATACCCAACCTTTAATTGTGCATAACATACTGTGTAATACCCAACCTTTTATTGTTGCATAACATGCTGTGTAATACCCAATCTTTTATTGTTGCATAACATACTGTGTAATACCCAACCTTTTATTGTTGCATAACATACTGTGTAATACCCAACCTTTAATTGTTGCATAACATACTGTGTAATACCCAACCTTTTATTGTTGCATAACATACTGTGTAATACCCAACTTTTCATTGTTGCATAACATGCTGTGTAATACCCAACATTTCATTGTTGCATAACATGTTGTGTAATACCCAACATTTCATTGTTGCATAACATGTTGTGTAATACCCAACCTTTAATTGTGCATAACATACTGTGTAATACCCAACCTTTTATTGTTGCATAACATGCTGTGTAATACCCAATCTTTTATTGTTGCATAACATACTGTGTAATACCCAACCTTTTATTGTTGCATAACATACTGTGTAATACCCAACCTTTCATTGTTGCATAACATGTTGTGTAATAACCAACCTTTAATTGTTGCATAACATACTGTGTAATACCCAACCTTTAATTGTTGCATAACATGTTGTGTAATACCCAACCTTTATTTGTTGCATAACATGTTGTGTAATACCCAACCTTTTATTGTTGCATAACATACTGTGTAATACCCAACCTTTTATTGTTGCATAACATGTTGTGTAATACCCAACCTTTTATTGTTGCATAACATACTGTGTAATACCCAACCTTTTATTGTTGCATAACATGTTGTGTAATAATCAACCTTTAATTGTTGCATAACATACTGTGTAATACCCAACCTTTAATTGTTGCATAACATGTTGTGTAATACCCAACCTTTAATTGTTGCATAACATGTTGTGTAATACCCAACCTTTTATTGTTGCATAACATACTGTGTAATACCCAACCTTTTATTGTTGCATAACATGTTGTGTAATACCCAACCTTTTATTGTTGCATAACATACTGTGTAATACCCAACCTTTTATTGTTGCATAACATGTTGTGTAATAACCAACCTTTAATTGTTGCATAACATACTGTGTAATACCCAACCTTTTATTGTTGCATAACATACTGTGTAATACCCAACCTTTTATTGTTGCATAACATGTTGTGTAATAACCAACCTTTAATTGTTGCATAACATACTGTGTAATACCCAACCTTTAATTGTTGCATAACATGTTGTGTAATACCCAACCTTTAATTGTTGCATAACATGTTGTGTAATACCAACCTTTATTGTTGTATAACATGCTGTGTAATACCAACCTTTTATTGTTGCATAACATACTGTGTAATACCCAACTTTTTATTGTTGCATAACATACTGTGTACTACCCAACCTTTTAGTGTTGCATAACATACTGTGTAATACCCAACCTTTTATTGTTGTATAACATGCTGTGTAACACCCAACCTTTTATTGTTGCATGACATACTGTGTAATACCCAACCTTTTATTGTTGCATAACATACTGTGTAATACCCAACCTTTTATTGTTGCATAACATACTGTGTAATACCCAACCTTTTATTGTTCCATAACATGCTGTGTAATACCCAACCTTTTAGTGTTGTATAACATACTGTGTACTACCCAACCTTTTAGTGTTGCATAACATACTGTGTAATACCCAACCTTTTATTGTTGTATAACATGCTGTGTAATACCCAACCTTTTATTGTTGCATGACATACTGTGTAATACCCAACCTTTTATTGTTGCATAACATACTGTGTAATACCAACCTTTTATTGTTGCATAACATACTGTGTAATACCAACCTTTTATTGTTCCATAACATGCTGTGTAATACCCAACCTTTTAGTGTTGTATAACATACTGTGTAATACCCAACCTTTTAGTGTTGTATAACATACTGTGTACTACCCAACCTTTTAGTGTTGTATAACATACTGTGTAATACCCAACCTTTTAGTGTTGTATAACATACTGTGTAATACCAACCTTTTATTGTTATGTGTAATACCCAACCTTTTAGTGTTGTATAACATACTGTGTACTACCCAACCTTTTAGTGTTGCATAACATACTGTGTAATACCCAACCTTTTATTGTTGCATAACATACTGTGTAATACCCAACCTTTTATTGTTGCATAACATAATGTGTAATACCAACCTTTTATTGCATAACATACTGTGTAATACCCAACCTTTTATTGTTCCATAACATGCTGTGTAATACCCAACCTTTTAGTGTTGTATAACATACTGTGTAATACCCAACCTTTTAGTGTTGTATAACATACTGTGTACTACCCAACCTTTTAGTGTTGTATAACATACTGTGTAATACCCAACCTTTTAGTGTTGTATAACATACTGTGTAATACCCAACCTTTTATTGTTGCATAACATACTGTGTAATACCCAACCTTTTAGTGTTGTATAACATACTGTGTACTACCCAACCTTTTAGTGTTGCATAACATACTGTGTAATACCCAACTTTTATTGTTGCATAACATAATGTGTAATACCCAACCTTTTATTGTTGCATAACATACTGTGTAATACCCAACCTTTTAGTGTTGTATAACATACTGTGTACTACCCAACCTTTTAGTGTTGCATAACATACTGTGTAATACCCAACCTTTTATTGTTGCATAACATACTGTGTAATACCCAACCTTTTATTGTTGCATAACATACTGTGTAATACCCAACCTTTTATTTTTGCATAACATACTGTGTAATACCCAACCTTTTATTGGAATCTTTAGATGGCTTTAGTTGAAGCAAATCAAAACAACGCTGACATAATCTTTCTCGTCTTTCACGGAGTTGCGGTCTAAAATCAGTCATAAAATGCCTTGAAAACAATATTGTCCGTCCTTTGTCTAAATTTTCTGACACCACAATGAAAGAACAAGCATACCTGACGTCTAAAGGTACTTGCAGCACCATGCGTCCTAGTTCTTCAATAGGCAATATTTGATCGAAACCCTTTACAAAAAAACAATAGTTGTTAACAACTTTCAGTAAATCCTTTCCAATATTTTAGCAAATGAACAACAACAATACTTGTACACAAAACAAGACTTCGCTATTAGTGTATAGGTAATAGTATAGTTTCGAGTGCAATTACGGATAAATATGCACGAGTGAGTATTTTAAAGATTGCAACGAAATAGCGCGAGTCCTAACGACGAGCTCTATTTGCAGTCTTTAAAAAACTCATGGGTGCATGTTTATCCGTAATTGCACAAGAAACTATACTAAGCCGTTAATAACCGAGCGCGAGGTCTGTACGGAGAAATAACGGACCGAGGTGTTTTTGTACAGACTGAGCCCGTAGAGCGAGGTTTGTACAAAAAGACAGAGGTCCGATATTTCTCAGTAAAGACCGAGAAAGTGAGGTTATTAAAAGGTTTATTATATGGCATTATTTGACCTGAAACGAAGCTTGCTTTCTATCTCGTCCATGCTGTTTTTTACCGGTTGGCTTTCACTTTTCTAGTTTTCGTCCATAAAAAAATAAATCGTTTCAAATTGTATCGTCTGGATAGTTGAACTGTTTGCCAAATGTCTTTCCTTCGAATCACATTCGCAAATGGTTTTTTTTTCGTTTATTTTGCATTTTGCTGTTTGCATTACGAAATTTGTTTACATTTGACTTTAGAATTACGCGTTTTGGACCGTGGTCGATTACGGGAAAATAATGGACCGGCAAAAATGTTTCTGAGCCAATCAAAGAGCATCATTTTGCTGGAAGTGACGCTTGCCATATAATATTACTTAATAATAATATACTTTGAGATATTTCTTCATTGTACCGTCTAACTCAGTAGAACTCGCTTTTTTGTTTTTATCCTTTGCATTCTACATTCATTCTTGAACTTCAAGCGATTTACAATTGTGGAAATTCTTGTTTACTTACACCTGCCGCCATGGTTTTTTTAATTCAAAAGGAGTTTGTTTGGCTTTCACTGCTTTCTAGCCAATCAGGTTGCAATATTTACAGTGCAATTAAAATTTTCCACAGTGCAATTACAGCTTTTCAACAGTTCATTAACACATTTTACAGTGCAATTACAAATGAACTGCACTGCAATCAACCAATCAAAGTCGACAAATATCTCAAGGTATATTATTAGTCTCATAAAAACAGAAACGCAATTAGAAAACATTAAATTTCACCTTTTCTACGGTTAAAAGCAATTGATATTTCTTTTTCGTATCCTTGAGAGATCCAACCTAGGCATGACAAAATCACAAAAGATTGATTTATTTACAACGATAGCAATTTAAATAGCTAGTGTAGTGGCAGGAGGAGTAATTTAAATAGCTAGTGTAGTGGTAGGGGTAACTTAAATAGCTAGTGTAGTGGCAAGAGGGGAGTAATTTAAATAGCTAGTGTAGTGGTAGGGGGAGTAACTTAAATAGCTATTGTAGTGGTGGGGAGTAAAAATAGCTATTGTAGTGGTAGGGTAGCAAATAGCTACTGTAGTGGTTAAATAGCTATTGTGGTGGTAGGAATAAATAGCTATTGTAGTGGTGGGGGAGTAACAAATAGCTATTGTAGTGGTGGCAAATAGCTAGGTGGTGGGGAGTAACTTAAATAGCTACTGTAGTGGTAGGGGGAAGTAACTTAAATAGCTACTGTAGTGGTAGGAGGAAGTAACTTAAATAGCTACTGTAGTGGTGGGGGAGTGAAATAGCTAATGTAGTGGTAGCTACTGTAGTGGTAGGAAAAATAGCTACTGTAGTGGTAGATGAAATAGCTAGTGTAGTGGAATGAAATAGCTATTGTAGTGGTAGGAAGTGAAATAGCTACTGTAGTGGTAGGGAAGTGAAATAGCTACTGTAGTGGTGGGGAATGGAAATAGCTAAGTGGTGGGAGCTTAAATAGCTACTGTAGTGGTAGGGGGAAGTAACTTAAATAGCTAGTGTAGTGGTAAGGGAGTAATTTAAATAGCTACAGTATTAGTAGGAAGGGAGTAATTTTAATGGCTAGTGTAGTGGCAGGGGGGAGTAATTTAAATAGCTACAGTAGTGGTAGGGAGGGTAGAGTGAGTAGCCGAAATACCAACGTCTAAAAATCATCTAATAATTACTATTAAAAAAATGTAGTCAAAATTGCGAGTGTATATACCGGTCCTATAGGTTTGCCAGAATCACCCACTTGAACAACTTCTCGTGGATGGAATACAGACCCAACAGAGACTTGACCAAGAGATCCTTCGAACTTTGCTACATGAAGCAAAGAAACAAAATCAACTCTGTAAGACTTTCCCTTCAATGGATATCAAGGATTCATATAAATTTACTTGGTCTGTAGTTATGATCTTGTTTTGTCACGTGTGGTAACGTCATCTCGATATCTTTGTTCACGTGTCTAGATTCAGCGACCACTCCAGTTGAATTCTCCGATCGCTCTTTGGCCAAACGACGTCTTTCGAATGTCTAAACAGGACACGATTTAAAACCCTTGCCATAAATAGAATATCGGTGCTCAGAGTAAACAGATGACTGCTTATAGGATGTCGTAGATATGAAGGGCGAACTCGGTGAGTCTCAATTTTTAACATGGAATGGCGTCTTATCATTCCTCATTGCCTTATGCAGAGTAAATATCTACTTAATATGAAATGGATCGTTCGACTGCGTAGTAAGAAGATGTTGGGGGTAATAGCTGAACTTATTGAAGGTGGGAAGATGGCGGCAGGTAGGCTTAATGTGTGGTAGTAGGTAGGCTTAATGTGCGGAGGTAAGTAGGCTTAATGTGTGGTAGTAGGTATGTAGGCTTAATGTGTGGTAGTGGGTAGGCTGTTTGGTGATAGGTCGACTTAATGTGTTGTGATAGGTAGGCTGTTTGGTGATAGGTAGACTTAATGTGTTGTGATAGGTAGGCTGTTTGGTGATAGGTAGACTTAATGGGGTGTGGTAGGTAGGCTGTTTGGTGATAGTTAGGTTTAATGTGTGGTAGTAGGTAGGTTGTGTGGTGATAGGCAGACTTAATCTGTAGTATTAGGCAGGCTGTTTGGTGATAGGTAGGTTTAATGTGTGGTATTAGGTAGGTTGTTTGGTGGTAGGTAGGTATAATGAGTGGTGAAAGAGGAGCGGTGTAGGTAGACTTAAAATCTGAGGTGGATACATGAAGTTGGGGTAGGTAAGCTTATTGTGTAGTAGAAAGATGGAGTTAGGTAGGTTAAGTACGCTTGATATTTTTACAGCAAAAACTATTCGTAATACTTACATGGAAATAATAATCATCGAGTTCCGGTTTATCACTAGTCAACTGCATCAGTTGTATCCTTATTATCCAATCCTTTTCCTTTGCCGTCATTAATGTGCCTGAATCATTATCATCATCGTCATCGCTACCCACGTAGTACTGAGGAACGTATCGATGACTCGCGGACTCGGTCAGGTAACTTTGTTGACGTCGTCGATTGTCATGGTTGCGACCGCCACGCACGTGATCCCACGATGCGTTCCGCGATTGGGAGGCAATGAAGCGGCCATGTTGGGCGGCCATGTTAGGGGAAGGGCGGCGATTAACGTGTCCTATGCGCAAATGATGTACTTCATGTCGACATAAAATTAATGTAACTATATTTAAGACGTAGGGAGAGTAGGGTGGGAGCACTGATCTCGAAATAAGACTGGATCAAGCATCTAGCACAAAAGTTGAAGACAAAAATTAAGGAGCGCCACCATTACTAAGGGACCAACTTGCGAAAACAAGTAGCAAATGTAACGTGGATTTATACGAGAATAATGAAGAATTTTCAACACGTAACTACATGAACATAATTAAGAGATAAATCAGTTTATGAAAGAGCTAAAAATACGATGAAATATGATGAAATATGATCAAAATGCAGCGATTTTTGTCATCGGTAACTCTACTGTGGTATGGAAAAACTATGGAAAATAGCCCACAACTGAATGGAAATACCTAGAATCGTCGGAATCGTAGTTCAGAAATACTAGTTGATCAAATATTCTCATTTAAGATCACAAACTGACCAATCCTTTCAAATTACAAGCCTTTCTTATGAGTGATTCGGAGTGAAACCTGTTTGCAAACTGTTGTTATAAAATTGATTATTCTTTCTGACTCTCTTCACTATCGCCCGAAGGTTGTTTTTCACCTTCTGCATCATTTTAAAACATGATTTTGCTAAATTTTTCATAGTTTTTCTATTTCGAGATCAGTGGGGGGTTGTAGGAAGGAGGTACCAAGCATTTTAAATTTTTACTTTACATCTGTGGGGGGTTGTAGGAAGGAGGTACCAAGCATTTTAAATTTTACATTACATCAGTGGGGGTTGTAGGAAGGAGGTACCAAGCATCTTAAATTTTTACTTTACATCAGTGGGGGGTTGTAGGAAGGAGGTGACAAGCATTTTAAATTTTTACATTACATCAGTGGGGGGTTGTAGGAAGGAGGTACCAAGCATTTTAAATTTTTACTTTACAACATTACTCGTGGTCAATAGCGGCCTCCTTCCGCGCAAATTTTTAAAAATGCGTAAAATATCTGACTGTGTTGAGAGTGTAACATTGATTACCATTGATCAATAGGATTCTGGTATTTGGTCAGGGGGAGAGATGATGAGCTTTCACAAACAAGTATTTTGCTTTGAAATAATGCAACTCCCTTTCAGAAGATATTCCTCAGATAATTCGTTTTGGTGAAATTTGTGTGTCCATTACGCATACATACCTGGATCGGAGTGATAAAAAGGCCTTTGTAAACGAGGTGCAAGTTGGTGGTGAGGGTTATTCGAGATAGGATGAGGAAAACCCATCCTCTGTTTCATCATCGCCGAGTAAATTACCTGAGCTTGAGTTGCGGCGAGATTAGGGTGCACGGGAGGAATTGGGCGTGGCTGGTTATACGGAGTGGAGTGCAAAAGGTGTGGAGACTTAATGAAAAAAAATATTGCATCACTTATTGCTTAACCATAGAGAATTCTTATTGAGTATATAGCAAGTGTATGATTGTAAAGTCAAAAAGTATGATCACTTTTCAATCCATCTTTCCGACGATAGACGTACGTGTCAAAAATACGAGATCAAATTACAAAATTCGGACAATCAAATGGTCGGACATAGTATTGATGAGTTCGATACGCATTTATCAAAACAAGCTAAGAAGACAAAGAGCACGCCAAAAATATATGATTGAAAATTTGCTCAGCGCATCTACAAGCACCAATTTCAAAGCTCGCTCTGTCACAAATTAATTGAGAATTAATCTGAGCATGCGTAGTCAACTCCACCAGCTACGTAGTCAACTCCGTGATGAACGAAAGCAGCCATGGGCTTCCTGGAAAAAAGTTTCTTTTCTAACGATAGTTTTTATAAAGATAAAATTAATAAGCCAAACCATTTGTATCGTCTAAATTGAACCCTTATATGTCCTAAAATTTTAATTCACTTTGGATGATAAATTTCTTTTTACCTTACAACATTTTCATGATTCAATCTAGAAAGACACTTCACTTGTCGAGTAATTTTGCGATTAAACAGTACACTTTTCGGATTCAAAGGACTTCTTTTGATCTCAAAGAGACAGCCGTCCAATTTATTACGCAAATGCATGTAGTATGCATTTCGTTGTAAGAAACTACCCTACCTAAGAATATCCATATCCGTATTTAGCTGCATCGAGCGAAGAACATTGCAAGTCATATAGTTTTTTTAACTGTTATTTTTATATTTATGATTCGATCTATCATGACATTTGAGATGAGATTCATGACTACCTTTGAATACAATAACATACGTTCATAAGACAATGTTTTATGTTATCATTTAGCGTCATCGTAATTTTATACATTAAATTTATAGCTATAATTCAAAATTCCATTTTCACGTATATAACTTGTAAATGAGTCTGAAAAGCCAGTTTTCGGGAGATTTCATCCATCAATAATAATAATAGTGATAAGTAAAAAACAGTTCAAAAATTTGTATGGCTTGCTTTTTTGCGCTTTATGCAGCTGGAATCCATCCTGGATATTCTTAAGTCACGCCGTAAAGGCCCGTAACAATCCTTACAAAAAAGTCGCGAGCGCGAAAACATGCCAGTTATGCAAGCTTTCCTTCGATCGTTATGCTTTTTTCTAACCCAAAATGGTTAATATTTACTGTTATGCCTTCTGACTTAATAAATAATCCTTCTGAATAACTAGAATCACATACACTAATGCCCTAAAACTGAAAAACATCTCCAAACTATTTTATTGCCACTATCCTACATATACAGTACTATGTCCGACCATTTGATTGTCCGAATTTTGTAATTTCATCCCGTATTTTTGACAAGTGTGTCTACCGTCGGAAAGGTGGATTGACCATAGAGAATTTCTACGGAGTATATAGTAAATGTAGAATTGAAAAGTCAATGAGTGTTTTTACATGATGCGAAGATGTTACCCCGACATTGATGTTAGGCAGAAAACCAGGAGGAGGTCGGATTACTTTTGGCCGAGCATCAACAAAGTTTGGTAGGACACTGGGACCCTGACTTATCTTCTCTAAATCCTGCACGCGAATAGGTTGAGGAATTCGCTTAGGCAAAGCCGACACGATCGCTTCATCCTAGCAACACATGTATTGAAGCAAGTCAGTTACGCTACACTTCATTTACCAACGGTTTATCTGATTACATTGCAACCAACTTTCTACATCGTCAAGAAAACTAAAGTAATGAATTCCATTCAATAAACCACCACTTTGCATCGGATGCAGCTTCAGATCTATACCATGGACGGATTTTCATATTTTTTGCAGGGATGGTGCTAAAAATTTTAGGGGTGGGTGGGGTGACGTAAGACAAAGTAAGGGTCGGGATTTTAGTGGCGATCTGGAAGTGCAGCAACCGAAGGTAGTATAGAAAATTGAAAAATTTCCCCAAAAAACCTAGTTCAACAATACCACTGATTGTTTAGCTAAAAATGAGGGAGATAAAATGTTTCCTACAAGAGTGAAGAATTTATTTAGGGAGGTAAATTCTTAGGTTTGGGGGGTACCCCAACCCCAGAAAATCCATCCATGGTCTGTATAAGCTGAAAGATATTCTTTGACACTCACCTCTAAAACAGGAGAATACAACTTCTCCTTATCGTCATTCATGTGATTTGCACATTTCTCTTCCGACAATTCATTCTTCTCGCCACTAGAAGGTGATGCCCAAATATTGCGATTCGGTGAAAGCTGCACATAGAAAAAACAGAGAAGGTTCTATTATGAACTTGATGTAGGAAGCAAAATCCTACAAAATCCATACACTTTGTAAATCAATCTACTGAGTGGATAGTCTAATCGACGTGATCATCACGAATCATAAAATCGACTTTTTATGTCATACACGAGATTCGATAATCGTTTATGAGCGAAAAATAATGATAAAATCTATTACAATATCATATTATTTTATTTTAAACCAGCAATCGTTAACAGAGTATCACAGGAAAGTTTGTGTGTGTGTGTGTGTTGTGCCTGCAAAGCATTAATTCTACAAATTTGCTACACATTACCAAATCCGTTAAACCGTAGGGTGACTGAAGTGGAGAGCCCACATTGCTGCTATGTTTTGGTGATGTTGGCCAAAGGGCCTCGATTGTTTCAGCATTTCGTAGTGGTGTTTCAGGGTTCTATAAAAAAAAACGGCAAATTATTCAAGTCAAGTGTGCGGTGATGGAAATGCACGAAATCCGCGCAAGAATGTACTATTTAATGAACTGAAAGAAGAATAAGATTCACTGTCTATTTCATGCATTTCATTGATATTGAAAGCATTGTAGCAAACAGCTATCACATATTTCTGACACACGTTCAAATTTCTTTACTTCTTTGCACTTTGAGATGATATTTGAAGCGTTTAATTTTATATGTACATCGTCAAAACAAGGCTAAAGTCCGATCCCCAGATTTCTTGCAAACACAAACATTAAAACTAACTGACAAGGTATGTCTTTACGACGGTTTATGTCATACAACGATGAAACGATAAGGACAGGCGCAAAATATTCGAAAAGCACTCAAATTGATTGTGGCCAAAACTTGGTCATATCATTGTTTCAAAACTAAACAGTCTATTATCACAATAAGATAATGGCATAAATAAAATTTTTAACCAAACTAATGAATGCATGCACAAGCAGTTTCTTAAAGATGCACATGGGTCAATTGTCGAAAAAAATATTATGGACTGTAATCTCAAGACAAAATGCTCTTCCTCAATATGTCTAAATATACCTTTGTAGAAGATGAAATATCAATATCATCCAGTTTTGACATGGCTAGAGCCATTTTTTCCTATGGGTGATAAAATTTGTTAAAATGTATAACATACATGATACATAAGAGCATCTATATCCTATTGCTAATGATGTATTGACTATACTACTTGCTATCATGGTAAGACTGAGATGTTCCTGGTACATTTTCAATGAGAAACAGTTTGAATTTATCAAGATTTTCTGAGGTTGAACTTATCCTCAATATCTCATTTCATAAAGCAATAGGAGCAGGGGTTGATGCATAATGATCTAGTGCAATTGCACTGGTTTGGATCAAAATTTTTGGTGGCTGCTTGTTGCCATGCCATGTCAGACCTTTTTTGTGAAATTCTGCTTACTTTTTGGTATGACTAGATATTTTTTGAAGTGTTCAACCAAATGTGAACATCAATCACAATTGCTTTGGCTCAATTGTTTGGTTTATTAATATTTTTTAGAAAAATAAGCATCTGTCCTGAAATTCGACCAACCAAGGCTACAAAAAGTGCACTGTCTCCCCTAAATCCACCCCTAAATTGGAGTAGATTCTTTCTCTTAATCAAACTTTGGACCCTTTTTCTACCAACAGCATGCAATCGCCAACAATAGACAAAATGCTTGGAATATCCAAATATTAGCCATAACTTTGGCACAAAAACCATGGGTTAATACCAACCAATAATGCTATGGCAAATACTGCAACATGCACATGACGTACAAGATGTTAGCAACAAGCTCATGAAAAAATCTTGAGCTCAACACACAAAACATTTGAATAATAGAAACCTCATCTTGAATATTTGAAGGTGCTTCATCGAAGGGCAGACTTCCATTTGTGGGTGCCTTTTGCTCCCTCTTCCACCTTTCAAATTCATCAACTTTGCTGCTGTTGGGGTCTTCTAACCATTCAGATTCTGAAAATTCACAAATATGGAGATAAGTAGCATTGATTATATACAGAATAAAAAAGAGGGCGAGCGACCGGTGTATGCCACAACAAAGTATGAATTCATAATCAGTCAACCTATCTCAAAAAATAACAAAATAATAACGAATTATTATGTTGAGGTTTTTATGAACGCATTCGGACTTCCAAAGTGATAAGCTGTTGAACAAAAAACGTATTCTGGTTGGACCACGATACAACTGGAACAGTATGTACAAACCCATTAAAGAGTCTGAGCCGAAGGTTTCGTCGTTTAACACATCAAGACTTTCATTTTCTTCCACAGGACACAGCATGTTGCTCTTCGTCAAATCATTCCCAGGATTGTCCTTCAAATATTTTGACAAGAATTCACTTTATTTTATTCGAAACAACGAGGGAAACGCTAAAGACAACTTTTACCTGTTCTGACTTTTCGAAACCAAAATCCGCCATGTTGGGTCAATCGTCATTTGTTCTTTGGGGGACTGGAAACGAGACGTGGTTGCGCGATGTATAGTCACAGGGTAATAGTTTCTCTTGGTCTTTTGTCGACGTTCGAACTGTGATCTGCGTTATAGAATTGCTTTATACGTACAGTATTCATAATTCATCTCCCCGTGATGGCACTTTGCAGCGATGGTTTACTCGGGCAACCATCGTCAATACATCGAAGGCATTAAAGCTCTTCAAATCGGGGACATTAAATTTTGCAAACAATTTTCAGGCAGCTCAGAATCCATCATTGCGCATGTGATGCACATACCTTTGTAATGCCCCTTTGTATACCCTTCATCTCCTGATGTGGGACAATGCGGGGTTGGGCGTTTGACTTTAATATTACGAAGAAGTAGAAATAGAAATAATTTTACATGTTTAGTCTTTCACGCTTTTCCTGTGTAATTGTTAATGTTAATGACTCGATGGGTCACGAAACGGTCGAAGAATCGAGTTCAACACGGATCCTTTTCTTCGGAGCGTTTTATCACCAAGTTCCACGTACTTTTAACGAATAATCTCCCCCCCCCCCAAAAAAAAAATCCAGGCCGAATTCAATTTCCTTTTTTTTTACAGCGAATGTCTTTAAATCCTTGTGCCTTGCCGTTCCTTACAGAAAGAACTTCAAGAAACCCTTCCGTTACAAAGCGTCATCTAATCGGTTCAAAAGGAGTTGGACAGCTCATAGACTCAAGTATGAAACTTGTCCTAAACCATTCATTGATCTTACTTTAATTTAAATTATGAATTTAATTTTAATTTGGTGCCAAATAAGCAATTAAATTCTATTAGAACATTTGCAAAGCTTGGGATTAAATTTCATCTTGAAGATAGGGTAAAATTCATATTGCATCAAACAATTAATAAGCTGTTAGCGTTTAAGAATTGTTTTATAAAATAACAACAAGAGAGCAACGCTGTAAGCTTTACCCTCCCAAGCGAAAGAAGCCGTAAAGTTTAGTGAACACCGAAGTCAAAACCACGACAACATATAGAGTTACGGCGAGGTTATTGAAAAATCACCAATCTTGATTTAAGTTTGCATTTAAAAGACCAGAAATGCAATCCAAATCAATTTAGGCAATAGACCATCTTTGTTTTCAGGTATGTTCAAACGAAAGTCTCACAACAGCAATGACGATAGCAAATTTCAATTTCCGTGTTTTCAATTTCCTGATCCAAACACGGGCATCGACCAATCAGAGAACACGTTCTGCTTACGTTGCAGTATGATTTACGTGCAGTGAGAAACGTGCATGCAATAGAACTCGCTAAATATCTTGTGTATATACGTTTTTACTTTGCACTTTACCAAAACGAACACGCCACAATATAATTACTTACAAAACATCCTAAAATACTTCCTTTCATACAGCAAGATATAGTTAATAACGAATGATACTTGATATTGAGAATGATTAATAGATATCTATTAGAGGTATTTTTACATCTTCACAAGAGGAAATTTTTGTACTATTTTCAAAATGTCGAATGAACTTTCTACTGTCAGGGATGACCGGGGACACCAGAATAGACTCCCCAAGGATTGTACGGCTCAACGTAATTACATTTGTCTTTGCCTCCAGCTGCTGTAAGAAAACAGAGCATACAATGAGTTCAAAAGCACCCAAAGTATGTATGCACACAAAGAACTACAATACTTACAAGTGCACTCAAATGGGAAACAACATTTGTTCAAGCCTTCTCCACACTTGTCACCTATAAGACCGCAACCTAGGTTACCCAAAAGATTTATCGGTATTTGTATGCCTTCACCTGTCTCTGGAGCGACCGCAGGATTGTCTGTTCCAAAATGACATTGCTGTATGTTGTCTTATCGAAAGATAAAAAAAAAACATGTTGAAAAACGCAGTCAGCAGCACTATGTACACTTTGCTAATTATGCAAGAAAAATAGAATGATGAAACGGTTGTAAAAACCTACTATAAAAAACACATCTGTAAGGTTGACAGCAATCTTCCATCGTTGTGCAATTCATGTAAATTTCATTGCATTCGGGTTCTTCGACAGAATCACTGGGGGGTAGGGAGGGGATAACTGCACCTAATTAAGAGAATCATATTACACAAAATGAGATGTCTATAATTGGTAAAACAATCGATGACCTCGAATCCTCGATTGGTCATACGCATCATGCAATACAGAAGAACGAATGAATATTTTACGAATGAAAAAGCTTTAATAAAGTAAATCTAACTGTAAGAGCATTTTTCAAGCCAATTAAAGAAACTTTCTTGATAGTTTTAGCTGTGTACGGTAATGACCTGATCTCCAATGTTAAAATGTACGTTACTAGGATCATTAAAACTTAAAATTGATTGAGAGACCTTCTCTCGTACAATCCAGTCAAAATACAATAGCACGCACGCTATTTGTTTTAGAGTAAAGGTTTCGTTATCTTTGAAAACGTAATTTCACTATTAAGTGCTTCAAATAGCAAGGGAAAACTTTTAGCTTAACGTTCCCGAGTGACGTAAAAATGAAACTGAGTTTAGCTTCGAACGAAGAAGCTCTTTCAGTCCGAAGCACAAGATTCACATAATTTGCGTGTTGCCATTCATACAAACATGTCAAATGTTTCGATAGAGATGTTTTGCGCACAACTTCTAAACAAAAAACCATTGCAATACACAAAGACGAACTACGCAGTTATATACATTCATGTTACATTATTTTTTTCAACACAGTTACAGAATAAAGACGCAAACTACTTACCATGTGCAAACACGAAGATGACTATCGCCAATAAAGTTAACTCTCTGTACATTTCTACGAAAATTCGTTTTTGCCAAAATTCTTTTTTGCTTATGTAACGTCACCACGATCACCACAACTTGTTTATAATGAGCAATTGCGACGCTTATTTTATAACCACTGCAAGCGACATAGGATCCGTTATTGTGATGTCATTCTACACCTATTTTGGCGTTACCCACGAATATCCGGGATTGGCTAATTCATACTCTGACGTACTTGAAGATGTCTGTCAGCATGGTCAGTCGCACCCAGTGCTTGAGCAAAACAGTTCCGATTAACTGACGATCGAAGAATCAAAGTAATGCATTCCATGTGTATGACATGTTTCTCGACTCGTTCGAGAAATCTAACGCAGTCAGAACAGGAAACAATTAAAACGTTTGTTTGTGAACGAACGTTCACCCTGATTTCCGATGTGTATGTCTAAAACGCAACAACACTTCTAAATTTTCTTTATGAATTCATTCTCGGCTTTCAAGTATTTTTCTTGCAAAATAAACTCCCGCAGAGTAAGCGAGTATAATCAGGAAATATCACTGAAACTATATCTTCGCAAAAAACTCAATGATCACGTGATGACGAGATATGAGTTTTTTACTGGTCCCCATGAAGTCCACATGATAACTGTCCACATGATAACTAAGTCCACATGATTCCAGCAGCAACAGTTAATTACTTTATCATGGTCCACATGATAAAGTAATTAACTGTTGCTGCTGGAATCTATTCAACATTCTACATTCAACAACGGTAACTCCAAACAGACTCTACGTTTCCACTTTAGAGTCGATGAATCAAAATACTACATAAATTGGAGTTAACGTTGTTGTAAATTAAAATACTCGATCAATGGTTCACGAAAACAAGTTTGCTTGTCATTAACATTTCAATATGCGGTAGGGAATTCAAAAGAAACGATTTCTTCAATGGAAAACGTGCGCAAATAAACGTCATCAACACAAATTTCAAAATTTAACCCAAGCTACGCGATAACTTTTTGAATATCTAAAAATCTTAGAACGAAGCTCCTTAATCAATACTTGGTAACCCGACAGTTTTGTGTGTCTACTAATTTGCCTAAAATCATTTTTTCTCCAGTAGTTTCTAGAGATGAAAAGATATATTTACTTTCAAAAATTGACCATAGATTTATATAATTTTACTATAAATTGTTTAAGAACGTGTCTAGATTGTATTGGATGATGCACGAAAGGTGAACCATATCCTTTGTTTTGTATCAATTGTTACTAAGCCAATTTATCGTTATCTACTATTTCACTTATCTACTACAGATTTTCTATTTATCTACTACTTTTCTATTTATCTACTATTTATCTACTACGAAAGGTGAACCATATCCTTTGTTTTGTATCAATTGTAACTAAGCCAATTTATCGTTATCTACTATTTCACTTATCTACTACAGATTTTCTATTTATCTACTACTTTTCTATTTATCTACTATTTATCTACTACGAAAGGTGAACCATATCCTTTGTTTTGTATCAATTGTAACTAAGCCAATTTTTCGTTATCTACTATTTCACTTATCTACCAACAATTCCAGAGGCAATAATTATACTCAAGTTTTCCTATAATTAGAGGGATCAAAGTCTTTGTTTGGAGATAGGTGAAATTACTCAAGTTCAAAAGTCAACAAATCCCCACTTAGTTGTTTGACCCAAACGATTTGTGATTTTTTGAACAATCAAATATATTCTTGGCGCGTACATGAGGCATTATTTTCTAATTATTCCTTAGCGCGTGTATTTTAAGGCATTACGGGAAAAAACAACGGTTGAATGTCAAGGACTGAAGGATTTTGTAGAATTCTTTAGATTCTTGCGGAAGTAATGAGATCCAATGTGCATATTGATAACCGATCAGATTTTTTAGCGCGCTTGTCGCGCCCATACAAGTTCGAATTAACAGTAGTCTTGCTTCACGATGAAATTCTCAAATGGAGTACCGAATTTCCTTCATATATTTAGCCCTGGGGGGTTACTTTTAGCTGTCGTCCGAGGGGGGAACTCTTAAAACGGAAGGGGAGATTTAAAGAGACTTGGGGCTACATACGCAAAAAGGGCTTTTGAGCAAACTGGTTTGCACAACACAAAATTCTACAATAATTCCTATTTAATAAAACAGACAATTCAGTTAGTGCATAAGTGCATTTTGACTGAAGGAAAACACACATGACGACAACTTTGTCTGAAATTTTGACACAAAGCTAGTGACCATTTTGATTTTAACAATCGTGAATTTCAAACGAATAAACGCTTGTATCAACAAGCTTATGGTATATGCAAACCTTCGGAGACGATTGTGAGAACTAAAAACCATGACCAGCCGACAATTTAAAGAAATTTAGTATAAAGCAAATTCCGAAGAAGCAAGACATCTTCAGATTGCAAAACAAGACGAGAAGTGAACTGTAAATTTTCGACTTTATTTCAAAGTCATCCTCAGACAGAATGAGTCTTTTATTTTTTAATTAATTAGAATTCGTATCACGTTATCATTTCATTGTGAGATTGACATCCCCTAACAGAAAACCGTATATTAGGTGATCAAGTTCATCTTTTATTTTGATTTTTTCAAGTGGCTATTATTTCAAACAGGATTGTTATAAGGTTAAATAGTTGGAATGTTATTAAGCAAAAAAAATGGTAGCATAATGCTTCATTCAACAGCTACAAACAATAACGACCTTATCTAACAACATTTGAAAAACTAACCTTCCACTTCTCTTCCTTGTAAACGAGACAAGTCTACTCAAAAGCAGAGAGCCTTACGCTACAAGTCCCGGGATTGTGCTTTGATTGTGCTGGCCAGAGCAAGATGTCACAGAAACATAAACATCACACAAAAAAATGAATTCCAGATTATTGAACACAGCACAGATTTGATTTTTATGGCAGTTTGCCATGTGAAGACAGGTACAGTTCGTCCTTTAAAAATCGTCTCCCAAATTTAAAAATACCCATTTTCAAAATTGGCACTAAAGCCCTATTCAAACGACAAAAACTAAACGGTGTTAAGTCCAGGCTGAAATTAACCCAAGTTCAAGCAGGTTAATTTCTTTGCATGTAAACACAATTTGTAAACACCACTAATCCAGGTTTAGGCTGGGCTAAAGAGGCTTGACCCATCTCAAGAGGTAAGTTGAGTTTAACTTAGGTTAAACCTTGGTTCGTAGTGTTCATATAAACCTGGGTTAAGCCCAGGTTAGTTTATGCCGTGTGAATAGGGCTTGAAAAGCACATGTTATAAAATCAGTTTCACTCGCTATTCAGCAACATTATTGATCGGTTACTGTAATCGTTTAAAGTAGTTAGGAAAATGTCCATTTTATTGAATCGCCCTATCAAAACATGGTAATCGTTACTGGCCTTTTTGGAGACTTGCTGGAATTCATTTATTTAACGTTCATAATAATATATTCAGGGGACTTTCTTTTTGTGCAGGGCTTACATTTCAGAAACATCCTTCTCTGGCCAGCACGGACATATAGCGCAGTCCTATTTTATAATAATATTAAGGTTTCTTAGTTCTGACCGAGTTTTCTGTTGTTTACAAATCAAAAATAAAGAGGTAGCCGGACTTAAAAGTTGTTCAATTCAACTAATCAATCTAATTTTGATAAATTAGCATTTTAAAGTGTTAACAACACGAAATTTCAACACAATTTTTTTAATGCATTAGATAGTGCATTAAAATGTCTTAATAACCTCTTCGGTAGAATTGACCTGTTATGCTTTCTTAAGAGATATTTCACTTTTTTCTTTAAGTAAATAACATCGTTATGACATCACTGATTATAATGACATTTTAATGATCAATTTTTCACATCGTTGGAACGTTTTACAAACAAAAACAATAATTTCATGAACACGTGCATGTGAAGATAAATAATTCTAAAGATGCAAAAAGTTAGATATTTTAATGCTGTCATCAATTAGATGCACAAGAAAATTAGTTTTCCCTAAAGCAAATTATGCAATGTAATGTCATAACGATGTCATTTTATATTGAATAAAAGTTACCTATCTCCAAAAAAGAAATAAAATAGGAGAATATTTTTAAAAAAGTCATTAAGTCATTTTAAATTGTCTTTACAATTCAATCAAAAAACATTATAGCAAAATTTGGTGTCAAACATTTTAAGAACGACATTCCTTTTTCATTTACGAATATCTTCAAATTCCGGCATAATACAGTGGCGTAAATGGTGTGTGTTAGGTTAGTGTAAAGTGACGTCCTTCCCAAAGCTATAAGCCCCCCCCCTCCCCCCAACAAAATCTTACCATAAAAACACATTTCAATACTCAAAGCACATTTATGTTAATATTATTATCGTAGAACTTTGCAATTTTTTCTTTATTGTCAATGATATAGAAATATTTTTCGTTTCGAGGAGTCTTTAGAGGTGTACTCTCTACCAGTGCTGTAGCTAAACTTGATTATTCGGGAGAGGGGTTATTTTATATGCATGTGATAACTGATTAGAAAATAATAGAAAACAATTGATTTCAAACAAACTTATGGATTGTATTGTATTATAGTGTATTGTATTGTATTGTATTGTAGCCATATGGGGAGGGGGAGGGGGAAGCCACCAATGAATGCTTGACCAAGGGGTCTCAGCTATTGCGCTACGCCACTGTCACTGGCAGATTTGCGCTACTTTCCAAATACTTTCCAGAATAGTTATTCTTCAAAATTGTGTTTCAGTCTGAGTGTTCTTATTATTATCCATGGTTGTTAATGCTTGTCTTGCCGATGTTGATGTCTCCGATTGAGAGCGAACGCGTTTTAGGATTCGTTGGTAAAAAAGCAAGCTGTATTTCTCGCGAAAACGCCTTACGAACAACGGATAAATCCACGGATATATCATGGAATGAGAGTTCGAAATGAACATCAAGAGAAAATTAAAGTAGGGTGGCATCGCTTTATTTAACCACGACGTGTTGTAGATGAAACCGAATTGATACATCTGACTCGGTAGCGACGTAATCACGTACACGAACGATGCAACACCGAGCATGCGCACGACATCGCGCGTGGAATTTCTAAGGCTATTTGAAACATACGTTTCGTCTCTCTCGTTGAAGCCGCGCCGACGTCGATGAAGCCTTACAGCCATTACGACATGAAGTAGCAATATAAGGAGAAATGCGACGACGAACGTGAGGTAAACGAGTACAGACGTGATTTGTTTCACGACACGAGAATTACATTTTCGATCTTTTATGATGTTACCATCACACAGCAGACTGTAGTCGTATAAGCAAATGTGACCACCTGAGGGCAATTCACCCGAAGTTGCACCTGAAAAAATGGGCGCTGCCAGCACTGCAGCAACGAACCAAATAGCAGTAACGATCCACTTGCTTTTGTTTTTGAGCAACGTAACGTGAAATGGGAAAACAACGGCCAAAAACCGTTCGCAGGTCATCACAACCAAAGTGAAAACGACCACGATCGATAAAATTGGAGGAAATCCAAACATGCTCTTACAGAACACACGACCGGACAAACCCGAATCTACGTAGATCGGTGAAAGTGCATTTCCGATTTCGTGAATGATAAAGAGCGCCAACGAAGTTGTTAAAAGCATGCGTATGATGTCAGCAAAAACCATGTTGAAAAGTAACATGTTAAGATCATTGCGTAATTCTTTGTATGTAGCTATGACGACCATGATCAAAATATTACCAGGCAAACCGACTAATATCATGAAGCCATACCCGATGGTGAAGGCAATTTTTTCGCTTTCACTTAGATTTTCTATAGGAGGAAATGATCCTACAATGTCAATGAAAATAGAAAGGTATGTAATTATCTTTTCCACAAATTATCTGAGGTTTTTTTTGACCAATCAGGATCCAAATGCAAACGTTCTTATTCTCACAAAGAAAAGTCGTTTTTCATTTCCCTATTTTGTCTATTTCATCCCCACGACGAGCCATTTTATGACCTACAACCCAATATACTAGATACCAGACTCCGACAAAATTCTATAGTTACAAGTGAGAGAAACTGCCACCTTGAAAGGTGGCAAAACAGACGATATGTACGATTAGAATGGGCTTTTTATACGTCGATATACAGTTGCTGAGTTATTAGCCTAGGTCTGGCTTTTAAAATGTTTGATAGAATTTGTTTTTTAGACTTTCTTCTAACTTATATTTGATTGAGATTATTGCTTTTTGCCATTATTCAAGATGGCGTCATTGCCTCACCACGACAACAGTAATCACACATCTTGGGGATTGGGCTCTAAATAATTGATGTACTATCTTACAATAAAACGATGATAAACAGCATCATTGAGAGAAAAAAATTCTTGAAAAAACTTATGTTCGTTCAGTTGATTTCATAACTAGTAACTGCCTAAAAAACAGCTGAACATGTGGGTCAATTTAATGAATTCACCTAAATTCATCGCCATGTTATCCGACCTTTTGCAAAATGATGCCACATCTCTCCACATCACAAGTATGACGAACAGGTAGATTTCGATAAGTGCGACATTTTCTTTCGCAAACAGTAATGCCGTTCAATTTTTTATGCTGGCTATATGTACTGAATATTTTATCCCAACTCTTTGATACCGTAAAGATTTCAAAAAATTTAACGAGAAAAATTAAAGATAAAAAAATCAATGATCGCGGACACAAATTTCCACGCTCCATCCACACGTATCCGGGTTAGTTTGTATTCGCAAACATTTTGTTGCGGTTACACTTATCGTCCACACGTATCCAGCGAAAAGCACACTGTTACCGCAAACTTTTGAAAACAGTCTCCAGAGTGGAAACGTTTGAAAACGCATCGAATCCGGACACGTGTTGACGCACTGTAACCGGAATGATTTAAAAACGCTGACGTAAATCGATGAAATATACAATATCTACCAACTCAACGCTGCCCTAATCCAATCCACATTTATCATGCGTTATCCTATGCATTTAAATGATACCTAAAGTGATCTTTCAATTTTAACTGCACTATTTTCGAGCATTGTTGCGTTTATGAAAGCAACTATTGCCGTCTTAAATTATCATGGAAAGAGCGAGCAGTTTTGATACGGCTCCTTTCAATCAGTGGGGTGCGGTCATGCAAGCGTAGGCAAGCGCCGCTTGCTTAAGCATTTTACCGAACAAAAATTTTTTGGATCAATCTCTGAGCAAAATCAGTTTAAATTTTTCTGTTCTAAACAATGTCAATGTAATCTTTTGTCTAAATTGTCTTTACAGTTGAAATGCTTGCTATTTATACGTGATTTACTGTCGTGGTTTTCGGTTTCACTTTGCTACACTTGTAAGATGAGTCAAATGGATTAAATACACCTTAAAAATTTCTTATTTATTAACCAAGGCAAGCGCGCTTGCCTTCGGAGCTCAATTTGAGCATTTGCGCATGCGTTAATCTAGATTTGGAGGCTTCTCATTCGAGGAATATCGAGAAAAGGCAAGCGGCGCTTCTAAGGGCGCCGCTTGATAGCGATTGGTCAACAGTCTTGTACGCTCGCAATTTTAAACACATATCAGCGCAGGAATAATATTCGTATATTCAACACATTGGACATCCGAATTATTCACGCCGTTAATGTTATCGTTTATTAAAAGATGACTGAGAGCGAAAGGTAATGTTCTGATTTCTAATTCAAAGTAGTAGGTGCTTTACTGGTTATTTTATTATTTTCTGCGCACAATGTGCGTAAACAAGCAGGGGCCGCAGTCTGCAGAGATATCGAAATGCACGCAAACGTGTGTTGTGGTAAAGTATGACTAGCATTATGACCAAAACACTATGCTCTTGTCAGTCTTGTGTCGTTGAATTCGTAAATTAATGACTAAAAATAAAAGGTACAAGATACTAAATAATAAACACGACTCTCCGATATTCTGAAACGTACGAGTCAGTGCCAGACACATTTTGAAGAACGGGAGAACACGTTGCCATGACGTCATTATACCAAAATATAAACATTAAACAACGCCATGGCCTCAGTTTGTAACACACCGTGCCAATTTTGTGCGCGAAACTGGCTGTTCTTAATTGTTATAATCACGACTGCTACAATACATTTCGCGCCTATTGTCTTGCAATTTATGTATGTAGAAGATATTATCTGTAGCATGTAATACAAGATTATGATATTGACAAGAGCTTCCTTTTGCGTAGTAGTTTTGATATTTGTATCCGGTAGATATCATGTAACTGATGTAAGGTATAAATAAGATTGATGTTCCTATAAAATATATAGCATAGGAATTTTCATCCTTTTATGTTCTACTTCTACATTCGGTATTTTAACGACACCTGTACAACATGACTGAATGCATTGTGGAATCACTGTCAGCGCTTGCCTATTAAATTCGGTCACCGCACGCCACTGCTTTCAATGCCAGTTGCCAGAAATGTGTCCTTAAACATTTTCGCTATTTTATATTCTAAAACGACACTTAATAAAAGGTTCACTTCATCGCCTGTCCACACAAAAGTTTCATTCTTACCTTTTTTTTGATGACCTTGAAGCAGTAGTTTTTGTCGGATAATTCGACATTTTATAGCCTGTTCATTATTCGTAAAAGCTCATACTCTGTTAGCAATAGTTGGGTATTTGTATCGTTTTCTCCGCTCCGTGTGGACACACAAAAACGCATCAAATTCGCATACGTGTGGACGCGTTAATCCGGAACAAAACCGGAACAAAATCCGGAACAAAATGTTAAATCCGGAACAAAATGTTTGCGCATACAAACGAACCGGACACGTGTGGACAGAGCCAACTACAAATTTCAAATCAACTCAAACTCGGCAAGTCGTGAAGTTTCTTTTTGGTATTTTTGAATCTCATGGTATAATTTCCCGTTCATCAAAAGTCAATTTTCTTCTTAGGGAAACCTACTCTGATGAATAATTGCATACAAAAACTCTCTCTGATACCTATCTTATTTTGGGAGGTTCTAAAAGAGCTCGCTTCAATTGTATCTGCCGTTTTTTTCCCACTGCATATACATAGACAATGGAGACGATAGAAGCGACTCGAACGATAATAAGAGAAGCATTTTATAATATTTACCATTTCCATCGGAGCCATTGTTTGCCACTGAAAGGAGATGCCTCGATGCCAAATTTAGGCACCCTTTGTACGGATCTTCACGAGCTGCGAAGTAATCTGTATATAATAAAGGGAATCACATAAACGAAAACGCGACAAAATTTTACGAACCATTTAATTAAATTCTTTATCATGTAAGCTCATCATTGTTATTATACAACTTACGAGACAACATTTTTTGGGATGGCTATCGTGAAGACAAAGTTATGAACTCCGGCTGCACGACACTCGGTGAATGGAGGGAGGAGCTTTTGCATTCAGTTTCGCGAAGCACCAAAGCGAACAGTGTGGTTATGAGGAGAAAGGAACAATATTTCCATGCCACCGGTGTAATCTTCGTGATGCCTCTCGTCCGTCACAGTCGGTGCTTCTGTTTATATGACGTCAATGCAGTCATCTGAAACAAAAATTCACGCTGGTGGATTAACATGACGACTATGTGATTAATACGGTGGCCGGTACGGTTTTAGCGTTATATAAGTCTTTCGTATGAGCTCCGAAAGTGAATTCAATGTACTAGAAGGCTATTAAATTTTCTGATTCTTTTATTCACTAGCGAAGAAGTTATTTACAACAGTCGTGAGTATTCTATATCTTACAATTTATTTACAGGCTTTTTATATATTTAGGTAAACAAGGTGCAGTTAATTACAAGGCAGATAATGTATTTGAAATTTGAGTAGTTTTGCGTAATTATAAAGTTAAGTGCGTTAACTTTAAGTAGCGCGTTTGAGTGTAGGACTAGCTATTTCCTCTATTGCAAATACATAAATCTAAATGTATAATATACGCACGTTATGTACGTCACTACACGGGTCACCAGAAAAATAATTTAAAAAACATAATAAAAAATAAGAAAACATCACTCAAAATCATACTACACATTTTAAAATACTCACTACACATTTCAAAATACTCACTACACATTTTAAAATACTCACTACACATTTCAAAATACTCACTACACTTTTCAAAATACTCACTACACATTTCAAAATACTCACTACACATTTCAAAATACTCACTACACATTTCAAAATACTCACTACACATTTCAAAATACTCACTACACACATTTCAAAATACTCACACATTTCAAAACACATTTCAAAATACTCACTACACATTTCACTACACATTTCATTCACTACACATTTCATTTCACTTTCATTCACTCACATTTCAAAATTACACATTTCAAAATCTTTCATTCACATTTCATTCCCCAGTCTTACCCTGATCTGGCCTGTCCACGGTCGTCATTAGTTTCCATCTACGAAACTGACATGACATCATAAAGTAAGCATATTAAATATATAATTCCGCATTTCACAAGACAAACAAATTGGGACATTGGGATAATAGCATGAAAATATTGGCTGAACTCTAATTAGAAATTCTTCCAGGGTTTTGCTGGACTTGGTCGGGCAGCAACATTAGTAGACGATCTACATATCGCAAGCAAATGTATTTGAAGTGGCTTTCGACACATGTCCGTACTTTAATAGCAAAAATTTGAGTATATGAATTTGCATTCGTTAGGTGGCGTACGTACTTGTGTGATGCGTTACAAAAATAACAAGGAAACCAAAGAAGAAATTTACACATAGCGCTATAATTTGTTGCACAAGAAACGCTAAAGAAAATGAAAAGTTCGGTAATTTCGAGTAAAAGCAATAAATTTAGAACTTCAATACCAGTCACGTCAATAAGTGCATTAGTTAAACGAATGATTGTCGAATATAACCAATACAAATACAATTACATGTAATCTGTAGATTGACCACTCATGTTGTGTTTTCTAACCAAGACCAAGAAATCCCTGGAAGAAATATTACTAATAGTTCATGTACGCGTATCGCATAATTTGATGCTATTGTGGCGATATGTTTGTCTATTTGCCGAATTCCACTTACACAACATATCCCAAAATAGCATCAAAATATCCTTACGCGTACTGAACTATTAGTAATATAGGAAGCGCATATTTATATTAGCTTTCTGACGTCACCTCAATTTCGTATATGGAAACTAATAACGACCGTGGGCAGGCCAGACCAGGGCACAGAATATATACTATACAGAAGGACCACACTCTTGAGTTAACTTGTCGCTAATTTTTTATGCGCATGCTCCAATTCCGCCATCTTCCTGGCCAGTCAATAGCTGGCAGCGGTATATAAAACTATATGGTAAGATGCGAAGTGGAGACTGGAAAACGTCGATTTTTTTCAATTGAGGCTGTTCAATCTGATGCGTAATTTATAAAATAGCAAAAGCAAGGTATTTTTTAACTTTTCTGAAAGTTTTAAGGAATCTCAGTCGTACTTTATGCCGACTCATCGTCATCGCATGTTCGATTTGGTCAAATGATCACACTATGAATCTTTATGACACCATACGACTGAACTTTGATGATTGAACTACAGAACATTTATTTGGTGTTTCAGGATATTTTTCTGTGTTATTTAAGAAGAAAACATCCAGGAATATCTGCCAATTTAAAGCTGCACTGTTTATACGATACCATTAAGACCAATATATTACTATAAATTCTATATAGTTATAGTTTTATTGAACATGTAATTAACATTTTATCAGTGGTTAGGTAGATAAATATACGATATATTAATCTTGTAAATGATCATAAATGACAAATATAAAAAACAGCTGACAAAAACAAAGCTTCAACGCTCCCCTTCTATATGCAGGTGTTCAATGCTCAATCTTTTATCATTTGAAATCTCCATCACGCTGTGAATGATTCTGATCACAACAAGTCTCATCCTTTTATTTTCCAACCAAACTTTCTCATCATTTCCCTTGTTGGAAAAAACTAGATGCGATACAATCTTTGACTGTTTGACACGATAACGTCCTCTATCTACCGTTTAACGAGGAATAAACCATTTGAATCTCCTTTCAGCGATGATAAATTGCACGAATGGTCAAAAACATTTATTCATTTTTCGTCGAACATTTTCATTTCAGTGGAGGTACACGACGCCATAAATTTCCACAATAGAAACTGAGATCTTTCATCTATCTTTAATGATTTAAAATACGACGAATTTACATTTGATATTTTGATTGGGCACTAAATAACAAATTGCACATTTTGTTTAGATCATGTAATTACGTGATTTGGAAATAAATTATTGTTTCTGTCTTACGGTTCTAGATAAAGCCGTGCAAGTGTTATTATGTCTATAAGTTCATGTGGGTACTCATGGGATTGGGTGATAAAGTATGACATGGATGATCCGTGTTATCCCTGTATAATCACTTGGATAGTTGCAAGTAACTTTCATTCAGTTCCAAAAATGGCCTCTATAGTCTGCACGCGTTCACATGATTTCTCGTTGAAAAAATCCCGTACAAAATCCTGATGAAACAGCGGTCAATATTTTTCTGAATGTGTTAACAATCTAATCTGTGTTGGTAGCTAAGATTTTCTACACAGTCAAGTGGAATTATCTCTTGTTTGCTTGACTTGTTATTTGGTGCAGATGCCTTTCATACCATTTTGACACGCTCATCAAAACGTGTGAAACTATTAACATTTTCTCTGTCTATCTTTTCGTCACCAGTGCGGACATGGGGTGGTTATGGTATTGAGTTTGTAAAGCATATCCCCACAAATCTATTACTTTTATGGGTTCAAACCATTTTATATTTTATCGGCCAATCTATTATACGTAACCATATAGCCATGTGGAGTTGTATGATATCTACCCAGTCTATTGACCACTTGCTTCACCATTTTATCGCAGTAAGATCAGGCGCCGATAATGCAAATTTCACATGACAACTGCGTCTCTACAACTGCGCTAACCACAGCAACCACAGCTAGCGATTTTCGATCATGATTAACATTGAATGAAGAGTATCGCGCGAAACATTTTCAATTTTGTTCAACGAGTAAAAGAAGAACGTCAAGAGGAACACATTCTTTCACAAATTCTTTCTCACTTCGTGCATTCCTCCGTTTAGTAAGCAAACACAATATAGGCATCTGTAATCTGCATCTTCATACGAAGTTTCATTTGCGTACAGTCGACTGCCGCATCACTGGCTCACGAATTAGATCGCGTCATGAAAATTTCAGATCATTAACATCATTTATTTATTTAGAAACGCTTTTGTTTCTGTAAATTCATATCGAAATATTTACACCAAACTTTTGGACAGGTAACACATTGTTTGTACGACGTCATTATGCCTGAAACTTTAACACCGTCGCTAAAAAATAGCCAAAGTTTAAAGCCTCAAAAAGTGAGATAAAAATGTTCATTCGCACGATTCTTACTTGTTATTTTGCGTTGAATAAATACAGAAAGAGCGTGTTGAGAGTCGAGTAAAAATGCCTCGTTCATCACCAGAAACGACTGTTTCACCGACATTTACTGATGCAATTTTCTCTTTGTTTGCGTTAATCCATGCAATTTAACTCTTATCCATTGCAATTAAACATTCAATAGATAACTACAGCGCCAAAATTCTATTACTGATTCCAATGGCAAGCTTGTGGGCGACGATTGCTAAAGTGCTTCTTAAAATAACAACAAATTTTGAAACTTTCAACCACCACACGCGTTTCGGCTTTCACGAGGGCATAATCAGAGTGTATTTTCATTTTGAAAAAAACCACAAACGCCTCTCTTCATCATGGACGCTATGCTCGCGCATACAATAGGCCTAAACAAACGTTTAGAAATGGTACGCCGCACTTTGTTTCCGAAATCGGCATACTGCTGGAGCGAAATTTGAGCGTTTGTAAAGATCAGTGCTAGATAAAATCAAGTTGAAATGCCATTTTAGCAAATATTCATTGATCATGACGATAACGTTTAGTGCGCTCTTAAAATGCAACGAGAAGATGCATTAAGTTGCTGGTGCGTATTAATAATGTAGAAACCACAAAGGACGTGTCATGTGGATATTCTTGGATTTTGCTTTAAAGCTTCCAATGTTCACAGAAATAGGAAGAGAACTCCGAGCGAGATTTGTATGACTGAAATTTCGAAGTTGAAACCTTATGGAGTGATTTGAGCGACGGATTATCTTTGACATATTGCGTTTGTCGTACTCTTTCATACAGCCAAATCTTTTTGATAAAGTTTTAACCGTTTCCACATGAAGATGAATGATTTGCTGAAGAATCACTGGCCTTCTGTCCTTCAATTTCTATAGCTCATTTTCTGGCCATCAAAAAAGCGATTCCAAACCATCAAGCAAAGTAAGTTCATATTTTTGCTAGATTTATTTGCCATATATGTTTGAAGGAACAGCCGTTGAGTTGAGGTCTCTATGTCCTCAAGTTCTGCATGCAATTAATAAGTTATTAAAGATGTTCTGCGTAATGGCTCCTGAACGCGCTACGACTTACGAGCATTAAAATAATCTGTACGTACGACAAATTATTTATCGTGCCAGCTTGTTAGGCATTTAAAACCGACGGGACGCACACATCGTAATAGCATATTTTTAATATGCCTGACGCTCTTTGATAACATATCGTAGACTATGCGTGAAAAAGGTATTTCTTTGAGGAAGAACGCAAAACTCAAAACGCGCGTGCATTCATCGTATTGGAATTAGACGCATAGCAACATTTCACCGTGGACGTCTCGTGCATGTAAGTTGAACAGATTGGGGTTATCAATAACATCATGTCATTTTCACCATTTCTGTGTACAATACAGCAAGGCGCGGTTTACTCACATGCATTGACAGATTTTAATTGATTAAGTAAAACAAATGTATCAAGGAAAAAATGTTGCGCAAGTTAGATGCTGGAGTAACGCATTCAAGTGATTATGAATGACATTTGACCATTGAAAGATTTTTAATTTTTCAACACAATACGTTAAGTCGAAGAAAAACGTTTTAAAAATTATAAACAAAGACACAAAAGAGTGCCTTCTCTTTATACAAAAAAAATTGAAACTGACATAATGTCCATTAGACTCATAAATCAAAAGAAACGCTAGCTAGCTTAACATCATCAAAATCTTCGTGTACTCAAAATTACATTTTGGCGATGAATTTAAAAACAAACTCGGGAATCGATTTAATTTTGTCGTTGTTTCAGACCAGAATATGCAGCTGTGAAGAAAGCAGCTTTTTCGATTCGGTCGTCAACTTTACTCATCAAATCACTGGGTGCTTGAAAATCTCATTTAATCTCAACTGAAAGCAGCGGTATTCCAGTGTGTCGACGTCTCGAATGGGGTATATCCCTTTCTCAGGCAGCAGTATCATTATGAAAGTTTTAATCATTAATCTATATTGACATGTCTGTTTCAATCCTCAAGTTTGCATGTTTATACTGCTGGATATTCGCTCGTTTTTACTCAAATCTGTTCGTCAATGAGATTACTGGGCGTGCCACGAGTGCTTTGAGAAGACAATTGCAAAACATTGTAATGAACAGATCTATGCATGTATTGCAAAAGCACAAACATGTTTGTAATTTTATACGTCATAAGAAAATGTAAAAAATGCATGTCTTTCCCTCTAATTAATGTATGCGTTATTGACATGTTACCCTTATAATAAGTGCATTTTAGTCTCAAATAAACCCAGGAAAACGTACATGATAACGAGGAAAGACGCTTAAATATAGAAATCACATTGGCGAAAAATTTTTCATTTTCGATCTCGGAGAAATAAGCGATTAAGACGGATTGGAGGATTTTAAAATCATTGCAACATATTTGTTACGTCAAAAATTTTCTCTGGCCTAGAAACAGGTGACTCAGCAAGGAAAGGGACGTACTTAAAAGAACACGCTTGCTCCGTAGCTAAAATACATGAACACCGTATAGTATAATAAAATTTTAGTGGGAAATAACGTCCGAGCAGTTCTACTTTTTAAACGTTTATTGTGTAACGATTAACGAATCTGTATAATGAAAGCTGTATCTTCAATACATGTGTTCTCCTACTTACGTCCCTTTCTGTGCTGAATCCTCAACTTCTAGGCCAGAAAAACTCGCAAAGATAAAACTTTCGACCTATATTAAAAATATATTGCAAATTTTCTTATAATCCTCCAATCTAATATCTAAATCATTTATTTCCCTAAATGTTGAGGTGGGCGCTTTAATTTATTTATGGACGATGTTAAAATGTAGCTATAGCTACTAATGATGATCCTGAAAAGCTAAAGAGAGCAAATAATGAGAATATTTTAGCAATGATTAGGGCTGTGAGCAGGAGGCATTGTACGTATGGCGAGTAAAAATTTGGAGAAAAGTTTGTTACTGAAGTGACGGCTTGTCAGTAAGAGTATAATGGGAGTTGCAAAGTAACATTGCGTAAGTGAAAAACTAATGAAAAACTTTAAAAAAAAGCAAACATGAGATTGCAAAAAAACCCATTTGAGTAGCTCTATGATGAAAATCTGACTGAAGCAATAATAAGCACAAGAGTACAATATACCAACAGTGGGATAAAATTGATAAACATATGGAACCAAATAAGAAGAGAGGAAGATGACCCAAACAAAATATCAGAGCCAATCACAAGCGAGTAAGTCATGGCAATAAAAATTGTAGCAACAAAAACAAGAGATGATGGACTGGATGTCGAAGACTAACTGCTTTATAGTTACATACGAGGAAGAAAAAATAAGAGTTGCATGTCGAACGGCAAATTCTGAAGGCGAGTGAATTTCAGTGGAAAGTGTGAAGGAGAGAATACGTATATACAGAAAATCAATCGAAAGTAAAGTATAATCTCTCACAAGGAGCAAAGAAAATCAGGTATAAAGAAAAGAGTGCGGAAGAAAAAATATCGAAAGGGGAATGAGAAGAGAAAGGAGAGCAATGAAGAAGTTTGTGAAAAGACAAAACAATTTTAACAATGGCGAAAAACTTTCAAAAAAGAATGCCTTGAGAAAAGGACAAAAATAGTCATAGGTGGCGTTCAAATGCAGTAAGGACTCACTAGAAAGAAGTGCATCATTTTCGTGAGCAAGCTATTTCAAAAGAGCTAATTTAGTAACACAGGAGGTGTTCGTAAGTAGAGACTCGACAGTATTTGCTAACTGCCATATGAAGAATGAGATCACTCGTGCTTTAAGAAAGGAGGTACCTTGAACTGAAAAAAATTCAATTTCAAAATTAGTAATGTAATAAGTTCCACTTACTACTCAGCAACATTATTTATTGGTAACTGTCATCTTGTAGAGCGGTTTAGTGAATGTCCACGTAATTGTATCAAAACAGGGTGATCGCAACTGGCATTTTAGAGGCTAACTGAGATTCATTTATTTAGCACTTACAATGATTTACCTAGGAAGCTTTCTCACTGTGTTGTGTTTAGATAAGGCAGAACTGAAATAATGCTGAAATAATGGGTCATGCTTAGATCATCGTAAACGTTTTGAGCTAGTTTCATACTCATGGGCTTTTTAATGTGTATATCCATGTTGAGAATCACTAAAAACGTTAAAATCTTCCTAAAGAGAGTTATGGAATTCGTGTAATAAAAATTAATGCCCAACATAAAGTTTTGATTAGAGCCATAGAAATAGACCAGAAAAATTGTAAAATTAAATTTATTGTAATGTTTCATCTTTACTCAAGACATCTTCAGACAATTAATAAATAGGAAGTTAAGACAAGATATTATATTTACAAAAAGGTGTTAAATTACTACTAAAGGAGGCGGTGTCAAATGGATTATATGATAAGGAAGTTAGGAAGTAAAATAAAGAGAAATTAAAAGAGGTTAAGTGGAATGGAATTTCCTTGCACATTAAGTGAAGGCTTGTATTTATTGATTAGAAGGCTCTCATGAATGGAGAGTTCATAAGAATCGTTGGAAGAGGAGATTATTTTAAAGTCGTCTAAGTTGTGGGTGTGTCCAGTTGCGTTAATGTGAGCAAAGATGCTTGACAACGCAGGGTGGGAAACTTGGTTGCCTGTAAGGGGGGATATTCCCAAGTGCTCCGAAAATCTGGTGTATAGATGGCGTGTGGTTTGACCCACATACGAGGCGTTGCAGCTTCGACACTTGAATAAATAGACTACACCAGATCTCAGAGGTTTGGGAATTTTGTCCTTAAAGGGGAAGAAAGAAGAGATACGTTGGGAAGGGCGGAAAACGAATTTAATAGAGTTATGGAAAGTTAAAAAAAAACTGAGCTGTTCGTGTATGTTTGAAGATGTCACTGTTGATGAGAATCATTAAAACGTTAAAATCTACTCAATGAGAGCAATGGAAAGTTGAAAAACTGAGCTCTTTGTGTATGTTTGATCACTAGGAACGTTAAAATCTTCTTACACAAACTTATGGAAAGTTAAACATCGGAGCACTTCCTCTATGTTTGATGACGTGACTTGAACTGAAGCTATATACGGAAGAGAAGAAAGGGGTATGAACCATTGAACTAAAATACATGGAATTGTTACCAGAAGCAATAATTGAAGCCAAATCTTACACCCATACACACGACATTACACCAAGACACGCGTGTTTAATGTTTCGAGATTATCTCGCGGAGTGATAATTGATTGAAATACACACGAGTGTCTGGGTGTAATCTCGCGTGTTTGAGTGTAAAGCCTGGGCCACACTATCGTCTATATTGACGAAAACGAAAACGAAACGAAAATTCGTGCACGAAATGCATGCCAGACACGACGAAAAATTTCAAGCATGTTTGCAAAGCCAAAACATTATTGGCCAATAAGCAAGCGGCATTTTTGACGGATTAGAAACAATGGCGATCTCTAAAAGAAAAAGATTACTTCTTCTTAAGAAAAAGTTACTGCTAAAATGTTTAAAAAGTAATGGAAATGAATGATTTGATATAAAAAGTTTGTCGGCGGACTATCAATAATACTCACTATCCCACGCCAAGTCCGTAATTTTATTAAATTCATCTAAAACATCTTGCCAGTGATTTCTTTTCTTGTTCCTCGAGTCCTTATAATCCGGGTGACTTTTATCATACAAAATTGGTTTTTTCTCGCATCAGATTTATCAAAACCTCTTGCCACTCCGCCATGTTTGAGAACAAAGTCTGATATTATCAAGATATTTTTAGCCAATAGTATGCGTTTTCGTTGACGAAAAAGGTCAAAAGTTCAACCCTTCTAATATGAACGAAAGCGAAATTTTCGTCGAGTTTTCGTTCAAAATTTTCGTTGCGGAAGTTTTCGTTCTAATTTTCGTCGATATGGACGATAGTGTGGCCTAGGCTTAAGATTTGGCTTCAAAAAATTATTAAGCTTTTCTATTACAGGTAGCGTTCCATGTATTTAAGTTCAATGGTATGAACTCGAAGGAAACATGACAGAGCAAACCATTTATAATGAATAAGGCTGATTTTAAACTGCACGATGAAAAAGATGGAGATTGATTCTTTTGTTTAGGTATATGTTTGGAACAGATTCAGGAGTGGAACTTGGGTTGAAAAAATGTAAAGTGGTCAGGGTAAAGAGAGAAAAATTTTTTACCGGCACGTAGCTAGAACGTTAATTGAGGGGGAGGGTTAGATATTCATACACCCAGTTGTGCCCGATTATAATTTCTTTTAAAAGCAAATAGGGCGTTCAAAAGAAATCTGTCGGGCATAACTGAATAAATGAATATTTACACTACCCCCAACAAAATCAACCTTCTCTGCGTCTTTGCTTGTTAAAGCTGAATATTGAACAATTTTGCCAACCAATTGATAAAGAAGACTATAGTATCTGACTTTTATAAAATTTTGGAAGAGAAACTGAAGGGGTAGAGTAAGAAAGAGTACTACTGGAAAATCAACTGAAGAAATATGTTCTAGACTATATATACGAATGTGATGACGCTGTTAAGGTATGGAGCTGTCTGTTGTCTTCAATTGATTAAAGGTAAACTGTAGGCAATGGAAGGAAAACAAGACAATTACTAACAACATACACCAGGGGACTGGCGGCTATTGTTACCAGGATGTTTGGACACACAAAAATTTTGCTTATTGCTTTTGAATGTTTATGATATATTGAATGCCATATTTTTGCTGCTGAACCATTTTCTTAAATTGACGAATAGGCTCACTCTGACATGATGCAGTTAAAACAAAACCTAACGAAAATAAATAATTTCAAGCAGATTGATTACTACAGATAAACTATTGTGGGTGAATGAAGCAGTTTAGTAACTATAGATCAACTATTGTGCGTGATTAACACTATGGCGTCACAGTTAATTAATATGGATTTGATTATTTTCCAGAAGTGTTTGTTCATTATCAAACATTTTGCAAAATACTACAGCTTTACTGAAAAAAGTCATACTAGTAGATAGCCTACAATGTACACTTCTTGCCAATATGAATTTTCCTGTTTATAAAGAAACATAATAGCCATTTCTGTGCGACCAACATTATGCATAAAATATTACGCAATAGATATTTCTAAATATTTCTAAATGAAGATAAATTTCAGGGTTTCACTATAAAAAAAAACAGCCCAGTTTGAGTAACGATAGTACAATACGACCTTTTGTCTGGGAATGTAAATCGTATTCAACTTACGTTGTCATGGCATCATATTCATATTGTCTTATAAAATTGTCGCCGAAACATTTTTATTAAACAATTATTGGATGAGGTTGAGCGTGATATGAAGAATTATTAACACCTAGGTCAATGTTATTTCGCTTCGACAGATAACATTGACCACGGTCTGAATAATTCTTGATATCATGCAAAAGCCGAATTCGATAATTGTTTTATTATTCACTTTCTTTAACTAACCGAAATATTATTTAAAACATATCAATATAAAACATTTTTCAAACTTTCGCTAATTTGTTTTTGTCAGACGGTTTATTCAAGTTCGCCTCGTTTAAATATGTTGCAAATATGCTCAAAGCCAGCTTGGCCGCTTTTTTAGTGTTTACCGCAGCCTTTTCCTTTAAAAACTTTCACATCCTTTTTAGAAACTGTGGCAAACATCGCTGTTGTTTGATTTTTCTTCAAAACCGGCTTTTAATGGCGTCTATTTTTTGTAGAACTATTATTTGTAGATATGACGTCATACCTACAGATATCGAGAATTATTTGCAGGTAGAGTTGATCAATCAAAACGACATTGCTTACACAGTGCATAATAATAAAATTAAACTGTGTGAATACTTCATTTCATGTAAACATATGATGCAGAATCGATTCCCAGAGGTTTGAGAATCTGAGGATGTAGAGCACCGGAGATATTGATGCTCGAACTTTGCCGGTCGGCTTTCCGAGCATGTCTTGGTCCCTATGCCAATCTCCATATAAAGTTAACAGTGCATTGTATGAATGCGTTAATTGGCCAGAAAAAAGTTCTTAAAATGGCGATCCTTTCGATCACATCGTGAGAATGAAACACCCGCAACTTTTAAAGGCTTCCAAAGCACCTACAATGCTTTTTCCACAACTTGCAAAAGTGACATAGACCGGATGTATCTTCCCAGGCCGAGATTAGGTGGCAAAGAATTGATTAACAGCGAGGAATGTCATGCTAATTAAACACACGATACAGTCACTGTTTGCCCAACTAAGTAATGGCAGAATTGTACACGCAAGCAATAGCTAGTGTCATGAAAAAATCCACCACAAACACAGATTAGAAAGGTAGATCAAGATTGTACCGAAAAGAAGATATGTGGTGTTATACACATTTTGTGCTTTTAAAATTGCATCTACCATAATTAGCGTAGGCCTCAGCAACATATTTGGAGGAGAAACATAATCGGCGGGAATCGTGGACGATTGTTTTTAACAATACATTATAACAAGTTTATCGGCCCGTTATATGCAATGTATTCATTTTCTTTTCTCTCTTTGTATGCTTTACACGGGCAGCACAAGAGTAGAGTGTAATGTATTTGAAAAATAAACTTGATTTTTACGTATTTAAATCGATAAAATAGTATTTCAAGAATCCTTTTGCGAGGATCTTGCACCTTTTTTTATGATACTGAGCTGTATATATATTTGCAGATGTAAATATTTTCATGGTATTAGAAATGCTCTTGAAAACACATTTTTCTACTTTGCAAATTGCTCAATTTTTACGAAACTTGGTAGGATTGTGTATTTAACATGGAACTATAATATTTTGGTGGATTGAACGTTTAGGTATGCCTGAAACTTTCAAAAACGCAGAAAAAGCAACAAAAAATCTGCTGACTTTCTCGATAAAATAACTAAGACATAGATAAAAATAATAGCACCACTTTATTAACTATTATACGAAGTACGTGTGAAAGTGTGAGCTTGCAGATAGTACCTTTCTCTGGTGGGTTGTCGGGAGCCAATATCAGGAAAAATATTTCCATTGATAGTGATGATCTAAATAGTAGCTAATATAGAGTACAATGAAGATTATGATACAAATTTTAATCTGCATCCATAGGGAGATATTGAAAAGTAAGGCACTAACCTTAATTCTTGCGCACCGAAATTCCTTAAAGTTCAAACTTGAAGTTTGAACTTGAAGTGCGCAAAAAGATCCTTAAAAGGCTAAATTAAAGTTATGCCGTGTTTCATAACATTATATACAGAATAGCAAAGCTTACAATGCAAATATTTTTGTGTTCATTCATTGGAAAAACAATGGACGGAATCAATTTTCCGAAGAACTCACAGCAAAAAAATATTCCTAAGAAATGAATAATGATAGCTAATACTCCGAAATTTACATTACACGACCAAAACTGACAGGCAACGCTACTGCATGTTCGGCAATGTTGATAAACAAAAGAGCGTATATACGCAATGTGTTGTTTCACAAGAACCATTATCTTCCTGTCAATGTCACCATTAAACATAATTTATCACGGTTATTAGCAAAAGATCGACAATGCACACGAAAAAGCAAATTAAAAATGATTTCCCATAATAACACGGTGGTTTGTTTATGTCGTTAATGCGCATGCGTTGATCAATAGACTTAACATTCAACTTCACGAGATTGATAAAGGAGTCAATAGACAACAAGTAGTATTTACTCGATAAGCTGGACGAGACATGTTGTCTTAGGAAAGAGGTCAATTCAGGTAATTAACAAAGATTTATTAGTTTTGCACTTATTGGTAAATTCATTTGAAGCATACATCGCTTGATTAACTATATATAGAACTCTTTAGAGGATATTCTGAGGGCGAATATCACACAAATGAGATACTTCGGCGTTTTTCCAGAAAACTGGGCAATAATCTTGTAGTGTTTGTAATTAGGCGAAGAATGCAGTCGTATGGAATCCGATAAATTGATATTTTCCTACTCAAACCAAAACACAGAAAATCGTTGCGAACTTCATGTACCGTAAAAAATTAGATAAGGTGAAAATTCACAATGAAGAAGATGGTTTTTACCTTCGACCTGAAGTCAAACAATATCGTAAAGAGCCCGACAAACAATTACGAAAGTACGTTCGGGCGTAACGCATGATTTATCTTAATTCGACAAAGCAGCAAAAAAAAAGATTTAATTCTCAAGTCCAGCTGTAAAATATTCGACAATATTTCCAAAAATACTATGAATTTTTCAAATGGCATTTAATTTAATGTCTCTTTCTGTCGATAGCAACAGTGAGCGGAACAATGAACTGAAAAAGATTACGGCCATTGTTTTTCGTCTTATGCGAACTGGTAGCAAAAATATAATGTCAAATTTATCGAATGTGAAACAGAACACTACCTAGTTGATTTCACGGCATCAATTTTTCTTATGAACATAGCAGATTATGTTGCGGGGGCATCTCGTTGATGTAATACACAGTAATTGATAAAATAAATATACGTCTTTATCGCTTAAAGGAAGACGCATTCCGTAAATATTTACCCAAATATATAGACATTTGATAGCGTTGAATCGTCTTTAATGATAAACGAAGATTACGAACCGTACGCTAGCTGTTTCTTGAAAACAGAGATTGGCAGAAAACAGTTTTACAAGTAAGTTTATAAAAAACAAATTAAAATGTAAGATGTCTATCAGAAAAGCCGAGCTCCGTAGGGCGCAAATTAGTGTCTTTTTTCGTAATGTCGCGCCAGACATACATTTCAGCATTAATTGGGCATTTCTGGCAACCCAATTCAGGGAAACCAATACACGAAAGCAACCAAACAAATGCTATTACATCGTCTTCCTTCGGTAATCATCGGGTCATTACACAGTTATCTAATACGTTGAGGTGATGAAATTTCACTATGCAAAAGCTGTTTAGACACGGTCAACGTGATTGCCAAAATAACTCGATAGAGTCTCGTTGGATTTCGAGTGCTTTTACAACTTAAGTACACGCTTCAAACTTTAAAAAGAACCTGTGCAGAAATTTCTACAATAGCTTTGCTTAAACCTGGCAAGGAGTGGTGAGAAGACGCGTCCGACACTATATTCTCAAAGAACACATGTCTTCATATGAACAAGAACGTTTAACCCGTTCAGTGTTCTCTTCTTAACTCTCTAAGTAACAAGGTAAGGAAGACTTTTGGAAGAGAACCGATTCGGTTGAGTATCATTACTATCATGCAGGAAAGTTTTCAACAGAGCAGCGATTTTGAAAACATAATTGTGCTTACTCTGTTAACCTAGGTTTGCTGGACAGGTGTGCAGGAGTAGCTAAAAAACTAACGTAGGAAACTTCCTCCCCCCCAAAAATGTAATATATTTTACAGATAAAAGGGGGAAAACAAAACGATAACTCATCAGTCACATAGAATGAATGGTTGTACCGTGATTTTTAGCCAACAGATGGCTCCATGTCGTTTTGCCAAAAATTTGATTTGCAGTTATCCGTGTTTCAACCGCACAACGGAAATGTGAAAGCGTTTTGCTTACGTAAATGTTGCCTGGGGTGAGATGTATTAAAAAGTTAGGTTTGTCCGCTGCATGCTATGTAAGAAGGGAGGATGGGAATCGTACATTATGTGCATAACTATAGAGGAAACTGACTAAAGAAACCTGTGAAAGGTAGGAAAATTAACTTTGCCTCGAGGGAAATGTAACATTGCTTGGCGTCCAAATTTTTTTTGTTGAAAGTGTGAGATGATGAGCTATGAAGAGACCAAGGTTTTTTTCAACGGAAAAAAAAAACAGCACAAGGATTTCCACGTCAGTTAGCTCTTCACATATACCATTGTTGTGATAAAGATTACTTAGATTAGCGAGCCATTATAATGTATGTATAGCTATAAGACCTCGTTTCTGCGATAGCTATGGGTCATTTAAAAAATTATCGAAGTGAGAGGATGTTTAGCGAGCGAAGCTCTGCAAGCTTACTGCGTGAACTAATTCGACCGTTTTTTCAAACTGTTTTTCATGTGGTTAACTTAAACGCTCAAGTCAAAATACCCTCCACGACAGTTAAACTAAAATCAAATGTACACATGCGGGGTTTTGATGACATAGCTATAATTGCCGATAATCAAATAACGCGCGCTCGTGCGTAAAGTCCTGCGCCACGATGGAATATGTGGCTTGCTCCTTCTATTTTTCCCCATGATAAAACGCAGTCAGCCAAATTTCACGAAAATCCTCTTCGCTTGTCACATGAGCGAATGAATGATAACAAATGGGACGGCCGTGCCGAAAACACGACAGTATTCATTTCTTTGATATCAATAACAGCAAATGACGTTTTCTGTCGGTTTTGGCCACGACGCGTGACCGCAACAAAACCGAGCCGGCTAATATGCAATATCTTGGCCAACCAAAAGGAAACATGAAAGTCTAACATAACCAAATATAAACTATTGTATTGTCTAAACACTTGCCATAGAGGCGTGATAAACTGATAGTCAAGATAAGCAAGCATTGCGCAGCAAGGGGTGCTTAGGAAGCATCGACTTTCTTTAATAAGCTGCTTGCAAATACAAGCTCTTTAAAGACGTTCCTCTACCGTTTGTTCCATTTTTGGCATTTTTCTCACCGTATGTATGCTAACACTTACGTCCAAAACGCAAAATACACAACATTGCCTTAAAAAATGACAGTAGTCACTGCATTACAAGCGGTCGTTTGGTGTATGTCAACGAATGGATAAAATCAATTCTTGCGTTTCTCTTTTTACTGGTCTTCACAAGCGCGAAAAAAGGCGCAGTTGATATATAGCCAGCTTGAATTGAGCAAAAGCTGCATATATTTAGCTAAGCTACTTTGTCAACGCCGGAATCTCTGTTTTTTGTATCTTATATCATTGCTATGTTATCTCTTGTGGTAAATATTTGCACGTATAATTTGCGAGTGAATGATATGGTAACTAATGTTGGAATACTTTGACGGATTATCAATATACACATACACATGTACAAGCAGTGCGCTAGCTTCATATTGAAATGTACAAAAAATAGCTACAATTCACTAATCAACGTATCGTTTTTTCAACGCAAGAAAGACGGATGAGAAAAAAACTTATACATATGCGTTGTTTTGAGAGCAAAAATATTAGCCACAGCATCAAAGAGTATAATAAAATGAAGATTACTTCGTGGTCGCCGTCAAACATGAGGCGTTGACTCCACAAAAGGCGTTATATTTCGTCTTGTGTTTACAATAAAGCGTTTATTTGAATGGCTATGTGTGAATAAACTCGTCGCTTTTATCTGCAGGATCTGCGCAAACGTCAATAAAAAGCAAGTGAAATCCATCTCGAACTTCACGGTATGTTAAAAAACTCTGCGCTACATTCTTGGTTTATTATATGAAACCTATGCACTCTCATCAATTTATAAAATTATACATTTTTTAAAGTAGTGACAGATTGGCTAGTCTTGGTCTCCTATTGCGATACCTCCTGCGAAAAAAATATACGCGACTATAACTTTGACTTAATCACTTCGGCTTACATTGGAATTAGGACAAAGTACTCGCTATTTGTGAATAAGCTTTCCTTTTCTTGAATAATTCAGCTTGTGTTTTTTCCCATGCCATTTCGAGCGAAGATGTTTTTTGTTTCTCCTAAGACGAATCGTTGTTAAAAGTTCACAATGATTAAATTGTTGAATTTTTGTGAATTGTCGAAACAGACAAAATTGCGCAACGTTTGGTCTAGAGCTACATCATTGACCAATCAAACCAAACTGATAGCTAAATTTCTCCCCTTTGGAAAACAAACGGTCAGATATTTCAAATAGTTAACTTGACCAGCTGTAACTCCCTTTAACTGTCTCTGGTAATCCAATTAAAGTGCGTTTGATGACCTATTGTATAGCTCCTCCAAAATAAATGGCTTGATTTCTATCCAACTTATAGCTACATAAATCACGTTGATTGCAGCCTATGACATTTATGAATAGAATATGGCATAATGCCTATAGAAATGGATATAAAGAGAGATAAGTTGGACAGCCTGGACTGAATGTAGATGTTTTCTCAAAAAGTAAGTCAAGTTTATTTATATAGAAGTAGCTACGTAGAGCTCATGGATTTGGGGGACATAGTTTACTAGGAAGAACAAAGTAGAACATATATAGATTGTAGATATTGTGGGCACAGTTTAACATAAAATTAGAATCTAGAAAGTTGAGTTTATGAATCTTTGGCTGGAAAGGCTTACCTTAAAGAACAAAATATAGTACATCGAGCTTTTTAATATAAAAGATGAAGCTTATCTTAGAGAGCAAGCTCTTGCGTCGAGCTCATGGATTTTGGGTACAAAGTTTGCCTTGAAGAAAAAAGTAGTACATATCAAGTTATGATAGGTATAAAGGACAATTAAGCTTATCGTAGAGAACAAGCTATAGAACGTTGAGTACCTTGATTTGGACGAGAAAGTTTACCTTAAAAAACAACGTAGAACACCGAGTTATTATATATGGAGGATACACAGTTTACCTTAGACCTACAGAGAACAAGTTAGTGCGTAGTGTTTATGGATTTTGGGGGACAAAGTCTACCTTGATGACCAAAGTATAGGGCACTCATTCTCCCTGAGTTTACTTTAGATGACAAGATGCTACGTAGTGTTCATAGATACATGTACATCAATTTCAAGAATTTTGGAGACAAAGTTTGCATAAAGATCAAGACAATCACTCGCGTTCATGAAAATAACGGCACAATTTGCCTTATGGAGAACGAGCTAGTATGTCAATCTGACACGTATATTTTCATTCATATAGAGTGTGGGAAAATACTGTGTTTTTTTCCTGCTTTCGATCAAGCTCGACATGTTTATTCACCGATTTTGCATATAGATTTCGTGGCCTGAACTAAGGAATGCTGTTAGATTATATGGCTTATGATCCTATTCGTCGTAATTCGTTCATTTCTGGCATGAGCACAGTAGATTTAAGTAATAGCCTTCCAGTTTACAAGCATTGACATTAACCTGCTAGAATACACACATGCTGGGCGAATATTCATACTTCCTAGTAAGGTATATACATGTCGTCACTTTATGTACACATAACAAAATCCTACAAAAGCGGATTTCAACTTGATGTATGTAAAATACCATGTGATAAAATTTTGTTATTAACGTCTTCAAACTTAAATGGCTTGACAAGGGTATGTATAGCTGCACAACTCTCGCATAAAATCGCTATAAATTGCTCGGTATGATTTTTGAAAGAGTGTGAAAAAGAAGAAAGTTAATGACATCTATACAGGTCAGTCAATGGATTTCCTCAAATGCATAGCTGTCAAAATATTATAGTCTAATCAAGGAGGCGGCTTTATAGTCGTTAAGGTAAATTGCTTTCCTATAACGTCTTGAACAATTTACAGAATTCGAACTCTTTCAAATGCCGAAAAATCGTGAGTTGAACGTTGAAGCGCTTTACGAAACGCATTACAAAAAAGCAGGGCCGTAGGCAATACGGATTTCCTGACTTTCGATATTGTGAAGAACCATTTAATTTAAGATACTAAATCAATCAAGTATTTCACTATTTATAATTATTATAAAATGATTTATAAGTCAAGGTTAAACCTGCACAGTTCTTTGTATAGATTACATGTGTACGTAAAATAAGCATTTAAACAAACTCGACGTATGATGGCACACCGTCAACATCAAGACATGCTGAAGTAGTAAAAAAATTGATATATATATAAGTTTAAAGATTGGTAATCCAGGCATGTTTTATTGTAGAAAAGTAAAGGTTTCTTCGGATTTTTCAAAATCTATTTTATATCCTAAATATAACTTCCTACATCATTAATATAGGAAGTATATTTATATATATAAAATATTTAAATATTATTTTCCCTGGAGGTAGACGTTTAGCATAACCGCATGGGGACGCCAACGAACACAGTTCTTTACGCAAGAGTCCAGCGTGTGTGTGCGCGCGCCATGATTTATAAGGAAGCAGCTCTCTGGTGTGCGGCATTGTTATGCAAACGACATAGATTAATAACACTGTCCAACGATCTTATCAAAATTATAATTGAGTTCGATGATTTGAAAAAACACCTAAAATGCTTCAACTCATATGAGAATTTGCACGATGCATCATGTGACTGGATTTTTGACAGAGCGCAAAGAGTTCTGGGGTTTAATGACAAATATTTCGACAAGGAAATATAGAATATAGAAACGACACTTTAAATTAGCAAATATAGTAGTAATATTTTTGCTAGAAGCAATCCTTTTCGAAAATTGTATGAATGAAAAAGTAAAAACGATTTTTTCTTTTGGAAAAAATCATCTTAATTCGGACGGTGAAATAAAGAACTTTTGCTTTGCAAATGATAAAAAATTGACTAATATATGAATAATATTACCCAATTTTTTAAAAATAAGAAATCCTACGAATTTAGCGGGAATTTTTTACTTTTCATTATTGTGAAATTGTTTTAATCGCTCCGTCCGGAATTATTTCAACCCTTTCGTACATTCGGCATGTTTAATGACCTACGAAACGTGAAAATAAAATGAAAACATGCAGTCTACTTTGTTAAATTTAGACACATACCAATTACCACATAGCTCATATAGGCACTTACCAATTTATTAGAATTAGAATTTAGACACATACCAATTACCACATAGCTCATATAGGCACTTACCAATTTATTTGAATTAGAATTTAGACACTTACCAATTATACGACATTGATTATGTCATTCTCAGTTTTTCTTTACAGTAAGAACACATATTCAGAGCTGGGCGTTGTTGCACATCTAAAAAAGTACAATCATATAGGGGGATGTTAATCTTAAAACACAAACGTCAAACGTTTCAAGCACTTTGCACAATATAAACAAAAGACTGTTGATGATCTCGAATGATTATCATTGGTTTGTAAGATTTAGAGAAATCGCTACTTCTCATCTGTACGGTCTATCAGTGTCATAAAATACATAAAATAAACACAATGGAGTTTGTTTAGAGCTGTGTTTGCATTAGCCTGTGCAAAACTTACCCGAGATCAACCAATCAAATCAATCATAACAATCAATCAGTCAAAGTGAATCTGCAAATCGATCATGAGTACATTTTAGATGAAAAATTAAAAAGTTTAATTTAAATTTGTCTGTTTTGCATTATTTTTATTTTGTAAAAGAAATAAAAGATGTTTTTCGTGTTTTCACTGGCTTATGCAAACCTCGGAGACGTCTGTGAGAGCTTTCGAGACGGTGCAACCTTCGACCTTCGGTCTCGGGCTTGAACTGATCAGCTCTCGAGTTCTCCCAAAGGTCTCCTCAGTTTGCATAAGGCTGTGCAAACAAAGTAAACATCTTATTTCTTAAGCAATGTATACTAGCTATGTACGAAGTAAAAGAGTCAAACATATTTGGGCGTACGATTAGTCTTCAATTAATCTAATATCGATTAATCTAAAAACATTAACATAATTAAACATATACTATAATATGAAACTGTCAAACGCAGATTTTCAACAAGTTTTAGCGAATTTCAGCTAGACAAAATATGACTTATCCTTCAACTTTTCCCTGTAGTTCGATTGGTGAGAGAAATGCGATGATTTAATAGTTAGGCCATGCAATAGGTAAAAAACAGCGTAGCGATTGCGAAGTGTCGTACATACGTTTTTCAATTGAAAGAAAATTTGCACGCTTGTACTATTGAAAATTTTGAAAAATCATTAACATCTCAATGATTTTGCTTATTGTAAAAGTAGTTCTTAAATGTTAATAGGTATAGAAAATCGCGAGTGAATTTGGAAAAAAATCAGGCTTTCCGAACCTTCCACTTCCTTATCAGTTCCCTAAGCGGATTTGATGCTATAATATGTGGACGTAAAAACAGCATGACACAAGCTAAAAATGCGCATCTTTAGATAGGCGTTCGCGATAAAAGAACTTCAGCTAACATCTGCTACCCATTGTCGCGTTTTTGGCATGTGCATGTACATATATATACACATATGTACGTAACTAGAACGTTAGATTTTTGGATGAGTGTGTGTGTGGGGGGGAGGGATATTCATTTTTTCAGTTCAACCCAAATATTTTCTTTTATTGAAAAGAAATTCACTTTCAATTAACGCTCTACAGTTACGAACCAGTTGGAGGGAGGCTAGGCTGTAGTCTCAAATAATTTTGCAATCATGTTGAATTTTTCAATCCAGTAATCTTTCCGAGTCCTCACAGCCCTACTTGATCCACTTTGAATACAGATATCGATTTTCGAGAAATGATTCCAGATATTTGGAAATTTAGTTTACCTTCCACGAGATCAAGCAAGCCAGATTATTGTTAATCGGTTCGATCAGATTATATTCAGCCGTGTTAGTGATTGTTGATGTACATGTGTCCCCCACCCCCTTCCTTCACGATAAGAAAAAATAATTTTTTTCAATTTTTTTTTAAGAAATTTTTTTCGGCAAGATAGAAAAGTTGCTACGTCGTGCAAGATTGACAACACTTAAGTGAAAGACATACTCGAGATTCACATCGAGCCAAGACGTGATTTCTTGACGTCACAAGAATCACCATTTTCGTATAGCATTAACAACCATCCGAGCTTAAAAATCACGTTGAAGTAAAGGTTCCGACATATCAAACGCAAACCTTGCTTCGTTCAAACTAGAGGTTCACGAAGCTTACACAACAAAGATGGAAGTCCCAAACGCCACCGGGAATGAAACCAAAGGCTTGGATGACAAAACCACAATGTTTTTCGCAATTATGTGCTTTGCCATAATAAGTATGGTGGGTATGATAGCAAACGTTGTGATTATCGTGAAACTCATGAAGCATAAGAGAAAATCCAGTGAATACTTCATTCTAAATTTGTCGATAACGGATCTGGTCGTCTGCTCATTGTGTATACCGCTGGACATTTACGATCAGTTTGCAGGAACATGGAAGTATGGCGCTTTCATGTGCAAAATAATTTGGCCGTTTCAGACACTTTTTACGCTCATTTCTATTTTGACCCTGACTGCAATGGCGATCGAACGACACAGAGTCATAATGACGCCATTCAAACCTCGTTTGACGCGTTCCGACTTGTTGAAAGTGATCCTTCTCATTTGGTTGATAGGGTTTTGTGTGATAGCCCCATACATACACCACCTGGAGTACGATGGTACTGAATGCATAGAAAAGTGGCCACACAAGATGAGCGGAGCGTATTACACACTTTCTTTGCTCATCATTGACTACTGCATACCGCTGACCATCATTGCGTATTGTTATGGGCGCGCAGGCTACAAACTGTTCGTCAACACAAGAGAATTTAAAACGGTGAACTCCGGAATTATGAATCACATGAAGCGCCTCGAGCGTAACAAGCGCGTTATCAAAATTTTCAGTTTTGCCGTCTTAGTCTTCCTTATTTGCATGTTGCCGAGCGACATATATTGGATGTGGAGGAGTTTTGGCGACGATTCTGATTTCGCACACAAGAAAAGCTTCGAAACTTTTTCTTATATCCTCATATACAGCAATAGCTGTTTCAACCCGTTCATATTCGGCGCATGTAACTTTAACTGCTTCAGAAAAAAGTCGTCGATGTCTTCGCATCGGAAGCTTGTGCAAGAAGGTTCGGGAAACGCTAACAGCATGTCGTCGGGAAGCAATGGACACCACACCACATCCACGAAAGGAGAAAAAAAAGTAGAGCACGATGATGTGCTGATCGATTTCAACAACCTATCCAAACTCAGGGAAACAGACATTTAATAAACTCGTTCCAAACTTCGGATTGTACAAAGTCGTATAATATCTATACCTAATAGAAAACAAACTTGTTTATATTCTGTATAATTCATAGATATTTTCATTTCTTTATAAATATATCAATGACAGTAATATGATATGTGTTCGTTCTCAGTCCCTTTGCACTCGCAGCACACACATTAGCCATGCTTGTAAGTTCAGTTTGAAAGAATATTTGGCAGAGATCACTCTCACCCCTAGCCTTCTCCGGGTAAACATTCCACTTTTTCGTACTAATTTGATCTTATGCAGATGCTCACAATGAGTGTTCCGCTCGTTACACATTCTCTCTCGATCGTTTTTTGCGCTCTCCCCAGCTCTCTCTCTCTTTCCAGATACGATGATTTCCCTTTTCCAAATATTTTTGTTCACGTGCCGAAAGATGTTGGAAAACTTAAAGGTTTTTGCGGTTTGCTCTTGTTCGAGTTTATACTTCAAATTCTATGTTTCAGTTGACTTGTTGTTGACTGTTCGATTATATAAACACATCAAAAAAGAAAATCCTACCCCCTGGAGATATATTGTTATAACTTGTAAATCAACGAATCGAACATAGTTTAACACAGAACTGCTTAGACTTAACATAATTTGTAAACTGCCACGTGAAGAGTGGGATCGCTCGTGTTTTAAAGAAGTATAAAAGGTCCCTTGAATTAAAAAAATACCTAATTTTAAAATGAGCATTAAAAATTAGGACCGTCAGTTTCACTGACTATTCAGCAACATCATTTCATTGATGTTGCTGAATAGTCACCTTGTGAATAGTCACCTTGTGAATAGTCACCTTGTGAACAGTCACCATGTGTAAAGCACTTTGAAGACTGCCCATACTATCAGCATAGCGTAGCCGGCGCAATAATTGAAAGGCCAATAATCATATATTTATGGTCTACCGTATTAAGTACTAATGAAATCGATTGTTTTTTCAAGTTATAACAAGCATATATGAATAATGCCCTCCCCCTTAAAATCATCGATTATAGCTACGCCACTGTATACTAACGTATCAAAACAGGGCAATCGCAATAGGGCTTTTAAGGACTGGCTGGGATTCGCTTATGTGGCACTTAATATAATTTATAGAGTGGTGAACTTTCTTTTTTTGTAGCCTTAATACATTGAGAATGTGATCGTAATTAATGCATTCATATGTAAATGTTACGATCCGAACGTTGTAATCCAATAAAGTTACGAATACAATGCTTAATTACTTCCAACCCAACCACTCGGCTGATTCATAACAATTCCAATAATTTACTGCAGAAAAAAACTTATCATTGAGCAATATTACTGTCGATGAAATCGAGTGATATTGCGAAGACTGATGTTGAGACCCATCCATAATAGGATTGATGCGTGTACAATAAGCTCTATTTGTGATATCCGAGGTTCATGTTTCATGACTCAAGGTGTACCTGTCGCAAACAATGGGTAGCTTGGTAAGTCTTAAGATTTACTCCGCTTTGTTTACAGTCAAAAAGAACTGCTCGGACTTTTTCTAGTAATGTTGGATATAGTGATGATTATTATCGACGTCAAAGATTGCGTGATTAACTTAATAGACACCATGTCTAACCCATGCAAAGTAGTGTGCGTGTGACTAAAGTCCGAAGGCTAATAGATTTTCGAACAATGTTCGAATTTTCGAATATCAGGCGATAACAACCTGAAATTTACATAGCTGGAGCAAAGCGTGTAGGCTGGCTACGCCAATGGTTGCTGGCCAGTAGTTCTTTTTGAGTGCCCGTGTAAACGTTTTACATGACCATTGTTAATTTCTTCACAAATCCATTGTTTTTAGAATTTGTGAACACAAAACATTTGAACAGGGGATGTCGAAAGTCGGTATGGCTACTGTACTGCAAGCAATAATTTAACTAGCTGAGATTGACACGTCATTGCAAATGAAATCGCACACCAGGGTTAGCAGAAAGATAAGACCACTTGCATTCTTTTTATAATTAAAATCTTCTTCCCATCTTGATTAAGCTGTGCCAGCTTAACCTTGTTATCTAATGCAAAGATTACATAGCACGTACAAACTATCTTTGCACGTTTTCGTTCATACATACGTCATTGGTAATTATTGAGAAAGATGAATTAGAATCACATTTTTTAACAAAAATCAAAAAGTTTATTACCGTAAAAAGGCTCGTTACTCAAACAAATACAAACGCTGTATAGGAGTCCATGAGTTATTAGAAAGACGAGGAAAACCCACATGCGTCCCCACCAGTGAGGAATGATAGGATTTTCAAATCCAATGTTGTTTAAAAAAAACGAGAAAGGCGCACTCGGAACTTCATCAGACAAGAATGATGGAAACTCCGGCTTCATAAGTTGTTTGAGACTTGTTATGGAGACTCTATCGCAACAACATAAGCGAGATATAATGAAAACTCCCATTTCAAACATTGTTTGAAAGATGAGAAAGACCAAAACTCGCAAATGATGGGTACTCACACTCCTCAAGTAGTTCAAACGATGATAAGACCCACATACTACGCCACAAATCAGGGATGTTACAGAAACTCCCATTTCACAAGTTCGTTCTAAAGACGAGCAACTTATGACAAATAAATATACTCATAGTTGCAGCCATTGATACTTATTTAAACAGGGAGAATTCTGCAAATCCCAAAGCACATCGGCGCTCAAGATCTCCAGACAACTCGAATACTAGATACTCTGATCAGAGACATAGAGACCTGTTTCAACTTTTTATGTATCAAACGCACAAGTATTTGCATTTTTAAGAATGACAATTATAAAATCATGTGTAGCGTAGCCATTTTACGCCCGCTATGCAAATATTTTTGTGTTTATTGGCCGTGAAGCAATAGATTTCCAAAATGGTGACCTTTCAGAATTTTCACAGCCTGAGTAATTCTGCAGGGTCGCTAGTTCTTATTATTACGACAGTGCAATAAATATAAAAATATGAGTAAAAGTCCATCAAACTGTAGTTTAACAAAACAAAAAAACACCAAATTTCTGCCATGCTTTCACAAATTAACCGAATGTTTTGAAAAACAAGAGCACACACAGCACACTTATCGTTGAAATCACTACACATTACAAAGTATTGAATGCTTACTGCTATTTTATAAATACATTTTCTATGCTATGATGCAAAATATCGAAAACATCTGGCTACTGCCATCATCAGAGATTATACGTAATATAAATCCTAAATGTATAATCTGTATTCATATATAATCTGTATTCTGGCTACTGTTCACGTCGTTTTTGCTTGGTGTATTATATCAAACGTAAATTAGCTACTAAAAACAAAATTTGACGTCAGAGTGTTAACAATAAATCCATTATAGTCATAGTGTTTCCAATACATTCATCAATCTATCCTATCCAGGCGACGACATTCTTGCTCACGCAAGCAAATCCTTAAATGTACCAAGGGATTAAAACCCATTAGCTATCTTTTGTCTTCTCCACGTATTTTCTAAATTTTTGCACCGAAAATCTTATCAGCACAACAGAAGAACCAAAAAGATAAGCAATGTCACAAAACTCGAGACGGATGGGACAAAAAGCAAAATATTTTTTTGAACTAAGTCAATTGAGCAAAAATCATTTCAAGAGTGAACTAGGCTTTCCATTGAAAGATTTGACCCGAAGATAACAACACGGTAGGCGGTCGATACCATGACATTCCTAGACACTCTACTGAAAAAGCTAGAATTTCATGGAATTCACAGGTCAAGTTCACAATTAGTTAAAACAGTATCTTTTCAACAGACACCATAAGTATCGAACTCTCCCACGTGCCTTGAAAAGAAAGATCTAAGATATTTGCTGATGACAGCCACTAGTTCCACTATATAGTGGAAGTTTGGAGGTGTGGTTCAGGGAATTCGACATCGAAGTTCGGAGACCGGGTTTGGATCATTCTTAGTTTTCCTTCAGTGAAGTACTTAAGCCCCTGCACGACGGCAACGTGATGATCCAGGCGCAGGGGATAGTGGAAGTGCAGACTGCAAACCGAAAAAATATTATGAACCAATCAACGGCCATTAAACTATGCTTACATCCGGATCTGATCTGATTATCGTTTATCTTGGAAACCCAATAAACACCAACTATTTATATCAGACATTAAGGATGTGTTTGGCGAGTTGCAATCGTTTGTGCAAAAGCTCCAAAACAGAGCTGTTTGGATTCTTTTAAATATAAGCGTTGATGTGTAGTTTCGAGTTAAAATGAAGTTTACGGTTGCTATTGATATTACTAACTTAATAAGGCAGAACATGACTATTTGAATATTGTTCCCCCCCCCCGAATTATCGAGTTGGCTACGTCACTGATCATAACCATATGCAACAATAGCGTGTATGAAAACTTTTGATATATTTTAAGCGACACAAGGGAAAGCGTCGCCAATTTTACAGCACAACGTATACCAAATTCACAATGTACTTCAACGTTCACTTCAGATGTTTTATTTAGATTTTTATTAGTGACGCGAGCAATGTTATGTTTGGAGGCGGGGCAGGGGAGCTTCCCAAAAATACTACTTACGTACTACACTAGCCCCTCTTAAGCTGGTTATTGCTTACCACAGTTATATCGTGAATATCTTAACTAGGTCTTCTAAAAACTCTCAAATGAGAATTGCCACACATTTTTTTGTAAAATCACTCCTTATATACACATCTTGTAAATAACTTTTCCATGCACCTTTCCTACTCGTCTAGCTAGCTCGTACTTCTCGTTATAAAGGATTAGCGTGTGTAAATAATTTCTCTTTATCTTTGAGACTTTTTTCGAAAACTTTTTTCAATCTCAGATACACACTGCCATCAAGGAGCCCTTGAAAAACATTCCCCATCAATTATGGCAATTGACATTCTTTTGTAAAATTATATCACTTTATAAGATATAAGTTACAAAGCTTTTCTTCTTTAGGGCGGTATATTTTACTCAGCTTCCAGACGGCTGGTTCCATCGAAGGCTCCAATGATCATTTACAAAGAAACCGCAGGTTTTAACGTCGGATCACGATGTAACAGACGACGAAGGAACATTTGTATAGTGTAGGAGTTAATGACGTTCGGAAGTTATTAGTCGATCAATTACTTAAAAAGAAAACCCCCAATTAAGTACTAACTACATCACTGAACCACGAAATATTTTAAAAATCTTCATGAAACAAAGACTTGGTTGTGGTAAGAAACTTAGGTACTGCTTGGAAGAGCGTATTTACCATTAGTAAATAGATACATAAATAAATTTTATTTAAACTCGTTAACTTACGCCGATTCCCACGAGGGGTGCATGAAATAAAAATTTACAGCAAAGATAAAATGTGCATAAAAGCTACTTACAAAAAAAAACACTAAAGAACTACATACTAAATTACTAAGCAGTGAATAGTTGACTAAGCACTAAATACTAAATACTTTGCCAAATTTTCAACAGTTCCTTTTCGAAAAACGATGTTGTAGTTATCTTTATCATGATAAACACGCTCTTCAAAACATTATTTAAAAATGCTTTAATGAAAATCGTAGGGTATTGTAGCAATCTTCATGGACAAACGTTGCTAACATAGTACATTATATGATCAACACTCGTACACACGGAACAGATATCGTAGATCTCATCAAACACTATTTCTGAAAGCAATGAATTTCGTGAGCAGGTCGATTTCATTTAATTTTTTACGTACGCATGTAGACCAGGCGAGCAGGCCGAAGATTATTATAGCAGATCAACTGTGTAACAGTTTAAGAAAGACTTACACGGCAGCGCTGCACCTACCTAAAAACTCAGGTGGACCTTCTACGTTCTTAGACCAACCTTTGTGGTGCCTGTATTTGATACGAAAGCCCATGTACAATTTAAGCTGGCACCGATTTTTGTCTTAAATCAATTTCTGGACTGATTTTTTACAGATATTTCACATAGCCTGGGAAGTCACAATCCCCCCCCACACACACACACACATACCTTAATGTGCGCGCCCTAATACTCTTAATATCATTCGGTGGTGAGCATAAATCATAATGGCTCCGGCAAGGGGTGGACGAGTTTTGTAGGTAAGTGTCGTTTTAGGAAAGTCTCCTCCTCCCGTAAATAAAACTTTGCTAGTGTCAGTGGCAAGAAACTAAATGAAATACCTTGAGCAAAAGTTAAGAGAAAAAATATATTATGAATAGGTACATCTGTTTTGTGTTTGCAGTTGACGACGTCTTGAAAACACAGTCCCAAAAAAATTCTTCCCATTCTTGTCGGCTTGATTCAAGAAAAATACATTGTAAATTTGTATCAGTTGTGCAGTAAAATAGGCAACGCTTTCAAACTCATAAAAGAGAGTGCTTCCTTTTCTTAATGACTTAATTCAAACAAAATTGCTTCCCCATTTTCATTCATATAAACACATGCCAACCAAAAGACATCCGAAGGCATTGCACTGTACATGTGGCTCTTCCTTAAAACGCAAATAAACTTTATACTTAGGGCAAGCGAAAGAATAAGCGCCGATTTACAAATAAATGGGGTTTTTTTGCAAAAAATTACCATTTCGACTGACCAATGCAATTTCAACTGTTTTTGACGAGTTCCACCCACTTAAATTCGTTGGCAAATTTTTTTAGCCTCAATCACGGACCTCCGTATAAATGACAATAATTACCCCTCTAAACAAGGTGTGTTGCTAGGATAAATACTGCTGGTCGTAGTCAAATACTGAAATTAATTAATATAAGTACATTAATAAATACATACAGAATCTAGAAGCTTGTTTGTGGCACTTGTGAATTGTACTGATATTCATAGAAAATGAAGCGAATGTTTGAATCATTTGCAGGAATTGAAAACAAATTTTAGCCGAAAACAGCTCTTCCGAAATCAAACATATGCACAAAGTGAAAAAGGTTCAAAAACATATTAGATCCAGTAGTACTTGGTGTAGGCCTAATATTCCACTTTGTCAAAGCAAGACCAAACGAAAATCATAAATGCAAATAGAATACAAACAGAGCATTTGATGACATTGCAAAATGTATAAGTCCACATCAAACAAACGATCATTGTATCGTGTTGATGTTTTGTCTGTTTTGCTCGTCGGCCAAGTAGGAGGACTTTTATAAAAGAATTTTTTGTCAATGACAGCATGTGGTCTCCCGCCGACTTGAATGGGCGAAAGACAATGTTTGGTAAATCCAAAGAGATTTGTTGTGTCAGTGTTTGTTCAGGTCAAGAACTCGCGACATGCAGAGCATAGTCGAAAAATGGTCGAAACTGGATGCCAAATTTTAAATCCAATCTGACACTGTAGACAATTAAACCGTCTCCTTAGCGAACTGACAGAAATAGAATTACGACATTAGGGCAATATGAATGACCACGGCATTGTACAAAGTACGATAATTCCCTAGAAAATTGAATGAAAATAAGCTGGACATATAAATGAAACGAAAAACCGCCGAATCGAATCTTTTTGGAGGAGATATATTTTTGCGTTAAACGAATATCTTTACACTATGAAGAAGAATAACCGCGTAATTCAAACAAACTTTCATTCAAAAATAGAGGAGCACGGGGCAATTACGATACAGATTGAAGTTCATGATTTAGAATCAGTGAGAAAAATACCAAGGAGAAAAAGAACAAACAAAAAATGTCCCCAAGGAGAGGTGGAAGTGAATCCGTGCACGCAATGATAAGCACTCGTTTTACATATTTAAACAGACTGACAATAACTGTTTGAAGAACATGAATATTCATTTCGTAATTTAATTAAAGTAGTGAAAGCAAGGCTTCCGTTAGCATTAGTTATCATAGCTGATCGTTCGTGACAGAAGTCTTTGGTAGCGCGCTTTTTTTAAGCTGATAATTGCAGCTTTCGAAGGAACTCAAATTCAACAGTCATCAGGCATATAATCACAAGGTAATGTTCTAATTATTGAAATTTCATAGTTCTAAACCATGCGTGCAGTGTCAATTAAGATGCGTTATTGGCCTATAATGTAATACAGGATTAATGACTTTGGTATTAAAAAATTCCGTACACATTCCGACTTTGGAGTTGCATGTTCTACATGTACTGTCCTATTTTAAGGCGAGAAATTGGAATTTTGAATCACAACGAAAAATAGCATGCTTGCTAATGTAAATATTTTCACCAAAGAGCCTATATTTGAAATTGATCCAACTTCCAATGGTCAAACAAGTGTACCCTTAAAATGCAATGCTCAAATACATCACGCCATGTTTAGGTCATGAAAAACAAACCATAAACAGGTAGTACAAATTATGCACTATACCTCCCCCGTGTTTCGCATTGTGTAAACTGTTTGGACTTAGGAAATAACTCACGGAAGCTCCAGAAATTTTCGCATTCAAATTTTAAAGTGGCATAAAATTTATACAAGAAAAAGAAAACAGTAGGCAACAGAGGCCTTAATTTCACCCTGGAATGAATAGATGTGTAATATATTCTCATTATGAATGCTTGTGCTGAAGTTTTAACGTGAGAATTCAAAGCTTAGGGTTAGCTTATTTTTGCTAATGCATGTTGAAAGTTTTTTTTTGTCAACTGGATATTAGACATTGGATCCTGACGTGCAAATGTACAAAACAGTAAAGCGAACGAGGAGGGGAGGAGATCATGTATGTCTATGGATGTCCTTCAATGTCTACACTGACAAATTCAAATGCTACCTAAATCTCATTCGATGTGGTCCGGTTTAAGAGCGTCCGGTTCGTTAATTTAAAAAATTTGCGCGCAATCGTAGATGAGCCTGGTAACAAGTGTAAAATACACCTCGAAATCAATACTGAATACGTCCAACATGATGTGAGATCGTGACGATTTCTGTTTGCGATTGCAAACTCCTGACAAACTACCACGAATTATAGATGACATGACCGGCAAATAATTATTTTTCGCGCATCCGCTGTGGCTCCTTTCAACAACAGTGATATGTTTTGTGGACAAGATCCTGTTTTGAAGAGCCTCTTCTTGAAAAAGCACTCAGTTTAAAAATACATAGTAACGGTTTCTTCAATGGTTGGCACTTGAAACGATGTAAGGTTTTCGTTTTTCAACTGACGAGCGCATAAATAAGGCAATAGAAATTAAACTGAAACCAACATAACCATCATTATCCATAGAAAAAACATACATATCACCAAAGAACACAATATTAGGCCATATCATTCCTCACGTATTAGCAAATGGCCATATAGATAAGTGCGGAAGCTCGAAAAACAATGGTCTTATATCGGACAGGAAAACAACCTCTCCAGGAGTCAGCCTACCTTGCACACATGAGTAATATTTAGGTTTCAGAACAGCTTTTCTCCAAAAGCGTAGGTCAAGACATGTCATATGAAGAGAATGGAGCGGTCTTCCACTTCATTGAATACGTTTGCGTCATTTCATTAAGGAAAAACAGACTGAATAAAATAAAGGAAGAGTTGGCGTAAATCATGGGTGAACATGCCCTCCCTCCATTCTTTCGACAATCAATGATTTAACATTAGAAAAACTACTAGTACACGGTGAGCTAACCAGACAACCTCCCTCTCCTCGCATTTCAAGACAGATTTGTGCCATTGATCCCACGGCCAATACAAGTCAGTATGAACTATGAAGTCAAGTACCACAATAACAACTCGAAACAGTAGTGGTTTCTAGAATGTTTTACTTACTGAAATGCTGCATTAAGTCTCTAAAGAATACTTCGATCATGCACGACCAAGGCATTTTCACTGGTAGAGATTAAGTTTTGGAATGTTAAAATGCAACGTATTTATCAATAATCACGTGCAATCGGTTCGATTTCGCTGGGAAGCCACATGAACAACATGAGCAAACAAGATGGCACTTGAGCAAAACTCCTCCCATCTAACGCACAATCATATTTAAACTTGACTGTAACCGCTAAACTCACAACACCAAGCAAAACCTTGAAATGAAAGTCGGAAACGCACCTTAAAAAGGGGTTAGAGGTGTAACATTGCCAGCTTTTGTAAAACATGTATCACAAGTCGTCCAGAAACTGATAGCGGAGAAAAAAGTCTGTCCGCCTAAATATATGGGCTTTTCATTAAAAAAACATTTAAAATTTGCTTCCCAGAACGTCTAACCATCTAACCCCCCCCCCCGCTCTCTCAACTTTTATGCATGAGCTATTGAAAGTTTACAGTTAAGTCATGCATGCCCAATTGAAGTTATGTCTTGGAACCCTATTTTGGAAGTTTTTTAAGAAGACCTGATTAAAATATTCACGATATAGCTAACTGTAGTAAGCAAAAAACAGCTTAAATGGGGGCTAGTATAGCATGTAAGTAGTGTTTTTGGGAAGTTTCGAAAGAAAAATACATTGTGAATTAGTATAAGTTTGTTGGGCAGTAAAATCGGCAACGCTTTCAAACTACAATCGTAAATGATAGTGCTTCCTATATTATTGACTTAATTTAAGCAAAATTGCTTCCCCCATTTTTATTCATATAAACACATGTGAACAAAAGGCATCTGAAACTACAGCTCAGAGCATGTGGCCCTTTAAAACGCCCACAAACTCTACGTTTAAAGGAGCTGCTACTGATATAGAAACTATTACTCCTTTAAGAAAACCTCCATTCAATATGTTCAATGCAGTATCGAGGGAAAACTAGAAGCAGTTTTTAATGATTTCCCTTTTTAAAATTATAGCTCATAGAAAACAGAAAACCTCAAGGAATAACTAAGAACTTTTAACAGCAATCCAATCGCCCCCTGGAGTCGCTATTTAACGTAGCGTGAAATATTTTTTAATATGGTTTGCTTTGTTCCTCTAAGCAAATTTATTCATTCATTTTCCCTAAAATATATTGATTGAAAAACAGCATTTAAGCCAAAGGCATACATAACAGCTTTAGTCCATAATGAACCCGAAATCCTTCGTTGACGTAGGATTAAGGTCGCTAAGATACGATTAACAGAACAACATTACGTGCTTTAATATTTCTGGAAAATTTTATCTGAAAACATGTTGTTCGACTTAGAAGAGCATGATGCATTTAGTATCGTGACGTACAACGTTTTTGATGAAGTTCTGCTTAAGTATTCCAAGACTGTTCATACATAAATGTTTACAGATGCAGATCTGAGGAAGAGTGCCGGTGTTGATGTTGACTGACGTTTTGATAATGTCGGCGGGCATTATTTCCAGAGTTAAGTGAAGTCTGAAGATGACTGCATGCCACTAACGCTGTCAAAACATTATGTCAAAACATTAGTCAACACCAACAGCCCTTCTTTGGACTCCACTATTCTAGATGAATTACATCTACAAGCCACTTAAACTTCATATAGAATACAGGAACACAACTAAGGGTAAGATAATGCGTATAGGCGCTGCCAACATGGCATATGGGCTTTTTAACATCAGGTTCTCCAACTGCATCTTTGCGTAAGTTATCCAACTGCATCTTTGTCTAAGTTCTCCAACTGCATCTTTGTCTAAGTTCTGCAACTGTATCTTTACGTAAGTTCTCCAACTGTATCTTTGTCTAAGTTCTCCAACTGCATCTTTGTCTAAGTTCTCCAACTGCATCTTTGTCTAAGTTCTCCAACTGCATCTTTGTCTAAGTTCTCCAACTGCATCTTTGTCTAAGTTCTCCAACTTCATCTTTGCGTAAGTTCTCCAACTGCATCTTTGTCTAAGTTCTCCAACTGCATCTTTGCTTAAGTTCTCCAACTGTGTCTTTGTCTAAGTTCTCCAACGGCATCTTTGTCTAAGTTCTCCAACTGCATCTTTGTCTAAGTTCTCCAACTGCATCTTTGCGTAAGTTCTCCAACTGCATCTTTGTCTAAGTTCTCCAACTGCATCTTTGTCTAAGTTCTCCAACTGCATCTTTGTCTAAGTTCTCCAACTGCATCTTTGTCTAAGTTCTCCAGCTGCGTCTATGCCTAAGTTCTCCAGCTGTATTTATGCTTAAGTTTTCAAACTGCATTGAGTCGGTAAGCAAATCACAAAATCTTCAACATTCTGCGGGGATCATTGTGAACAGGTCTTGTAGATATTTCATCATCAATCTTCCACACGGCCATTTTATTACGAAATTAACGTTCTTTATGCTTCTGTAGATATCATGTATTCAAACGCGCTGATAACGTTCGCCATTGTAGTCCTGTCGCCGTTTGTGATAAACACACAGCAAACCAACAAAAAATATCGATTGTGCGGAAATGATTTCGTCGATGCTTATTATTCGTGCTGTAACCTTGGTTACCCGGCATGCGCAAATCAAGTACCTCAAGAAGCCTTTTTTCTTCACAAACGAAGTGAGTAGATAGTTGAACATTTAAACAGTTTTTCGAAGTTGTAAAGTAAGAGGTAAACAGTCAAATTAGTCGAAGGAAAGAATCAACTATAAAGCTACAACTATATGTGACCTTGTTTGTTGAGTTGTAATTCAGTCGGTAAATATCGCAAAATGAAATCATGACTATTACAAGTGGGAACTATAGGCTTTAATGATTTTTGTAAGTTAAAGCGACACATTATTATTTAATTAATCCACTCAAAGTTCCCATACCAGGGTCAGGGAAAGAACTTTTATACATCGCTAAACCAACTTTAAGAACATTTACAAGATATTTGATAGGACGAAATTTTTCTCACTACAGACTTTTCGGGCCTGCAAGTAGGTGACTCTGCACCGGAAGTGACGTAAAAAGAAAACGCACTTCTACATTTTCAACGTTTTTTTGATTATTCGTTTAAAACTGGGCGGCATCTTAACATTTGTTGAACAAACTTTGAAGAAGATTTGCTATAACGTGTTTTAGTGGTAATAAAAACTGTATCTTTAATGCACGTGTTCTCCTTTACGTCACATCCGGTGCAAACTTCTAGGTCCAAAAAGCGTATGAAGATGAAATTTTCGTCTGATCAAACAAACATCCAAATATTCTTAAGACGATTTAACTATCTAAAGAAGTTATTCACCTGAACATGATACTGGGACTTTATGGATTTTCGCAACATTTGGTCTTATGAACATACAAAACACGCAAAATGACAAGAACTGATCTGCACTAATTCTAAGAATTACAATGTACAATTAAAAGGTTGTAGTTCTACGCTTTAAATTTAAGACTCCTTTCGATTCCTGAAAATAAGCATTCGTGCCTCACCAAATTTCGGCGGTTAGCAGGGATCGCATAAACAACCCTTTAAAGGATGAAGGATACGAATGGAACGGAGTGATAGGAAGAGAAATCGAATTTGATCATATCAAAGTTAGATTGCGTTAGAGTAAATCTCCTCCCATTCTTTTCTCAATAGAATTAAGAAATCCCTTCATGTCGTCGAGAGAAGCTAAGAATTTCCTCGGTAAACTGAGAAAGCGAGATCAAGTGGGCAACGATTCACCTCTGACGACGCAGGCTGTTAAAGAATGTTGCGTGAAAAAATGTTCTTACAAAGAAGTCAGCGAGTACACGTGCCATCGTTAGCTAGAACACTTCATTAATTAATGCATACTAAATGAAACATTCATTTGCACGAGACTAGATTATGTTATGTTATTGCACTGTTAAACGTTTTGAGAATGCATTTATACAAATTACATTCACTGGCGTAGCGAGCTCGCTTAGTTATTTTAGTCACGCTATCAAGGGCTTAAGAAGTCCCAGGTGTCTGGATGTCCCGAGTCCCGACACGCGCAATTATGAGAGTGTAATTGTCCCTTATAAGAAAGACACCCACAAGTTCAGCATCTTGCTTGAGCGTTTGCGACATATTGAATGCCATGTTTGTACAGTTGTGCCAAGTTTTCAACGGTCTCTTCACTTTGACATATTACAGTAAAAGAAAACCTAATTAGAAATAACCATTGGTAAGCATTTTCATTAGTAGTGTAACTTTTGTGAGTTATCACAAAATGAGCAAGGAACACCAACAATATTAAAAAGCTTCCAAAGCCTCTGCTATGCAATTTGCGAGCAGATTTGTTTACTTGTTCACGACGAAAATGTTCTGCATTTCAGATCGCAGGATTTAAACTAAGGTGGTAGGCTGGATGTACGATACTTGCTATACTGGATATTAAACGTTTAACATTTACATGCGAGAAAGATTTTAACGAACCAAAAAATAAGAGCGTTGATGAAAAAAAGAGAACTAGTGGTGATCACTGATCTCGAAATAAGACTGGATCAAGCATCTAGCACAAAAATTTAGGACAAAAAATAAGGAGCGCCGCCATTACTAAGGGACCAACATTCGAACATGAACATAACTAAGAGATAAATCAGTTTATAGAAGAGATAAAAATATGATGAAATATGATCAAAATGTAGCGATTTTTGTCATCGGTAACTCTACTATGGTATGGAAAAACTATGGAAAATAGCCCACAACTGCATGGAATAACCTAAAATTGTTGGAATCGTAGTTCAGAAGTACAAACTGGTCATAAACTGATCAATCTTTTAAAATTACAAGCCATTTTAGGAGTGATTCGGTGTGAAACCTGTATGCGTTTTGTTTTATACGGCCGATTATTCTTTCTGACTCGTTTTACTATCGCTATAAAGGTTGTTTTTCATCTTCTGCGTTATCTTAAAGCATGATTTGGCCATGTGTTGCTATGTTTTCCATAGTTTTGTTAAAAAATCTTTCGACGTGTTGGTCCCTTACTAACGGCGGCGGTGGCTTCAAATTTGTTTACTACAAATATAAACTTGCTTGATCCAGTCTTTTCGAGATCAGTGGTGGAGATGCACTTCTTACTACAGAAGCAATCTACCCTCACCTTAGTGGTGGTGAATCTTTATGACAGCAAATATCCCCCCCCCCAATGCATTGTGGTATATTTGGAAGACAGCAACCGGCGTTACCCTAAATCTAGCAGTGATGTATTCTTATAGTAATGCAGCCGTTCATCCTGACTTTGTAATAATGTGTTCTTGTTACAGCAACGATACTACCACCCAATGATTTAGAACCCAATCCTATAGATATCTAACAACCGTGTCAATATGAGGCAAGGACAATAGAGATTATAAGACTAGAGGTGGCATCGTAATATAATCAAGAGTTCAAAATATGGTACGCGTTTTTTGGAGGGAAAAATCAATTCCCGGATGTTAAGCTAAAGTGGAAAACTATGGAAAACGTTTTCACTTTTTTGTACATATTATGCGTAAATATTATAGTGAATACTATCATATTGTCTGAGCAATTCTTGCCTTTTTATTGTAATTTTAGATGGTTTAAGTCACTCGTATTTTGCAAAACATGTTTGTGTTGCTTTTGTACTTATTCAGCAAATTATAAGTCCGTGAATCATTGCTTGATAAAAAGACCGTTTTCGTCTTTAATTCTACTGCTAACAGACTTCAAAAAACATATATTTGTCATCCATACCGGAAAAATATTAAAAACGGTTAAGCTATGTGAATATGTGGGTTGTAAAAACAAAAAAGAATAGCATAAGTTTTCATTGCGTGTAGTTAATTAAAACAAAGTATACGGAGATTATAAGCAACAGATAATCAAAATAACAGCTCGCTAAAAACAATTACTAACACTTTAAAATGACAAATTTTCTTGATGCTCGTACAAAAGAGAAAAAAAGTACCAAATATATTCAAAAAGAATCCAAAACTCGAAGCAGACGGCAAAAACAACATTTGTTTACTTCGTGTTTTAACCTGGCACCTAAATTTACCCCCCAATTTACGCGTTCCCTAAAAGCGTCATCAATGCCACCTCTAGTCTTATTTATAATCTCTAAAGCAAGGACACAATCTTGAAAGGTGGCATAAAGGAAAACTCAAAGTCAAAATGAAAAACATGCTAAGAGAAGGTTTGAAAAATTAATCCTATCAAACATTTTCAAAATTAAACCTGGACTATCAACTTTGCGACAGTATATCAACGTCAGTTTTGCCACCTTTCAAGATGGCGACTTGCCTCAATAGTATTTACAAAAGTTAGGCGGAGTCAGATATCTAGTAGATTGGGTTCTAGGTCATTGCTCCCACCCTAGAAGTGTATTCCCACGACAGCAGGCACTTCTTCTCTCACTCCAGTATTTACATATATTCTTACGACAAGAGTTGGCTCACAACTTAAACATAATTATCACGACCTGTCCCCAAAACGACGTGGGAAATTAAGAATATTTCTAAAGCGTAAAAGAACCACGGATTCAGACAAATAAATGATGGAAAGTTCAGTGATGTGTGGCAAACACCGATCCTCGCTTAACAAATAACGTCTGAACTATCCAAACACACAGTTGTAAACAAACTATCGCTTCCAGAGATGTGCATCAAGTCTCTCTGTTGCGAACAATCGCATACAAAACGAAGACTTACTATGGGGAAAGGCTATTGTATCGGCTCACGACAGCTAATCTACTCGTAAGTTAACACCTTCCCCAGTTATTAGAGGGTTATCGTCTTTTTGTGCAAAGACTGTTTCGGGATATGCTGTTAAATGCACGAAGCATGGACATTTACTAAAACAAGCTGGCGCAGCAGGTAATTAAGCATATGGTGCATTAGCAATTGAATTGTGACTTTCATTATATTTTAATTCAAGGATTTCGTTTGTCTAATAGGCAGACCGTTGGGTAAAAGACTGTTTGTGATGCCGCAAATAAATGACTTCCGCGCAGTATTGTTTTTCCAGATACAGTTGAATTGACTCAATGTAGAATATATGATATTTAGTGAACTGCATACGCGCATGTATTTGAAAAACTAAGAATGTAGCTGTTTTAACTTCAATTACCCATATGCATGATACTGGGTTAGAAAACCCAATATCACCAAGCATATCTTTGTACAGATATTTAAACGCATGTGATTTTAGTCATTTGAAAATTTTAACTCAGCTGGAGAGATGGGGATCTAAACTGACTGAATTTCGCTTGCCTGACGTTTGATTAATTATTTGTAGAATTTGGGTGGGTATTTTGACGCCATAAGAAATGATCAACGCACCCTGAATAAATTATATTTAAATAGATGTGCGGGGGGAGATATGGGATGGACTTATGAGTTATCAACACACCCTGAGTAAATTATATTTAGATAGATGTGCATGGGGAGATATGGGGTGGAGTTATGAGTTGTCTAAAAATTTTGAAAGTTTTAAATTAGCATCATACGTTACTCGTTCTAAGTTGCAATTCGTTACAGATCACGAATGCCAGACTTATGTGACTTATCAATATGTGTTTTAAAGTAATATAAGGAGAGCGAATTGTCGTCTGGCAGATATTTGTCATAACTATTCATACGCATTTAATGTTTCAGCTAATTTTACATCCGCGTGCGAGTGCTTTCGTTCAGTTCAACTCGCTCATGACATTTGTAGTGTTTCCGAATTCTATACTTCATTCGAACCTTTTCTTCATACGACTTAAAGCTTTCCGAAAAATTCTTTGGTAAAAAAATTTTGCTCAGTTCAGGCCAACATATCAAATAACGCATACAAGCGTGAATGAGGTTATATATAAGCTGCATAAATACAGCTACGATGCTTCATATCTGTTGATAGTAAAAACGTTGGATAAAAGTTAAGGTAAACAATCATAACGATCGACAATGTAAATACTGTAGATAAATTAAAATCGCGCTTCACGCAAAAACCAAAAGTAATACAGATAATATTGATAACATCGGTGCAGTTAAAGTTCTTTGTCAAGAACGCTTATGTTCTAGAGCGCTGATTTCATAAAATACTTTTTGACAAACAAAAAGTAAATAATTAGACAGGTTTTTTGTTCATTTATCAGCAGTGAATTAATTTCACACTTTGACGCCCAGCATGGGATGAATTTGCCATCGCACACTGTTTGAATGGAGAAATTGTATAATTGAAAGACGAAATTTTTGGCTCAAGTAGAGGTTGCGCGTATTCGTTGGATGTCGCCATCATCCGTTTATCTTTTGAGTCAATTTCTGCAAACAAAACTTTACTTGAATAACCACACAATTCATAGCGGGGATTTATGATTTACTAAGGTCTTCTAGACAAAAATTAACATAAGTTCCAAACTTCATTCGAAGGGAAAAAGTTACTTGTTTATTAGTTATTGAAATGTGCTGTCGGTTAAAATTACTGTCGTGCTCGCACAAATTTGAAGTGCACCGTCTAAAATATAACTATTGTACAAAATTATCTGAGAACCTAAGCTTTAAAACAGTTCTAATTGAGTTCCATGAAATAAAGCATTCAGCAGCAATCCAAGACAAAACTGTTAAGTTTTCAACGGTAGCAATGAATGAAAGAAATGATTTCAACTTTTTTTTAACAGGAATCGTTTTTATCTCTTTCCGACTCTTTTGCTTTGACGTCTTCAGTCTTCTCTGCTTGAGAGCCCGTGCAGATCGATTTGTCTTTGGTGCTTCCAAGCATCGATTCAAGTTTACGAATGTAACGGATTGCAGCTCTGAGTGTTTCCACTTTCGACATTCGTTTCTCGGTCGGTTCGTTTGGAAGGTGTTCGCGAAGTTTGGCGTAGCCTTCGTTTACGTGTCTCACGCGAATGCGTTCTCTTTCATTGCGTTTCCTGATGAACGCCGGTTCCAAGTTGCAGTCGTATAATGGATGAGCCACGGGCACCGTTTGAGAGGGGCATGAGTAGTTCATACCTTGAGTTTCTGCAGCGTTGGGTTCTTTGGGAATTCCTAGTTGATAGCAAGTTGGCATCGAAAAGGTAAAATCCGAGTACTCCATTACTGACATTACTCTATGTAGTCGACGGTGTGAAGATCTCTTTCACGAAGAAAAATGTGACCAAAAAAATAAGTTTCTCAATATCGTATAACGAAATGTCAATGTTTCTACTCTGGTTAGTCCTTTGATGCAGTTGATCTAGTAAAGTACTTGCTCATGATCCCCTTAAGCACGGTTTTTGATGTAAACTTCAATTATCTCTACTAGAAATGATCAAATGCAACGTTACGTTCATGGAGAAGTTTGAGATTTCACGACAAACTTCCAGCCTTGATTTTTTAAATGGATCGCTTCTCTTTTTTTCCGAGTCTTTTGTGCTTCAAAGATGAGTGGCTGGATGAATGGCGTCGATTCCTTTTCTCTCACAACGATTTCTGCTTTAAAATGGCCAATTCGGGCGACCCCCGAGTTGTGGTTGCACCTGTGCGCTGAGCCAATCACGAGCGAGAAAAACTAACAAAGTTTTTGTTGTAGCTCAAGCTGTGTATATTTATTTGCAAATAAAGCTCTCTATATATATACAAAACGGTTCTACTAAAGAATTATCGTGTCTTTGAGCGCACTGTGTGCCACGAATGAGCACCATACTACAGATGATTCAAAAAGATACGAAAAAGAACTGCGGTTTAGTTAAAACAAAAATGAACAATTTTTGTTGGTCTTTTCAGACCTATAACCTTACACAGCCACGTAACAATTTTTAGTTTTGAATCTCACTGATCCATCATGACGATTCAAAAGGAATTTTTTCAAAGGAACTCGTGTTCTCCCACTAAGACATGCTCTGTTGAATTTTTCAATGCTGCAGTTCGGGGATTAAGTATTAAGGAGATTTCCAACGAATGCATTGGCACACTTTCAATGAAAACTTCAGCTTTATAAACTTTTATAATCTTTTCAAACATATTCAGATTTTGCAGAGAATGATATTTGTGCTCTTTGTTTCTTGCCCATCTACTTTATTCACTCTCAAACACATCCTCGTTGAATGAACCATAAGTCAAGCATATTCATTGTCAATGCAAGTGCTTTCAAGGACTTGGCACAAAGCTGGCAAAACATGTGTCATAAATTACTTCTCTATTCTATGGCCAAAACACTTCGCCATGAGTTTGAATACCAAATTAAAGGCATTCGATTTTCTTTAGGAATAATTGTAAATGTTACACAGCTATAAGTGGAATCTCATAGCAAACGTCATATAGTACAATGAGAATGAAGTTTTTTTTACTATTCTTTTCAACTACACGTTGTAAAAAATGCATGAACCTTTGTCGACAGAAACAAAAACACAGTTGTTGTTGCTCCAACATCGTCACATGAAGCTCCGGATGCGCACTTTAAAGCCCAATCATATTACAAAGAAAAGATTACAACGTCAATTGATGCATTGAGAAGAAAAATTACAGTCAGTTGGAACATTAAGATTTGCCGTTTTTACTTTCTATGATCAAAATAGCACTTTGAATTACAACGCGAACAAATAACCTTTAGCAAAACAAACATATTAAGCAATTAAAAAAACACTTACTGTTCAAACGGCGTTGCAACACGATCAGCAAATGTTTAATTTTAATGGGATTATCTCGAGAGCTTTTCTAAATAAATGTCGAACGCGACCTCCTTAATCCTGTAAGACAAAAGAACAAGTACTTTAAGAACAAGTATCTAAATGAGTAAAATTTAGAGCAATTTGTGAGCGTAATTTGAAATTAATAGTTATTTGCATATATACTTAATACTCAATGCACAAAACAACAAAAAGCAAAGAACGAGTTTCGTTTAAGCAAAATACAACATGTTCAGCCCATTAAAGCAGCTTTAAGCATATAGTATATAATTGCAATGGCTTAAATAACTGATGACTGAAAATGATGACCGCAATTAGACACCAACACGATATATCGAATAACTAATGTTAAAACCAATTCGTTATTGTTAAACCCGAGTGAACTAATCGATGATTCACAAATCTCTTTATTCGGTTGTTGAAATTAAGTCATCACAGACGTTTTTGCTGACTACAGAAAAACACACAATTTCTAAACTATATCAAGGAAACTTCGAATTTCTAAATGATTGAAAGCTTCTGAATTGATGCCCATGCTGAATGTTGGTACTTAATTACACTGTTGCATGTTTGCCAAAAAGCAAATCAGGGGCTGGAACGGACGGCAAGATGTCATTGCAAGAACAACAAGAAAGTTTAGAAATCACTGACATCATTGTTCAATAAAATCGTGTCCCCTTGGCTCGTCATTATTCTCCCCTTAACATATACAACTGTATGATTGAGGAACGAGTGTTGAGAAAAGAAACACATCATCCACAGAATAAAATCTAAATGAACGCGTAATTTTAAAATAGACCCAAATTGGGTTAAGAAAGAACGTAAGTCGCGTACATTAGATGTGTAAAGGCAATTAGAGAATCTAATTTGCATAACAGAACTAGTTTTTGCAGATTTCCATTCTGCGATGGTTGCTATTTTATTGTGCGTACAGCTTCACTCGATAAAGAGGAAAAAAACTTCTAAAATGAATAGACAAAGCGGGAATTCCAGATGCCAAACGAAGCAACACAAAGCTGTCAGGTCGATACATGAAGCAGAACGACGAAGCAAAACAATAGTTTTCCATTAAAGTTACCTAGTGAACATTACCTAATCTCTTTAGTAACACTTTTTGCACATTTTTATTGCAGCAATTTATAACACAACGATTACAAATCAATCTTGTTCCTTTTTTCAGTCACTCAAAGCTTGCCTGAAATCGTGCGGATCACATGGGTACACAAAGCGTCAACATTTACTTGAATCGTCACTCAGGATGGCATGCCTATGAGCAGATTTCACTCCCACTGATTAAAGACTCATGTTTGTCAGTAAGCTGTTGTTGAGACCACATGGTCTTTTGTTATCGCTACATCCCTGGCGTTTTGTTAATGCATTTCAGTTACAACGGTACCACGCCGACGTGTTCCGAAAGAACATGCGCACTTAGTAAGGCGTGGTACCCCTGTGGGTCCCAACAATGGCATAGACGTACAACAGAGTATTCACAGTATTTACAGTATTCATATGAACAAGTTGAAATTATTCTTTAAATGAATTCTCCAAGGCAGGAAGAATAAAAAGCAGGCGCATTGATATTAAGTTATCACAGCAACTTGTAAAAACAATGATGTTATCCATCTGATTTCGCAGCACATTTGCCTATCTGAGGGAAGTATTTCATCGAAGATCGTCAAACAACCATTACAAAGAGGAGATGCTGTATGGATTTTACAAGATGATCTTACTCACAAAATATCTGAGTATATACTTCAAATGTGGTTGCTACAATTTAACGCTTATCAACAAACATACATGCAGAAGTCCACAAATCCACGATGATTTAATTCAGTGCAAATTACTGTATATATTCATTTAACCATTGAATCATTTCTAACTCCTAACCAAGAAACAAGTGGTCCTAACCAAGCAACAAGGATGTCCGGTCATGGATATTTTAAAATATCCTGAGACAAAAACTTATGAAAAGCTCAATTATGCATCATACGTGTTTTCAACATTGGTCTTGCTTATCCGGCCTCAAACAATTTGAATTGGTCCATCAGTTGAGACGTCAGAGAGCGCATAATATCATTTTATTTGAAACTGTATTTTTTTTCTAAGTCGTTCAACGACGCAATAACATCAAGAGTTCAAAAATTATTTTTTCATTCTGGTTTTCGCGTTTCTCATTCTACTTTTAACATTTCTCGTCATACTTTTTTGCTTTTCTTATCTTAATTTTGATATTTACATTCTGTCTTTTCTCATGATAGTTTTTTTTCAGATGAAGTCTAACTTGCTCTTGTAGAGCACGCATACAAAGTAGGCGTCAGTAACTATGATATGTTGACCAGCTGGCATTGACCACTCTCAGTTACTCATGCACGTGGACGCCAGTGGTAGAGCAGGCACGAATTTTTTTTCTACAACGCATATTCTTCAGGAGAGTTGATTAATTTTACTATCAATGTTTTTAGAAAATTCGTTACATTTCTTGTTTTATCAATGAACGAGCACAAAATGTTTGCGTAGCAGGAGTAAAAATAAACGGCTGGCTTTACTACTTGTGGACGCAAAACATAAAAAATTACTCCTTCATAACGCTTGAAAGACAGCTTTAAAACTTCTTTATTCAGTTTAAACATGTGGTGTTTTTTTTAACAATCTGAAGGCTTGAGGCGTTAGTAAATAAATACGCTTACCGACTACTGTTTTCCTTGTGATAAACTGTTTATGGTTCGAGGATTACTAAAATGGTCTTGTTTCATTGACATTTTACTCAAATTCATTGCTAACATCAATCTAATATGAAAGGAGGAATATTCATTTACACCGCCATCTTGTTTTATTTATGATCTCCGGATTTCCCACAATGCCCGGCACTCGCCCCACGCCACCATTTCACTGTGCATTCTAAGTTTACTTCATTCATTTCATTAATCATAACGTGCGCGATGGACATTTCCAACTGAGCAGAATTATGATAATACATCCTAACATGAGAAGTTAATAATTATTTGTACTTCACTGCCTAGGAGCAGAATTTTTAATAGTCTGAAAATTAAAGTTAAACATTCCCAAAATCTAATACTTAATGACATTTTACTTGCAATTAGCTACACTTATCGTTCTGGTTTATAAGTCAAATTCTTCGTTTTGCTTAGTATATTGATTGTACTAAACTTACTTGTTGCATTAATTGCACTATGGGTATTGTTATGCAGTACAACTAAACAACAAAGATTTCATGCTTGCTCCAAGTGCTGCGTTTCTACAGGACTCTAGAATACTTGAAAACTACAGAGCCCCAGCTTAAAAGAACAGAGAGTCAGGTCGACTAATCGTCGACCGCAGCCCCCCCCCCCCTCCCACAAAAAAAAGTAAATCTGTTCCTACGCCACGCCTATGTTAAAGAGCACTTTGAAACAGCGCATTTAGTAAGATTATTATTATTTAATGGTTTTTAAGAAGATTTTCGCAATAAGAAAGTATGTCATTCACTGCGCCGTAATGATATAAATCAGAAACTTTTTTGTGTTCAGAAAAAAAGAGCAAAGGCAGTTTTCAAAGAGCACACTGGGATATTTTAGATAGAAGCAAGCGCACCATCTACATCCGGACACCTTACTTCTCTAGAAAAGAGCAAGCGTACCAGCAGGTAACTGCAACCATGCTTTGTCTGCGCTGAATAGCAGTCATATCTTCTGGTATTTTGTTGTGTAACAAGAATGTGTTATTGACTATTTTTAAGTCATGTCGAGAAACCGACACGAAGCCAAGTATTTGCACAAAAAGGAAATATTTGTCTCATACCGGTAAAATTTAACATTGGCAAACGTTTCACAAAATATTTTGTGCAATTTTCCCTCGCTTTATGTTAATAAATTATACAATGGACCAAGCATTGGACATACTTGAAGCATGAGTGTAACAGTTATTAGGATGCTATGTGAGATGCAACTGTTACAAAGAATCACTTCAACAAGCTCCATGATTCAATAAAAACCACATAAAAACCACATCGATAAAGAGCAATGCTTAATGGAATTTATTGATTCAGAGCCAAAAAATAACAGGCGAATATTCAGTAAGTAAATACAATGCTCATTTTCTAACATCTATGATTCTTACCAAGCTATAAAGTTGTACGAAACCCAATATTTCATTGTAAGATTTCATTCTTCAAACTCTAGTGGGTAGGTAATCTGACGATATCTGTCCCATGCATACAGCACCTTCTCACGAGGGTTATACGTCACCATGGTGTTGTATCCAAATTTGTTGGTGAATTTTATATTTGGATTAGATCCAGTTCTTTTTCCAGTATCATAAGCGTAGTTGATGGTTGTGGAGGTTTTATGGCAATCATCAATGCTGTAAACTATGCCACAGGCCACGAATGCGTTTCCCATTTTATCTTTTGATTCTGATGAAATACCGCAGTAACCATATAGATGCGAAAGGGTCAAAGTGTCCACTAACGTAGCACATAAGTGTCCATTATACCCTTTATAAGCCCATATAACCCATAAACCACTCTCGTCGACAGACAAATCAACCCCAGTGTTGCCACCCCATTGGTAGCTGTAATTTCCTGATTTTATATGTATAATTGGACATGCCTCTTTTTTAACTTGTTCTTCAACCAAATCATATTGTATAATTTTGCAAGTTCCCTCTCTACATCAAAGCATACACGATGAAATCTACTTTAGCTTGACCAAACCATTCTCACATCACTCCTCTAGAGATTTAATTATTTTGGGCATTTTTAACTTGGCTATAAAATAGCTGAGCAATGATAATCTTTAAATCTTTGAGAAATTTCAATTTGAAACATGGTACAAAGTGTAAAAAGTAGGCGAGAGTAAGGAGTACTACATTGATATTTAACCTGTTATTCCTTTAAGCGTACATGGTATTTTCACAAAAACAATGCCCACTGATGCTTGTGTATTGAAGAGTCTAAAAATTGCACTTTCATCTACGCATCCACTATTTGAATTAACGTCTAAAAAACTGTGTAAGTCAAAAAATATAAAATCTACATCACGTTAACTCATTAAGTAATGATATTAAAGGACACCACACCGAAACAATATAGACTTTTTCTTAAACAATATGCACATGCAGCTCTATATTCATGAAATTGTTACTGATAGATAGTTAATTGAAGAGTCCGTGGGGGCGATCTTGCTCTACTTTGAGGCTTGTTTATTCTGATTTTCAGAAAAACACACCCCGTTCAAGATTTTTGGAATTCAGGCGAGCCTTGACCCAAACTTGTCTTGTAAGAAATACATCCCAAATTAATTTATCATTCTTATATAATTCAAGCACTCAAGCCACGACTTGAACTTTCCCACAAATAGTACAAACCCAGCTCGGCTGTTGGAATTGGTATGGCTCGATTAAATCTCCTTCAGAACCGCGAAAAGACCCATGTTCAGTAACTGTAAAATGTCGTTGTCAGAACCGTCAACACGATGTTTTATTGTATTGGAAATGCATAAAACAAATTACAATCAAGTTGGTTCTCAGCATTTGTTTGCAACATGCATCTCAAATATTTCATTTGCAGCAGGTCATATTTTGTTTGCAGTGTGTTATTTAATGTATTTTGTGAGTAACGACTGGTCTAATCTATTCCTTTTGGTTACAGTTTACTTCATAATTCATTTTCATCTTGTTGTTTATTGATAAAATTTTCCAATGACTATCATTAGATTTGTTTTTATGGAAATACAACGTACGCATTTGGGATAATAGGTCAAATGAAAAGGTGAGAATGAACAACATAATTTACCTAGCACTTCCATTTGATGCACGGATATTACATTTCAACCACTCGTTTTTTTGACTTTTCAACAGTAAATTGAAGTGATATTAGCATATTTGCTTTTGGCCAGGTTCTGGCAAAACTTTAAACTGCTAAGAATTTCTCTATTGTCATTTGCTAGTCGGGCTCAATGGCCTTAGATTCCACATTCAACACATTTCAAATGACAATATCTCACAAAGCGTAACTGCAACAATACGCAAATTTCTGTTATTAATTATATGCAATACCTGTGGAAATAGAGATATCGACCATAGACAACTGATCCAGTACCATAAATATTGTATGGCATAGTGTACGTTTTAGAAACAACACCGGATTTAAAATGATCCATGGTTTGAAACTCCAACACCTTATTTCCAATATGACCATTTATATACCATATTTTATCAGCACCGAGAAGACGAAGTGGATCTCTCATCCAAGCTCCACTATAGAGTCCTGAATGATGGTGAACAATTGGTTCACCAACTTTTAATCCTCTTGCAATTATCTAAAATTAATCAAGAAGACAGTTTTATTAAAAACGTTAGCTATATTTAGCAAAGCAAAACACATTATAAAATGTGATCGTGCATCACGAAGAAAATCATGCTTTAAACATTCAATGAGAAATACCTTCTGAATTCACATTTACTTTATTTTTAAGATTGGTTATTCCTCTCCTTTTTTTTATTGTAGCTTCAAGAATCTGTCGACGAGATAACGGGAAACAATCGATGTTATTCCATAAAAAAAGGGATTCACAAGTTTGTCAGCGTTTAAGGAAACACATGCATGCAGGTGAAACACTATAGACGAAAACGCAGTTGGTCGACCGCATTAAATTTCCTTTGGTATCGAATCATTAATTCAACATTCTGAGTCTCTACGTTAATATGAATCCTTTGCCTTATTCAAAACAAGCTTTGGGATAACAAACTTGGTTTATGTTATTTCAAGTCAAGATCAGAGAAAAAATATTTATGATAGCATTGTTCGAAAGCCTGGGATTCTCGTCAACAAAGAAACAAAGTATTGTGCATTGAATAAAGTCAGTCAGTGAAGATTTCATCGAAGTATATCGTTTGTATACTGTTGTTGTCCTTTATAAGACAAAAGTGATATGAATGCCATTTTTTTATATACTACACTATCGCATTCTTTGACATGCTTATACACTTAGCGCACCCATTTTCTTATTTCCAATAATGTAACTTACAACATTATACTGTAGCTCATCTCACGTCACTTTCTGCACTTACGTGAACTTTAGCCAATTCTAAGCTCAGATCTCCGATGCTTTTCTTGATTGTATGGTATCCCTTATGACTCTGAGAACGCTTTTCGTCTTCGTCATCAGAACGTGGCACATCATTTTCTTTCTGCTCCTTGCTTGCTAACAATACTGATGCCGTTTTACTTAATTTCTTTTCAATCTTTGATGATTCAATTACTTTCGCCTTAAAACCGCAAACAGAAAAAGTGATCAAGAAATGCATGAAGCACAACTTTTGTTGAGAAAAGTTAACGTTAGTTTTGTATAGTGTGTTAACCTGTGAATGCATTAATTTCCCCATTCTCTATTAAGCTAACTATTTTGAAAAAACATGACTCAGTTTGCGTTTTAGCTATATAAGGAAGATACTTCAATGACGAACAACGAACTTACCGCCTTCACATCATACTCGTTTAAATGAACCATCAGCAGAAGTGCTATGATCAGAGTAAACTTTGATATCATATTTTACTTTGCTGTTTGCCTTTAGGTATAAATGAAGCAGTTCTTTTTCACGCTAGCTTGTTTCCTCGACGGCTCGTCTAGTTTGTGCCTGTGTCTTCTATAACTAATACTTTTATTTGTGTCTAGTTTAATTATAATAAATTGTAGTTTCCTTCAGCCATTTTCCACCACTGCAATTGGTCATAAATTATCACTACATGAATTTTTGAAAAACACAACATGTCGTTCAACAGAAATTTAAATATCGGCATGAATTTGCACGTTTTCTTTGTTAATATGATCGTGTTATTGCAGCTTTAGACCTTCCTTCAGCATTTTTCACAGGGCTGAGTGAACGACGACGCTACTAGAACAGTAAGTATGAGACGTGATTGGTCAATTAAACACTGGAGCAATACAAAGTGATTAATGAATGAAAAATTGACTCTATTATCGCACAAGAACGCAAAGATGCACTTGACCTTTGAATACAAAACTAATTGTCTATTTAATTGCTCGCTGATTTCGACAGCAATATTTTGATATTTGTTGCTGTCACTGTAGATAAATATATTTCGTTGACGAAATAGAGTTCATTTTGTGATAATCTTGGTGCATTTTAACGACAACTGCAAACAAACACATCTTCGACAAACAATCCATTTAGTATGTGGATCTATTATGTGTTTATCTATTTGTTTTTTTAACTATATAAAACTTTTCGAGTCTTGCTCAATTATCACTTAAGCTTGTATTAAAGACCACTTACAGGGGAAGAAAGTAGGAGCGACAATTCAATGATATGAAAAATTTACTGAAAACTTTTCTCATTCGCAGATATTCTTACGTGCACATTAAAGTAGAGATCCAAAGATAGTGCAAAGTTACAAACAACAGCCCTTTTAACTTGTAATATAAGTTAATATCACACATTTTTTGACATTTACAATTCATCTTTAACTTTCACGACACAACTCACCAATTTCATTTTTAGTCTATGAAGTACGACCAAAACATGCATCGATTTTATGGCAAATAACGATTATCTGCTTTTCTTATCTTACTCTGCTTATGCAAAATAAACAAAATAGAGTGTTTGTAAATTGTGTAACTGCAGTTTCCTTGGTAACTATACACTAAAAAATGTGCATTAATTTTGCAAATTTTTGAACACATCTTTAACCGAAGGATTCATAATGTGTTTCACTTGTATGAAGAAAATCAATAGACTTGTGGCACAGCAGTAGTTACAGATTTTGTATCAGACTTGTGGCACAACATTAGTAACACATTTTGTGTCAGACTTGTGGCACAACAGTAGTAACACATTTTATATCAGACTTGGGCACAGCAGTAGTCACACATTTTGTATCAGACTTGTGGCACAATATTAGTAACACATTTTGTATCAGACTTATCGCACAACATTAATAACACATTTTGTGTCAGACATGTGGCACAACAGTAGTTACACATTTTGTGTCAGACTTGTGGTACAACATTAGTAACACATTTTGTATCAGACTTGTGGCACAGCAAGAGTTAAACATTTTGTGTCAGACTTGTGGCACAACATTAGTAACACATTTTGTGTCAGACTTGTGGCACAACAGTAGTAACACATTTTATATCAGACTTGGGCACAGCAGTAGTCACACATTTTGTATCAGACTTGTGGCACAATATTAGTAACACATTTTGTATCAGACTTATGGCACAACATTAATAACACATTTTGTGTCAGACTTGTGGCACAACAGTAGTTACACATTTTGTGTCAGACTTATGGCACAACATTAGTCACACATTTTGTATCAGACTTGTGGCACAACATTAGTAACCCATTTTTTCTCAGACTTGTGGCACAATAGTAGTTACACATTTTGTATCAGACTTGTGGCACAACATTAGTCCCACCATTTGCATCAGACTTGTGGCACAACATTAGTAACACATTTTGTGTCAGACTTGTGGCACAACAGTAGTAACACATTTTGTGTCAGACTTGTGGCACAACACTAGTAACACATTTTGTATCAGACTTGTGGCACAGCAGTAGTTACACATTTTCTATGCTATTCAAGAATAACATCTATTCGACACTAAAGTTCGAAAAAAGAAAGCAAAGACGAAATGTAAACGGAGATTTCTATTTATGTGTTGTTCCATTCAATTTTTTGGTTGTATGTCAACTGTAAGCGCTGTATTCAACATAGCATAAATGTTACTCGACTGTGATTGGTTCCGATGGATTTGATCCCAGTACTTAAAAAATTTGCAACAGGGCAAATTTCTAAATCAAAATGAGCGAAAAATTGTCCTATTTTTTCATTTTTGTTGCCCTCAAATTTCCCATATTTTCACTGTTTTAATAGTTCGGGTATAATAGTGCTTTATGAGCAAAATGACTTCAGCATGTTTCACAAACATTTTTGTCTTCTATGTAAAACAGTACATGATTGATTATTTTCAAAGAAGGGAGTAAAAGCTTCATACCACTTTTGACATACATTATTAATATGATACTGGACTGATAAATCTTTCACACCTCACGAAACAACAGAATTTTATTTCATAAATTCTCAAATTGTCATTGGGAAATTGGCTGCCTTTAATGCACGCACTTGTTTGTTAAGGTTGTCGACGTTGTTATACTAATGTTACAAAAGAAAGATGTTAGTGGGGTTAGATCTTGGGTGTAACACTAACTGATGCATCTCCAAGAGCAATTAATGTTGTAGCACTATCACCAAGAGGTACTCTCCATTGACTCAACTGACTTAACGTCAAAACCAACAGACTCAATACCAACAGTCCTTCTCAAGACTACACTAACCTCGACGATCCACACCTACAAAGATGTAACGATTCCCCGGAGTTCATACCACTTACAATATAAATTCCATACTCAAGTGTGTAGCAAAGCCATTACAACAAAGTTCAATTAACACCACTGTAGTCGACTAACGATTTAGCAAAGTACCATAATGTCTTTCGAATGAGCACGACAGTTGCCTTTGAGAAAGTGCTAAATCTTCAATCTTAAAAACGTTATTTCCAAAAAATTGAAAGATTTCCTTGCGCTTCATGGCGATGAACTCAATACGACACACAAAGAGTACATGATGTATTTCTCGGACTCCAAGAAGACTAGCTGTCCATTATTTTTTTTAAAACGATTTAATTCATAATGACTATTAAATATACACAACACAAAAGTTGATAGAGTTTAATTCAGAGCCCATTCAGAGCGATTTATTGATTCAAAGCCCATTATAATACCTATCATTTGACGAGCTATTACAATAGTTTTCTTCTAACAACTATAATTTTAAGTAAACTATAAAGTAGCGCAAAAACTTCACAATTCACGAAAGACCTCACTTTTCGAACTCAAGTGGGTAGGTAATCTGACGATGTCTGTCCCATGCATACAGCACCTTCTCACGAGGGTTATACGTCACCATACTGTTGTATCCAAATTTGTTGGTGAATTTTATATTTGGGTTGGATCCAGTTCTTTTTCCAACATCATACGCGTAGTTGATGGCTGTGGAGCGTGCATGGCAACTATCAATGCTGTAAACAATGCCACAGGCCACGAATGCATTTCCCATGCTCGTCTTTGACTCTGATGAAATACCATAGTAATTACTTAGAGTTCTGAGCGTCAATGGATCCATCAACGTCGCACATAACTTTCCACTGTATCCTTTATAAGCCCATAAAACCCATAAACCACTCTCGTCGACAGACAAATCAACTCCAGAGTAGCCACCCCATTGGTAACTGTACTGCCCTGATTTTATATTTGAATTTGGACAGGCCTGTTTTGAAACTCTCGAATACTCCAAATCATACTGCACAACATTGCATGTTCCACTTCTATAAACAGGTTTATGCATGCATTAAAGTGAATTCCCTTCAGTAAAATGACATTAAGAAATATGCATAAATGCTCTTTTGTAACTCACGAAAAAATTTATGGTTGACGCAAAAGATACAGAACAAACTTACAAGGCTGAAACATTGACTTGCCTCAACAGCGTGAGCAGAGTATTTACGGTAATTAAACAACTGCGCTAATAAGACAAAGTCAGCAATTTATAATTAATATTTATTTTACCTTAATTCTTTTTTAATGTTTGTGGTTTAAGTGCATTTGAATACCTGTGAAAGTAGAGATATCGACCATAGACAACTGATCCAGTACCAGCAATATTGTACGGCAATATGTGTTTTAGAAACTTCCCAGCTTTAAAGTGATCCATGTCCTCAAACTCCAACACCTTATTCCCATGGTAACCATTTATGTACCATATTTTTTTGGCACCAAGAAGACCAAGTGGATCTTTCATCCAAGCTCCCTGCGTCTTTCCAGAATGATGGTGAACAATTGGTTCGCCCACTTTCTTGATTTTCTTACAATTATCTGGAGAATACAATAGAGCAAAAGTGAACTGTATTCATTCACAAAAGAACCTCATGTTTCTAACACTGGAAAAAAGCTAATAATTAAGTACATTTGCGAAAGAAAATTAAAAGTTTAAGGTACGTGCAATCAACAATCAATAACATATACCTTCCAAATACACAAGACTGGTTAACGCTTTTCCTTTTTTCAATGCTGCTTCAAGAATCTGACGAAACAATGGAAACAGTAAATGTGCGAGGTTTTCACGACCTCTTCCGAATACGACTTTTGCATGCGTATATGGTGTTGTATCTTATCATCATTTGCTGTGGTAACATCTCGATGAACCTCATCTCAAGCGAATTCAAGCACTTACGTAAGCTTTAGCCAATTCCAAGTACAGATTTGCAATGCTTTGCTTTGTCGTACGACGGTTCAGAGTACGCTTTTCGTCGTCGGATTGTGTCTCAACATTCTGGTCAGCGTTTGCTAACAACTCTGACGCCGTTTTAGTAAACTCTTTCTCATTCTTTGATGATTCAATTATTTTGCCCTTAACATCACACAGAGAAATATCTATTGCAGTTAATATATAAAGAAATACTGAGAGGATGCAGAACTTGCATAGAGAACTTAAACTGTATTATATCGGTGAAAAGCAGAATTTACACACCACAAGCAAAACCTAGTTGATGAATTTTGTAGAATACAACTCTTATGTACGGTTTTATTAAACGAACCGTTATCTGTTGACGATAGCAATTGTGCGACGTATTATTAACTTACATTTGATGACGTTGACCCAATCACCAAGAGCGAAAGAAATGTATTAAAATAAAAGAAATACATGTTTAAAGACGTCGACGAAACCAGTAGTTGACAATCAAAAAAAGCCTAACATTAAAAACAACACTTTAGAACATATAAATCAAGATGAAAAGTTGAAAACTGCACTCCATCAAATTCAAAGCTACCCGACGTTTGTACAAAAGACAAACCAACCAATGTACAAACTGCTAACATAACCTAAAGTTCAAACCAACTTACGTCAAACTGTTACTTGTCTCCCTTTCAAACAACAATTGTTGTACCACAACAACTCGTTGGGAAAGGCAGCATTTTATAGGAATCTCGAAGTCTGAAATTAGAGGTATGGTTTCAGCAAGTTGTTGAAGGAACTTAATGATTGCCAACTTGGAAGTAAACTCTTCAAATGAAACTTTGTTTTGCTCTCATTACGGACGTCATTTACAAAGTTTGATATTGAGCATGGTATCGTAAAGAGTCATAAGCTTATATACTATATAGACCGGCAGCCCAGCACTGCAAACCTAGCTGAAAAGGTAACCAATTTTTAAGTACGTAGCAGTGACTTTTACAGACCAACGTGTACCAGAATATGCGTCTGCCGGAGACATGCTGGTAGATGCGTCAGGTCAGGGGGGCGCGAGAAAGAAGGTTCGAAATGAGCTGGAGATTAAACCACCAAGATAAGAGATACTTTACCAACATAGCCTATACACAAAGATGGATTTTTTCATGGTCCAAAGCAATTTCAGTGCGTATCAAAGTGGATAAAATTAGTATAATTTTATCCAAGTATTCAACTTGGATAAAATTATGTAACCATGGCAATTGAGTAGCTAATAAGTTATGAATTTTTAAATTTGTAAATAGGAATCAGAGTACAAATATATATTTCACGAGTAATTTCTAATTGATGTAAGCAATCCATTAAACAGGCGAATAATATAAGTGAATTAACATCTTGTTGCACTCCATGAAAAAACGATAAAGAATACTTTAAAATGGTGGGTAAGAAAGAATTCAGTGGGAAGGAAAAACGTCAAATTGTGCAAAGCTAACGAAAGTGAGCGGCACCATGTCAAATTGTCAAGCGATAACGGATAGATACCAGAACAATCAAGAAATTTATTGCTCACATGCCGCAGAAAATTGTTCGTGAGGATAAAAGGAAAAACAAAAGTTTTAATCAAATAACAAATAAGTCGCTAGCGTCAGAGACTTAGCAACACATCATTCATAAACATAAAGGAAAAACTACAAGCCACTCGCTGCAAGATGTAAACATGTGAAATTAGACAGTCAAGCACCATCTAAACAGAACAAATAACTGCTTGATTTGAATGAACAAATATGTATCTTAAACATCTTCCAATCAACATTGCATGTTTACCAGTGCTGAGAGCTGAGCAACACTGGATGCCCCTGACGAAACTAAACACTACTCCATTCTTCCAATCTTATCAAAGGTGGGCAAAGTGAGGTGGGATGTTTCGGGCTAGAAAAATCAAATCTGTGCTGATAGAAAACTTTAAGATTTCCTAAAAGCCATAATGCATACAGCTATAATTGGCTTTCACATACAGTCGAAGTCCGCTATTTAAAACACATTTAGTTCGAATTGTCTGGTAATTAAAGACTTTTCCATCCATCTTAGGACTTCAAATGTTCATACATTATGATAGTCTGTTTAAGTTTTCATGTTTGGTTGCACTCTATATTGACTTACCAGCGTACGACTACTAACTAATCAGTGCTGGTTCTTCTAAACAAAGTACAATAAACTTAGATTTCTAGTCTTGAAGCACAGTAGTCTTTTGTTATTGAACTATGATATATTCACAGAAGACATGCTTTTCAGCATGTAATGGTATTTCGAAAAGATTAAAAATGGAATCACAAGTGAAAGAGTAAAAGAATTTGCCGCAATGAGAACTACATGTTCTCTTTTGCCTTCTGATGTATCGAAACGTTTAGTCATTGTGCAGTAAGTTGTACAGCACACTTTCACCCCTTCTACATTTTCCAAGCATCGAAAAAATGCATCGGAAACCATTAAACTCAGGATAGGAGGAGCTATCACAGGGGAAGTGCTGCCTCTAATGTGCTAACGAAGAGTCATCGTGAATACAGAGTTAGAGTCATTGAACTAAAATACATGGAACGCTTCCTTTAATAGAAAAGCTTAGTAATTTTTTGAAGCCAAATCTTACACCCGGTCACGCGAGATTACACCCAGACCTGCGTCTGTGTTCAATCAATTTTCACTCCGCGAGAGAATCTCGAAACACTACACACGCGTGTCTGGGTGTAATTTTGCGTGTCTGGGTGTAAGATTTGGCTTCAATTATTTGCTTCAGATGGCGTTCCATGTATTTTAGTTTAATGGTTAGAGTAGACATTAGTAAAAAATTTTGACATAGAAATAATCACACGAAGCGAACTGCGAGCTATAGTGAGCTTGTGTAAAATAGCGACGTGGAAAGGATATGAAAGAGGGAACGACAAATTGAATTTAGAATAATCAATTTTGATTAACGCTGGATCAGCTAATGTCATTGTAAGTATTGTCAATGTGAGCATTCTGATTGCTTACTTAGACGATGTTTGATAAGTCCTGGATAATACTGGTGTAAAAGAATTTAGCCCAGCCTGCGAACAGACGTTTTCTGTTCAATTTACGAAGGCTAATTTAGCCTTGTTTTATTGAAAAAAACCTGCCTCAGCTTGCGCTCAACGCAGAAGGAGACCTATCACATACAATTACTAGTTACATAATTTTCTTGTTCGCGCAGAGATAAATATCTCCACGCAATAATGCAAATTACCTAATTTGCATTTGCATGCGGTTTTATTTTCATTTAGCCATTAGCTGTTACTTGTCAATGATCAATATTGAATTTGCATACGTTCTTACTTGTCGTGCATTTTAATACCACAACGACGCGGAGGAAAATCCTGCTGTTTATCTGGGATTGTTGAGAAGGGAACACGTCGAAACAAGTCGGGAAGGAATTTAACTTGAAATCTTAAAGAGTCGGAAATACCAGCAGGCTTCGAAGCGGCGGGCATTGTTTTGTAAGAATTGCCGGGTTTAAAATATGCACAGAATGTAACTTAACTTAGGGAGATGATGTTGCCTGATATATTTCATGAGAAAATCGCTGTAAAAAAGAAACGAATCCCCGCTAAAATTTGGTTGCTATGCTGCTACTTTTGACGAATGAATGGCAATTTAAAAGGTTGGAATCGTCGATAATATCATTTCGCAATATTAATATTTGATATTCTGATTGGAATGTCTATTTCACCCAGCTGTTAATTTTTGAAAGAGTTTATGAAATAATATATTCTTAATATAAACGACACAATCTATGACCTCGAAAATCAACATTCGTGGATATTTTCTTTAAATTTCTCAACTCTTAACACGGAAAGGCATGGAGGGAATTCCTAATGGTGACATTAACCAAGGAAATAGTACAGAAGACGATAACATGATGCTAAAGAGGAGATCAAGCCAGCCAGAATTAGGAATTGCACCTAGATCGTGCACCACTAATACTGAGCAGACATTGTCCAACAGAGTAGATACGCAGAGGTCACTGTCCACCTCATCATTGCAAGAATTCAGGCAAAGGGCAGATAAAGATGGAGACTCAACAACATCCATGAAAAAACTTGCAATGTTGCGAAAGCAGCATTCAAGGAAGAGGTGAGCTGGTAAAAGCCGCATATTTGTCATCATATGATTTCTTGCATGAGATAGACAAGTGCAATAGCAAGCCTCTAAGTATGTCCAGCTTTATTGCCACTGTGAAATTCCAAATCATGGTATATCCCTTTTAAACCTTTGGATGATTATGGTTTAAATTATATGATCATGTTAAACAACTACAAGCATGTTTTCACCAATGGTGAAGTTTTTAATTCGTTAATATTTGTTGTCATGGAGAAAATGTTTACAGACTGACCTCATTTTTATGTTTTGTATGCACAAATAGCATGGAAATGTTGTCAAAGTAGCAAAATTTGATCAAACATACCTTCTGATTTTTTCTTTCGACATCTTTCAATGTACAGGTTGTCAACACCCTGTACAGGTAGTCATGACCTTGATGAGTTCTCAAGGAGATACAGTCAAGATCTCATGAAAAACCAGGCATTTGTACGTCTCCAGGAGCAGCTAATGAAAGCACAGGAGGTAACCATCTGTTAGAACAAATGAACACTAACATCAGTTAAGGAAATATTAAGGACACTGTACTGCTTACTTGGTCCAAGGTTATATTCATAGGACAGAATCTTTGTTAAATTACCTAAGTATCTATGCTAAAGTGTCTTTATGCAATAGAATATTTTATGAAGTGTATGATTAATATAATTTGTCATAATTATATTAATTTCGCTATAAAAATTTGATAAATTTAGGAATTAAAGCTGAAAGATGAGGAAGTATTTAAACTGTCCAATTTACGAAATGAAGTTGAGGCCGAACTCGAAGAACTGACAGCAAGTTTATTTCAGGTTTTTGACAAAAATCCAAAGCATCATTCACTTGCTACGTTTTTGCTCTTCCACTTATCCGTCTGAAGACGTTTCTTCATTATAATACTCTCACTATTACCAGGAAGCACACGCCATGGTGCTGGAAGCTAACATCAAACAAAGTAACGCTGAAAAGAAATATAACGAAACAAACAACAAGGTATCAAAAGTTTGTTTCAAAAGTTACTGTGACTATGAAGTTAATTTAAAGCAGGTCAATCTTCAACGACCTTTCCCAAATGCAAATAAATTAACAAGTGTCTCGAGAATCATTGAAAACTTCCCCGTACATAACGCCAGTTTTACACTAAAGAAAACACGAGAAAGAAGTAATCTACGAGCGGAAAACGAAGAGCATTTTATTATTGACAGTCACAATATACCCCACTCATACCCATAGGTACACAAATGTCTGGCAAAAGCTGCAAGGGCAGTGGAAAGTGTAAACCATGACCGTTCAATACCACAGTAACGTTTTGTAACCATTGTTCAGAATTAGAACTTTACGGGGAATTTCGAATTTCGTTTAGATAAAGCCAAGCGATATAAGATTTATTCGAAGTTTTAATGTCATCTTAAAATAATCATCAAAATATATAAAGAAGCACTAGTTTGCACGGGAAATATAACTAAAATATATCACACTAAGTTTTTTTTAAATGAACTAATGACAGTAAAATAAGCATATACTCCGAATAAAAAGTTCATGTTTAACTCAATATTTGAGAGTGAAACAAGACGATTTTTATTTTTATTTCTACACTTCCGTTGAAATAATTTAACGCACATATTAGAAGAGCGTCAGTTGGCTTGTAAATACAAATGTCTGATGATGAATTTGTAACAAATTCGAAATATACTATTCTAATAAAAGTCGTCTGGTTTCCTTCTCAAATATTGAGTTAAACATGAACTTTTTAATCGGAGTATGCTTCATTACATGCATTACAGTTAAATAAAACGATTAGATTTCATCGATTCTAATTTCCCACTCAAGTTTGACTTGAAAAGACCGTTTCGTGTCATAAAGACTTACGCCCTATTCACACGACACAAACTAATCCCGTTTCAACACAGGTTAAAATTAACCCAGGTTTAATCCAGGTTGACTTTTTGCGTGTAAACACCACCAACCTAGGTTTAATCTGGGTTAAACTTAACCCATCTCAGGAGGTGGGTTGAGTTTAATCTTGGTTGAAGCTGGATTAGTAGTGTTTACACGCAATAAAATAAACCTGGGTTAATTTTAACATGGGTCAAACCGGGTTTAGTTTATGCCGTGTAAATAGGTCTTTAGCAATACCAAGCATGGCTGGCCTTAGAGAATAATACTTTGTCCTTCGCTGCATTAGTATGTTTAATTCCTCAATTTACTAAGTGTTTTTTAATTAATAATATACATGAAAAAATTTCTCAATTCTGATTGGTTAAGAGCAGTGCAATTTATCGTAAATACCTGTGCAAAAATGTGAAACACAGTGCAAAAAAAAGAAATAAAGTGCAATTTCTTTTTGAAAAATGCGCTCCTGATTGGTTAGTCAAACAAAGAAATGATGTAAGAGCCAATCAAATTAAAACATTTCAAAAGCAGGAAAGTTAAATTATTGTAAACAAAGCAATAACAACGGCTGGCGTAAGTTTTAAGTAAATTTTCTTTACTCGTCCTTCGGACTCGTGCAATTTTGATAGTTTTTGAAAAACTCACTCGTGCATGCTTTTCCCAAATTGCACTCGAAACCATGCTATTACCTATACTAAAAACTCAAGCGCACAACTTAAATGGAGTAATTAGTTCAATTAAAAAAAACTTTATTGTAATGTATACCTCTTTATTTCCTACATACATTGTAAGTTTTTCTTGAGGATGGTGTCGAGTTGACATGGAAACGAGAATGAATCGTTTATGAACTTATGTTATATTATAAGAAAGTTGCAAATATAATAATAATCTGTACTGGCCACCGGGACGCATGAAGGTTGAAAAGAGAATAAAGTATATTGAAATCATAGCTAATATAAACTGGAGTCCGTTAATGAGGAATGTTTTGATCATAGTGAGGGAATGTCAAAGAAAACTTTGATGATTTTCTTTGTTTAGTGAATATTCGCTAAAAGACAAAAAGACATATATACTATTAAACTTTCCTATGAGTAATGTAAGGCCGTATCTTCAAGCGTAGCTATCGAGTATGACATAAAATGTCTTATTGAATTGCAAATTGGCAAGTTCAAGAGAAGCGATATCTTTTTTACAACGCGGACGTCTACCGAAAATATTGTTGGAGTCGGTTGTTTGATTTGAAGTCATACTACATAACATATTATCAAATATGTAACCTTCTGCCCTCAGTCTCAATGAAATGACGATCGTCCAGGCTAGAGAAGCCCTGAGAATGATTGTTGGTGTTGTTATTGACTGACGTTTACACATCTTTTTGAGCATTGGCGTAGGAAGATCGATAATTGGGGGGGGGGTGTCGGGTGGTGGCTGTATTCATATATGCGTGTTATAATCGATTGAAAACAATGGATTTCAATATCATGGATATATGTACATAAGCCCCCCTCCCAATTATCAATTTTCATACGGCAATGCTTAGGAGGAAATGTCTGAAACAAATACATGACATTTACTCCTCACTTGACTCCGAAGATGACTTCGAAATGTCACATAGCATTACTTCTCAGGACTCCACCAACCTGAATAATCTTCATGTACAAACATGTAACGATACTCTCAGGTTCAACCATTCACTTAAATTACCACAAAGATCCAGACTGGTAAGATCTATATTTATTTCAAAGGAGATATCAACTGTAAATATCTCAGAATCGTTTTCACGTCTTTTGTTTCAACATATTTAGGTTGATATGTTGGAGGCGGAAGTTGAAGCGCTCAAAACCCTTGTAATCACATCCACACCAAGTAAACCGCGATCAAGAAGAAGCAGAAGAGGAAGCGCGGAACAGCAGAAATGCTTTGATTCGAGTGGCTCGGTTCAGAGCTCACAAATAAATGACAATGTCAACGGTGAAGTTGATGGAAAAGCTCCTAATCAAGAGAAAGAGGTAGGATAACCTTCATTTCTACGTGAGTCGTCCATTTAGTCTTTATGCAATAAAGGAGGGAGGGTGATTAACTACATTTACGTACAGTGGGGAGGAAGTGTGCTCAGCAGCTCGTGCGAATGATTTTTTGAATATAATGAGTTTCCAGCATGATTAAGTATAGTATTTTTAAGATGGCTTGGCTAGAAATTTACTGATAAATAATGCCAACTTAGGCTTAATTAACGATTTTTTCTTTTATCGATATCTTTTTAGGTCGACGTAATTGTTTTCAAAGAATTTTTGGCTTGGATGGAAGAACGAAAGCTCGATCAAAGTCAGCCATTCTTATCGAGAATGTATAACGAAGATGTGACACCATGCTTGGATTTTACAAACAAAGAGGTTCGTTCGTAGACTAAATTGGTTTGAACCCTGGAGTATCGTTTCATTTTTGTAGATGTAGATCGTCCAGATTAGTGGAGTCCTTACAAGGACTGTTGGTGTTCAGGCTAAAACTTTTAACTGTGAATATTATAACACGGCTGCATTGCAATGTTATAACGAACACCATAATCTGAAAACTTTAGATGTGAATATTATAACACGGCTGCATTGCAATGTTATAACGAACACCATAATCTGAAAACTTTAGATGTGAATATTATAACACGGCTGCATTGCAATGTTATAACGAACACCATAATCTGAAAACTTTAGATATGAATATTATAACACGGCTGCATTGCAATGTTATAACGAACACCATAATCTGAAAACTTTAGATATGAATATTATAACACGGCTGCATTGCAATGTTATAACGAACACCATAATCTGAAAACTTTAGATATGAATATTATAACACGGCTGCATTGCAATGTTATAACGAACATTGAGACGTTTGAGAAGCAAACCTCGACCTTCGGTCTCGGGCTTGCACTGATCAGCTCTTGAGTTCTCCCGAAGATCTCCTCGGTTTGCATAAGCCTGTGCAAACACAGTAAACATCTTCTATTTCTTAGATAATATTGCGTCATGTGTTTGTTTTGCAGTTATCCAAGATATTTCTGAATGCAATGGAAAGCAACACCCTTGTTTTGGAAAAAATACCGGGAAAAAGATTAACAAGGTTCCGTTCTCTTTCCATACATGACATTGTGTTTAATGGGTTCTTCTCACGCAGTTATGAAAACTCTAACCCTTACTTTTCTTTCAAAATTTAATAAACAACAGGAATAACTTGAATTATATTGATAAGATTCCGCTTCTATTTTTCTCTTTTAGTTATGTATTATTCTTGTTTTCTTTCGTTTTTGCGAAATAATCGCTTAGGCCAGATTCAAACGTCGAACTTTACATGCACCGAACGCATTAAAGGCAAAGTAAGATGAGATGAACTTCCTCATTCTCTTTTCTTTTAAATGCGTTCGGCTCATGTAAAGTTCGACGTTTGTACTTGGCCTTAATTTGACATAACATGATACTGTGTTTTATTTCAACTTCAAAGAATATACTGATAGTTTACTTTGTTTGATTATCTCTTCCTCCTTTGCAAAGTGACCACAAGTCTTAATTACTTCATAAATCCTGACTTCATAAACGACTTATAATTAAATGTTTGTTTATATTTTATAGTAGAAAATGTGCGTTGACGGAAACTGTGAGGATATGTCAATACAGAGCAATGGCAACGGAAACAGGAGAATGGCACTACCTTTGCCAAAGTGCCAGACAAAGAGTAAACAACGCTTTCTACTATAATTTATTATACCTTCAACTTTGATTGGTCAATTACCCGGCCAAAAGTTTGGTTGTTAAATTCTTGATTATTTGCTTGCAGATTGTGGCGGTCTGTGATTTCTTTACCTATATACGATATATTCACCTTGGGTGAAAAGGTAAGACGAAAATGTCCCATTCACAATCAAGTCGCCATATTGATTTGAAAATCGTAGAGTTCTTTTGAATTTCACCAATATGGCGGCATTTATCTGTAGTAAATTGTGTTGAGACACCACTGAGGCATATATATAATGATGATCGATATAAGGACTGGATGACTATCTAATGTGAAAATTTTCATTGATAACCAATCTAATAAATAGCTAATTCGTTTAGTTTTGACGAGAAAAATTGCAAATAACTAACACGTAAATTACAAAACGTGTGACTACAAATTGTTTAATTAACATATCAGAAAAAAATTCAACACTTTTATATGCAAGTATCCAAACACTAATGTTAAAAAGAAAATGCATTACCGTGGTAGAAGATGTTTATCTGAATTTATTTCATTACACTCTAAGTCCTGTTTCAAACGTCCAACTTTTCATGCACCGAACGCATAAAGACAAAAGAAAATGAGATGAACTTCCTCATTATCTTTTGTTTTAAATGCATTAGAGACAAAAGAAAACGAGATGAACTTCCTCATTATCTTTTGTTTTAAATGCATTAGGCTCATTTAAAGTTCGACTTTCTTTCAGTGGCGTGGCCAGCCCGCAAGTTTGTTCGTGCTGCGTAAATATTAAGGTATTCACTCACTGTAAAAACAATATATTTCTAAAGAAATGAATAATGATAAGGACAAAAAAATTTACTTGCATTTATGAACAAATTTGCGTGCTCCCTACGCCACTGGCTTCTTTGCGCCACAATCATCAACGAAAATAAATCCTTTACGTTGTTTAGTCACAGACATATACTGGGAACTAATGGAACTTCGCAAAGAGATGGCATGTGCAAAATGCGGTCTTTCAACTTAATTGTAATGGCGGAGACCCTCAAATCTGCAGGCTATCCCAAGCTTTCGCTCTTGAAGACGATACGAGTTCCTCGCCAAGTATTTTGGGATGTATATGAAAGTTAACAGAAATGCATCCAATTAATTTATTGTGATTTTGGATTTTTAATTCTTTATAGAATTGTTGAAGAATTTGTAAATGTCATATCATTGCTAGTATATCGCAATTACTACGCCCCATGCCCCCACAAACCTCTTCATATTTTTCTACGTTCACTTCAAACCATATTACACGTAAATTAATTCACAAGTAACCGAGAAATGCACATGTATATTTAAAAATTTAGGAAACATTGATTGTTACATATTTTAACGATTTCTTAAATTAAACTTTGATTGCTATTGAAAAAAACATTAGCGATCATTGAGGATGTCGACACACCAATCATTGCTAGTTTGCTAATTATTCGTTTTTTTGTAAATTAACATTTGAAGCAATTGTTGACTCATAATTACTACGCAAGGAGAAAATCGAAAAGCATTTATCAATGAAGAAATTATTCAAATACGGAATATTTTTAGTGATTTCCCGATCATTCACGAAACAGCGTAGTAGTGTTTTTTATTTCATAAAATTGTATACGAAAGTGTTATGTTCTAGAGTTAGATCTTCTACTACACGCAGATGAATAGATTGTTTACGATCATGAATTCTCAAAACATTCCCAAATTTTGATTTAACATAAGATAACGTATTTTTACGTAGAAATTCTAATTGAAATTCTTAATTGATTGCGTTCCGCATTTGTCGAATTTCGTAAAATACCCGTAGTATCAACATAAGATAACGTATTTTTACGTAGAAATTCCAATTATAAAATTCTCGCTTAATTGCATTCCATATATGGATTTCACGATCAATTATCTTCTCGAAAAGTAAACATAGTAAATCTAAATACTATTTTACAAGTAACTGATTGTACAATAGTAAATAATAATCATTACAGCAATGCAGCTTAAATGTCCGAATTTCATCGATAGAATTTCATTCAATGGGAATCTTTCACATATCAAGTAAGTATTACGTATACTTAATTGCATAGACAAAAACTAGTTTACACGCTATGGTATTGCAGTGTTGCCAACATTGCATTTTATTTCAAGATTTTGGGAGTTTCCGAGTCGTCCGCATGTTTCTATTAAATTTCAATAAGTTAGTTTCTTCACTTTCTTTCTTTCGATGCATGTTAAAATTAGATCGATCTATAGAATCAACTCTTCTAAGTATATGACTTCATTTAGTAAAGTAAAATATACTTATTGTGCAATTGCCCCATATTGATTTTAACCACCTAACTACAAATAACATGTTTGTGGATATAGATCGTCCGGGTTAATTGAGTCCTGAAAAGGGCTGTTGTTGTTGGTGTTGACTGACGTTTCGACAACCTTAGCGGTAGTCATCTTCAGAGTCAAACGAAGAGTAAACGACAGGTTAGCCGTATTTGTTATCTGATAAAAATTGGTTATCGCAGTCATCTAATGAAATGATAAAGAATAGAAGCATTGGATTTTTTGAAGAGATTGGGATCTTTACGCAAACTCTCTTGCAAGGCAACATTGTATTAGTGGTTAGTGGTCAAGAAATTTGATCATGTGGTGGAAAAAAATTAAGTCAACTAAAGTTACTCTTTTGAGTCATAACATATTTTTCTCAAAAAAGAACGCCCATCCACTTGGGTGGCAAACGTAACTATTATGATTTTAGGCGTTTTGTTATAGCTAGCAGTAATTAATACAAGTGCTTCAGACGTTCTAGATCGACGAACTTATGACACATGCTGGTTTATTGGGCCCGTAAGATATTGCTGCACGGGAAACAGATTACCGTAAAACTACTGCATCACATACTTATAAGGCTATCGTTTTGAATTGAAAATTTTTTTTCGTTTATCGAGGAATTTATTTCAAGTATTGAATGCAGTTGTGGCGCCATGAGGGAAGGAGGGGAACTTTATTTTTCTACTTACAGTCCACTCCTCCTGAAGATATTTTCATCTCAAGATTGTAAAGTAAGGAACCAAAGGGTTATCGGACGAGCTGCAATTCCAAAAATTATTACCCCAAAGTAGATCCTCAAATCCTTCTTTCCCCCCCCCCTCACATTTATTTTTTATAGCACTGCCAATCATCGAATGAGTTTCTTTTAGAAGCTCTTCATTCAAATTGTTTTGATTGAAAAACAATTTTTGACATGGAACAAATAGCCATTTTAATATTCTGCAGCTGCATCGCAAGATCTATACACTTATAGGTCAATGATGCAGTGCGAGACGACACGTCTTTACATTAATGGGGAGTCCATAGAATATCTATACTTGCATCGTTCGCATATTACTACAAAACTATCAAAGTTCTGCATATTAACCGTGAAAACGAACGATTTTGAGAAACAGTGAAATGTTTTTACTGTTTGCTAAACATATAAATTGCCATTCTGATCTCTGGAATGATTATTTTGAAATAACATGCAGTCCTTTCTAATCTAAGGACCCGTTTACACAATACCGGATTACTATCGTAGCAGGTTAAATTTTCTTTGTATTGAAAGGCAGTGAAATTCTTCAACCTCAGAAACACCATCAAATAGCCAAAATCTATCAACTTAATAAGCTTTCACTCCGAATAGTTAACCCTTTAAAGCAAATGAAGATGTCGTACTGAGCGAATCCTGTATAGTTTAAACGCAGCCTATATATCATAGACATATTAAAAGATAACACATATTTTATAATGCACTACGTTTCAAAAAATCCAGTAATTACGTTGCAATAATTGTACACATAGTACAAATGATTGCAAGAGGTTTGAGATAAAAAAAATGCCATCAAAACTGCATACATTTTAGAATATATTTGCTAACGAGATGTAATGATTTATGTATTAATAATACCGACACTTCTATGATTTATGAGACAGAATCGGTTACCAGCAGACAATTTTAAGTAATATAATACGAAACATTCATGTCGTGGAATTGTTATCCTACTTTTGTCAGAAACTCAATTATTAATAAACTCAAACACAAATACAATCTCACTAGTTCATCGAATGATTTCTCTTAAACTCCAACCATCGACCAAAATGAACCAAAAATTTGGATAAGATTACCTTATCAAGCCTCAAGGCAAAAAATTATTTATAACTGTCTTAAAAACTTCGTAAATGTTTCATCAAATCAGTTCAATTTATTATTATTTTGAGACCAAAAAAGTCGCTTTTTTCATATCGAACAATGACAAAATCTCACCCCTCTCTCGTTTCAATGTCGTATATCAAGTTACTTATCAAGTTACTTGCCCCAGTTGTACAAATCCTACATCGGTAAAACTGAGAGATGCCTTAAAGCCTGACTTCATGAACATGCCACACAACATGAAACAAGCGCGATTGCACAGCACTTCTTACAATGCCAAAAAGCACAGGACATTACATATCAAAACAAGAACACACTTGATCATAAATCACTTGCGGAAAAACGTAATTCAAACATTAACGAAGTCGTACTGAACAACTACAAAATACTTTAATTGAACAATAACTTAAACAGAAACCGACTTTTACCAATGGAAGCACTTTTTATTAAATCACCCCAGCTAGAACTTAATAATCGTAACGCATATGAATTTTCCTAGCCCAAACTGTTAGACAAGTCCTGTTCGATGTGTTAGGGTAATTTCCTAAAAGTGAAACAATTTCAGCCTTAGTCATTTATAGTGTGCAAGGTCCTAGTTGTAGGCTGTCTTTTATCATATTAACTTTCGAGAGGCAACCCCTCTTACAAGATTCTGGCTTTCTCATTTCCACCTCTGGCAAACCATATTAATTTGTTTTGTTATACGGAAAGTTTTACGTATTAAAATTTTCCATGAAAATTTAAATTCTTTAAAAGGGAATATGTGCTCTATTTCATTCTAAGAACGTATACGAGACTGACAAGCCTTTTTTCACAGGTGCATATTGTCCAAATAGATGAAGTTGGACGTGTTTTCAGCTGATAACATGCAGCAATTTTCGTTTAATATTGATCAATCAACAAGTGCTGCACAGACTATGCTGAGTGACGTTGAAGAGTAGATACCAACCAAATTATAGGTCGCACACACACATGTATATTCACAAGCATATAGCAATCACAGCTGAACAAATTGGCAAAACGAATTGAATTTCAAAAAAACGGAGGTGTAATCTTTGCATGGACATGCTTTTAGAGATTTCAAATTCGATGGTCGATTTGCAAGGCGATTGAAAATCGGTAAAGAGTGCTGGCGCGCTTTCAGACGTAGCTACTTGGTAAATATTTTGCATACTTTATGATTATATTTAATAATATCTATGGTATATACTGCATATATGCTAACTTCTATAAGATTTAAAATTGAAAAAAATCATTTCATACAATTAACCGACTTTTTAAACATCAAAAAGAAAAAACACTTAAAACAGCGAGACATTATGACATACAATCTAAAGACAAAAGTATCTAAACAACACGTAAAGTTATAAGTTATGGAAAGAAATCGGACACACGAAATCAAACATTTTTAACAGACAACAGCTTTAGGGATACAACACGTGAGAAAAAATTACAAAAAATTGTAAAAAAACTTTTGGATGATATAAGCGCCACCAATCCTATTCTTGTGTTCTCGTACATAGTACATACACTGCACAGCACACATAATGAAAACGACATTAATAGCTCTGCATGAAAATTAACACACTTAAAACAAAATGGATTACAGCAATTCAACAAAGTATATATTAATGTATGTTGACAACAAGTCTTTAGGTGCGGCACGGGGCCATTCAACCGATCGGAAATAGTTAAAATGCATTGTCTAACGAGATACAATATCGGTCGAATACCATAGCCAATACATGAAAACAAGAGCAAATAAACTGAAGCACTTCGATGAGTGATAACCAAGTGTATTTACCGGTACCAAGGTAACTTTTTTTTTGTCATTGTTTGGCCAGACAATTAGGAACGGTTGAACAAATTATTATCAAAATTGATTTTTTACACAAATATGGTTGTCTCTTCGTAGCCGTGTTCACGGTGCTTCAATAATATACTCATGATGAGATGTTCACTGTTTATGAACGGGTTTATGCAAACCAAGGAGACCTTTGGAAGAACTCAAGAGCAGATAAGTGCAAGCCCGAGACCGAAGGTCGAGTTTCGTTCGGGCACGTAGCCAGAACGATAGTTGGAGGGGGGAGGCATATTCATATATGCATGCCATGCCGTATTAGTTTCTTTTGTAATCCATTTTTTTACGGATTACAAAATGCATATATGAATATGCCCCCCCCAAGTATCGTTCTGGCTAGGTGCATGGTTTCGCATAAGCCAGTACAATCACCTAAAACATCTTTTAATTCTTTAATGAATCAACAATAATGCGAAACAAGTAAATTTAATACAAACATCTGAATTTTTCGCCAAATTGATGATTGACTAATGTTGTGAATAAAGAACATGAAACATGTTTGTTTGATGGCTACCACGTGCAAGACAAATAACTAATAATAAAGCATGATCGTTTACCATATCCTGTGCTTGGTATCATTATGCACATAATTTTTCCATGGTAAACAATATTCCTAAAATATCTCTGATGAAGCAGCTTTCGGATGCTTTAATTGATCAATATTTCAATTGTGCACATACCAGTAAATTAGCAAACATTAATATGTTTGCTAATTGACGATGAGCCAAGAAATCTGTGTGCACAATCCACTTGATAATTTTATAGTCCGTATTTGAGTAAATAAAACACAAATTTGAAAAAGTCAATATAAGGCAACACTTCACAGCCAAGGAATCGATGTAAATAAATTTAAATTATGAAGTAAGAACTGTTTTTCATTTACACAAACAACCCGACTTGTTAAAGTTTAGCACTGTAGCTGACTGTAGCTTAATTATGAAAAGTAATTGCTACATAATAGAATGCTCTAACAATAACAAATTCTGTAACTCAAAAGCAGTTATTTAATTGTTAATTAAGGATTCATTAGGTCACGAATTGCACGATAAGCCATCGTGGGGCATAAACCGTCGAGAGAAAAGGTGGAAAAACTAACTAGCTCGATTCACGCAACCTTGGCATTACTTTTGCATACAATAAAACTTTAAAAGAAAGCGGCAAAACAAAATTGATCGGCTTAACCCTTCTAATTCAACGAGTAATTTGCATCACAAGTGACTTCCCCTACCAGACGTCGTTTCACACAAAGAACATTCATTAAAAGTTTGATATTAATATTAATCGTATTCGTCACCCATTTATTAAAGTCATGAGTGTATGTGTGTTTGCGATCATCTACGAGACAAATTTATGTTGGCATTGGAGATTAACGTGGCTGTAACAAGAGAGGAGGGAATCAATAGACCCAAATATAGAACAAAGCAAGAAGTTTCTGGTTTGAATACCTTGGTAACAACTACTGTAAATTTAATGCTTTCATGGTAGGTGTATGTTGATGTTTTATAATACATACGTTCTGTTGTTCATAATTATACTTCCAGCATGCTCGTTCTTATAAATGCTGTTTAATATAAGAATTGATCGATTGAATAAGGCCCAACCTTTCCCCCTTGCATAAAGAAGAAAAAAAAAAAACCAAACAGAATACTTTAACTCTTCATATGCGATAGGGCAATATTTTGAAAATCTAATTCAATCAATTGAAGTTTAAAGCGAATGAATAGCGATACAGAAACTTTTCAGGATATTTAACCGTATACCTCCGACGACACCGAAATCCATTCTTCTTTATATGATAAATTTAACCTAAAGCTATTATTACTCGGCATGTAGTACAGTAGTGCCAACGTTCTCCTATATACACAGGATGTATTTCTCGGTCACTCTGAGTCAGAGTACTTATTAACACGGATATAAACTGTAAACTAAAGATGAAAAAATATTCATTGCTAATGTACCTTAAATGAAACATTTGAATAATGAGTTTTTATAAGGCGATATGCTCCAATAAGTTGCTACAACATAGGAAATGTATACGCTATGTTTGTATTAATTGCTGATATATTTATGCCAATGCTTAGTTTGCGTGAAAAATGCCCACGAGAGTCAGACGCTTTATTAATATTTCCCAGCAGTACAGTTCTCAACTAGATGAACTAAACCGTTAGTTGTGCTACTGACTATAAATATGCCATTAGACTAAGTAAAATTGATAGAGGGAGAAACTCCAATTAGCAGCTGCAGCGAACAGTTGAGTATTTGAAGTTTTTCATCACGATCTTGTCATGTATCTGCGAAGCAACGCGAATCTAATTCAATGCGGGTATGTCTTTAATGTTTTTCATTTGCACACAGCCGCAAGCTAGTCGTTCGTGGCGAGTGTCGGCAAAACCTTTGTAACAGTCAATTTCTGTTCTGAGTTTGATGCAAATGTGTGGTATAAGGTCACGAATGATCAAATAGTCACGAAAATTTTCACACAGTCACTAAAGAAGTGAGATGCTGCATGCTTAACGAAATGTAACTTGTGTCAAAGAATGATATTTCGTGATATCTCTTGAGATGCGTTGCATTTCCATTTTCAACCTACCGATTTCTTTCGTAATAATTGCCAAATTTGTCCTTACACATTATTACTTTGTACAGACACATTTTTATGGACACGATGGTCGTTAATCGTGTCCTTTTGCCACCACAGTCAGTCACCAGTCATCGAGAAAGATTATCTCGATGGCTGGTTGTAAATGAAAAATTTTTCGTAACGTAGCTACATATAAATAAAATTTGTGTAGCTTCTACAGCTGGGCTTAATTTCACCCATTAGCGAGACTAAAAATGATTTTAACGTATATACGTTTATAATCATCAAAATGTGCGGCTATCAATTGCATTGGCGACGAAAGTTTCAACGAAGTCCTTGTCACATAAAAAAAATAGCAGCCATGGTGTGGTATGAAAATCCTCCCAGGAATTTATGAGAAAAAAACTCATCTTTAAATAAACCCTTTTTAGTATTTTTTTTAACCCAACGACGATCGATCGCTTGCGAAAAATGACAGACGACTTAATTCATGACAATTTAAGACTATTTCTCCATCATGTTAACAAGCTGTATTTGGAAATGAGCAGAAATACATTGCTACGAACACTACAGATTTTGTTAATAATAATTCTATACATGTGAAGTCATCTTTTATACCGAATGACCGTTAGACGAAACTTGTAGACTTTCGGTTTGAAGGAAATGGGTGTGGTTTATGGTCAATAAACATTGGAAGTCTTTAATTCGAGGGTAAAGCCAAGCGAAGATTTATAAATAGGCGTGAAGAAAGCATGAAACTAGTGCATGTCCTCACAAATTTGACTAATTTATTATGGCATAATTGAAAATAGAAAATTTGCCGAGAAGCCAATCAGGACTGGCGTAATGTATCGAACGATGAAAATAGGATTAAAATCACGTAATTGCAGGCGTGCACTCTCATTCTTTCTGATTTTGATCAAAATATAACTTACTGATTGAAAAGGCCAGCATGACATATGGCCAATTCCAACGGGACAAAATACGAAAGGTGAGCAAGGAGTGAAATACACATATTTGCTTAGCTACTATATTTCTACGTTACGAAGTTGAATTGTTTCAACCTGATTGAGCAAAAAAGAAAAACGGCTTAGTTCGATTACGGAAAGGAAAAACGGCAAAGGTTAGTTCGATTTAACATTAATCCATTTCATTTCAAGGCGTTTTCCGATCGTAAATCGTTCTCGGCATCTTTCAGTGAATATGTTTAATAAAGGCAAGTTTTTCGCTGAGCTGTGCACAATTAACGACAATTAGCTACTATAACCAGGCTTTGTCTTCAACAAAGTATAAACGCTCTCGTTCAATTTGCCTAAAACGTTCAAAATAAATGCACTACAAATATACATATCAATTTCTACGCGTTGAGTTTACAGGATCAGGCTACAGCTTTTTGGACAATAAATTGCACTTTCTAAACAGTAATCCAAATCGTTACCAGAAGCAGAATTCAAACGTCTATATAAGTATACTTTCAAAAAGAATGATAGCATAATGCTATAACCAACAACTACAAACAATAACGACTAACATTCCAACATAATAACATAATAACATTCCAATTATTTAACCTTGTAACTATACTTTCACTTATTAAAAAGCGAAATTGAACTGGAAGTATGGAGGTCAAGTAAAAGAATACTTAAAAACCAGAGGAAGAAGGTTGACTTGATAGATTTTTAGTCAACAGTCGCGTGGGTTTTCTTTAAAATTGTAAAATTTGTTATAGTCTAACAGTGTACAACTGCTTAAAATCATTTAGGTATTTTAATTTTTTCTTACGATTGTTCACAATTATTTTAAGTTGAAAATTGCCGCCACATCTTGTGGAAAAGCCATCACGATTTTGTTGGCGTGCAATTTTTAAAAAAAATTTTCATTTCCATCCTACGTACACAAAAATACTTGCACTAAAAGGGTAAAAAAGTTGAGCTGGCGTTGCCACCGGCAGGTACCTACAATCTTGGCTGCAAGCATGTTTATTATTAAAATACTGCACTGTTTTATAATGCAATTTGCATCACATTGAGCATTGGAAAATTTACGATGGCACAAATTTGTTATTTCAAAGACATTAACACGATGGGTTCTGTATGCTCGCAAAAAGGATTGTTTTCAATGTTCTGAACATACAAAAATTAGAATCTCAGAATCCCCTTCAGCCCTATCTTTATATGCGACATAAACGGAACCATAAACTTAAGTGTTCTCACTTGCAGTAAACTGCAATAAGCATAAGCATAAAAACGGAGACTATTGATTTTATAATAGCATAAGCATAAAAACGGAGACTATTGTGCAGTTGTGCTTATACCAATGTAGCAAGTAAGGACCAATCTATTGCTATCTATTAACTGTGGAAATATCCTCATCGCAGTGCATTTTGCCAACATAAATGTGAAAAAGTGGGCTGTTTATCTTTTAAGGTTCGCGGATTGCTTTCAACACCAAAACCCCACGCATTCTTGAACGAATTAAAGTCGCTTTCCATTAGGTTGAATTTTGCCAACACCACGTCAAACGGCGTCGCAGCACATTTGACGTGTGCTAAATAAATATTGCCATGGATACGTTAAAAATATTATTGTTTGTACGCTCCGTTCGCGCGTTGGGAAATAGAATAGGTGCTTCCGCAATTACTCTCGGCTTCAACATGCTTTGAAAATATTTGAGAATTCCATAAAATTATCGAATGTTTAAATTTTGTGTAAGTTCGGCAGATGTTTCATGACTAATGTCTTTTTCATTGATTCTGAAGTAATGACTCAAATTGAGTCTAATTGTACTCACAAATACACGAAGATCGCAAAACAGGAACACGAACATGGAAATCACAAAATTACAGACGAATAATCGAAGTCATTAATTAAAAAAACCGACTACTTTTGAGTTATCAAATCATCAAACGCGAATAAATTACAAGAAAAAATAAAACTTCAATTTTTTACGTAATTTTATACTTTAGGTAAATGAGTGTTGAGGAGGACGAGCGTCGATTTGTTAGGAGTAGTTGTAACCAGCTAATAAATTACTTGTTATTAATAATCGAAATTGTTAAGGTTGGCCAATAGGTTATGCAAAGGGTTTGGGTTGAATTTTTTTTCTTCAAAAACGAGCAATTTTAGTGGCGCCATCAGCTCGAAAATCGGAAGGGGTAGAAAAATATTAAAACTGCATGTTTATTATAGGTTGCAGACATGAATATTGACCCCAAAGTTATTGAGATGGCAACGCAATTGAACGAAAAATTGGAGATTATTATGCCTTGTATTATTTTGTATACCATAACTTTATTAGGTTACAACGTTTCGGATTTGCTGAATTTGTATAAACTGTCTACGAAATCTGAAACTAAAAACGTCATCATATTCTGCACTGTTGACAATAGGGGAAGTTTGGGTTATCATTCCAGATTATTAGACAATTAAACTATTAAAACAACAACACAAACGCACGACATACGACAAAAACGTATAGCTCAAGTTGCACTCCTCCTAGCGGAACACAATAACAATCGAACAAAACAGCAACGAATATTTTGAAGATGGGTCAATATAGCGTATACGCCTTATTTTGTAAGACATTTTTTTTATAATATCTCCAATAAATTGCTGTGTAACAGTTTCTAATTTGGTAAGTGTTAACATAAAATAATGTGAGTGAAAAATGTCCTCACGAACCATCTAAAGGAGTTGATACATAAAAAATATTTTTCTCAATGATGTCTTACAAATACACACTCCTAAGGCAGAACTTATATCAACATTTTAAAACGAAGTAGAGTTTTCAGAACCCGTTTCTACCCCTGTTAAGAGCAGTTTATACTCGTAATTTTTGATTCCACTTTACGCAACCGTGTAAATTACCGAGTATTTTCACACGAAAATTAAACAACAGCTGGCGCACAGCCATACAGTGCAGTGCGCTGTTATGTCTAAACCTTTGAAGAGCATTCAATTTCACTGTTGAAACAGCCAGAAGTATTAAATAGATAAAACTTCAATTTGCCTTGCACAACATGATAAATGAGGCCAACCACTGATGGAACATGTGAATTTTGTAACTAAAAATACAGACAGGAATGTCGCGCGATCGCGTCGATAACTTGTAACTTAGAACAGAAATTAATATAATCATCAGTCAACACGTTTAAATCTTACAAAGCTGAATTTACAGCGTCGTGCGCGAATAATTAAAAACACACGGCTCACATAACATTATGACATAAAAGGCTCGCGATTGTGGTTTGGGGACGTCGGTGAACTCGTTGCCATGACAATGCACGTTATCCGCCCGTTTTGAGACTTGACGAGAAATTTTCTCACGACAAAATTGATAATAACTTCATAAGCTCTAAGCTCAGTCTTAATCGCTACTAGTTATTTTTTTAGCATAGGTCTAACGATCTGGATCAGACACGCAATGGTGCCAAAAACGGACAAAAAAAACGAGTGACGACGGATTTATCAAGTGAGCTGAGCAAAAACGCTAAAAATATCGCTAAATTTCTTTCTGAGCAGATATAAAGTTTCCACAAATCCAAACAACACATTTGCACGTGATTTATCAAACAAAGCGCTTTATGTAAAGTTGTAGACTTGGGAAGGAAAACTATCAGATAAATAACAACTGCAGTGCTGTGTATCCATGCAAATCGCAACAATCTTTGGTCGTTTGACTACCATCCGTTCCGGGCAGAATTTATAAAATATAGGATGAAACTTATTCTGCCCAACAAAAACATCTTGCAAACTCGAGACATGAGTTAAATGACGAAAAACAAGAAGCAATTTTTTAATTAGTGATATTTTCACTATAATTCAGAGTCACTGCCAAACGGAATGTTGGTCATAAGCTTTATGAGATATGGTTTGACAATGATTCCCAGAAATACCGAGACAAAATATCACCAATTGAATAAATGCGTTTTGTGTTTTTCATATTACTCATATCTTTAGTATGATGTCTTTGTTTATCGGAATATGTTTTACCTTATAATTTCTAACCAGAATTCATTCCTGCTCGAGAGTACGGTGTGAAAATAATTAATAATAATAATAATAATATAGTCTCAGATAGTCAGCCCGAATTAATGATCACTATCATATTACTTGACACTCTCTTGTTTTAATATACATAATATATTTTATATCGTAACTGAATATACTATTTATGTCCAGGGGCGTAACTCGGGTCTTGGGGATTTAAGCTTGCCCGACATAAAGGCGTGGCATTAAGTTTGCCAGACAAAAAATTTTGTCCAATAAAAGGCCCTGTGTGTTATAAGTAGCAAAATCACTCTTTTACGTAAGATTTCGTCGAAAATATCGTAAAAACAAAGTTTAAATTTGCGACAAATTCAATGCTCCTAAAAAACTTTCTTGCCAACAATACCGTTAGCATGAAATTTTCGAGGAGTAAACCCAAAAGCGCCCACGATTTACGCCCCAGTTCATATCATAATTTATATATATGAAAATAGAGACTTTGTCGTGGTGGTGAATGGTCCAAAATAATAATGTAATAGTTCTTAAAAGAACTGTTTAGAACCGACTTTCGGCCGACTACTCATCGGGTGTCGACGTCTGCCAAACGAGAACTTCGTAATCATGCGATATTTATAATGTTAGGGAAAAGTTAACGTCATCTTAATTTGATCTAAGAGAAGATGTTAACTTTTCTGAACATTACAAATATCGCATGATTTCGAAGTTCTCATATTTTGCCAACGTTGATACCTGATGAGTAGTCTGCAAAAATGCATCGTGTCTTTCAGCTTAAAAAACTGTTCTTTTACCATTGGTGGGTTAGTGTTCCCTTTCCATATATTATATTGTACTTAATATAATATATAGAGCAGGAACTATTATATTATACAATATGTAATAAATACTCAATGTTTTGAGTTCAGCATTCACGCGAAGTATCAAAACACGAAATCAGCCCAGGTGGTGATGGGACCACAAACAGAATTTTATCAACACCTAATAAGTACACGTCGCGACTTTAACCTCCAAAACTTTTCACCACAGACATTCCTTCATGAATCTTCCATGAAAGACAACAATCACAGTAGTTGGTGAAATCTAAATGAAAAACGAGTCGAGAGAATTAGCTAGAGTGTGAAAAAAAAACATTTACGTAGTTTTGAAAATTCCAATTTTCTGGTTCAACTTTATTAAAAGGCTGTAACATAAAAAAGGCGACGGCAAGGGGAATTTTATGTCGTTCATGTTACGCCCATGTATAGTCCTAAATATCTTGTGGGTGAATGCCTTTTGAGAGTGACAAAAACGTCTTCAGTCAAACGAAGACGACGACAGTGTTACATCTCTTTCGTAGCTTTAAAACAACGACATTGTCACGTGTGATTATCACAATCCTGCGTGCCTGCAAGGCTACCAGGATAAATTGACATTTATTTTCAAGCTATGGCATCATGGTGATCAACTGAACGGTTTTTCTTTCTGTGGCATAAAACGAAGGTCGTCATATACGTAGCCCGTTTAAACGATATAAGAAAGTAAAATGTACTTCTTGTTCGCTTTAGTTACAGCTACTTTTACTTTTATTTCATTAAAATCATTGCATTGCATTTGATGGATCAAAAGTTGGGTGCAGTATTGAAACGAACGTCACACAGACGGGCTTCCGTATTTCGCTTTCAACATCTGCGCAGTTGTCTTTACCAAATGTGACGAAGTTTCGGAAAAAACGCCGCAGACAATTGTCCGATTTAAAATTTCTTACACAAAGTCCATCATTTGCTCATGCAAAATCAACAACAATTTTCCTGCATAAGAGGCTATTAGCGCGTAAACAACCGTTTAGTTTTAATCTCTTTGTTGAAAGACGCTCCGATTCATTTCATTTTGCTTTCTTTCGAATCATCGTTGTTATCATCACATTCACAACTAGTGTTTTTCAACCATACACGTACATAAGAATAGAATTATCTCTAATGAACTATTTCTTTTTCTGCAATGATCTATTAATTTAACAGCATTAAAGCACGCCTTTTTAATTTATTAAAAGGGCCATGACTGATACTAGATTTAACCAGCAATCTAGGCTGTTATCAAGTTGACAAAGAAAGCGTGCGCTTTAAAGTACCAAAATTAATTGGTCTTCGTGTTGCTCAATAAGTTATGTTTAATAACAATAGAAAGCCTCACGATATAATTTTTAAATCAACAGTTAATCGTATTTCAGTTCTACCATTCAATGATTATCATTCAGGGATATAGAGGTGCACCTAAATGCATGACATCTGGTTCCTTACATGCGGGTGATGTAATGCAACACCCTTAAAACAGGTCAACCCGATTAATAAAAGAAAAAAATATTTTCCAAATTGCGGTGTGATAACAGCTTCGTAGGGTAGACTTGAGTCAATAGTAATTCGAAACTAATTTTAAAAAAAATTCCTCCGCGCATTGACCGTTCCTAATTTGTCTTATTCAGACTCGCGTAAACAATGGTACACTGGCAAGGTCGTCCGTCCAAGAGATAGAAATTGACCTGGTTACGAGCGACTTAAAGTTTTCACGCAACATTCTGTCGTGGTGAATTGAAATTGAAAAGTGACGAATTATAGATTACGCCAGATAAGATGTCATCAAACAGTATTCAGAAGATAACTGTGATTATTGCATTTCTTCTGCCGTTGTTGTCTACGGTAGGTACATGTTTATGTTCAACATACTCGCGCGACGGTGACTCGTTGCTGGCCAAGTGTCAGTGAGGGAAACCTATAGTTTATACATTCTTTTTAATACTTCCATATGAGCACGTCTTCATATGGATAAAAATAGTCTGCGACACAAACAGTCCCGACCTCCTTTTTCTATTTGCGGTGACTCCAAAGTGATTAAGTAAATTACTGAATGTCTAAAGTCGTGTTTTTAAGGGAAATTCCAAGAGAGGATGTTTTATTATGTTCGTTGTTTATATATGCAAACATTCGCTTGTGTCTATGTTGATCGAAATCGCCCACCTTAAATTAAACAAGCTTTTGATAGCAAGCATTCATTCCACATTTCTAAATTTTGAAAGTCATGAAGAAACGACGCTCACTTTTTCATCGCATTTTGTGTAATGAAAATCCTTTACTTATAACTGTATTTCCATGACCACGCGCAACAGAACTGACAACATGGACTGTTGAAGACTGGACAGGTTGTATTTCCGAATGAAAACTTTCTTTAAACTGCAATCAACGAATACTAATCCAGTCGTTGATCGAGAAAAACTTAAAATGCAAGGGACTATTAAATTTGGATGATAAGTAAAAGATCAAAATCACATTCCTGCCAGCTAAAACACCCAATGCGGCCTTCAGTCTACAGTAAGTCATAGTTTAAGTTTCAACCGGATACGCGCAAACTCCGGGAAAATATATAAACCCTTTCAAAGGAAGAGAGCAAAGAATATTTTGAAAATTTACTGAAACATTATATTTTGCGCCTACTCAGGGGCTACATGGACCTTTTCATCCTTGAAGTTGAACTCAACTGGGGCTTAGGATTTTTTTATTACAAGACAAATTTAATGAAAATATACAACGAAGAAACCTAAGGATAGTACAATGTGTTTCATTTGGCTTTTGGAATTTGTTCGGCAGCATATTAGGCTAAATAACCATATTTAGCCCACATGCCAGGGAGGTTTTTGCTTATTTATCGTGGAAGAATTATAAAACTTACTTTAGCAGACGAAGTTATTAAAGTATTAAAACCTAACTGAAACACGTTTATGATTTGAAACGATTATAATATTAAGGTTATTCCTTCTCGTGATGAATCGTTTGATACCGGAATACCAGTGGCGTGGTCAGCCTGTAGTTTGGCCAAGCTATGTAAATTTCCGATGATTATTTATTCTTCAGATATTCAGGGATAGATTTCCCATGGCATTGTAGGGGCATACTCTAGCTTGGATTAAATTTTGGTGGCTACTTGTTCCCGTAACATACCACACGTTTTCTTTCACATTCTAATACAACTGTAGCATAACGAGGAGTTTTGGAAATGTGCCCTATTAAACACCAATCACATTTGCTATAATGGTATTTTGTAATGGTAGGAATATTGGCACCCTTCCTACACCCTCTCTAGCCCAAGGCTAGGAGGGTGTGCGCCCTTTCCTAAAAGTCCATTCCAATAGAAATCTATTTTTACAGTCAGCGAACACCAAAATATTTCCATAATTGACGGGTTAGCAACGGCTTTTGGAAATACGCTGATTTAAATTGTCTTGTTATAAGTAAGTTTATGGCTAGCTGGGAGGCCCGTCTCATATGAACAAACAGGCCCTAAGTCCTGTTGATGTCACAGTAAAGTTTTTGCATACTTGATAAAGTTAAATATCTCTACAGACAAGTAAATTAAAATTATACTACTGAAGACGTCATCAACTCATTTTAAATGGTCTTTGCAATGAAATCATAAAACTGTGCGGTAAAATTTTGTTCAAAAGCACTTTAACAGTTTATGACCTAACTATACCTAACTATACGTGTATATACGTCATAGTTACATATTTTACGGAACACTGTCAACAAAACTATATTATTTCCTAAACCTAACTATGCCATGTGATATCACAGTAATGTTATTTGTGAAGCGAACACCTCTAGTAATAGTAAAGTAACTAGATTCTACTGAACGAGTTATCGAGTCATTTTAAATGGTCTTTGGTTTTTAAGCAATTTAACTGTTATGATAAACAAGTCCCAACTTTTTATTTATTTTTTTTCATCCAGGGAAAATCATATGATGTTCACAGAGGTTAGTAGTCAATTGACAATTCACGCAAAAAAAGTATGTTTAAAATAAGCGACTGTAAAGCATGGAATGTTTTAGATTTCACTTGCTGCGTATATACTCATGTGGCGAAGCCAGGCAATTTTTTTCACTCCTGCCATGCAAATATTTTTGTGTTTACTTAAGGACAAAATAATGTGTGGAGTTTATTTGTCCAAAAAAATGAATATTTTTGTTAGCAAATTTTGCAAAGCAGGAGTAGGAAGTCGGCCTGGCTTCGCGAAAGTTCATTGCAAATTCCTTTGTATCTTAAGGGAGGGATTTGCAAGACCCGCAAGGGTGAAAATATTACGTTGGTGAAATGCAAGGAATACATTGAGTGTGGAAAAGATGGACACCTTCATCCTGCACATTGCGAAGATGGAAAAATATTTGACGCAAATTTGAAAAAGTGTACCGAAGATACGGAACCGCCATGTCGAGGTTCGAGCATGCGCTTAAGTCTTGCTAAAGCTATATTTCGTATAATCTACACAAGGTGAATTTTACTCATGCAATTATTTTTACCTATGTTAAGATGACTATAAAGTGGTCTATCGCCGATGGAGTGTCCTTAATTACACGGATGAACATTTATTGCTGAATGGCAGCATCCCAAAAGCAAACACGACCGAATATAGGCTTATAAAAAATTTCGAGTCATTGCCAGAAAATCATAACAAATCTAAACAGTACATTATGTTGCAAACAAGTTTTCTGTCCGCTGCCAAAGGAAAGCACACATTCAGTACCACATGCACACAATCGTGCAAAATATGGATAAGGAAGAACTTGTGTGAACCAAGAGAGTTGATATTAGAGCAGAGCAATCACACGTATCAAGGGTGAGTTATCGTCGAATGAATAGACAATTTGAGAGTCCATGCTGTAGTTATGTGAGGGCGCTTGAATGAGAACAATTGTGCCACCAGAATTAACACGAAATACCAAAAGTAATTGATATGCCTAACAAACAATAACCAAGGGTAACGATTTCTAATATTGTTTAATTGTTTAAGTGGCTGCATCAGGAACAGGGAAACATCTTCTTTCGTTCGATTTGGAGACATTTGAAATATATTTGATAAGACGAAAATTTTATCTTCGTGGGTTTTGTAGCATTGAAGTAAGCGACTCCGCCCGGATGTGACGTAAAAGTAGATCATGCCGAATAAAGCTGTGACAGAAAATCTTAAAAGTTTAATATGTAAAACTGCGGTTTCTTTCTTTTACGTCACTTCCGGCGTGGAGTCACCTACTTTTTGCCCGAAAAGTTCATGGAGATAAAAATTACGAAAATCAAATATTGTAAATGTTCTTTAAATAGATTTAACTATTTAAAGATGCTCTTTCCCTGACCATAGTGTGAGTTCTAATAAGCAGCGCAGGACTATAAATTCCTCGAAATTGCCTAGCTACCAAAACACGAAAATTAAGAAAGAAGACAAACAAAATCTCAAAATTTCTTTTCAGGGAAAGGGTCACTTACAAAGTACAGAAAGGCTATAAATTGGAATTCAAAAAATTCTACTATCTTGACGTTGTTTTGACTGGCGGTCCAAAATATTCCAAATTTGAAATCAAAGTTAAGTGGAATAGTCGAGAGGGACCCAATCCGGGCAATGTTGTAGAAGACTTGATAAAACTTCCTCCAAATGATACCAAAGGTTTGGAGAATCATGAAAGAATTTTTACTCATATTACTTTACGCCCTAAAATTTAAGTGCAACGCTCGTGTCTATTTTATACATCAATGCGATGTGTAGCCTGATGTTAAAAACCTGTTGAGTATAAGCAGCTAAACGTGTTTTTTTGACTTGCTCATTTAGAAAAGTGTAAATTCAAATCGTCGACATCGATAACGCCGGGTTCTTCGCGACCAACCATAACTGTTGGTTCTTTGCGACCAACCACGACCTTGGGTTGGGTCTTCACTGGTACTTCCACAGTTATGAAAACCGTCTCTCTAAATACACAGCACAGTTTTACGAGAAGTCCAACCTCTAGTTCCGTAGTAACAATGTTTTCTGCAATCAAACCAACTTCAACTTTAACAACATATGCTACTCAGGTATCATACCATTCTTGTTGCGCTTTCCAAGAATGGTTGGAAATTTATCCGCATCCAAATTAGAGTAAAAACGAGACACGTAATAAATTGTTCCACGCCTCAGCTAGAGCAAATGGTAAAGTATTTGTGTACCACGTCCAAACTTAATTCCTATATAATCTTTTTAAAGGAGCTTTCAAAGCCAAGTCTGGGCAATCTTTCCAAACAAGTGGAAAAAATCGCAGAAAATTGGAAGAAAGGAACTCCGTTCTCGAATAATGATGGCCTTTCGCAACCAAAGAAAGTAGACCTTATAAGCAAAAAGATTGCAGAGAATTGGAATGAGAAAGGACAATCGTATGTGTTCTACAAAAATGATCTTGGTATGTCAATGGGACTTTCCTACGTAATTTATTTCCCAGGCTGAATCGAGGTTGCTGCAAACTATTAGAACATAGAATATTGTCCACTGCAAACGAAAAATACAAGTGCTTGACATAACTTCTAAGCGATATGTTCCCTGAACACGTCCAACATAAATACTACATATCATAGGCGTCAATCAAACATTGATATTTTTTGGGGGGGGAGGGACCATATTTACATATTCTCTCAAACCCGGCTCATTTCTTTTGAAAACAATGTCACTTTCAAAAGAAATAAGTCTTGCATAGCCGAATATATAAATAAGGTCCACCGCAATTGCTACCTAGTTATCCAATTTTGAACCGTTTTGCATCCGCGGTATCCAAGATAGCAATTAGCCCAGTTCTCCATTTTCCATACTTAAGTTACAAACGCTACTAACACGAGCGTACCTAACTGTAAATCGTCCATGGTCTTTATCTTTGCCACAGTCTCTACATGAATATCGTAACTGCGATTTTTTTTAGTAATGAAAATTAGCTACCCAGAAGAAAATTACACATTTCCACTGAAAGAAAACTTTCCCAACGTAACAAGCGACTTTGAAGAGGATCAAATATACATCCCAGCTCATGTTCTAGTCAACGAGACAGGAGGTGAATGCCAATCTAATATGATGATTAAGTTATGTCTGATTGCAGGCTATATACATAAGCGCGGGAAACAGAGATATTAACAAGGCATGAAGTGAGCTTCGAGGTGGGAAAAGTGAAGAGCGTATTTTTTGTATGTCTTTTGTGTAATAGATACTTGTAATAACAACGGGAGTATGGTGTTCTTGAACAATTCGGAACACTAACGTAGAACGAGTGCTTTCTTATCAGTGCCACAGTCGGGTGATAACTGGGACTTGATTGTGTCACAATTTTTTTTGTATCTCATAAGTTTTCACAATCGTTGATGATTTCATACTGGCTTTACAGAGTACGACCGCAAGATTTTCAGTGTTCTGTACCCGGATTCAAACGATAAAACACCGACCTTATTCAACGTTATCGAAACGTAAGTATAGTGAGGAAATGCTTCGTCTAAGTGCTGAGGTTTTGCTTGAAGTAGTACATTACATTTTTTGCTCAGTTTTGACTTTTATCTCGGTTATTCATTTTACATCAACCCCAATTTTACGTGCATTTTGGTTTTCGTTGAGTACGTAAAATTTTTGTAAGAATCAGTTGATGACATGCACCTTGTCAACTTCTCAGGGGAAAAGGAAAAAGAGGAGGATCTTTTCAACTGAACAGTCGCATTATTGCGAGTACGGCAGTGCCCGCAATCAGCGGCCTCAAAGACTATTACATCATCATACGTCTCAGGCACTTAAAGGTAAGACTAAGGAAATGCTAATACACTACTTGATTAACCCATCACCTGCTCAATTCCACGTGTACCTTGCAGACAAACGTCAGTTCAAACAACAAGCCGCTTTGCGCCTTCATCAAATGGAGAAATGAATCTGAGTAAGACTCCCAATCTTTAAATATTCTTATCCACGCCGTACAAAAAGGCGTACAATCAATAAACAATTCAGTCTTTTGACGAATTTTCTAACAAAATAACAAAGACGCTCTCCGATGAGAAACAATTGTCTCTTCCCTACTAAAGGGGAGAAATTAAGAAAGAAAATATGGAGTAAGCATAAGAAAATAACAAAAGGGCAGAAATTTTCTGAAATTTCTGTTTCCCATTTCTCTGAAAAGAATGAGTTTTTTCATAGACATTAAAGCGAGAGATTACGCTATATTGCGAAAAAAAGAACCATTTGAATTATTTACAGCAATTCTGACGGGGTGTGGTCAACAGAAGGATGTATTCGCGACGAGCCACTGTCGAATACAAATATCACCGTCTGTCGTTGCAACCATCTCACGCATTTTGGCGTTTTGATACAAGTTACAGACGAAGAGGTACTTTTAATTTGCTTACTCCACCGCACAAAATCCAAAAAAGAAAACAATACTAATTACCACAAGCCGAAATACCAAGCAAACAATAAAAAATATTGTGGAAGCAAGGTTTTGAAGCTTGTCTCCTTCGACACTTTTCTTCAACTCAACGACCACAAGCTTTCAGTCTTTTTTCGACACAACATCAACAAAACCTTAGATATATTCTTCACTCATGGATTGTTTCTTCGGTTCGTTATTTGTTTCGTGAATTGCACTTCTATCTGACGTCAAAAGGAAACAATTTCCAGGAAAACTATTCTCTGATGATAGTATTCATTTTGCTATATTTAGATTAGTCCAACGGACATTCGAGCACTAACGGCTATCACCTACGTGGGCAGTGCGCTATCCCTTATTGGTGTATTTTTCACGGTGCTGGCTATCACGTGTTTACCGTAAGTATTCGCACACACCAATCGTATGATATTTCGAAATTTCTCAACGAGATCCTCGGGTTGTCAAAACTATCGACATACGATCACTTCCAAAGAATACAAGTCTAAACTAGCTGGCTTTTGTTATTTTTAAGGCGATTACGTTTTCCAACTGGAAAATCTGTTGTCTTGTCCAACTTGTACAAATCAACACTAAGGAAATCAAGGTGTTGTATTCTCTTTATAGGGGTGCACGATCAGAAAGAAATTTCATTCACGTCAATTTGGCGATAGCAATTGCTTGTGTACAAATTGTCTTTCTTGCAGGAATCGAAGAAACGGAAAACGAGGTAATGGCAACTAATTTATCGGCGCATGTTGGTAAATTAGGTATATTTCACTTTCGGAAAAGAGTAATTCGTGAGTGTTTGTCTTCTAGGTTTTGTGCACTGTAGTCGCAGCGTTCCTACACTATTTCTTACTCGTTGCATTCTCGTGGATGTTAATCGAGGGAATCTTCTTGCATATTTTAATTGTCAAAGTATTCCACGACCATCTGCCCAGGAGGAGATATTACATGACGTTTTCCTGGGGTGAGAGACATTAGCTAGTTGAAAACAGCTTTACCTTTAATAGGAACCTTTCAGCGTAAAACTCGTAAGAATTTCAGTAAACACCATGAATAAACATTGCATTGGGCTAACTGAACATAAACACTCCTCGAAAAAATGGCATGTACACTGGATGATCCACAATAAATTTTTGAACTGTTTCTCTAGGTTTACCACTGGTTATCGTAGTTGCGTCGGTGATCGTATTCCGCGATGGATTTGGCACTGAAAGCGCGTACGTATACAAAAAAACATTCAACGCAAATAAACGCGAAAATTATAAAGTCAAAGCGTAACAGCATTCATTTTTAACTTAATAAATTTGCATTTTGTAGCTGCTGGTTGTCGACGGAAAAGTCGACGATTTGGACTTTTGCCGGTCCTGCTATTTTGGTGATGATCGTAAGTAGAAGTTGAAATGAACGATAAACTAGTTGGCATTTAAGATATATAAGTCCTGTGCCAAGAAAGTGACAACATCATGGAGTAAGATATTTAGCTACGACATTATTTTTCATTTCTGTCTGTCCTTCAGGTTAACATGGTGGTCCTTTGCAAAGTGATGAAAGAAATAAACTCTTTACGAGACAGTGATCAAAGAGATGCGAACGTTCGCTCGATCAGGTGAACTAGTCATTGAACTAGAATACATGGAGGCTGAAGGTTCTCCGTGGCAATCATTTGTGACTGAATGTTTGTTATTTTAGATATGGTGTTAGATCGACAATAATTCTTTTGCCACTTCTCGGACTGACCTGGGCATTTGGACTGATTGGTTTCAACCAAGACACAGTGGTATTCCAGTATCTTTTCACCGTCTTTAACTCGCTGCAGGTGAAAACGCGAACGCCTTTCATTGACTACCACTGAATCATATGAATGATGGATCTCGTCAGCTTTTAAGGCATATTACGCTGACATGCTTAAATTACTTACCCATTTTAGAAAACATTTACTCAAATCTTTCAACTCCACGTCCTTGAAAAGGTGACAAGTCTACATATAAGAAGAGACCAAGACCGTAAAAGTCCCAGGCTTGTGACCAGTATAGCCGTGTTATAACTGACGAAAGGACTTGTGAAATCTGGCTCTGTACTTTGTTTACACTTGTCACCTTTTCAAGAACGTCGAGTGAAAGGATTTGAGTAAATGTTTGTAAAATGTAAGAATAGGTCAACGTAATGTACTTTTCTGATCTTAGCTCTGACTATAGCAATTATATTATTGTCAGCGTTTTCAAACAAAATTTTCCCATGTCATGTAATTGTGATCACTAACTGTGCACGATTGTCATCTCACAATACCTAAACATCCTCCATTAAAAAACAATTTTATTTCTCTTTTAGGGACTGTTCATCTTCTTGTTTCACTGTGTGTTTAATTCAGAGGTACAACTTACTCCAATAAACATAATTGCCATTTCTGTCGTAGTACCAGACTTCTGAACTTCTGTATTTTCAAATTCGTTTTATTAAGTCTCATTCTAGCATCAAGTTCATCATCATATTCAAAGTTTCATATTTTTAACGCGACCAACCAACGAATTTTTTGGTATTTCCGTGACCTTTCAGGTTCGCAAAGCGTTTTGGCGAAAAGTCGACATCTGGTTCACCAACCATGGCAGTCAAATTGCGATCAATCAACAGTACGGAAGCAGCATCAAAAAAAGTCACGGCGACCACTCTCCCGTATCAACGGTTGGTAACACGTGACAGTAAAACGTCCAACCCTGTGCACGTTACCAGCTCAGGCTTATGATATCGTAGCATGTTTAACACGCAGTGGCCAATTACTAGTTCATAGTTCACGTTATTTGCGTTCCTGGGAAAACCCACTACTTCATGAGTTCTGAGCACTGTGCATTTAAGTGGAAGATAGTACGAAAGCCATTTTTCTTTAATACAAAAACTAAACACTAATTATGTCTTACTACCGAAAGCCTCTCGAAAGCCCGGGCCTGTAGGCTTAAGCTTACTTGGCCTACTGGATAATCTACTACAGACAAACGCCTTGTCTTTACGTCATTTCTAATACAATTTATTCAACCTGTGTTTTCTGTACGTCATTGTTAGCGGACAAAATCCTAACTGATGACTGACAAGTGGCGAAAGAAAGATCTTTTTCTGAGCATTCCGTTCTAGTGCACTCAGTTTACGAACAAAAATAGTGCAGTTCTGAGAAAGATTTTGGTCCTTCTAGACGACCAACATCTAAAACATGTGACGATACTTCCAGGTTCAAATCATTCACTTCAATAAATTGCTTATTGAAAGTTTACCACAGTAAATATCCGACGAACAAATACGATCAACCATTCACAAGACATCACTTTTTTATAGGGAGCAAACAGAATAGCAAGACCGAACAATGGAGTTTTGCATTATTCCTTCGACGTTATCACAGAACGTCGTAAACTGTCATCCATAACTGCGAGCACTTGTGTTGACAATTGGCCACACAAGTTCAGTCTCACTCCATCCATGGATGTATCATATCCACCTCGGCTGTCCCCACTCTCAGTTCGGATAACCTTCAGTACCTTTCCATCGATGTGCAAGAAAAGGATAGGAAAGAAAGTGCAGTTGCTAATACTGATGGCATTGATAACACCATGAAATACGACTCGGGTGATGACTACAGCTCTATGCAACAAAAAACTACACCACGGGAGAAAAATCTAGTCAAAATACTCGTACGTGAGAAAGATAATACTGATGAAGGGGATAGGTTAGACACGGAAAAAAAAGAACAATGCGCCTCAAAATATCCCCATAAAACCACAAACACCAACGAGGACACAAATACTCCTTCTCCTAAGAAAGAAAATTGCATTGAAAAACAGAAACGTGACTCGGTGGAGGGAGATGTGAGACACGAAAAGGGAACAGAAATAAACCGTGGCCTGCAAAACAATCCACACTCGAAGACGAAAACACAGTAGTCGGCATTGCAGGACAACTGGTGAAATCAAACCGACAAATAAAGTGCCAAAACAGATACATTGCTATAAATTGTAAGAGCTCAAGTAAAGCAACTAAATAGTATAAGAGAAAATGCCAATACACTTACGTTCCAAAATTATTACGCGCAGAAAGAAGTGTGGTGAAGTAACATAAAAAAATAAGTCACGTTCACAATATACATTAACGAAACGCAGGTGATGCAGAGATTATAGAGTACCACGTGACACAAGCCTTTAACGTACAATGTGAAGCATGGTAGCTACAACACGAAAATAAGTAATTTGCAGCCACAATACAGCGCAGCACGTAGACCGAAGCTTAACCAAAGCAATAAAAAAAAGAAAAGCGTTTAAGCAAGTGCTACCTGCTTAAATTAGCTTTTCAGTTTAGAACCTAAACAAATCAGAACGTACATACGCATGGCACGTAGTCTTGAGCTCATTAAGTTTAACCTTTTGGAAAGTAAAAATTAATAATTTCACTTAGTGATGTAAGTTTTTGAATAATTTATGTCAAATAGAGTTCAACAGTATCTAAAAGTCTTATCATATCTTTATATCTTTTTAACACTAAGCGCTATTTAAACACCGGAAATATAGCAACGGAATGGAAAATTTTCGAGCAAACGCATGCGTAGCATTAATTGTATATTCTGTTTAGAAAATTTTCCTGTCGGAAAAAAAGTTGAAATTAGTTGAACTTTTTTCCAGCAGAAAATGTTATTTGCAAAATAAACAAAATAGCGGCGTGCGAGAGGAGTGAGGAAGCTGGTATTTTCAATGAAAGTGTGAACTTTACTGAAAATGAAAGTGCTTTGCAATTTGCCTTCTCCGCAATAACATTGCCATGATAAGCGATGATTTCTTGTTTACTGTAGGCGCCATATTGATTGAGAAAAAGCAATTGAGTAAATGCATTTTGGGAAAAATCGCTTTAACAAACTTCCCGTGTGTGTTCGGTTCCTGGAAAATATTTCCGGTGTGTAAATGGCCTTAAATAATGCTTTCAACAGCGTAGTTGCCATGGTCAAAAAACAAAGTATTTCTAAAAAAACTGTTGCAAACCTAAAGAGAGCTATAAATTAACTGTCACGATATATTTCAGTCGGCAGAATTCTCACGACGTGCCACGTCTGCAGCTTCGTAGTATTTTAGTCTTTACTATAAATAGAAGTAGATTTTCGTTTTCATCGAAGAGAACGTGGCACCTGATGAAAAATCTATCGATATGCATCGCGTCAATTAATTTATAGCTATTTCATTTCTCAACAGTTTTTTACAACTATACTTAGTTGTCATTCAGCAACGCTTTTTAAAGCATTATTTCATTTTTTTGCCAAAACTAATTTCTACGACAAGTCAAGACAACGAATTGTTTTTGTCAAACTTTCTTGTGTTGGTGTAAGAAAAGGTGACTGCAGTCTGCGGTTCTTCCAATTTAGCTTTACCGAAAGGAACATCAATAACTAGTCTGATTGTGGGAACTTTTTTGCGATCGGTAAACACATTCCCCGTGTACAAATTATCACGTGATAAAGCGCTAAAATCAAACAACCTTCCCGACATAAATTGATTGAATGGAGAAGCGTCATGGCTTGACATTTCAGACGCACTTCCTCCGTGTGAAGCCATCCGCATTGCGCTTTGACGATGAGTCCGACGTTTATTACCGCGCATGTGTTTGGGTAAAAATTCGCCATTGTTATCTCCAGACATTTCTTTTACATTCTTTTTACATCCCTCTTTGTATGTCAGCAATTTGCTTTGGCGAACACTCGAATAACGTCTCTGAGGTTCTTTTCCGAGAAATGATAGTGGTGGTATCATAGATTTGGAACTAGAATTTCCACACTTTTTAAGAACAAATGTTTCGGTTTCTCTTGTCCAGTCCCGTAATTTTCCCAAATCCCAATATGGCGGATAAAGATTCAGCCTTGAAGGAGGAGGAGGGACTGGAACAATCATCCTCCTCCTATCTTTTGGCCTCAAAACAGCCGATCCCGATGCACGGGGAGGAGTGGTTCCGAGTTTTCGAAAGATCGACGCAGATTTTGACTGCGTTGTTGATAAATCACGAGGACGTCGACACGACATTCTCTCCAAGTCCGCGCTAACTTTTCGTTTATATGTTACAAAAGACATTCTTACGAATTACTCACATCCATCCATAACACATTAAGTCCAAACAGAGTAGCTCTGTTTTCCACAATTACATAACAAAATGATGCATTTTGCATCGTCAATACCAAATATTCTTCACAGCACAAAATCACAAAGAACTTGACTTTTCTCAAATATCCAATTGGAATGAGTGCCAGGTAATCACCGACTACTTTCAAGAACGAAATCAAAAACTCCTACAGCAATCTTTTCATCAATAAGAGGTGAAGTCTATGTTCTTCTTGCTTGATAATCTATAACATGACGCACATTCTTTGTTTCCACAAGGATTGGCCTGTCAGCTGGTAGAGAATCATAAACATACCCACGCAAGTAGTCTTAACTTTAATCCATAAGTCAATATAAGAAAAAATCGGATTTCTTTTGTGTTAATGGCTGTCTCAAGCTAATCCACATGCATTGTTTGTTAATGGTGCTTCGCAACAGTGTAATCATTCCTTCTTCGCCATGCTCACAGAGCAACATTGGATTAAAACCAGTCATTCGTGTGATACCAGAGTGAGCCTGCTAAATATGTAGCTGACTTTTCATTCGACAGTATTGAAGTAGCAACGGTACATCAACAATAAAGATAGGTTAATGAGTTAATTCATGGGAAGGAGGAGAGTTGCATCTTTCGAACGTGATTAAAGTGAAAATTCGAACACTTTATAAATGGCAGATTTCAAACTGTGGGAAAACGATCCTCGACTTCTTTCGTTCGTTGTTTCTTGAACAAGGATATATATTACATATCACACCACTGTAACTCGCACCTAATTTGTATATCTCTATCAACTTCATTATTTCTAAAAAACCTTTCTCCGTAATATGCTAACTCTTGTCCTTTTACGTTAACGGCTTCTAGGACTTTATTAAAACGATAAGCACACATTATAAACAACATCAATGAACATCTTGCACAAAATAAATTTATGCATTCTTGATGAAACTCACAGTTGGCAAAGGATTCTGGAAGAATTTCGGTTTTTTGGCCTTTTTTCCCAAAATTACGAAGTTCAAATATAGAGAAGTGCATTAGCATGCATAGTTATGTGCCTCCTAACTTCATAAAACCATATGTACAACCTCGTGTAGGTAACTTAGCCGAAAATACGGATCGTATTTCTACCATTGATTGTTTAAGCTACGTAGCCATTTTCTCCAACGATTTTCAAGGTTTCGAGAAAGAAGTGCATTTTTAAATATCCCGGCAAAATTCAATTTTTTTGCCGTTAATCTCTTGATTTTCTTGTTTTATTTGTTGAATTTAACTCATTCTAATTGTGCAGATTTGATGATGGTAGTTAAAGATAAATTTGATAATCTAAATACGTCGAGTTCCAAGTAAAAAATCAGTTTTCTAATGATACCAACCATGATTCTTGCGTGTCCGGTAAGAGTATTAATCGGTCAAAATGAAAAATTTATCAGACAATGACTGGTAGTGACCGACACACATATAGTTTGGCACTTTTCTCGCTAGATAACTCGATTTTGGCTCTTTGTTATCTTTGGCAGCAGAAATCGTTTGCTGTAACTTTTTTAAAACATCAGTCAAGAATAGTAAAACGATTATCACTAAATATGTGAATGAGTTTTTTATTAAAGGTAGGATGTGTTTTAATTTTTTTGCACCTGCGTTGATCTTTGGCCTTTAGTAAGAATTTGGCTAACGGCTTCATAAAGTCGAATCGATTCTCCCGTTTATTCCCCTCGTAGGCGGTTCTCCCCTGACACGTGTATGTTCAAATCAACAATAATTTCCACATAAAAGTACATTAAATAATATCTTTGTGTTCGCTTTTAACACTAAAGTGATATAAATCATATAAAATCCTCTTACTGTAAAACATCTCGTTTACATGGGTCAATGAAGAAGGCTATTAAGGTATTCGTTGAAAAATGATGAATGTTTACATTGCTGACGATAAAAACAAAAATTCTGGCTAAGATTTCAAAAAAATAATAAGTCATATTGCTGCTAGAAAGCACTGCACTGGTCTTAACTAAAGATATATACAGTGACATGAGATTGCAATTCGAAGTACGTATCTGAGTAAAAGTACATCTACATAATGAGATTTGAAAGACGAAAAATTATGTCTCAAATAATAGTAAACAGAATCCTGCTGAAAGTTTTCTGAACAGGGCAAGAGAGCTGTCACAAAATGGATGGAAGACTTGAGGGTGCAACACCCCAAAAACACAATTCTTTTGCATGTTTCTAATGGTCAAAATACACGACAATGGTGAAACAAACGACGACAGAACTGGTGCTTAAAACAGCTCATTTGATTGGTATTTTTGGAAAACTATATTTCCACAACCAGCATTTGCTGACTCCTTTGGTATAGCCCTGGAAAAATAATATCCTATAGCCGTGTACCTTTAAATTGCTTCCAATTTTCAATCATTAAATGTGTCCATATTTGTGTCAGGCAATAGTGGCCTCGTTGATGTTATGACGTAAGATCCTTTACCGCCAGCCGCTTCGGCTTCTTCATGATCATACGGTTTCTCCATCAGTTCTTTCAATCTGAAATCATCATGTAAATTTAAGCATATAGAATGCATACAGTTACTATGAGGTCAGTGGTTGGAATCTGATGAAGGAAAGAAACAGTTTACTAGCTTTGCCTCCAACCAACAAATTACCCAGCCCCTTCAACACAGTTCCTGTGCCATAACCCCACTGCCACAGTTAGACAATACAGTCGCTATCTTGCATGTGTAAATGCACATGTTTATGTGTATCTTCTACAGTGTGTCTAAAATAACTGAAGACACAGATTTATGCAAAATATCTAACTAAATTGCTGCATAAGTTAGACGCAGTGTTTAGATGAAATGCAAATTATTTTCATTGAAAAAAAGGAACAAGACTTGCCAATGCATTAAACTTATTCTAAGTTCATCAAAATACTGTTCTTTCACACAGCAAACTAATTCAATACGCTTGTATAAATCTGTATGTTTTATTTTTGAGACACACTGTACATCCTGCATAAGAAACAATACATTTCAAAGGTATTTGATCAGACAAATTATGCATATGAAAGTTTTCCTGTCAATTGTGCGACATTCACCCTGTTATTCATGGTTTCAAACATAAACAATAAAGTACGTATATGATATTCATTGTTCCTCAAGTAACTTCATCCAAACATAAACAATAAAGTACATAAATGATATTCATTGTTCCTTAAGTAACTTCATCCAAATGTAAACAATAAAGTACATATATGATATTCATTGTTCCTTAAGTAACTTCATCCAAACGTAAACAATAAAGTACATATATGATATTCATTGTTCCTTAAGTAACTTCATCCAAACGTAAACAATAAAGTACATATATGATATTCATTGTTCCTTAAGTAACTTCATCTCAAAACATATGCTTTAGTTTATAAATACATTTCACAAGCAAACAGTTTATTACTACCTTTCTTCAGAGATACCGTACGAACACACAGTAAAACTGAATACATTAAATACATGAAATAGCACATCCAAAAAATCCTAATTTTAACCATGTACAAAAACACAGTAAATTCATGAAATAGCACACCCAAAAATCCTAATTTTAACCATGTACAAAAACACAGTAAAACTTAATTCAGTAAATACATGCTAAATCCCAAAATACAGTAAATTCATGAAATAGCATATCCAAAATCCTAATTTTAACCATGTACAAAAACACAGTAAAACTTAATTCAGTAAATACATGCTAAATCCCAAAATACAGTAAATTCATGAAATAGCATATCCAAAATCCTAATTTTAACAAGGGTAATTTTACACATAGAATGCTTGATTTCACGATGGTAAAATATGAATGCTATTGTGAAGGATTCATTTTAGATGGTAGAAGTTACAACATATCAGTTTAGGAATTGGTTCCATAATTATAGCCAGCTGTATATCAAGGTAACCACACTACTTAAAATTACTCCCACTAGTCAAAATGTGTTTATTTAAACTGAAATAGACATGCATACAAGTAGTTTTGCCAATGGTTTCAAAAAGAGGCTATATTTCTGAGATTTGCCCATACATATGAATACTACAACAACTAATTTAATTAATCATTCATCAAGAAATCAATAATCATATATGCTAATTGATAATTATAAAACTACCTTTTCTTGTGATTTTTTGACTTCATGTGTTTACTTAACGAATCATTGTTCACAAAAGTACGTCTGAAAAAAAAACATAATGTAAAATAATAATGACAAATTAAAAGAAACCATAAATCCGGTCAAATTAAACTATGAGATTGATCCAATGCAAGCAAGTGTTAAGATAATTTTAAAAATTGGTGGTGCAATGAGCTTGATAAATTTGGAATGGGGCATACTTATACATGGCCATGTTTTGTTGCAAATACTTGGGGAGCCATGGGTGTGGGGAGAAACACAAATTGGATTTTTGCTTGATATATTGAATGTCAGCTTTGGGTGAATAAGTTTTTAAATTATTAATGAACAGGATGTTTACTTCTGCATGGTGAAGTCAAAGAAAACCTGAATGAAAGAAAGCGAGCAGTTTTATAACTTGTTCAACTTTCATGAGCAATAACATGGTGAGCATGAATTTCAAAGAGCCTGTTTATTTTTATAGTACGAAGTTTCTTTGAAGTTAATTGTTTTTCAAAGATTACAAGTTTCACAACATGCATTTTATGAATATTCCCCCTAATTCTCCGGCTGGCTATGCCCCTACTTGAGAAGCTTTGGGAGATGCATATGGGATTGTGAACAAATTCAAATGTTGTTCTGAAGGACATGTCAAAATTACATCCACAAACAGAAAGGTCAAGAGTTTGTAAATCTATTTTTGGCATTTCCGTATCATATACAGAAGATGAAACAAAAGAACACTAAAATAGTCAACAAAAGACAACAAAAGAATATCAATTCTTCATACTCACGCGCACTGAAGGCAATAATGCTGTCCTGAACCAGGCAATTCTGGGTCAAAACGAGACAAGAGTTTCGCCGAATTTTCGGGTTCTAAATCACTACCGTGAAATTGGCACCACATTGGGCACCACATTCAACACAACATTCATCACAACATTCATCACCACATTCAACTAAAATTTATCATTCAAAATGATAAATCAAAAAATCGTCTTTAAAACACGTTTTCCATCAAATACAACAGTAAAAAATAATTCTTAACTGTTTATTACTATTTTACAGTCCTTAAACATCACAAAAAATGTATAAAAGTCAAGAAATTGAAGAAAACACTAAGATTTATATTACAGTGTACTTTCCATTTCTCTTAAATAGCCTATAATTTAAAAACTACACGGTAGAATTTTTTTAAACTTGGCCAGAATATAGATAATTATATTGTCTAAAATATATCCAAAATCTGGAGGTGGCACAAAAAAATAAATGATAGAAAATCATCGACAAAGTCGGATGACACGAATGCGCGTAATATAATCTTATATATTTAAGTTAAGAATTCCGGTTCTTTAACAAACAAAGCCTTATAAATAGAAAACTACACGGTAGAAATTTTTTAAACTTGGCCATATTGTAGATATTCTTATTGTCTATGACATATCCAAAATCTGGAGGTGGCACAAAAAAATAAATGATAGAAAATCATCGACAAAGTCGGATGACACGAATGCATGTAATATGATCTTATATAATTACGTTTAGAATTCCGGTTCTAAAACAAACAAAGCCTTATAAATAAAAAACTACACGGTAGAATTTTTTTAAACTTGGCCAGAATATAGATAATTATATTGTCTAAAGTATATCCAAAATCTGGAGGTGGCACAAAAAAATAAATGATAGAAAATCATCGACAAAGTCGGATGACACGAATGCGCGTAATATAATCTTATATAATTAACTTCCTATATCCATGTAATTTTTCAAACAAAGGCCTATAAATAAAAACTACACGGTAGAAATTTTTAAACTTGGCCAGAATATAGATAATTATATTATCTAAAATATATCAAAAATCTGGAGGTGGCACAAAAATAAGTTGTAGAAAATCATCGACAAAGTCGGATGACACGAATGCGCGTAATATAATCTTATATAATTAACTTCCTATATCCATGTAATTTTTCAAACAAAGGCCTATAAATAAAAACTACACGGTAGAATTTTTTAAACTTGGCCAGAATATAGATAATTATATTGTCTAAAATATATCCAAAATCTGGAGGTGGCACAAAAATAAATGATAGAAAATCATCGACAAAGTCGGATGACACGAATGCGCGTAATATAATCTTATATATTTAAGTTAAGAATTCCGGTTCTTTAACAAACAAAGCCTTATAAATAAAAACTACACGGTAGAAATTTTTAAACTTGGCCATATTGTAGATATTCTATTGTCTAAAATATATCCAAAATCTGGAGGTGGCACAAAAAATAAAAAATAATATTCCTTGAGAATGTACTCTGGTATAAACCGTGAAGTTGGCACCACATTCGACAAACAGCTCTATAGCTAAAAAACTACACGGTAGAATTTTTTTAAACTTGGCCAGAATATAGATAATTATATTGTCTAAAGTATATCCAAAATCTGGAGGTGGCACAAAAAAATAAATGATAGAAAATCATCGACAAAGTCGGATGACACGAATGCGCGTAATATAATCTTATATAATTAACTTCCTATATCCATGTAATTTTTCAAACAAAGGCCTATAAATGAAAAACCACACGGTAGAAATTTTTTAAACTTGGCCAGAATATAGATAATTATATTATCTAAAATATATCCAAAATCTGGAGGTGGCACAAAAAAATAAGTTGTAGAAAATCATCGACAAAGTCGGATGACACGAATGCGCGTAATATAATCTTATATATTTAACTTCCTATCCATGTAATTTTCAAACAAAGGCCTATAAATAAAAACTACACGGTAGAATTTTTTAAACTTGGCCAGAATATAGATAATTATATTGTCTAAAATATATCCAAAATCTGGAGGTGGCACAAAAATAAATGATAGAAAATCATCGACAAAGTCGGATGACACGAATGCGCGTAATATAATCTTATATATTTAAGTTAAGAATTCCGTTCTTTAACAAACAAAGCCTTATAAATAAAAACTACACGGTAGAAATTTTTAAACTTGGCCATATTGTAGATATTCTCATTGTCTAAAATATATCCAAAATCTGGAGGTGGCACAAAAAAAAAAAGAAATAATATTCCTTGAGAATGTACTCTGGTATAAACCGTGAAGTTGGCACCACATTCGACAAACAGCTCTATAGCTAAAAACTACGGTAGAATTTTTTAAACTTGGCCAGAATATAGATAATTATATTGTCTAAAATATATCCAAAATCTGGAGGTGGCACAAAAAAATAAATGATAGAAAATCATCGACAAAGTCGGATGACACGAATACGCGTAATATAATATTTAATAATTAACTTCCTATGTCCAGGTAACTTTGCAAACAAAGGCCTATAAATAAAAAACTACACGGTAGAATTTTTTTAAACTTGGCCATATTGTAGATATTTTTATTGTCTATAACATATCCAAAATCTGGAGGTGGCACAAAAAAATAAATGATAGAAAATCATCGACAAAGTCGGATGACACGAATGCATGTAATATGATCTTATATAATTACGTTTAGAATTCCGGTTCTAAAACAAACAAAGCCTTATAAATAAAAAACTACACGGTAGAATTTTTTAAACTTGGCCAGAATATAGATAATTATATTGTCTAAAATATATCAAAATCTGGAGGTGGCACAAAAAATAAATGATAGAAAATCATCGATAAAGTCGGATGACACGAATGCGTAATATAATCTTATATATTTAAGTTAAGAATTCCGGTTCTTTAACAAACAAAGCCTTATAAATAAAAACTACACGGTAGAAATTTTTAAACTTGGCCATATTGTAGATATTTATTGTCTATAACATATCCAAAATCTGGAGGTGCACAAAATATAAAAGGAATAGTATTCCTTGAGAATAAACCGTGAAGTTGGCACACATTCGACAAACAGCTCTATAGCTAAAAACTACACGGTAGAATTTTTTAAACTCAAGTATATTATAGAATTTTATATTGTCTAAAATATCCAAAATTTGGAAAGTGCACAAAAATATAATGATAGAAAACATCGACAAAGTTGGATGACTCAAATGCGCGTAATATAATATTGCATAAATAAGTTAAAATTCCGGTTCTTTAACAAACAAAGACCTATAAATAAAAACTACACGGTAGAATTTTTTTAAACTTGGCCATATTGTAGATATTCTTATTGTCTATGACATATCCAAAATCTGGAGGTGGCACAAAAAAATAAATGATAGAAAATCATCGACAAAGTCGGATGACACGAATACGTAATATAATATTTAATAATTAACTTCCTATGTCCAGGTAACTTTGCAAACAAAGGCCTATAAATAAAAACTACACGGTAGAATTTTTTAAACTTGGCCATATTGTAGATATTTTTATTGTCTATAACATATCCAAAATCTGGAGGTGGCACAAAAAAATAAATGATAGAAAATCATCGACAAAGTCGGATGACACGAATGCATGTAATAATCTTATATAATTAAGTGGTTCTAAAACAAACAAAGCCTTATAAATAAAAACTACACGGTAGAATTTTTTAAACTTGGCCAGAATATAGATAATTATATTGTCTAAAATATATCAAAAATCTGGAGGTGGCACAAAAATAAATGATAGAAAATCATCGACAAAGTCGGATGACACGAATGCGCGTAATATAATCTTATATATTTAAGTTAAGAATTCCGGTTCTTTAACAAACAAAGCCTTATAAATAAAAAACTACAAGGTAGAAATTTTTTAAACTTGGCCATATTGTAGATATTCTCATTGTCTAAAACATATCCAAAATCTGGAGGTGGCACAAAAAAAGAAATGATAGAAAATCATCGATAAAGTCGGATGACACGAATGCGCGTAATATAATCTTATATATTTAAGTTAAGAATTCCGGTTCTTTAACAAACAAAGCCTTATAAATAAAAAACTACACGGTAGAAATTTTGGCCATATTGTAGATATTCTTATTGTCTATAATATATCCAAAATCTGGAGGTGGCACAAGAAAATAAAAGAAATAATATTCCTTGAGAATGTACTCTGGTATAAACCGTGAAGTTGGCACCACATTCGACAAACAGCTCTATAGCTAAAAAACTACACGGTAGAATTTTTTTAAACTTGGCCAGAATATAGATAATTATATTGTCTAAAATATATCCAAAATCTGGAGGTGGCACAAAAAAATAAATGATAGAAAATCATCGATAAAGTCGGATGACACGAATGCGCGTAATATAATCTTATATATTTAAGTTAAAATTCGGTTCTTTAACAAACAAAGCCTTATAAATAAAACTACACGGTAGAAATTTTTTAAACTTGGCCATATTGTAGATATTCTCATTGTCTAAAATATATCCAAAATCTGGAGGTGGCACAAAAAAATAAATGATAGAAAATCATCGATAAAGTCGGATGACACAGTCGTAATTACGACAAAGTCGTAATTATATAAGATCATATTACATGCATTCGTGTCATCCGACTTTGTCGATGATTTTCTACAACTGTGCATCTTTGATATATGATAATATCTATATTCTGGCCAAGTTTAAAATTTCTACAATTTTGATTATAAACCTTTCTTTGAAAATTGCATGGATATGGGAAGTTAATTGTAAGATCATATTACATGCATTCGTGTCATCCGACATCGATGATTTTCTATCATTATTGCCACTAATTTGAATATGTATAGAACAATAAGAATATCTACAATGGCAAGTTTAAAATTCTACCGTCTATAGAGCTGTATGGTCAGAGTACATTCTCGGAAATCCTTTTATTTTTAGCCACCTCAGATTTTGGATATGTCATGAACAATAAGAATATCTACAATATGGCCAAGTTTAAAAACTACCGTGTATTTATTTAGGCTTTTGTTGAAAGAATTCTTAACTTAAATATATAGATATACGCGCATTCATCATCCGACTTTGTCGATGATTTTCTATCATTTATTTTTGTGCCACCTCCAGATTTTGGATATATTTTAGACAATATAATTATCTATGTGGCCAAGTTTAAAAATTCTACCGTGTATTTTTTATTTACGAATTGTTTGAAAATTACATGGATATAGGAAGTTGGTTATATAAGATTATATTACGCGTCATGTCATCGACTTTGTCGATTTTCTATCATTTGTGCCACCTGATATATTTTAGACAATATATATCTGGCCAGTTTAAAAAATTCTACCGTGTAGTTTTTATTTATAGGCTTTGTTTGTTTTAGAACCGGAATTCTAAACGTAATTATATAAGATCCATGCATTCGTGTCATCCGACTTTGTCGATGATTTTCCACCTCAGATTTTGGATATGTTATAGACAATAAAAATATCTACAATATGGAAGTTTAAAAAATTCTACCGTGTAGTTTTTATTTATAGGCCTTGTTGCAAAGTTACCTGGACATAAGTTAATTATTAAATATTATATTACGCGTATTCGTGTCATCCGACTTTGTCGATGATTTTCTATCATTTATTTTGTGCCACCAGATTTTGGATATCTGTGACAATAAGAATATCTACAATATGGCCAAGTTTAAAAAATTCTACCGTGTAGTTTTTATTTATAGGTCTTTGTTTGTTAAAGAACCGGAATTCTTAACTTATTTATGCATTATTGCGCGCATTTGAGTCATGTTTGATGATTTTCATCATTTATATTTTTGTGCACTTTCCATTTTGGATATATTTTAGACAATATAAAATTCTTGGTTTAAAAATTCTACCGTGTAGTTTTAGCTATAGGCTTTGTTTGTCGAATGTGGTGCCAACTTCACGGTTTATTCTATTATTCCATTTATATTTTGTTGCACTCTTGGATATTTATAGACAAAAAAATCTTACAATATGGCCAAGTTTCTACCGTGTGTTTTTATTTATAAGGCTTTGTTTGTTAAAGAACCGGAATTTTAACTTAAATATATATTATATTACGCGCATTCGTGTCATCCGACTTTGTCGATGATTTTCTATCATTTATTTTTTGTGCCACCTCAGATTTTGGATATATTTTAGACAATATAATTATCTATATTCTGGCCAAGTTTAAAAATTCTACCGTGTAGTTTTTATTTATACTTTGTTTGTTTTAGAACCGGAATTCTAAACGTAATTATATAAGATCATATTACATGCATTCGTGTCATCCGACTTTGTCGATGATTTTCTATCATTTATTTTTGTGCCACCTCCAGATTTTGGATATGTTATAGACAATAAAAATATCTACAATATGGCCAAGTTTGTAGTTTTTATTTATAGGCCTTTGTTTGCAAAGTTACCTGGATTTAGGAAGTTAATTATTAAATATTTTATTACGCGTATTCGTGTCATCCGACTTTGTCGATGATTTTTATCATTTATTTTTTGTGCCACCTCCAGATTTTGGATATGTCATAGACAATAAGAATATCTACAATATGGCCAAGTTTAAAAATTCTACCGTGTAGTTTTATTTATAGGTCTTTGTTTGTTAAAGAACCGGAATTCTTAACTTATTTATGCAATATTATATTACGCGCATTTGAGTCATCCAACTTTGCCGATGTTTTCTATCATTTATATTTTGTGCACTTTCCAAATTTTGGATATATTTTAGACAATATAAAATTCTATAATATACTTGAGTTTAAAAATTCTACCGTGTAGTTTTTAGCTATAGAGCTGTTTGTCGAATGTGGTGCCAACTTCACGGTTTATTCTCAAGAATACTATTCCTTTTATATTTTTGTGCACTCTCCAGATTTTGGATATGTTATAGACAATAAAATATCTACAATATGGCCAAGTTTAAAAATTCTACCGTGTAGTTTTTATTTATAGGCCTTTGTTTGAAAATTACATGGATATAGGAAGTTATATAATATTATATTACGCGTATTCGTGTCATCCGACTTTGTCGATGATTTTCTATCATTTATTTTTTTGTGCCACCTCCAGATTTTGGATATATTTTAGACAATATAATTATCTATATTCTGGCCAAGTTTAAAAAATTCTACCGTGTAGTTTTTAGCTATAGAGCTGTTTGTCGAATGTGGTGCCAACTTCACGGTTTATACCAGAGTACATTCTCAAGGAATATTATTTCTTTTATTTTTTGTGCCACCTCCAGATTTTGGATATATTATAGACAATAAGAATATCTACAATATGGCCAAGTTTAAAAATTTCTACCGTGTAGTTTTTATTTATAAGGCTTTGTTTGTTAAAGAACCGGAATTCTTAAATTAAATATATAAGATTATATTACGCGCATTCGTGTCATCCGACTTTATCGATGATTTTCTATCATTTATTTTTTTGTGCCACCTCCAGATTTTGGATATATTTTAGACAATGAATATCTACAATATGGCCAAGTTTAAAAATTTCTACCGTGTAGTTTTTATTTATAAGGCTTTGTTTGTTAAAGAACCGGAATTCTTAACTTAAATATATAAGATTATATTACGCGCATTCGTGTCATCCGACTTTGTCGATGATTTTCTATCATTTATTTTTGTGCCACCTCCAGATTTTGGATATATTTTAGACAATATAATTATCTATATTCTGGCCAAGTTTAAAAATTCTACCGTGTAGTTTTTATTTATAGGCCTTTGTTTGAAAAATTACATGGATATAGGAAGTTAATTATATAAGATTATATTACGCGCATTCGTGTCATCCGACTTTGTCGATGATTTTCTACAACTTATTTTTTTGTGCCACCTCCAGATTTTGGATATATTTTAGATAATATAATTATCTATATTCTGGCCAAGTTTAAAAAATTTCTACCGTGTAGTTTTTATTTATAGGCCTTTCTTTGAAAAATTACATGGATATAGGAAGTTAATTATATAAGATTATATTACGCGCATTCGTGTCATCCGACTTTGTCGATGATTTTCTATCATTTATTTTTTTGTGCCACCTCCAGATTTTGGATATATTTTAGACAATATAATTATCTATATTCTGGCCAAGTTTAAAAAAATTCTACCGTGTAGTTTTTTATTTATAAGGCTTTGTTTGTTTTAGAACCGGAATTCTAAACGTAATTATATAAGATCATATTACATGCATTCGTGTCATCCGACTTTGTCGATGATTTTCTATCATTTATTTTTGTGCCACCTCCAGATTTTGGATATGTCATAGACAATAAGAATATCTACAATATGGCCAAGTTTAAAAATTCTACCGTGTAGTTTTTAGCTATAGAGCTGTTTGTCGAATGTGGTGCCAACTTCACGGTTAATACCAGAGTACATTCTCAAGGAATATTATTCCTTTTATTTTTGTGCCACCTCCAGATTTTGGATATGTCATAGACAATAAGAATATCTACAATATGGCCAAGTTTAAAAATTTCTACCGTGTAGTTTTCTATTTATAAGGCTTTGTTTGTTAAAGAACCGGAATTCTTAAATATATAAGATTATATTACGCGCATTCGTGTCATCCGACTTTGTCGATGATTTTCTATCATTTATTTTTGTGCCACCTCCAGATTTTGGATATATTTTAGACAATATAATTATCTATATTCTGGCCAAGTTTAAAAAATTCTACCGTGTAGTTTTAAATTATAGGCTATTTAAGAGAAATGGAAAGTACACTGTAATATAAATCTTAGTGTTTTCTTCAATTTCTTGACTTTTATACATTTTTGTGATGTTTAAGGACTGTAAAATAGTAATAAACAGTTAAGAATTATTTTTTACTGTTGTATTTGATGGAAAACGTGTTTTAAAGACGATTTTTTGATTTATCATTTTGAATGATAAATTTTAGTTGAATGTGGTGATGAATGTTGTGATGAATGTTGTGTTGAATGTGGTGCCCAATGTGGTGCCAATTTCACGGTAGTTTCTAAATCCCTATGAATCTCATCGATGTCTTTGGTCCTTCGTTTCGTTCTGTATTTCTTCTTTTGATCTTTTATATTCTTGTGCATTCGCTTACGACGAAGTCGCCCCATTGCTTCGAAATGAAAGTATTTTTTTAAACAATTTCTTCAGTGCGAAGTAAAAGTTTGAGTAGAAACTAGAAAGTAGAAAACAACCATGTGCAGGTTGACCAGTGAGGTTGACGGGTGACGTAGCTTGCATTGGCAGCTTGCACGTAAATTTCAAACAGGTTGCAACGGGGAATGGGTACTAGACTTTTGCGAGAAAATAACCAGGTATCTTTTTAATTCTCTATTAACTTAGGGGGTGTTTACATGAATCCGGAATGAGTTTCGATCCGGAATGAACTCATTCCACTTTAAAAGAAATCCTATTGCATGTTTACATGAATCCGGAATGAGTCACAACTCGATCCGGATCGAGTTCATTCCTAGTTTCATTCCGGATCGAAATTTACTTGTTATCTCATGTAAACGCGAATTGAGTTTCATTCTGGAATGATATTGTGATTAATGACGAAGCACGCATGTGGCATGGGTATTGTCTTCCGGCAAATTGAAGCTCGTAAGCAAATAAAGAGGCTAAATGGGTTAAAATGAGTGCGAAGAAAAACAACAATTAGTTTCACATAAACACGGATTGACCTCACGTTTCGATCGGGATTGAAAGTCATTTCGGATTCATGTAAACACCCCCTTACCTTACCGATAGAGCTAGTTTAAAAAATTTCACTAACACATTCTCCCATCAAATTCTGAAACACTTGAACGGAAAAACTAGGTTTTGATTTGTGGAAAGAAACTGAAGGATTGACAGCATGCACTGGCTACATGATGGTCCATGTTTATAGCCTGCTAATAGGAAGATATCAATTATTTGGCAACTATTGAAGAAATGATGAAGTTTTGCAATTATAACAATATATAAATGTATATAATAGTACAGAATCTCTATTGCAGTTTATCGTATAAAAATGGCTATAAAAGAAATTGTTTTTCAAAGGAGAAGTGTTTTCGTAACATTTCATTGAAAAGTTCTAATTGCAAAAAAAGCACATATTCCGCGCTTTCTAACCTTGATAATAAAATGGAAACAAATAGCAATACGAACAAAATTAAATTAAGACAAAGCTGTTCATCATGCTACAAATAAACGTAACTAAGCACAAACGTATGCATGTGAGAGTTTATATAAATTGCCAAAAACAAAATTTAGCCAAAAAAATAGACTACTGATAAACCTCAATCAATCTTGCCTACTAAGACAACTTAAGTTCATATTCACATACGTACAAATATATACAAGACTTTAAATTAGTCAAAAATACTGGATACATTATCAATAATCATCTTTGTTATTGAGTTGATCGTTTCCACGCTACTTTCGGACTCCGATTCACTCCAAATCAAGTTCGGTCCGATAACGATGGCCAGATTTTTAGAGTCCATCTTGTTTTTGTCCGAGTTGCTCACTACCTAAGGTGAAGTTGGAAAATACGTAAAGAACAAAATTACAACTATAATATTAGACGATAAATCTTATCTGACATTGCAAAATAATATAATGTTCGCTCATTCGTTATTACAATGCCTAACTATTTAAATCTAAGATGCCAACCAATTGTCTGTTCTGCTATGTTGATCTTCAATCGATTTTCTTAATCTTTATGCGAGGTAAATGCTTTTAAAAAAAATTAAGCTTCTCCAATGATATGTACGTTCATACATACCTCTGATAAGAAAACCATGATATACTTGAGGACGACAAAATTTTGAGAAGGGAGAGAATTTCTCAAAACTTTCTTTATCTCTTCCAACCTATCTTCTTCTTGCAAGCCTATAGGGAGCAGACACAATAGGAAAAACAGTTAGAAATCAGCATCATCTCATCTAAATCATAACTCCTGTTTGCTAAAGCAAGTATAGGGCGATAAACTGACCCTGAAAACGAATCATATCGCCATATAGTCGATACGGGAGCAAAGGTTCGGCAAGTTCTCGTAAAAATTTCTTCAGTAAATCAGCAGCCACATAAATCTCCGTTTCTTTGGAAAATTCCACCACTTGCCCTAAAATAAACAATAAATTCTACGCATACATGAGCCCGCAAATAAATGACCCATTTTTACTGTCTATCTCAAACACGAAGCCAAGCATAATACATGTTTATGGTACCTTTGTTAAAATTCTCAGCATAACTCTTAATACGCGCGGCATAACCAGACCGTCGAAAGAGACCGTCAACTGTGAGCCCTGAAAAAATTGCAAATTTTGTCATTCAACGTATACATATCGAATACAACTTCAAAGGTATATTTCTCGGATGGATTTGAAAAAAGTGGGAGAAAGTGGCCTAAGAACCAGTGACGTACCAGAATCGTTAATGGGGGGAGGGGGCACAAATTCATACACAATTAATCTGTTGAAAACAATGCATTTCAAAGGAACTTAATGCGGTGCAACATGAATATGTGAATAAGTGCCCCCAATGAACGAGTCTGCTACACCACTGGTGAGAACCACTTTCGTTGATCCATCTGAAACTGTTCTTGTCTCTTGTCGATGCTTCATTGTACAAGAGGATTGCACTTAATCGATGCAAACATATCAAAAGCATTGATACCGTAAGTCCTCAGGAAGTCAATAGTAGTTTCAACGACGGGAGGGATATCTTTTCCTGTGTTTATTATGATACTGCAAAAAAAGTTCCAGAAAAAAAACCACGATAGCAAACAGATTACATTTTAAACAAAAACGGAACAACACCCCCAACGCCTAAGCATAAGCTTTATCTTTTTTACATAGAAGAGAAATTACAGTTGTCGAAATTACACTTCTAGCGAAATTCAAAAATTTTCATATTCTTCGTTGGTTTGCATATTTATTGCCATGAAAACTGCTGCTGATGATTGTTATTCTAGTTTCGATTGGCCTAACACAAGCCTCTGTATCTGTATAACACAAGCCTCTATTGAACAAACAATAAATACAGATGATAGGGCAACAGTTGTACAGACGTAAGTACCTTTCTAAAGAAACTCCGAATTGAGACGTCGAAAGTTTGTTGACTGTGCTCGGTCCAGCGACGACTATGTCATGCCTGAATTTTAATTAAAACATTGTAAAAACAAACTCGCAACACAAGGAGGCAAAAGTTTTTAACGAGTTAAAAAGCAAAGCAAGCAGTAAGAAAGGGTGAACCGGAAAGTCGACACAAACAAGAACTGTTTTCATTAAAAGTGAATTGTCATCGAGTTTGTTAATTCAATACAGTCAAAGTCTATGACAATGCAATGCAATCTTTCTAGTCTCATGGCTAAATTACAATGGCAATATAATGAGATGGAACGGCTATAATCCCCAAATATGAACAGCCATGTTGAGGATTCTAGTTAATACTTCAACAACAATAGTCAGGTTTCCTATCGGTTAATCTGAACCACAGGCCCAAAAGCGGTACTGACATAATAATACAGCATGTCTGCTCGATACATAACATTGCAGAAACGGCTCTATGGACCTTGCATTGGTTTTTTTCTCAATGAAGGTAAAAAAAAAATGTACACAGTCCTAAAATGGTCCAGGATAATCTGACAACTCAGGCGGTTTAGAGGATTGCATATTATATGACATATATTATTTCACACATTTTCATGCAAAAAATATATATTTACGCATTTTTTTCCATTTTCATGCAAAGACAATAATTCACGCATTTTCACACATTTGGAAAGTGGATTGATGTAAAATGCAGTCGTAAATGTGTATGGAAATTCAGGGCGATTTGCACTGCTTCCACTAGCGCAAAAGAAAAAGCAAAACAATAACTTTAAGTCGTATGAGAGTGGACTCTGTGCTGTATTACTTTGTCCGTGGTACTTTTGAGTCGTACAAAACATCACTTACTTTTTAACGGCATCAGGAATGTCCAGTTGCTCAGTATGAAAATATTCCTCAAGATCAGCCAAACGATCGATGTACATAACTTTCGCTGCAAAGTTTTTACTGCAGAAATTGAATAAAAAAGTACATTATAGTACAATCCTAAACCAACATGTTCAATCAAAAAATGAAACATTTTCGGTGCTGAGCGATTTAGAGGCAGTGCAAAAGTGCGAGTTCTTGCCTCGAGAATAAGTTCTAGAGTTTAATACGGCAGATTTTCCAACTTTCCACGTCCCAATGCGAACAAGATTTATTAAAAAAATTTAAATAGTTATTACTGAATCACTACAAACTGCCAAATTTGAGCACGTTATCACCAGTAAACTGGAACGCTAACTCCTACTCTATTGTCAAACGCCACTTTGCAGACCACTATAACACGCATTTGTGACAGTGTTTTTCCGTTATTAAACAGAGCTCTTTTTGCTAAGCCTATCAAGGCATGCGATTCGCACAACTGTATTTTATGTATATCTTCGTTATGAGAAAGATTAATTCACAAATCAGCTTAAAAAATGGCGGCAAGGTAAACCTACCAGTTCCATGGTTATAACAAATAAAACTTGACTTTGCGCATGAAAAGACTGGGACGGGTCACATTGATGGTTTTACATTTTCCGCGCTAATTCTACAGTGTAACTACCTTAAGAAATTCTCCAGAATACTCCACACGATTTTAATGGACAAATTTGGATGAACAATGTATAAAGCTTTCAAATTCTTCTTGTATCTGCGACAAAATAGAAGCCTTAATTCAATAAAAGTAAATAGAGAAACAGCAATAAGACTAGATCTTACAAAGAAGAACACGACACTAAAGGTGTTCCTAGAAACACTTTTGTCTGAAATTATTTTGCTAGCTTTCAACGCTCTAATTACAGTGATTAAATTTAATTTCATTACAAACCGATCAAATTCTACAGCACCCGAAGAAAAATTCAAAAATGGTATTACGTACATTAGACAATTAATATAACAGTAATAGAGGCAATGATATTGTACAGCAAGACTAAGTAAAGATAGAACTTCTCATTTCAAAGGCAATTACATATTTTATAGTTTTACCATTTGCAATTGAGTTACATTGCATGTTTTCATTGAAACATTAAATTTGAAATAAATTACTACACACGCATTCATTAATATAAAACATAAAAATTTTTTGAAAAAGTAAAATACGCACGGTTCACTCATCCGTAAGCCTAAAAATCCACAATAGCCTGAAGCCCTTGCAACTTTAGCTAGGATAACGATGCCCCCTCCCCCTTTCAAAAATCTGCACTCCTCATGTCAAATGAGCGTTGATCTGCCCCTGGTGTGTCGCGATAGAAGCGTGCCTTAAAAAAATGCATGTTGTGATTAATGAAAGTATATAATATGGCAAGCGTTACTTCCGGCTAAGTGGCGCGCTTTGATTGGCTCAGAAACATTTCTGCCGGTCCATTATTTTCCGTAAAGGCCTCGCGCTCGGTTATTTAGGGCTTAATATAACACTTACTTTCTATCGAGAGCCTGATAAACTTGTATGGTCCAAGAAAGAGGGGGTCTGTTCTTCAGACCATGATGGAAGTAGACTAAAGAGTAATCGTTTTCCACGTACTGATCCAAGGTGTGCTGTAAATATCTGTTGACAAGTGGGAAAAAATATGGCAACAATGTCCTACTCATCATTTAATATCAATATATTCCTCCTCAAGACAATTGCTAGGTTTCACAGAGTGTTCATCCCAAATATTTTCTCAAAAACCAGTGCTAATTGACTTGTGTGGAGAAGAACAGAAAACAGCGGCGTAGCAATGGTGGTTACATGGTCGTGCTCGAAATAATAATTTGCTAATGATCTAAAATTTACACAGCACGACGACACTTGTAGACTGGTTACGTCACAGACAGAAAGAATTTGGGAGAGTCAGCTCTCTGCGCATGCGAGCCGTGAAAGTTTAACAATTTGCCAAACGTAGCTAGCTCTGGCCAAATGACGATATTTTAACAACAAATTACCAGAGTATATATATTTACCGGCTGGGAGGTCCGTGATTAAAATGTATTTCACAAGGTCTCAAAAGCGGCTCGAGGCCGAAGGCCGAGGGACACTTCTCAGGTCGAGGAAAATACTTTTTACGTACGGACCAACTTAAATGGTAAACAACGTTTTTATTTTTAAATTTTCATAACGAAGAAATTCACGTAGTAAAAGGGTCGATGTGGCTTGTTGAGAGTGACAATGGATTGTTTTCTACAAACTTCACATCGTTTGGATAGCAAAATTCACTCTCGTTATGATAACTACAATCTAAGTACATTTCACTTTCTCCCTAAACAATTTACATACGCCTTTTAAATCAATTTCAATAATTTTAATTTCATTCTGTAAACAAATTTATTGCAAAAAACAACACTCTTGGACCACGGTCAAGATATATAGGCGTGTATAAATAGGAAAATAAGAAATGATATACCTGAAAATTTTTTGATAATCAATCTCGGGTTTTGGTGGTAGTCTGCACGCAGAAATAGTAATTGTTTTTCTCGCACTTCTGTCGTCACCTGTAATGTAAAGAGCACAATCAAAGTGAAGCTTCTGAAGCAGGTTGTCAGCGGCAGCAATGCAAGGAATGTTTCGGTGATGGTATGTTGATAATAAATGTCTTGATAGCTGAAAATTCATTTCATTTTTTAGATCAAGATTCCGGACTACGTATATATGCCAACAATTAATAACGAAATGTATGATCTTGATGATGAGCATATAATCCGACATTAATTTTTTATCACGCTTTTTTACCTCACAGTGTACTGGCCGCTGGCGCTATGAAACGTTTGACATTTAGGGATCTTTTGGGATCATTAAATCAGATGCAACTAACTGGTAAGATATGATCTGACGTCGACTAGCTGCAAGTTGTAATCAGTGGTTGTACCTCATTGTAGACCATTCAATTTCCACAAAGTCATGTCGCAGGACATATGTGACTGTATACCATTTTTGACCGAAAAGAAACCTATAGTCTCTGGCTTATATTACAGCCAGCGACCAATCAGACCACAAACACAAAATAAAATACACAACTGTCAGCAATCTTAAGTTGACATGACCTGCACGCAGTCAGCCTGCAAAGTTGTTCGCTTTATGTAAGTATTTTGGTGTCTAATCATTGTAAAATCAATAGATGTCTAAAGAAATCGACATTGTTAATGATAAGAAATTTACATATCACGGACTATAAATATGCAGGCTGGCTGGACCAGAGTGTGCAAGCGTTAGCTGATGTCAAACTTACGTATCGTGATAATAAAACTACCTGCTATAGATATGATGTTATGACGATCAATGTCAGAAAAATCTTCCTCCATTTTCGGTAGTTCGGATTCAAATTCTAATTTTGTACGAAGAAATATAAAAAATCATGAAAATCTACCAAATCCAATAAACAATAAAAGCTATTCCAGTTACATTATATTAGCAACAAGTTGATTTATTTATTTTGCTCTACGTCATATTATTTTATCTAATACATTCCCTGAATACGACACAAGATGAACCCGTAAAGATCCGACGACAGTTACTGTTTCGTTGCTTAATTTAAGTAAAGTTTTGCTAAACCTTGTTCACATCTAACTAGCATGTACTTGGATACTGCCTGATAATGTCTCGAGAGTTAAAATGAAACGTTACGCTACTAAATATTTCTTTTTACACGTCATTTTTGTATTGAATGTCTCTTTTAAAAGCACTTTGCTGGGCACGTATAACGCCTTTCGATATTTAAGTCTGTTTCAACTTAAGTTTGACAGACTTTGAGTCTGGTTGAGAAAGTACATGCAAGTATCGCATAAAAATGCGACTGTGAGAAAACAGGTCATTTGAGAAATACATAGAATACAATTACTGGCAAAATTATTATTCATCTTACACGGATAAGACGTCAATTGTGATTAGAATAAAAAATGACAGAACTTTTAGAATACCAACGAAAAATGATTGATTTTGTTACTTTCAAGACCAGCATTTCCAAAAACATTTTCAAATTTGCATTTCCGTATTCATCAACGTATTTTCATAGCATTTCGTGACGAACAATGAAAAGTATACACGTTAACAAATTTTCTTAACATTGTTATTACATAAGCGTTTCAGTCTTTAAGAATTGCAGGAATACAACCAAATGAGTAAACTTACAGAAAATCTCAAGTCTTTCAGTGTTGCAAAAGCTTTAACTTCTTTCAAAAGCTTTGACGTCCTTGAGCTCAAACTAGAACCAAGAAAGTCACATAACTTTGTTGGATGCTGACTTGCAATTAATAATATATGACGACATGCAAAAATTGTCCGCGTTATATATTATTTTTCCACCATTGTAAAAATTTAAAAGAACGCTGCTGGAAAACATTTATTGAACCAATAACACGTCCTCCAATATGGGTGTAGGTAAATGTTTGAATAAACTTTTTAAGAGTTCAGTACGTCGTAAGATCTAGTTTGCATTTGCGCGTATCGTTAAATCTTGACGCTGAAGTGGTTATACATATGAAAAACGACGAAAGTCTGAAATTGCAGTAAAGAACGCGTTTCCAAAGACATGTTGCTTGATTGATCTCAACCTCGATAAACATTTACAGATTCATAGATCTATAACACCACAATTAAGTCATTTGATTAGAAGGCAAAATTTACACAAGCAGTTCAATTTCATTTCAACCAAACAAATCGCTTGTTAGAAGTTTGCACAGAAAATTTAATGCCTCAAGCATTAAGGAAAGGCACGGTGACGTAATAAAACATCAAACATTATGTCACGTGTTATTATTATGTGTAACACATACGACAGTGGTCATAGTACAATGGCGCCAGTTGAACGAACACATTTCCTCAAAGAAGTTTGCAACCGTTGCATTTCTTTCTTTCTTTTCATTTCTTCATAGTCTGATATCATGATGTAAATATATGCATAAACGATGCGTTCATTAACTTAGATATCAGAGGCAGCAAAGAAATAAAGAAGGGACATAATTTCATAACTTTTACTCCCAAAACGGACAGATTACCCAGCCCCCTGATATTGTTTCGCTTTTATCCCCCTTAATTCAAACTACTACTCTGCACTGTCATATAGTTAGACAATACTATTGCTATCCAGCGATATATGTATGTTTGAAGCCAATAAACATGAAAAGGTGGACGAAACTTCATTAGTTGCACATGATATCATGATTAAAAATAACTATGCAACGCTTTGTCCTTTATCATCAATAACTATCAATAGATAACTACCAATAATTGATCATCGATCATCTATAATTACACATGCTAATTGATGATTATCCAACTACGTACATTGTCTGGCCGTTTTTCGACCTGGCTTTCCTTTCCAGCGAAAACAACTGAGCTTTCCACTAACTATAGCAATAAAACCTGAAAAGAAAATTTGACAGATGTTCCCTTCCAATTCTGAAACATTTAAACGAGAAAATTGCGTTATGATTTGTAGAAGGAAACATAAAGAGCTGTAGAAATAATAAACTTTCACAATTTTAACAATGTATAAATATATATATATATCAATACGTTATCTCTATTTTAGCTTATAGTACAAATTTGATCATTGTACATTTTGTTGTTCACAGGAGGAGAGCTTTAGTAATATTTCATTGAAAAGTTCTAATTGCAAATGAAGCACACATTCGAAGATTTCTAACCTGCTTGACCTGCTTGATGTATAACATGAAAACGAAATAGTAAAACGAACGAAATTAAATCAAAACAAAGTTGTTCATCGCAATAAAGATAAACTTGAAGTAGAACTTGCGTATGCATGTGAGTGTTTAGAAAAATTGCCAAACATAATTTTGCCAAAAAAATAGATTACTGATAAACCTCAATCAATCTTGCCTACTAAGACAACTTCAGTTCATATTCACATACGTACAAATATATACAAGACTTTAAATTAGTCAAAAATCCTCGACATATTCTCTATAATTATCTTTGTTATTGAGTTGATTGGCCCCATCGCATTCAAGGAAGCGACAGGAGAGTTGTTCCATATTAAATTCGGTCCAATGACGATGGCCAAATTATTGGAATTCATTTTGTTTTTGCCAGAGTTGCTCATCACCTAAGATGAAAGGATATTTAAGGGATTTTACATCGGGAGGCCGTTCACATCATAAGGGCCTGTGAAGCGTGAGCCATGTGGCAGTGGGTCCGGAAATATCCTTCACCAGTAAAATTTTAAATTTTAAAAACTGCAATTTCGTGAGACGTGCTATGAAATAAACATCTATTTTTTACTTCAAGCGAGCAATATACACCATCTGCAATAAAATATTTGAAATACTACGTGATTACTAATGCCGAAAGGGCCCAAAAAGTTGGAGATAGAACTTAGTTTCAGTCCGGGGCCAACTAGGTCGAGGCCCTAAAAGGCCAACCTCCTCCCAGTACATGTGTTAAAATATGCCTTGCCTAAGATAAAGTTGGCAAATACGTAAAGGAAAAGAATAAGAAAATAACACTGAACAGGCCCGTTGGAAGCATGGGGAGTGGAATGCTAAAGCACCACCCCCATAAATAAGTGAAATTATTAAAAAAAAATGCTCCACTTTCTCCTCAAAAGCCCTTGAAACGTAGTCAAATATTTTGATTAGTCCTGCTAAACGAGCGATCTTACGAGATACTGCAACATAATAATATATTCCCTCTTTCCTCGTTGTTGACCTCATCTTAAAGCCTGTTTTCCACTAGCCAAGTATCGTAAGGTATCATAGCAAAACGTAACATGGCGCATGCGTGCATACGCCTATTGACCATCAAATTCATGAGCACGCATGCGCCCTGTAACGTTTTGCTACGATACGTTACGATACGTGGCTAGTGGAAAACAGGCTTAAATCTCGTTCAAGACTTTATGCCTAATATGAGATGCTCAACAATTGTCTATTCTGTCTATCTTAAATAAATCTGTGAGCTAGAAGCTTTTGCAAAAGAGCTCACTCCGTTTTGACATGTAAGTTTATACATACCTCTGATAAGAAAACCATGATATACTTGAGGACGACAAAATTTTGAGAAGGGAGAGAATTTCTCAGAACTTTCTTTACCTCTTCCAACCTATCTTCTTCTTGCAACTCTGTAGAGACCGGAAACAATACGACAAACAGTGAGAAATCAACATTATCTAAATCAAATCACAACTCTTGTTCAAAAAACCAAGCGTATGGCGATCGACTGACCATGTATACGAATCACATCGTCATATAAGCGATACGTGAGCAAAGGTTCATGAAGATCACGTAAAAATTTCTTCAGCAAGACAGCAGCCACGTGAACCTCCTCTTCTTCAGAAAATTCCACCACTTCCCCTAAAATAAACCAAAAATTCCACGCATACATGAGCCCGCAAACAAATGATGAATTTTTATTGTCTTTCTCGAATACGAAACGGAGCCAAGCATAATATGTGTATGGTACCTCTGTTAAATTTCTCAGTGTAACTCTTTACAAGTGAGACATTCGCCGACCGGCGAAATAGACCTTCGACTGTGAGCCCTAAAAATATATATCGAATACAGCTTGCTTCACGAGTGTATTTCTCGGTTGGATTGGAAAGACGTGAGATAAATAGTCAATCCGATATTGTTCTTCTTTCTAGTCAATGCTTTGTTGTACAAGATGACCACTCAATCGAAGCAAAAATCAAAAGCATTGATACCTTTTTTTCTCAAGAAGTCAATAGTAGTTTCAACCACGGGAGGGATATCTTTTCCATTGTTTGATATAATACTGCAAGAAAAGTTCCGGGACACTTCGTCGTTAGTTCTATATTTATTGGCATGTTAACTGCTGCTTGCCAGTTGCAACTTCTGGTTCGGACTGCCCCAAACAGGGACCGCGAAAGATCGCAAAAATGAACGAGGGGTGGGGGGGGTTCACATATCCATGTTCCCCGTTATTATAGTTTCTATTGAAATCAATTGTGACTTCGGATTTGAACACATAAACTTGCGAATACGAGCTCCCACCCGGGTAACAATCTTCCGCGATCCTTGCTAACACAAAATGATTAGAACAAACAAATGCATACTGATGATATAGGACTACAGTCTTAAAGAGGTGACTACCTTTCTAAAGAAACTCCGAACTGAGACGTTGAAGGAAGTTGAGAATCCAAATCTGTGTGAAACACGGGAGGCGAATATTTAGGTTTGTTGGACCGTGCAGCGATATTTTCGTCACGCCTAGATTTTGATAAAAACATTGCAAAAACAAACTCACAACACGAGGAGGCAACGGGTTTTTTGTGAGTTCAAAAGCAAAGTAAGCGGTTGGAAGGGGTGAACAGTTTGTTCACTTTGATTATGCATTCTGTCTTCGGGTTTGTTAATTCATGACAATCAAAGGATAAGACAATAAAATGCAATGTTTCTATTCTCGTTATGGAAATAAAATGAGTTGTGGAACGGCTAAAAGCCATGTTGAAGATTCTAGTCAATACTTCAAAGGCAGCAAAACTTTTGACTTTTCCTGTCGGTTAATCTGAGTCACAGTCGGTACTGGCACAGTAACATATTTAGTCTCCTCTATAGATAACATTGCAGTTACTGGCTAAGATTGTGCTCCCCTCCTGTTGGGATACTAATCTGTATCAATTCAGGGGGATTTTCATTTCTTCCACTAGCGAACAGTAAAAAGAAAAACAACGACGCTAAGTGCGTATAGAAGTAGACTTTGTGCTGTATTACTCTGTCTGAGGTACTTGTGAGTCGTAAAAAACATCACTTACTTTATAACGGCATCAGGAATGTCCACTTGCGAAATATGAAGATATTCCCTCAGCTCAGCCAAACGACCGATGTAAATAACTTTCGTTACAAACTTTGTACTGCGCAAATCGAATAAAAACAATGTCAGACCCATTAAACTAAGATACATGGAACGCTACCTGTAATAGAAAACCCTAATAATTTTTTGAAGCCAAATTTTACACCCAGACACACGAGATTACACCCAGACAGACACGCATGTGTAGTCAATCAATTTTCACTCGAAAAACTACACGCGTGTCTGATTGTAATCTCGCGCGTCTGGGTGTAAGATTTGGCTTCAATTAGTAGCTTCAGGTAGCGTTCCATGTATTTTAGTTCGATGGTCAGACCATTATCACAGTATAGAAACAAACAGTAGTCCCTCTCTATGGAAATTTTTTGTGTTGCGCATGTCTAAGTTCACATGTGATTAGCATAATGGCAACCAGTAAATTTCAGTTTCAGACCAATAGGCAATGAGGTGGTTCACCGTATATACAGCGCCAAGTTTCATAGCGAAGTTGAGCTACTGCTTGTTTCTGTACTGTGCAATTATAATGAAGGTCCAGACCAGCAGTTAAGTAAAGAATGAATATGGCAATTTATGTATGCAAAAGACGTAATCGCACTTTTAGTTACAGTGCAGAAGTGTGATTTTTTTGCTATTCGAGAACAAATTAAAATATTCGGCGGTTCTGATGTTCTGTTTCCATGCCCAAATTAGAAAAAGATTTTGTAAAAGAGTTAAACGGCTATTACTTAATAACCAAAAAATGCGCATAAGTTGAGCGCGTTATCACCAGTAGACTGTAATATAAACTGGAACGCTAATTTCTATACTAATGTCCTAGGCCATTTTGAAGAAGGCCGTAAATGGAAGCATTCGTATCTGAGTTTTTTTTCCTTAATCACAAAGTGGTAAGGTAATAGTTATCATGGCAATTCGCGCTTCTGTATTTCACGTCTATTGTTGTGGACTTTCAAAAAAATATTATCGAGGAACTTCAAAGAGCCCATAAAGACTGGCTTCCAATTCGGCTTCAAGGGATCACAGTGAGGTTAGCGAACCAGTTTATAATACAGTTCAATGATTCTCACGAGTAAAATTTGACCTTTCTTTTTGCGCTAGAAAAGAATGGGACTTTTGTGATTTTTGCCACGTGTATCAGTCGGCGTACTCACCTTATGACCTTCTTTAGAACGTTCCATGCGTATGTAATGAACCGCGTGGGATGAACAATGAATAAAGCCTTCAAGTTCTTTTTGTACCTGTGACAAAATGAAGGATCCAATTCAGTAAAGAGTAAATGAGAAAACGGCAATAAGAAAAGATTCTAAAAAGCACTATGGGAGACAAAAGGTGTTCTTAGAAACGCTTTAGCCGGACAACCAGAAATATGTTTTGGGATATTGGATCCTTCATTACAGTAATTACACTGTGACTAGCAGTAACTTCATAAGCTGTTGGAAATCCTTACAAAAATAAAACATAATCAAAAAATACATCTTGTAATTGGAATTTAGGGAGGAGCTGTGCGTTGCGAAGGCTTGGATCAAAATGACGGGCAATTTATCGATACTTGGTCACAAAACTACAAGTTTCGATTGCCAAAAGGAAAGAACTTACTTTCTATCGAGAGCAATATAAACTTGAACGAGCCAAGAGAGAGAAGGTTTGTTCTTGCTGTTCAGACCATGATGGAAGTAGACTAAGGAGTAATCATTTTCCACGTACTGATCCAAGGTGTGCTGTAAATATCTGTTGACAAGTGGGAAAAAATATGGCAACAATGTCCTACTCATCATTTAATATCAATTGATTCATGTTCATAGCAATTGCTTGCTTTCGACCGAAATACCGTAAACCTCCGCTTCTAAGCAATAGGCTTGTATTATTCCAAGCCCTTTTTCATGATCTAATACATGAAGGAGAGGGTTAGTGCACAGACGATAGAATACTGCATGAGTTACGCATGAGTAGGGGCTACTGGCGGGGTTTACGGCATACGCACTAGGATATCAATTCTGACACACAAAAAAACAGGGTTCAACAATCGACTCGCGAGGTTACTGCAAGATCAGGTGGTTGGTCTTGCACGAAGTAAATAACCGGTTAATGATCTGAAATTTACACAGAACAAAGACACTTTACGACTGGATAAATCACTGACATTGAGAAACAAAACGTGCTTTTGCAGAGAGAACCTCCGCGAACAATGGCCAAAGAAGTGATTTTGAGGACACATTACCAGAGCATAACATGATATTGTACGTACCTGAACAATTTCTGATGGTCAATCTCGGTTTTTGGTGGTAATCTGCACGCAGAAAAAATAATCGTCATTCTCGCACTCCGATCGTCACCTTGAATGCAAAAACACAATTACAGCGAAGCAGGATGTGAGCAGCCACAGTGTGGCTACAGAAAATTTCTATAAGGGATGTGCCGGATGCGACTTTTGCGGATGTCGGATGACGTAACCGTAAGTACCTAGAACCGGCAAATCTTTAGTTTATTAGTAGGTGTGTTGCCTCCGGTAAAAAGAGTCGTGATCAAAATTTCATTTTTTCAATTGACGTTTCGGACTGTATGTCGATGATCAGAATTAATCGCTGTTCAACTTTAGAATACTTTAACCAGAATCAGCTTGGCCAAATCAAATTGGCGTGCATCGGCAAGCAAGTGTATCAAATGTGAAATAAGTTGTTGAATTATCAACTAAAAGTTGTGGGTTTTCTCTGGGTGCTCTGTTTCCTGCCACTATGAAGTTGACAGAGTGGGTGGTCAATTATACATAATTTTGAAAAGCCCCATCGGGACAGAAATGAATTAAGGTTGAGTCTCAAAAAGTAACCGCCCAAGCTACTTTGGAAATTAGTGGTTAAAAGGGGCGGGTACTTTCAGGGGGGTTGTTTCTTTTAAAGTGCTGTTACTTTTGAGTGGGTAGTTACTTTATAGGGGCGGTTACTTTAGAGGAGGGTTACTACAGAGGGGTGGGTTACTATAGAGGGGTGGGTTTCAATAGAGGGCATGGTTACTTTGCGATTCTTTAATAAGAGTTAAAAAAGGCAACTACTCTCGAGGGACAGTTACGTTCAGGTGTAGGCTCTACTTCAACACTCAGCTGTTATCAAAAAAAAGCTTTAGCTAATGTTCAAATTACGTCTCATGATGTTTTAACTACCTCCAACAGATATGATGTTATGACGATCAATGTCTGAAAAATCTTCAGTGGAATCTTCCCAGTTGTTCTGTGGCACAAACAGCGACAAGTTCTTCAAGGGATCGATTATTTCATTTTCCATATCTAATTTTGTGCAGGGAAAATTAGGAAAATAATAAAAATCTACAATATATATTATCTTACTAAATGTAACAACAACAAAAGCCATTTCATTTCTATTATACATTTTACTCTACTTCATATTATTTTATCTGGAAACATTATGAAAGTCTTCAATCATGCCCAACCTATCAAAACTCTTTGAATAAACCACAGAATGAGGCCTTGTTTCATTGCGTACAAGCAGAGTTTGAATAAACTCTGTACGCATCATATAGGATGAAACTTAGCAAAAATTCTGAGGATTTTGTTTCTTTTGTACTTCATTGAGTTGTGCTTATAATGTCTCTTGGCTAAACATGCCTAATATAGCTCAAGTTTGAGTAAGCACTGTGCAGATATTTGTAATAAATATTGGTTTGTGTAGGTACACACATAGGTGAAGACATATGCCAGAAAAACCACTGGATTTAGCATTCATGAAGTGTTTTCTAGCTGCAAAGAACTTGACAGAATTTCAAAACCAACATACTTTTTACATTCACTAACAGTCAACACTGGTTTAATGTGCCAAAATAAAGAAAAGAAGGCTCAAAAACATCGGATCTTGCCAAAGAAATGGAGGAAATTTATACTCAATTTACTTATAAGCATGCACATTCAGTTAAATTTATTTGGTTAACTTTATTCACCCTACATTTAGAAGAAAAAGGTTATGGCATATTCACAGACAGTTACAAATTGTGACTTTAAAAGCGGAAGTCCGAATCTCGTATGTGTCAAGTGTAAACAATGCCTCATAATTCTCACAAAAACACCACACATTTACCACACTTTCCTTATTTCCTATTTGGTCAAGATCCTTGGCCATGCAAAATATATTGAACACACAGAGTATGATCGCTAAGTAGCCTTTGTCTTGTGAACTTTTTTTAATAAGTTTGACAAACAACAATAGAAATAGAATCTATGGAATTTCATAGAAAGTTAGCTCTCAAAACAAAACGGTAAGCCGGCATACCTCTGGTCATTTCTTCGCTAGAATCATCCTGAAAGTCGCTAAAGTTTGATCGAAAATCGTCGTTGAAGACTCCCCCGCTAGCTCCAGCCGAATTTCTGGCATTCCTCGAGCTCTTTCCCTCCCTAAGACGTACCGAGTTCACTTCCAAAGATGGCTCTGCATCATCGGGTCTTGTGCTGTTTGTATTGTCGTCAGAAGACGTGTTATCCTCACTACTTCCATCTTTATTCGATTTATATTCCCCCCTATGTTTAACGTCAACAGGACGTTGTCTTCTCAAAGTGCTTCTTTTACGTCTTAGTTCGATCGTATTTTTTGATTTGGACTTTTTATCATTTTTGGGGCTTCCCTTGAAGGGATGGCCATCTTCTTTGTGATAGCCTGTATCGTCATCGTCACTTTTATTAAGTATTTTCGGATCCATATCGCCATTACAAGCTCCATTGTGACTGTCAAAGTTCGTTTCTCTGTCGGCCATTTTAGGCTCGTCTTCAAAGCTAACATAAAACTAGCAGACGCTTGTTTGTCCCCGTGTTAAAATAACAGTACTCAACTTTCATTACCTTTCTGATCGGTTTGCTTATATTTTTTTGAAGACCACAACAAATACAAAGTTCTTATCAGATTTCTCTCCTCTTCGTACATCGTGATTCGTGATGTGCTTTTATTGAGAACGGGTAAAGGGGTGGGATGATGGTAGCAGGGGGGGAGGGAGGGGAACATCCCAACACGAGAGGAGGGAGGTGTGCAACGTTTGAAAAATGGCTGAATGATGAAACAAGTTTCGAGAGCTTTGCAATTCAGAATGCTTTTTTAAAAAATCATCAAAAGTGTTGCTTGCTCTTAAATTTTGTTGAGCACAAAGGTTATGACGTCACTCACTGGACAAAATGATTGTATGGGTTATGCCAATCACGAGATTTCCGTGTTTATAACCCAATGTAAATAAAGAAGCGGCTCACGTTGTCACATTGGAGGAAAACTTGCTTTGTTTATATTAGTTTCCTGCCATTTTCACGAAACGACCAAATCATTTCTCAAAATTTTTTATGATTTCTGTATACATGAAATAATTTTTGATCGAGGGCATGAAAAACGACAGCAGAAAATTTGATTAAAGCCATCCCATGCAACGTTCATACGAGAGCGGGTGTTACATGATTATATAACGTGGAATTCGTAAATACTCAACAATGATTGGCGTAAAGCAGTGTTGAAATGTCGCATTTTTTTAACCAAACCCACTGAAATTAATATTCGAATATGCAAAATTCCGTTGTATTCATGTAGTGTTTCCAACCATTGATTAATAGGCGGAATAGGGCCGTAGCTAGAACGCTAATTGGGGGGTGGGGGGTGCAATTCGGCTCTCTAAAAAAATCAGTAAGGCATGCACAAACGAATATGTGAACATGCATACTCCAATTAGCGTTCTATCTACGGCCCTGCTGGAGAACGAGTTCATATTTTGCCAACACTACATTTTTCCACGATTTTGGGGCCTAACACTCTATGAAAGTTTTCTCTTTCTGAGAAAAGCTGAAATTATTGCCAAACGGTTGCATTGATCAGCAACTCAATAGTGTTCGACGTTTTTTCAACACTTAGATCCCTTTTCACATGCAGGGTCCTCAAAAAAAATTAGTTTATTCTCCTCAGAATCCCAAACAAGCGCCACATGGATTTTTTTTCTCCTTATTTGCATGGATTTCATAATTTTTCCCTTTCAAATAAAGTGTTTACAGATTTTGAGATGCTGAGATGCGGTGTAAACCATGAAAGCTCTTACAAGTACTTTACAGGAAAACCGACGTCTTTCCTGATCAACTCCATCGTACTCGTCATTTTCAACAACACAAGTCATATTGGACACGTATGTATCATCCATCGAGGAAAGTCTGTTCATTCGTGGATCCAACGTTTGGCAAAGCAAATAATAACAGCCTATTTACTGGTAAGATTTTGTTCTTTTGAAATTCATAATTAATTAATACCGTTGTCGCACATAACTTATAAAACTGTTTTCATTTCTAAGTCGGCGCCTGAAGTTTATTTTTCTTAACCCTGGATCTGCTAGTGAGTCTATTCATCTCGTATTTAATAGCATTTTCATTCGTCGGGGGTGGGTGGGTGATTGCCCCACTTATACCACGATTTCCTGTCAAAGCGATTAAGGCGTCAGTTATATTTTAACTATTGAAGTGGCATCTGATGGTCCAGAAAATATCTTAACTTATAGCTGATTTATAACAGGGGCCGGTTGCAAGAAGCCGGGATAACGTTATCCATTGGATGGCAAAAATCTTCAAACTTGTAAAAAAGGTGTTTATATTTTTTTTACGACAAAGAAATTTCGTAATTTTCGAAACAAAATTTTATTTCAGAGATTGTTCAGTTCGAATCTTATACTTTTTGCTTTTTTAAAAGGTTTTACAAAAGCTTAAAAAAACTTGCTGTCCAATGGTTAACGTTAACCAGGCTTAGTGCAACCGGCCCCAGAAAAATAAACAGCGGTGGTATGTATACGGGGGTATTTCAGGAGATTAATAAATAAGGGGTATTTCAGGAGATTTGCTTTTTTGAAAATCGATATCATTTATATCTTTCTTTTGATTACCAGTCCTCCTCCATCTTTTTCCTCTTCCAATATTCATAGACCACCCCCCCCAAAAAAAAACCTGCTTAAATTGCGGTAAAATTTGTTGAATTATCATTTTAAGCTATCTGCTGAAACAGTGAAACTTCAGTACAAATTGGGGAAACCATAATAAAGTGTTATGCATCCGGCACAGCGATGCCATTCCAAGTTCCAAATAATAAAGCTCGAATTGTTTCAAGGGCAAAGACAACGTCCTCGGCAGAAATTAGAAATCGATAAAAGCATTCCAATCTTGTTCGAATTAGTTTGATGCGGGTGAAGCCGTTGTAGCATGGAACGTTTTAGCAAAAAGATAATGTAAATTACAATCGATTTACGACCTAATGTGGTAATTGAATGCGATATTTACTTCGCAGCTGCTGGCAGATCCCTGCTGGACATCTTTAATTGTACTTAATTAAAAGTACCTCAATTGTATGACAACTATTTCAAAAAATTCAAAACAGTTGCGACGAAAACAAAGGACAACAAGCAATTAAAGATGCGAGAAAGATTCGAGATAAGAATTGCTTGGTGTTTCTCTTTGAAATTATGAAAAGATTGACGTGATATGACCATCGCATACCTTAGTTCTGGTAGCCAGTGTTGAAACTAAACTTGCAAACGATTGCAACGCGATAAGTGCATCGGTTGATTTTTGTGCGATAGTTTAAAGGTCGTGGAAGGAGAAAGCTTATGCTTTGAAGAAGTGTCAAGGTAAGAATCGGTTTGAGCAAGGTTGTTGATGGTTATCAAGTGTAGTGCTATTTCCGAGGCACATGCGCACATTGAGAGGGCATCGAGTTGAAAGAAATGCTATTTCAATCTTATGTATGGGGCAAGAAATCGAACATTGCAAAAAATCGCCATTTGCAGATCGAGGACCCGACTCAGGAGATTTCGTAATTTTGAGCAGAGTGAATTACATTCTGATGTGCTGACCAGCAAGTTCACTCCTGCTATATTAGTAAAATATTTCGGTGTTCGCTCGCTGCTTAACAGTAGATGTCCACAAAAATCAATACTGATGGTAATTATCTGAAATTTAAATAGCATGAGAGAACTTGCGTGATGGCTACGCGACTGGTGACGAAATTGGCAGCTTTGCCTGCCTTGCATATACTGGTTATGAAGTGCAACAAAATAACTAAGTTGAAAAGTTTGCTAAATCAAAAAATCAATAGAAGGGAATAACCTACAAGGCAGCCTTAGTTTCAGTTCTCTCTCAATCGTTCAAAAACTGTACTTTTAATGCGCAAGTCGAATCATTATTTTTGCGTTTGAAAAACCGAATCCTCTCTGTGCTATACTGCACGATAAATTGCTCGTGTCTTGCATGATCGAGAACATCTCGCGGTACTTTAATAATTTTTTGAACATTTATTAATTTTTTTATTTCTTGTCATCATTGGCAATTGCTTGCGAGGATAAAAACAGACTAAAAAGCAATATTTCACTAATAAAAAACTTTCGTAAAAGTTGCGTGCTTGCTGTAAAACAAAAAAATTGCCGCACTTTGCAATTTGATATATGTCTTCGTGATTAGACGCCAATCAACGGGAATAATTGCTGTCTAACGATCTTTTTATAAAGACACAGTGAAAAACCATGTTGAGAGACAAGGAGGACAAAGAATGAGAACATGAGAGTCAGCCCCTTTAAGGGGCAATTTTTGCCCAAATAAACGTCGGAAAAAAACTGAAGGCGGTTGTAGTTATATCTGTAGAGTTAAGAGTTAGGCAAAACGGAGCCGGTCAAAGGCTCAAAGGTCTGTGTCCTTCCGTGTGCCTATTTTCGGTGGTACTAGTCATTCCTAATTCAAATATTGTTGGAATCTAGTTCTTTCAATACTTTGCGTAAAAGTACGAGAAATGTCATTTTCATATGTGCAGTGAGCGTGGCGGCTATAACGGCGAGTTTTAGTCGCGCAGTGCAACTTTCTGAACATTGTCGTTACTCATTTATTGAGCGATCTATATATTTGCAGTGAGTTAACACAGAAAAATTCCCAAGGCATGAATAAACAAGTGGGCTGGCCGCACCACTGGATATTGTTGATCAGCTTTTTCAACTTTGCCACAAATGAATTTTTCATTACAAATACTGCGAGTCGCGAAGAACCGTAAATGGCTCGTGTTAATAAAACTGTACTGACAGGGTAAAAGATTACCTTTGTTCTAAACAACACAACAGATTAGTAAGAATGATTCTCCCTGCAAGCAGGGGTCCTTTGATTAGTTTTGAATATCCAGCGTGATTGAGGTTACCGTTAACAAATTTTTTTTCAATTAAAAAATTGTATATATGTAGTGCAAATCTTTGCCATTGACGAGTTTTTTTTTTCGCTCGTCAGTACTTTGCAACACATTAACGCTAGTCATGGGAAACGGAAATAGTCTGTAGGGGGATCAAAAGTTCTGTCGAATTGTCTCGGTGAAAAGCAGCTGTAAAGTCGTTTAAAGTGAAGGGTAATTTTCGGCGCTTGATTAATTGTTTTTGTGAACGACAAACGGATAGAGACACGACTAGGCTCTGTGGCTTTTAGACAAATAGCGAAAACGACAAAGTAAGTCACGTCGATTTTTAACTGAAGATGAACGTCATTTTAACATTCCCGTTTTGATTATATGTGTCCAAATTTTTCATAGATGGTTTTAAAATACATAATCAAGTTGCCGTATTTCTTACAGCTTGCACTATGCTTTTGACAGAGACATGTTCAACTTCTCACAGATGACAGAACTCCAGAATTGAATAGAACTCGCAACAGACGATTTTAGTCCTCGACAGCAAATATTGAAGTACATCGTTCATTGTCGATCACGTGGTTCAAACATTCGACCAGTAAGTAGGCACTTAAACGCGTTCCAACTTTCACGGGCGCTTTTTTTGCAATCACCATTTCGAGGTCGAGACATTTCAAGTGCAAGTACACCTACTTATCAAAGTACTTCGTTTTTTTTCGCACGAAGAAAGATAAGGTTGAATATTATTGTCTATATTAAGATTTATATGGCTACAGTATCCATAAAAATAACTGTCTTTTATTTCTGTATTCCTTGAATGCACATTCCATGCAGCTTTATCTGGTATCTATATCAGCAGTCTTGTCGGTTTAGCACTGATTTGATGGATGCTCAACGGAATGAACTTATCGCACATAATTGTCCAGAGATGCTATCCGCATGTTTACAACCCAACAAACAAAATAACTGAGATGCCATTTTCATTAATTTGAAATGGATCATGTGTATAATTTCATGTCAAGTTGCTTTTGTTTCTAGCATTTGTGCATGATGTGATAATTTTATCTCTATCTAATTGATATCCATCAAAACCCTGATTTTTTCGAAAATCAAAGATTTTGGCGTTCCTCGTGTACATAACGCATGCATGGAAATTCCTTTCATTGCGGCCAATGTTTCCTCGCGTGGAAATTACCTTTCAAACTTACACTTTCTCGGCAAAAGTTGCGAAATACGCAACTGAAAAGTGGCTTGATTGCAAAGCTGCCCTCCGAAACGTCCCTCTACACGAGCAAACATCGACGAGATAAGCAGTGGCGCCTAAATTCTATTAATTGATTGAAATGTGAATTATACTATTTTCGCTTACGCAGGTTTCTCATTTGCACTCTTCATGCTAAGGAAATGAACGTGAAAAGGTGACGCAAGTCGTGTGAATTTCATAGCTACCTAGCGTGCCTACACTTGCTAAGTTACTAGACATTGCATTGGGCGAGATAAAGATCTATTTTAGCCGACTTTTTGTGCAACTCAGGGAGCTACTCAGAGCTTAAGCGTTCTAAGTTAATCGGATTGGACGTAAAAAAAGGTATTAACAACTAGGGAAAAGGTGGCATTTACGAAAAGACGTCAAAGAGGCGATGTGTTATGGATATCGTCAAATTCTGTGAATTTCGTCTACTTGAGCAAGTCAACAGATTATGCGAGAATTTAATCACATAAAAGGCACTTTCGGCTTCGAGGCATATTTTATGAATTCTGACATGGTTATATTCACATGACAAACATGTAGTCGTTTAGACGAATTTTTTACTCGCACCTTGGGGAGACTGCATGATCTGTCACTCTACCTGTTAAGCTACGCAGCCAACATGCAAGGGATTGGAAACCAGTCAAATCTCTTTGCTATATATAATCGTGTCAGAATCCATCATCTTCGAATTCTCGTATTCTGATTCAAGTGCGTGAATAACCGTGCTGAAATTCATTTTCTCATTTTCTCATTCTTCGATGATGACTTAAGTCAAAACACGATGACAGCAGGCAGGATAAAGCATTTATGAAATAACATAATTATCTATTGATGGGAAGATTTTCAATTCTAAAGTTGGAAAAATTTGCAAAACAACGCACTTGTGATAACTGAATGATTTCATCGCTAAACGGATGAATACATCACGACTTAGCCAGGAAATCAATCGACGTCGCAATTTGATGGACTATTAATGAGTCCTTACGCACTAATTCATCTATCGATCAATCTGCGAAAATCTTAATCCTTACCAACAGTTTTTCCTTTTCATGCAAAAATGTGTCAAGTTTTCAAAATAAATTTATAGATCATACAATCTTTTAGATACCATATGTGAAAATCGAATTAAATAAGCGAAAAGGCTAAGGATGTTATGTTTTGTGTCAGCAGAATTATAGAAAAATACGTTGTCTTTACGAAAACATATGGATCCATATCTGCGCATGCTTAGAGCGATAAAATACGATGACACTAACAATGCCATTTTGATTACGTGGATCAATTACCTACATTTGAAAATGAGAATGGAAAATAGCCATATGACTGGTTTATAGCTAAGTCACAATTCAGCAAAGCGAGGAGTAGACATCACTCTATATAAAACATATACAATGAGCAATTCTCCCTTTGTTGAATCCGTTCTAATTTGGGCAAGGGATTATAGCATCAGCAAAAAATAATTGGCATGGCGACACATAATTTCAGCAAATATCAAAATCTTGGGAGTAAAATACCTAAGCAAACTCCGAAGTGAATCGAACTGGACGTCAGCTAGCGTCGTCGCTCATTAAAGTTTTTTTATCAGACAGGATGGCGCAAGATAAGCTTTCATGAATGTCATGTGAGCATCGTTCTCACTGGTGATTTTTATCACAAATACGCCCGTCCCATCATAGCCCATAAATTAGATCGAGACGTCAAAGGATCGGTGACGGTCATTTCTTTCTAGAACCTTCAAGCTGAGATTAAAAAAACGCCGCGCTTTATTTGCCAACGTGAAGAAACCGGTGACGGCGCTTTGCTGCAATCGACAGCTAGGAAAGTCCGTTATCAATCACGAAACTGGTGGTGGGCAGAGAAAAAGGCAGGAATCTTACAGTACAACAGCAAGAACAATCGCATCGAGCCCACAGGTATTCTACATCGTATGACATACTGTCATTACATATACAGTAGATACGAGATATTTTCATCAAATTACAACAGAAATTGTCGATGGCAAAACAAGCTGAAACAGCCGTTAACAAATACGTAAATAAATTACACGAACTGCTGTCTATAAACACATACGAATTGAGCACAGCTAGAATAGTCCGTTGAATCTCCTTTCAATTAAAAACTGTGCATCTTACACAGTTGACACTGAACGCTCGCGACAAAGTTTGCCCAAATTCTGTGTCGTGCCTAAGTCACGCGATATTTTTTCTTCGAACGGGCTCAGAAAATTTATTATGATTAAAACTAATTAAACATCGCTCTAAGCAGTTCAATACGAAAGGAACGAAAATAATAGATAAATGCAATTAAAACGAGATCCACGGCATCCATGAATATGCGGACCTGACGTGGGAGGAAGACACGATGATGATTCCTTGCCAGATGCACTATGTTGCATTAATTAAACTAAACAATCATTTGTTCAGTGCTATTGCGCACGTCGTTAGATCAAAATGGAGGTTGCGCAGTCGGTCATACAAACAACTTTACATAATAAAACAGGGCAACCTCTTTGATTATCGAATTTACTGGATAAAACGTATAATACAAGCGGTTCGAGGATTTACTAAAGCAGTCATAAACCGCTGTCGCGTTTCATGCATGGAAAATAACTTCGACTAAAATAACCCGGACGTTACATGGAATGAATTACAAGTATACCCGTTACTTCTCTTCCATCACGATTGTCTGACTCAAAAAGATAACACCGCTGAACACGAGAATCAAATTATACAAAATAATTACTTGCAAATAGTACACGCTGGCAAGTATCAAGTGCAATGAAAGTATTTTTACTTCCATCGCGACTATTTTGGAAATCGCACCCGACCTGCGTAAAAATTCACGCCCAAAATTTTCACTACCCGTGAAATGTGACAACAAATTGTCGTCTCGACCACCAAGCAACAGAAACGTGAAAAGAACATCTGACTGAACTGTATCAAGTGCCACGCCCATCACAACGATCGGTTGCAGGACACCACACAATTGCATAAGGGCATGCGTAACCATAGCGATGTTTACATCGTGTTTTTCGCATTTGAACAAAGTTGCATGCCAGCTAATTAATGATTTCAGCTGATAAGAACGCAAGGGGTTAGAGACTTCCTTTTACGATATCAATGTTTAGTGTATGCTTTGCCGATGGTGGCACGAAGCAAGACTTGACTATAGCATAGCAGGTCAGTGGAATATAGGTACGATTGGCTGCCCTGCGCGTTTGATTTGTTGAGAGAGAGAGAGGTGCAATATACATATCCACGAATAGTTCGTGTTTCGTTCGAGTCCGAAAGTTCAAGTAAATATTTCGTGATTTCACCTCAGTGACTGTGCGTTTGAATGATGGGAGATAATTTCAGGTATACCAATATTTTGGAAATCGTATTTGGATTGAAATAGGCATTTAATCATTTCGCATTTGTTCAGAGACTTTGTTCGGTGTGATGACATACAAAATTGACAAGTGATTTCATACGTAGTTTATACGATTTTATATATAGAGAACATGCTATAAATACTCTTCGGTTCGATTTTCTTGCGCTGTCTCAATTTCCTTTGGACCAATCACATTAGGTGTTCTGTAATTGTTTGAGACTGATAAACCACGAGCGAAAATGCGAAGCAACACTTATCTTATAGACTAACTTACAACATAAGGAACGCTATTAACTTCGGAGAAAGTAAGTATTTCTTTAGGCTCTTTTTTCAGCATTTAAAAAGTTGGGAAATTGTTTTAGCGCGCTTATAAAAATGTTCCGGAAGTGTGGTTGTAGACAACGATATCAGCTTTTGGCATTAGTTGAACAGTTCAATCTGAAAATGTGCCTGTTTCACCTTTTCGATTCACAAAACAACATAAGCAAGAAATGCAAACGTTATGCACAATCGTGAATCGTTTTCATGAAAAAATAATCGTAATTATTTGGAAAACGTCTACATCTAGCAGCATTAAATAACGTTGAAAGTCTGATTATACGAGATCCCACGTCTGGGAACGGGATTTGTCGATGAAAATATGTAAATGCGAATATATATTATGTTTGCAGTATTTTCAAACGAACAGCGGCTACTTTACAGATCATCAATGTTCAAATGCTTTAATTTTGATTGATCAGAGAAACATATATAGATTAAGATGTATTAATGAAAGACATTAAAAAGTCTTATATTAAAAACATCTGTCGACGATTTTCTTTTGTAACAGTCTGTGTACTTTACTCTCAAGTTGATGATTGAAGGATAGTCTTTCAAGAAGTAACAGACTTAGCGTATAAGCAGAGTTAAAATACGTTCACGACAACGACGCCGCCATGTCCTCCCGAAGAATATAATCTTTTACCAATCAGATAACTTTCAATTTTAAATATGTCCAAGAACAAGCAGTCATAATTTATTTGGACTGTGCAAACTGTGCCGCTGAATTTAACGAGAACTGACCGAGTGTAATCTTCATTCCTTCAACGATCACAGGACTGATGTTGTTAAATTTCAAAACAATTCCTTGGTAACTTTTACCGTTTTATTTCAAGCTAAAAATTATCAACCGCGACACCTACTTATGCCATAGTGGTTTTCACATCAAGCTGCAATAATTTGGACAAAATATCAACAGCCACGTGTCGTTTTTGGCTTTTGCAGAGAACTGTTTCAGCAAAAACACGCATGCCCCCGATTTCAATTAGGAGTGCGTGGGGAACATTAATTTATCCCGATGATCTCTAAAATGCTCTATTAACTAGAATGTCATTTAATAACGTTTGTACATCAGTAAAGTCAACAAAATAAGTTGGTCAGATTTTTTTGCTTGAAATGTGCCATCGTAAAATACTAATTCTTTTTTCTAGTTTCATTTTCTACGCAATGACGTTGCCACCAAGCAACCAACCAAGTCCAGCACTGACTACCATGAAAACAATAGATTCCCATTCGGACGAAGGCACCGTTGGCTCGGTGATCGCACTTTGCTTCGTTATGTTAATCGCTATCACAGGAAACGTTGCAATAATCGTCATATTTCGCGTCTACAAGCGCCTAAGAAAACAAGTGACGAATCATTTTCTCATAAACTTAGCGATAAGCGACTTGATTGTGGCGTTAGTCACCATACCATTTTGGTTGTCATTCGAGATCAATCGTTGGGAAAGTGTAAGCAAGCCGACAGATAGGGGACTTTTGCGGCGCATATGGACATTCACGGATATAGGTATGTTATTAAAGTGCATAAGACAGGGAATTTGACAATTCAAATTGCATTTTCATTCACCAGAAACTTTAAAACAGCAGCGCACTTTCTAGAGCAGTTTACGCATATCTCTTTTCACTCTCAAGATATTGAAGTTTTCAATGCAATGTACGATTCATACAAGTTGCGACGTTATTTTGCAAAATATATCGCTGCAAAGTTTCGGACATCCTTAGGTTTCTATGCAACTTTTGCTTGAAATGAATAAGAAGATTAGGCAGTTTCTTATACTCTTAACTCTTCACAATAAAAGGAACTCGGCTCCTTTGACGCATCATACACGCAAAGTATACTTGCATTTGAAATTCTGATTACGCAATGTGACGTCACAATTTGCACAAAGCGGACATTTCATAAACTACAATATCTTGTGAATGAAAAGCGATGTGAATAAATTGTTTTAGAATACACACCATCTTTTTCAAAGTTATGTTCAATGAAAATGTACGTCACTCCCCAAACATCAGATTTCACCCCTCTATTGTTCACATCTCTGAAAAACATTTCAGCTCTCCCACTTTATGGCAAAACAAATCAGTAGTACAGACCAAATGAGCAATGTTTCAACTTTCCACACACTACCATCAATGACTGCCATACCTTACCGCCCTTTTAAATCACGTGTCAATTTTGCTTAATTTAGCATGTGAAGCGTCAAGTATTGCAAATTTAGCAGTGATAAGCATCGATCGTCTCTACTCGGTAAGCAATCCGTTCAAACATCGTACAACAGTGACGCCATCTCTAGCACATCGGATTATCTTCGCCGTGTGGGGTTACGCAATCGCTGTGGCATCGGTCTATCTCATAGACACAAAATGGAAGAATATTATCATTTTTGTTTTCGGATTTGCTATACCGCTGGGCGTCATGATCGTGTGCTACAGCAAAATTGTTACAGTTGTGAGGTAATAAGCTTGCCACTAAGTTATCGTACTCCAGTTGTTTTTAAGCTCAGTTGACTACTAGAACATGCCTAGTCGCTAAGATCATTTCTTTGACATTTCACATAGTTTTGTCGACTCACTCATTATATATAGAAATCATAGAAAACTATGTGGAAGTACTACGTATTAGTAATTATATCCTTAGTAGCCAGGCCTGTTCTGGGAGTCCACTTAGCTTATATAACATGATTGCAGTACATAATGCACAACAGTCATCATAATTATCCATCCTCTGTAATTTCATTGAATCATCGGTAATCATTGACAAAATTAATGGAAATGAATCCAATTCATTGAGTTTAAAAAATAGGGGAAAATAGGGATTTAGTCGTGATGTTTTGCTTTTCTTTCCATACACAGACTGTGCCGGAAACGATGGTCCCAAAACCCGGAAGCCAATAAACATTTCTTTGGCAGCATTGTAAACGAATACAAGACCGCAAAGAGCCTGGGCGTTGTCATGGTGGCATTCGTTATTTGTTGGTCGCCGTTTTTCGTCTTTTCTTTCTTTTTCAAGTACTGCGAGGTAAAAGTTTTGATAAAATTCTTTCTCTTTGATTGAAAGCGTTACTCCAGACTAGTGTGGAATTTTTATCTTAAGAAATGTCTTCCTTGGCTTATGGAAAGACCAGCCATACCAGCCGTCACAAAATGGCTTCATTACTTAAACAGCGCGTTAAACCCGATCCTTTACACAATGTTTAATCCGTCTTATCGCGTCGTATTCCGCCGTCTCATAGCGTGGTGCCTGCGGAAGGAGTACCAGTGTACCCGTTACGAGGCCTGGTACCTAGGCTCCATACGTATCTCCGTGACCAGCCAAAGATCGAGTTCCCTTAATCACCCACTCGCAGGTTACAGAAACTCGAACAGCTCATTCTATCATCGACCGTCTTGCGGCTCTGTCGTACAGACACGACCTGAAAGAAAAGAAATTCCAAAAGATTTTGACGACGCCAATAATGAAGTGTTTATAAACGCAACCACAAACAATGCAGTATTAAAAAACGTAAACGGCAACACAGATGGCGATGTGTTTAAAAATAATCTCACTGTTCGCCCGTCCGCGAATAAAAACCGAGTTTCTTTTTCTGACAGCGGTGACACCATCTTGTGAAATTAGTAGCGCATGCGTAGTCTGGCCCGTTGATATGACACACAGCAGCTACAGATCAATGACGTCGCAAAAGCTTAAAGTGTGGCAGAACTACTTTTTCAGCGTCAATTATACCGAATAAAGCAAAGATGTCGTAGTTTTAGAAGCAGTATTTATAAAAAGTTACACCTACAAAAAGGACGTAGAAAGATCGGTAATTGGATGGGGAGGGGAGGTACTCATATATGCATGAATGCCGACTAAATTCCTTTCAAATACGTTGTTTTTTATCCATTATAACATGCACGTATGACTACGCACCCCCACCCCCACCCCCAATTATCGATTACCTTACGTCCATGCCGACGGGGACAAAAGTCGTGGTGTTCTGTAATATATGCTATTGGCTTGCATGTCTGTTGCAGATAATAGTGTAAGTATTGTGTTGTTGAAAAATGGAATATTATAAAGAAGAGAAATTGATGGCTTGAAAATAGAGGAGCTGAAATGATGGCAAACATGTAAATAGAAATGGTGGATATTATTAGACTGTAAATATTTTTTAAAAAAACTAAATAAACGTCAGTAATAATAAGATCCTGAGGCAATATTTCATCAGTGATTAATATTTCAAAGCCGTCGTCAATTTTTGACTCGTCATCGTTTTTCGATTTGTTATTGGGCGAAGGCATCGTCATTTATAAAGTTCCGCATTAGGAATAGGTGTGGTATTTTGGTTAGGGTTAGGGTTAGGCAATATGCAGTAGTGGATCCTGGAAAGCGATCCAATATACATTGCTATAAATATGTTACAGAAAACACTTTTTTGAAGGTATAATGATTTCGTCATAATGTATTCTGTCATGTTTCTGTCATAATTTATTCTTACCATGATTCTGAAATATAAAACATAATCGCTAAAAATCTTAGTAATCTCAAATTTAAGTTGCAACTAAGATAACTTTAACGGTAATAGTTCGCTTTTATTTCAAAACCATCATCATTCTGTCCAAAATAAAACCGAAAAATTACGGTGAAAATTGCCATGGTTACAACCTAAATTTGAGTTAAAAGACGTATTCTTCGGACAGTGTTTCATTTTATATCATATGAAATTGTAGTCTGGTTAAGGACAATGATTCTGACCTACCCAAGATCTGCTACTGGATAAAAAATTACTCAAAAAAATAGCATTGGCTTGTAAACTTAAGATTCGTGTCATATTAGCAATACACGATTACAAGGGAGAAGATTTTCAAAAATAATTTTTGAGTGATTATTTACGAGCAAGTATGATCATAGTTGTTTTCAGCAGGGAAATGAAAGTTGGAAAGTGGTTAGCAATTACAAATTTCGTTTCTCAGCGTGATCCTGTAACCTATAAAACTGTTTGACTTAACACATTCTTCGTAATAACAACCCTGTTCTTCTTCTTCTCCTTGTGTCCCTGAGTCCCTTTGGCTTTACACACAAATGTGAAATTATGTACGTCAATTAGAAAACTATGTTGACATATGAGCTTATTCAATAAGTAAAAAAATCATTTTTCCACGGTAAAGGAATACAAATTAAAGAAAATAAGTGTTTTTCATACGCTATACTGCATTTAGAAATCATTGCGTCGGATTAATTTTGAAATACGACACTCACGTCACTCGAGTGTTGCACTTCCGTTCTACAAGTTCAATGAGTTCACTAACATTTGAAAGCCTTTGGTAGAAGAATTAGGTCCCGTAGGTTGCCAGACATGTTGTCAGTAATGAGAGTGAATTCCTGTGCGAAAGAATTGCCGAAAGCGTCCTGTTTGATTAAATTTTTCAAAAGAAACGAGAGTCATGAAGCGGTGCAGATTAAACCTGTCCGAGAAAAAACTGCGAAAGCTTTCGAAAGCATCAGCGGTTAGTATATGGAAATGCAATGGTAGACATTTGTTTCAATTGTTTCTCTCTTCGTCTACGTTTATACTTTATGGCAGGGGAATTTTGTTTATGTTCTTTACACGTAGATTACTGAATATATGAACGTTTCAAACCGTTTACACTTCCATGGCGAGTGATCGATAAAAACAATGGATGATTTATAAATGTCACCAAACACGTGTTTGCTCTTTTCATAAATTTTTCTTGGCGATGCAAGTATCATAGGCTCAAACGCCAGTTGAAAGTTTTGTTGAGTATTAACAAACGCAAACTGCAAGAGGTTGTAAAAGGGGGCGCTATCCCAAAATTGTAGATCATGTTTGCCAGACAACTTCGCCATATAAAAAGCGTAAATTATACCGTTTTTTTTTTATTTGTCTTAAATTTTGCTTGTAATATTAGTGCGCAATTTTGTATAATGGAATATGTGTATTTGACAATCGCATTTTAGTAGAGAGATAGATCCTCACATTAATAATTATGAATAGCCAATAGAAAGAAGGGATAGAGTTTCAGTATCCCATGTTTGGAAATTCAGTATGGAAATGCTGCTCAAGAACTCAATTGACCTTGACCAAAAGACAAATAGTATCAATCAATAAACACACTGTGGTATCACATGACTAATCTGGCAGGAATAACCTTGTCCCTTTATTACATTGTGCTTGAAATGTTGCTTTATTATTTGCCAATCAATAATTGATTATATTTTTGGTGCTTGTGGTGAATTTTAACCAGTTTAAATTTTGCTGTAGGCTCCCTATTGGCCAACCCGAGAACAGAATATAGAAACATACGTGTGTACCAAGGGAAGATAAAAGCAGTGATTCTCGACTGGGCCGGCACTGTTGTAGATTGTGGGGTGTATTCTCCTGCAATAGTGTTTCGCAAAGTGTTTGAAATGGAAGGTGTGCCCATATCAAATGAGGAAGCTAGGGAACCAATGGGAATGCACAAGAAGGTCCACATACGTACCATTACTCACATGGATTCGGTACGACAGAGATGGAAGGAGAAATTTGGACGAAGCCCAAATGAAGAAGACGTAAATCGAATGTACCAAGCTTCAGTCCCCATGCAGCTGGCATGTTTGGAAGAATACAGTCAAATGATCACTGGTGCAGTTGAAACAGTTAACTTGCTTCAAAAAGATTGGGGTTTAAAAATCGGCTCAACCACAGGCTTCACAACACCCATGTTGGACATCCTGAAGAAGATTGCCGCAAAGAATGGCTACATCCCTGACTGTTATGTAGCTGCTGATGAAGTTCCGCAGGCTCGGCCATACCCATATATGGTATGGATGAATGCCATCCAATTGGATGTCAATCCTATCTCTGCGATTGTGAAAGTAGATGATACAAAAGATGGCATCCGAGAAGGCACATCTGCTGGATGCTGGAGTGTTGGACTTGCAAGAACGGTAAGCATTTTTCCTATAAAGATGAAAATTTTAATTCCCATTCATGAAGAACTTAAGCAACCAAGGCTACACAAAGTTATATGAATTAGAAATCAACCTTTTACAATGAGTTAGATTCCACCCAATGAAAATAGCAACTAGATTTGCTATGAATGTTATTGCTTCTGGGAAACTTTTGATGTTACAGCCACAATATTTCATTAAAAGCTGCGCTACTTCCTTGTCCCCAGAAAAAGTTTAAATATAGAGACCATATCTGTACAAAATTGTAGTTACATCAGCACTGAAATAACTGTAGCAAGAGGGTATGAATGTCTCAAGCAAGTTGGATGCAAAAATCCAACCAATTGCCACGTGTCAATGCTGAGAAATACGTTTTATTATAGGGTAACTACGTGGCTCTAAACGAGGAAGAAATCAACGAACTCAGTGACGAGGAGTATGAACTGAAAATCTCGAAATCCTACGAAACCTTGGCGAATGCAGGCGCCCATTACGTGATTGACAGTATAGCCGAACTTCCGCCCGTTATTGAGGACATCAACCGCAGGCTGGCCGCGGGCGAGCGACCCTGAGCGGGATAAATAATATAAAAAGGACAGGCGCTCTTGGTCACATGGGACGATTTTTATCATCGATGTTTGCTTGGTTTTCACTTGGCTGAATTTTACTTATTACTATTGAAAAGCGAATCGCATTTTTCGTGCGTAAATGGTAATGGACGAGTTAATTACGAATTGCACAATATATTTTCATAATTTATACCTCTGATCAAGTAAAGTTAATTAACAGACATTGGTCAGATTTTAATTTTTTGACCAAAAACTAAATTCATGCAGTAAAATATTTAACTTTATACAGAAATTCAATGGAAAGGTGCATTTTGTCGAATAAGTGTGCTTTTCCATTGAATTTTCTTCTGCATTGCAATTATTTCAATGAAAATAAATCCACGAGTTTATCCACATACTTTAGTTCAAAGGTGGATTAAGTTCATCTCTAATTATTTCAAAGCTGGATTAAGTTATATCTCTAATTCTTCGAAGATGGATTAATTAAACCGCTCGAAGACTATTATTTGCGGATTTACATACATGCATGTTCAAGATGGAAGTTACCTCTCGTCTTGAAAAATTTCTTTATCATTCACGAACCCGACCTTGTAATAGCATCTTCACAGGAAATATGGCGTGGTGGTGCGAGGAGGGATCACCCTCTCGTTGTCGGCGACCGCTTTGAATAGTTTAGCTTCCTTCCTATCGGCATCGGTGAAAGCGAGTATGGAGGCAATGTTGCCACACCGGTAACAGTAGTTAGGTGCTGACCAAACGGTCACCAGTTTCTCGTCGAACATGTACTTGTACCCTTCGTGGACAAGCTGATGCGCGCGACATATCAATTTCAGACTGTTTATATGGACAAACTAAACGAGAAACGGAGAAGGCAAGTTGTTTTTATGTTCTTTGTTTTCAAGTAAATGGTTTGAACCCGGGAGTATCGTTACATGTTTGTAGATGTAGATCGTCCAGGTTGGTATAATCCCGAGAAGGACGGTTTTTGCTGTTGTTGACTGACGTTTCGACAACCTTAGCGGTAGTCATCTTCAGAGTCCCATTTGACTCTTCTTCGTTTTCTTCCCTTTCAGCAGCAAAATATCGTCGATCAACCGTAGGTTGGTCGTCAATACTTAGATCACCATTTACACTGCACCGTTTACGAAGCGTTTCCATAACTATTATCAATTGTCAGAACGAAAGAACACACGCGTAACTGTCAACAGTGATATGAAAATGCTACGAAAACGGTACGAAGTAAACGGGCTTGAAATTCAAATTAGACGCAGTTCTACTTTCACCATGCTGTAAAGTTTATACGCAAAAACGACTGTGTACAAATTAACAAGTCTAGTTCTGAACGGGTCAGTGTCATGGTTAGTGTCCCATGAAGTTCATCGTCAAAGTAAGTTAACCGCTGACCAGTTCAAATAGTTAATTGTGCAAACATTTGTATGCCTAGATCATCATCTACAAACATGTAAGAATGTTGCCAGGTTCAAAATTTACATCGACTCAAGTTACATGGAAAGTCAACTTATACGACGCCCGTTTCTAATGTGATTAGATCTTCACCCCTAACCACCACTACCCCTCTCCCTACCACCAATGAGACAACTCCCCTCATAAGACAATAGCAATATTTCAACCTCTTGCGTAACTCTAGAGCCAAATAACCAGCCTGCACCACGGGGACTCATGGCCCAGGTCTCGACGTCCTCCGGATCAGACCACACCAAATCACAGAATGCTCCTTTGTGCGGTATTTCCATGTTTCTCTCGATGGTTCGTATTTGATCAAGTGTCTTGATGTCCGGCGACAGACCGCCGTGCACACATAACACCTGATCATCGATTATCTGAATGATAAAGGCAATATTGTAAGAACAGGTACGCACAGCGCACGCTCTTAACAACGTCTTTAAATGGTTCAAAGTTTTTCAAAGAGCACAACAATTTCAGCTGATTCGTTATGCAAGCGCTATGGTGGACATCGATGAAATAAGTAAATGAAATTTATCTGCTGAAAACAATTTGGGTTTTGATTGAAATTACTTTGAATTCGGAACAACCTTTCATAAAACCTATGACCTCATGTACTCATGAACGACTAAAGCACAGAAATAAGAAAGTGAACATTAAATTGCTTCATAATATAAATATGAACATTGATAGCTTACAGCTGCTATGGTCAGCAGGTCGAATACTTTGCAACAGTATTTCCAGGCGTTCGCATTTCCATACTTGTTTTGACATTCATCTGTAAAATAGAACACAAAGGGTTGAATGTAAAAAAGATTAATCAAATGTGCAAACAGAAAAGTTGGGCAGTCAACATTTGTAAACAAATCCACTCTGGCTCAATTTGGGTTGATTTTATTGCAAATATTACTCAGACAAGACTCCAAAAGATGCCAAACAAGTAAAAAAGGGCACCATATGTGACAGGCTCTTGTATATTCTACTCTTACTTTGTATTCCAATTATAAGCTTAGAGGAACAAAAATTTGGCTTCACTTGAATTTTCCTTCATTGGTCAAGACAAGATCCGGATGAATCAAATGCATTTTATAATTACCATAGAAACCATAGACTTGGGTGATTTGTCGGCTTTCGTGATTTCCACGCAATAAAGTGATCTTGTTGGGCCATCTTACAAGATATAAGATTTTGTTTCATAGCATAAATTTTCATTAAAAAAAGCAAATAAATTAATACACAGGCCAAGTTGAAATTGCGTGTTATAATCGGGGTCAGACAATCAATTTTCAAATCATACTTGGCCTTTAATGTTAGAAGTCTTGTGAAGCACTCCAAACTGTAATAACCTCTGTCGACAAAATCCCCCTAAAATGAAATGACAGCAAAATTTGTTTTGGAAATATCTCCACACTGTATCCTATCATGTCCCCTACAATCAATATATAGGAAGAAATATACACATGCATGATAGTCCAGTCAAAACCGAGCATACCATAAAAATATATGCAGTGTCTGGTACAGGACCACCAGTTCGAAACAGCTCCTCCAAATCATAGAACTGTAGAAATATTAGAGCACATCGTTAATTCATTGTAAAGTCAAAAGTATTGTCTCACAAATCTCTCACAGAGCATTAGAACAGCTGATTGAAAAATAAGTATTCTTTTTGACGAGTGTATGTAGATTGTTATTATGTGTGGAATTTTTGTCAAACAAACATTCCAAACAATTCGTTGGTACGATCTAGTCGATCCTTACCTGACCATGGATGTCCCCACAGACCGTTACTGGAGAAGACACCGGCTGAACGTTTGACTCTTCAAGCAGCAAATCACAAACGTAATCGCAGAGTTTCTGAAGATATAAACAAACGACCTTGAAAACTAAAGGAAGCAGCACACATACGTAATTTGAAATAAATGGCAAAATAACATCTTCAATTTGATCTCCCATATATTACACATTGAGATAGATGCCATACCGATCAAAAACGCTTACTTTAAGATCATTTTCAGGCAAGTATTTGCAATCTTTCGCGATGTCGACCCAACGATCCAATTCTGCCATCTTGCTAAACAAGCAGAAAACAAAAACAGGAAATTGTGGAAGTAACTTGCTTAGATCATCCACACGGTCGATTATATAATTACTAATACTGTCCTCATTGAATATTACGTAATTATGTTTTTGCACAAGGCATTTTATAATAAAAAATAATTATTTCAGTGAATTTTATTAGAACTGGAGAAAGTGATATTCTAAATAGCAGAAAACGTTTCAGAAAACAAGAGTCTTGATCACAGATCAAGGGTGTGCTCATTTTTTATGTAACGAAATATCTATTAGGTAGATATTGAATGATATTGACTTCACGTTACATAATCTTGGTGAATGGGAATTAGCGAGTTGCAATTCAAAATGGCGTCCGTGGGTCATTTTGCCCACGAGATTTGTACAAATTCATCGCGTTTTCTTCGCACGTGGAAGGTACATTTTTCGGGAAATTATATACCAAATAGCATATACATCTCAAAGAGGTTTTCTTCTCGAAATTCAGCATCGATTGCATCGCAAAAACCGTTGAAAACGTCCCTTGAAACGAGTGATAGTGATGGCGGTGCAGATGACAGTAAGCGAATATTAACCAAGATTTTAATTCATTAGTCTGTTAAAAGGCTTTAGAATTTACAAATTACAATTTAATTTATATTTCTGATGGTATACAACCGAATGCTATTGATACGGAATGTCTATTGGAGCATGTTTTCACGATTTGGCAAATATCGAATTTCATCCAAATTTATTGATTTGTTTCTATTTTACAAATCTTCTGCATATAGAGTCACAAGAGAATAAGGACTCGCGACCAAAATTTATGGTATGATGCTAGCACAGTAGGATTCAGAGAGCTTTGAATTTCTCGTTCTTTTTCATGATAGTATTCAATTTCAAACATGATTCATTACATCAGATTCGTCCCAAAGCCGAGAGGATGGATATCGACAGCGCTGATTGGCCATCAGTCTATGCCACCGCATCTTCTTACAACTCATGGCTTGTGCCTCTGCCAGTACGAATGGGCCGCAGGAAACATAATAAAGTTGGAGGACTTCCAAACAGGGACCTGGGGAACATCGAACTTTTGAAAGTATTAAATAATTTCGGTTTTTCATAAGAAAATGTAAATTTCTACCCAATCTTTGAAGTTCATGTTGAATTAATAAAACTGAATGCTAATTTATTGCAATTTTGCATCCACCAGACTCCCCTGACTTCTCCTCCCCTCCCATTTCATCCCTGCCTCCTCTTACATCCCTTCCCTTCCCCTCCCATCCTCTCCAATCTACCAATTGCTTTCTTCCATATCTCATTTTGAAGCTTGAATAGGTACAAAATTCCACTCAATACCAGAGATCTAAGCACTTTTTCATGCAAAGAAGAATTGATTTTTGTTTTTACTAGATTCCGAACTTTTTTCATCTCACACCACCTGCAATCAAACGTCACTGTGAAGCTTTGAAAGGTGATGGAAAGCACAGACAACATTGTGTTGTGCTTCATTCGAATCCACCCAAAGTACTAGTTTTTTTCACCTTTTTTAAATTTTTGTTTCTTTGCAGACTTATGTACGCAGTGGCCTGGGAAAGAGAAAGTTGAATCTCGTCCCCTGAAAATCATCACCAGAAATTATCTATTTGCTGGCCCTTCGATTAGGCATCCCAAATCTCACATTGTTCAACTGAAGGTACAAAATTGACCAGGGAAATGTCATCAAAAATGTTGTCCATTTGAACCCGGGAGAAATGAAATTCGTTTTTTATAGATATCGCTCGGTCACTTGACGTTGGACGAGCATGCGCGGAAGAAAATGATCGAGTTATTGGGGCATCGTTATAACGAAGAAACTGATGAGTTGACTATTACCGCTGACAAGTATGTAGCCACTGAAAAACAATTGATTTCTAAAGATATGAATTATGATACAGAACTGAAATTGATAAGGCACGACTAAAACCTGCGAGCCGGCTACGCTACATCTTTTTTATAACTAGAAAATACCACGTTACTTTCGTTATGTTTTGTCAAAATAAAGTGCTCCGATGTTTTCCCATAAGTTCACGTCATCAATCGTCAAACTGAATGTATAATCGGAATGCTGCATACGATATACAGGAGTTTGCGGGGGGAGGGGGTGTTGCTTGGGAGAGTTTTTCCTGGGACCCTAAACACTGACAGACAACCAGACAAAAAGTATTACATTTCCAAGCAGGGCTTCTAATTATATGCAGGCGGAGGTATATTTAACCGCACATCCTGCTTCCAAAGTGCGGAAGTCGCCTTGTTGATGGCTCACGAGGGCACATTGTCTATAGATTGCAAGTATATGTTATGATGAAATAAAGACAAAGTGAAATAAAAACATGTACATATTAACCTCGAGCGTAAAAATGCACAAAGACACGAACTTGTTGTCGTTTGTTGGAACATGAAGTACTGTAGCGATCATAGTAATTAGTCACTCGGTTTATCTAACCTTAGATCGAAAATATAGCGCATCATTTTTTCGAAATAATTGAAATTTCTACTATCATTATGCCATTAATGATTTATCAGGCTCCCTTTGAAGTCAGGGCCCTAAGGAGTTGCTCAGACGCTGACCTTCGTCTGTTACCCTACTGTTGATAAACATGCCAAAAGTTTGCATGAATCCAATTGAGAGATAAAATCGCGCATTTTAGCATACGGTTGCGTAACGAACATTCCGTTTGCCGCGCGTTGAAAGGCGAAAACTAGTTGAATTGTTGGCTTGAAATTTTTTGCTGGAAGTAGCCTTTGAGTTGTATTCCGTTCGTTGGTCGATAAACTGCTTCCTCGTCCAGCTACCTCGTCACCCTGTTCATGAAAAGGCATTTGCCTCCTGATCTGAGTAAAGTATTTTTTTAGTTTTCCTTAGCAAATGTCTCATTTTTGGCATGAGAATAAAGATTGAGCTTTTCTTAGGTGTCCGACGAGAAAACAGAATCGAGACTATGCGTTGTATCTATTGAATGTTTTATATCACGAATCATGGGTGAGTATTTTTCAACTCTTTTTCAGTGAAGAGCATGATTGGATTTTCGTATTTTTTACAAGGTGGTGGTAAAAAATTAAGGGGGGAGCCGGTAAGGAAGTGACGTAAGACAAAGTGAGGAAGTAAAGACTATAGGTGCGGTCGAGTAGTGCTGCCAACGAAGTTTGTGTTGGGAGTCAAACATTGCCCAGAAAAACTCGGTTTAGCTGTACTACTATTTGTTTTCCCTAAAAATTGGGGCGGGGGTTGAAATGTCTCATAAAAGGGTGAACAGTTTATTTAGGGGGATGTAATTAGATGAGTGGGGTTGACATACCCCCTGCACCCCCTTTCCCCTACAAAATCCGTCCATGGTAAAAGGGCAGCTGGTTAATAAAGTAGAATGGGGAAAGGCAGAAAGCCCTGAATTTGTTTTTGATTGTACTTCAGTTCATTTATCGACATGAACAGGTTATCTTCGAGGTTTTTTGACAGCTGACCAACTTTACTCTGTGTTCATAAAGGGAAATGCTTATCTTGAAGGAATTAGAATTCCGAGAGTTTAGTTTGGAACTGTGACTTTCATGCGCGCACGTCTTTTTTTCTGAACTAGAAAACCGAGCCTTGGGAATTAGAAAATGAAGATTCAAACGTCGAAGACGATGAGGTCGTGGCTCCTCGTCGTTCGAAACGCCGCCGGAGGAAATACAAAATAATCGGCAATGACCTTTACAGACTGAACAAATACGGCAAACCTTTTAAAATGTACATAAAACAACATGGCGATCGATTTCCCTATGATAGATAATCGGATGGATTCCGTGAATGATAGATAAACTGGTGGATTCCGTATGATGAATAATCTGGTAGATTCCGTATGATAGATAATCTGGTAGATTTCGTATGATGGATAATATTGTGGACTCCGTATGATGGATAATCTGGTGGATTCCGTGTAATGGATCATCTGGTGGATTCCGTGTAATGGATCATCTGGTGGATTCCGTATGATATGTAATCTGGTAGATTCCGTAAGATGGATAATCTGGAGGATTCTGTATGATGGATAATCTGGTGAATTCCGTATGATGGATAATATGGTTGATTCCGTTTGATAGATAATCTTTGGATTCCGTATGATAGATAAACTGGTGGATTCCGTTTACTGAATACCTGGATTCGAATTGAGGTTTTGTTTTTTACCCTTGCCTTGTGTACTGAGAGGTATTTCAATTCAAATAGTTATCTCTGCATTTTCAGAATGCAGACATCCATGTATAATTTAGTATTTCATTCATGTGGAAATGACTTTGCATCAACTTTAAACGTAATTTCTATGGTACTGTGCATTCTCATTGTGCTAAAAGAAAGTGATTTTTCTACAAAATTCCCATAATGCACTGCACGGCGCCATCTTCATTAGTCACCAAAGGCTTTAACCCTAAATATGCTAGCGAATCTCTTGTTTTCTGTTTGAATCATAACAAATGAAGATATAAGCCTATTTTAAACCGATGCGAGAAACATTTTCAAGCGAATATTTATAACATTGACAATGTTATAGATTTGCACTTGAAAAATAAAAAGATTACACTTTTCTGTAGCGATGATCCGCGGAAAAGCCGCCAATTTCAGGCGAATGTATACTACATCCTGAGTAATATAAATTTTTACGTGGAAAACAATAATATTGTTTTGTTTTTGCCAATCGATTTCATCCCAACCGTTCACTTATTTTTCAACCATTTTGTAGAGGTATTATTCATACAATCATAAAAAGATAGAATCATACAAATCCAATGTTTTAAATACCAGCTAAAGCACGATTACAGTTTGCTTTCGATCTTTTTTCGAAGCTTTTTCATCGCGAATGAAGTCGTTTTTGATTTTTGTAAGCCTGCATTTAATTTATACTATGCGCAATATAGAGAAAATTTGTGCAAAAAAACAAGACATATGTGTTTTATATTGAGCTCAGATTCAGTAGACAGACTGCCTGACTCTAACATGGAAAAACTATACTTAATTGAGGTCGTCGTTTCACGTCTTTCTTCGAAGGATGTACCAACTAGCAATGGTGTCTTGACATGATTGATTTCATCTTCTCTTTCAATATCAACAACAGAAAAGCTCTCCAACACACCATGATGGCGTTGCAATTTTCTAGCTGCTTCAATTGTCTTGTCGAGCGCGCTCAAAGTCTCAAGCGAGTCAACTGAAATACCAAATGGACAGCCGACAATATTGACCACACTTCGGCTTAGGTAAAGAACAAGGACACCGATGAAATGCGATATGATAGCCACATGAATTTTGTAATCTACATGAATGAAAACAGTCGAATGTGTTCTCTAAAATATTTTACAAATTTGCCCTATGCAAGGTAGGCGATCAATTTCCATAACAAGAAAACATTTTAAGGTAAAATACAAATGGTATAGCAACGAAATAAACACGAGTTCAAGATGTGCGAATAAAAAAGCGATCGACCATAACTTCTTCAAATTACATGTCGCAAGAACTTCAATAGTTCCGTAAGTAAGCAAGCCAATATTGATGACAAAAAGCAAGTCAATTTCGCTGTTTTTTGGAGATCTTTTATTTAAGAGGGGAAACTTTACTTGGATGCTTTAGAGTCATGTTGATTGTCGAGTCTAAATCGTAGCTTTATGGCTTATAGTCAATCAATGATTTCGAAACGGAAACACGTTGGGACAGTGTACTGGAACTGTTGCACAATTGCATCGAGCTCTCCCACAATGCAATGCGTTGTAATAGAAAACTAACCTGATGGTGGCAAAAGCCATAGCGTAGCAGAAAACTGCTTGCATAACGAACTTTACGGCTTTACTTTGGTTTATTAACACAGTCTTCAGATGACTTTCCACTATCTTAATTGACACGATGATAGTGTAACCAATCAGTATGGAAAAAACATTACTGAAAGTCTTGTGCTGCGGGAAAGCATAAATATCAAGCGCCACCCAGGTTGAACGCCAAAATGCTATCGTCGACATCGTGATTACTGTTATCGTAAACAAAAAATCTAGAAGTTTATAGAGCGGATTGCAGCGTGTGTTTCCCGTCTCAAACATGGTGTTTGCTTCGAAAGGAATCGCGAAGCAATCGTTTGCGTAATAGGATGGTATGAACATTGTTGTTGATAGGGTACTGGTCGCTAACAGAACAAGAAACGATACAAAATGGGAACTAAAGAGTAATTCACTGTTGGAGAAATAAATATTTAACAGAATCCACACGCCTCGCCAGGAATGTACAACAGCAATGCTTAAAGGGTACATAAATATTCGCCATTCTCGATGTTTCTCCTTCAGTTTGAAATGGCCGCCACACATCTCGATAAAAGATAAATTCATCATTATGAATATGTAGCCGATTCCGATAGATACAAGTCCGCTGACCAAAGCACTGTCGGGAAACAGATAGTTGTCGAAAACCGACCATGCGCCACGCCATACGATTATTACCGATGGCGTCAGGACAAAGAGAAGCAGGAATCAGTTGAGAACGCAGAGAAGTCTGTTGCAGCTGGAATAGCGGGATGTTTGACGAAGTTGATCTATTATCATGCTGTCTGTGAAAAAAAGAACGTAATTTTTGACCGTGCATTTTTTTAATCAAAAACTGTATGCGCAACCGAAGTTGTTGTGTTCAAGAATATTGTGCTCACCGGTAGCCGCACGTCCTTGTAAATCTTCAAATGTACTATAAGAGAGAATTTTGGTTAAAAAAATCTACATATAATTGCGGTAACTAATCAGATACTCGATTACAACACTTTTACACCTTAAGGCAAAAATTTTTTACCCTACATTTTGTAGTAAAAAACGAATTTGAGTTTTTTAAACTTTCGTCATGGCAATTTAAAGTTCATCTGAATAGTAAATGAGAGAATACTGGTGTGATTTTTTACCTTCGAAATAGTAATGAATGACGCGTATAGTAGTTTTATTCCTCAACCTAGTTCAATCGCACTGCCGAAAGACAGATTTCGAAAAGATGTCACCGTACACGCAATATGTACATGTTTTTCAACCAATGAGTGTCTTCGCTCCTGTGACGTCGTTTGTCTCTGACATTAGGCAATAGTTCAATATCCAATCAACAGAATTGCCAGCTGAAAGCAGAGAATATACGGGGAGGGGAGCGGTTGACAATAACGTATTCTCCGAATAAAATTTTTGTATATAGGATCGTTGCTCGTCATGTGTGGAGAAACGTGATGAAAAAATACTGAATGCGATGTGAACTATAATTTTAATCAAGAGAAATTTTATATATAATTTTAATTAAGAGAAAAGTAAATAGTAAGAAAAACAAGAATAATGGTGTGAATAATGCTCCTGCACGGGCATGCAATAACTGTTATTATGCTTTCAGCTAACTTCGTCGGTTATTCTTTCCATCTGTTTCTCAGCATTTGAAAAGAATCATCGTGAAATATTCGTTGTCGTTTTTTGTCGAAAGATTTAGTTCTGCGTGTAAGATTTCAATAAGGTTTGAATCTTGTGAGTGGGTTGGCCATTGACATAAAATTAACCTTTTTATTCGTGACTGAATCGTGAGACATTTCGAAACATGCATGTTTGCGATAAATCAAGCATTCGTTGTCGTGGAGATTAAGATGTAGAAAGTGAGGTGTTTATCAACAAATTAGTCTTGCGTGAAATTTACGTCAAAATAGCTAAAATAAATGTGACTTCTTAAGTTAAAGTTCGACATCATTATGTTTATATGGATAAGTGTACTATCTACATGTCGGCCATAGAAGCTCATACAATACCTTCGTTTAGCGATGGTTTGATGACAATGGTTTCAAACGCCGTCAAGCATCAGTTTAGACTAGAAAGTGAAGAATACAGCCATTTTTTTACACATTTTTTGGGTCACTCATATCTTATTACACATGTGATCGTCATAATGACAGCCTTTCACAATTGCATTTTCTTACCAATATGAACCAAGTCGAACATTAATCGCAGCCAGTAATCTAATTAAATATACAGCACCAAGTCTCACTGTGAAGTGGCCCTACTATTTCAGCCGACTGCACTTTTGTAACTCAACACCTGCTCTTTTGCCCATAAAAAATTTACTTAGAATTGATATTCGTTTTAGTGCAAGTATGACTGTATGTCGTATCCCGTATCATCTTTGTCGAAGTCGTTTTAAGTTCGTTCTTCATGTGATCTAAGGGGAGATATTTGTATATCGTGGTGTTGATCTAAGAAATTCAACGGCTACTTTAGGCAGCCTCTCGCTATTCGCGCCGTTGTTCATCTTCTTTTCGGAAATTTTAGCAAATTTTTTTCTAATATTATTTATTTTGCCCTTCGTTATATTTTTGTCACTTCTCCCTCGGGAGGTATCAAGGATTAAGTAAAGTGTTATAGAAAACAATAAAGGATATTTTGCTCTTCCCAAGCTTTTTTGAATTGATAGAGCAGAGTTTGCAACGATTTGGAAACAGTTTATTTTATTGAATTATGAAATATTGTGTTCAACAGTTGACCGACGTCCTTGTGAAGCGTGAAATGGTGCGTAGGGGAACGTGTTGCAAAAATATACAACTAAGTGCTTTATTTGAACATATTCTTTTTACAAAATTTTACACAGTGCAACAATTATCTTCAAATTCTGGAGGAAAGTGCCCCTCCAGTTTTATATTGAGTTCAGTGGGCTAATTACAAAACGAATTTCTAACATAACAGAATGTCTATTTAACAACGGTCGTTGTCGTTTCTCGTTCATTTTAGAAGAAGTGCTAACTAGCAATTTCTTCTTCACGCTGTTCATTTCGTCGCCTTTTTCAACATCACGACGGAAAACACTGTCTTGCCCCCCATGATTGGGGCGTTGGAAGTTTGTAACGCCACATATAGTCTTATCGAACGCGCTCAGATTCTCAAGCGAATCAACTGAAATGCTAAATGGACAGCCCACAATATTGACGACACTTCGGCTTAGGTAAAGAACTAGGAGACCAAGGAAGTGCGATGTAATAGCCACAAGAATAGTGTGCTCTATATAAATGGGAAAAGTGATGTTGAAGGTTTACTCACAATTTCTCGTGAAGACAATCGTAAAAAATGACATTTGATAAACATGCTTTGTTATGTGCATTCGAGGACATGCAAGGATTGGCGTGCACACTTATTGCTGTATAGTCACTTCGTGAAGTTTTCTTGCTTTTGTGTTTACTTTGTGATTTTGTTATCGTATTGAGAGTAAAACAAAGATTAGTTTATGGCGGTAATAAAATCCATTGAGTAACATGTTATAGTGGTCCGAAAATCTTGATGTATTAACATGGTTGGTGGTATGAAAAGTTTGGTTTGAAACCAAAGTTGGGGGGGGGCTATGAAAACCTTGGTGGAGAAATAATGGTGGGTAGTGTAAAAATCGTGGTATGAAAACCATGGTGGACAGTGTAAAAATCTGGTAGAGAAACCATGGTAATAGGTACAAATACCTTATAATGAAAGCATGGTGGATAGTGTGAAACTTTATTAGAGAAACCACGGTTAGAGGTGTAAAAACCTTCGTACAGAAACCATTGGTGAATGGTACAAAAACCTTGGTGTAAAAACCATTGGTGAATGGTACAAAAACCTTGGTGTAAAAACCATTGGTGAGTGGCACAAAAACCTTGGTGTGTAAAAACCATTGGTGAATGGTACAAAAACCTTGGTGTAAAAACCATTGGTGAATGGTACAAAAACCTTGGTGTGTAAAAACCATGGTGAATGGTATAAAAATCTTGGTGTAAAAACCATGCTGATTAGTACAACAACCTTGGCATGAAATAAGTGGCGAACTTGTTATTCAAGACTAGAGTCGATGTTGATATTTCAGTTGTCAAGTATACATCGTAGCTTTATGAATGGCAGTTAAAATGATTAAAAATTGATTATTTATTGAATGACTGTCATCCCAGAAAATGTTCAAAATTTGTTGGTAAACTTATTTCGAATACGGAGATATCTCATCTCTGCAATTAATAAGTGCAATTAACAAGCATGGTTTTACAAAGAGGCAATGAGTGAGGGATCTATGCCATGCCAATGATAGCATGTACGGGCAAAGGCATCGAGCTTCCCCACAATGCCATGCGTTGTAATAGAAGACTAACCTGGAAGAAGGAAAATATCACATATCTGCCAAATACCGCGCCACACGTTGATGGTGGCAAAAGCCATAGCGTAGCAGAAAACTGCTTGCATAACGAACTTTACGGCTTTACTTTGGTTTATTAATACATTCTTCAGATGACTTTCCACTATCTTAATTGACACGATGATAGTGTAACCAATCAGTATGGAAAAAACATTACTGAAAGTCTTGTGCTGCGGGAAAGCATAAATATCAAGCGCCACCCAGGTTGAACGCCAAAATGCTATCGTCGACATCGTGATTACTGTTATCGCAAACAAATAATCTAAAAGTTTATAGAGCGGATTGCAGCGTGTGTTGCCCGTCTCAAACATGGTGTTTGCTTCGAAAGGAATCACGAAGCAATCGTTTGCGTAATAGGATGGTATGAACATTGTTGTTGATAGGGTACTGGTCGCTACCAGAACAAGAAACGATACAAAATGGGAACTAAAGAGTAATTCACTCTTGGAGAAATAAATATTTAACAGAATCCACACGCCTCGCCAGGAATGCACAACAGCAATGCTTAAAGGGTACATAAATATTCGCCATTCTCGATGTTTCTCCTTCAGTTTGAAATGGCCGCCACACATCTCGATAAAAGATAAAGTCATCATTACGAATATGTAACCGATTCCGAGAGATGCAATTCCGCTGACGGTGGCATTTTTGGGGAAGAGAACTTCGTCGAAGAATAACCACGCCCCACGCCATACGAATATACCCGCTGACGTCACGACGAAGAGGCTCAGGAATTGGTCGAGAAGATTGAACGCAAGTTTGTGAAAACTGGAGCGACGAGGAGTCTCACATAAACGGTCTTTCATTGTTGTGTCTGTAAAACATAAAAAAATCTGTCATATGCAAGCATTGACGTTTTACAATCAAAAATTGTGTATCAATTTGAATTTTGTCGCTGAAATGATCGTTAAAACTCTGAGGTGTGGTTTTATCTGTAAAGAATGCTTTTCGAGCATTTGCATTGGTTTGTCCAATAATGGTCTGATAGTAAATCTGAGCCATTATTGGTCAGTCAGGCGACTTAATAATTCATAAGCGATTAGTCTTTTTTGTGGCAATTCTTTTAAAGAAGTGCACACAGACCAGTCGTCGAATTGCACTAAAAATGAAATAGGTTTGGTTAAAATTATCGTGCAATGTAAAAAACTGAGCCATCGAAATATGAAACTTTGAAAACTAGCTACTGAGGAAAGAGCGGCGAGAAGGCTTTCATGCAAAATGAAAATCTCTGTAACTTCAAATCGCTACGTTTTACGTTTGACAACAAATTCATAGATCATACACATCTTTGTCTATCTTTATTGATAATTGTGGAGACATGGTTATTGCAATAGCAATTTATTCGGTATAATGTGCTCAATTCGAAGTAGAAGAACAAAAATCTATGACAGTGCGAAATAGTAAAGCAAAAATCTGTTTCGCTAGTATAAATATTTTCATACCTCACATAGATACTTGAAGTTGAGCTCTTTCGTGTATTGTTGAACGATATATAAGCTTGCAAGGCCGGTCAGTATGGAACATAATCTACATATAAAATATATGTATGTTGAGCCGGCGACATTCGTTTTTGAATGCATTTATAACGAAAAATTTTCAACGGTCATTTGCGCGCACGCTGTTAAAAAAATTGCATGACGATGCAGGTCACGTGCAAATACACGCTACGGCACGTTACAAGAGAAAGAAAATGTTTGAGACTGGCATTTGTCTTAAGCCTGGTTTCCATATGATCGTTTCTGTCGCTAGAGTCGTTTCTGCCTGTTGAAAAGTCCCCTGCGGTGAGCAAACGACAGAAGCGATTATTGCGATGAACTGGTTTCCATTACTCGTATGCATCGTATCTAATTTGAACTAGTCACCAAACACTTGCTGTATGATGTACTCAAAATGGCGGCAGTGAATCGAAGAGGAAGACTTGTAGCGTGTTATTTTCTTTTGCGTGTGCTGAAAAGGCGAGCGCGAAAGCAAAAACGGAAACATCGTTTTTGGTTTCGTCCCATGTTTCGAAGAAGAGAACGTCTTGGAATTTTTCATACTCTTGTTCAAGAAGTACGTGGACTTACGGATGTATCATGGGATATATCAAGTCGCTTATGGCGTAACGATCGTTTTGCACCGGTTTCCATAAAAAAAATGCAAGCGCGTAAAAGGTGTTTCCGGTCGTTTCTGTCGCAAGGATAGAACTATAGTCTATCTCAAACGATCGATACGCAAGGATCGTTTCTAACGTAAGGATCGCTTTTGTCATTTGAGTTGAGCGTTTCCATATGATCGTCTCTGTAGCTTCTACAAATTGCAAGCGACAAAGACGATCCTTACGACAGGAACGATCATATGGAAACCGGGCTTTATTTTACTAAGCTTTTCAAAACAGCTATAATTGCTGTCCTGGACATCTTTTGTTTTTGAAGTCTAGACTCGGCTTCAAACACGTTACCTATAGAACTTACATAAGCTGATTAATTACTTATATATTACCATAACTGCGTAAAAGCACTATTGACATTGCGCATTTAATAAAAACGACAAGTTTTTTTAAAATAAACAACTGACAAAAATTCACATATCTTTCGACACCTTTTAAAATCACCTTCATGCAAAACTAACTATTCATCCTCTTGCTTTAAAATCATCTACACTGCAGGTACTACATTCGCACTCAAAATCAAAGAAGCACTTTAAATTAACAAAACTAACCCTAATCTCAACGTTCAAGTTTTTCGTTTTAACATTATATTCAGCCTGTAAATACTTTCTTCATTAATTCTAACCACTATTTGATTGTAATATAATAATCTATTCATAAGTGTATAAATTGTATCACAGTATCATATTACTCATATATATTCATCACATACATAATTCCTTATAATACTGAAGATGGCATCATGAGATGTAGAAACATGTTTATTTTAAAATAAACTTGTCGTTTTTATTAAATACTTATATATTATTGAACTCAATGAACTGGTTAGCATTTCCACGTGAAAGATGTTGTGCAACCCAAGATTGTGCAAGCTCAAAGCACAGAAAAAAGCGGTCGAAAATATTTAAAAGATTATTCATTGTTGTATCACACTTATTCCTTCGTTGATTCAATTATCAAGCACGATTATTGCAGCTAATTTGGAACACGTATTGTAATAAATTTAGCATGTCACTCAATTGTCAAACGTAAATGTATACCAGATTTATATTATGCTACACATGTAATACATTTTGCCTTACCCAAAATGCCGCCATCGTTCATATGCACAAGGCCGCTTATGATGTACGTACTCATTTCATATCTGAGACTTGTCTATGTCGTATGTGTAGTTAGCAGAAGAAATGCAACGAAAATCTATCTTTGAGCATGTAATCTCTCATTGGTTGAATGAATGAATGCATTTAATGCACGTTCCGGGAAAAATACCTCCTCGGGCGACGGCTCCGAATAAGCTCGTCTAAAGCTAACTCGACGTCGACATTACGAATGATTTGAAAATTTTCTACAGTGTTTTTTCGATTGAGCAATTTACTAATTTTTCCGAGTGCTACTCTTGCAGTTCGTTCGTCCCAAATTCAAATATTCCTACACATCACTTCCTGTTCACCGTGTCAGTTAAATATAACAACAGCGCAGAAATGAACAATCTCAAACATCAAAATCCCTCCAAGTCCATGTAACAATAAGACCGATAATTGTTTCTCCTAAGTATACGGCGCTACGTCACAGTCGATTGTAATATTTGCAGAAATACCTTTTCTGTGATTAACAATGGCGCGTGTTGGGTTGAAACTAGTTGAAAAACAAGCAGCTTCTTCTGCACGCTTATCGTCTGAAATAGGAATGTTTCGATAACTTATCTCGACCATCTTCGAGACTTGTTTGGTTTGTGTAGTTAGCAGCAGAAATGCAACCTATTAATCCATGTTTTTGCATCATGTACTGCAACTTGTAGGGACGCTTTGCGTCTGCGACGAATTGTAGTATAGCTTCAGTGACGTTCCAAAGCAAACTCGTCTCAAATGAAACTTCTCTCAAACGGCAATCTGGCCGGCATTTGCACGTAATCTGCATCGTCAATTTAAAAAATTTGCTTAAAAACTTAACTGTTTATGATGTTGATCTACCCCTCGCTGGTTTGGTCTGGCTTCCGAGCAGAAAGGAGTTCGCACGCAGCAAACGTTGAGGGTGATCAGTTTTTTGTAACTTAATTTGAGTCGGTAATACAACAAGGTCACGTCTGTGTCACAGTCAATGTTCACATGCACGGAAATGCCTTCCGAAAAACAACTAGCTTCTGGGCGCTTATCGTTACTATAGGAATGCCGCCCGGACATATTTTATCATCGTTGAGATTTGCTTTGCTTGCGTAGTTAGCAAAAAAGATTTTGGTTTACACCACGCGGGTTCGATCTACATGGCAGAGAAGCATAAGGGAACAGTTCCCATCGCGGTTTAAAGCTGTTCGAAAAAGAATCAGCTTCTAGACGTTTATCGTCAGAAATATAGATAAGGTTTATATATTTTGACACTTGCTTCTTTTGTTTAGTTAACGGAAATGCAATCGAACTCCATCTATTTGCATGTACCATTTATGTGCAGATGGTGCATCGCGTATTGCTGGTACGATACACGGCTCCAAGTCACAAAAATATCAATCACAAATTGAATTAGACATTGAAGTACGAAGTCACGTCTTAGTCGTAGTCAATGATCACATACACAGAAATACTTTCTACTTATGTACTGGCAGGCGATCAGAACGGGTAAAATGTCCCCACGTGTCCCGGCACGTATCGTTTGGGCGATCAGGCTCTTTTAATCAAATTTTAAAATTTTTCACAACAAATTAAGTCACATCTATGTGCCATTGTCAATCGCCAAAGCGTTTAGAACTTGCCCAAAAACAATTGGCTTAATAAAAATAGAGGGTGTTGAGTGTTTATTCATGGAAATAAGTAATGCCTTATTGTGTTCTAATAATCCTTCAAGGAAGGACACGCTGGCTGTACCGTGTTCGAAATTTTTTCATATTGTCTGTGTAAATTAGTTCAGCGAAAAAACTCGTCAAACTAGCATAAAGTTTTCAATACATGCACGTCATTAGACTTCTGGGGTCTAAACAGTCTTAGTATAAGTTAACTTGTTGAAGAGACGTCAAATCACAGTTGTTAATTGACTGTACTATCTTATGGGTGTGTATATAATTGAAGGTTATTGCAAAACACACAGCTGTATTTTATACGTTCCGTATTGTACATGAAAATAAAATGTTTTCGTGACGCAAATATAGCTATTCTCTTTCGACGCTCATCCAAAACAAACTCGCATTTGTAAAATTACATAAATACTTGGACGAAACAGGTTTAGCTGGTTTCATAGGCATATTGAAACGATGGCGTGGCAGATAATAGTCTGACTGTTCTTGCCATAAATTCTGTCGAGTATAACTTGTGATACAATAATTTGAAGTTTCGTAAAATATACAATGCACTAGGATACGTAGTGTTTTCGCGAAAAAACTTCTTCTCTTATATTGTTTGTGAATAAATTCCCGCTTGTTTGAGCGCACTGAATCTCTTTCCTTTTAGAATTGTTTTTCTTATAAATGAGACAATTTTTGACAATTTTCAAAAGATATTGTTTAATAAGTAAGTTTCATTTGCGAATAACGTCAAACTTGAAACATTGTTGAGCGTCAAACAAGTCTTTAAACATTTCTCTCATGGATCATGCAGAGTACAAAGTTCGCTTTACATTTATGTTATATTCAGCTGTAGCAGTTTCACAAGTTACCTGATTATTCTTTGCAAACCAAATTCTGCACATCGCGCAGAAGAATTTCTCCCACTTTAAGAAGCAAATTTCACAGCTAAACGCCAATACGATTCGTATAGTTCATAAATATGGCTAACAGAAATATGAGTCTGATATTTTACCTTTCAGGAAATAGTTGTAGCTTTCCTCGTAAGAGTATTGTTTGATCACAATGCTTTCGCCTAAAAATATTTTGAAAATATCATCTGTGAGACACGGATCGAACAAATTTGTGTCTCACAGCCACATCGTTCACCGGTGATATACGCGCTGGAGCAATGCCCGTGTTTATATCGCATGCAAATAACTAATATGGAAATTTCCTACACATGAATTATTGAACAATTTTGTTCTTTTGATCGTATCGTAATTGTACAAATCTGACTAAGATTACGTCATCAAATTGATCAGACTTCAATAGGAACGTTACAAATGCAGTCATTGGAATATAAGTTGCATTCAAATGCACATCAGAACAACGTCAATTGAACAAATAGTTGTTAAAGTGCATTCTTTGTAAAACTGGTGGATTAGCTAATTGCTTTATGTGACTTTGCAGGCGCTGAAGTTTGTAATGTGTGCACGAAACGTAATTTGAGGATCTCGCTGTTCTCGGTCCTTTTTTTGTGATGGTTAGCACTATTTTCCACCCAGCAAACCGCCCTTTACTTTGAAATATAATATTTTACACAATATAATATTTTACACAATCTAATATTTTACACAATATAATATTTTATATAATATTTTACACAATCGTCGAAAAACGATATTTTCCAGCCTGGATTATTAGTTTATAACTTAAGGTGGTTGCATGAAAATTTATACTGCAACATTTATCTCTAAATATTTTCATATGTTGATATTAAAAACTGTATTATAAAAAGATAAAATTACTCGCCATCTCAAAACGACCTAGCACCAGTGCATGCATGGTTTCCTTTTAGCTTTTGGTTCTTTCCCATTAGCCGCCATCTTTAATTTATTTCCGATTGTGTAAAGTAAAGGGCGGTTTGCTGGGTGGAAAATAGTGCTAACCTTTTGTGATAGGTTTCAGCCCGCGCCATTTTGTTGAGGTTGTGATTAGACGACTTCGGTTTTAGTTGCATGGCGACGAAAACTACATGCGTGGACATAGTTTCGTACGTTTTTACTAGCAAACTTTCCAGGTAGTTGCCGAGCTTAAAAGTTTATAACGAACCATTACGAATTATTTGGCGTAGCCTACGGCCTGTCCAGCACCCCGTTTTTATAAAATCTGTGAAATAATAATGTTCATAACAAAGATACGCATCTTTGATTATTCAGACCTTCGGACTTGGCAACAAAATAACGATACTCGCAACGAATATGTTTCGGTGCAAGTTTGCCTGAAACTGACGATGGGATTGCGTTGCCAGGTAACGTTTCCTATTTTGCTCATTTCTGTCTTCTTTTATTTCGTGATTTTATCTCCATGCACGTAGCGTTTATCGAGATGAGGCTCATGTTTCGATATTTTTAGAGAGTATCATCTAACGTTTCGAATGCAGAAACAAAAACAATGAAATTTATTAACTTTAGGCGGGCAGTTTCGATTAATACACACCACATGTACCGATATTATATATAATATGTTAATCCTAACACAGTTTTAAATGCACATGAAAAACATGTGACTTGGACGAGATTTGAACTCGCACCTTCGGGAGACTAGTCCGCCGCTCTACCTGTACAGATATTCGTGGCTTGCCGCCATTCACCTGTGAGTAAGAGAAAAATGGAATGTTCGCCATGTTGGATGAAATTTGCATTGTAAATGAGGAAAATCCTTTGTTGAAATCATCCAACATGGCGGCTATGACGGACTTGCAAGCCAAGAACAATCAAGAATAAGCAAAAAGACTGAAGAAGTCGTGTGCATTCTAGCCTTTGCAACTTTACCTCTGCTCAATGCAATGAAATGTTTGAATCAAACATCAATTGAAAAAAGTTCGATGTAATTGCCGTGCATGCAGATATGGGTCGTGGTGTTGTAGCCAGCCCGCGAGTTTTCACTGCTACTATTCAAATACTTGGTGATCACAGACTTTAGATTTCAAACAATAGATTTCTTAAGAAATGAATAACGATAACCAATCAATATTTGCATAGCAATACTAAATTTGGAGGCTGGCTACTCTACTGCACATATATATGTGATTTCTTCGAGACACTTCAAATTCAACTGAATTATGTTAACCTAGAACACTGGGAATTTCGAAAAATGGATGTCTCCAGCATTGATTTTCTTGATGAATCGCGTTTGAGATTCGATCTTACAAAATCCAAGACCACACAAAGATTATTACTTGCTTTTGGCTTGTTTCAGATGAGTAACTGTACGAGAAATGTCTCTATGAATTGGAGAATATTCTGTACCCCGGAAGATTTTCAGTTGCATTTCTAAATTTCTATACGTCGATTTTTAATATATTTCCATATGTTTTCCATATCTTAACATGTAGTGTGTTAGTTTCCATATGTCACTGAAAGTACGACTACAAAGTACAGACGGAAACGATTCGAACTCTTTTTGGAAACATTACTTTATTGGATGTTGGAAATGTAAAAATTTTAACATCAACCTTTTTTTGGCTTCATTTCACTCTAATTTACCGATACCTTATTTCGCATCCACTCGACTATTTCTTGGGCTAGATAAACAGTTCTTGCCGTCTTCAGGTACCTGCAAATTACGTGAATATTAAATACAATTTTATATACCGTCGGGCTGAGCTTTGCGACCAGTGTTTAGCGCCATGGAAACGAGACGAGGTGAGACTCACAAGAGCAAACACTCAATATAACTCTCTGAGTCTCTTGAGCTCGACACGTTTACGGTGAAAAAAATTAACCAGAACGCAAACGCATGTTCTACTTAAGTAGTCAAATTCAGATTTTTTACAAAAGAAGTGTGGGCAAAAGCTAAATCAGCGCGGAATGCAAGCCTACATGGGCATATTAGGCAAGGGACCCATCCTCTCCATAGACCTTTGTCTGTTGGACAAACAAGGGCAGTTGAACAATATTCGCCGGAAAGTCTTGTGAATAGTTTTTACACTTATGTCATAAAAAATCAAAAATGTACCAACCACTCCTCCCCCCCAAAAAATATAAGTCAGTACACCCATCTAAGCCACTACGTATTTAAACAGTGGGCTCGGGTGAGTTGAAAATTGTCAGGCAACATTGCCCATTGACTTTGCCAGACAGGTAGACCACTCATTACTCAAGATCAAACAGTACCAGGCAGGCCATACCAAACCAAGTCAATTCTCGATGCAGAAACGTTAACTTTCATATAAGAGTGCTATCGGTTGTGGATTCCCGTAAGAATACAAGCTGCGTTTAAAGTTTTCGAAATGTAAACACATCCGGCAATCAAATTCTCGGTAAATGAAACTCCCTGCCCTCCCTCCCCTCCGTGCTGCAAGTGCGACACCAGTCTACATATCAAACGTTACAGTTTCCGCTTTGCAAATAAGTGCGTGTTCACTGACTGTAACAAATAAAAAAATCAATAGATAAAGAAACTTGAGATTTGCCTGCTCAATTCAGCCCTTCCAAGAGCAAGTTAAATTCAGTTTCTCGATTTGGTCTTGTTTGTGTCATAAATGGCGACGAGATCATCAAATTCGAGTGCGGCCACGATGCATGACGACATTCATGATTTGTATAATGAAACCCCATTTCTGACAACTTTTACGGCAATATCATGATCATATGAAAACTAGGCTGAATGGAGATAGTTGTTAAGAAAGTAATGAAATCCAACAGAGGCGCTACCGTAGTGTTGCTAAACTGAATACGGAAGTTTATTATCAGTCAGTTAACAGACGTGTTAAACATCGACCTGTTGCTTTGTTTTGAATAGTGCTCATTAGTCTTGCAATTGCTTGTCATTATCTTTATATAAACCGATTCGAAAGGCAATTTCTCTCTCACAAACATGCAGCAGTATTTAGTAATAGCGAATTTTTTGGCCAAATTTCATTTAAACTATAGAGGATGTTAGATATGTTACGCAGGGCGATTTTTAACAACCTTATGGCGCAAGCTCCCGCTAAGCCAATAAAATTTATTTGTTTTTTATTTGCATTGTGAGTTGTTAAAAATCTTTGCAGCCCTTTTCGGCTTCAAGGACATGACGAACAACATGAAGGTTGGCATTGAACAGACTTTATAGATAGCTGCTGCTGGCCGTGAAAAAATTATACATAAACCTTTTAAGATTGTCACTTCTGCGAGCTAAAATGAAATGATAATGACGTATTCTTTAAGTAGCATTTCTTTGTCTAAAACTCGTTTTATGCTTCGCTGAGTTACTGAATTAAACTTGCAAATGTTAACAATATAGATGACCTGTTGATAATAAGGCCACCATGCCAAGTATATTAGCATTTCGAAAGCTATCTCTCAAACGATTGACACACGGCAAACAGGAGGAAGAAGCAGCCATCTTTTCCATACTCGATCAGAAGATACCCAGCGAAACAAGCGTTCTTGTGTTCTGTCCATCGATTGGTCATTAACGTATTGGCAACGAAAGAATTGCGTAGAATAGCCAGTTTCTTGCCGGACCGAACAGCATTACGACAAAGCTCGTTACAGCGTGAAGACAGTTGACTACGATTTGCCTAGTTATTCAAAGCTAGCCTTACGTCAGCAGAACATACAATTTTCTTGACCAGCGATGCTAGATAACGCCTCAAAAGAACCAATAAGAGTCTATGCGAAAGATGGACGTAAAATTGACAATATTCCTGACGCTGTTGGTAAAGTAAAAGGTGGGTTAGTCAAGTGTAACCACAGTTGATGTACGGCTTATGTGAAGACAATTAGTACAGTATTTCTTAAATGTCTGTTGAAAGTGGGCTCGAACAGAGCAACAAAATATATACTTGATATGTTTTACGATCTTTGTCCTTTGAAAGTTTTGTCGATTCATGGGAAGTTTTGTTCTATTGCTGTTTTAGCTGAAAGTAAGTTTAGGCGGACGAATGTCAATGTGTTGGCACAACATTTGACGTCAAAACCTCATTTTTTTGTCTTTATTAAGCATTTATGCGCATAATCTTAATGTGTCTCATTAAAAAATCCGAACATATTTCCGGTGAAATATTAGTGTTACTTTTTGATGATGGTGTTATAGATGACATTCATTTCCATGTACAAAAGAACATCACTTTTCAGAATAGCCTGTTTGAAGGGTGAACTCCATGTTGGGCAGCGACTTTCCGTTGAGTTATAGCAAAATCCGTTATTTGTCAACATTAGATCCTCGTGTCCAAGACTGTTATTCTCAAATACGGAAATCGCTCTTATGATCTGTTTACCATTTCATTGACAATAGATGAAGCTAGAAAGCTCGAGGATTTCAGAGGTTTTAATAGCGTATGGTGTTCAATGCTCCTTGTTACCTTACTTGCACCATATCTGACATTTTGAAATGCCAATTCAATTTGTAAGCTGTCGAAGAAGCTGACATTCTTAGACGGGTGGGGAAAATAGCGAGGGCGAGGCAGACACGCTTGCAATATCTTGAATAACATACATTTTAGGCACGAAAGTTGATTGACAATGGTCACTTTTGTCAATTGACATTGTTCAGGCTGAAATAATTTATGACACAATCATGGCACAACAACAGCACATAGTAACCGACCGTCATCTTAGAGGCCTACTGCGAAGAGATCAAAATTTGTAAAGTCGAGTTGCTTCTGCATTGATATACAGTTGTAGAATTGACCGTCTTGCTTTATATTTTAAAATGTTTAACTTTTCAGCCGTGACGGTAGACGAAAATATATGAGTTGAGTTCTAAGTAGCCTCTCCTCATTTTTTGAGCTAGCCTGCATCTGCCCAACCTCTTAAAAATGGGTTTTTTTGACGCTTGCTCAAGATTCCTTTCAAACTTACAACTAATATTTCAAGTTTCCATTCGCTCGAATTTCACTGCGTTTTTATCAAATAAAAATTGCATCAAGAAGCTAACTTGATGCAAGTCTAGTTCTTCATGGGTTAACGAATATGATAGTCAAAATTGCAGGGGTTTCCAGATTGATTATCCCAAAATTTCTCTCTCAGTTCCCTCGACAACAATATTGTATTTTATTTCTATAGGACAGTTTGACGGCTCACCGAAGAATCGTCGTAAAATTAACAGACCCAAGCACTATAAGCCCGAGATGGACGAAAATGATCATTGCGAACAAAGCTCAACCAAGCATGCGTCCAAAGGCTTCGACGGATTAGCAGCGGCTACCGAAGGAAGCGTGATTCGAGAGCAGCAAAACTCAGTCGAAGAACGCCTTTTTCAAAATGCCGTGCACGTCTTGACTGCCAGTCAAAATCGTAGAAGGACTGCAACAAATCTCTCGTCAAAACCTTCGCCAAAACCGAAGGGAACACCCGCGAACAGATCACCGAACAAGAAGGGTAAGCAAAAACCAAAAGTCCCGCGAAAGCCTGAAGATTTAATCAAGGAGTCAATGACTTTTGAGAGTCCCCTGCGCCCGCAAACAAAAGAGACGCCCAATACCGTAAGTCCTATGCGTATAAAATATGGAAGGAGAGAGGAAATAGACAAGATGAAAATGTTGGTAAAGTGAAAAACAGCCATCTACTGGCTCAAGGTTTGTAAATTTTCATCATCTTCTTGTTGCGTTGATTGACGTGAAACTTAAATAACTATGAAACGAATTTTTTGTCTTAGATATAATACTTCCTCAGAACTGTTATCGGCTTTCCCTTTCCCCACGTCAATGTTTGCTTGCCTGCTTCGGGAACTATTAAAGATTTTCGTGATATGTAAATTTGAGAATTTGTGGTCGGTCGTTTTTTACTTCACGCGTCTTGAAATCATAATTTATTTAGTTGAAACGATGCAAAATAGCACGTGTTTTATCGAAAAGAAATTATTGTTGTCTATCGATCACCTAGACGGTATAAATCTTTTTTTATTATTGACCTGTATATAATGCAAGAACCGAATGTGTTAAACAAGAAACAATCGATCGCAAATTTTTAAATGAACGCCAAAGCTCCAGGCGAAAGCTTGCAAAACATCCATGTTAATAAATTCTATTCCAGTTTTATGAAATCTTTGTTTATAAGAAAGATATGTTGTCATACCACTCTTGAGCCGATTACCATATGAATAGAGAATCGTCGTGCACGACTGGAGCATTTTCACTGATTTATGTTTAGGACGATCGCAATATCAACATGCCGGGACCTACTTTTGGTCAGGTGAAACTCGCCACGGTAGACCTACATCGGGATTTATTGTGAACGGCGGACTCCATCCCGCGAATGCTCGAAATTTGCTATCGAATCCCGAAACTGTGTTAACGAATTCGGATAGACCACAGCAACCGTTGTTATCTCAAAAGATCGCTGCATTTTCTGCCCGTACAGACAAGGCTGTGTTACCTATGAGCTCTGCTGATTTTGAAACGGTCGGTAATTCCGGTTTGAAAATTCCAACAAGCAAGGTTATTCCACCCAATGTGACTGTGTTTCGACAACCAAGCACAAGCGAAACGTACATAGCTCCGATTACAGCGGGGAAATCGCAGGGAATCAAATCACCTGTGATCAAAACTCCACCCTCGGTGAAATGCCCAGAGCGCAGATCTCCTATAAATGAAGCAGATTCATCCGAAAAACGTTTCCAAGTTTCAAAACAAAGCGTCGATTTTCCTTCTTCGAAATCTGATGATGATAATGAGCCTGTTAGCAGCCGAAGTAATTTCATTTCAATAATGAAGACGACATTGGGCGAAAAACCTTCGAAAGAAAACGTGCAACCGAACACCAAGCGAAAGAATTTAGACTCGACAAGCGACGGCGAAGGTCCACCTGCAAAAAAGAATGGCAAATCGACCATTTTTACTCCTCTCAATGAGCACGAGGCGGAGAAATTGGCAAATGACATTTACGATGTGAACGTGGAGTACTTCCCGATCAAGACTCTAGCAGAGAAAGCAGCCCAACGTGAGCCACAACCTGTGGAACCCGAAAATGTGGAAAAGAACAGGAAGGTGGAAGAAATCGATAAAGTCCGGTAAGCCTAGACTTTTCACTTAAATTACCTTTAACTTCGCAGACATCTTTTGATTTGTTAGAACTCTCGATTTATCAACTCCATTGTCGCAGAAAGGTTCATCAAAAATTTCTTGCCAACTTGTGGGAAAACGAGACTTCTTACCAATAGAAGCTCGCGTTGCATCATAAATTGAGCCAAACATGGCACTTTGACCAATCAAATCTCTCGTTACATCTGCATTATCTGCTCTAGTGAATATGTTTTTATGTTTATTTTTCCTCACTTTCAGGTGTCTTCTTAAAGATTTCTACGACATAACATTCTCTTGCACAGAAGACCCGGACATGAAAAAGTTCGACACGGCATCCAGAAGATTTGGCCGAAAAAACATCCTCAACCATTTGTCGTTGCTCGATCAATATTTTAACGAACTTCAAAAGAAGTTAAGCGAATGAGTTCTTTATTGGTCATTTTTAACTTGTTCGTATTTTGTATTCTTGTTGTATCGGTTTGCAATCATGTTGGCCTTCATTTCAAGCAAAACATACACCAAGAAAAGCCAGAACACTAATTATGAAACGGCAATTTTGCTTGATGATAAAACTATAATGTGCATGCGTCGTGTCTAATTATACAGGTTTCTTAGTTGGTTCGATGAAAGTTCCTGTGTTTATATTGACATTATACTGTTCGTATTGACGTAATAGTTAAACAGCTTTGTTTGGTGCCAGCTTAGTGCAATTTTTTAAGAGCAATCGTTCGACACATTTCACCAGTTTATTTGTGTTGGTTTGTACGTAGTGATGTCCTTAGAAGTTTTTTATTTGAAGTTTATTTCATGTATCATGCTGATCAAAAACTTTAGCCAATTCATGTATGCATTGCTGAAATTTTTCACCGAGATATGCAACCTACATACAAACGAATATTGATTTAAATTTATTCAGGCGAAGCTGCTAGTTTTGTAAATATATTTTTGTACAGATGTACAAAAAATCTTGTCAAGCACAGAAAAAAAAGCGTACTTTCCGTGTCCCAGCGTAAGTGTGACTTGCTGAATCACCGCAATCCACCAACTAGTTCTTTCTAGCAAAAAATGAATAATTGACAGATTGAGTTGTTTCAGCATTGGTTTCTAACATGTTCTGTAGTATATTTTGCAGTGATATTCTTGTGAATACATTAATAATTGTTTTGCATTGTAAGTAACGTGACAAAAAATACAAAACTAAAAAAATGTAAACTAATATTGAGTCGATAAGTAGAAAGTATTAGTGTGAAAATATTGTTGATTACGAATATGTGAGCAGTGAAATTCAGATTAAATTAAATCTAATTTTTTTGAAATATCTAATTGCGTTAAGAAATATCAATGTAGAAGAAGCACCTTTTATGTCGTACTCATCGTCAGTATTGCCACAAGATGGCGGCTTGCCTCGCTCGCCCATCCTCGCCGCATATCGTAATTCTCGTAACAATAGAATTTGGGCAGTGTCAGGTATCTTGTGGAATTGGGTTCTAGGCCTGGGTCGTCTCTATTACTTTTCCAGCTCGGCCAACTGTGAATTTTGATTGGCTCTGGGCTCTACTCATCATTACTATCGTAACTATTTTGTCCAATTAGACCATTGTTGGCAAAGTAATGGCACGTTTCATCTCCTTACATGACGTTGCCGCAATTTTTTACTGCTGACCTTATATTCTGCTGGCGGTAAAACTATTATGTGAAGTGATTTCAATGAACGTGTATCGTAAACAGAAGGTAAACACAAAAATTTATGTCTTTTGATATTTAATTTGCAGTATTTTTGTTTTTAATCCTGAAGTACCGAAAGGGAAATTTTATGTGCAAACGATGGAACTCCTCACTGATTGTTGAGTTTGATTTCGAGCAGTTCAAATAAGAAATAGTTGTGTAACAGTGTAAGTTGAAACCGTAAATGTAATTCTTTATAAAGTTGTCAAAGAAATAAGAATATTATCTGGTTACTACTAAATTTTACACAATGTTTCTTTTCGAACTTCTACTCTTTAGACTCTTTCGGTTAGCTCATTTGTTGTAGAAGAACAGACTCCTCTTAGAGTTGTTATTAATTGTAACTTGTGTTCCCATCAATGAACTCCGGCTAGCATTTTTCCACTGCAACTGGAGCATATGTTGAGAGGCTGTTTCAGAGCCTGTTTACACAATTTCTCAATGCTGAGAGAGTTACTAATTTTTACTGCTTTTTGAACTGTAGGGCGTTGACACAAAAGATTAAGCTAACTGTGATGAATGACTTGCAGCAATTTTATGTTGATTATTGCTAGAGATGAATATGTTGAGCAATGTATTAAGGTGTTCTGTGAAGAGGTTCCAATTGTGCTAACATATAAAATACTTAAGTTGCCCTACACTAATTTGATATTTCTGGCTATTATGTTCATGCAAACCGTTCCGATGGCATTGGCTTTCAGTAAAATTCATTTTGATGGTTTTCAGCATCTCCGTTGTACGTATTTATGATGACAGACCCAGTGTATTCCGAGGCAGTGGTAAGTTTAAAAGTTACACTAGTGAACTGTGCTTGAGGTACTAGCTTCACATATCATGTTTTTGTTTAATTTCCTCTGGTAGCCAAATCCTGGACAAACTGAAGCGGGGCAGCTGCTTGCAAGTTTTTGGCCCAAAAGAACCCAAGAAATTAGGGATATGGTGCGTAAGAAGTTTCATTTTTGTCTTGGAAAAATTATGTTCTTTAAATGATATAAATTCATCTTGCTTTTGCTTTCCAGACTGACTTTAAGACTCAAGAGTTGCCTTTAGCTCGAATAAAAAAGATTATGAAACAAGATGAGGAAGTTAAGGTGAATAATTCCTTGATGCATGTGTGATGGGGTGTATAATGGCACTCCAATCGCCTTTCACAATCAAGGTTCATGTTATCCAAAAGAGAAATGCTTTTAATCAGTCAAATAAATGTTCATTCATATATATTGTTGTGAGATTTGAAAGAAGCTCCTGTCTATGTCCAGTGAATCATCTATGTCCATTGAATCATCTATGTCCATTGAATCACCTATGTTTAGTGAATCACCTATGTGTAGTGAATCATCTATGTCCATTGAATCACCTATGTCCAGTGAATCAACTATGTCTAGTGAATCACATATGTCCAGTGAATCACCTATGTCTAGTGAATCATCTATGTCTAGTGAATCACCTATGTCTAGTGAATCACCTATGTCTAGTGAATCACGTATGTCTCGTGAATCACCTATGTCCAGTGAATCACCTATGTCTAGTGAATCACCTATGTCTAGTGAATCATCTATGTCTAGTGAATCACCTATGTCTAGTGAATCACATATGTCTAGTGAATCACCTATGTCTAGTGAATCACCTAAGTCCAGTGAATCACCTATGTCTAGTGAATCACATATGTCCAGTGAATCACCTATGTCTAGTAGTGAATCACTTGGCTCTGAGTCGGTGAAAAATTCTCTTCGATTGTAACACCTTGTCCAAAGACTTGACTTGATGTCCTGTTAAATGCGATGCTTTTATCGTGCAGATGATCAGTGCTGAGGCGCCAGTCCTTTTCGCCAAAGCAGCTGAGATTTTCATCAACGAACTTTCATTGCGGGCTTGGGTTCACACCGAAGACAACAAGAGAAGAACTTTACAAAGGAACGACATCGCAATGGCAATCACAAAGTATGACATGTTTGATTTCCTCATCGACATTGTTCCTCGAGATGATCTCAAACCCAGCAAACGACAGGTATGGAGGAGTTTCAGATCTTGCCTCGAGCCCAGTACTTGCGTCATTGTAGCTATATCTTGCGTTATACATTTTTCCAAACTTGCTCGAATAAATCACGAATACGCTCAAGTTTTGTTCCACCATATCGTTTGATACACTTCATTAAATACGTGTTCCTAACATCAAAAACATTGGGCCATTTGAACATTGCAACTCCACGTTCAAACACCTTAAACGATTCTTCAAAATAATGATGTTCTTCCAAAAATACTACAAAGTAACGCGAAAGTTTTGGCTAAATGGATTAGATGGAATTTCTCGTTATTCAATCACATTTTGCGTTTACAGTTTTGCATTGTTTCGGCGATTGAAGGCTCGTTTTATCAAAAAATGCGTAGTAGTATATTGATATAACGATACTTTATTACTTACACTGAATAGCCATTAGGCTAAAATGCAGTTTGCCACAACAACAATTACAAAAGGAAATAAGTTTGATTATCTACAACTAGTAAGTATCTAAAACACTATAAATTCACATTATAACTATAAAGTATTAAGACTAGTATACCTTCTAAAATTTGATTGCAAAAATGTTAAGGTTTTGTTTCGTCAATACTATAATATTATATATGTTTACGCTATAAGAAAGCGGACTATGTTTGAATAGTTTGGCTCTACATGAGAAGCTGTAATGCATTTCTCCATTTGACGTTGTGATGATGTAGGAATTTTTGTGATAATATAGGAAGTTTGCCTGTGAAATCTATTTTAATTCTTTAATCTTGTCCAAATGATGATACCGCCTGACCCAAAGAAAAACCATCGAATATTCCATCAGTTTTCTCTACGTGTAGAATTGTTTTATTCTACTCAAAATAAGATAGTAAAAGCTTGTCGTAATTTTAAAAATTTTACAGTCATACATCCCACTCTCTTTACGTTAAATGAAAACAATCTACCAAATGTTTCTTTAAGTAAATTTTGTTGTCAAAATTTCCAGGTCTAACAAGTCGGCTGTAATGTGTAACATCAATAATTGAGTGGGCTCATACACATACGTGAATCGTATTCTGTTTTAAGTTCTATTGAAACCATTGTTTTCTGCGTATTTTAACATGCCCATATGAATATAACGTCCCCTCCCCCCCTCATCTCAATCATCGACAGTACTACAGCCCTACAAGTCGGCATTCATGTGTATATTACTTGAGCATTGTTTATACACAGGAAACCATCCGTCACACGATCATGGCACCGCAAGACCAAGTTCAGTATTACTTTCAATTCTCACAACAATACCAGCAGGTAAGATAATCGATTTAATTTGGTGTACATCGTTTATTGTTTTATCCCGGTCGGCATAACCCTCACATGCCCGTCTCGTGAACCGTGCTGGATTGGTCATTACGTATCTTCACATGCCCATCCCATGAATGGTGCACGGATGGTCATCACCTTCACACGCGTGTCCCATGAATGGTGCACGGATGGTCATCACCTTCACACGCCTATCCCATGAATGGTGCACGGATGGTCATCACCTTCACACGCCTATCCCATGAATGGTGTACGGATGGTCATCACCTTCACACGCCTATCCCATGAATGGTGCACGGATGGGCATCACCCTCACACGCCTATCCCATGAATGGTGCACGGATGGTCATCACCTTCACACGCCTATCCCATGAATGGTGCATGGATGGTCATCACCTTCACACGCCTATCCCATGAATGGTGCACGGATGGTCATCACCTTCACACGCCTATCCCATGAATGGTGCACGGATGGTCATCACCTTCACACGCCTATCCCATGAATGGTGCACGGATGGTCATCACCTTCACACGCCTATCCCATGAATGGTGTACGGATGGTCATCACCTTCACACGCTCATCGCACGAACCTTACAGGAATAACCATTGCCCTTCAACGCCTATCCCAATGCAGTTTTTCGTAGTTCTATCTCTTTGTGCAATGATAGCTTACTTTTGTTTCTCTCTCTTCTATAAAAGCCTCACGGTGTCCAAGCCAATCAAAATCAAGCCCAGCAGCTTCAGGTAACCAATCAACCACAGGCAGCAATCATTGGTGGTATAGCTCAACCTCAACAAGGCGCGGTCGTCGTTTCCATGCCTACCGTGAGTATCCGTTAGCGAGTTTTTTATCAACATATAACTATTGGAGGCGATGTATACTTCAATCAAAATTCAAAGCATTCATTACATCTTCCAGAAAAGACGATATTTTTCCTGACGAAATAAAATATGCAAGCAATGCTTATATATATACAACTCTACGAGAAAAAGCTTCGGCAGTACTTGATATAATACACAAGAAAGAAAAAATCCTTATGGCTACATTTCGCTTACATACGCTTACTTTTCTAATTAAATGTGGTTTGTTTCAGGCTCAGCAGCAACTAATTCAAACCCAACAGCCAGATCAAGGGGAAGCAACGTATCAGGTTGGTCGATCTTTATTTCTGCTGCATATTGATATAAAGGAAGACGACGCCAGTTGAGACTTATGTAAAGTTTCTTCTAGTGGATCCATTCCAGATCGGTTTAAATATTCGTTATAATAACGATGTTCGAATCTTATTCCTTCAGATTCCCTTCCCGAGTTCAATGCAGTACATTAATCGCATACAACAAATGGCGACCGTGCAACAAATACAACAGCAACAACAGGTGCAACCGGGGCAACAGACGCAACAACAGACCGGAACTGTTCAGGTGCAGGGTGTCGTCACTTCACAACCGCAACTGGGGCAAGCGCAGGTCGCTCAGGTGCAACAAGGAGCCATGCAAGCACAGCAGTCTCAACCTGGTCAGCAGCAAGTCGCGAGTCAAGAAATCGAGCAATCGTCGGACGCGCAGAATGTTAGACAAACTATGACGCAAGCTTCTGGAACTCCGCAGCAATACGCCTCATTTGTTGGTCAGGTAAGGTTTTTGTTGAAAGCTCGTAAGCAGGCAACCATTCTTGAATTTTTGGGTGTATCAAAGATGTTTAATTCCCCCCTTTCTAATGATATTCTTTTTGCTATAATTCCGCCATGTTTGAGGTCAGATACAAAAGAATTTACTATCACTACTATTGTGAGCTTCCAGATGGCGTGGGCGAACTTCCTTATTTTCTGTGGCCACTGTAGTGACTGAAACCCAAGAATAACGCGCAATTGTAAACCAAAGTTCGCGTAGCCCGATTGAACGTCTGTTGTGGGTCTTGTTCAGAACAGCATCGAAAGTTTCCTGTTGTCATATTCTATTTTCGTTTTTATGTAGATCTATCAATTGACTGCACCGGGGCAAGACGGTTCCCAACAAGTCTACATCGCCGCGACCCCGGAACAAGCACAACAGCAAGCTCAACAGGTGCAGGTAGCTCAAGCAGCGCAACAAACTTCCGGTCAGCCGGAGAACGAACTCTCTCAAACTTCCGATCAGCAACAATCGCAGTAGCAATAACGAAAAGGTACCGTTTATTGCGTTCGAGTACTACTTATTGGGGGGGAGGGGGGTTATTGGGGAGGTTTGGGGCTGGGTAAAGGGTGTTTCAGTAGTACATGCTGGTATATCTTGTGCTCACGGTCTGTGGCGGAAACCTTGTGAATTGTCGAAGGAATAAACGATTTGGCTTGTCGGAAAAGGTGTTCAGATCTTTAAAAGTTTGGAATAGGATTCGTCGATGACTTATTTCCGACTTACCGCAATTAGGCACTCGGTGTGCGCAATATGCGAAAATTGTCAGGTTAATAAATGAAATATCTCGAAATCACGCTATTTCGCTGTAATCTTAGAAAAAACTTCTTGCACAAAGAGTCAGTTGTAAAAAATTATATTTCCTATAAAACGATAAACTACCGATTACATGTCTTGATCAAAAGAAAAGTATATAATATTACGACGGCAACACTTGAATAGCAAAAATTTAATGACATTAAGAATTCGCTTCATTCTTTGACGAGAATAAACTTTCGGTCAACAAAACATCATCGATATTGAACTATTTGGAAAAATGAATTGTCCAGTATCCGAATTAATTTTTCCAAAATAAAAAAATTTGTTCACTAAAGTTCGCATTTCATACCACGACACAATTGAATAACTTATTTCGAATGAAGTCTTTCGCAACGACGACAAACTATAGCATGAGCGAAAGGTGTAAAATGCCAAATTAATTTCCAGCAAATTTTTGCGATACGTTTTACTGCAATTCGACATAATTTGCGGGAAATATGCCAACTTTTCCGCGACAGCAGCCACGCCACCATCCTTCGTCTATCTGCTCGATGTTTGTGATTATCTCGTCGGGGTCAAACGTCAGTTCGTCATCATCAGCTTAAATGAAACAGAAATTGCAACATTTCTTATTCAAAAAAAGGCACAGAGTATGTGTGATTAGGATAACATATTATGTGTCATTTTGATGACACACTACGTGTAATTAGGATGACATACTTCGTATAGTTAGATTGACATATGCGGGTGATTTGGATGAATACTTCGTTTGATTTTATTACGTGTAATTTGATGACATACTACCAACGTGTAATTTGGGTGAAATACTACCAACGTGTAATTTGGATGACATACTACCTACGTGTAATTTGGATGACATACTACCTACGTGTAATTAGGATGATATACTACCTACGTGTAATTAGGATGACAAACTACCTACGTGTAATTTGGATGAAATAATACCTACGTGTAATTTGGATGACACACTACCTACGTGTAATTTGGATGAAATACTACCTACGTGTAATTAGGATGGCATACTACCTACGTGTAATTTGGATGACAAACTACCTATGTGTAATTTGGATGACATACTACCTATGTGTAATTTGGATGACTTACTACCTATGTGTAATTTGGATGACTTACTACCTATGTGTAATTTGGATGACATACTACCTATGTGTAATTTGGATGAAATACTACCTACGTGTAATTTGGGTGAAATACTACCTACGTGTAATTTGGATGACACACTACCTACGTGTAATTTAGATAAAATACTACCTACGTGTAATTAGGATGGCATACTACCTACGTGTAACTAGGATGACATACTACCTATGTGTAATTTGGATGACATACTACCTATGTGTAATTTGGATGACTTACTACCTATGTGTAATTTGGATGACTTACTACCTATGTGTAATTTGGATGACATACTACCTATGTGTAATTTGGATGAAATACTTCCTACGTGTAATTTGGGTGAAATACTACCTACGTGTAATTTGGATGACACACTACCTACGTGTAATTTAGATAAAATACTACCTACGTGTAATTAGGATGGCATACTACCTACGTGTAACTAGGATGACATACTACCTACGTGTAATTTGGATGACAAACTACCTACGTGTAATTAGGATGACATACTACCTACGTGTAATTTGGATGAAATATTACCTACGTGTAATTTGGATGAAATAATACCTACGTGTAATTTGGATGACATACTACCTACGTGTAATTTGGATGAAATAATACCTACGTGTAATTTGGATGACATACTACCTACGTGTAATTTGGATGACATACTACCTACGTGTAATTTGGATGACATACTACCTACGTGTAATTTGGATGACATACTACCTACGTGTAATTTGGGTGAAATACTACCTACGTGTAATTTGGATGACACACTACCTACGTGTAATTTGGATAAAATACTACCTACCTGTAATTTGGGTGAAATACTACCTACGTGTAATTTGGATGACACACTACCTACGTGTAATTTGGATGACACACTACCTACGTGTAATTTGGATAAAATACTACCTACGTGTAATTTGGGTGAAATACTACCTACGTGTAATTTGGATGACACACTACCTACGTGTAATTTGGATAAAATACTACCTACGTGTAATTAGGATGGCATACTACTACGTGTAACTAGGATGACATACTACCTACGTGTAATTTGGGTGAAATACTACCTACGTGTAATTTGGATGACACACTACCTACGTGTAATTTGGATAAAATACTACCTACGTGTAATTAGGATGGCATACTACCTACGTGTAACTAGGATGACATACTACCTACGTGTAATTAGGATGACATACTACCTACGTGTAATTAGGATGACATACTACCTACGTGTAATTAGGATGACATACTACCTACGTGTAATTAGGATGAAATACTACCTACGTGTAATTAGGATGACATACTACCTACGTGTAATTAGGATGATATGCTACCTACGTGTAATTAGGATGACAAACTACCTACGTGTAATTTGGATGAAATAATACCTACGTGTAATTTGGATGACACACTACCTACGTGTAATTTGGATGAAATACTACCTACGTGTAATTAGGATGGCATACTACCTATGTGTAATTTGGATGACATACTACCTATGTGTAATTTGGATGACTTACTACCTATGTGTAATTTGGATGACATACTACCTATGTGTAATTTGGATGACATACTACCTATGTGTAATTTGGATGACATACTACCTATGTGTAATTTGGATGACTTACTACCTATGTGTAATTTGGATGACTTACTACCTATGTGTAATTTGGATGACATACTACCTATGTGTAATTTGGATGACATACTACCTATGTGTAATTTGGATGACTTACTACCTACGTGTAATTTGGATGACATACTACCTATGTGTAATTTGGATGACATACTACCTATGTGTAATTTGGATGACATACTACCTATGTGTAATTTGGATGACTTACTACCTATGTGTAATTTGGATGACTTACTACCTATGTGTAATTTGGATGACATACTACCTATGTGTAATTTGGATGACATACTACCTATGTGTAATTTGGATGACTTACTACCTACGTGTAATTTGGATGACATACTACCTATGTGTAATTTGGATGACATACACCTATGTGTAATTTGGATGACTTGCTAACTATGTGTAATTTGGATGAAATGCAACGTGTATGCTATCAAACGTACCTGCTTGATAATCGTATAAGGCAACAGCTGTTACACCAGTGTCCTAAAAACAAACATTAAAAGATAAAATTGGTTGAGAAAACAAATGAGATCATCCTTTGAATTTTTGCTGAGCACAGTCATCAATGTTTCCATAGGGAAAACGATGAATCGAACTCAGAGATTTCTCTTGGGGAAAGCAATATTCCCGCGCGACTTACGGTCAAAATTTCAATTGCCCGATCTACGGTGTAGATAAAACTTTAACACCGTTTCATTAGCCACATTTTCCAATTTTCTTCACCTACTCTTATGACCTGGAATATGTTCTATGCTGACGTCATTGCACCTTTCACTCGTGTAATCTTTATTGTTACATTACGTCAAAGCTATATCGCTTAAATATTAAGAACTTACGACAGTATCATCAACGTTGCCGTAAAGATGATCATCCTCTGGTTCATTGTAGCCATAATCATCGCCAGTGTCTTCATAATTACCGCCAGGGGCTTCGGCACGTTCTGCTTCCTCGCGTGCTCTCGCCTCAGCTTCGGCACGTTCTGCTTCCTCGCGTTCTCTCGCCTCAGCTTCGGCACGTTCTGCTTCCTCGCGTTCTCTCGCCTCAGCTTCAGCACGTTCTGCTTCCTCGCGTTCTCTCGCCTCAGCTTCGGCCAGTTCGGCCTCTGCACGTTCTGCTTCGGCTCTTTCGGATTCCTCTGCTTCTTGAGCAGCTCTTTCCCGTTCTGCCTCCTTGAAATAAAATATTTGCATGTTTTAAGGATTTCCCTTCTAAGAATTGTCTTTGAAGTTAGCCAAGCAACCAAATAGTGCATTTCGGAGCGTGTTGAGTTGAAACCTGTCAACTAAATATAAACTCCAACGTCGAGGTTGTTCAACTTAAAGCAAGTTCAAAAGATCTGTATTTTATGGTCAAAAACCAAGTTTCAAAATTGGCTTTGTTCTCGGTTATTAATTCCGACCTTTGATTTGGCTAGAAGATATCATTAAAGTTGTACAAAGTAGTTTCGTGGTCGAAATTTATCGTTGTGATAACCGAGTTCTATTCAAACCAGTCATCCAAGTATCGAAAAGAAAAATTACCTGAGCCTGTCGTCTTTCGGCTGCTTCGCGTTCTCTCTTCTCCCGTGCAATGCGACGGGCCTTCTCCTCTTCGGCTCTCTTTCTGTCTTCCTGTATGAAACAAGTCAAATTCTTATCACCCATTAAATGCGTTCATCTCTGGTAAGTGCACTCTCAGGTACGTAATTTGGCCCCAGTCTTTCAAACTGAAGTTTCAACGTTGACTAATGTCTTACTTTACCTCTTCGCCGGCTTTCGCCATGTTTTCAAAGCGCGCTTTCAGACTTCCCGCAGCTCCTATGAAGAAAGTCATCACCCATTGTAGTGTGAGTTATGGCTTTACATCATACACAAACATTACCATCGGAGAGATTTGCAATCAGACCACCAACGCTTGGTTGCTTAACCAATCAGACTGCAGTATGTCTCAGTTATAGTTATTCCTTACAAATATATGCAATGACCACAAACCTGTGCTCACGCTTGGCTTCGCTGTTTTGTAAGTCGATTTCACATCGCTCATGTCTTCGAATGTTCCGGCAGACTGTATTGCAAAGAATGATAACAAAACCGGTTAAAGTTTTTTCGTTATTGCCTAGAGGTCTTTGGTTTGTTTTCAAACAGTTATATTTTTTTCCGCTGGGTTTAAACTACGTGAATCATTAATCCTTATTACTATATGGGAAGCATCAGTTTCGGTGAAATAACGCCTTTGATTGGCTTAGAAGCATTTATGGCGGTATGTTGCATTCCTATAATATACTGTTATGAAATAACAAAGAAAAGTAAACAAATTTCCTAAAGCAAACAGCAGAACTATTTCTGTAAACGTTTATAAACATCACCTCGTCAACACGATCGGTTTGCACACCATATTTCCCGCCGAATCCAGCAGAATAATCTGTTCAAATTGACGTTCAATTCAGCAAAAAGTCAATTAACACATACAACATTCTGGAATTAAGTCTTTACCTTTTTGCGAAGCATGTTTCTCTGTTACCGATTGGTATTCGTATCCCACTGCGGACTGAAATTGGGATAACAGGGGATATAACATGATCAGTTTGTCGTAATGTGTGTACTTTTGCAAATCCCATGATTTCATGGTGTAAAGCAAGCGCTTTCTTCCATTTCTCTTACCTGCCCCCCCCCTGCGCGCGCCAAATACACACACAGAACAGACAAAAGGCATTTTGGATTTGAAAGTCCTCAAAGAAATTCTGTATTTCCTAACCTTATCGACTCGATCCGTTTGGACCCCGTACTTTCCTCCAAAACCAGTTGAATAGTCTTTAAAAAAGAAAAATCTTACGTTCGCGACGTTCAGTGAATCCTCCCCCCACACAACCAATCGTACCTTTCTGAGAAGCATGTTTCTCTGTTTTTCCTTCATAATCCCAACCTTCAGCACTCTAAACACATGGATTATTACAATATTGCACAACTTACAAATATGAAATACGACAGTATAAGTCAATCGACAAATTAACCAAAAATGATGTTGCCAACATAAAGACACATTGCACTGGTAAAAGTTAGCCATGCAGTCATCAAAGATATTCTTTGTTTACTAACTTTATCGACTCGATCTGTTTGGACCCCGTACTTTCCGCCAAAACCAGTTGAATAGTCTTTAAAAAGAAAAATATTAGGCTCGCTACGTTCAGTTAACCTTCCGCAACCACACAGCCAATTATACCTTTCTGAGAAGCATGTTTTTCTGTTTTTCCTTCATAATCCCAACCTTCAGCACTCTAAACACATGGATTATCACGTGATAAAAAACTAAAAACTTCGTGATATTATATATTTATATGTACAAAGTGTACAACAATGGGCCCTCCGGGCTATCGCCATAGCGCAATGGTGACTCCTGCGAAATGGTGCAATGGTGGCGAAAGCGTAAAGGTGAACGTCTCATTATGAGACTCTCTACACAATGCATATATATAAATACTAGCCTTGTCAACGCGATCTTTTTGAATGCCATATTTACCACCAAATCCTTTGCTGTAATCTACACGATACACATGCATGGCTTTGTTAACTGACATCTTAAGTCAAATCTGGGCAATTTAACAACAGTCAAAGTCACATTCTTGAGAGCAATAGTGACACGAATGGATGCAAAATTGAGTCGGAATTTTCAAACGAGTTAACTAGTAATTACACAAATATCAACAAAACAAGTTCTTTTCTCTTTACCTTTCTGCGATTCATGTTTTTCCAACTCGGCCTGGTACTCCCAACCCTCAGCTGACTAAAGTAAATTATAAACTATTTTCCAGTACACTGTCAAAGTGCCATTGACATCTCACATGCAAGTTATACTTTAGCTGCCTACCTTATCAACTCTGTCTTTCTGAACGCCATATTTTCCACCAAATCCCTTGGAATAGTCTGGCAGGAAAAATCAAGACATTTGCTTTTTGTGTAGTTTCCACAACCTTATCACTGACATTTGTGAATTACTGCAAGTTTATTTTAAGATTTAAGGAAACCTCAGTTGGATTGCATGATTTGTCGTGTCTGTTTACCTTTTTGCGAGGCATGTTTTTCAGTTTTGCCTTCATAATCAAAGCCAACAGCAGACTAAGCGAAATAAATGGTCTGAGTCAAAAACATACTTCATTACTCAACAACTTTGTTGTATAACTGAATGAAAGCACCTGTTATAAATCTCTAATTAATACCTTATCAACGCGGTCTTTTTGAACTCCAAACTTGCCACCAAATCCCTTGGCTGCATCAACTTGAGAGCTATGCTTGGACAGGTCTTCAACATGATCATGACCCAAAGCAGACTAAAATGGAAAGCATTTTTCCTCTGTTCATTCTCTAAAAAATATCACATCTTTCAAATCACTCTAACCTTATCCATTCTATCTTTCTGAACCCCAAATTTACCACCATATCCGTAAGATGCTTTGGGTCTATTTAGTGAAGTTAGGCTGATAACTTTGATTTACAATGAAAGACACAGTGTTGTATAAAAAAGCATTAGTGAAATTCTTTTAGAATTAAAAACAAGCTTTATGCAATGTGCAATTGCTATATATCTCACTAGTCTGCTCATTTTTGGAAATGGCTTCATAGTGGTTGTAATAAAAAAAAGGATACCCTTTCTCCGCTTCATCTACAAAGATATATTATGTGGACATGCTCAATATAGTACATGCATTTGAGTGGTTAAGATCTTCATTTTTGAAGTGTCAATTAGAAAGATTACCTTTCTTAATATCTTGATGATCTTTAGTGACATTCTTTCTTAGATCGTTGATGCTATAAAATTACATGCATGACATCATAACGACAAAATTTATCAATAATTTATGAAAACAATTTGATGAACACACTTAATTGATTCCATGTGACCTGAGCCTTCCACAGTTTTTGCTCCCCATCTTTGTTCCTTCTCGGAAACATCATTCTGTTGTAAAATCAAACATTTCCAAGTTAACCGAATAAAATGTAAAGTTATGAGAGGTTTTGCTGTTGCACAAAGGTAAAAAATGGGTCACATGTGCAAAATTACTCATACATGTCACTTTAGTGTAGGATTTTATGCCATCTTTCCAGACTGCAAATTGTGGCATGTTTTAACAAGATCTCAAGTGTGTTAATAGGTGCATTCAGACAGAAGTGACCCAAGATTCAAAATATGCATGCCTAAAAGCCTAGTTTTGACAAAATTACACACCCAAGATCTTCAGTACACTGTACAAACATTATAGTCTAGTCAAAATACACACAAATTTTTCAGGTGCAGCAGCCTAATACACGTGGAATACTTGTTAGTTTCAATTTTTTTATTCAGGTACAGTCTGTCGACTATACTGTTGAAATATATCAAGCACAGAGTGCCCATTGCCACACTCCCAAATCTGGCAAACTTTCAATGAGGATTATGAGGTGATCATTCATTACTTCTAAAAGTTAAAGTTTTGGCAGACTGTAAAAATATCAACACTGTGTTGCTTCAGTACATTATTTATTTGATGTGCAGAGATTAACCAAACGTTAAAACGCTGTTTCCTTATAGCCAGTATTTCGCTTTGAAGTCCGGAAATAGTCATACATATTTGATATTACATATTCAAAGCAATAGAATCATAGGTAATCAGGAAAATACCTAGACTTAGAACATGCCATTCGTATAAGAACAAACAGCAAACTATCTCTAACGCTATCGTTATTATAAAATTGTACAAAAGATGCTTTACATTTAGACCTACTCGATTTCTAAGAAAACTGTAACTTAGAGTATCTAATCCGTTCAGATATTATGAATCGTTTGAGCAGTAATATACGCTCACCACAAAATCAGGATCGGTTTCCCAATCGTCGTCGTCTCCGTTATCCATCTGAACATTATGGCCTGCTGCTGCTTTCCACATTTTCTTCGAAATTGAAAAAAAGTTACTGACTTTGCTCTGTTGTCAGACGATTTCTATTTGTGTTGTAAACACAACGCACTTCCCTACTTCCTGTCTATTTTTACCACACCTCTTTCCCCACGCGTGTGCACAATAGCTCCACGCGATAAAAACCATGATATGATATGATATGGACTTGCTCTGGGCCGAAATTTTGTTTGGTTTGAATTCAAAAACAGTGATTATTTTTGTTTATATCGCTTTTTGAAAGATTGCTGATGCTCTGCTTACATTTTGGAAAAGTCACAATTAGACAGGTGCTACCATTGGGGTACCATAGGACCACCAGTGGTCCAGTGCCTTGGCCAAATAGCCAGTGAACTCTAAAACAACTGGAAGGCTAATCATTATACAAATGCCTAGACCAGTGAACTCCATATATATATATCTGGAATGATAACCACAATACATTTTATAGATATAAAATTGAAGCCAAAGTCCTAGTCTCTTGCGCGGTTTGTACGTCAGTTCCAGTCCTTCAAAGTCGAATATTCACGCGGTTTGAACGTCAGTTTCATTCCCCTGAGTGCCAAACATACACGGCCAATATAAATTTGAATACAAATTGCAAAAGCATAAACATATAAACAACATCACGACAAACAACACACGAGGCCAACTCATCGCAAAGGTTATTTTTACAGCTGAAACTTTACTACAGTGAGTTCGTTTTAACTTACAACTTGTAACGAGGAAAAGCCAACTGAAAATTACACTGTGTTTGCTAAAAAGACAATACAATAGAAAATATGACGAAAAAATATTCAAGCATAAATTTTTCTTTCGTCGGAAGGTAAACTTTCAAACGGAAAACAAAAAAGACAGTGTTTGTCTTTTTTGTCATTTAAGTGGATTTTAAGATCTGTTTTTCCGAATAAAAAAGAAACTTGAATATCCAGTTTCATAAAAAATATCGAGTCTATAACTCGCATTTTTACTTTTTACAGAGCGATTGTATTTTTCATCGATTTTGATAGTGCTTGAAACTTGAAATACTAAATGGTTGTCATCTCGATATCAATAATTGAATATCCTTAAAGACTTTGATATGTTTTAACAGAAAACCGCAGCGTTAGAGCAGATCGACTAAGTTCACCTCATCTTGCTTCTCGATTTATCACTTTGATTCACTTTCCGTGAACCTTTTCATTACAAACATTTCGTTATTTTTACGCTCTGATCAAGATCCGAACTCTACCATTACCAAGGGACAAATGATTTAAAAAAATAAAATGAACACGCGAGAGACTAGAGCCTGACGTGTGATGACGAATGATGACAACAAATATTTTTTTGGCTTCAATTTTTGGCTTCGGTTATCATTCCAGTTATTCAAATGTCGAGTTCACTGGCCTAGACTTGACTGAAGCCACTTAGCCGCTTCGCGTGTATCTCGCGTGGACTGTTTTATTTGCGCGACGGATTGTTTTGCAAAAACTGCTAACTTGGAAAAAGAATGCTAGCCTAAATGTTTTATTTTTTTCAAAACCGTTAGCAAAATTTGGTTAATTAATGTCTTAAGATGCACTGTGGACGTTCCAAGACATGTTTTGTATACGTAACGCTGTATTATATAAAACATAAAAGTGAGAACTTGCTTCGAAATATGAATTTCTTATTTGTCGTCGAAAGACCAAAAATTTAAGATAAAACTGATAACAGGTAGTCTGTATCTTTAAATGCTGTGCAAAATACACACAATCCACTTAATATAACATGTTTCATAGCAATTTTATTGTTTTTAAAGTTAGATTTGCTTAGTAAGAATTTCACATGCTCTTTTTGTAATGTGTGAAAGTGATGATTTGAAATTTTGAATTGTGGGTGATTGTTGGTTCTTGTCATTTACTTCTCCCACTTCTTAAGAACTGGTGGAAAATTTGACATACATCCACATTTGTGTATTGAGCATTTTATCAGCAAGTTCATGCTCATAAATAAATAGCCAAGTGTACACTATGACAAGTATTGCTAATATAACCTGCTCTACATAAATGCCAAAAAGCAACCCTCGTCCTCAGTGGTTTGAACCAGGGTTTTAAAATGATTTTAAAGCAGGCAAAGCTAAATTATGTATCAAAATTTTATAGTATATCATATTGATTGTAAAATTAGTTTTTTCTTGTAATACAGATGATGATAAATGTATATGTAATACATTATATTTTAGGATGTGTGTTTAAAATGTTTGGTCATATTTGTGAAAATATATGATGATTCTATAATATTAGGCTAATAATCTTTTTTATACCAAAAATCATGACCAGCCGACAATTTAAAGAAGTATAATATAAAACAAATTCCGAAGAAACAAGACATCTTGAGATTGCAAAATATGAATCAAGACAAGACGAGAAGTAAACTGTAATAAAGTAAATGGTTTGAACCCGGGAGTATCGTTATATGTTTGTAAATGATGATCGTCCAGGTTAATAAAGTCCTGAGAAGGACTATTTTTGATGTTGTTGACTTACGTTTCGACAACCTTAGCGGTAGTCATCTTCAGAGTCAAATGAGGAGTAAACGTCAGGTTAGCCGTATTTATTGTCTGGTTCTTACGTCATTGTATTGTGTGTACAGGAAATGTGCAGGAAATGTATTGTCATTGTGGATTAGTGTGAAGTGAAATATTTTATTTTTAGTTGTGATATGTGATTTAGGTGTGACGTTTTAGTTGTAATGTGTCAATTATGTATTGTCATTGTGAATTAGTTTGAAGTGTAATGTTTTAGTTGATCGTTTGTTTGTATTGTGAATAAGTCGTTTGTAAGGTGCCGGTAATTGCTGTGATCTGTTCAGGGGTTTGTTCCAAGTTGGTATACCAACTTTCTAATGTAAGCCGTTGTCTATAGTCAGTACTGTAAGTGATGCATTTTGCCGAGTCCCAGTCAATGTTGTGCTTTGTGATTCGGTGATGTTCGGCAATGTGATTAGTTTTGTCTTGTTTCTTAGTAGCTCGTTTGTGCTCAGTAAGTCTTATGTTTAAGTTCCTGCCAGTTTCCCCGATATAGAGGCGTGGCAGTCGGAGCAGTTTATTTTGTAAACTGCACCTTGTCGTTCGTTAGGTTGTTCTTTGTCCTTTATGTTCGTTAGTACTTGTCGTAATGTTGTGATTGGTTTGTGTGCGACACGTATGTTGTATGGTCGTAAGATACGCGAGATAGTCTCAGACGTACCTTTGATGTAAGGTATCGTTGCTGTTGTCACTGAGTTGTTCGTTTCGTTGGGTTCGTTGGGTTTGTAAGTGTTGCGTTTGATAAAGTCAGAGTTATAGTTGTTTTTGTCAAAAACACGTTTGAGATAGTTGTTTTCATTTTGTAGAGCGTCCGGTGAATCACATATGATTTGTGCACGTCTTGTTAATGTTCTGATTGTGGTGGCTTTGTGTGATGTAGGGTTGTAAGATGATTGGTCTAGTAGTCGGTCAGTATGTGTTGGCTTGCGATAAACTGTTGTTCCTAGTTTTTGATTGTCATGTTTAACCAAACAGTCGAGAAGTAAACTGTAAATTTTCGACTTTATTTCAAAGTCATCCTCAGACAGAATGAGGATGACTTTCTGTCTGAGGATGACTTTGAAATAAAGTCGAAAATTTACAGTTTACTTCTCGTCTTGTTTTGATTCATATTTTGCAATCTCAAGATGTCTTGTTTCTTCGGAATTTGTTTTATATAATCTTTTTTATATACTTGTATTACAGTACAATTTTTGCTCAAGTGTTTCAAAAGTTATGAATACGGAATGTCATTTGTGTTTTTGTCTTTTTTTAAATGGGTATTGACTGTTTTTTAATATTGTCTCTTTTATGGTGCAACTAATAATAACACAATAGTATGGCATAACAATTTTTTTTAAAACGAACTCAAAATATTTTTTTGCTAATATTATGAAATATTTTGCAAAGTGTTTTTCTTTTTTTTATGCTCTGAACTTTCAAAAAGGACTGGGGCGAGCTAATTTTGCTCGGAAACACAAAATTTACCGAAAAACAGCGTTTTTTGCCCTGACAGCTTCATTTTCAAAGATTCAAACAATATTATAAGGATGGACAAGTGTGTTTTACATCCTTTTAATGAAAAAAAACGAGAGGTGTCAGTTTTGTATTCAAGTTATAAGGCATGTTTTCACGTGCCAAAACAAAGTTCGCTTTTCATCCTTCTAAAAAGAAGCTTAAACATGTACAAATGTCGTTCAAACTTGTTTTATATTGAAGTCTAAACATTGTTCAAGGTTTTTTGACACTAAGCAGGCTCAAAGACCACTGTTTTTTGCAAAATATCCGGCAATTTCGAAGTGATATATTTCGCCTCCGTACCCTCAATGGCGGCGATCATGCAGGCTTCAAAGATGGCGTCCAAGTTAGCCTTCCAGTTGTTGTAGAGTTGTTGTAGAGTTGTTGTAGAGTTCAAAAACAGTGATTATTTTTGTTTATATCGCTTTTTGAAAGATTGCTGTTGCTCTGCTTACATTTTGGAAAAGTCACCATTAGACAGGTGCTACCATTGGGGTACCATAGGACCACCAGTGGTCCAGTGCCTTGGCCAAATAGCTTAAACAAAAATCGCGCATGCGTGACGTTTTGTTGAAAAACAAATGTCATTAATGTATTTTGCAATTGTTAAATCGCAAAAAAGGCAAAATCACATCACAGTCTCACAATCATTTTTGCAGACGTAAGTTTAATTTAATTGTGTTTTAATCAATGACATTTTCTCGTATTTTTCTCCTTTGGAAAGCCATGAAAACGCACGACCAACTTTCGCTTACTATTTCTATATGACGAAATCAAGTTAATAATCAAACAATTTACTTGTAGTCCCTGACGTACATTCATAACATATGTAAATCAGGGGGAGTTTATAATGCCCTTTTTAGCGCGACTAAATTCAAAACAATAACATTCCAATATGATTCACGAAGCGAAAGCACAGTGTCCATTCATTCAAAATTGTCGAAGCTCTTCCGTGATGGCTTGTAGAAAGATTACTCTAGCTGTGTGCTCGCTAAATCAATGGGCCTTGGACTTTGAAGGCAATCTGAAGCGAATCCTACAAAGTATTGGCGAAGCGAAAGAAAAAGGGGCTTGCTACAGATTGGGTCCAGAGTTGGAAGTGTCAGGTGAGATGATTTTATTCGAACCGAAATTGTCTTTGGATTCATACTTTGTTTTGTGTAGGACTCGCAAAGTTTATCTTGAACCTAGATGCTTTCTTGCGTCTTGCAATAAATTTAAATTTCATCGTTAATTTTGCTCAATCGAGAGGCCGAAGCTGGTATTTAACAAAACGAAAGATACATAGCGAAAGTGAAACAGCAATAGTATGAGTCTTTCCTCGTTAAATGTACGTGTTAGCATTTTAACAAATCAAAGTTACGAAGTGCTTAAATGCTCAAACAAAGTGTTTCGAAAATAGTCTCAAAATAACTGAAATTTTCTTGTTTCGTCTGCTGTCAGGTGACAGCTCGGTCGTGTTGAACATGCCTACCCTCAATGAAGTATATTCAATGTATTTACACAGGTTATAGTTGCGAGGATCATTTTTTCGAGGATGATACATTCATGCACTCATTTCAAGTTCTGGAAAGTATTCTTAAGTCTCCAGTTGCCCAGGATATTATCTGTGACATCGGCATGCCAGTCAAGCACAAGAATGTGCGATACAATTGCAGGGTGATATTTTACAATTGCAAGATATTGTTGATTCGGCCTAAAATGATAATGGCAAATGATGGCAACTATCGCGAGCTTCGATGGTTTTCACCTTGGGAAAAGGTACATATGGTTTCTTGCATGAAAGGTTCCTTGTTATAGTTCTTGGGCTAGCAACAGGCTTCTTGTTAATGACAATGAAAATGCAACCAAAACTTTGTTTATCTCAAAATTTTTAAATTTACTTTGTGTTAGCCCAATGATTGTTTACAAAAGTCTCAAGGTTGCTGCAATTTTCCTGCCTTTTATCAACGATGATGTTAGTTGAGTAGCAATCATCTAGTAATTGAGGAGTGCTGGTATATTTTTGTTGCATGACTATTTTGGCAATTATGAGTGCTTACAACATGCTCAATGACTAGTTTTGCCATATTTGCTCCCAGACAAGGCAAACAGAGGATTTTATGCTACCCAAGAGCATCAAGGAGATAACTGGGCAAACAAGTGTTCCCTTTGGCGATGCAGTTATCTCTACCAATGATGCCACTTTCGGAACAGAATTATGCGAGGAAATGTTCGTCCCGAATTCGCCGAGCGTACACATGGGTCTTGATGGTATTGAAATATTCACCAACCCAAGTGGAAGCTATCATGAACTGAAAAAACTTCAGAAGAAAATAGACTTGATTCAGAGTGCAACGAAGAAGGTGAAATTTTTTATTTTTTATTAGAATAAGATGTTGCTTGGTGTTTTTTTACAACACTTAAGCCCCCAATGCTGATGACAATGAGTAATGTCAGATGATTTTGCCAAAGCTGACCATCATTAGGATTGCAATATTAACTCCCTGAATTTCCTTCTCTCAGCAAAGCTTTTGGTCTTAACCAGTGGCACTAGCATGATATTTTTTGTGACGAATTTCCCTTGATATAACTTTTAAATTACATTTTGACGTTAAGAATATTTTGAGTTTTAAAAATGAAGAACATAGTAAAGAAAATATTGGGGTGTTGCCCCCCCTGGTCATGCCAACGCAAAGATTATTTTATAAATGGAAAACATGATTCAGGGGGGTAATCATTTTGACTTTAGACCGGGGGCGTGTACTTGTATGCTAATGCGAGAGGATGTGACGGTGGTCGGATCTACTTCGACGGATGCTCGTTTATCGCCGTCAATGGCGAAGTTGTTGCCCAAGGGGAGAATTTTTCTCTCCAAGAAGTTGAGGTGGTCACGGCAACCTTGGATTTGAATGACGTTTCGACGTATCGAGGTAAATCTATTCTCCACGTTTCGACGTACCGAGGTAAATTTATTCTCCACGTTTCGACGTACCGAGGTAAATTTATTCGCCACGTTTCGACGTACCGAGGTAAATTTATTCTCCACGTTTCGACGTACCGAGGTAAATTTATTCGCCACGTTTCGACGTACCGAGGTAAATTTATTCTCCACGTTTCGACGTACCGAGGTAAATTTATTCTCCACGTTTCGACGTACCGAGGTAAATTTATTCGCCACGTTTCGACGTACCGAGGTAAATCTATTCTTCACGTTTTGACGTACCGGGGTAAATCTATTCTTCACGTTTCGACGTACCGGGGTAAATCTATTATTCACGTTTCGACGTACCGGGGTAAATCTATTCTTCACGTTTCGACGTACCGGGGTAAATCTATTCTTCACGTTTCTGACGTACCGGGGTAAATCTATTATTCACGTTTCGACGTACCGGGGTAAATCTATTATTCACGTTTCGACGTACCGAGGTAAATCTATTCTTCACGTTTCGACGTACCGAGGTAAATCTATTCTTCACGTTCGACGTACCGAGGTAAATCTATTCTTCACGTTTCGACGTACCGAGGTAAATCTATTATTCACGTTTCGACGTACCGGGGTAAATCTATTATTCACGTTTCGACGTACCGAGGTAAATCTATTCTTCACGTTTCGACGTACCGAGGTAAATCTATTATTCACGTTTCGACGTACCGGGGTAAATCTATTATTCACGTTTCGACGTACCGGGGTAAATCTATTCTTCACGTAATCTCCGCTATTTTGTATGGAGCTATTAACCAACTCCGTTTTCGAATTGACATAGACGCTGACGTGAACAAAACACTGACAAATCATATTCTGTTATATTTTTTACCATCCTTCTCAGAGATAAAAAGCCCACTGTGCTGTGTCACCTGTGTGACTTGCGAAAATTGACATTTGCTTTATTGATTTCAAAAATGTCACATTTGTCCTTTCATACAGCAAAGTAATGAAAAATACTTGAATCGCTACATTCAATAATTCTATCTTGAATTGAAATAGACGTTTCATCATACGTTATATCACACATCATACAAACTTTTTAAACATATTTCCCTTCAGGCTTTATTTCAAGGAATTGCCCGCGGTTACAGATAGCTCGACCGGTTTTTTGTATAAAAGAAGTTTCTGTCAATATAAAAATAAAAATGTACCGTTTAAACACTTGTAATTCATTTGTCGAAGGATTGCTATTGTATTGTTTCCTTAGGAAAGACTAGTTCGTGTCAAAAACAGGCCGCCAAGTCGGATAAGCGATATCATCGGCTTTACCTTGATCAATACTTGTGCAAGGATGACCCGCTCATGCCCGTAAATGAGCCCGTGGAAATTAAAGTGCTTACTAATGAGGAAGAGATAAGTCTTGGTCCCGCTTGTTGGATGTGGGATTACTTGAGGCGGAGTGGTATGGCTGGTTTCTTCTTGCCGCTCAGTGGAGGTAAGTTGTTTGTGGGTAAAAAGAACAGGAATTGAAGGAATACAATTAGCTCTGGGAAGGGATATCCACGTGGTATTCTACAGCGACATATGGGAACAATCGGCATTATGACGTAAGATTGTGGTTATCGAGGATACAATGATGCGTGAAAGTGACTGTTGGGAAGTTTGAGAAGGAATGTGGATATTGGGGATACGATGATGCGTGAAAGTGACTGTTGGGAAGTATGAGTAGGAATGTGGATATTGGGGACACGATGATGCGTGAAAGTGACTGTTGGGAAGTATGAGTAGGAATGTGGATATTGGGGACACGATGATGCGTGAAAGTGTGGGAAGTATGAGAAGGATGTGGATATTGGGGACAATGATGATGATGAATTATGGAATGGGATATTGGGGATGATGATGCGTGAAAGTGACTGGAAAGGAAAGTGGAATGGATATTGGGATAATGATGATGCGTGAAAGTGACTGTTGGTATGAGAAGGAATGGATATTGGGGATACGATGATGCGTGAAAGTGACTGTTGGGAAGTATGAGTAGGAATGTGGATATTGGGGATACGATGATGTTGAGAGTGTAAGTACAGTGTGATTATTATAAGTATGACGTGATAAAGCGGTTGTGAGCGGGAAGTTGCCATGATATATTTAAGAAATAAAAGATGTTTTCGTGTTTGCACGGGCTGATGCAAACCGAGGAGACTTTTGGGAGAACTCGAGAGCAGATTAGTGGAAGCCCGAGACCGAATGTCGAGGGTCAGCACCTGCTCGAGAGTTCTCACAAATGTCTCCGAGGTTTGCATAGGCCAGTGCAAACACAAAAAACATCTTTTATTTCTTTTATAAAATAACAATAATGCGAGAAGGACAAATTTAATTTGTCCTCTAAAATGTATTCATGATCGATTTGCAAATTCTCTTTGACTGATTGATTGTTTTGATTGATTTGATTTGTTGAACTCAGATGTGTTTTGCACAGGCTAATGCTAACACGGCTCTAGACCAATCACCGCACGCGTTTTATTGTTTTAATTTATAAACAACGATAACAGTTACGCTAAAAACTAAATCACGAACATTTATTTTTATGAAATCACCAACAGGTATTGATAGCTCATCCGTCGCCTGTTTGGTTGCTTCTATGTCGCGTTTGGTCTGTCAGGCGGTGAACAATGGGAATGCACAGGTACTAGAGGATGTTAGGAGGATAGTGGGAGATACGGGATATATACCGACCAACCCGAACGAGTTTGCCAATCGTATCTTCGTTACGTGTTATATGGGTAGTGAAAATTCCTCGGAGGAAACGCGTACTCGTGCCAAAGAATTGGCTAGTGATGTGGGCAGTTATCATATGGGTAAGGACCGCTAACCATATATGTTGATCCGGTTGAAGCTGTAGGCCTGGAACTCCTTTTTAAAGGATGGCACGTATTAGGATGAAAAATATTGGTTTTCCAAATTCATCTCAATTTTTGAAGTATTTTCTTCGGCGTTTTCGAATACTAATTTGCGCAATTTCACCAGTTTCTTCATCTAAACTTTGCCGTGCGCGCTGCAAGGAATTTCACGTTTTTAGTATCAAATTCTGCCAGCCCATTTTTCAGAAATAACGGCTTTTGTTGACAAAAGTCTAGTGTTTGCGTTCGGCCTGTTTAGTGCAAGCAATGATTCTTGCTTGAATCACTAGAAGGGTTGGGCGATAATCAAACAATCAGCTCACGGTCATTTTTAAGGAAATTATCACGATATTCGATAATATCGTGATAAATACAATAGAAAAAGCACCACATAATTTTTAAATTTTGATCAATAAAATGAACTAAACATAAACAGCAAAGTAAAGTTTTATGATAGTTCCTTAATATTCAATAACAGTTACCCGCTGACACAAATGCCGTGGGCACACACCGCAAGCAAAGCCTGCATTTTTATTGTTCAGCGATCAATACATAAATATCAGTGATTAATTCCAACTTATGTACTTTTCTGTAGTATTATTTTGGTAAATTCGTGTTTGAGCAACAATTTTTCGCAATAAAAATAATCATTTCAGGTTTTATAAAAGCTAAATGTACACAAAATCAAAGCAATATCATAATAATCATCAAACATGACGATGACTTCGATAAATCGTTACTCAAGTTTCCTCCTTCGATACGATAACCGCGTAAGGAAAATAACGCAATAAATCGATTTATCGAAACATCGCCCAACCCTAATCACTATATTGTAAAAAAAGGACATTTTGTCTATTTCTTTCTCGACGTTGCTTATTCCAAAATAAGAATTTTGCAATTCGAATCATTTTATCGTAAAAGATCAATTTCTATGCTTTTCATTGATTGAATATGATTATGAATAACTTGGAATGAGTGAATTATGAATGATTCCAAATCATGAATGTTCATAAAATATTAATTTGAATGATAAGGAATGACTATAGCTACCGACGTTGTTTGTAAAAGAACTATGAATGATTGTAAATGATCGTAAATGATTCTAAATGTTTAATTTGAACACTTTAATTATGAAGAATGATTACGAATCACCGACACTGATTATGAATAAATTATGATTTTTTAATCATCCACGAATGCTTCCAAATTATTATGAATTACCGAAATCGATTATGAATGAATTATGAACGATTCCAGAAGATTATGATTGATCATAAATGATTGCAAATGATAATAAATGATTTTTTTTGGCACGTTTAGATTTAAAAATCGACAACATTGTGCTTGCTTTCCTTGGTGTGTTCTCTGCTTTCACTGGAAGAATGCCTCAATTTGGGGTGAACGGTGGTACGGACAGAGAGAATCTCGCGATGCAGAACATTCAAGCGCGTATACGCATGGTTTTGGCTTATCTTTTCGCTCAACTTATTATGTGGGTAAGAGGTAGAAATGTTGGACTGTTGGTTCTTGGCTCTGCAAACACAGATGAAAGGTTAGATGGCGGGAGATGAGTTTCGTTTGATTTAGTAACGGCTGCGACCTATTTGCCGTAATCTCTAATTTTTAACCATTGTAGTTTGGTAAGGAAAACCATAGACTTTAAAGGGAGTTTGCAAGGACGATCTTCTCTCTTACAACCAACGATTAAACCTCGTATTTTGACTTGTAGTTATAAGTGAGAATATTCTACTTCATACCACCAATAGAACTTTGACTTGTTCCTAGATGAGAGAAATGTCTACTTTATAACCACCAATAGAACTTTGACTTGTTCCTAGATGAGAGAAATGTCTACTTTATAACCACTAATAGAACTTTGACTTGTTCCTAGATGAGAGAATTGTCTACTTTATAACCACAAATAGAACTTTGACTTGTTCCTAGATGAGAGAATTGTCTACTTTATAACCACCAATAGAACTTTGACTTGTTCCTAGATGAGAGAATTGTCTACTTTATAACCACCAATAGAACTTTGACTTGTTCCTAGATGAGAGAATTGTCTACTTTATAACCACCAATAGAACTTTGACTTGTTCCTAGATGAGAGAATTGTCTACTTTATAACCACTAATAGAACTTTGACTTGTTCCTAGATGAGAGAAATGTCTACTTCATACCACCAATAGAACTTTGACTTGTTCCTAGATGAGAGAAATGTCTACTTTATAACCACCAATAGAACTTTGACTTGTTCCTAGATGAGAGAAATGTCTACTTTATAACCACCAATAGAACTTTGACTTGTTCCTAGATGAGAGAAATGTCTACTTTATAACCACCAATAGAACTTTGACTTGTTCCTAGATGAGAGAAATGTCTACTTTATAACCACCAATAGAACTTTGACTTGTTCCTAGATGAGAGAAATGTCTACTTTATAACCACCAATAGAACTTTGACTTGTTCCTAGATGAGAGAAATGTCTACTTTATAACCACCAATAGAACTTTGACTTGTTCCTAGATGAGAGAAATGTCTACTTTATAACCACCAATAGAACTTTGACTTGTTCCTAGATGAGAGAAATGTCTACTTTATAACCACCAATAGAACTTTGACTTGTTCCTAGATGAGAGAAATGTCTACTTTATAACCACCAATAGAACTTTGACTTGTTCCTAGATGAGAGAAATGTCTACTTTATAACCACCAATAGAACTTTGACTTGTTCCTAGATGAGAGAAATGTCTACTTTATAACCACAAATAGAACTTTGACTTGTTCCTAGATGAGAGAATTGTCTACTTTATAACCACCAATAAAACCATAGACTTGGACTGGTTTTTTGAAGTTAGAATGCTCTGCTTTACAAGTGCCAAGAAAAAACACAGAATTGTTTTCTAACTGTTTGTTAGGAGGGGAAAAGTTCTCTTTTGCAACCAGCGATAAAACCATGGACTTAAGACTCTTTTACACTCATCGCAAAATGCTCTCGCTGCGAGCTTGCGATTTTGTTCGCGCGATCGACAAATTTTGTTCAAATAACTGTGCTGCAAATCATGGTAAGCTCCCTGCGAGTAACTCGCGGGTATGTTTTGCGTTGAGTGGAAAAGAGCCTTTAGACTAGTAGTTTGCAAGAACATAAAACCATTTGTTGGTTGTTATAATAGAATCCATTTACCGGCCGACAATTTTATGTAGTATAATAAGAAACATACACCGAATAAAAGGTGCATGTTTAACTCAATATTTGAAAAACAAACAAGACAGTAATATTTCGAATTTTTTGCAAGTTCATTATCCGACTCTGAATTGAAAAACTGCGAGTATGATGATGAACTTGCGTTAAATTCGAAATATTGCTAAATGGAAAACAGTCTAGTTAGTTCCTCAAATATTGAGTTGAACATGAACCTTTTATCGGTAGTTAGAATATGTTTCCTTGCTACCATGTGTTTATAAAAACATCGTATCGTCTATTTGAACAAATCGTCAATCTTTCTTCTATTTTTTCCCTAGCTTGCGTGGATATTTGACGAAATACGACTGCTCGAGTGCCGATTTAAATCCCATCGGTAGCATCAGTAAGGCGGATTTAAGATCATTCGTGCTCTATTGCATGGAGAATTTTCACTTTACCTCGCTCATATCCATACTGGATGCACCACCTGCCGCCGAGCTCGAGCCCCTGGCTAACGGTCAAATCCAACAGATGGATGAGGTAATGTGGTATTTAATGTTTCAAATTCAGTTTACGTGGAATATGGAATCCTGTATGTGGAATCCGTTATCTAATCAGTGAAATTCAGATTACAAGTACTGCACCAACGTACGTAATGCTTGCGAAATTCGTTCATTCTTGTGTATTTTCTCATACACCAGGAGGATATGGGGATGACATACGAAGAGTTGTCGGTATTCGGGAGCCTTCGCAAGATACACTCGTGCGGGCCATATCGCATGTTTTGCAAACTGTGCGATTCATGGCGCAGAAGACACGAACCTTCTGTGATTGCCGAGAAAGTGAAAAAGTTTTTCAAATATTACGCCATAAACCGGCACAAAATGACCGTGATTACTCCAGCTTACCACGCGCAATCTTATTCCCCAGATGACAACAGGTGAGACAAAAGTGCACGTACATTGAGTCTCGTTTTTACTGTATCGTAAAAAATAGCAAGGAAAATTTGTCAAAGCGATATCGGTATACGTGTACACGATTGGCTGTGGATAGCGTTACAGCAAAATTTTTTCCGTTGTGTACGATGTTAAAGGTAAACAATTAAATACGATTTGTTGGTAATACCGTCAGTGCAAACTAATTAGACACGATTGGCTGTGAATTCCGTCAAAGTAAAATAATTTATCAATATTGGATGTTGGTGCCCCTGACGTTTGGCTCATTTCCAGTCGGTGCAAGTTTTCGCGCGATCGTCTTTTTGCGAACACTTTCTTTTGAATTGTGTGCAACAATGTGAATACAATTGAAAAAAAGTGATATGAAAAAGTCGATCGCGGGATAATTTGCACTGAATGGAAATCGGCCTTAACAAACAGGCATTTAACACACCTCGAATTTTACACAGACATTTAACGTACTACAAGTTTTACACAGACATTTAACGTACTACAAGTTTTACACAGACATTTAACGTACTACAAGTTTTACACAGACATTTAACGTACTACAAGTTTTACACAGACATTTAACGTACTACAAGTTTTACACAGACATTTAACGTACTACAAGTTTTACACAGACATTTAACGTACTACAAGTTTTACACAGACATTTAACGTACTACAAGTTTTACACAGACATTTAACGTACTACAAGTTTTACACAGGCATTTAACGTACTACAAGTTTTACACAGACATTTAACGTACTACAAGTTTTACACAGACATTTAACATACTACAAGTTTTACACAGACATTTAACGTACTACAAGTTTTACACAGACATTTAACGTACTACAAGTTTTACACAGACATTTAACGTACTACAAGTTTTACACAGACATTTAACATACTACAAGTTTTACACAGGCATTTAACGTACTACAAATTTTACACAGACATTTAACGTACTACAAGTTTTACACAGACATTTAACATATTTCGAATTAGTTAGCATCTCTCAATAAAACGATCATGCTCAAATGTTTTCCTTTTTTTTAACATATGTTTTTCACCATGATAGATTTGACCTACGCCCATTCCTGTACAGAGTCGCGTGGAAGTGGCAGTTCCGATGTATCGACGAGCAAGTTCAACGTGCCAACGAACAGTTGGAACAGGTCATGCGCACAAGCGACACACAAGAACCTTTCTCAATAGTTGAGACTAATGCACCAACTAACGTAAATACCGTAGACGAACAAAGCGCCGAGACTCGAACAAACATCAAAACTGAAAAGGATTTCACCGAGGAACAGGATGATGTCAGCAGGAGGTTGAAACCGTTGACCCAAATTGAAAAAAAGCGTAAGCTTGCAACAGCACCTTCTTATCCCAAAGTGAAGTTGGTCAGTCTTGCGCCACCTTCTTCTGGTTACCGATTTTCTAAATAACATCCACGTCAAGGTAAGAAACGGATGTTTTCGAGAAAGTTCAACGTGCTTCGGAATAAATGTTTTCCAATGAGGAATACAGCGTCGTGCTTGTTGCTTTTCAGTTTCGATATTTGATTGGTCGAGATAAGGTAAGATTAAGCTGTTGCTTTCTTTTTAGCTGTTGGTCGTACAGTTCAGTGCTGTCCTGACTGAAAAGAACTGTTTGTGTTAGACACTTGTCGTCGTCGATGTAGACAGACCTCGGGACTCTTCTAATCTGGACGATCAAGCACCATAAACATGTTAACGATACTTCCTGGTTCAAACCCTGCACTTTGTTGTTTTTTTGTAACAGTACTTGCACCGCACCATAGCTAAATGCTCGCCATGTTCAATGGTGGTTTTCCTTTACACCATATACCTTGCACAATAAACGCATTCGTCGCCTACAATTCAAGACAAAGTCATCGCTAGAATGTTAGAAAATTGAAAAAAACTACAACGCGAGCGTCAGTCAAAATGTGAAGCTGTGTTACGTTTTTTCGTGGTTTTTGTTCGCTGTACTATGTTGATCGTTGTGCAAAAAAACCACGAAAAAAAACACTGAAAATACGAAACTCCAGCTTTACAATGCATGGGAGATAAACACGCGATAAATTTTTTTATATGAAATGGGCAACAGCTACGGCTTGTAGGTACAAACAACATACGTATGCTTTACACATGTAAACACTCACATAATTTTCAAGTTTTTTCATAAGAAATTTTAAATAAGACTGTTTTAATAAATATCGCCAAGCACAAATTTTTTCGTTCATTAATTCACTTTGAAAGATAGAAAGCTTAACTGCATCGCATCTGGATTTCCTCTGCCCGGTATGGACGGAAAACTGTAATAGGTAAAGGCATGCAAGCATGCGCAGAAGAAAATTTGGCTTAAACGAAAGTGTTAAGTGAACATTTTGCCGAGGGAATCACACCTTTTGACTTTTCAACCAATTATAAACAAGGAGACTTGGAATTACATTCAAGATAGTTAGCATTGATTGATGCAACTGATGATGAGTTATCGCTTTAAAGCGTATGAGTGTCAATAATGATCATGTTGCAGCCAATAATATCTCAAAGCAATAAATTAAGAGATATGAAAATGGCGGTAGTGATAATGTGTTTGGTATTGATAATGTCCGTGCGACGTTCGATCTTTCAATGCCGACAGATTTTGGGCAAATTCGATAAAGGAGCGAAAAAATATTGCTATACTTGAAAAATTCAATGTTTACGTTGAAAGACTTGGCGCCAAGGTAGTTGGAAATCTTCATTTTCCATCAATATCTCGAAGGAGAAGTCCAATCTTCACTTAAATCATTTACAAAGTTTATGTACGTACAAAACCCGGAAAAGCTATCTCTGCATCAATGTCAAACCATAATCTATAAAACACAATGTACAAAAGCCGGAAAAGCTTCAATGACGAAAAATAATCTACAAAACATAATGTAGAAAAACAAAATCTTATAGCTTCATTTGACCTAGACATATTTATTTACAAATTTATTAACTCTGTCATTTTCTTAAAAAACTAACATCTTCATGAGTTTTTCTGGCGTATCTAAATGCTCTGCCGGGCATATTGGATTAATTTTGTCCATGAAAACTGCGAATTCGTGAAACGAGTCAATACAATCCCATTCAATGTTCAACGACGCTTCCGTGGAGTGGTTTTTCCTCTTCGCCGTACCACGATTAGTTTCGTTAACTTGAGAATTTCCATGTCCACGATTTCTTATTAAGTTACGGTCGCTTTCGACCGCAAAAACGTGTTCACTAACTGAAGCGCTTTTGCGTTGAGTTAAATTTTTTCCTTTCTTGCCCGAGTAATTTCTGCTCGTGTTGTGTTGGCCATAACTCGCTGTCGCGAACCGTTGGTTCTTCCATCCATTCCATTGGTTCAAAAGACAGTCACGGGCTTGGGACGATTGATCAGAGTTGCCTCTTGAGTTCCTTTCCATTAGTTAAAATCTGTGTGTAATTACCTTAAGAGCTTGCGATCTCTTTGTTGCTTTTTCCAAGGAAAAATCTTGATTTTTAGCGTAATGAATATATATTTTTTTAAGTATCAACAATCGATACGATTTTGAAATTTCTCAATCTCGACCTCGAGACATCAGTATAAGTTTCTTTCTTTTTCCCGTTCGGCCGCCGGCCGCCCTTTCCACTTTCTTCTTCGAATAGTCGAAGTTTTGAGATTGATTGACGAAGCGCAAAAGATGTTGTCTTTTATGCTGAAGCAATGTGGGAATCATTTCGAAAATTACACCTGTCTTCTCTTGGATTGTATAATGATCGAGAGATCCTTCTCAGCTTGTGCACGGGGAAACATCTGCTTTGGCTTTTGTCTTGTAATAAAGCATGTTACAGATGCGCGATTACAAGCCTGGCAACACACGATTACGCGATAAAGGAAACACGAGGTTTCAACTCTCATGTCCTTTTGTACAACGTGACCGGAGCCAAGCGGCATGCTTGCCAGGTAAAGATGTCGACGGCTGCCAAAATATTTCGTTGAATGTGAGCCATGTTATTAAAATAAACCAGTATGCGACTTCCAGTTTCTTGGAGAAGAGTCCCATACAGTTTTAGGTGCTAATGTTTGTAGGCTGTCGACATGACCCGCTCGCGGGCATGACAAAATATGGCATTGCATGAATGATGCTGGGAAAACGAAATCATTCAATGATCAATTCAGCAAATTCGCTTTGTTTACACGCCATATTATAGAAAATGTGAAGAACCGGCTTTTGCGAGTTAGAAATGCTTAGGGATTTTCCGTAATGAGTGTTTATAAGATACGGCTCCTTCAGTTCTTTAACACCGAATCCCTGTCATTTTACGTTATTACGTCAATTATCCCACATGGCGATAAATGAACTCGGCGAAGGTAGCATTCATGTATACGCTTGTCGTATTTGATTCGTGCTATGCTTCAACTTGTATAATAGAGAGACGGTTTCGCAATTTTCGGCGTATGTACATGACAATATTGAGGAGAGAAAAAGATAGTTTTATGAGAAATTGTCGAAACCGAGCTGTCGAAATATCTAAAAACGATGCACTTTAAATGGATCGTCAAAAATGGGAAAAATTTATTGTAGGTTGTCTGTCCGATTCGTCTTTCTCTACATCAGTGAATTGTGATTTAAATCGTTTGAATCTTCACAGCAATTTTGTGACTATGGGTGACGAAATGTAAAGTGACCCCGTACAACTGCATATAATTAAAATTTAAACCGTTGCCTGATGAAATCATTGGCAAAAGCTGCTTGAACGAGCCAAGACGTAATTATCAGATACTTTATATTTGAACACTGCGCAATCTAACAATACGACGCGTGTCCTTTAGAAAGATTCATGTTCAAACAAAGGAAGCAAGCGACTCCCTTTCCCATGCCATTTGCACAAACGCTTCTCTTTGTATGGCATTTAAATGAAATTTGCATAGCATTCGTCTTAAAAAAACTTGTGCCTTCAACTCAATGTTCTTCCTGATCACGAGTTTCACAGCTCACAGCAGTTGTACGGGGATTATAGTGTCAAATATAGTAATGACTTGAGCATGTTTGACAATACTTGGCCAACATATATTCAAATAAGAATCGCGGATTGTTAATGAAAACGATGCTAATCTCTAAACGTTTGTAATAATTTGATAGGCAAAACGCGTGCTTATGGAAATATTAATGAACGTTGAACGCTGAATTTTCCTTGAGAATTTTTATTTTTTGTTTGCGTTTGAAACGAAAGCTTAATTGAAGCATGAAAATGAGAAGTTTTCCTTCATAAGGGAATGCTTTTCGTTCCACGGGGATGTCTATTACCTATTAGTAGAACTTGCTCCTCAGTCAAGAAAACTTTCACGAAACACTTTCTCAAAACTTGCTACATGACGCTTTACTCATATATGTGTAGTTTTGTTCCATTTATTTTAAACAAACTTGACGTTGAAAAGTTGCGTTTGTGAAATTGACTGTTGTCTTTAGAGTTAACTATACGAGCCATCGCTACACTTAGCTTCAAAAGCATATCATTGTAAAATGAACATCTGCCCTGTGCAGGTTTTGTGTCTTTGTCAATAGCAACGAGTCGTAGTTGTGTGTTTTATGTACGATTTGACTATCATTGTTATCTTTTTAGCTTGATGTTTTCAATCTGCAATCTTTAACAAATGTAGATATAATTATTTAAATCAACCCGTGTTTTTGATATCGCCGTAGTTCTTTAGGGAGAAGCAATTTTCTTTTTTATCACTCAATCGTAGGTCTATCAATCGCAATCTCGATCCTAAAACACAAGATCATATCTGTCTATTTCGACATCTGTTCAAAAAGTTCGCGCGTGTCGTGAAAGTCATTCATACAGTTTCGTCCCTTCGCGGTGACTTTGCATAGCAGCGTAGCCACTGCGAAGCTTTGCCTTTAATGCTGATTGCGATACATCATGGCGATCACTTGAAAGATGGCCTACAGAACACGATCAGACAGAGACGATCGTGTTGAAACACTTTCCAGGCAATTGACACGATCGCTTTTATTTCCAAAAATTCGATGGGGGTGTTATAGGAGCTAATCCTTAGAATTCTTGAAAACATTTTCACACGATTTCAACGATTGAGAATTGTAATAAAAATTGATGCATCGGAATCCAAGAAAGAGTGAAAGGCTATGCTTCTCCGCAAAACGTAAATATACGTCGATATCTTCGTAAATAGAAGTCGATAGCATAATGCTTTAACCAACAACTACAAACAATAACGACCTTATTTAACAACATTTGAGAAATTAACCTTCCACTCCTCTTCCTTGTAAACGAGACAAGTTTACTCAAAAGCAGAGAGCCTTATGCGCTACAAGTCCCGGGCTTGTGACCGGTACAGCAGAGTTAAAAGGTAAAAGATTTATCATAGATTAATCAACTGAATATTCCTGCTCATTTTTGTTTGGAAGCATGCTAAACAGTTCATATGGACAAAGCTCGAACTGAACAGAGAACTTTTAACTCTGCTATACCGGTCACAAGCTCGGAACTTGTAGCGCATAAGGCTCTCTGCTTTTGAGTAAACTTGTCTCGTTTACAAGGAAAAGGAGTGGAAGGTTAATTTCTCAAATGTTGTTAGATAAGGTCGTTATTGTTTGCAGTTGCTGGTTAAAGCATTATGCTATCATTCTTTTTGTTTAATAACATTCCAACCATTTAACCTTGTGGAAACAGAAGTCGATTTTACTCATTTTGACCGTCTTCCATATAGATAGGCAAAATGCGGAGTGTGGTACTGACAGCAACAGATTGATTCGTTGGTCTTTGCCGTCTACTGTGCTTATATAACACGTCACTTGTTGCAGTTTGGAACGACTTTATAGATGCCCATGAAAGCGTCAATATTTTCGGAAACGATTTTTTTAAATGCCTATTGTATGAAAACAGTCTATATATTGGCCCGAGTGCGCAAGATCTTCGGTTTAAATATCTGAGTCTCGCTGTTTGAACTATTGCCATCGCTTTATCAATACGATGAAATCTTCATGTAATATTTTACCCTCAAGCATCGTGGATGATAATGAGTTTCATATGCGGCAAACACTCGGGAATTTAAGGTGGATTTCATATCATTTTTAACTTGCTTTTCTAGCACGTGTCATGACTCGTGATGATCTCAAGTGGAACCGCGAAACATGGAAGTTATGTGATATGATCCGAATACATTCGAGTTGTGGACACTTGGAGCACGTCTTAGGTGTTAGCTACTTCCGGTCTTTGCGATGCATGAGCTTCGAGCTCGTACCTCAATAATTTATAACAAAAAGTTGGTAAATACCGAAGGAGCAAAAGCTTGCGAGTTATATTTTTCGAAACGAAAGCAAAATGATTAGTTTCTGTTGGGTGGTAAGTCGCCTGCAAAGATTCTTACTGTAATTTAATGATTTAAAGAGTGAGCCTTGGTCCAGACCAACAAATTTTACTCCATATGCTAGTTGATTGTATTTGAGCTTTAAAAAAATATATTGCTTTAATATTGCAGGATACATTGCTTGGAGTTGTTTACCACAGTTCGAAGCTTTTGAACAAGACAAAACTAACTACCCAATGAAACACCTTAAGAACAATCGTTCAACACACAATTTATGGTGAATAACCCGTGCTTGCCTTTTGACTATTGAGAAAGAAACAAAAGAGAATGAACCACATTATACAATTTTTCAACTTTTATTTGATTACATCTTTCTTCTACTTGTATCAATGCGCATTTTTAAATCAGCTAAAATCATCCATTCATCCTTTTTCATTTCTTTTCAATGTTTACGTTATAATGTGTTCTAATTCTTGTCCAAGAGAGCAGCTTCGCATTTTTCAAGATGAGCGTACACACTTTCCTCAGATCTGTAAAATAAAATGAATAACTTTTATCAAACACACGCGCACTGATGTTTTCTTAACCTTGGTTTCCACGTGCGACATACTGTTCAGTGCACGTGAGATTTTTAATTTTTGATATAGACCCTGAAAGTCTGTCTAAAAATCTCAATGCGTTTCCTTTAGCGTCGTGTGCGTTCAGTTTACGCACGTGCATTTCATAAGCAGTAATGAGCGCAAACACCTGTCTCTCGTGAGACACTTCCCGCGGTTCAGGCCGATCAGTCTCAAATCCGCATGCGAGTTGCATAGCCGACATAACAAGAAATTCTGAAAATCTCGTGTGTCTGCGATATCCGGCACGTGCCTATAATGTACATAATATGCGAGTGCGCTTTGTCGTCGACTTGAATCGGGAAATCGTGAGCAATGGCAAGCGTAGCAGACATGCACCAGTGACATGCACTCAGTGTTGCGTCCGGTATATTCGGTAGGTTGATCAAAGAATAGAATATTTCAGTTCAAAAGACATTTGCGTTTGTAGCATTTATACATTGTTAACATGTGTGATGTTAGTTGACGTCGACTCAGTTGAAGTCTTCAGTACTCGTAGAATCAACTTCTTTTGAACGAAAGGGACTTTGTTTGTAACATGAGCGAGACTTTTTTAACATATTTTGCGCGCGTACTATACAATGCTGGCGCGCATTTAACTTGGACATTTGCGTAAGAGACGCTTTGGATGACGTTTAGATGACGTGCAACAAAGGCATTAGGTTTCAAAAGTTTTTCAATGTGGTTTTTTGTACTTTTACCTGCGTGCGCAGCGGCATGAACGAACGATTTGCTCATCACATGTGTCACTTCGAAAATTTCCTTTACGTAAATGGTTTTTTTCGATAATGCGATCACAGCAGGGTATCCTACGGTGCCGTCCACCAAATTTGGCATAATGATCGGCCATGTGGTTTGTGAGTGAGCACATGAATGGTACTTGCCCCCACAAAGTGAAATAAAGGTTTTCCGGAGGACTTGCTTGGCGAAGCAAAAATGCAAAACAAGTTTGAAGTATAGGAGAAAAATCTGTGTTTACAGAGTGCTTATTATTTAGTGATGTGCCGAGGGTAGTCCTGCACAAGGCGCAGTGCCCCTATAATCGCCTCATGGCACAACAGAACTTCTAATTTACACCAACACGCCGAATTATACATTGCAAAGAGAGATTGAAACGTACTACGACGCGCATTGAGCTTTTTCTGTCGTTTAGTTATGAGATTGTCCGGCATTCAAATTATAAGCCTGATGCATCATGTTCATTTTTTCATCAAATAACTCAGCACGACTGTTCAGTCGTCGTTTGCTTGTCACCGGACACCAGCTTTTGCCGCATTCTCAAGTTTTCAGCTATATCTCGATTCGGCGGTCGCCCGGAAATAGATTTTGATGCGAAATCGGTGAAATCTGATATTGGGCACGATATAATTATTGACTGACGAAAATGACAAACTACTTTGAGTTTGTTTAAGCCATGCATTGCCTTTCTTTTCAATACGCACTTCGGAATAAACTGGGTAGCACCAAAAAAAATCATGAGACAAAGTCCAAGGGTGTCTATTGGGGGTCATTTATAGAAACATAAAAAACGCCCAAACAAGTCACGAACCCAAAAGGAGTGTTGGTCTGTGTGATATCCAAATGTGCGTTGCAGACTCTTCGTATATAATACAGGAGTGTTAGTCAACAACAACTAATTATAATTTCGAACGAAAACAGTTGAAAACGTTTTGTTTAATACGATTAAAATGCAGATGTTTATAGTAGCCTAATTTTGATATATGAAATTCGATCCAATGTGTTGTCACAATTTCGAACGATGAACATCTTTAAAGCTTCAAAGCCTGAAGGATAGTGATCTGTTGTTTAACCACAAGTTTCCGAGAACGATGAAGTGTTTGCTCCGGTTTAGACCCCGTAAATATTTTGAAAGATTTTTAGTTATTTGCCTTATTTCAAATTTTTGTGTTGTGTTGCGTCTTGTGATTTGAAAATGCGGTTGATGTCTTTCTTACCGCTCTAGGGCTCTGGTTCCATATTCCGTTCTCTACCTAAGACACAAGTTGCATTTTTCAGTGCTCTCGACGTAGAATAAGATTATGCATTTCAAGCTACGAGAAACAACGTTGTTTATACCTCCTTACCGGACTAACAATTCTGTCCTTTTTGTTACACTTATATATGTGTCCAGATATTTTGCAGTTATTGTTTCTCCAAATAGAGCATTTCTATTCCGGAATGTAGGTGGAGAACAGTACAAATTTCTTCTTGTGTAAAGTACCGCTTCTGACTGCCAAAAAATTCTATCAAACGTTTATCTCGTTCTTTAATTTTGTAAACTATTCTGGGCTCGTTTGCTTTGTGTTGTTTATGTCTACATTTGGAACAATTTAAGCGAGGATCAAACATATTAACCTTGCGTAATTTTGAACCGAGCAACTATTTTTGTACACACCCATGTTAAACATTCGTCAACTAGAAGTGTATATAAAGGGCAATACAATTACCTTACAGAGTACTATGTACAGTGATAGCTTAAGTCCTTAAAAATACCAAAACTTGTACTCTAAACATATACATATAAGTAGTTTTTGTGATCTTCAAGACAGATCATATCGGGAATGATATTTACTGTCAAAATTTATTTTCTCTCTACCATTTGATGCAAACAAGTGGTTTAATACATCAACGAAAAAGTAATCAAAACTGTCTGCAGAACTAAATGGTGTGTAATTCCCTCTAACCGCATTTTGACGAGTGTAAACACAATAATAGAGGATTACAGTGGCACCCTATAAATCTCTGCATGTATGAACAAAGTGGAAAAAAGCATGACCACAAAACGTCGTCAGCCAAGATACAGAAATTGGAAGTTCATACAACACAATACTGCCTTTACAATAAGACAATTATTTTCGTTATTCAACTTATGAGTAGTATTTTATGTTTTAAATAGGCCTTTTATTATTATGATGCGAGTTCTCCAGTTTGCCGTGAACGGAAAATCTCGACATTGAGTCTCGAAGTTAAAACTGAAAATTGCCTGAAAAAGGGATTTCGTCAATCTACTCTGTTTCTATGCGATAATGCAAGCGAAGTGACCATATAGCTCTTTTGACCGGGATTCTCGTGGCGAAGCTACCATACATATATTTCTGTAACTCTAAACGAGTTTCGCACATAAAATATGCGCTACATATTGCATTGATTTCAGTATTAACGTGCTCTACATTTAAATCACTGTTGCATGGACGAATCTTCACACGATGAGAATGAAAATGACGTTCGAGTGTACATTCATAAACATGCATGTATGTGAATGCGAATCAAACCCTACTCGAAATGTCTCTTTCTTTTATAAATAAGCTATGAACATTAAAAACGTGGCCAGTTTTACTATGCTGAAGTTTTCCTTTATTTTACAATGCAATCTAGCTTACCTGAAGAAATCTTCGCTCACGACTGCGGCAACTCTGGGTAGTTCTATCCTTGAAGCGACATTCCCGAGCATTTTTTAACATCACAGAAGTACGGCGTACGTTTCTTTTACGTAGTATTCTTTTATAGCAGATCGCTTCTTGCATTACTCCAAACAAGAGAAGCAAGAGCAAGAGGATTTTTGCCACGGTTCTCATGATCCAGCCGATGGTTTGATGATATTGGGCGTTCTGTCCTTCTTCCAGCACGAAATGCTTCTTTTATAATACGGGACTTTTCGTGCGAGGTCACGCGTTTGGTTACGTCATATCATGTAATTTTTTCCCGAAATCCTCTCTGATTTTGAAAATTTGTCAGAGGCCTTAGTGCCGAGCTGTTTTAATCGAGAATTTGATCTTGGACAGGTTATTGTCAATCAAATCACATCCTGTTTTTTTGCTTCAACCTATCATCGTATAGCTTTTACTGAATTATTTTTTGTTTTCCGCTATCAACTCTGCCTCGAATGTTTTTGAATTTAGTGAATTTGAAATGTCACATTGTTTGAGCAGCCATGTTGTTTGATAAAGACAACACCCAATGTTCATGAGTTTTTCAAAAACAAGCAAATTCTTTTCAAAGGATGTAAGTTTTTTTTATAAAAATGGTGATTTGTAAAAGTTTCATTGCAGTATTAAAAGGATTTTGCTATACACGTCAAAATTGCATGCAATAAAATGAGCACTGTTAACATTCATCTGGCTCAGCGCCTTTTCATTTCAACTGCCTCATTAAAAAAAAACTCAATTAACGTGTACAGAGAAGAGTGGTATTTTGTATCGACTGCCCCCATAGTTTTCATGATGCAGGAGAGAAGGACATGCAGATAGACTAAAGCTTAATGTCATTTCCTCTAAGGTCCGTAATTTTTATACTGTGCTTTTTGGTCGATTCATTATCGGTGGCCATTGATATTTTGGCAAATTATTTTTGTAATCACTTCTGCTTCACATGATGATAAGCATTCGTGTCGTTGCTCAACGACGGTTATCAGTTAACGAACATTTAACGAAAAGTTGCGATCTTATTACTGTGATGTTCATACCGATTGCCCCTAAAAGCAACTGTGGTTTTCAAAAAAAACGTTGGTGACAAAAAATTTAGGAGATGCTAATCCCACTTTAGTAACGTTCAATTTTATCACAACATGACGTTATCTGTTGTTGTAAGTTGAATAGGAAAAAACTCATTTTATCTTTTGATAGTGTGAATTGTTATGAATAATATTTTTGGGATTAGGCACTAGTCAAACTTGTAATCTCCATCTACCAATGCATGTATTTTGAATGCAAATGACCCAATGTTAGTGTTTTTCGACTGAGTCACTCATAAAAAAGTTTTCGACCAATCAGTGAACGTGTACTGAAACTTTCCATTATCTGCTCGTTATTCTACAATGGAAGATTGCAGTGCACAGCCATATGGCGTTTCAATGTCATTCGATAAGATCAGCCTTTCTTTTCATGTCGATTGTGGTTTAAAAAAAACTGTGAAAAACGGCGCATTATAAACAAGGGAGTATGGACGTCAACGGAAACAAAAGCGAAGCCAACATCAGCCTGTCACGAATACGAAATTGGTCAGCTCCAGTGACATAACGGACCCAGTAAAATAATATGTGTGGAGTTATCTTTTAGGATTTTACAGCTATTCTAGCTAATAACAACATAACGACATGAATCTAGCAACATGTGTAAAAAATTATTATTCCATTCATGCTGGTATGCTTTCATCGGTGTTTATTTATGTCGTGATAGTTACTAACAAGGCTAAACAATGCATTGATGCTTACTTTGGGCTCTAATCACTTCGATGTAAAAAACATGCCCGTAAGCTGCTACAAAATGGATTATTCTTGTTTCTTTTTTCGATTTCAGAAACCTGTTCTTAGCTTGTTTCGTTCTTCTTCCAAAAATCGAATACATTGCCAACATTATTACTGAGGTACATGGGGGTATTCTCGTGTGATTACATTCTTTTTGACTGTGAAACAACAATGTTGCAAATACATTACAGGCGAGCCAAAAATAGTTGACGATACGCCAAATAATATCCAGCATAGTCAGGAAGAGCACCGTTGAACTCCACACTTTGAACAAAAACACAAAACGTGTGTTTATTTCGTGAACATGAGAATGCCGGAAATTTGATGCCGGTATTTTAACCGCAAATTGTTATTATTATCTTGCGGTCAACGCATTGTTTCGGACGTATATTTACAGCATGTGACGAAAAACATTTCCGGGCTTGTGGCCGGATGTTTGCTCTAAAATAGCGAAAAATATGTCATTTCTAAATTCTTAATTTGTCTGGATGGGAAAAGCACTTCAGCTGTGAAATGCTTGCGGTTTTTTCATAAACAACAAATAACTTAAATTTGACCTTATTTTCAGCTGGAAGGTTACCCTTTTCCCCAAATCTATGTGAAGTTGAAGGAAGCCAATGATACACTGTGCACGAAAGGTATTTTGACAAAGATTTTCTTAGCACATGAAGAATGGACGATTTTGATTGGTTCAGCTGTTAAATTGTCCATCTAAAATCGACGATGTGTTGTTTTTTTGTGAGAAGCAAAGAGACAATGAAAGATAGCAGGAGATCAAATCTAGGCTTAATAAACAAGAAATTAGGTCATTGAAGTTTTGATGCACTTTTCATGAAAAAGTTCCTGCATCGAACTTACAAAACATGACGAATTAAATTTTGTTACTATCTTTTGTTTCTCTAATGCAAATGAAAAGTTCGGTGAAACCAAAATTTTTCAACAATAATAGATCTCACAAACCACGCGATCTCTTAGAAACAGCAATTGATCCGAAAACTAGTCTTTGTAAAAAATTGAGTCATATCTACCGAAAACGACTGGCACTCCTTGTAAACTATTCCTTGAGCTGGCTTATAACTTCAACTCGATAAAGTAATTTCACATTTCGTACTGAAGAAGTGACATCGAAAACAAGTGTTCGTCAACTGTTTTGGCCGTCGACGACCTCGGTAAATTTATATCAATGCTTGACCACGCGTGGAAGGACTGATAATGACGCCCAGGAACGGTTTGTCAGTCTGTCAACCGCTGTTTCGGGCTCGCAGTTCGGTTACATGAATAGATCATCGAAGTTGACCTCGAGAGATAATCTTTCACAGTCCGTTATTTCATTCTATCAATTTGAAGCTGAGGATCAAATGTAAAAAAAAGTTGTCCCGTTCTAGCGCTCAGTCACTTAAGCCTAGTTTTCAATTGCGACATATGCACAAGCAAGAAAACAAAGCAAAGCATACTCTCCAATGGTTAGAGAAAACAAAATAAAAGCGATTTTCTTTTCAATTTGTTTTTGTTCTACCTTATGTTTATTTCAAGTTGCTGTGCTTATGCTTATGCTTATGTTGATGCTTGTGCTAGTCACTTCATTGTTTTTGTATGTCCTTATGCTTATGTCGCCAGTGAAAACCAGGCTTTAAGGTGTTTAATTAACCTGCGACTGTCCTGCGACTATTTACATCACTCGAATGCTTCGATCTACAAAGCAAAAACCATCTTGCTTGTCGAGATAATTTTAGTGAGTGGGAAAATGCTTGGCAATTAGTAAGCGATACAAAAGTCATTTTTTGTCGGTGATGTGAAATCAAATTTGCCAAATTGGGTTCTTCTGACGATGCTCAATAGACAAAACCGTGGCTCGACGCCACCACAGACTTCATGGATGCTCTCGTCTGCTTTGATAATCACCTTTGCACCTGGAATTGAAACTAACGTACACCCAGAGGCGTAACTAGAACGTTAATTGAGGGGGGTGCATATTCATATATTCCGTTGTGCCCTGCTGATTTCTTTTGAAAGTGATTTGAACTTCAAAAGAAGTCAGTAGGGCACAACTGAATATATGAATATACACCCCCCAATTAACGTTCTAGATACGCCTCTGCGTGCACCTTTACTTGGTATTAAATACTGAAGATTTGATCCCTTTACAAAAAAGATATTAACGATCTTTTTAGGGCTGAACCGATAACATTGCAATCTTAAGTATATTGTATTTCTATTAGAGTCACTACAGGACTGCAACAGTCTAGAAGTCTAGATTACAAAAAGACACGATAAATCAGTAGTAAAGTTGTTTTTAATTCATTGTGTTCTTCATGAATGATAATTCACTTACGCTTCATCGGTTTCACTTTTCTCCCCAAGCAGAAGGGAGGTTTTAATTCCCCTCCATTGGGGCCTTCTCTTGTTCAGCCCCTCCTATAGTACTGCACTGGCCGATACTCCTGACAATGTAACAAACGGAATTATACTGTGGGATGGCATGCGCCAATATCTAATTTTAAACTCTTGGTTCTAGATTAAGTTGTTGAAAGGTGTCTTCCTTATCTCAGAATAACAGAGGCTTTTATGAAGAAGTACACTATCATTGTTGAAAGTGTACATGAAAGATAGCATGCGCCAATATCTAATTTTAAACTCTTGGTTCAAGACTAAGTTGTTGAAAAGTGTTTCTTTGTATCAGAAAAACAGAGGCTTGCATGTAGAACTAAACAATCACCATGGAAAGTGTACATGAAAACATTGTAGTAGAAAGAAAGTATTTCTAGAAAAACACTGACTGCACCAAGCAATTTGTCAAGCGGAAAAAATAAGCCTTTATACATAGATACACCTCCCTGTTGCTCCCCTCCCCTGCAAGTAATCATTCACTTGGGATCCTCCATTTAATGCGTATGTAGAGAAAGGGGGGGGGGGATGTATGATCAATGCGTACATTTCCATACAGTAAGGAGGGCGACGATTTATGTATGCACCTCCCTGCTGTGCCTTTTTATTTTCATATGCATTTTCACTTCACACGAATAATTATAATTATAACATTCAATATGGCGAACGCAGGACCAGCTCTCGCTTTTATCGCTGTTATTGCTGCGATTGGATTTAATTTCTCTTTGCACAAAATCGAAGAAGGTGACCGTAGGACTTTTGAAACATTAACTTCGTTCACTTTTGCCTTGCTATTGCTTTGTATAAGCTCCCTTTTTACGAACCTATCGAACTTTAATTATTGGTACGATAATTTTCATTCCATGGGCACTAAACTTTGTAAAATTAATTTGTAGGTCATGTTGGTGTTTATTATCGGGTAAGTAGAGTTCTGTACTTATAGCTATGATATTAAGGCGTACATTTGGTGATTTCACGTCAATGGGCCATCCACAAGTCCGTAAACTGTAATTTGAACGTGCTGCTAATTTTACGAATTGGTTTGCAAATTACTTCTAAGTATTGATGGCCCATAAACTCGCGGAAATTTAATTCCAAAAGTGGCTAGGTAATCGAAAGCATTGTATACCATTAGGTCAAACCATTTACCTGAATGGAGAGAGTTTGTTCCTAGTGTTGAGATATACAAACAGATTAGTCTTTAGGTTAGGGCCGTTAGGATAGGCCAGCAAACCACGTGTTGTGCAAGATGTAGAATAACATTTCATCACCAAAGTATAGAATGTCTGTCAATGATTCAACATTTCTTAAGAGTTTTGGCAGGCAACAAACATGCCAAAATAATAAATTGTTTTTGTGTGGCATTCTGACACCATTGTTTATATGGTCAGGTTTGTTTGATCATCTGCCAGTTAAAGTAAACAAAGTTCACCAATCATTGATGAAGCTTATTGTACTGGAGTTTTATGATGGCAACTGATGAAATCGAGTAATTTGATTAAATAAAATTGAGAAATATGGTACTTTATTTGAGAGAGTCTCCTACATATTAACTACAGATATTTGAAAAGATGTTGAATTTGAACATTTTGACATTACACACAAGTGAAATGTTTTTCTTCTTTACCCTTTTCAACTTAGTCATAGCAGCAGTTGAGGAAAGGGTTGTATTCATTTATTTTATACTCTTGGCCAATTTCTATCGAAAGAACAATCGAGCTCAAAAGAAGACAGGCAAAGTGGAGTACATGAATATGTACTTGCTCAATTAATATTTTACCTTCAAATCTGCTAATTTTGGTGTTTCTAAAGACTCACCAAGTTTTATATGATTTTGAATGTCTTGACTTCAAGTAGCCCATATGGACGACTAGCGGTTGGGAGTGGATCATTAGTTATGAAATCTTTTCATAACTGGGTGGGGTGGGGCAGTAATTTATGTCTAAAGTATACCCATTAGTAATTTTTGGTTGATGTCTTCACATGTTGGTATGGAAAGGAGAGGCAACAGCTGCTAATTACTAAATCAACATGCTTTTCATCTTCCCAACTCCCTTTAAACCTTGTCTTACGTTTGGATCTTTGGCCTCATGATTTCAATTTCCTTTCGAGGGCCTTAGGTGAGGCATTGCCTGCTGTGAACTACACCACTTTTTCATTTGATTAGGGTGGTGCGTTGCTTTCATCGACCAGCATACCTGGATTTCATGTGATGATACCAGTTGTGACAACATTTCGTAGCGTCCAAGTCACCATGCAAACGGATGAAGTGAAAAATGTACCATGTGGAACAAGTGGCGGTGTGGTGATTCACTTTGATAGAATTGAAGTAGTTAATATACTTAGTGCCAGTGAAGGTAAATGCTACGACCTACTTACCATGATACTTCATGTTGTACATCATGTCTTCATACTTTTTAACAGGTGCTTAAATCATGGGAGGTCTGGGTGGTGTCACCCTCTCCCACCACCCCCCCCCATGAAAAAAATTAAGTTTTGTCAGGCCAGCTTAGTAACTCGTGAAGCAAGAAAGTGTTTAGTGGTGTTATTCGTAAATTTAAACGTGAAACGTTGCGTGTGAAATTCTCGACGTATAAAGGGTAGCCATTTATATGTAATACCGCAGAATAATCATCATAAGGCCTATCCTCTTGTCCTTCATCACTCTAGCCAGTTGGTCGGACTCGTCACTTATTTTAAACCACTCATTTGGCAACTGCTTAGATTAGTGGCTGCCGACATGCACGATGCAACTTAAGCATTAACAGTGCTGTAGAACTAAATTTATCAGATGGGGGGCTCTCTTGACGAAGCTGAAGCCATGAAATTATGAAAAATTACCCATTTCAAAGGTAGAAGTGGGGGGCTCATCCCCCAAGCACTGACAGCACTGGAGGCTACCTACAGGTCACCCGAGAGTCGGGTGTTTCGCTTACAACATATTGATGAAACATACTCAAATCATTTCAACGTCTCATTTTCTTTTGCACTTTTATCGTCCAGATTGACCGTATCTTTTTTTCTGTTCGGTGAATTTTTCTATTTTTTGCGTGAAGATTGTTATTCATTGAAGAGGCATTGTGTATAACATCGGAGGAATTCTATTAATAATTTTTTGAGATATTTGATGAACATCCACACGAACGTTAAACAAAATTTGCCGAAGAAAAAACCAAAAATTCTTCATTGAAGTCAGCGTGGCCAAGCGTTTATGTAAAAAAAAATCCACTCAACTTGAGCAGAGTATGCGCATGCGAATTTTCACCAGTCCCCTGCTTAGTAACTGTGGGGAGCCTCCTTAAGTGCCACGCCCTTTCCCTGGTCGAATCGGATGTCACGCCCGTTTTGACGGTGAGTTTAATATCACGCCTATTTTCTAAACCATTCTATTTTCAACGTTTGCTGAACTTTGTTCCTTCATCTAATGGTTACAAGTCCTGTTTTATGATTTATTTCTTATAGTCCACAATATCGTGAGAAACTTCACCGCGGACTACGACAAGACTTTGATATTTAACAAAATCCATCACGAATTGAATCAGGTAAGCGAGTTAATGGAATATTTTTCGCGACTAGGTACAACCTCTGGTGGGAAAGACTATTTTTAGCCGGAAAAACATAAATGTTGCAATTAATTGATCGACTGCATCTTGCTTGTTTGTTTATATTGCATGGAAAGCCATTCTGATTTATGTTTGACTGAAAATCAGCCGTGCAAAATCATCATTCACTGAACGTTGCAGATAGTTTGAAGCCTAGTATAGAAAACATACAGTAGAGCCACTCCATTGAATTTTTTTGTGCCACGCATATCTCATTGCGCAGGTGACTACCATAGTGGCAGTCAGTCAATTGCAATTTCTGACCAATGGGAGTGCTGACGTGGCAAAAGTAGCCAGTAATCTTATTGAATGTACAGCAGCCAGTTGCACAGCTAAGTGGACCTACTGTATGTTCCCTATACTGTGGTTTGAGGCCTGGGGCTTACTTAACGTTATATTCGCTGCTCACGGCATCCTCGTTTTTTGTTAATGAGAAGTAATCGCCAGAAAAAAACCAACTTGTCTCGCGAAATTTCGTCATCTTCACATATCTTTAAAAACTGTGTGAAAGGATTAGCTTGGCTTGCAATATGGTAAAATCTTCACATGTCTTTAAAAACTGTGAGAAAGGATTAGCTTGGCTTGCAATATGGTAAAATCTTCACATGTCTTTAAAAACTGTGAGAAAGGATTAGCTCGGATTGCAATACGGTAAAATCTTCACATGTCTTGAAAATTTGTGAGAAAGAATTAGTTTGGCTTGCAATATGGTAAAGTTTAAAAAGTGCCTTTGCAAATAACAATGTCGCAAACTTTGTTCAGTTTGTGACTTTGTTTTTTCGGTTTTCCCGCTGTTTTTTGAGCTTTGTCATCTTGACATTTTAATGCAAACATTGAACACAAATTTTAGCTAACCTTCAACAAAGTTCGTTCAAGACATAGTACATTATAATAAATTGCCCGTGAATCTCTGAAAATATAAAGAAATTAGTCGATGATTTAGAACCCAGTCTTCCAGATGTCTATCTACCGTGTCAAGGTGAGGCAAGGACGCCATCTTGAAAGGTGGCAAAAAGCAAAACTCAAAATGAAAAGTAAGTTAAAACAAAGTTTAAAAAACCCATCCTATCAATCATTAAAAGAATTAAACCTAGAGTATCAACTTTGTGACTCTATATCAACTCAGCAAAAGCAGATATTTGTCTTAAATATCGTCAGTTTTGCCTCCTTTCAAGATGGCGGCTTGCCTCACTCATTACTATACCATTTCGGCGGAGTCAGTTATCTAGTAGATTGGGTTCTAGGTCATTTGTGCAAGTAGCTTTATGTACATTTAATTTCAGTTTTGTAGCGCTCATACCTTACAAGAAGTATACATCGATCTTTTTGGTACGTATTTTTGACATGCAGTAGTTTCACGGCTGTACACGTCTCACAATTATTACGATGAAATAATGATACAATATGATACAATATATGTATAAAACATAGCTTTTTTTGAATTCAGATCAAATCGACGAAAATCTGCGAACTGCCATTCAAAAAGATTTAAATGCGATGGCTCCTGGGTTATCTGTTCAGGTATGTTAGCGTTAAGGTAAACCGCCATCACAACCAACAACTTTCTTTCACGACAAGCGAACAAGTAAAGCTGTTTCTGGGGGATTTTGTGAAATAAAGCTAGCTTACATGAAAGCATCTTAAAACCACTTGTATGATGTATTATGAAATTTCAATATGTCTATTTTAGTTTAAATTAGGATTGTTGGACTTAGTATTTCATGTATTTTTTATTACTTTTCCATATTAAAGTTTATCGAGTGTGGCATTTGTTAAATGGATTTAGAAAACGGTAATTTTTGTGGGTCGCACACGGTCACAGAATAACAGTGAAACACTATAACTGCACATGATTTGGTTGCTACGAATTATTAGCGTACACACTGCTAGTAGTGTTTACGGCTGTACTATAGCTGTCACTATTACTAGCACTGTCTACCAGAGCTATCTACCAGATATTGATGTCCATAAAGCTGTCTTAGAACTGTCTACTAGAACTGTCCACTAGACTGAAAACTCTGCGAACTGCCTCCAAGCTGATTTAAATGTCTGTTGGCTGTCCACTGGGTCTATCTGTTCAGGTACTGTTACCAAAGCTGTTAAGGTAAACACTGTAATGCACATGATTTCAGACAACTTTCTTACGACAATAAATATCAGTAACAACTGCTAAAGCTGTTTCTAGAGCTGTCCACTAGAGCTGTCCATAAAGCTAGCACTGTCTACAGAGCACTTGAGCTGTCTACTAGAGCTGTCCACTAGAGCTGTCTATTAGAGCTGTCCACTAGAGCTGTCTACCAGAGCTGTCTACTAGAGCTGTCTACTAGAGCTGTCTACTAGAGCTGTCTACTAGAGCTGTCTACTAGAGCTGTCCACTAGAGCTGTCTACTAGAGCTGTCTACCAGAGCTTTCTACTAGAGCTGTCCACTAGAGCTGTCTACAGAGCTTTCCACTAGCACTGTCTACCAGAGCTGTCTACTAGAGCTGTCTACCAGAGCTGTCCACTAGAGCTGTCCACTAGAACTGTCCACTAGAGCTGCTGTCCACTAGAACTGTCTACCAGAGCTGTCCACTAGAGCTGTCCACTGAGCTGTCCACTAGAGCTGTCCACTAGAGCTGTCTACTAGCTGTCTATGCCGCTCAAGCTGTCTACTAATAGGGCTGACCACTAGCCAGCTCGAATAATTTTGGGGGGAGAATAGTTTTTTAGATTATAAAATGCGTATGTAAAAATATGCTTCCCAGTGATCGAGCTGGCTACGCCACTGAATATTATATACTTTATATAAGGTCTTAATTATTGTCTAAGCTTGAAGCCAGAAATAACTACAGAATTACAGTGTGGATGTCATAAACGTGACGTCGATGACTGGAGAATCGTCTTTCTACTGTTTGGTGAAATGAATTCGCGCGAAGTCTTACGTACTTCTTTGTCTTAAATTTTTCTGTCATTGTTTGAAATTTCATAAACAGTATCATCGAATAATGGACGTTTTTTGTCACACTATGCGTTACCGAAATTGCCCGGTCACAAAACTTTCCACTTCAAGGAAGATACTGAATGTATTTTAAATCGTTTTCAGGCAGTTCGTGTTACGAAGCCAAAGATTCCAGAAGCCATTCGCAAAAATTACGAGCTCATGTAAGTCGACCCAAATTGGCAGAGAAGGGTTTCACCTTGTACACATTCAGGCCTGCCAGGGGGGGTATCTTGACCCAAGACTCTGACTTATAGGGCGTATCTTATTCGGGAGAGAGAGGACTTAAATTCAAGCAAGTGAAAATGAGCCAGTTGCATTTGAAAGTATTTTTGAAGTTCGTCGTCCCCTTTTGAAGTTTGGTATGTACGCGGCTGAGATTTTCGAAATCATGACGTCATAGGGCAACTAGAGTTCAATCTGGATGCAAGGGTTTAAAATTCCCTTTATGCACATTTTTGTGAATCAACATGACGCTATCTTTTAAAATTTTTGTCAGTTGCGTCAATGTTTTTCTTCAATTCCAAAGCTTAACTTATTCACTTTGCCTGGATGATGTTGATTTTAAGTCTACGTTGACTTTTTTCTGGTTTCAATATTTGTCATCTTCGATTCCGTTCTTCCACAAGTGTTTAAATTTGTCGACCTGTTTTCTGAGTTTTACCAACTTTGAAAATTACCCATCCATGTTTGAGCAGTTGGCTCATGTAGAATCTTTGAGTCTACATCAACTTTTGTCTCGTCTCGGCAAAACTGAGTGTGCACTTTGCGTTAGTGCTCCGTGCTCCGCAAGAGCTCGTGCCCGCCCTGTTGTCTTTCTCTTCACAAATTTCCCAGATACACGCGCGCGAAGAGCTAATGGTCGCTTTGTTGTATACATTGTTAGGGAAGCAGAGAAAACGAAGCTGTTGATTGCTCAGCAGAAGCAGAGAGTGGTCGAAAAAGAAGCCGAAACCGATAGAAAACGTGCAGTCATAGGTAGGTAATATGATGCTCATTCGTTCGGTCGTGTATCGACCATCATACTCGAAACGACTGCCACATCAGTGTTTCTTGCTTCACATGTTCCAATATTTCATAGCATTTATCATTTATCGTATGAAATGAATAATCCTCCTTTCGTTCCGTGCAGAGGCCGAGAAAGTCGCATCCGTGTCGAAGATTCAGTTTCAACAGAAAATTATGGAGAAAGAAAGCTTGAAAAAAATGTCCGAAATTGAAGGTACTTTTTATGCTCAAAATGGATGTTCTGTGCCCCACGTACCCCTCCGTAAGTGCAATATTGCCACCATTGTCGCAATATTGTTGTCGCTATATGAAAAACACACAGCTAATAATCGAGTCCAAAAAGAAACTGAAATTTTATGTTTTACCTATTTGCGGCATGGGACTGCAAGTATTCCAATGTTCGCTGAAAAATATGCGGAAAGTTGAATTACCTGTGCAATTAAGGTCGGAATGTGCAGAATGTAGCGATATTTTACGAGGGGAGGGGGGGTGTGCCCATACAGAATACCTGGTTTGACGGTAATCTATGTTTAATCCCCTTTCAAATCTATTTAGATGCCACAAATCTTGCAAGAGCCAAGGCGAAAGCGGATTCCGACTACTATGCAGCCGTCAAGGCTTCCGAATCTAACAAGGCAAGTACAAAAATTAAAAAAAACCCATAGTTTCTGCACGAAGCATTTCCGTAGCGATTATTCATATTTTCATAATATTTGTACTTGTATATTTACAGTCCGCTTAATTCGACTTATTGTTGAGGCACTGTGTCTACATTAAAAAAATTCCAGGAATGAAATGTTTTTTCGCTTTACTTGAATCGTATTTAAGCAAACAATGATAAAATACTAAATTGTCACATCGATGCATCGTGGCTTAAATTTTTCTCATCAGCATTACTGCATAACCTTCATTTCGCGTGTCCTAGGCCTGCAATTGGTCAAATTGACAAAGGCTTTTTTTTCCGCTATTTTAATATTTGCGTGTGAACATTTTTCAGCTGAAATTGTCAAAGGAGTTCTTGGAACTGGAGCGCTATCGGTCTTTGACGAACAATTTGAAAGTGTACTTCGGCCCAAACATACCGAGCATATTTTTACCAAATATGCCAGACCAATTTTTAAAACAAGGCGGAGAGGAAGTCGACTCTCGAGGCTCCGACGCGCTTTGAACAAAGACTCTGTGTAGAAATATTCACATAACATAATCTTCATCCTCGGTTATCTATAGTCATGACTAGTACATTTTTGTTTTCCATAGTGTAAATCTTTGGGTAGATTTTTTCGACATGTTCTGCATGCAGTGAAGGGTTACTGTATATGATGACGGACGAAAGAGGCCGAGCAGTCTGTGTAATGTTGTAGATTTCGTCGCCCGTCAACGTTTTAGCTCTTCAGAACTGACTGAACTAAACCTTTTTTTGTTGTTATGCGTTTAACCTCCACACGGATCGAATAAATTTGAATTAACGTCTTCAACATTTACAAACAAAGAATGAATTCTCGACGATGAAAGAAGGCGCTAGAATTTGTCGGTTTGACAAGAAAGCGATAATTTTCATAATGTGTGGGCTTAATTATTATGGCCAGTTCCACGAAGAAAGGATATCGCAGTCTACGAGATTGCTAATATTTCTTTATTATGAATTATGGTAACTGGGATTTATTCTATTTATGATAACGATAGTGATGATTTTCATGTTGTTAATGATAATAATCATTAAAAGTCGCAATCTGTTGTATGGTTTCATCGAAGTGCGTGTGCAGTGATTCAATACGTGTGTTATGGTATTGTTCCGTTTCCTTATGTAGCCCCCCCCGTCTGTTTCGAGACAAGTGACCTTTGGAATGAAAAACATGCGCGTGATATTTTGTTGGAGTAGTTGCACTTGATTACCGCTGCCTTAATCACTAAAACATCGCGAAACACAAGAACAGCATTGTTTCCTCTATCTCAATTCCTGTCACTTCGTAGTCCGTTCGTGCATGCTTTTCGCCGATGCGAAATTTTATTATTCAACGCTTGCAAGTTGCAAGTTGCAACTTGTCGTTTTCCATGACGTCACGTGTAGGTGTCTTCGTTGTTTTTACTTCAAAACGTGTGGTTTGCAAGTATCGTTTTCCCTTATACGCTGGCAAGCCGAATTTGGATGTTGGAAAATCTTGTCAGGAGGGAAACGTGACTGAAAATATGATTGAAAACTTAAAAAAGTGCGTTGAACACCGTGCTTTGTGCAAATTTAAAAATGTGAAGCTGACGAGCCCTGGTGTGACCCCATCTCGCTTCTGCACTAAAACTTTAACATTTTAACATTATTTTATAACTACCAGCAACGTCTCCTCAATAACATCAACAAAATAAAGGTTGCGCGTTATTTTTTTACGAAATTTTTTATTTACCGTGTTTTACATATATTTTATCTTTTTGTTGAAAGACGAAGACGCATTAACGGCTTATAGCGCGTTGGATCGCGCTGCATAAAGGTGAACAAGACCACAAGACAAATATCAATGATTTCCGCATTCTTTGGTACGATGTCAGGGGAGACCCCAGTTTTTTGTAGATCGTATTTCACTCTTTACGTCCGGTTAAAGTAAAGAGATCACTAAAAGTAACTTTACTGATTCAGTTCTCTACTCGAGATATTTTATGGTCCTCGTATTGTAAAAGGAGGCCGACTCATGTTTGATTAAACAAGACGCGATATACCGATAATATCGACTTAGAGAAGGTAGGTGCAATTCGGGAATTTGCTTCTGTGACTGTTGATCTGACGTCGCAAACAGTTTTGTTTTGCTACTGTTGTTGGTACCCTCTACTTTTTCGTACCCATAAAACGTGTTAATTACTTTGCGAACTTTGATTTGTTGCATTATAGCTTCTAAAGTGATTAACTGTATTATTTGACGGTAAAACCAACGCAAATTGCCATCATCAGTTAAAATGATAATGCTAATGGCGGTCTTGATTCGATATTTCGTTTTCCTGGCGATGGAATCATCTGCCCGTGGTATGAAACAAATCTCCTTTTCTTAAAAAAAGTCGTAATGCATTGATTCGAAGTCTTAATCGTTGTTTCCCTACGTTTTGTAACATATTGTTTTTGTGCGCAAAATTATTACGGACGTCAAAGGCGGAAGTCGATGTTTTTAATTCGTGATTCCTCATTTTCGGAGCACGAAAAGATCAATTTCAAATTGAGTTAACTGACAAGTTAGTTATACTAAAGCCTAGATATTTACGTAGCAGTGTCTGCTTGATTTGGTCTGTTCATTTGGTAGAAAGTATGTACCATTGCATTCAATGAACATCATACTAATTTTGCGATAATTTATAATAAAGTTTGATGAGTTTGCTTGCCCACTCTCTGTGTCTTATGGTCGTCAATGTACAATTATTTGTTTTAATGTTTGCAACTCAGAGTTGTACATTACCTGAATGTTGATATTGTGGTTTACATCATTGTGGGGTCTGTTGATGCATCAGTCTTTGATAGCTGAGATAAGGGGCTGTTTTGGATCTAATATGAAGTAAGATAAATTTTACCAAAATATCATTATAGCATAAAAAATGTACATGGATAATTTTATCATTTTCAGATGCCTTTTGAATTTTTCATCTTTTTTGTTATGAACAATATATATGAACTGTTTGTTTTAGGTTTTGTGGCTGAAGTGGTCAGTTTTAGCAATGGAACGTGCTATTGTTATTTATACATTCGATAGCACCAGTAATGACGAACTGAAAGTCAATAAAAATGATATTCTGGACATTGTTGCAAAAAATGACAACTGGTGGACACTTCGTGATAAGAATGGTCGAACTGGTTTGGTGCCTGTAAATTATTTGGCAGCACCTATTGATGATAATTCCACCAAGGTAGTGTCCCGTGGCAAGACAATTAAAGAACATAATGGGTCAAGTGAAACTGAAATTTCAGTCAATGCTGGCGAACAAGTTGCAATTTTGGACAAAAGTGACACGTACTGGTGGTTTGTTGGGTGGCAGGGTAAGGCTGGCTATTTACCAAAGAAAATCATTAAGGAATTCCCGGTATGAGCTTCAATGTAATGCAACATTTATATTTTGTTATTTGTTATCTTATTTTCTGATTTGCTATTAGCTGCCAAGAAAATCTCAAGAAAAAAAGCCCTCGGAAAATAAGTTTGACTTTTCAGCAATGACACCTTCAAAAGCTTTGTGTGAAGTAAGCACTTGACATGATAAATTAGATTTCTATATAACAGAAGTATATGGAAAAATTAATTTGTTGTTAAACCTATTTTATTGTTCAAAGTGTTGCTGCCAATGAGTTTGAAGAGCCATAAAAATATTTGTACACTGTAGTTGAACATCACCTACGTGTTTTGAGCTTATATCCAAGCATTGAAATATAGTTATATCATAAGCAACTGGTTAATTCAATAATCTGCAATTGGCTTGAGCCTACTGTATGGTAAAGCTGCAAATGATTTTCAATTTTCAGTATTTGGCAAAAAACGAGTTATTGGAAATTTTTGGCAAACAAACAATCGTGACTGTATCAATACATGATAGTGAAACAAGTTATTTGAACATTTTTGTCGATCATGATAATGGTGTACACACGCATCGTTCATCTGTTTATAGCAAGCAGAAGCAACTATACTGCCTTAGACCATGTAGTTTACTGTGAAACTTTTAATTTTCTTATTGCTTTCGAGTGATTTTGGCAAAAAGAAGAAAAAATGAAATACATAGCACTTTCATCTAAGTATCTCGGCTTATTATAACGATTTTCCATTTCTAGGACGAAATCCCGATTCTTTGCTCTTTTAAGAAACCTCTTCCGAGCGAAGGGCAATATTTTGTTACATTTAAAGGAAGCCACTGCGAACAAACTGTCGTCGGTGAATTTCTTAACGAGTTTACTTTGAAAGTGACGTCGCCAGGTAGTATGATTCGTTATACTTTCTACAGAGACTGTGGAGCATGGGTGAGGGTCAATTCCTTCACTTTTTCACTGGAGGAATCGTTGAACTAAAATACATGGAACGCCACCTGAAGCAAATAGTTGAATCCAAATCTTACACCCTGACACGTGTGTGTAGTGTTTCGAGATTCTCTCGCGGAGTGAAAAATGCACACGCGTGTTTAGGTGTAAGATTTAACTTCAAAAAATTATTAGACTTTTCTATGACAGGTAGCGTTCCACGTATTTTAGTTCAATGGGAGGAATTGACCCTTGCCATATCCAGAGTATGTTCTCGTGCTATTCTGCCACCTCCCACATTTGAACAGGCTCCGTGTTCTCTGCTCTGTAGCGTTCTGTAAATTGCTCAGTGCTTACATGTTTCAACATCGTCGGCAATGAGGACTTCGTTCGTCGACTTTAATTTTGTTTTTTTCGGTGCTTTCAAACACATGTGGAAGACGAAAAATTAAATCGTGTTTCTCCCCAATTAGCTCTTAAAAACCATTATTGTTTGTCGTATGAAATGCGATGGCGATTTTCTTTCCTTGATTACAGGATAAGCATTTTATAAAACTATGTAGAATTAGTGATAGGACTCGTCACATCATAGCTAATTGGGCCAAATTTTTTGCAGTGTATTTTCCTGCTGAGAAGACGATGATCACCATTAAACATCAAGCGAAAGACTCCTCGCTGAAAATCATCGTCAACGGAATCGATTTTAAATTCGAGTCAAAGATAGATGTCGTTCAACAAATCCTAAAGTCAGAATCGGATCCTGTCAATTTTCTGTGCTCGTCATTTAAAGTCAGGGATTTGAACAGCGTGGATAACATCTTATCCAGTCATGTGGAGAAGAGAGTGCCCGATGGCGTCGACTTGTTGAAGAACACCAAAAGTGCTTTGGTGAATCAGGAAGGTAGTCAAAAAATGTATATTTGAAGCTTTTGTGACCATTAAGCTTTATAAGACTAAGAATTTAGTTCCTTTTCGTCGGGTTTTCCAGGAGGATTGAAGAAAATTTTGTATACGTAGTTCTTTTGTGACCAATCAATATTGGCCAATATTTTGTGACCAAGAATTTATCAATATTGTTGCCAATGAAGTGCCAGGCGGGAAACGGATTCTCAATATAACTATTAGAGCCCAGCAAATAATTTTAAACATAGTCATAAACAGTTTGGTTTTATGAAATTTCACTCTTTTAATAAATTTCATAAAATCAAATTGTTTATGACTATGTTTAAAATTATTTGTTGGGCTCTAATATTTATATTGAGAATGCTAAGAATTTAGTTCCTTTTCGTCGGGGTTTCCACGAAGATCGAAGTAAATTTCGTATACGTAGTGCTTTTGTGACCAATAAGCTTTATAAGGCTAAGAATTTAGTTCCTTTTCGTCGGGTTTCCACGAGGATCGAAGTAAATTTTGTATACGTAGTCTTTTTGTCGAAGTCTTTTCATTATAAAATTGGCAACTTACGCTAAATTGTTTTCTTTGGAAGAGTCATTGAACCCAACACTTTTCATGACCTTTGCTTAATTTTAGGTCATCTCCCAATTATGCCTCCCCCAACCAGTTTGGGATCCCGGAGAAAGATGCCCCCTCGCTACCTTCGTGGCGACCTCGTGTGCGAACATCATGGGATCATTACGTCACGTGTTTACTAATTTTTGTAATTTTTTTCTTTTTTCTCAGCTCTTCCGAATGAAACTCCAACGCTACTTCACTTCGCTGCTTTTTACGACATGAAAAAACTGGCAAAATCTTTGCTGCGTTGTCCAGGAGCCCTGGAGGCGATGTCCATTAAAATTCCAGTGGTGACGTGCCCATCAGTGTTGCGAATCGTAAAAATCACATAGAGATGGGAAAACTCCTCGAATCCCATCAGGTGAAGTATTGTCTTGTACTCGTCAGTCATTTGAATTGTCTCGATTGTTTGAAAAATCTTTTAAAAGGCTCCAGGCTACATTTGATTTAGACAATTACGTGATTTAGTAAAATGCCAGTTCAAATTTTAACAAAATTTCTTTGTCGCTTAGAAAATAAAGCCACTTGTTTTCTTCGGCTAATCAATGGGTAAAGCAGGCTTCAAGCAATCGGTTACTGATGCCGTTGACAAAAAAACTCACAGACATTTATGTTTACTTGCTTTATGCCACTGCATGCATGTGCAGCGAACTGGCGCTAGATTTAAATAAGGTTCAACAGGTTTCAAAAATTGTTGCCATGTTTTTTTTATTTTGCTTTTATACATGCTGTAAGATTATACGGCCGTTTTGTAAAGTACATTATGTATTGAAAAGTTGATTGTTCTTTTGTTTTATTAGCATCGTGTTGAGAAAAGCAAAAAAGAAATTTAAATTTACTTACCCTTTTAGTGTTAGAAATTAGTTGCTTTCCTAATATATAGGCCAAATGCAAAAGACAGTTAAGTCTCGAAGCACGAGGATTATGCTAATCGCTATCATTTCAATTTCTGTATTGCACTCACAACACAGGCCAATAACGATACACAGAACGAGGACGGTGAGGATATATACGAGAGCATGGAATCATGCTATGAACGCTACATGATTATGGATGGTAGGAACCAACCGGACAATTACGTCGTATGTTCGGACAGTTTTAACGAGAAAGAGGAATTGTACGAAGACATGAATGGTTCATCGCCGCCAGAAAGTAAGTCGTTTTTCAATCCAAAATTATAATGAAGTTTTTCTCGATGGCGCAAATTGGATTTCCTAATTGAATTTACCAGAAGTTGCGAAAGCTTTTGAAAGTTATGGGTGCTCCATGCCCACGATCTGATCGCGCACAATAGTTAAACTAGTTATCATATGAAGCTGCTTGATTTTAGTTATTTTTATTTGACTTTTCTTTTTCTTTTTTTAATTGCATCTTGTCAGAATGAATGGTCTTTCCGTTAATTTGAAAAGTTGGGGCACTTGTTAAAACTTTGCATTTATGATACAAACGTCTGGGCAAGAAGCTAAATTTGCAAGTGTTTTTAATTTAAGGGACACCTACACTCCAAAAAACGTCCCAAGCCTTTGGAATGTGTATCGGCGGCACATGACATATAACAAATCATCCCCTGACTGTTTTTTTTTTTGTTTTCGAGGAAAACTCATTTTTATCTCGCTTCATTTTAAAAGGGACGGTCTATGATACCCCACGCTTTGAGGATCGTTTTGTCGGCGATAACGGTTATTTTGATAATAATCAAAATAAAGTTGGTAGAATGCGACCTTCCGTCATGCAAAGAAACCTCGATGATTACAAAGCTTTGGGTAGAATGTCGGAGAAGGAAGTCCAACTTGCTTTGCTCATGAAGCGCGTGAAAGAGCAATACATCACGCAAGAACAGGCGCTGGAAATGGCCAAAGTTTTGCACCTGGAGGTGAATTCTTTGTTAAGAAACTTCATCTTTATATCGAAATTATAGAGTATGTGGTTTGAACCCAAGAGTATCGTTACATGTTCGTAGATGTAGATTGTCCAGGTTGATGTCCAGATCGCAGATTGATGTTTCCACATCTTCAGTGACAGTCATATTTGATTTGTATTTTCAGCCAGAAGTTGGTTTGAACTCCAGAAGAAATGGGAATAAACCGCCTGTTGCGCCAAGAAGCTCGTTGCCAAGGACTATGTCGACAAGTTCTGGATCAAGTAAGCTTTGTGCAATTTTTTGTGACGATGTGTTGTAGAGCCGTAAGAAAACCGATAGTTTGGGCGCGAGGGGGAGATATGCATAAATGCACGGTATGCAGAACTAAACTCCTTTGAAGTCTATTGTTTTCTATTCTACGGATTAAATAATGCGAACATAAAGATTCCCTCTCAATCATCGATCTTTATTCGGCTCTGTATAATGTCTGTTGGTCACGATCTATTAGTTTTTAGCGGAGCTTTCCTCGAATAGAAAAATGTTGGCAAGAAATATGAGAAATACAAGAAAAATAAACGTGTGAAAACCGAAATGATTTTTATTCATTTGTTTATAATTTATTCAGGTGTTAGCAGTTGTGGCAGCACGGGTTCTGGATACGCGGTATGTTCATGCTTCTTGCGGAGATATGCATTTGACATTTGGTTTCAATGCACTGTACTACACAAAGTACATCGTTGATTAAAAAATATCTGTATTGAATGTTTGTTTGCATCCTACCATGAAACACTCGGAGAATTGAAGTGATTGTACAAAAATAGCTACAATCGTCTTCATCCTAATGTCTACTCTGACAAAGGACTAAAAACTATAGTTTCGTTTGTAGAAATTTATCAATTTCACTTAAGAAATAAGACATTTTTACTTCGTTTGCACAGGCTTATTCAAGCGTAGGAGACCTTTGGGAGAATTTGAGAGCAGATCAGTGCTATGCACCTGCTTGAGAGTTCTCACAAACGTCTCCCTTTTTTTGTTTGGCGAAAACCCGTTAAGTGTTTCATTTTTCATTTGATAGAGCGATCCAGTGGATAAACCGTCCGTTCCACAAACGCGGGTAAGCTGATTATTTGTTTTTTTTACGTTTTATTGCTATAATTTTAAAACACGTTTCCAAGTTACTCTTCTTGCTGTTAAAGATATTGTTAGTGAAGGGGAGAGAGAATTTGTTGTCTCAAATTTGTGGGATTTTTTTGTCGATAACATTAACCGTGGACTGATCTCCATTTGTCAACTTCCCTTTTCCTTCTTTGTCAACTACCACTGTTTTCCACTTGTCAACTACCATTGTTCTCCATTTGTCAAGTACCACCTTTCTCCATTTGTCAACTACCACTTCTTATTTCGTCAATTGCTATTGTTCTCCTTACTTCCACTACCATTGTTCTCCTTACGTCAACTATCACACATTTGACAAATGGAAAGTGACCACCCTGGATTGTTTGTAGCTATTCTCTCTCCTTGAGGAGATCAAGTGTGTGCCAAATGTAAAAGCTGCAATTGCTTGTTTTGCCTTACAGTAGTTACGTTAGCAACATCTAGTTGTAGATTTTGACTAATTTGTGTATTCCTGACGAGAACTGTTGAAGTTTAGGCGATTAACACACGCAAACATTTCACTCGTTGTTGTTAGCATTTCACTTGTTGTTGTTAGCATTTCACTTGTTGTTGTTAACATTTCACTTGTTGTTGTTAACATTTCACTTGTTGTTAACATTTCACTTGTTGTTGTTAACATTTCACTTGTTGTTGTTAACATTTCACTTGTTGTTGTTAACATTTCACTTGTTGTTGTTAACATTTCACTTGTTGTTGTTAATTTCACTTGTTGTTAACATTTCACTTGTTGTTGTTATTTCACTTGTTGTTGTTAACATTTCACTTGTTGTTGTTAACATTTCACTTGTTGTTGTTAACTTTTCACTTGTTGTTGTTAACATTTCACTTGTTGTTGTTAACATTTCACTTGTTGTTGTTAACATTTCACTTGTTGTTAACATTTCACTTGTTGTTGTTAACATTTCACTTGTTGTTGTTAACATTTCACTTGTTGTTGTTAACATTTCACTTGTTGTTGTTAACATTTCACTTGTTGTTGTTACATTTCACTTGTTGTTGTTAACATTTCACTTGTTGTTGTTAACATTTCATTTGTTGTTGTTAACATTTCACTTGTTGTTGTTAACATTTCACTTGTTGTTGTTAACATTTCACTTGTTGTTGTTAACATTTCACTTGTTGTTGTTAACATTTCACTTGCTTTTGTTAACATTTCACTTGTTGTTGTTATTATTTCACTTGTTGTTGTTAACATTTCACTTGTTGTTGTTAACATTTCACTTGTTGTTGTTAACATTTCACTTGTTGTTGTTAACATTTCACTTGTTTTTGTTAACATTTCACTTGTTGTTGTTAGCATTTCACTTGTTGTTGTTAACATTTCACTTGTTGTTGTTACATTTCACTTGTTGTTGTTAACATTTCACTTGTTGTTGTTAGCATTTCACTTGTTGTTGTTAGCATTTCACTTGTTGTTGTTAACATTTCACTTGTTGTTGTTAACATTTCACTTGTTGTTGTTAACATTTCACTTGTTGTTGTTAGTATTTCACTTGTTGTTGTTAACATTTCACTTGTTGTTGTTAACATTTCACTTGTTGTTGTTAGTATTTCACTTGTTGTTGTTAACATTTCACTTGTTGTTGTTGTTAACATTTCACTTGTTGTTGTTAACATTTCACTTGTTGTTGTTAACATTTCACTTGTTGTTGTTAACATTTCACTTGTTGTTGTTAACATTTCACTTGTTGTTAACATGTAAATACTTTACTTGCAGACAATTTGTCGGACGGCTGCAGTTTCCAACGTGCGAGAGTTAAGCAATTTATGCCCTCGCAATCAGTCTTTTCCTCAAGAAAATAGGAATTATTTAGTCACTTCCTTGTTTACATTTTAGCCCAAACCGAGATTTAACTATTTGGCTGGAGGAATCCCTGTATTGAGGAATACTTCCCAACAAGGACCAGGTGTGCAGAAAATATTCTATTTTTTATTCTACTTAATGGAGAATTCATACCCCATTTCATATTTTTGAAATGGCCTTTTGGTCCTAGACCTGTTGCGTACTCTTTTATATAAGACAACGAATATTTATATTAAATGGCCGTTATATGACCACAAACACGTACGGAATTTACAAATTAACTAAAGGGGTAGCTCCCCGAACGTATATGAAAGCATTTTTGAGAAATCGTTCATATAAATGAACTGCAGCCAAAACTGCACAAATGAAATGATGCTCAATAAATGAAAAATCCCCGCACGAAATTTTGTCCTTGTAATATAAATGGAAGTTAAGAAACCAAGCCATTCGTCGGATCGAGTCAAATTATGACGTCATAAATACAGCACACGCATCATTTTGTGCAAAGTTTCAGTTGCAAACCATTTGTACGAATAATTTTTAAAAATGCTTACATACACGCCCAAGTACCCTTTAAAAATAGCAAGTATTGCAGATTGTTCTCATCTGTGCTATAAGAACCCTTTCAACATGTTGCCAATACAGTGATAATTTTCCTCAATATCAACCCCTTTTCATGAAATAATATTTTGTTTTTCCCCATCTTCAAACTTGTCATCCACGGGTGTTTAAAATGTAATGAGAGAAACCTACCAAAACTTATTAAACACAATTTACAACGACGAAACCCTTGAGAAATGGATAGCACCCCTATTTGTGAAATTGTAAACATTGATGCTGTATTGAGTCTGAATAGTTTAACCACAGAATAGATATCTTAACAGAAGGTCCACTCGTATCGGAACCTTTGATTGTTTGTGCCCCTAACTTTTCTAAAGCAAATTCTAAGGAGACACGCCTTCCAGCGAGATACTTCCGCGGGGGGGGGGCAATAGAAAATATAGATGTTTTTTACAAATATATCGTTTTGCACTACAAAAGCTTGGTACGTTATCTCCCTTCCAAGATGTTAACTCTTTGTAAAAATTTCTGCAAACTTTTGCTTTGAACGTGAATTAACAGTAAAATAGCATTCTCGTGCAATTGTATTCTCTTACGAAAATGTCACATTTGATTTCATATATGAAATGATATGTGAAACTTATGTGAACTTGTAATACTTCATACATGAAATGATATATATGAAACTTATGTGAAACTGAAACACTTCATATATGAAATGATATGTGAAACTTATGTGGAAGTGAAACATTTCATATATGAAATGATATGTGAAACTTATGTGAACTTGTAATACTTCATACATGAAATGATATATATGAAACTTATGTGAAACTGAAACACTTCATATATGAAATGATATGTGAAACTTATGTGGAAGTGAAACATTTCATATATGAAATGATATGTGAAACTTATGTGAAATTGAAACACTTCATATATGAAATGATATGTGAAATTTATGTGGAAGTGAAACACTTCATATATGAAATGATATGTGAAACTTATGTGAAATTGAAACACTTCATATATGAAATTAGAATTTCATATATGAAATCAAATGTGAAATTTTCGTATGGGTTGATTTTGTGAAAGTATCTTGCTGGGAACTCACGCATGCGTAGTAAAAAAATATGCCACGATTTTAGCCGATTGGGCCTTCTGTTAGATGTCTATTCTGTGATTTAACTATGCCAAGTACATTCAAGTCAATCAAATCGTTACGTTTGTCATTATTAGTTCACCAGAAGAGAGGGCCTCCTACAATACCTCCACATTCACATAGATGATTGAAAATCGTTTGTTAGTTGCTGAGAGAGTAATTTAATATGCTTGTTGAAGATGGTAAATTTGTAAATAAATTTTTGTGACCTGATGGTGCTCTCGACTCAAGACTGGTCGCTTTCAGAGAATTTTATGATGGAATAGACGATTTCTCTGTGCAACTCTGTGACGAACAACCGCTGGATTATCACAGGTGAAATTATGGAGATGGTTCGAGAAGGAATTTTATAGAAATCGAATTATGATCCATGTCATGAGCAATATTTAAAAGACTTTAGCCACGATTTCCTCAGTTATCAATGGCAAAGCGTATTTCAATAAAGAGTCTTCGAAGGATTTGAATAGTTGACATATTTTACTTTTATTTAAGTAACATTCAGATCTATAATATCCAATTTTAACTTCTGGTCAAACCATATTCTATATACGCGAGAAATTTTTATTCAACGATGCTTAATCGACGAATTTTTTGCATTCGATTTTTTATAGCCATTTTAGAAATTTTTATACTTTTTTAAAAGTGGTTAATTTAGCTATCGCATGCAATAATTGATATATTTTGAGCGGTAACTTACTTCATAAATGCATTTTTTGAGAATAGATTTGAAAATTATAAATTTAATCTTATGTATATTGAAATGAATTTTTCTTAATTATTGCAACCTGAAGTTTTGACAAACATCGAGATAACGTTTAAAGAGTTGTCATTTCATAGAAGACTTAATTTTAATTTCAAACGTCATTTCATAGGAAACGTCTTTTGAGAAGTCATTATTTTGAGAATTAGGTTCACCCAAGCAAGCATCGTAGTCCTCCATGTTTGTTTTCACCTTTAGAAAAGGAAATGTGTTGGAGCGAGTACCATGTATGCCTGTAGGGTGTGTCAAAAAAGGCGACTAGTTATAATTTCAAAATGCACGATAAATTTTAAAGCACGATAAATTTGAAGCCTTTGGAAATTTAAAATGGCTTCTAGTCTTACAATTGATGAACTTATAGAGTGTTTTTATCAAATGCTATGTTGATAAAAAATCACATACGATGAAAAGAATTTAAATTGTTCAATGCTCTGTTAAACATCTTCAGTTTGATGTAATCGACCAAGTACCAACATGGCTGCCATGACGTCACATAAAAAAGGCTATAGTGACTATAGCAACGATTGCAAGCCTTGCCTAATCCCTAAGGCAAACTGGCAAACGTTTTTTGTACTGTAAAACAAAGCGGATATTATAAATATTAATTTCATGTAAAAAGACACCGACTACACTTAAAACGGTTACCTTCAGAAACACAATGAAATGAATATGAAACTAATCAGGACTTGCGTCTAATAGAGCGTTTTTCAGAGACGTCATACAACCGCCATGTTGGTGTACCGATTGAAAAACATCAATATGGCCGCTTTCTCCATTGGCCATGTAAACTCCTAGCGATTAAGTGAAAGTACTTTCTACTGTAAACTCAGCCTCAGAATGTTGCTAATATTTCCACATCATCATATATTCTCGTTTATTATCGACAAGAACCATTTTGCGTACAGTACTGACAGGTAGGAAATCTTGATCATTGATTGACTTCGAAACCTTGAAAGCTTGATGTCTGGATAGAATCATCGGGTTTTATTCATTCCAATGCTCCAATGAAATATTGACAGGGTATATTAAAAAAGACAACCACTAAACAGGCTCCGATGGCAATTTGATAAGTTTTAAACGGAGTCTTAAAATACTTCGAAAACAACTAAGCACATATCTTGAATTGCGATTATTTGCATGAGCGACAAATGGCTTATCAAGGAAGAGTATGGACGAAAGTGGAACAAATTGTGTGATTATTTTGTTATGTTTTTCTTTTGCAGCATTCTTTTTTCCCTCCATTAATTTGAATGTTCATTCTTAAGCATTGATGGATCTTGGGTGAGTAAAAGTAAAATATTACTTGATTTCCAACCAATATGTCGGTTAGCATTGTTCTATAAGATAAAGTTTCGGTTCAGGGGTAAAGCTCGCTTATTTGTTGAGCTTGGAATCAATACCATTGTGTTTGTAGACAAAGGTGACTAGTCAAGTGAAACGAAATATTATAGAATTTCACTGAAGACTAAAAAGTAATTGTTGTTGTTTTTAACGCCATTTTTGCATTTCAAGGCTATCGGCCATTCATAATGAGCTTGGTAAATGCCCCAGGACAATGCTAACTTGTTTAGCTTACCATTTGCTTGCAAGTGGTGATGTATCAAAGACTATTCTTTGTTATTCTTACTTTTCGATGGCGTTGAAAATAATGAAAAAAAATTTCGAGAAATTAATTTCATATCATTTTATGGAAAAAATTCCTGTTATGCGTCATAATTATCCACAATCTGGCATCCAGACAATAAAGCGATGCGAAATATTTACTTTGCTTCGGACAAAAATGGTCGCACTGAAATTTGAACGCTGTAAACTCGTAGAGCATCATGGTATATGACGCAATAAATTTGCAATTGTAGTAAACGGCGCGAGCAACGCAATGAAATTTGAAGCGCCGTTAAACTATTGCATTGTTGAAGAATTTTTCGTGTGGAAGCTTTGGTAAAGACTATAAGTGTTTTTCACGGCGAGTCTTACTTCTTCGTGGCACATAACGATGAAGTTTCTTGCATTTTTGATTTGCTTGAATCTTGTCGAGAAAGTTTATCAGTCGATTTGTCTTACATCACTATTTTCTGTTGTACAGAAGTCACAAATTGCCTATAAAATGTGGCAAGGGATTGTATCAAGATCAGAGCGGTCAGACATCTTGCAAATTGTGTAAGGACGGCGAATACAACTTTCACTCCGGGCAATCAAAATGCAAACACTGTCCGATTGGTCATTATTGTTATTGGAAGAACAAGTTACCCATGAAATGCTTGAAAGGAATATATTAAAATCAAACTGGGCATGCGCAAAAGCTTTGTAAATAGTGTAACGACGGCGAATACAACATTCAGATTGGACAAACGAAATGCGACATTTGTCCGGTGGGTCACTATTGTTTTTCGATAAGTCAGTCACCTGTAAATGAGAAGAAAGGACTGTATTAAGACTACTTGGGGCAAAAGTTTTTCAAATTGTGTAAGGTTGGCTATTATAACAATAAAATTTGACAGACAAAATGCAACGTATGTCCTGTTGGTCGCCAATGTTATTCGAAGAGTAAAACACCTGTCAAATGTGGAAAAGGATAATCTAAAGATCAAGAAAGACAAAGTTTCTGCAAACCATGTAAGGACGGAAAATATAACACTCAAACTGGACAAACAACATGTACATTTGTCCTGTTGGTCAGCATTGTTATTGGAAGAGTAGATCGCCTGTCGAGTGTCGTAAAGGACGGTACCAAGACCAAAGAGGAAAAACATTTTTACCTCATCTGCCCATCAGATACCTTTTGTCCCTCAACTGGCCCTGTAGTACCCAACAACAAAACTATGTGAGCAATTCTTGATGCTGTGAAAAATGCGACTGAGGCCTGCCAAGACGTTGAACTTGCCGACTCGAGATTGGTCGACGACAACAATAGTACTCTTGGCTTTGTCAGGTACGAGAAAAATGTTTTTGTCGTATCTTTTCGTGGTACAGACGGCATGAAAGATTTGTACAGCTAGGAATGCCAATATCCTAAAAGAGGTTTGCATAAACTGCAAAACACACACTGGATTTTCCAACATTTATTACTCAGTGCAACAGGAGATGTTTGCAAAAGTAAAAGCTTTATCTCGTGTTCATTCAAACTCGACAGTTCTTGTCACAGGTCAGTCACTTGGTGGAGCATTGGCAAATTATGCAGCAGTTGATTTGGCCAAGGCTGGATATCAGGTCGATTTAATAACGTATGGCTCACATAGGGTTGGTAACAAAGAAATCCCCAAATATGTCGACAAAAATCTGCACGGTATAAATCCAAAAGTGACATTCAAGAACGACTATGTTATTGTTCTTACTCAAAAATCCTTTGGTTATTGGCATGTTGGACAAGAATTTCATTGCGTCGGTCGAACCAATCAAACAGGTGCTATGAATTTTCCTCGAAGAAAGATTTCACGCATGTAAGAATAAGGGTCAAGGATCATAGGATGACTAATTATCTTGCAATTTAATGGAATTGTGCGATTAATTAGTACTAACTAAATGAATTAATGCTTTATCATGAGCTATAGGTTACCTACCTTTAGTCAATAAATAAATCGATCCAATAATTGGTTATTGTGTCTAAGGGGGTGTTTACATGAAAACGGAATGAGTTTCGATCCGAAATGAACTCATTCCACTTTAAAAGAAATCCTACTGCATGTTTACATGAATACGGAATGAGTCACAACTCGATCCGGATCGAGTTCATTCCTATTTTCATTCTGGATCGAAATTTACGTTTAATCTCATGTAAACGCGAATTGAGTTTCATTCTGGAATGATATTGTGATTAATGACGAAGCACGCATGTGCCATGGGTATTGTCTTCTGGCAAATTGAAGCTCGTAAGCAAATAAAGAGGTTAAATGGGCTAAAATGAGTGCGAAGAAAAACAACAATTAGTTTCATGCAAATGTTAAGCTGTATTAACGCAGGAACAACAGAAAAAAAGGGTTGCTATTATGTTTATGTTCTCCATCTTCAAATTTCAAAATTCCCGCAAAATGTCAATCCTTGTGTTGATTTCCCTTGTAAACACGGATTGACATCACGTTTCGATCGGGATTGAAAGTCATTCCGGATTCATGTAAACACCCCCTAAGAAGATTAGCAAAATAACTCACTGATACAGTTCAAGCGATTTCTTATTTCTTCCAAATTACGTTCCAACAATTATATAAATTGTTATCTATTGGAGAAAACCAAACTTTTTTTTCATAAATGGCCTACGTTTGCTATGAAACATAGGCATTTGGCAAAAATTGCTCAATCAGCGATGGAAACAAACAGTTTTTAAAATTACATTTCGTCAACTGCACTCCAAACAAGTTGATCGAATTTTCTAATTTCCAAGAAGATTCATTAAAGTTTACAGATGTATAAATACATGGAGTGCAAAGACAAGGTGTTGCTTGCAGTTACCGTCCGACATTTCTAAATGAGAATATGTGTGTAGCATTTCAAATCGCTGCTCAGCGGCTTTAGAAGTGAATGACGCCGTAATGTTTGGTTTGCTACAGAAATTGCAAGTAATTTTTAGTTTTTACTGAACTTTCCTTTTTCTCTGAATGGAATATCTGTGTATTTAAGTATGAAGTTACATTTACTATAATCTTGGAATGTTCGATGCTTGTATTTCCGCACTTGAATAACGACATTCCGCTTTCGCGCTGGTCGGTCATATTGTTTACAATGTCTTAAAAAGAATGCTCATTTCTGAAATCAGCCTGCCAACGAGTAGCATTTGCAAGATTCGTGAATAATTGAATTCCAAGGAGGCGTGAACGCACTTGAAATGAACGCAATACTTGAAATTTGCAGTGTAAAGAAGCGGCAATTCGTACGCATTGTTGTTTTTTTCAACTTACAGGTCGTGGGATGCAATTACTGCTCAACCATACAAATTCTAAAAGTCGGCTGATTTCAAAGATGAGCAGTTCTTGAGACCCTCTGTAGAATATGGCTGTGCGCTTATTGTTTTGCACGTAAAGTTTCATCGAAATTCTAATTTCTATTTTTGAAAGTTCATCATAGACTTGCTTCACACAAGTAAAATAAGCACAAGCAACAATCAAGACTTTAGTTTCTTTTGCTTTGGAGGCTTAGAAAGAGGTTTAAAAGTCTGATTATTCTTTTCGGTCTTCTTTTTTTCTTTAAGCATTTGCTTGAGTCTTTTTTGCATGTTTGTGCTTCTGTCGATCAATACTTATAAATGTCACATGCTTCGTCGATTGCCTGTGTCTAATCTTTTCTCTTTGCTTGTGCTTATGATTAGTTCACTCGTAATCTGAAAGTGCACCTGACTTTTATGTTTTGTTTGAACGAATTTGATAAACTGTAAACGTGAAACAACACTCTTGAAAAATTTTCTGAATTGGATGAAAAATCCCTACGCTAAGCCTTGTAAAGCACACGTCATGTCTTGTTAACAACCGCGTAACTAGTAATTTTATGACTCATGTGATGACATGTATGACTAAAAAGATGTGTAAATATCCGGCACTCGAATAATCAAATACCGTTCATGTGATTGCACAGATAGATTCAAACTGCGTTTAATAAGCTATTCAAAGGTGTGTTTAGAATAACCGTACGACGTCAGTAAGCTTTTTAGAGAATCGCGTTTTTGTTAAAGTTGTTGAATCTGTTACTTTTTGGCCGGACGACGATCATTTTCCAAAGGGTTAAGCCGAAATTAGAATCGTGATGTTATGATTTGTTGACTTAAGCTATAGAATTCCCGCTACGCTAGACATGTGTTATATTCCAGAAAGGAAAGAAAGACATTCATATGACACAAAACGGATATCACGTAGAAACAAGCAGAAGCCGAGAAGATAAATAGCAGATGGTATGCATGCATTTTTGCTAGTTTTGCTTCATCTCGAATGATAAAGATGACGTTTTTTGTACTTTTGTTTAGCTCGATGTTTTTCGTGCAGACTTATCAGTCTTCAACTTGTGATGCGCCCGCTGGTCATTATTGTCCGTGGATGTGGTTTAGTAGTTCTCCATTAAAATGTGGCAAAGGAAAATATCAAGACGAAAGGGGCCAAACATCTTGCAAATCATGTATGGACGGCGAATATAATATTCAAAATGGACAAACAAAATGCGAACTCTGTCCAGTTGGTCATTATTGTTATTGGAAAGGTGCATCGCCGGTAAAATGTGGCAAAGGAAATTATCAAGATCAAAAAGGGCAAAAATCTTGCAAACGGTGTAAGTCCGGTCAATACAACATTGAAACAGGACAATCGAAGTGTAATATTTGTCCAGTTGGTCATTACTGTTATTGGAAAAATCAATCACCTAAAAAATGTCGTAAAGGACGGTATCAAGACCAGAAAGGAAAAACATTTTGCCTAATTTGCCCATCAGGTAGCTTTTGTCCGTCAACTGGACCTGTCGTGCCCAGCAACAAGACTTTATGGGCTATTCACAATGCAGTGAAATATGCGGCCAAAGCTTACGAAGACGTTGAACCTGCCGACTTGAGATTAGTCGACGAGAAAAATGATATTCAAGGTTTCGTGAAGTACGAGAGAAATACGATTGTTGTATCTTTTCGAGGCACGGACGATATCAATGACTGGTTTCGCAACATCAATATTCTGAGAAAAAAATATCGGGGCTGTAAAAACTGCAAAGTACACACTGGATTTTCTAACATTTATTACTCGGTGCAAAAGCAGATGTTTGCAAAAGTAAAAGCTTTATCTCATGTTCATTCAAACTCGACAGTTCTCGTCACAGGTCAATCACTTGGTGGAGCATTGGCAACGTTTGCAGCAGTTGATTTGGCTAAGGCTGGATATCATGTTGATTTGATAACGTATGCCTCACCTAGGGTTGGTAACAAACAATTTGCCGAATATGTCGACAGAACTCTGAACGGTTTGAATCTAAGAGTGACATTCAAGAACGACCCAGTTACAGTTCTTCCGCCAAGAATATTTGGATATTGGCATGTTGGGCAAGAAATTCATTGCGCTAATCGAAAAAATTGCTTTGAATATCCCTCAGAAAAAGATTTCACGCACGAGAGACTAAACACTAAGGATCATAGCATACTTAATTATCTTAAAATAAAATGAAACAGACGAACTTGCAACTTTATATATCTATCTTTATATAGTGGTACTAAATGCTTTAATTTGAACTGGGCTACTGTAGTAAACAAAATAATTTCGTTGTGTGATTATGGTCATTGCGTCTCCACAAAAGATAAATAGCTAACTCCCTGATACAATTGAAACGATGTTTGAGTTTTTCCCAACAACTTGTATGTTGCCGATCAGAGTATTACCAATCATTTTCTGTAAATCAGCTTGTGTTTGTTATGCAGATAACAGATTTGATAAAAGTAGCTTACTCAACGTTGAAAACAAACAGTTTTTAAAAGTACACAAAGCGTTAACTGAGCTCTGAATGATGTTCGTCGAATGTTCTACGAAGTTTCCGGAATTCATTCAAGTATATACATCCATGTTGCTCAAAAGACAAACATTTCATGTACAGTCAGTGTTTTCGATATATGAACTATAAAGATATGCTATGGCGTTTCATGAATTGCACACACATTAATTATTAACATATTAATTTGCACATTAGGTTATCTGTTATCGTCGTAGTATTCCAAGGTTTTACCAACAACGTGTATACTTTCGAGAATAACGCAACTGTTTGATGTGGCTGCTCTGGATGTGGTTGTGGATATGGGAGAAGTCAGCCCGATCACAGCTTTTGACTATATCTGTTTTATGTATTTGGTAATTTTTATGTGTAAATATTTTCTGTCGTTTTACCGCGTGCATATGTACTTTATTATTCATTCCATAGACTGCGTATATTCTGATATAATTTACGAATTTTGTACTGTCAAGATTGAAACTGCAATTCAAATGTTCATTTCTAAGATATGTTCGTGCAGCTATAGTGCTGATAATCAGATTGATATTCGGCATGCTTGGGTGGATAATATTACATTATATTTAATTTGTCAATCCTGGTTTAATGTAAATCATCATTGCTAAGGAAAATATAATGATGTTTTTTACTATTTTGTATCCAGCTTATATCGAGTAAATTTTAGATTAAATGCAATGCGAGAATCCCTAAAAATGTGACTACTGCCGCAACCAGTATATAAAATATTTAAGGACGATATTTGGTGATTTTTGTAATGTTAGAACGTTTATATAGATTTAGGTCTTATTGCGAAGGAGTTAGTTGAATGAATTGTAAAGATCGATGTAAAAGTGCAAGCATAGTATTTAGTATTGGTTATTAAAAGGCCAAAACCTTCACTCTTACTGCAACATGTTTCCTAGTATGGCGACAAACTTCGTTTAGTAATAAATTGAATTGATTCAAACCAGGTATCGAGACTTTATAACATAGACATTCCTGTATTTTGGTTAAACACATTCAAACACGCAATTCTAACCATTTGAAGCCACAATGTTTAAAGTATTTTCATATACAAATGGTGCACTGTGTCACACTGCATACGTCATCAAGACATCTTGGACAAGGTGGGTGTCATTGTGATCAGAAAAGATTATATTTTTTGATTATGCAAAAAAGAAATTTCGCAAAATTTCATTTCTTAGGCACTTAAGCGTATAGATCATTACACGTCCGCGCAGCAGGTCTCTCAAAGGTTATATATGGGGCGTGGGGTCGAATAACCGTCTGGATGACGAATGTGATAACACATAACAGCAAGAGGGAAAGCTGAAGTGATTGAGGAGCTATTAGTTTTATTTTTTTATCTCCATTCTTCCACCACGTTGGTGTGAAGATGCTATAGTTGACATGCGGTGGTCAGCTTATAGGCTGTCAAGGTCATGAATATTAATTTCAACCGAAGGAGAAGATGCTGTGTCAGGACCACCTCTGTGTCAAAACAGCTAACACCTAATCATCCAAATAGTAAGTAGAGGGAACTATAGGTCTTAACGAAAAAAAGTCCCATTAATTATGTCAAAATCATCCACAATAACGAATCAAGACAAAAAAACAAAGCGAAAAAAATTGCCGCATTGAAATTCAGTGTAAACCTACGGTGTAAGCACGTTGAGGATCATGGTATATGCTCATGACGTAATAATATTGTAGTAGTAGACGGCCCAAGTAGTCACTCAGCTTGCCCGAGCCACGCAATGCAATCTGATGCGCTGGCTAGCAATTGCGGTATTGAAAAATCGCCCTTAATTGTCATTTGGTGAGCGTTTTTCATTTCCGTGAGTCTTTATTACTTCTTTACACGGAATACAGGAAGATGAAGTTTCTCGTGCTTTTGATTTGTTTGAACTTTGTGGAACAGTCATCCCTCTGTCCTGCACCCGTTGATCATTATTGTAATTAAAACGGCAAAATTTATAAATGTCTCAAAGGACTGTATCAAGACCAAAGAGGTCAAACATCTTGCAAATCGTGTAAGAAGGGCAAATAGAACAGCAAAAGTGGACAGTCAAAATGTAACATTGTCCTGTTGGTCACTATTGTCGTCGGAAGAGTCTATTACTTGTAAAATGTAGAAAAGGAGAGTATCAAAATCAAATAGGGCAAACATATTGAAAAATGTGTTTGGACGGCCATTACAGCGATCAAAGAGGACAATCAAAATGCAACGTTTGTCCAGTTGGTCACAGCTGTCAAAGAAATGCATCGCTCATGAAATGAGATCAAGGACGGTATCAAGATAAACCAGGACGAAAGACTTGTAAATGGTGTAAGGACGGTCAATACAGTATAAAAACTGGACAATCAAGATGCAACATTTGTCTTGTTGGTCACCACTGTTATTGGAAGAATCGACCTGTTAAAAAATGTGGAAAAGGAGTGTATCAAGATCAAACAGGAAAAAGACGTTGCAAATCGTGTAAGATCGCCCAGTACAACACCCAAATTGGACGATCAAAATGCAACATTTGTCCAGTTGGTCACTATTGTCGTTGGAAGAGTAGATTGGCTGTAAAATGTCCTAAAGGATTTTATCAAGACCAAAGAGGAAAAACTTTTGTCTTTTGTGCCCAACAATAACACTCTGTCGGCAATTCTCAATGCTGTGAATTATGCAGCCGAGGTTTACCAAGACGTAGATCCTTCTAACTCGAGTTGCCAATGCTCCACCAAGCGAATGACCTCATTATCACAGGTCATTCGCTTGGTGGAGCATTGGCAACTTTGGCAGCAGTTGATTTGGTCAAGGCTGGATATCAGGTACATTTTAATAACCTATGGTTCACTTAGGGTTGGTAATAAACAATTTTCCGAATATGTTGTTACGGTCATTCCTCCAAAATCATCTGATTATGGCATGTCGGCAAGAAATTCATAGTGTTGAGCGAAATAGGTGCCATGAATTCCCCCGAAACGAAGATTTGAAGCATGTAAGACTGAACTCTAAGGATCATAAGATTACTAATTCTTAAAGTAAAATGAAAGAGAAGAACTGTCTATTGTTACATGCAAGGTGCAATTTCATATATCTATCTTTATAGTGATCGTTTAATAATGAACTATAGTTTATCTTATTGAATGAAATGATTATCCCAACAAGTCGCTTATACGATCCATGCGATTTTTTTAAATAAATCGTTTGTGTCTGAAAGGTTGTTGTATGTGATATGGGAGACTTGTGACTTACTCGTTTGTTGGAGTTTAGGCATTGCTCTAACTCGTGAAATTTTCTTTAGTCTTTTGCTTTTTCGCACAAAAGCTTTATGATGCTTATCACGATGTCCAGGTATTTGTTCATTTAATTTGTCTTTTACAGTGCTATACTTCTAAGGAATGTTTCAAAGATGCAATTTGTCTGGTTTAGCATGAGTATAATATTTTTTGGACTTGAAATGGTTGCGTTCAACGTTATGATGTCCTTTACAAATTGACGTATTTAGATGATTGCAATGCCCGTCACTATGCTAATTCCATACGGGCATAAAGTATGGATAAAAACGTGCATTTATTAGCTTTATGCAAATTTCTTTGTTGATGAGCAAGTAGGGGTGTTTGGCTACCCTCGTTAACTATTAAAATACATCAATATACGGAAAAGGAAATTGTATGTGTGCAGTTATATTTACTTGTGTACATCCCAATTCATACCTCATAAACTAATCTAAGTTTAACTACAAGAATTATCAACATATGGAAAAGGAAATTGTATGTGTGCAGTTACGTTTACTTGCGTACATCCCAATTCATACCTCATAAACTAACCTGAGTTTAACCATAAGAATTATCAATATACGTAAAAGGAAATTGTATGCACGCAGTTTAATATACCAATGTAGCTATTCCTACACGGTTCACACCTTAATGACGTCAGTTGTGTTTCCTCGAGTAGTTTATACAGATTATATTTATATAGAGAGGAACTATTCTGACCTATTATATAATATTTGTTATTTTTGAAGAACACTATAAATAGTTAAGTATTGCTCTGTGAAATAATAAAATTAATTCGCTACTTTCTTGTTCGTTACCGAAAGCGTAAAGTTTATTACTATGACTAAAAGAGTCATGAAGAGAAACACAAACTAAACACAAACATTTTGCAAATGGTGTAATAATGATCAATACAACAATCAAACTATATAATCGAAATGCAACATTTGTTCTTTGCGTCACCATTGTTATTCGATGAGAAGGTCGCCTATAGTGTGTCCGTAAAGGACGGTATCACCCTATCAAAACCAAAGAGGACAAATATTTTGCCTGATCTGCCCATCAGGTCGTTTTTGTCCGTCAAGTGGATCTGTAGTACCCAACAACAAGACTTTGTGGGCTATTCTCAATACTGTGAAAGATGCTGAAGCATACCTAGACGTCAATCCTGCTGACTCGAGATTGGTCGACGACAGCATAGTACCCGTGGCCTTGTCAAGTACGAGAAAAATGCAATTTTTTTCGGGGTACCGACGACATGAAAGGCTAGTGCAACGATATCAAGATTCTTAGAAAAAAGCATCATAAAAGTTAAAATCAGCGTTGGAAACTGTGATTTTGTAAGCTGACAAAATAACCCAAGATTTCATACTAAATCAACATTTTCGTACTATCGTCCTTAGGGTTCCCGACAGAAAGACGAGTTGTTTGTTGCGCTCTATGTACAAACTGCGATTTCTGTTTCTATAGAGCTAACTCATTATGATAAAAAATCTCGAGAGTTTTTAAAAATAAAAATCTACAAAACAATCCCGAATTGAATTTGAATATAATCTCAATGCTCCGCTGCGTTTTCCCTTCATTGTATCTAGTTGAAAGACAAAGGTTTTTATTACCGTGCGTTATGTGAAAAATGCACGAAGACATACAGGAAAGGGACAAAGACACAAAACGGATACTACGTGATCCATTCTGAAGCTGAAAAGGTAATTAGAGCAGTTGTTGTTATTGTATCCAGAGGTTATAAATAGCAGATGCTATACATTTTCGCAAGTCTTCCTTCATCTCGAATGATAAAAATGACGTTTTTCGTACTTTTCTTGAGCTCGATGTTTTTCGTGCAGACTTGTCAGTCTTCAGCTTGTGATGCGCCCGCTGGTCATTATTGTCCGTGGACGTGGTTTAGTAGTTCTCCATTAAAATGTGGCAAAGGAAAATATCAAGACGAAAGGGCCAAACATCTTGCAAATCGTGTAAGGACGGCGAATACAATATTCAAAATGGACAAACAAAATGCGAACTTTGTCCAGTTGGTCATTATTGTTATTGGAAAGGTGCATCGCCGATAAAATGTGGCAAAGGATATTATCAAGATCAAAGAGGACAGACATTTTGCAAACGGTGTAAAGATGGCGAATACAATATTCAATCTGGACAGTCAAAGTGCAACATTTGTCCAGTTGGTCACTATTGTTATTGGAAAAATCAATCACCTAAAAATTGTCGTAAAGGACGATATCAAGACCAGAAAGGTAAAACATTTTGCCTAATTTGCCCATCAGGTAGCTTTTGTCCGTCAACTGGCCCTGTAGTACCCGGCAACAAAACAATGTTGGCAATTCGCAATTCCGTGAAATATGCGGCCAAAGCTTACGAAGACGTTGAACCTGCCGACTCGAGATTGGTCGACGAGAAAAATGATATTCAAGGTTTCGTAAAGTACCAGGGTAATACGATTGTTGTATCTTTTCGAGGCACGGACGATATCAATGACTGGTTTCGCAACATCAATATTCTGAGAAAAAAATATCGGGGCTGTAAAAACTGCAAAGTACACACTGGATTTTCTAACATTTATTACTCAGTGCAACAGCAGATGTTTTCAAAAGTAAAAGCTTTATCTCATGTTCATTCAAACTCGACAGTTCTTGTCACAGGTCAATCACTTGGTGGAGCATTGGCAACGTTTGCAGCAGTTGATTTGGCTAAGGCTGGATATCATGTTGATTTAATAACTTATGGCTCACCCAGGCTTGGTAACAAAGAATTTTCTGAATATGTCGACAATACTCTGAACGGCTTGAATCTAAGAGTGACATTCAAGAACGACTATGTTTCGGTTCTTCCTCCGAAACTATTAGGATATTGGCATGTTGGACAAGAAATTCATTGCGTCGGTCGAAAAAGTTGCTATGAGTTTCCACTATACGAAGATTTCACGCATGTAAGAACAAGCATCAACGATCATACGATGATTAATTATCTTGCAATTTAATGAAGTAAACGAAGCGTCCATTTTTTTGATTGCAAAATGTAACTGTTTACAACCAAAATTGCATCAAGCGGACTAGTGTCCGCTAGAAAGAGATGTTGTTATTACGAGTTAGTTATATGGTATTAAATTTAGACTCAAGGAATAATCTGCATAATACAGGATGTCCGCTTTATACAATGTCGCTTTAGACAGGTTTGACTGCGTATCCAACTGCAATGCTGATTTAGAATTTTTGTGGTAGAACCTTGACTTTATGTCTTTGTTTTTAAATGATTTTTTTATAAACTTGGTAATCTTTACTAAATAAATAGAATGATTGAATGATTGGTTATTCCAATAAGTAAATTGCTGTCGTTTAAATAGTAGATAGTAGAAACTTACTAAAAACTGTGATCAAAAGAACCTATATGCACATCTTATGAAGTATGAAATTCAAATTCCCAAATGATATTTGGCAACATTTATCGACAAGAATTCTAAAGCAATTGACGGGTATAGGTTTAGCTTGTGATCGCAAACATGAATTAGATCTCATTTGTGCGAATAATATACTTTGCACGCCGAAAGCGTTGTGTTTCGGTTTTTTATAGCTACGGTGCCGTGTGGACTTAACAGAACGTCAAAAATGACCATGAATTTTAAAGAAAATAATCTTGGGACTTCACTAAAGACTTTACAAAATGTTTTTTATCAAATGTTTTTTATGATGTAGTTAGTATTCTGTTGAGCTATGCATACATCGCGTACGTATTTTTAAAACTCCACACCAGCACAAAAATGGCAATGTCATTTGTTCGTATATAGTTCTCACTTGGCGTGCAAGTTACGTCATGGCCGCCATGTTGGATGATTTTAACAAAGCTTTTTCCTTATTTACAACATAGAGATTAATCAGATTATAAATAATACTTATTTATAATCTCTATGTTTTAAGTATCATTTATAATTTCTATGATTTTACAATGCAAATCTCATCAAACATGGCGAACATTCCATTGTTCTCTCACTACAATGGGAATGGTACGTTGTGCTTGCACACCTATATGAATGTGTTTTCAAATTTGGTATAGATAAAACAATATCTCTCGCTCTTTAGATTTATAATTTTTGACGTATTGCTTTTCATTTCACTTCGAACCAATCAATAAAACTCTGGTAGGTGGATAGAGTTGAAATGATTTTCAGCAACTTGCGTGTGTGCTGTTCTCTGATTGATATTTGTCGTGTGAGGACGTGTAGTTGTAGTAATCAAGATTTTTGCTGTGTTGTGTTGATGAAAAGTTTGCCGGTTGGTGGCGATCTTAAGGCAAATGATACAGAGTCGGTCTCTTTTGAAGAGATCAGCCATGGATAACTGCGTGTTTTCTCAATTTTGCTGAAGAGAAGAGAAGTTCTTTGTCAATCTCAAAAGAATGTGGATATTTGATTGATCTTTCGGAAGATCTTGGTGTTGGAGCATGATTCTAGGCGGTAATATCTAAATTACGATTATAAAGATGTCTAGCTAAAGTTTACGTTGTAGTTGAATGGAAGAATTTAAATTGTTTTGAAGAAAGCGGGTATTTGTAAAGTAATTAAGATTGCATGTAATGCTTACAACCATCTATACTCAAAAACTGGACTCCACAGTAGTAAAAGAAGCATAAGCGAGAAATCTTAAGTTATTTATTTTCGCGAGACTTAAAAGACAAAGAAACCGAAATTTCCTTTTGTTTATTGTTCGGTTTGTGCTTAGTCTTGCTTATGCTTGTGCTTAAGTCGAAGCTAATCTTCGCTTATTGTCTTTGTTTATTATATTATTTTATTGTCGCTTTGCCAGGGCCTTATTTCATTTTGTGAACTTAATTATGTGTTTTACTGTGGTATTTACCATGAGTGTTCGCTAGACAGGTCAGACGAAGGACAACACCTTCTTGTGTAACTTTAGAATTGCACGAAAACTGCTCCAAAGACATCAAAATCGTACTTGGGTGTCCATGCTTTCGAATGAAACCTTTAGTTGAGAAGTTCGTATTAAATCGAACAAAGCAAACGCCATAATGAACGGCTCATTGAGAACAGCAGAAGATAAGAAGAAAACATGGCAGCCAAGATAGTGATATCATTAAAAACTTTGAAATAAGACCGTATAAACAAAACAAAACTATGACGTTTAACATACATACTGAAATGTTAGATCAAAATGCCATATTAAATTATCAAGAATTTCTGTAACGTACAAAACTATCAAAGCACTATCGCTAAAGTTGTCGAAACGTCAGTCAACATCATCAACAACAGTCCTTCTCAGGACTCTATTTACCTGGACGATCTACGTGCACAAACATGTAACGATACTCCCAGGCTCAAACTACTTATTTTCTTTATTTCTAGACTATAAAGTTTTTGTAAAGATGTTGCAACTGGAAGAAATAGATTGTCTTTCGACGCAAAAGATTGTTCCTCATCCTCGATATCAATTCTTCCGGATTGACCAGCAGAGAACTATACCTCTGTGAAATAATGCTTTCATTTTATATATTGCAAAGTCTATTTGTATATTCTGATATCAATGTTATAGTAAATAATTGGAGATTTAGGATTAAATCTATACCACTGAATAATGTGTTAACATGTTAAAATGGGGTGCTTCTTGTGAACATTCAAAACTAACTCTAAAATGAAATTCAACTTACAATTGTTTAATGAATTTAAAGAGGAAATTGCAATACGCTGGCAGAGTATTACAAAATGCTTTATATTTGATCCATTTGAACTTGAAATGATTATCGTATAAGTCAAAAAACCTGTCGACATTTATTATTTAGTCGTTTTATTGTACTTATGATTGGCACTGTTATAACATTGAGGGATGTTATAAAAGTGTCTTCATAGCTGTCAAAACATTGTGAACACATACATTTTAAAACAGCAGACAGTAATTTCATGTTATCATCGAAGTAAGTCTTCCTGTAAATGTTTCCAGTTTACATTTTTCTCAACTAATCGTTTTAAAGTACGAGTTTCGATAGAAATTTCAACAGATCTTCAGCAAACACTGGTTTTACGAAGCACGCGAACTTCAACAGCTTGCCTTATTACGTTTTATTATTCTTACAGTTGTTCTTACATGGCAACAGTTGCTGCTTAAAACAGCGGTATGTGTTTGTTTGTTTGTTTGTTTGTTTTGTTTTGCATGTTCGTTTGTTTTTTCATACCACTAACTTGTTCATAAGTACATTTCAGATGCGGAGGACGAGAAGATATAAAAAGTGTAAGTCAGGACTATAAGTGTTTTTATGATTCATCAAATCTAACAAGTTTGTCGCTTGTGTCTCTTTTAGAACGACGTGGCATACCATGGTGAACTGACGTTTCTTACGGTAAGTGTAACCAATTATTTTTACTCGTTTTTAGGCTTGGTATCATTTATGAAATGATGTTTTAGAAAGACGAAACTCATTGACTTCAATTCTTCGATCGGTTGATGATCAGTTAAAGATTTTGATTATGCCAAAAGTATAAATATCCAGATAGAAATCACATATAAACACACAACACAAGCAATTTGCAATATTCTAACTAAATTAGAGAGTTCCTCGCTTTTTAGTTTAGGAAAGGAGTTCTACAAAAATTCGATGTATTCCAAAATTGACTTCTGCCACCTATTTTGGAATACTTTTGCACAAAATTTCATGCAGTGTACACTTGATAGTTGATAATTTGAGCAATGTTTTGTAATTAAAATAAGATCTGCATATTTTATGTGATGTGTGCTTGAGTTGTGTTAAGGCTGCATTGAAAAAAGAACCAAGTATTCGATACACTCAAATTATTACATGTTTTATAACTATTGGTCCATTCTTGGATGTTGGGTGGTTGTAGAGGGTAGTAAATTTTATGCAAACGGTTATTTGATACAGTACCAATTTTTGTTCGTCATAGACAGTTATTTTTGTTATGATTGGCGTTTTCACCCATTGTACTGTATATCAAGAAGCATCTTAAATTTTGTAGTTTTGTATGTAAGGTTTTGTGATGTAGCCATCTACCTTCTTTAGTATATATTGACTTACACCAACAAATAGAGATATTACAGATAACTGTTATGATCACATTTAATGTTCAACGTCAATGTCTATTGTCTACGATCTATCTTACAACGGTTAAACTACTTCTATTTATACAAGATATTACGTATGGATATGTTTGTTTCTTTACTAAATATGGTTAATTTACAATCAACGAAAAGCTATTAGGAACTATAAAAAATATTGTCATTATTGCACATAAGTATCTCTTAAAATAATCATTTAGTTAGTTACACTTGACTTAATTATTTACTAATTACAGGAAGAATAGAGAGCATATCTTAACATTGTATTCCAAAACTTCGTAAAGTACTTAGTAGATTAGCATAATATTAGCGAGGCTTCCTACTTGTACAGACGTTCCTATTTTTTATAAAAACATATCAGTGTTATCACTGATCTCGAAACAAGACTGGATAAACTCAGAGCTGAGCACTTCTTTGCTGAGCCTTCATCCACTTCATTCCTAGGAATTGCGGATTAGGTATGGGATTAGGATTAGTCGTCATTAGTCACATCTAAGGGATTAGTGTTTAAATATTAATTCAGGGAATTTCTCGTCATGCGTTTTTAAAATGGCGGAAACCTCGGAAGAAGGACAATCACGAAACGAAAATGAACTGGAAGATGGCGAAATAGACGATTTAGAAGAAGGGGAGATATGTGACGGCCTATACGAAACCGTAGCTCACAGCATTCCCGGTGAGAAAGAAGAGAAACACGGCAAGGCAAGAGCCAGGTCGACAAGCTACAACAACCAGAAATATGAAGATTTCACAAACAAGCAAAAGAAAGCTCCTCCTAACACGAAGGGTTTTCGGTATAGAGTTCAGAAAAATACGTATATCTCCAGGAAATACAAAAAGAATACACGAACACGCAATTCTTTTAAAAGAAGTTTTCTGAACAAAAGACGTGACGATGTGAATGCTTCGACCCGAGAAGAGAGAAGCGGTAGGAAGAATGGCGATTGTATCCTTTGAATTTCTTTTTTTATTCTCCTTGTCACCTGATATTGATAATATAGCATTATTCTTGCGTATATAAAATTCGCGGCGCAAGCTGGGCTGGTCAGAACCTAGTATTTCTATGTAATGTTCTTAGAAGTTTCAAACCGAAAGCGTTGTTGTTATTGCATCTAAATTGAGATTCAGTGCTGTATTCTGACTTACCCCCCTGCATTTCCTCCTGTATTATTAAGTATGCTATAATAAGCATATTGTAATATAGTGAAGAGTCTTGTAATATGAATCCTGACATAGTCTATGTACTCACGTGAAAAATGTGTGACTTGGACAAGATTTGAACTGGTAATAGTACCCAAAGGTGTGAATTCAAATCTCGTCCAAGTCACTTGTTTTTTATGTGCATATAAATATGGTGTCAGAATTTGTATTATAATGTTTCTCTAATGGCGGTTAGAATTAAGTGTCTTCTATTTGCTGCAGTTTTGAGCAGATTTTGGGTCATGCTACACTCCCCCGCCACATCTACAATCACACACTTTTTTCATCAACAAGCAATTTATTTGGTAAAATTTAGCCACCTTACATATGGACTAAGTCATCGGGCTATTCTCTCCCCTTAAATATGTGGACTTTTTTAACTATGGTCAATGTTTTCAACAGTAAATGAATGTCTGACGTAATTTCATTAATTGTTCATCATATTTGTGTAAAGTCCAAATAAAGTTATTAATATGATGATGGTTTAATTGTTTCAAAATCTGTTAAAAGCCACAAAATTAAGACTTAAGCTTGAAAATCAGTATAAAACAAAGTTTTAGTTCATCAATTACAATTTTCTTTTGATGATCTTGTATACTTGCAGCTCTTCTATTGAATGAGCTAGCCCGTCCTTGTTTTCTGTTTATGCTACCTTATGCATGCAGGTGGCTTTAAGTAAGGTATTGCAATTGTAATGCAGTCATAACATGTAATTTATCTCTCACGTTTAGCAAATTTCATGTATCCCCATGACTATGAAAATGTACATGGCTGACCCAATATTTCATTGTTTTGCTAATGCATGTCAAATGGTTGACAAAATATCAGTATGTAAAGAGCAGAGTATTGATTTAGTCTCTGACAAAATTTTCCTGAATGATAATGTCAGATGATTCCTCGGACCAGGAACATGATAAGCCTTCGAATGAAGCCATCTCGGATCAAAGAGATGATGAAAGTCCTGAAGATTTCATGCTCTTGCTGGAGCGTTACAAGGAAGTCCAGGAAAACCTCGATCGATTTGAACCCAATTCGCAGTCATCAAGGGAAGAACTAATTGACGAGACATTTTTTGATGTACCTTTAAATAATGATGGCAAACCAGAAGACAAAATAGATGCGGAAATACGACATTTGGAAATGGTGTTTGGTACTACCACACATGGTAGCAGCCAAGGCGGTCTAGCGCTTTACCCATACATTGACAATGCAATCCATTGCAATCCCCCATCGACCTTTCCCAAAACTCATCCCACTTCCGCTCGTTTTGACTACCTCGAAGGAGTGTATGCTGATGGCTCCGCGACTTTCCATGATCATTCAGCCGCAGATCGTGACAACGATACCTTGCAAGATCATCCAGATTCTACCAAAACAAATTATGGCGATACTACCAAAAATTATCAGCAGTACAACCCGTCAGGTCCTCAAAACATCCCTACAACCTACAAAGAGGGCGGCGAGAAGCCGTTCTTCGGCATCTTCGAACCGTTTCGAATAAAGACGCCGCCAAAAAAAGTGCGCACCTTAAGCGAGCTCAATAGAATTGACTTGGTCGCCAGAGGCTTGACGGAACCGGAAGCAAATGCACTCCGGGCTTCCAAGATTTCGCCTGCGGGTACAAAAAAGAGGGCGAGAAAAAGATCGAAATCAAAGCCGAAGAAATTTACCAGAGAAAGTGCAAGACTCGAAGAAGAGGAAACAACGACGAAAAAATCCATGAAGAACCGATTTCCAAGTGATGTTCAGGGGAAGTTGATGGATGACTTTGAAAAAATCGATGATGATGAGAATAGGTAAGCTGTAAATAAATAACGCGTAAGAAAAAAACACACTTCGAAAAACAACATCTTGCAAACTCAGGATGAGGGCTTTTTTAAAACAATGTGCGGTGCTATTTCGACTTTATGAAAAATTAGGTCATTTTCAAAGCGAAATGAAGAGTCGAAAGTTTATTACCGTGATACGTGGAGGGAAGAGAAACAAGAAGAGATATGACGTAATAAATAGTGAGGTTTTCATTGGTGTATTTGCTATAGTATATGAGAACTAAGATATCAAATGACACGATGCATTTCGGCAGATGCTTTTCATCAGGTGCCACGTCTGGTTTTATGAAACTAGAAATCCAGCTACTTAAATTTATATCGAAGACAAGAGATAACGACATCACCCCAAATCACCATAACAACTACGCTATTCAAAGCAGTATTTAAGTTAGTAATCACAACCAAGTCGTTGTTTCACAAATAATGTAGTGTTACATTCTGCACGATATAAAATTTTCCGGCAAACTGCTGTCTTGGTTTGAAAAAGCTTATGGTTTCAACAATTGACAAGATGTAGTTTAACTTGTTTGTCGGCTGATATTTTTCTTATACTTTATAAATTTATCTTCGGAGAAATATTTTTCAATTAACCAATGCGGGTTGACATTTTGAAACGACGTTGTTTCTCTACAATATTTTAAACATATGCGAATCATTTGAGGTCAGCTTTCACCCGAAGTGCATGTGTGCTGACCTCGAAGATTTTAATTATTGTGGGATTTCAAGCCTTGTAGGTTTCATTGTCAACAATCAAAAAATTTTCACTCGTGTAACATTCTATGAGACTAAAGATTTGGAGAAACAGTCAACTCCTACAAAGTGGCTTCTACAGCCTGTAAATTTGGTCGTGTTGCGTAAATTCTAGATCGTTAGCATTGTTTATTTCTTTAGAGATCTAGTGTTTTTACTGTGAATGAACACCTTGATATTTACATAGCACCACCAAACATCCAGACTGATACATCAATATAAAGTAAATGGATTGAACCCGGGAGTATCGTTACATGTTTGTAAATGTAGATCGTCCAGGTTGGCATAGTCCTGAGAAGAACTGTTTTTGTTGTTGTTGACTGACGTTTCGACAACCTTAGCGATAGTCATCTTCAGAGTGAAAAAATGACTACTTTTTTCACTCTGAAAAAATGACTACTTTTTTCACTCTGAAGATGACTACCGCTAAGGTTGTCGAAACGTCAGTCAACAACAACAAAAATAGTCCTTCTCAGAACTATACCAACCTGGACGATCTACATTTACAAACATCCACACTAATACATCAATGTCGATCCCCGTTCCCACTATTCTTAAAAAAAACCTCTGCATGCCGTTCTGTTTTGTCGACGGGTATTGATTTGAACATTTTGGACTTTCTCCTTGCCAGTTCATGCGCCAATTTTTATGCTTCTTTAATTAGGAATCTGCTGAATAGAACACAAAATCACGAAAGGCAAAAAAGTTCTTTTGAAAAGGCTGAGGATTATCGAGAATGGCCAATGGAGGTCGAGGATTCTACCGGTAAGACCGATAAAGTTTTTGTGAAGTAAACATACTTGTAATTTAAGAATCTGTAGCTCCTGTACCAAATTCTGGTCGTGTACTTGGAAACTTTGACGTCATATGTGATGACGTAATTAACAGCCTTGCATCCCTGCTAAAAGTAGCTGCTTTCGAACTGTGTAGCTGTGTTTTGAGAGTACCATTACTTGCACCTGAGGTACATAAATATTTGGATTTGCGTCCACATTCGATCGATATGAAGAACTTATAAAATGTTATTGTAAATAAATCTTATTTGTTTCGAAGTTAAATGGCCGAGAAGGTCATCAAATCACTGTCTAATTTTTTTACTTTAAAAGCAATTTCATTTCATTTTTTCTATCGGTTTTGTCATTTGCAGACGGCGTGCTCGAATCTCGTCAAACGAGGTCACCTGTTATCCACAAATATCCACGCGATCCTCATCGTTCACCTTCTCCCGAAGGTCCATTTAGTCATCATTACTCGGCATCCCACATCCCTTCGTTGATGGAAGTTGTAAGTATACTGTTATCCCAACATATCCTCTAGTATACACACGTAAGTTGGACAATAAGCCTGGAGATGGTTCAGTTTCACGACTCCTCCTAACTATCACAACCGCACCTTTTTCGTAATTTATTCATTCTTCGTAGATAAATTCGACCGAGAGTGCTGCTTCTATATTTATATGATGAGTGTTTCAGTTCTTACGGATGCCATACGAAACAAATGTGTTTTAAAACATTAGTTTTTTGAGTGTTTCATCACATATAATTGATATACGCTGCTTCGTCGGCGAACACTCTCTACCCAAGCGATTTTGTTCGCGTTAGCTTGAATTTTCACCCATATATATGAGAAGATTACCGCCATATAGACGGCTTGCCTTGTAAGTTTTGCTTTCAGACTGATTTGATCGAGTGTTTAAGCGCTGTTGGCGACACTGCCCACAGGTAAACCTTAAGGCTAGCCGTCTGTATATAAATGTATCCTGTACACATCTATTGCGGTTCGGCTTTTTGTAGACAAATTTTATCCCTAGATGCCCGCTGGATACTACACTGATTACCATGGTCAGTGGGGTAGGGAATCCGAGGAAGATAATCGTATGCAGTCGTGTGACGAAGACTACACGAACACATTACCGGAAAAAGGTCGGCCATTTAGAGACTCCACGGTCACAGAACCACTCGAAGAAAAAATGTCTGAGGTGCCTCATCCGTCCAGCAAAACTCAAGATGTTGAAATCGACGATGAAATGAGCGAGTTGGTGTTAAGAGAACAACTGCTGAAGTCGATGGTCAACAAGCGAACAGCTAAAAGTGCAAGTAATGTGGTAGCTGATCTTCATGAAAAGGCATCAACGTCCTTATCGTCGAGGAACAGTCGACCCGCTTCACCTATGGTGGAGAGTGAAATGAGAAAGTTGCAGGAGCCCGGGAATAATGAAACAACTAAGGCTGGCCCACCGAAGGTAGTTATGTATTTTGCAAATTTTCGTGAAAGAACACACCTCAACCATGTTGAAATCCAAGACTGTAGAAGCAAATGAAATTGATTTATTGATTAGACTGTGAATTAAAAAGATCGACTCTAATCAATCTGTTTTTCGTACGTTAGGTCGCCATTATCCCTCCTCCGAAACACGAGCCCGTGGTGATTCGTCTCGGCGAGAGTTCGGAAGACGAAAGCGAGTCTGATGATGACACTTCGACTCAGGAGGGGTTGGATTCCTTCTTCGGTGGTTTACATACTTTTATCAAAGAAGCGAGGTGCGCATTGTGTCTCGACTTGTTTGGTTGCTTGTTGATAGATAGAAAGTAGGGTGCTTGGGGTAAAACGTTTTCAACTCAATACCTACTGGTTGGTAAAGTAGATACGATACTCGACATATTTTAAACGAGATGTAAACAGAAAGTGGAAGCAGAAGAAGGAACAAGCGTGGACACCAATTAGACGTATGATAAATTTAAAAGCTCGCACTAAAATGCGCATAAAAAGACAAAAGAAGCTTGTACGTTGCGGTAACTTGTAGGTTCAACATTCGTTGATACAGTAGATACAATAGTTGACATTTTTTCTACAAGTTGTAAACAAAAAGGAGCATGAAATGAAACACAAGTAGATCCGAATTGGAATGTAAATTTAAAAGCTGGCACAAAAGTATACACAGAAAAGACACAAAACTAAGCAGGTTGGGGTAACTTGTTGGTAACTTTTTGGTAACGTGTTGGTAACTTGTCGGTAACTTGTTGGTAACTTGTCAGTAACTTGATGATAGCTTGTCAGTAACTGGTTTGTAACTTGTCAGTAACTTGATGATAACTTGTCAGCAACTATTGATAACTTGTCAGTAACTTGTTAGTAACTTGTTAGTAACTTTTCAGTAACTTGATGATAACTTGTCAGTAAGTTGTTGGGAAATGGTCAACATATAGATGTAATCAAAAAGAAAAAACTCATAATGGAATTAAAGTTGACACAAATTAGACACAAAAGTAAATTTAAACGCAGGCACAAAATAAACACAAAAAAAACATAACAAAGTAGGTAGGTTGAATTATTTAACGATCAAAATCAATAACGCTATTCTGCCAACTTTTATAGAGAGCGTTCGTCAAAGTCAAAGGCCGAATTGGCTGCAAAAGAAGATGCTGACGTTTCAAACACCGTTCAACCACCGACTCCGACCACACCCGAAATCGTCTCGGTTCTTTCCGAAGAAAAGCGCAACGAATACAAGCAGTTGAAATTAAAACTGGCAAAAAAAGAACAACAGAGGGGAGTTGTCGTGAATAAGAAAGATCAATCAAACGCGGGAACGAGAAACGCGCATGCGCACAAGGTATCTCAGGGAAATTTGAAAGTTGATGTAATTGATAACAAGAAGGCAGGATCCAGCAATGGCTTACTAGAGCAAAGGAAAAATGTTTATGAAGAAAATGTTTTAAAGAAACAGAAAGAAGTTCTAAAAGGCGCAAATTCACCGAGCGAACTCAAACAACATCGGCACGAAGGTACTGTTGTACTGTTTGTCATCTTCAAGTATTTTGTCCACCTACATACAGGTCCTTGGTACCTTTTTTTTCTGTTTACATGCTTCTTTTCATGTTGACATACTCGTCCTCTTTCAAGTCATTTATAACTCCAATCCTTTTCATTCCCTTTAACAGCACGTCTCAATTTGTTTCCTTTCCATCTAGCTTCATATCTTCAGCCTTCCCCTGTCAACATCTCGAATGCCTTTATCCTTCTCGTATCCTTCGCTTTTAATGATCATGTCTCCGATTCTTATAAAAAGAAGACACTCCAAACCTTTTATAATCCTTACTATTGCCTTTAGTGATAAAAAAAATATTCAGCAGCATGCTCTTAATCATGTCGTACACACAAATGCCCATATTCTGCATTCACATGAAATATATTTTCATTGTTTATCAAGCCAATGCAAACACGAAAATTATCTTTTATTTCCTTTTATAAAATAATGAGAAACAGATCAGTTAAAAATAATTTTTTTAACTTTTCCTCTAACGTATTCATGATTGATTTGTAAATTTTCTTTGATTGATTTTGATTGAGCTGAGATCGTTTTTCATAGGCAATCAGCACACACATTGTGTTGTCGTTATTTTATGAATAGTTTTTCTTGCCAGTCGTCTATTACACTCGCCTTTTAAAGAACCAAAATTCATTTTATCATCTATAGTTGACGGCTCGAGCTTCGGTTTAACGGAAGCGCATCAAGCTGCTGAACTCCGTCGAAAAGTACGCGATTTCAGCGAAATGTTATTGAAATGCAAGCAATTGGTGATACAGGACAAGAACATGCTGGACAAATGCAAGCAGCAGATCGAAAGCAGTTCCAAAGCTTTGAATGTACACGAGAGACGAGTGTCTGCCTTGAGGCAGCAGCTGAACCGAGCGGAACGCGTTAAAAAAGTACAACACAGTCTCGTGGAAAAACTAAAAGCAGAGGTAGGTATTTGTACACGATATCTATGGTAGGTGGCGAACATCTTGGGACGGTTTACCACGCAGAATCGATGTAACACAGAAAATTGGGCTCTTTAATATGTTACAGTATGTAATACATTGAGTGCATCACTGACCATCAATGACCATCAATGACCATTTCCTAACGATTTTCAAGTAATCAAGTGAAGTTTACCAAAAAAGCTTTATTCTGGCAGACTGCAAGCATCAAAGCACACCCCACGCCGTATTTTTAACGTCATCCCACTTTTTCTGAAAGATTCATCTTTTATAGAGCGCAAAGATCGAGCGAAGGATCGTAAAAAGACAATCTGAAGCGAACGAAGTCGAGGAACGCTTACTTAGGGCTCGAGCACTTCTTGGTAAGCAAAAGACTCGAAGTTCACTGGCAAGGGCGGGAAAGGAAGTGATGAATTCTGGGAAAGATGACACGAAGAAGGCATCTAACACCGGTAAAATGCCCTTGACCTTAGTCGATGTCACCGAGATGACGAATACCGAGAAAGACGCTCCATCAAAGCAAGTGCAATCCGGTTTTGAAACTCCCGACAATGTGAGCAAAACAAAGCTTCGTGGATTGTCGCGAATCGTCGACGAATCTGCATCACCTTCAGTCGAGAACGATGGTTCACAAAGTCACAAGTTGAATGGCAACATAAAAGATGTCCCTTCGTTGACTGCTCCTGCTCAAGAATCTACTGCAGCCGATGATAAACAGAGGGAAGAAAAGAAACGATTAGAAAATTTGGAGCAACAGCTCTCACAAAAACTGCGACAGTCGAATTCGCGAAAGCTTTACTTGCCGTCCAAACCTAAGCGGATTGCTCTTAATTCCGGAAACCGACGTGATCCGCCGTCACTTCTCGAAGACAAAAGGTCCAATTCTGACAGCGAAAGAACGATGAACAATTTCTTCCGTACGGGCAGTACCACTGAACTTTCCCCTCTTGCTAAATCCATTGGGAACGATACCAAAGACGGGTTCGACAATAAGGTTTCGGCAACCCAATCGTTTTGGGGTGTATTTAAGGACAACAACAAGTTGGAGAACATTAAAAAAGTCCAAGTAAGGACAACTTACTGTTGAAACTTAAAGCAAAAACCAACGGTTGAATAAAGGCTTTTAACTTATAGTTCAAGATTCAATCACTCATGTAATGATGGGAGGGGGGGGGGTGCAGAGGAGAAGAGGAAGGCAAAAGATAAAACAAGTGACCACATCTCACTCATACATGTTAAACTTATCTCTTGTGAAAACGTTTTGTGTCATGGGCAATCGTTTGAAACTGAATATTTTTTTCGTTTTTCAGATCCAACGCGAAGAATGCGGACCTGATTTTGCCAATTTGAATATCGATGTGTCTTTACTTCCTTCACTTTTTTCATCCCCAAAGTTCACCATGGTTTCGCGTTTCAACGATGTCTGGGGCTGCCTGTCTGCACTGCCAGATAAAACAGAGTCTTCGAAAGAATGCTCGCGTTCAAAGTTATCTGTGTCGTCGAATCACCGTGAAATTGGTCCTTATAGGAGTCCCTTAGTATATTTTCGATCATACAGGTACGTCACGTAAGGTTGAACCATTGGTAAGGTTGAACCATGGATCGCGCATCACTAATTAAATTTGAAGCCAGAAGGCCGCCATATTGAACAGTCCCACTTCACGAGGTTGATATAAAAAGTATATTAGTTTCTGCAATGAAAAATTGCGTGAATCGTCTCTTATGGTGTATTCAAAAAAACTGCTACGTCTTAGCTTTAATAAGATTAAGTGTAGGAAGCAGTTGTACTGTTAAGAAAGGATTTTTTTCCAAAATTTTCGTGACACCATTTGAGAAATACTATCGCAAGCGAATGCTTCCAGCTTCACATTGAAAGATTTCTTAGGGTGTATTAGTACAATGCGCTCCAAAATTCTTTGCTGTCCTGGTTCTTTACTATAGATTATTATTACGAGTGGGACTGTTCAATATGGCGGCGCATCTAATTATAGCTGTCAACTTCCGGCTTCAAATTTTTGCACTCACCATATTGGGAATGGGCCATCCATGTAATATACATATCAATGGCTTGAACCATTAGTTCATATACATGACTTGCCTTGTTTACGTTTTGCTCGCAGGCAGATCAATTCCAAGAGAGCTTGATCATTGTTGCTAGTGCTGTTTAAAACCACTTGACCAAGGGGCTGTTTACATGATCCCGGTTAACCGGGATTCTTTGAGGCGTGAAATGATTTCCAGGGATTAACAGGAGGCAAGACTTCAAGATTAAAAACTAGAACTGTTTGTTAAATGCCGCAAGTCATTCCTGTTGCAATTCTCAAATTAGGCCAAATTGGTTGTTTTAGTTTAAATGTTTTGCGTAGTTATTAAATCAGAATATTGTGAAATTGCTCGAGAAGATTTATCAGATGATAAGTATTGAATCGTTTCCATTCGCCAAAATCATTTAACGCTTGGCAGAATCCCGGCTACCCGGGCTCATGTAATCAGCCCCCAAATCTTCCTGCCAGCAAAATGCAAACAAGGCAAGTCGTCCATAAACATATTTATGGCACTCTTTCAATTATCTGTGCCCACTTTATGAACATCATCTCAGACAGTATGAGACCACTGGTCATAAAAACGTATTTAAAATACGCGATTTTCTTTATGCTGTGACCACGTTGCTCGTCTACACGAAGTCCAGAATGAGTCTCTTAAAGGATTCGTTAGTCGTTTTCAGATACCCTCGTTGCCTCGAGTTTCCTTAAAAACTCGATTCTCTGAATCATTAATTTCACGAAAGTCACCGTACAAGAAATTTCATTTCTTTTAATTGTATTTTGTGAAACTAAATTCTTCTTTCACACCACTCATTACATTCGTCTAAGATTTCTCAAAAACAACTTTTATACCATGACTTCTTATGAATCTTATAAGATTTCTCAAAAACAACTTTTAGACCATGACTTCTTATGAATCTTCGTATAAGATTTCTCAAAAACAATTTTAGACCATGACTTCTTATGAATCTTCGTCTAAGATTTCTCAAAAACAACTTTTAGACCATGACTTCTTATGAATCTTCGTCTAAGATTTCTCGAAAACAACGTTTAGACCATGACTTCTTATGAATCTCCGTCTAAGATTTCTCAAAAACAACTTTTATACCATGACTTCTTATGAATCTTATAAGATTTCTCAAAAACAACTTTTAGACCATGACTTCTTATGAATCTTCGTATAAGATTTCTCAAAAACAATTTTTAGACCATGACGTCTTATGAATCTTCGTCTAAGATTTCTCAAAAACAACTTTTATACCATGACTTCTTATGAATCTTCGTCTAAGATTTCTCGAAAACAACGTTTAGACCATGACTTCTTATGAATCTCCGTCTAAGATTTCTCAAAAACAACTTTTAGACCATGACTTCTTATGAATCTTCGTCTAAGATTTCCCGAAAACAACGTTTAGACCATGACTTCTTATGAATCTCCGTCTAAGATTACTCAAAAACAACTTTTAGACCATGACTTCTTATGAATCTTCGTCTAAGATTTCTTGAAAACAACTTTCAGACCATGACTTCTTATTCATCTTCGTCTAAGATTTCTCGAAAACAACTTTTAGACCATGACTTCTTATAAATCTTCTAAGATTTCTCAAAAACAATTTTTAGACCATGACTTCTTATGAATCTTCGTCTAAAATTTCTCAAAAACAACTTTTAGACCATTACTTCTTATGAATCTTTGTCTAAGATTTCTCAAAAACAACTTTTAGACCATGACTTCTTATGAATCTTCGTCTAAAATTTCTCAAAAACAACTGTTAGACCATGACGTCTTATGAATCTTTGTCTAACATTTCTCAAGAACAATTTTTAGACCATGACTTTTTATGAATCTTGATGCTTTACGATTGTTCCTTTCGCTGACTTATAACCATTTTTTAGATTCAGTCCTTATTTCCGAACAAAGGAAGGGTTGACCCTCGACTCGCCAACTTTCACCCATCTCATCAACCCTCGTCTTCCTTTCTGCTCCTTTGCCCTGCAAGGTGTGTGTAACGACTCCGAGTGCTTAAACCAACATCCCGATGACGTCTTACCGAAAAACAAACAAATTCTACAGGATCTCGCAGCGTACTTTGTGCCCGCGAGGCATGACAACAGCGGTGACAATGATTTCTCTAATGATACCACGCAATCCATTGAACGCACAATAGACGAGGTCTCTAAGCAATATGGCAGCAAAGTTTCTGTCTCCGAGCTACGGGTTTTGTTTGTCAATTATCTTCGAAAGAAGCAAAAATCTGCGGGAGTATACAACGTAATCTTGGAGCGCAGGCATTGGACTCCACGCTCCGATACGAAAAAGAATCCCGGAATAACGGTTCAAGGTGAAAGTCCGGTAGTGCGAACCACATGCACGTTTACCTGGAAAGGCTGGCGAAGGAAAATGGAGAAGGAAATAAAAGCACGCAATGGTGTCCAGGATGAACGGTAAGTAACGTGTTGTTTTACTATTTATTTTTGAAAAAGTACATTTTTACTTAGATATTTTAAAAAGAATCTGCTACATACCTGCTTGAGGTAACCGATGAAGCTTGTCATTAGATGAAGCTCGTCGTTTGATGAAGCTCATCATTGGATGGAGCTCATCATTGGATGAAGCTCATCATTGGATCGAGCTCATCATTGGATCGAGCTCATCATTGGATGAAGCTCATCATTGGATTGAGCTCATCATTGGATTGAGCTCATCATTGGATCGAGCTCATCATTGGATGGAATGAAGCTCATCATTGGATCAAGCTCATCATTAGATAAAGCTCATCATTGGATCGAGCTCATCATTGGATGGAATGAAGCTCATCATTGGATCAAGCTCATCATTAGATAAAGCTCATCATTTGATCGAGCTCATCATTGGATCGAGCTCATCATTGGATGGAATGAAGCTCATCATTGGATCGAGCTCATCATTAGATAAAGCTCATCATTGGATGGAATGAAACTCATCTTTGGGAGAAGCTCAACATTCTGAAGATGGCTACCGATTACTTAGATGTCTAAGATATTCAAAACGTCTATCAACATCAACACCAATAGTCCTTCTATGTTTTATACTAACCTTGACGATTTAAAATAAAATATAGTCCGAAAAAGGACATCTGGTAAACTTAAATTCAAGTTATCAAACAAGACAATAAAAAGTGTAATATTTTACAGTTTCTTAAGGTCTTGTTTAATAACTTGAATTTAAGTTTACAAGATGTCCTTTTTCGGATTTTGTTTTATTTTATATTTTATGAAATTGTCGTCTGGTAAAGGATTGACGATCTACAACTGCAAACAAAGTACTTTTTCAAGGAAATTTCAACGGTGGTAATTTACTTCAGAAAATGAAACCTTTCCGCTTTTGAATCAAAGTTTTTTCGTTGATTATCCAGTTTTAATTCTAGCTTTGTGCCTTTAATTATTTTTTTTTGAAATAATCGAAAAAGTCACCATTATATAGTTTTATTATAACATCGACGTGTGTTTATTTATTTTGAATTTTAACAACATTTGTTTGTATATTGCTCTTAAGGGCGTATTTGCAATGGTAAGTGACAACAATGACCTCGCTAGATCTAGCACTATTGAAAACCATATGTCTTGTTTCAATGTTGGTTTTCAACAGTTCATAGTCGTCATTTAGCTGAAAATACGCTCTTCAAAGCCGTATTTAAAGTTTCTCGCCACAACCGAATATAATTTTTCATTTGTAGTCAAGAAATTCGATACTTTTCGGAGAATTACGACAGTATAAAGACGCTAGAACATGCCATAAGTGAAACGCCCCATGACGAAACTTTGTGGATACGGCTCGCCATGATTTACATGGAAACGTGCCAGGGCAAGAGAAATGGTGACGAAAACAATAACGACAAGAAGAAATCCATCGATAAAGCACTCAATATCCTCTCAAAAGCATTAGAGTGTAACCGTCATTCAGAGGTGTGTATGTGTTGGGATAAGTATGGATGTGGCAGATGTTGGGATGCAGTGTAACCGTCATTCAGATGTGGGTATGTGTTGGGATAAGTATGGATGTGGCAGATTTTGGGATATAGTGTATCCGTCATTCAGATGTGTGTATATGTTGGGATTGTTAAGTATGGATGTGGCTGATGTTGGGATGGAGTGTAATCGTGAGTCAAAGGTGTGTGTATGTGTTGGGATGATTAAGTATGAATGTGGTAGGTTTTTGGATTAAGTGTAATCGTGAGTCAAAGGTGTGTATGTGTTGGGATGATTAAGTATGAATGTGGTAGGTTTTGGATTGAGTGTAATCGTGAGTCAAAGGTGTGTATGTGTTGGGATGATTAAGTATGGATGTGGTAGGTTTTGGATTGAGTGTAATCGTGAGTCAAAGGTGTGTATGTGTTGGGATGATTAAGTATGGATGTGGTAGGTTTTGGATTGAGTGTAATCGTGAGTCAAAGGTGTGTATGTTGGGATGATTAAGTATGGATGTTGTAGGTTTTGGATTGAGTGTAATCGTGAGTCAAGGTGTGTGTATGTGTTGGAATGATTAAGTATGGATGTGGTAGGTTTGGGATTGGTGTAATCGTGAGTAAGAGGTGTGTATGTGTTGGGATGATTAAGTATGGATGTGGTAGGTTTTGGATTGAGTGTAATCGTGAGTCAAAGGTGTGTATGTGTTGGAATGATTAAGTATGGATGTGGTAGGTTTTGGGATTGAGTGTAATCGTGAGTGAGAGGTGTGTATGTGTTGGGATGATTAAGTATGGATGTGGTAGGTTTTTGGATTGAGTGTAATCGTGAGTCAAAGGTGTGTATGTGTTGGAATGATTAAGTATGGATGTGGTAGGTTTTGGGATTGAGTGTAATCGTGATTCAGAGGTGTGTATGTGTTGGGATTTAGGATAGTTAAGTATGGGTGTGAAAGGTGTTGGGATAGAGTGTAATCCTCATTCACATGTGTGTTTGTATTGGTATAGTTAAGTATGAATAGGGCAGGTGTTAGAAGGATAACAACAATCGTCAGCATCATGCCTCTCAAAATTCTTTAAATATATGAGTCGTTTGTCTCTTTTAAGCAGTTTTACCACAATTTTTTCCGCCTTGTTCAGAGAGGAAGTTTTATTCCTGTTGTATTTCAGAAACTTTGGCTTAAATACCTGGACGTTTATAAGCAACGAGCTCAAAAAGAAGAACTGTACGAAGTATGCGACGAAGCGGTTGTGCTTGCGGGCTCGTATGATGTCTGGTGGGTCTATATGGACATTGCGTACGACTGCAAACAGAAAACTCTTATTTGTATGAGGTGCATTGAATATCTCATGTTTGCAAAGATGGACTCAGTGCTGAAGTCGCATCGTTTGTTGGAGGTTTTTTTATATCTTGTGCAATTGGACTTGCTCTCAGATTCATATAAAAGTGCACTAGAGCGATTTCGAGTAGTTCTCAATTCCTCGGATGCCAAGCATGGTCTTAATAAGGACGCGGATACCAAACATGGTCTTAATAAGGACGCGGATACCAAGCATGGTCTTAGTAAGGACGCGGATACCAAGCATGGTCTTAATAAGGACGCGGATACCAAGCATGGTCTTAATAAGGACGCGGATACCAAGCATGGTCTTAATAAGGACGCGGATACCAAGCATGGTCTTAATAAGGACGCGGATACCAAGCATGGTCTTAATAAGGACGCGGATACCAAACATGGTCTTAATAAGGACGCGGATACCAAACATGGTCTTAATAAGGACGCGGATACCAAACAAAAAACTCACGAAAGTCTATCTTTCATCTCCGAGAAAATGAAGTGCGACGATTTTTGTTTGCTATGGCTTTGCTACATTCATATTGTGGAATTTTCATGTCTGCCCCGCGAACTTTATGATCCCTCGCGTACGGGTCACGCAAGAATCACGCGCAAGGAGAGCGTGACGTTTCCATGGAAGCCTTCCGGTGGCACGCGTCAGAGTTTTGGGGAACTTTCAAAACTGTTTCAACGTAAGAGAAATGGTGTTCATCAATTATATTTGCTTGCTTTAAGTCAAAACTCAAAAGATTCATCTTAACGCATTGATGTATTTTTTCCAGGCGCTATAAAAGACTGTACTGATGCATTTGTATCGTCTAAGGATATAAATCCACTGCTTTGTCTACTTACTAATCTGAAAGCTTTGGAGAGAGCTACCGGTAAAGATGCATCCTCGTTACGTTCGTGTCAGCGGTTATTGAAGGCCCATTCAAAAAACATCGACTTTTGGTTGTGTGCTTGTGCGCTCCAGAGAGCCTCCGGTAATCAAGCCAGTGCTGTAAACACCTACAAGAAGGCTCTGGAAGCGTGCAACGGACATGCGCAGATTGCTTACTGTGCAGCAAAGTATTATTTTGAAATGGTAGGTTCATCTTGATAAATGTTTCGTTCGTAAGCAAATTATGATCACGTGGTTGTGAGTTGATTGAGGAAGTGGTTATCTTCACGTTGAAATGTTATTGTAACAATTTTAAGGCATTGTACAGCTGATGATATCTGTTTTCTGTTACATTTGATCAAATATAATGATAACGCTTGCGTTGATTGGTCTTTATCAGCCTGTGCAAACCATTGAACTAAAATACATGGAACGGTACCTGTAATAGAAAAGCCTAATAATTTTTTGAAGCTAAATTTTACACCAAGACACGCGTGTGTAGTCGATCAATTTTCATTTTGCGAGAGAATCTCGAAACACTAAACACGTGTGTCTGGGTGTAAGATTTGGCTTCAATTATTTGCTTCAGATAGCGTTCTATGTATTTTAGTTCAATGGTGCAAACCGATTTGAGCTCAACCAATTAGATCAATCAAAGAGAATTTGCAAGTCAGTCATGAATTCACATTTTAGACGAAAGTTTAAAACAATTGTTTTCTAAATTTATCTGTTATGCGTTATTGTTATTTTATAAAAGAAGTAAAAGATTATTATGAGCACCTTGAGCTGGTACTAACTTGTACTGCTCTTCCCTCGACTTCTCGCGAAGGTCTCCTCGGTTTGAATAGGCCTGTACAAACGCAGTGAACATCTTTTATTTTTTAATTGAAAACTATTGCCTATTGGCAAAATTTCCTCGAGTTTTTTCTTGTCTTTTTTGTGAACGATTGTGATATTTAGTCTCAGCTTCCTCCCTTCATTTGTTTGTACAGGAAAAGCGCGAGCTTTGTCTTGATGCATTACGAAAGTGCGTTTACACGAAGTTCGTTTTGGAAGTACAAAGCCCGGGCCCTAAAACCCGGGCGAGGTCACATGACAAACCTCGGATACTCCAGCCCGAGCCTGGTCTCTTATACAAGAAATTACTTTCGCAGACCCTGCCATTGGATTCCAAGCTGCCGTCTCTTAAAGTGAATGTATGTGATTTGGAATCGGAGACTACTTACATATGGCTGTGCTATTGGTAAGTCTTGCTCACTGAACTACTATTTTTAACTGGAATATTAACTCTGCTACCGTCTTTAAAGCAAAACTATGAGCTCTAAGATAGTTTTGAAATTAAAAACCAAATTAAATGGATTATAACGCCCAAAATTCCTTATTCCTGCCGACAATTTAATTAACAACACGATTAATACTCGTCATGACCGTATTTTTTGCTCAAGAGGTGTTTTAACTCACTAAAAATGTCGAATGATGAAATGCATTTTAACACGCTTCAAAAAAGAGGCAGGAGTAGGCCGGCGCTCAGCTATTTTTGCATTCCGGAGTCGGAGTTTGCTCATCTCCGGCAAAACTCCGGAAGCAGTAGTTGTTTGTTCTGCAATATACTATCAGACTTTGGTGAACGTATTCTATAAAAGTATTGTTGTATCAACAACACTATCGGCTAAAATCAACGAACTTGCATGAAAATAAAACGTTTTATGCATGACACAACATGACGCATATAGATTGTTATAATTGAAAGTCGGAGTGCGGAGATTTAACTTCATAGATAAAAATTTTGCACCTTACACTGTTATACAGTGACATGCAAAAGTCATCAGCCGCAACCAGGTATTCGAGTTAGAAACTAGCCGGAGCAGGAGTTTGAAGCTTGAGTTCAGATAGAAACTAGACAGAGCAGGAGTTTGAAGCTCGAGCTCAGGTAGAAACTAGACAGAGCAGGAGTTTGAAGCTCGAGCTCAGGTAGAAACTAGACAGAGCAGGAGTTTGAAGCTCGAGCTCAGGTAGAAACTAGACAGAGCAGGAGTTTGAAGCTCGAGTTCAGATAGAAACTAGACAGAGCAGGAGTTTGAAGCTCGAGTTCAGATAGAAACTAGACAGAGCAGGAGTTTGAAGCTCGAGTTCAGATAGAAACTAGACAGAGCAGGAGTTTGAAGCTCGAGTTCAGATAGAAACTAGACAGAGCAGGAGTTTGAAGCTCGAGCTCAGATATAAACTAGCCGGAGCAGGAGTTTGAAGCCGGAGTTCAGATAGAAACTAGACAGAGCAGGAGTTTGAAGCTCGAGCTCAGTTAGAAACTAGACAGAGCAGGAGTTTGAAGCTCGAGTTCAGATAGAAACTAGACAGAGCAGGAGTTTGAAGCTCGAGTTCAGGTAGAAACTAGACAGAGCAGGAGTTTGAAGCTCGAGCTCAGATAGAAACTAGACAGAGCAGGAGTTTGAAGCTCGAGTTCAGATAGAAACTAGACAGAGCAGGAGTTTGAAGCTCGAGTTCAGATAGAAACTAGACAGAGCAGGAGTTTGAAGCTCGAGTTCAGATAGAAACTAGACAGAGCAGGAGTTTGAAGCTCGAGTTCAGATAGAAACTAGACAGAGCAGGAGTTTGAAGCTCGAGTTCAGATAGAAACTAGACAGAGCAGGAGTTTGAAGCTCGAGTTCAGATACAAACTAGACAGAGCAGGAGTTTGAAGCTCGAATTCAGATACAAACTAGACAGAGCAGGAGTTTGAAGCTCGAGTTCAGATAGAAACTAGACAGAGCAGGAGTTTGAAGCTCGAGTTCAGATACAAACTAGACAGAGCAGGAGTTTGAAGCTCGAGTTCAGATACAAACTAGACAGAGCAGGAGTTTGAAGCCGGAGTTCAGAATTGAAAGGAGGCCGGTGCCGGAGCTGTAAAACCGGAGTTTGCACAGCACTAAAAGTCGTAACGTTAATATTGGATTTTGCATTCCAGTCATAAAACCACAGTCCACTTGTCGTACCCCATGTTTTTATAAACGTGTATTTACAGTGTAAATTTTGCCATGAAACGTTCGTCTTAGTGTTCATTGTACTGTAACAAAATTTTGATTGCAAACTTTCGCATTTCATTTGAATTTCGGTTCTGGCACGTGTGCTTCAGAGGACGAAATGCAACAAATTACTCTGTTTTTCCAGCTTACATCTTGAGTTGATCTCTGAACCTAACCGTCGACATATTCGTACAAAATCTGCCTACGAAACTGCTATATATGGCACAAGTCACAGACACGATGTGAAGATTCTGTGGATGGAGTATATACACTACATGATTCGCAAGTTGAATGATGGGATACACGCATCAGAAGAACTTCATTACGTGTTTAATCAGTGTTTAAGCAACGTACCCGTGGTCACTCCAGTAAATTATACTTCGCTCATATCGTGGTCGGATTACACCTTTCACAATCAGGTAAAAACGTCCCTTCAAATCCCCCAATATCTCCTCGTAGGAGTAAGGTATGATGATTGTGTCCGTGCTCATTTCACATAACTCCGAAATTCCTTAATATGTGAAGGGAAGAATAAATGCTCGTCAAATTTCGATGTATTCGAGGAGCATTTGTTATATTCACTGCAATATCCGTTGGTGTTGTTTTTTTTTGTGAGAAATAGTAAACAAAATGTTAACTGGCCTATAAATTTGATTGGCTGAAATTTCATACTTGGCAACTTTATGAATAGATTTCCGGGGAATGATGAAAGGACTTCTACATGCACACCAATCAATTTTACGAAATAGTAGCAATGTTAAAACGCGTGCGCTGATTGGTCTATCGCTGACGTTTTATTAGCGATTTGAGTTCAACCACTTGAATCAATCAAAGAGAATTTGCAAATCAATCATGAGTACATGTTAGAGGAAAAATTATTTTAAATTTATCTGTTTCACATACTTGTTATTTTAAAAGAGTAATAAAAGATTTTTACTGTGTTTGCACTGGCTTATGAAAACCTCATGAGATTTTGGTGAGAACTCTCAAGCGGGTGAACTGATCTGCTCTCAAGTTCTCCCAAAATGCAAACCTCATGAGACTTTAGTGAGAACTCTCAAGCGGGCACTGCTCTGCTCTCAAGTTCTCCCAAAATGCAAACCTCGTGAGACTTTAGTGAGAATGCTTGAGCGGGTTCACTGATCTGCTCTCAAGTTCTCCAAAAATGCAAACCTCGTGAGACTTTAGTGAGAACTCTCGAGCGGGTGCATTAATCTGTTCTGGAGTTCTCCCAAAAGTCGCTTCTCACTTCACATAAGCCAGTGCAAACGCAGTGAAAATCTTTTATTTACAATTTTATACAGGTGTTGACTTTGTTTCGACGTTGTTTGGGCGATGCTTTCACTGTTGACGTTTACGAAAGATACTTGGATATGTTTCCTGACAACGCTCAGTTGGCAATACAGTAATTTTGTTGCATCACGCTATTTCATAATCTATCCTTGTGATTATCAGGGCCGTTGGTAGAACGTTAATTAGGTGGGGGTGGAGGTGCGGTGTGTTTGTTCATATATTCAGTTACGTCCGAGTGACGTATTTTGAAAAAGATCTAAAGTAATTAGCCGAGCGCAACTGAATGTATGAAAAACATCCCGCCCTCTAAGTAACGTTCTAGCGACGGCCCTGGTGATTGATTATGCGTTGTTATATTGTGTATTCAAAGGGTATATTGGGGTGGGGTGGAGTAGTTGATTGAGGACTTTGGGTGTCCTGCACGGAATAGGAATACGTGTACTTTTCTCCACATGTCTGGCTTGCCCTCCATGTTGTCGTCCATGTTTTTACAAAGATGTCGTACGCCATAGGTATGACTCCCAAACAGCCACCTTCCACTTTTGTTCTTAACCGTCTGTTTGTGCGCTACTTTTCAATGTTGTTTAGAACTGTTGAACTCTCTTATTCGAAGAAGATGCTGAACAAAACGAGAAAAATTCTTTCCAATATTCTGTTGAAGACACCTTGTTGTTTGGAACTGTGGAAGATGTAATTTTCCTGTCGCTTTTTTTTCATAGTGCCTTTCGGAACACAACTAACTCAATCGTTTCCATTTCCCCATTTTAATTTTTCTTCTTATTGGTACATTATCATGTACTTTATATGTCTGCATTTGCTCAAGCTAAAGATTCTCAGTAGTCCTGTTATAGAATGTACTTTTGCAAAAATCTATTCGTTTTGATTTCTTGCTGAAGTGGATTTATTCATGTCGTCTAACAAGGGCTTTGGAAGCGTTTTAAATTTGTGTGTGTTCCATGCACACCGTGTGATAACTCCCGAAAGTTGAACTCGTGATGAAACTGCTTGCTTTTAGTTATTATTAATCTTGTTTTCATTTATCATGTCAAAGAGAAAAGACTCTATTTATTTGAAAATTCGGTACATCTGTACAAAAACCAGGCATTCGATGTATTATCAGCGTTCAAGCAGAACGCTAAATTTGTGGATGCATGTTCTTCCAGTAAGGCACACCCACACTTCAAAAATAGTGGATGTCCGGATACCAAGACACCCTTTGCTTTGCTTTCCCAAGCCCTTGTCGTCTAATATATTCCCTCGAATTACTCCCTTTACTTGTTAGCTTCCATATTATATTAATCTTTTTGTTCGAGCTCGAAAATTTTATCGCGTTTACATCTTTCCGTTACAGAGCAATTTCCATTGAACTGAAGGAACAAAATTTTGACGAGGTACGTCTTATGTCGAAAGCAGCGTGGCATTACACCTAACTTGAATGTGTCTCACTATTATTAGCTCAAATCAATACAATTAATATCGATCACACACGATGATCACATCGATGAAATGATGATTATAATCGATCAAATTAAGGGTGCATCGATCAAATGATCATATCGAACCAGTGATTACTGATTGCTTCTTGTTTCCAGGCGAGACTGCTGTATGAGCACGCGACAGAAACTCTTCCTTTCGTTGCATCACTATGGAAAGATGTAAAATTTATATTTTTTCTTATCGCACAAGTTCTTTTTTGTTAGCTTCAGTACTCCACCATATGGCTACACTTAACTGCAATTTACTACCACACCACAGTCCACCATATGGCTACACTTAACTACAATTTACTACCACACCACAGTCCACCATATGGCTAAACTTAACTACAATTTACTACCACACCACAGTCCACCATATGGCTACACTTAACTGCAATTTACTACCACACCACAGTCCACCATATGGCTAAAACATTTACTTAATTTACTACCACACCACAGTCCACCATATGGCTACACTTAACTACAATTTACTACCACACCACAGTCCACCATATGGCTACACTTAACTACAATTTACTACCACACCACCACCATATCTACACTTAACCATTCCACACCTCTTCTACAATTACTTCCACACCACTTCCATTCTACTTCTACATTCTACATTCCTTCCTTAACCAATTTACTACCACACCACACTTTAACTACAATTTACTACTACACCAATTTACTACAGTTATCTTTAACTACATTTACTACACACCACAGTCCACCATATGGCTTAACTTCCACTGGCTAAACTTAACTACAATTTACTACCACACCACAGTCCACCATATGGCTTTAACTTAACTACATTCCACTGGCTACTTAACTACATTTACTACCACACCACAGTACCATGGCTACACTTAACTACTATTACCCACACCACCATGTCCACCATTCTACATTTACTACTGTACTTAACTACATTTACTACCCACCATATGGCTACACTTTACTACAGTTTACTACCTTTATTACCACACCACAGTTCACCATATGGCTACACTTAACTACAATTTACTACCACTACCACCCACATCCACCATATGGCTACACCACTACTACATTTACTTTACACCACCACAGTTCACCATATGGCTACACTTAACTACAATTTACTACCACACCATTGTCCACCATATAGTTGCAATTTACTGCCACACCTTAATCCACAATATTGTTGCACCCGACTGCAATTTGCTACCACACCATAGTCTACTATATGGTTGCACTTGAGCAATTTACTACCCCACCACAGTCCACCATTATAGAATTCCTCCAGGATACAATGCGTCATCTTTGTTTTTTCCATATACAGTTTGCGATGTTTGAACTAACTCACGGAAATAGTAAAACGGAGACGCTACAACGCATCGTAAGCAAGGCAAAAGAACGCGCTATCGACTTGGAATTGTATTTCAAAGAGTTGACCTCTTGAAGTAAGATCATGTTCATTCATGATTATATCTGAACGCCTGGAGATTAACGTGGGAAATCACAAAATTATCGTGGTTACTTTCTCAAAACGTGAATTGGTCACGTATTATCGTGTGCACTCCCTTGTGAATCTTTGTGTGGTTTCGTTTTGTCGTGTCCACTCGCTTGTGAAACGTGGAGTGAACAGGTCACGATTCATGTCTGCATTCTGAAATTTGTAATTGATCATATGGTCACAGTGGTAAGTGATTAATATATTTAATAAATTTGTCGTTCTTGTCCATAAATTTATTTTAATATGCTCGAATTTGCTCAAAAAGATGAGCTATCAATGACGTTTGTCGAGTATCGTGTGGGAATCGAGCAACAAAATTATCAGTCTTTTGACATGACGCATTATGTTGTTCGTCACCGCTGGACGATATCCGCGCACTTGATGTGTGCGAACTCAATATAGACATGATATTTTTTAATATATTTCATATATACAATTATTTTTGTTGCCATTTGGCGCAATTGATGTGTAATAAATCCCTTATGTTTTTTTTTTCATTTAAACTGTGTTGAATGTTCATTTAGGTGTTCTGCTATTGCGTTATTTTCGAACTACGTTCAAGAGTGCATAGCTCACAATGATTATCATGTTTGTTGAATTCTCAAAATGCTCCCCAATTAACCCGATGAATCCTCATAATGCTCCCAATGTACCCGTAGAGTCCTCCTACTGCTCCGCAATCTTTCCACCTTTTATGACTCGTGGTTTTAAATATATACTAGTCGTATTGCTTTTAGATATAGGGCTTTAAGTGAGGGACATCGCAGTTGAAAGCTCATATTTTAAAACTTTTTGATGTTGATTATTTGTTGTGGTTTATCTTGTCTAAAAAGAAGTTTCCTTAGAGCATTAGAGTCACACGAAAAGTTCTTTTTTCTCTGGTGGTGATATTTGTCCCCCTTTTTGCTATTATGCTTTCCCTTCCTTGCAAACAAGTTGCTTTTCAGCTGATGAAATCACTCATTGGGTTACTGAACGTGCTTGATGATGGAGGTCATGATGTTCACATTGTTTCGCGAAACGAAATGATTCAACTCACATTGATTCGACAAGAGTTTTTTCTGGTTATAAAATAGTCGACTGATTGCCTACGAAGGGTCATCAGGACTTCTTGAAGTACAGCTCTATAATTTGGATCCTGCAATGAAAAATCTTTGAATAGCATGTTTTCAAGAAAACACCGAACTTCAATGGCTAAATTATCTGATAGGAATTCGTCGTGACTATCAAAGAGCGTATTTTATAACCTGTCATGCTCAACATTGACTCTATAAAGGACTTTTTTGTTTCTTTTTACTTCTGCTCTTATTAATGATGAATTCATTTTCTCATGTAAATACGTTGAGTATATTTTTGAATAAATTATTTCTGTCATGAAAATGCTACCAGTTATTTATTTTTTCAAAAAATCAGCGCACACGCTTGACGGTTATCGACTGCCTAATTTTGATTTCAAACGGATTTCAACGAAACAAGCCCTAAATGTGAATTTGAATGTGAGCAAAATAACTTTAAAAAGATGTTTCCAGCAATGGCGTAGCCAGTATTTTCTGTCAAGTGGGGCCAGTTAGAAGGGACGGAACATGACTATCGTTTAAAGAACGTAATGTGCCCCTTCCCCAGTGGGTACGTAACTGGTTTCTACATATAAAATAACACATGAAACGTTAGATTAGGACACTATAATTCTAACAAAAAAGAAGAAAATCTTTGGCACAAATGAGTGCTGGTTTGGGTTTGAGTATGAAAAATTTCCGATGATAATACATGTATTAGGCAAATACCGCTGAACACTTATACAATATTTATATAATTTATATCCATAATTCCGATGAAGTATCGTAAAATATATCCCATTTCAAGGTAGTGTGTAAAGTGGAAGAGATTTGAAAGGAACGTCGTGTGATCCTTGTGGAAACACATCCATGAAACCACTGATCTACATAAAACTGTTGTCATTATTGAATGATTGAATCACTTGAATACAGAGTATTCAACGATCATGCTTAATTTTCTGACTTTCAAGTTTCAAGCGCTTTTATTTACAGTTTCCTGCTTGTTCTTGGCCGCTAGGTAAGTATGAGAAAGTGTCGACTATTTTTCCTGCGATGAATCGTTCGACATTTTATAAATGTTGTTGAACGAGGTATTTTTACTCTAGTGAGTCTTGTTAGTTGGCCGCCGCGTGGCACGTGCGTCGCTGAACGAAGTTGTTTGACCAAATTGAAATGAAATTTTGCCTTGTTAAATCGGACTGTTGTTATCTGGTGGCTTTCTTCCTAACTTAAATAAAAACGAAAGGTTTTCAGAAATTTGTTTGTATGTATGACACTTGTTCAGATTCGTTAATTTTGTCTTCGTCGTGATGAACACAACGTGAGGGCTATACTGTTTCTGAGTTCACTGATTTTATCACGTAGAATACTAATTGTAGTCATTCTTGTTCTGAGCAAAAGAAGTTACATTTTAGCTTTGTATCTAACATACATGTTTTGGTCGATCACTACTTCAAACTGCTGAATTTTGAAAAACAAAGTGGCTATTTTTACGGCACCCATCGGTCTACAAATAATTGCTATATGTTTGTAGATGTAGATCGTCCAGGTTAGTAGAGTCCCGAGAAGGACTGTTGTTGTTGATGTTGACTGACATTTTGGCAACCTTAGCGGTAATCATCTTCAGAGTCAAAATGTAGCTAGTCTACTTCATTTTCAGTTAGGGTCAGGTTTGGGTTTGGGTTAGGTTTATGTAAGTTTTTAAGACATAAATAGTTATCTGCCGTAAGAATAGAAAATCTGTGTGGCATTATGGGTGCCATAACTATAGCCACATCGTTTGAAAAAGTTCTAAGTTGGAGCCCCATCATAACTTTAATCACTATTTCAATTTCCTTTTTTTGTAGGTTTAATAAAAGTGCTGTCACAAAGAAAAATTTTAAAACAGACTAAGTTATTGAACCTTTGCTAAGATAGCTCATATGGTTGGATTGTATAATGGCAGCTCATCTCAGCTCCCATCAATGGTCCATTTAAAAATGTGAGTTTGTATCACACTCAGGAAATATTCCATTAGAAATTGTTCTCTAGTTCAAAAAAGCTCTCACTTATTGGAAAATAATAACTAAATGAAAGTGTGGTGGCATTCTGAGTGATGAGAAAATTCTGCACTTTTAAAATGACTGTCATTGTTTGACAGAATGAAAAAGATTATTTAAGTCTCTGACAGAATGGCATCAGGAATTTTTTAAATTTACTGTGCAAAGTAAAGGGATATGTTGCTCATTCTAAATTAGTGCAATTTTCCATTATGATTTTAGAGCGCAGAAGGCTGTACATGTGGTTTACATGTTTGAAAGGTAAAAGGGATTACAAGTTTAATAATATTTCTTAAACGATTGATGCACTAGAATTTCCTAACCTTGACTTCCTTCTTCTATCTGCAATGATGATAAAATTTTTTTAACTTTCGTTCTACTGAAGATGTTGATGAGTCCTACTATCTGAGCAGAAAGATGTTAATTTATAAGTAGTTGATGACATGACATGACATGGTCTGAAGTCTAATTCCAACCAAATTCTAAGGGATTATGTTTTTTATTGGAATAGAAAATGAACAATCGATGAATGAAAAGCATGTCCAAATTTTAAGAAAACAAAGTACCATCTTCTCTTTATTTTGAAGGCTTATCGATTTCGAAAAAGATGAATGATTTGCTTATATAATGATGCCATTCAATGGTAATTTTCAATTTATAGTTATGCAATAACAGTGAAGGTCACTCACATGCGCATGGCTAATAAATCTCAGCCATTTACCTGCCTAATGACCATAATTTTGTGTAGGTGTATTGACCATGAAAAATCTGCCAAAAATCCAAACAAGCAAAGTGCGCCGACTTGACATTGAAATGGCATTTTTGTCATCTTGACCATCTACTGGAAGTATCTCTACAATCAGTAAGTGCGAGTTCTTTTTTGTTGCAACTATGAAATGTTTCATAATCATCTTTAACAGAGTACATCTGTTCATTTGTAGACAACTGTGAGAATTGGGATGATTTTCGCATCCCAAGAAAATGCAGCCTTATGTGCCACATCCACCTACCATTTACAATTGAGAAAAGATTTGTTTGCAAAGTTTGTGGGTGTGCGGGTTTATGACAATCCTTTTGTTCCATGGATTTCTTTCATTGCATTAAACTTTTGCTTATCATCGTTTGTATGGAATTGACGATCCTGAGATGGATTGTGCCATCACAAATTTTTGTCTTGTAAGTATTTTAATTCGAGGATAGAATGTGTAGGTCTTGCAATGATGTTGAAACGAATTACTTCACCTGAACTTTTAGATGAAGAAAAGCGCTAACCTCTGAGCAAGCCTACCTTACTACATGGTGTTGTTTATTAGTCAAAAAAATTATTCCAAAATGTGGAAATTCCTAATTTATCTTTTTTCTTATGTTACAGCGTGACAAAGATTTACAATGCCTTACTTATACAGTTTTATGTACGTACTTTTAGATATACTGAGTGATGGTCACATTTGTCATTGACTTAGAGATTTGAAATGCGGATTCTGTAAGTGCATTTAACATGTTGTACAAACAATGCTTTAATTTTTAATACAGTAAACGTGACTAGGTTTGCTATATTTACTTTAAACATTAAGTTTCGTGCTTATTTACATTCTTAAGCAGTTAATTTGAGGGTGATTGTGTTACAGTTTGCTGACCAATGACATTTTGTGTTGGTGGTAAATCAAGTATGTATATTCTTATTCAAAAGCAGTGTTGACTTAATGTTTAAAGTAAAATTTAATCATTTGGCTTGCTTTGGGTGTTTTTGTTGAAGCCATACAAATTTTTCTTTATCTACATCAATGTAGCATTTAACAAGACAACATAAACCGGGCAGTTAAGCGTGGGAAAATTACCATATACTGCGCTTATGGCTTTCTGGCGCAGACTGCGCGCTGCAAAAGTGCAAACTTGCCCTCTGTCTTGTGTTCATGGCGGTTTTCAATAGAAAGAAGAAACTAAACTATTTTGTTCTCCTGACATATTATTAGCTTTGAAATGTTTACACATGCAAAAAGGTGGGTGTTTGGCCAGTGCTGAACGAAAAAATAAAATATTTACGCATGCAAAAAGGTGGATGTTTGGCTAGTGCTGAACGAAAAAATAAAATATTTACGCATGCAAAAAGGTGGATGTTTGGCTAGTGCTGAACGAAAAAATAAAATATTTACGCATGCAAAAAGGTGGATGTTTGGCTAGTGCTGAACGAAAAAATAAAGTATTTACGCATGAAAAGTTTGTTTTGGACTTCACTTCCTTTCATTGAATCCCAATGTCATAGAGAAAGTTACCCTTCTCGGAATATGTGTGTTTCTCAATATAATGATAAAAAAACTTCCACTCAAAGCTTCCACTTGAAAAAATGAAGATCGTGAAGAAAAACAAGCATTAAAGTGACAAAGAATTTACAGCTACAGTCTTTTAATGTCATATACTTTGTTTAGATGTCTATGTCCGGAGAACAGTAACCAATGCTTAGCACAGCAGCTTCTTGGACATCCTATTATCTCTCCAAATCTCATGTAGCACGGTTTAAGCAATAACATCACCTTACATAATCTTGACGCTGAAAAAGATCACGGTGGAAATCGAAATGGCCGTGATGATGGAGATGAGTATCCTGATTTGATGCCCATTTCTTTCGGCTACGCTGCGAGAAATTCGAGAGTTTGAAATGAATTTGAGGTGTTGCAGGTGCTTGAAAAAAGGAGTGTTTGCTTCAGGTATCAATTAAGGTAACTTATTATTACATTTATCTTTCAAATAAACAGTAATTTGGTCATGTGAAGGGAATTTTGTACGTGATTTGGAAATGCTTTATAAATGCTTAGCTACGTAATAAATTAGACTGCTGTCTCTTTGCGATCAAAACAATTCCTTTGAATCCGAAAAGTGTGCTGCTTAATGGCAAACTTACTCAAGAAGAGAAGTTACTTTCTAGATTGAATTATGAAAATATTGTAAGCTAAAAAGAAATTTACTAACCATAATGAATCAAAATTTTATGACATAAGGATTCAATTTATACGATACAAATTTCTTGGCTTATTAAATGTTATCTCTGTGGAAACTATTATAAAAAAGTAGATAATCTCCTTTTTCCATGAAGCCCATGGATGCTTTCTTTCATAACGAGAAAGTCGTATTGTATAAGCTGTCGTTCATCACGAGAGAGTTACGAGAAGGTTACATTGTAAAAGGTAACAAGTAAAAAACGTATAAACGTGCTTTTAGAGTTGGCTTAAATTGCATGTCAAAAAGTCAGAAGTTGTTTGAACCTTTGCAGTATCCTTGGATGTTCTAGTTTCTTTTATGAGAAGAATTCTTGTAAAGAAAAAAGACAAATTTTGAAAAGAAAAAATCCCGTTTTTGGTGCATGCCTCCCGATACCCCGAGATAGTTAAGCACTAGAGCGTCTCGTGTTAATTGAGGGAACCAGAGGATCCTTATTTGCCTTGAAGCCCATGGATGGTTTGCTCGTGATACATGAAAAACAGTAAATGAGAGAGTTAAATCAGAAAGATATAGACCAATAAAAATTGTATAAACATCATTAAGGTCGTCTTAAATTATAAGTGTCATAAAAAGGGACAGTTTCAGAAGAATTTAATTGAAGCATTGCCTGGTTTATTTTATTTTAAAAAGATAAAATTCGAAAGCAAAAAACCCCGTTTTCGGTCCATGCTTCCCGATACCTTCTTAAGCGTAAGGCACTAGAACGCCGCATGTTAACGTTTCGGTAGGAGATTTCGGCCCCTCCACGCTATCCTACTTGGGAGATGCAATAGCAAGCTTCTGCCCATCAGACCCCGAGATCACCTGCTATAGGCTTTGCTCGGGGTACGCAGGGAGAGTGCGGTCGCGACCCGAAACGTCTGGGCCCCTAAGCCACTGCATACATATCGCACCCGGCTTCCACTGCTAGTTGACATCTACTATCCATATATTTAGCTTTATATTTATATACATAAATTCAAAGGCCTTACGAAAGTTGTGGTATTATTAAAGTCACTACTGCGCATGCTCAGATGATTTCTTTGATAATTTGCGACTAAGTGAGCTAATTGCCACAAATGAAATGCAAGTACATATAGTTAGTCGTTGCCATGACTATGAGCAATTAGTCAAGTGGATTGCGCATGCTCAAGCGCATGCGCAGATGATTTCTCTATTAAATTGTTATTAAGCATGGTATTTACTTTAAAATCGGTGCCAGTAGTCGCATTTTGTCGTTGCCATGACCATGAACTTGGGAAGCTGGTCAAGTCGACTGCGCATGCTTGAGCAGATTGCGCATGCGCAGATGATTTATCTGAAAATTTGTGTCTGAGCGAGCTAATTACTCTATAATCGGTACTAGTACATACATTTGGTCGTTGTCATGTCCATAAACTTGGAGATTTAGTGGAGTTGACTACACATTCTCAGATTAATTCTTAATTAATTTGTAACGGAGCGAGCTCTGAAATTAGTGCTTGTATATGCCCTTAGCAAGTTTGCATATGTGAGTGACAGAAAGAACTATTTTTTAGTCTAGCACAAAGTACTTGATATTTCTTATTTTCTCATGTCAGCTTTGAAAACTTTTATATAACATTCATTTATGCCACCACATAAAATTCCGGTTGACTGCTGTTACATTTTGTTATTTTTCCTTGCCGTTGACTTCAACATATAAATGAAATACACTCGCATTGTAGTAGGATTTTGTTAGAAAATATTGAAATTTTGCCAGTAGTGTACATAATAATAGAATTGACGTTCTTTGCAAAGCTACAATGCTACATTAACGTTCTCTTAATACAAGTAGTCGCGTAATAATCTTCTGACTCTATAATCTTTATTGTTGCCGAGAAATGATAGAATTTAGTTCACATTTTGTAATTGGTTTGATAATTTATTTAACATAAAATCTCTAAGTAAGGCAGCTTAGTAATTGTTTAGTACAATTACGTAACTTGTTTTTAATAATTTAAGAAATAAAAGATGTTTGTTGTGTTTGCACAGTCTTGCAAACCGAGGAAACCTTTGGGAGAACTCGAGAGCAGATCAGGGCAGAGCTGAGAACGAGATAGGTGGATAGTCTGTGTATTTAAAATCATTTGACAGCCAGACGGCTGAATTACATTTTTGCAAAGTAGTAAATGAAAATAATCGGAGAACGAAAGTTTTTACAAACGTCTCCCAGGTTTGCATAAACCAGTGCAAACACGAAAAACATCTTTTATTTCTTTTATAAAATAGCAATAAGGCAAAACAGATAAATTTAAAGCAAATGTTTTGATTTTTCGTCTAACATGTATTGAAACTTGCTATCCAAATCCTCTTTAATTGATTTCATTAATTGAGCTCAGTTTGCACAGGCCAATGCAAACTAAGCTACAGACCAATCACCGCCAAGTTGTCTTTTATTATATCACATATGGTAGACCCAGTTGTATGATTGGTCCGTTCCTTTTGGAAAAGATCTGACTTGTCCAATGGGGTTTCCTTATGCTGCAATGATGAACTTATTAAAATCTACTGAATCTATCAAATGTTGATTCAAACCGAGCTTTTTAAAACTGAGCAGCAATTGTAACGACGTATTTTTTTCACACATGTAACCTTCGCAATTCAAAAATTTTTATCGCGGCATGAAAAGGCATTTTTTGGCCAAGACAAACGTATGAAAAAAGCAACTTGCCTCCGAGACAATATTTGATGGTTGCGACTATTTTTACATCGTTTATTGGTATGAAGTGTAACGCATAAAATAACAGCGCATGCGCTGATTTGTCTATAGCCGTGTTTGCATGAGCCTGTGTAAACCGATCTTAGCTCAACAAAGTAAATCAACTGCAATGACCTAGAACCCAATCTACTAGATATCTGACTCCGCCGATATTCTTTAGTAATGAGTGAGGCAAGCCGCCATCTTGGAAGGTGGCAAAACTGACGATATTTATGATTAATATCTGCTTTTGCTGAGTTGATATAGAGTCGCAAAGTGGATAATCTATGTTTAACTTTTAAAATGTTTGATAGGATTGGTTTTTTAAACTTTTTTTAACTTACTTTTCATTTTGAGTTTTGCTTTTTGCCACCTTTCAAGATGGCGTCCTTGCCTCAGCTTGACACGGTAGTTAGACATCTTTTGGGTTCTAAATCATTGATCAATTGTCACCGTCATATTTAAGTCAAAGGTTCATAAAAAGAAATCCAATTCACGATCACGCCCCTCGGGAATCTAAATGATCTTGAAATGAAAAAATATCGCAACTGTAACTGGCCTCAGAGAACATGGAACGCACTAAACTAGATGAGAACTGAAAAGCGATTGGAAATTTTAACATGTTTAGATATAAATTGAGAATTGGACTTTTAGAAGGAAATATACATTTTAACTAGTTTTAGCACCGTAGATTAAGTAATTCTTTACCATACCCTTGTAAATTGTGATTGAAAAATCCCGTTTCTGGGAATGCGAATTACTAAAGTAAATTAAAATAAAATTAAATGTGGCAAAGATTGCGCAATACGTGGAATACAAAATTAAAAAAATCATCAACTTCCAACATGTTTAAAATTTAGAATAATGACAGATAATATTTAAGAGGCGGCAATAACTATGAACTTGGAAAACCCAAAGCAACTCAAATGATGAAGATTTTTACTTGCTGCATCACCTTAGAATGGCCTCTCAGTTATAACGAATGAAAAACACATAAGCATTATTAAATTTAAACGTAGTTTTGACTTCACTTGACATATTATCAACAACCTGGTGAATATAAAGATGTAGGGTACGATTTCATATGCTATGACGAACTAATGCACGTGTGTCATAATTTTTGTTCCTATAGCCAATATTTTTCACCTGTAACATGTAGCTTAATAGCTTGTTATAATTTTTCTTAAACGGTTTTGGGTCCAACGACCTCTTAAAAGTCAGGTGCCTACGAGACTGGAAGTCTTGAAGAGCTACCGTTTTTAAGTATTTTTAATTGATAATTATAATAACAATCAAAAATAACAAGATTTTATTTCTTTATTTATGCATGCCTAGCGATATTTTTTGATTTCCTGCAATCTGATTGGCTGCAGCAGCGGGCGGTTTTTTACGATATCTTGTCCATAGTCCAAAAGTGTTATATTTTTGCAATAGATTTGTTTACAAAGTGAAAATTTTAAAATTGATTTACAAGCCATGTATATTCTTCAAGGAGAACGCAAAAAATGTATTCACATTGTAGCTACATAACATTTTGAGAGTGAGTTCCACAATTCAGACGAAGTAAACTTTGTAGAAAACTATCTAATTTCAGTCCCAACAAGCCACGTCGATCGTTTTACAACGTGATATGCTTCGTTATAAAAATAAAAGCTTTATTTACCGTTTAGGGTCAAGGGACACTACTGAAGCCGAGGAAAATATTTTTTCAGTACGGATCTCTCAACCGGTAAATACCATATGTATAATCACACAACAATTAAAGAATTTGTGTTTACCAAGATGCATTGCGCTTGACGGCCATTTTGTGGGTCGAGAAAATGGCGGAGTTTGTTTTTGTAGTCCGTGCAACTTAAACAAACGACGATAATTAATGTAAAATAGAGTTTTTAAATCAATGTTTTTTGCTAACTTTTCAGATTAATTAGACGACCTAGTGACTAAATTGAATTCATTGTGCTCAAGCTCAAAAAGTAACGATGAACATAAACAAAAGCGCGCAATGCATCTTGGTTGACACGCCTTTTTTAAAGGTGTATAAAACCACTAGCAACACCATTATATTATGGAAGTAGCGGTCTTCATTGCTCTAACATAATGGAAGTCAACCGGCATCGCCGAATATTTTACTTATTGGAAATGGTTGTATTTGAAATGATGAGTGGCACGCTTGCTTCAAGATAGGCACAGTCACGTGTTTGTCTTGATGCCTGAATATGGTCTTGTGTTGACATTCACAAGTGCTCAGGGGCCATCTGATCAAATTGATTTCTCCCATAATGCCTAGTACATTAGGAAATTGCATATTTTATTTTTACGCCGGTCTGCGTCACAATGCCAATTGCATCAAGAGTGGATATACAAAAAAAACTAATGTTTTATCCAGGGGGGGGCAGATAGCAAATTGCTATTACTGGATAGCAATTTAAAGAGCGTTTGAAAAGTGTGGTAAACGGAAAAAAGAAACGATTTGAAACGAGCAATGATCGAAACAAACCAATAGTTCTAAGGCAACTATAAGGTTTCAGTTTTGTAAAGAAAATCCAACCACGTTTTTTCATACGTTTAAAAAAGTCACCATCCAAAGGATAACGCCAATCCGTAGGTCTTCGCTCAACGGACCCTCCGTCTATACTCAGTCTGTTCACATCACTGGTTCGCACGCCATAATGTCAGTTTTACTGTTGGCGGACATCACGTACACAGCGTAAGGACTTGTCCGTGGGCGGTAAATTGGGTGTGGCGTGGGTTGTATTTTTGTCTGTAGTAAAAGGTTTATAAGTTACTATGGTTTTGCCGTTTATGCTAAAAATTCTTCGAAATGTTAGTTAAGCACATCAACAGTTTCAGCGTTGCGAGTTGTCCATCGGTTGCCATTAGTATAATATAAAACAAATTCCGAAGAAGCAAGACATCTTGAGATTGCAAAATATGAATCAAAACAAGACGAGAAGTAAACTGTAAATTTTCGACTTTATTTCAAAGTCATCCTCAGACAGAATGATTCATGAGAGGATTCTTCGGAATTTGTTTTATATTATTCTTCTTTAAATTGTCGGCTGGTCATGGTTTTTGCTTGCCATTAGTGTGTGCTGAATCGTTATCTCAGTCAGTATTGAAGGTTGAAACGTTGAGATTGTTTTAAGAATCGTTTTGCTATCTTAGCGTAAGTTTCCCGTGAAAGTTAATGACAGACATCATCATGTTCGCAGCGAAGAGAGAAATCTATGGGCTGCGAGTTGGCTGCGGCTTAAATCATATTTCAATCAGCAATGAAAGAATAAAAAGTTAGGGTTGTGTGAATGGTGGTTTTGCCGTCTCGGCTTAAATTTCTTCTAAATGTTAGTGAAACAAAACATGAATTTCATCTTTGTGAGTGGCAAAGAATTTACTATGACCAATAGAAGATATCTTGTGTAGTCGAATCTTTCGTTCAATCAAAATTTTTGATGTAAAACATGTTGTGCGAACACCACCGCATCCCTGCATTTACTCGCGTCCCGAGAATTACATAACATACTCTTCATTCCTCTATTTTTGCTTACAACGATCGATCATCTAATGTTGCCGATGCATTAAATCGTTTTGTTGTCCATAAAGGGTCATTATTTTATTGCCCGGCCTCCCAACCCTTGCTTGCCGAGCATTTGCACATAGTCATGCCCATAAAGTATCAAAGAAAACGAAAAAATAAATGGTTTTAGCGAAATGAAGGACGATTGAATTGCGGGAAAGTATGTAAGGTCCGCCAAGGAGGAAGTGGCTTTCGGTGAAAAAAATTTCAAGCTGTGTTGCAATGGAAAAAAGCAATTAAGTTGTATACAGAACTTTGCATGATTATATAACGATAAAAGCAAAATGATTACACGAAAAAGCGTGGGAGGAAAGAGTTGTACGCCGTCAACAAAGTCCAAATCATTGTATTTCATTCGTTATGTATTTTATTTATCTCTGTTTTATTTAACATACAAAGCAATGCCAAGCATCCCTTCGTCTTTTATAGATTGCCTTATACTTCACAAATATCTGCAATTTGATTGATTTTCTCTCGAAACCCATGAAATGCGTTACAATTTCGCGGTTTTAGCTAAAGTGATGACTATCACAGTAGCGGTTAAAGTTGCTGGGAACTTCGATGTTTACGGGATGAATCGTTTGTTCCGCTAACAAAATATATGTGTCAACAAGTGCCTACTATAATCAACAAGCTTTGACCACAACGTACGAGTGCAGGCCCTTGTTCAAAGTGTATTTACGACAACACTTTTGTATGCTACATTTATGGCTACATCGCGGAAAATATTTGGATTTTATCTTATCACCAAATGAATTTATGTACGATATATTTGTACTATTTTATTGCTTGTTTACCTTTCACTTTGCGCACGAAATACATGAAATATAAGACACAAAGACAAGCTTTTATACTTTAGAACTTAACGATCCAAAGTGATAGCAACAAAGGCATGAAGAATTCACGGATTATTTATCTTGTTGAGCCCTTAAGTGTTCGTAGTGGCAGTCTTCCAATCTTTCCTCTTAAATGTATCATTTGAAATATGTTTTGCGTAAATTTTTGGTATGGCTCAATGGACAATCTTCCCTCAAAGTGATCTTTCTCCTCAAAATCAACCGATCTCTTCATTCATGGACGATTGTGTCCTGGGTGGTTGACGATTATCGGAAATCTGTTAGTCCTAATTGTCCATTATTTTTTAATTATCTCCTCATGTGTTGGGAGCATTCATACAAAGGATAATTGAAACCAAGTAGGCTTTTTAAACCTATGATTGTTTAAGCTTTCCGTATGGAAACTGATATCTCTCGATATTTCACGAACAGCTGGTTTGTTGCTATTTAAGTTAATCGTGTGGTATTTTTGGTGATGAATTTTGGAAGATTTTTCCGTTTGCGGTGTGAGGGGGAAGTTGAAAATGCACTTTATTTGAGGGAGTGTTTTGCTTGCGTGTCACCACTTCTATTATAGATTACGATCGAGAGAAAATCGTGTTACCAAAAGACGGGGACCTGTTTTTTCGAAACATAAACAGGTGTTAGCTTCACTTTTGAAAACAAAGCTATTAGGTTTCAATCTAGTCACTTCCATCTTCTACAGCACGAAATCATCAATTACATAATTGGGCAGGTCACTGTCAATCACACAATACGCAAACCAAGCTTTTCCTTAGCATTGAAATTTCATTGTCAGCTTTGTTTCTGTTGTCAACGAGACTTCGTTGGCTTTGCTTGTTCTTGACAATAGCGAATAAGCTGCCCCCCAGTACGACTACGCCATATTGTTGTTTCATCTTCCGCATTGAATATAAGTCGCATTTGACGCCCAAACCAAAACCTAAATCTTATAGAAAATGCGTTTCTTCCTATGTGTTATGAACTGTCTACATTTGCATTTGTGCGGCTGAATGCTTTTCGTACACGACATTCGCAAGAATGTTGAATTGTTTGTTTGCCAAACGACAAACGTCACCTAATGTTCTTCAAATACGAAGTTTAGCTGCATTGTGTATTCACGTTTTTGTGTTTCAAGATTTGTGATGAGAAGATTTCAGTGTGTTTAAGTGCTTTGCGGCTTTTGATAAGGCCACTAAATACATATAGTCGATAAAGCAAAATGCCCTTCACCCCACGCAATCGAACGCGAGAGACGCAACTCCCATTATCAATGATTTTGGAATTCAGCCAATGAGAACGATGGGTTGTGTAAAGGTTAATTGGACATGTGCGACCAGCTGCGCCTTTAAAAACGCGACTTGAAGCAGTCGTCACCAGTCGCTTCTGTGGATACGAAACAAACGCTATCTGCAAAGTGTTGAACGACCGCTGACTTTTGGTAGAAGATATCGTTTAATAAACAGAGTTGATTCAGAAAATGAATTCCAAGAATATGCTATTTTTTTGCCTTATGGTGTGCCTTCTTCTTGACTATTACCACAAGACGGAAGGATTCCTTGCATGTAAGCGTATACTTAAGAGAAAATGTAGCAGACGGACGACAAGGCTGGTAAAGAGAGAGTTAAAAGAGGCTCGACAGACAAACAGGGAACTTAAGATGATAAAAAAGTATTTAAAGAGAACTTTGTCCAGGCAGAAAAGTCGAATTCCTAAGTAAGTATACATTCTTGGACAACATCTTCACGTCTTGCTGAAGATGTGCTTTAGCAAGCGAACAAGATCTTTTCACAGGGAGTCGTTCAAGGTCAAAGTCCGCTTTCTCGGTATTTTAGTAGTGTGAGTGTATTGTATTGGTAGACATGATGTTGACCTGTTGTTTCAACTCAGTCTTTCTTGATGACGAACTTCATAAATTAGTGATTTGCCGACATTTTCCTTGTTCCTCATTCACTGACAATTCTTCTTGCTATTCCTGTGACTCATAACGCAAGTATTTGCACCATTACCCATTGAACGTTCCCTTCTCGAAGATTGTGGTAATTTTTTTCATAGACTTCATGTTGAATGTCTGTCTTTAACGAGGTTGTTTACTTTCAAATGACATGCCTGTTCATAGTCGGTCTTCGTCCTGCAAATTGATGAAACTGACCTGGAACATTTTTTCTTGCCCTTTGGTTGTCTTTGCGATTCATCATTTGATTTTAGTTGCACTTTTTTAAGAAATCAGTTTGCGTAAACAGCCCAATGAGTCGTAAATAGATGAAAGTTTTCAGATGTTTTCATTTCAGTAGAAAACTATAGCTGTGTGATTATTGTCGAGTATTAGAAAAAAACATAAAATTACTTATGCTATATAATAGAAAACATACTCCAAAAAACATCTTGCAAACTCAAGATTCGAGGAATAAAAATTTATTAGCAGTATTTCGATTTTATTTTAATGTGATTGTCAAGCCAAATTGTCCGCTGGTAACGATTGTTATACTGGCTATTTATGGGAAGTTCCTGTGGTTTAGTCTTCAACGGTTGCCGGTTGAATAAATATATGCAAAGAAATTGATCAGTGGGCGTTTGTGTTTAGTAATTGCTTGGAACTTAGCGAGATAATCATTGCTTTGATTCTTTACTGGTCACGTATATTGAATTCGCTCAGCTATTGTTGAAAAGTAATTCTAAAGCCATCGAGGCCGTTGACATGAAAAAGATTTCGAGCAGTTGGAAAGTGTTCCAAAACAGATAATTACTTGACGATAAAGGCAAAGATATTGCCTGTTTTGGCTATTAGCCAAGCAGATAATGCAGCTTCTGTATAAGGAGACATTTTGTGAAGTTGCTTTAACTTTCGGGAAGAAATTAAATAAGCGTGAAAGTCAAAGTAAAACCAAATTAAAAAATGTGTGTTTTTACCAAGTAAAATCGATCCAAGCCAGATTTGGGGGGTCGGAATAGCCGTTTGGGATACAAACAATTAGCGCAAAGCAGGCTGATCATTTCGCATTGTTTAAATTAACTGCCTCTCACTTTGTTACCACAAAAGACGACATTCGTTGGTGAAAAAATGAGTTATCTGAAAGCATAGAGCAGTTGTATATTATAATGAGGTCGTCTTTTGCTTGTAGCCATACAGTAGATCAAGCCGCTCTGCATAATTTTCTCTCGTTTTCGGGAGATAATCCCTTAAGATGCAATGAATATAATGTAATTTTTTGATTTCGTAGATTTTCGTGACGTGCAGCCTGAGGATGTCGGCAGTTTTGTGGTAGTTTGGAAGTTCCGATCTTTTGATGGTGGACAATTTAATTTTGAATAGAAATATCTTCGATGTTCGATAAGTGTTATTACTTGACCACGATATTAATAGTGTTAATTTCATTTTATTTATCGCTTTAGAAAACACTCGGTTGGACCGAAACGATAATACTTATTTTAATGTTAACAATAAATAGATACACACCAACAGTAATACTGTTAATTATGATATGTGCATTCTATTTTGTGCTGTTATGTTAAGTTATAATCGTCAAAGCAAACAATCTTTATCAGCTTACTGTAAAAAACCATAGATAAGTGAATCCTCGTAAATTACAAGAGCTATCTCCCGTACGGTAAATGTTGTACCAGGGAGAAATGCCCTCGAACTTTTAAAGTGATCTCCGAAGTGCCCTTTTTTAACGGGAAATCGACATTTGCTCTTGCGGAACATTGGTATGAATATTAAAAGTATTAATACTTAATGGGTTGACACTATAGACCGACTTAATACCACTAGAGATAGTATAAAGCAAATTCCGAAAAAGCAAGACATCTTGAGATTGCAAAATATGCATCAAAACAAGACGAGAGGTGAACTGTAAATTTTCGACTTTATTTCAAAGTCATCCTCAGACAGAAGTTACATACAGGATGATTTCGAAGGAGGTGCTTTTGTTTGGATTAGATTTTCGGTCGCCACTGTATGGATATCGCCGTGCCATGTCGCACTATCTTTGTGAAATTCTGTTACTGTGATGGGGCATTATTGGGATGTATTTTAAGGAAGTGTGCTCCATTAAACACATATCACAATTGGTTTTGCTTAACTGTTTGGTATATATGAATGTTTCATAAAGAAATTGTCTATGCGCTCCTCATTCACCATCCAACCTTCTCGGTAAATCCATATCTCTGGAAAATGTTAATATTTGTTGATATCTCCGGGTATTTCATTGAAAACTGCCCTATTTCAATGATGAGCAACGATCAACAGACTTTGATCACATTCTTTGATTTTCAAAGGGCAAGAGTTGTTCTGTTTAGCCACCGAAAATGAATTTGCATGAGTACTTTTTAAATGAAAATGTCTTTTGAAAACCATTCGAAACGCATGAGCTTTGCAGGAAAGACAACGGCTCACTGATGCTACTTCGTTTGCTGTATCAAATTTCAACCGGAAAGCATGCTCCTGTAGTGTTGTGTACATTGATTCTTGTTACCATAACATTGATGAATTCAACTAAACGATAATTAACTGCCAAATGCGAACAACTTAACTCGTTCTCATTTGCCAAAAGCTTAGTTGATGAGCTTTAGTCGAGGCTGTTATGGCCCATTTGGATGCATCTCGAAAATATTCTATTACTTATCCTAGTGAAAAGCAAAGAAACTCTGCTTTGGATATACTGCGGCCTCCCGGTTTGTCATCACACGTATGTATAATTATCAACACCGACGAACGAATAAGCTCACGCTATTTTGAGTCGTCTTCGATCTTGGAAGAATTCTCTGTAGTGCATATCTTGAATACTCGAATCTTTTAGTCTTTCATAGTGTGTCAAGATCTCTGCCTTTTATGTATGATTTAGGCGTACAACAGACAGCAGTTACACAAGCAACTTTGCGAGGTTTGGTTTGGCTGGAAATTATGCAAGCTGTAATAATATTTATCTGACTATTCCATGGCATTTTCATAGGCAGAAAGAGATGCAAACAAACACCCATCCGAACCTGGAAGCTACTATAAAGCCCAAACTAAAGTGAGCTTCTTCGTAACATTCATATCGTTATTGTATACATTGTAAGGCTAATAGCCTTTTTTACTTAAGTCTATTATCTTTATCAAATATCAGGGTGATGTAATGCCTGAGAATAACTATCGTTTTCGCCACATTTATGTGCTGGGTTAGTGGAAGGGTAAAAAGAAGCTGGGGGCTTAATATATTTTCACGTAAAATTTTCGGCGCATACTATTTCATTCAACCCATTCTTCAATATCAATTTCTATTTGTTAAAATACCCAATCCTGTTCGTGGATTTTGAAAAAAGAAAAATACAAACAAATGACTATCATTTTGTTTGAAATTTTGAGACAAAGCAAATGACTATTTTGATTTTTACATTTTAAATTTCAAACGACTGAACGCTTGTGTTAACGACCAAAGCTTAATTGGCATTCGTATTTTGTCGTGATTTCATCGTGAGGTTGACTTCCTGGTGATTTTTTAATTTACTGAAAGCGGGAGATTGTTTTAAGGAGGGACCAGTGGGAGGTACTCATAAGAGACTGGGAATAAATAGAGGAAATACGTTATTAGTTGTCGGTGGTCGCAGTTTTCATCCCCAGGTATTCTTGTCTGTACTCGGTCAAATTTATTTTCGTTTTATATACGTCTTGAAGCGGGCCCAACCTTCTACCTACGATCGGGTGAATCACGTGTCCGTTGGATACGACCAGAAACTTCACCGTGACGATAGAGCCTTTGCCAAGTCACTTGGGTTACACGTGAACAGTGAGGTAAGAAAATAACGAGTTATCGCCAAGTGAGCTGAGTATGTAGATGAGCTGTACTACAAAGGAAGGAATTCCAAGGGTTTGTTAGTTTTGAACGGGCATGTCCACTTTGCGTGTTTTTTTCTTTAAATATTAGCAACTCACCCACCGGAATCTTTTATATCTTTTGAACAATGCAGGGGGGTTGATGCCTCATGTTAATCTTAGTCATCTTCTACTTTAACATAATAAAGGAAACTTCTCTTGCCATCCCATGTCTCTCATCATCGATGTACGGGCATCCGTCAAGATCCCCTCTGGAGGAAGTCGATCGCAAACACTTCTCGGTCCAGACTTGTAAGAAAGACTTTCTGCGGGTTAGTGGAACGAACATTGGAAATAATAGCGACCTTCATTGATAAACTTTGTGACAGATTATTGTTATTTTCCTTTATTTTGTCATTGGAAAGTTGCTCGGTTTGTTATATTGATATAGAAGTAAATGCACACTGAAGTTCCATCGCTCACTTTTTAAGATGACTTTAGTCTTTCAGTTGTCATTTATTAAAGTTATCATTATGCTCTCAAAGCATTTTTATACCATCCAAATTTGCATCGTTAGCAGTGACATTTACTCGACGAAATGTTTTGGGGGAAGGGAGACAAAACAAGTTTTTGATATGTGAAAAATGTCTTTTCTGTTTTTACCTTTTTTTAAGTGAAGTAACATTTGTGTGACACTGAATATGCAGCAGAAAAGCCAGCCCGTTTTTTACTCTGAAATATTTTTATAGTCGGATTAAAGTTCTGGCTGGCTTTGCCACTGAATATGTGAACAATTGTATAGTTTTGGAAAACGTCAAACCTTAGAAGAGTTTGTTAAACATAGTGTGCTCTTTACCTTTAATTTGAATCAAAACATCTTCAGTGTGATCAATTTTTATGCTTTCTGCTCATAACCAGTCCCCCCGACTACTGAGGGGAGCAATCATTAATAACAAACAGTTATAATGTCCTTTATTTTAGTGAAGTTTTGATGAAGACTCTAGTCTTCATTTGTACAGTTAAAAATATAAGTGTCACATGTTTGAAGTGCCATAAATGCCCCTCCCCAAACAAAAAACTTGCTGGCGCCTTAGTTCATAACTCGTAGTGTCTAACGTAAATGATTCCCCGGTTGTTGAAACGAGACTGGCATATACCGTCCGACTAATGATAAACCGAAACTAGTCTATCTTTTGTGGATATTTGTCATGAAAACAGGTGCTGCCGGTCCCAAATTCATTCGATATACTGTGGATGTTGTGAGGTATGTGTAATAATGCGCTAAAATCCCGTGTCAAAATCCTTGGTGTGCTGATGAAATCCGATTTTGTGTGAATGGGATTTTAGTCTCTTTCCAAAAAAATTGCGTTCGTTTTTGCTCGCGCAAATATTATAAACGCGTGAGCAAACGAGAGCATGTGTAACGGGCAACTGAAAATTTTTTGTCATTCAAACTGCAACTTTTCAAAACAAGAGCTGCGAAAGTAAACACGGAAAATAAGATAAGTCGATTCTCTTTTTTGCTGATAATTTACTTGTTGACAACTTTCCATGTTCGAAATGAATTCTAAATGTGACTTTGATTTTGACGTAGATTATTTTACTTGGCTAAAAGATCCAAAGCCGCAACAAGAACGCCACGAGAAATTTTCATCAAGTGAACAACAGAAAGTGAGTAGTTGTGAAATGTGTTTCAAGGAACTTGTTGCGTACAGACTTACGTAAATATCGATTTTAAGCATCATCACGCTTCCTTATCGAAAATCAATGTAAAAAAATGCGATGTTGAAAGTGGATTAAAACTCTATATTTAACGCACCCACCTCGTGGATGACAATTGCATATGTGAATCTACCACGCCAAAATTAGTTTAAGCAGGAACTTTTTTCCTTTCTTTTTGCCCAGGGGGAAGGAGGTCGCCGCAAATGGAAAGATATGGTCCTAAACGATGTAAAATTACAATGGTATATCTCGGTGAGTACGATTGTTACATAGAAACCAAGTACTTGTATACGCAAACATTCTCAGCATTGTTTGTCAAATTGAGAAGTACATATTATGTCATCGTTGCCTGAGGCGTAAAGTAGAAAATTACTCGTGACTTTTGCTTGACAAACGGACTGAGTTCAATGGTGCTTCATACTCATTCTGTAAACATGATATGAAATTATCTCGGTTTTGCAATCGTTGGCAATCGCTCAAGAAAAAAACGATGTACTTTAAGACGATATTGCAGAGAAATTAAAGAAAGCACTAATTGTTTTAAGACTCTAAAGTTTTGCCTTCGTGTGTAATAGCACTTCTCTTTCCTAGGTGCGAGTTGATATTCCGTTGTACAGGGACTACGAAACGATGTGTTTGTTTCATAACCATTGGTAGGTGAACTTACCCTAACGAAGAACGCAAAATTCGAGTTATTTGTTAGTTTGAAGTTGAATGGTTAAAAGTTTCTTTAAACCAGACGTGTTTTACTTTGATTTTAACGTGTCCGTCTTGTGTAGGAGCACTACGTACGACGATTTAAAACTGCTACGACGAAAGGGTGGATTTGACTCCGAAAGTCTCCCGCGATCAAGTAAGCTGAATTCGTTTCAAACAACGTCCAACAGGAATTTTCTTAATCTTGTCTTTAATCTTTTTATCATGAAAAATATGGTTCTTTTTCTAATGAGTTTGACTCGTGAAACGTTCCTATAGCATGCATTTTACTGATTTGCTTATGTAATAACTTGTCATGATCTAGAAGACCGATGAGGATGACCCGAGGTCCCGAACTCACGGTCATCTTGCAATATTTGATATGGTTTTCATAGAAATTACGATCCAAAGCAGAATACTTTGTATTTTAGATTTCCTTACTTTTGGAGGCCATTGGAATAGAAAAATACGCTCCTGTGATAATCCCGACTGTTTTTTCGAAGACGGCCATAGTTATGTTGATTAACTAATTTAGAATCTAGTTGTACAATAATATTTACTAAATTTTAGGCAATGTATATTATAATGTATTTATATAATTACACTGATTGATATATCAACTTTGTGGAAACCAAATATTCATAGGTCTTAGATTTAGACTATTGAGTTTAGAAACATGCCATTAGACAATATAGCAATTACGTGAATTTGTTGAGTTGGGGCTCAAAATGAAGTTCTCAACGTACAGCTGAAAACATTGGTTAAATTATTGTTACATCCAGACAAATCCTCGGCGATACTTTCTGTAACCTACAAATCTTTCATACTGACTGGCCTCGTTCAACATATTTCGCTTAAAATGGCGATCTCTTAGGAAGAAAACTGCTTTAATCCTTTGCCCGTTGATTAGTTACATCATGACTATCGTGGAACAACCCAATTAGTTTTAATATGTGAGTCTCCGTCAATTTAGTCTGGCCACATTGACTATTATAAAAGATAGTTAACGAGAGTTTGTGGAAGTTGATCGTCTAGTTTTGTGAAGTTGTTAGGTTGGGAATACTGTTTGTTCTCTGAGATGATTACCGTCGTCGTCATCCATCTTTTTCTCAGAACTTCGGCGATCTGAACGATCAACTTTCACCAACTAGTTCAGTTGTGCTGAACATTTTTTGGCTTGCCTTTGCTATTTTTTCAACGTTTTTTGATAGAAAAGTCGTCTGAAGCTCTCTCCCACCAATTTTCCGTATTGACAAGCTGGTGATAAATTAGAAGAAAGTACTGGCTAACCCATTGGGCTAACCTTACTTACATGAAGTTTTCTCTTTTCCACGAGGTTTCCTGGGGACAACATGGGACAATGAGAAACAATTGGAGATAATGAGGATTTCGTAATATTCGGCCATATTGAAATTGCATAGTTTTCTTACTTGTCAAATTCAATAGAAACTTACCTCGAAGTTTGCGAACTATGGCTTACAGATTATTGACTTCTTCTTTTCGAAGTTTGTGTAGAGTACCCGCAGCAAGCCAATTGCGGGTTTCCACTGCTGCTATGACCAAAAGAATGGCTTCTGCTGACCAAGGTACAGCAAACAATTTTATATAGATAAGATATCAGCTTTGTCGAACTCAATGTGTCAGAATTGCATGAAACCTTTCCATTGTTTGTTTTTCCTGTGAATGAAACTAGTATATTTGACTGAGATCCCTAATGGTCGATGGCTTTAATAGCCTTTGTTTCATTTTAACACTGTAACTATCCTTACCAAAAGAATTATTCCAACTTAAAAGTGCTTTGAATTTTGTAACAAGTTTAATGGCATCATTTTAAGTATTGCGTTTCTGGTTTTAGTTTAGTCTATAAAAGTGGCATGAATGGCTATGAATTTTGAAAGAACAAAATCTTACCGATCAATGGGTTTTCATAATATATTTTGTCTAATGCTGGATCCCCCTCTTCGTGTCTCTCAACCATCCCTCTTTGTTAGATAAGAAAACCCTTTCTTCATACAGTTTTGATATTTAGGCGGTATTGCTCAGGACGAAGATCAGGTGACAGGTCCTGAGAAGAGAGAGTTGGAAAAACACATGGAAGGCGATATGGTTTGTATTAAAGTCTTCGATCTTGTAAATTTTATACATTTTTTGACAGAGAGTGCTTGTTGTCTAGGACCCTTACAACTTAAAAGTTTACAGTGGACCTGGTGGAACAAAAGACAACCCAATCAAGGTGCCTTCAATGGAGGACGAGAGAATTGTTGGATGCATAAGTAAGTATTTTGTAAAAAAACCACTCTGTCAAGCTATGTATCTCTCGATTAGGAAAGAGCATCGTAAACAGGGCTCAAATTTCAATAATCAAATGTGAGCAGATAATTTCTATTTTTCAACTTTGGAAAAGTGAAGTGAATGGCAAATTTGTTAGTTATGTCAACAGCTGGCTCATGTAGCACTGTAATGTGTTCAAATCTTAAATAAGGTCTTTACATTGCTATTGACTACAACTATCAATTTCAGTGAATTAAGGCAGATTGTTCAAAATTTTATTGAATGAAATCTTAGTTTTGCAACCCCTATGTTTTGCAACCGCTTGCTGTTGACAACCACTTTTTCTGTCATGGATAAGATCTACTTGAAAAGTATCTACAATCTCTGCATTGAATAGGCTATAGTATGTAACTATTTTTAAATAAATAGATGAATAAAACCTGTAATGAACAATGACCTGTCATTAATAACCATTTTTGGGTGACATTTGGAGTGTACGCCAAATTCAGCTTTCAGTTCTCACTGTATCAACATAAATTGGCTTATGACTGCGAGTCTGTGATGGAGAATTCTTATTTAAGAATTTTTTGACCACTACTAGAATGATCTATATGACTGAATCACGAAATTCTAAATTTCATCAAGTCAAATGGATTTGCTTGGCTAATCAACTACCTATGACTAACTACTAATCAAGCAGTTAACTCACAAAACTTACCATCATTACTTATTCTAGTTAACCATAAAGTAAATGGTTTGAACCCTTGAGTATCGTTACATGTTTGTAGATGTAGATCGTCCAGGTTACTATCGTCCTGAGAAGGACTGTTTTTGTTGTTGTTGACTGACGTTTCGACAACCTTAGCGGTAGTCATCTTCAGAGTCAAAATGTGAAAATCTTTTTTGGACTCTTAAGATGACTACCGCTAAGGTGTCAACAATCCTTCATTACTAACCTGGACGATCTACATCTACATACATCTAGTTAACCATGTTGGAAAAAATACCAAGTCCTAATGTTAAAAAAACCTTTACCAGCATACAATTTAATAAAATGTAAGAACGAACATGCTCATCTCGTGAACACAAGGTATGAGCTTTTATAAAAACAAGACTGCAATTTATGGTGATATTTCGACTTCGTTCCAAAGTCGTGTTTCGAAATGGAATGAAGTGGAAAAATCACGGCCAAGTGTCGTCTTGTTTTTATAAAAGCTCATATGTTGAGATAACAAAATCAAATTTTGCGGAGCATGTTTTTTCCTAATGTTGAACTGAGTCACGGTAATTGCAACTTCCCCAAAACCAAGTACATGGCAATATCATTGTCTAACGGCAAGTACATAGCAATATCATTGTCTAACGGCAAGTACATGGCAATATCATTGTCTAACGGCAAGTACATAGCAATATCATTGTCTAACGGCAAGTACATAGCAATATCATTGTCTAACGGCAAGTACATAGCAATATCATTGTCTAACGGCAAGTACATAGCAATATCATTGTCTAACGGCAAGTACATAGCAATATCATTGTCTAACGGCAAGTACATAGCAATATCATTGTCTAACGGCAAGTACATAGCAATATCATTGTCTAACGGCAAGTACATAGCAATATCATTGTCTAACGGCAAGTAAATGGCAATATCATTGTCTAACGGCAAGTACATAGCAATATCATTGTCTAACGGCAAGTACATGGCAATATCATTGTCTAACAGCAAGTACATAGCAATATCATTGTCTAACGGCAAGTACATAGCAATATCATTGTCTAACGGCAAGTACATAGCAATATCATTGTCTAACGGCAAGTACATAGCAATATCATTGTCTAACGGCAAGTCTTCGTGTTTTAGGCGAGGAAGACATGACCTACATCGAATGGTTTACTCTAAAGAAAGGCAAACCGCAAAGATCTGATAGTGGTATTTACTTTGAATTGGTTCCTGGTCTTCCATATAATTTTGACCATTGATTACAGACTGCGCCGTTTCATGAGTTATTTGTGATGTCAGGCTGTTGTTTTTTCCCAATTAAATTGATGATTTCGGATGAGTTTTTGTGGCAGAAGTTTATTTTCCGTAAATTATTTTTGCGTTTTTTCAAAAACTCGAATGCAATGGTTTTCGTGAACGTATTGGATAGACGACAAATTGTTTCAATGCAAGTATGCTATGGTGCCATATTCAGTACAGAATGGATAAAATATTTACATACTATATGTAAAAAATACACTATAGGAAGAACTATAGGATACACTATAGGATGAACTATAGGATACACTATAGGATGAACTATAGGATACACTATAGGATGAACTATAGGATACACTATAGGATGAACTACAGGATACACTATAGGATGAACTATAGGATACACTATAGGATGAACTATAGGATACACTATAGAATGAACCGCGTGTTTCATCTGGTCTTGAACAGCGTTGCCAGCCCTGGGGTTTTTCCGCTAGATCTGGGGTTTTTGAAAACTTTCTTTTTGGTTTTTGTTCTGGGGTTTTAGTTCCAACTTCTGGGGTAATTTGCTCATAAATGCAAAAAATTTTTGAAAAGATGCATAACTTTGTTCAAACCAGTCTGAAAATCCATGTGCATATCAAACAATGTTCAAAACTATCTTATTTTAAATTGTAGTAAACGTGTTAAATGTCTAAATTTGAAAGTAAAAGTGGAAGTTAATCAAGTTACATAACAGCATGTACTGTGTATTGCCCATGCACACAGGGCCTGACAGACACGTGAACTGGAAGTTAATCAAGCTACATAACAGCATGTACTGTGTATTGCCCATACACACATGGCCTGACAGACACGTGAACTGGAAGTTAATCAAGCTACATAACAGCATGTACTGTGTATTGCCCATACACACATGGCCTGACAGACACGTGAACTGGAAGTTAATCAAGCTACATAACAGCATGTACTGTGAAATTAAATAATAATATGATCAAAAAACACCGCACTGCATATAACAATCTTTCAGCATGTACTGTGTATTGCCCATGCACACAGGGCCGGACAGACACGTGTACTTTTTATCTATATGTAGAAGACTGGTAATGAACGGTATCATGTTTCTTACGAAATTCTCGAAATGCCCGTGCAATGTATAAACATAGCAAAGTTCAAAGGGCGTGCAGATTGTTTCATCATTGTTTATTTATACATTAACGATGACCACTTAAAGCTATTCGTTTTTAAATGGCCGAGGGTTCTAGTGAGTTTTAAACAGTGAAAAAGAAACCAAAATGGAAAAAGAAAACAACCGCTATAACAGTTTTGTTTAAACAATAGATTTTCACTGTTTTCGACATGTACGTTACGGATCGATGTTTTACTACTATTCATCAATGCATTATAATACTACCAGATGAGATGATTGTTCAGAAATCGTAATTTATAGTTTATACTGTTATTTATCAAAACATAAAACTTCCAATTGACCTCCTGCTTTTGGGGTGCGTGTTAGCCTGCCGATGCAGGTGTTTTCATATTTTTGGTCGAATCTGGGGTTTTGTAAAAAAGGAGAGCGGTCACACTGGCCTTGAAACTCCACAGGATTTTATTGTATTATATATCAGTTCAGTATGGCAGTCGTTAGTACCCTCATCAAGTAAATAAATCCTAAATAGTAACTCGTGTTTCATCATGTATTATATTTTACAAGCTCTGCTTCAGCATAGAGCACTTGATTTTTGTTTGCCTGGTTTCGGTTGCCATCTTCATAAAAACAGCTTACATTCCTATCATTCTTGTGTATGAAAGTGAATGCTTCAAACCAGAGAGTATTGTCGCATGTTTGTGTTTATGGACCGGGTCGGAGAACTTCCTTTTTATGTGGTGATAATTTAATTTACGATGATAAAACCTGGTTATCTTTCAATTAACGTTTTACGCTATTGCTTCTTCGATTAAACTCGTAGCTTTTTAGCATCTTCGAGATTCATGTATGCGTAGCATGGTGGAAGCTCGGATAGTCTTCCCCTACTTTTTTGACGTTTAAAAAATCTCATAGACGATGAAAAGCTACGAGTTCAACCGAAGAATCAATAGAATAAAGCGTTAACTCAAACATGACGTGATTTCACTACCGTAAAGTAAATAAGCACCACATAGAAAGGACGTTCTCCTACCCAGTCCTCGTATGTAAATATTGTGTTTATTTTGAACTGAATGATGGTGTGCGAAAAATGTTTGCGTGGAAAAGATTTTTCATCTATTGAAAAAATCGTTTATTCATCGGCGCTACGCAATTGTTGTAGTTTTCGTCGACGTCCGGTTGAAAAGGTCCTAAAATCATTTTAAACATCTTCGTTTATTTCTATTTTTGAATACGTAGCTAGAATACAACTAGAAAATACAACATTGCTATATGAGATAAAATTACATTGACGAGCTCTTGTTTTTGCTCGTCTTCTCAATCTCGTTTATGACTTGAAGTTACTCTGACTACTCGATGTGATACTTTAGTTTGTTGGTCGTTCGTTTAAAAACCTCTTTCGCGCGAAAACCTCGATACACTAGTGTGTTAATTGTTTGTTTGAAAACCTCGCTATTTAAGTGTGTCGGTCATTCGTGTGAAAATCCTGGATACCTTAGTGTTTTAATCTCAATTTTTTGATCATTCGTTTGAAAACCTGTCGGAACGATTGCTGTTGGTACGCATACAGAAACGGATTGATGGCGCAGCTCAAGTAGCCAATCGCGAGCAACAGATACTGAAATGCTGAGCTGATATGCGTGCAGCCATGACACAAGTTGTACACAATACTGGACACGCAGTAGGGATACCAACACGCCAGCTGAACCAACACAATCACCGAGATGTTTCGTGCCAGTTTGGTCTGGTGTAACGAATGGCTTGGCCTGTTTTCCGTGGAATTCGTCGACGACAACCTCGATTTCGTCTCACTTTTCGTTCTTTCCACTTTTCTTTTGGATATTTCATGGAAATGCTTCCACGATGCGAAGTCTATTTTCTTTTCCATATTTTTTCTTTGCTCGTCATTTGATATTTGATCATTCCTTTTTCTTACGCTGTCATTCTTCGTGACCTCGGTAAGATTTACGATAGTCAGGGCTTCCATATTTTCAAAGCTTTTTTTATTCATCTTTGTGGCATTTGATCCGTTCATCTTAGGTTGGCTGTGTGGGATTTCAACTGTTTCCGCATTTACGCTGCTGCTTAGAGGCTTATTTCTTTCGTTTGATATTTCGGTTGGCTTGCTTTCGCGGCAATTTGCTTCAACGTTACAATTTTCGCGCTCATTTACCTCATTGTCAGTTTTCTTTGAATTTTTTCCGCTGTCGTCAATTTCACGGTCAATGTTAACCTCGGTGTTTTCATTTATGATCTTTTGTGTTCCTTGAATTTTACTGGGAAGTTTTTCGCCCTTTCGTTTGCTTGAAATATCTTTAGAGTTGCCTTGCGCAGAGCCTTGCGTGGCTGTGCTTTCATTAGAAACATTTTCGGCACAAGGGTTGATAATCACAGTCCTACCCAATATTGCTTCGTCCATTTTGATTTCATCGTGGTTCTCATAATCCATGCTCGTGTTTTTCTTTTGTTTGTAGTTACCAGGCTTCGGGCTTTCCTCGGCTATGATCCCGAATTCGTCGCACACACTCGTTTTTCTGGGAAATTTCATCATGTCTGCAAGACCTTTTTCATTTCCCAACGTGAAGCCGTTTGCACAATATTTCGATTCGTCAGATTTTTTTCTTGGTGTTGAAATGTTTTCATTTTGATCGAAATGTTTTTGTAGATTTCCATTCACGATTATTTCATCCAGCCGAAACATTCTTTTTGCTTCCATTCGATTTTCTCTTGCATTATGATTTTCAACGTTGGAAAAAGATTTCCTGTTTCCATCTTGCCAAACTCTACTTATCCTAGATCCGCTCATGCTCCCGAGCCGTCGCCATTTTGAACGTAGCACTTGTTCATCTTGTTGTCTCGCGTCGTACACGCATCTCTTGAAGGTAATGATGAAATACATTCTTGCGTACAATGTTGCCATGACGATAGATGGTAGGAAGAATGCTATGATGGTTATCACAACGGAGTAACCAGGCGACATGTCGAAGGTGCAGACGTACGTTTTGGTGCACTCGGGCGGCAAGTCACGTGATAAAGTTTTGTTGAATAGTGGTCCAACCGCATCGGGCAGGAAAGCCATGAACAAGCTCAGGCCCCAGACACTTAGAATAAAGAACATTGCTTTCTTCTTGCTCAACGTTACACCCGCTCTATATCCAAGGGGATTTGAGATCGCGTAGTATCGATCGATGCTGACGACGCAAAGAGTGAAGATGGAGGTGGGAACAGAAATCGTGTACGCTGTGGTCCATACTTTACACATAGCATGGCCATAGCTCCAACTGCTTAGCACGTGAAGCGTCATGTCAACATCGAAAGGTATCACTAAACACGTGGTCAAGATATCGGAGAGCGCCAAGTTCATTATGAAGTAGTTGTTCACGATTCTCAACTTGGGACTTGTCACGAAGGCGTACAAGATCAAAAGATTGCCCAGTAGTGAGATGATTATGATGAGTATCATGAGTATGCCGACGAAGATGTCGAATGGCGATGGTTGTTCAAGGAGAAAGTGGTTGCTGGATGATTGGTTACACTCCTCTGTCATGTTGTGCGAACCGTTCATCTGCAAGGGAAAATATATCGTCGGTGGTTAGCGTGTTATTTTTGACGCGCAGATGTTGCGTAGCAACCTATGTGGTCAAGAAGAAAGAGGCAGCTAAACAATGAGAAATGACCAATGACAGCCTGTTTTGCGCTCACTGTTTGCTTATCAAACGGCTTATTTAGGCCCCTAAATTTGGCTAAGGCACCTGTACACCGCTCGTTTGTTTGTCTTGGCAAGAACAGACCTTTTTCTAGTTTAGTTTTACTTTCGCGTTATATAGATATACATTTGAGTTCTTATCAAATGTTCATATAACTTTACTTTAAAGTGTGTCTCCTATAGAATGAATGGCCTTTCATTAGTCTCTAAATCTATTACAAAAATTTTGAATGATTTGGTGCGTTTGTCGTTATTAAAATGGACTAAGCTTCTTCTAAAATCAAATCCTTTACGTTTTTCCTTAATCAGTGAGAAAAAACGTTTGCGTTCGCGCCAAAATACTTTTGCCAAACTATCGGCTTGTATTACGGTTCTAACATTACGGTCTGATTTTGTGCATGTTGCAGATAACATGTAGGTCATTTGATTTAATTACAAAAAGAATAACAAATTTTGATTCAGCTACAAATGTGTTTTTCTGATGGCACAAAGACGTTGTCTTCATTAATTAATATTTCTTCAAAGAATTAGGACGCCGGACGTCAAGCCTGTTACCAGCGCTTAAAATTTGACTAACATTCTGCCCATAATTAATTAATTTGATTAACAATATCGATTGGGGGCCATGGTGAGGTGATGAATTTCTGCATTACGAAACAGGAAAGCAAACATTAATAGAATGTACAGAATGATTTTTTTATAAAGTCGCGTTGACAGTTAGAAGTTTCAGACTGTAGTTGGTCCATCGAGATCATTTGAAACTAAAAAATTGTACGTATCGAGATGAAGTACGCTTATAGAATCTTATCGGAATCTTATCGAATCTTGATCGTATTGCGATCAGTTTAGTTTTAATATGGCGCATTTCATCACCAATTCCCGTTTCTCGGCTATTGCTGACGTTGATAAGCGAGCAACATGGATCTGTTATTTTGCTCTACAAGCTACGTTTTCATATGTTACAATTACTTTGAGGTTCTGAAACAACATTTGCATAAATAACAAGTACAACTCTCTCTATATATATGTATGTGATCATTTGTGCTCACGCGCTGTTTTTAGGGATTGTGGTTCAAGTGCAAAACCAACGCATTGAATTGTAATTAACAAGTTCTACTTCAATCATATATTTGCTTTCTTTGCAATGATCATCAAGTTATTAGGTCATTATCACATTCATATACGAGTTTCACGGTTGGTAAGGTGCGGTTGAACCTCAAAAGAACGTTCGTATACGTACGAGTTAAGAGAATACGATGAAATGAATTGAAATCGCTTTCGAAGCTTTAAGGGCATTTCTTAAAACTTGTCTCGTTATGGTGAAGCACGAGAACAGTTTTGGGGATCGTGAGCGCAACCAACTTTTTCGCGAATGTATATTTAACTTAGCTTCGTGTTAATATCGTCAATCGAAAAATTTCCAGAACCTAAATATATTGTAAGGGCCGACTTAATTATCTCTTGAAATAGAGTCCGAAAATAAGCGTGCGATAACAGAACAAAATGCAGTCAAATGAAAGCCTCGCGGGCTTCACTGTATAATCCCATACCTTTGCTCTTTGAATACCAAAATCGATTATTCTTGGTCGAAGTTTTTCAACTGGTCTCAAAAGCAAACGCGTTCGCCTCCGTTTGCCCTAGGCTCTCCAACCACAACCGAACGTGTTTACCCCTCTCTATTGTTTGAATGTTTCATGATTACTACATGTCAACTGCATATTCAATAACACGTTAATGAAAAGTCAAGCGAGCTCTTAACGTGTCAACAATGCGTCTCATGAAAATATTTAATTTCAAAACGCTAATTATATCTTTGATTAATCTGTTTGCCTTACCTCTGACTTGAGAGCGATGTTTCGAGGTGATGTACCGTGACTTGCTTTTCGACTGTACTCTTTTCACTGATGAGAGAAAAACAGTTCGAGTTTAAAATTTCCACTTTTCTCGTGGAGTGTGGAATGCCAGTTTCTTCCCGTTTCGTGTTCCCTTTTTACAATAATGTGGAAATACGAGAAAGGAAAGCTTCTTATTTTTAATTAAATTTGACACTTGATCACACATACCAAATACCGTATTGCTTGGAGGGTCAGGCCCATCCCATACAGAATAACCGCGTGTTAATTTTGGCACGTGCGTAATCATGAGTATTCATTATTTTTGGTTCGATTACAGCTGAACAGCGATCCTTTGTAGATAGACAGTTCACCTCGAAGGCCCGAACGTGTATGTGTCACAGATCCTGCTAGCTTTAAGCTGAGGGACAGTTCAAAATAGGACGTTACAAATTTACAAAGCAACATAGTATCGAAGTGCATTTGAAAATCGAACCGAAATGTATGAAGCGCCGATGTATCAAGGTGTATGGGCTATGAAGTTAAAAAAAGTTCATGTGGCGTTACAAATTACATTTAATTTCCATTTCGACTAGACTAGCTTTTCTGCCAAACATAGTTGTCCACTTCATTAAAATAGATTTATTGTCATTTTTCAACATGACAAACTTCGCTCGTTAATTGCTTTGCGAACTGCTAATAATCGACCGTCACAAGTATTGACGAACCGAGGTTTCTTGAAATATTATTTTAATTAGATTTAATTCCGTTCAAATTAAATTGATTTTTTGTTGAAACAGTGGTATTCACCTCATTTGTTAAATAAATATTTTTTCTAACTAACCGACGTTGTTTAGTCTCTGCTCCAACAATAAAATATAAAAAAACTGTCTTTTTTCAGCCGCAAATCTGTAGCAAAGTTTGCGTAAGAAAAAAAGACAGATGTTTTCTTAAATGGAAAACTTAAACGTGCACTTTGGTGCATGTTGAGTGATGCATAATTGTATCTGTTTTTTAAAACTTATTTGGCTTCTTTTGATTTTGCCCGCAATGATGTTTTCGACTTGCGATTTTAAACATTTATGCACGAGGATGATGAATAAAAACGCGATTTGAATGTTTTATTTAAGTCGTAATTTGCATTAGAGGAATAATAATAGTATGCTATTGCAACTTCTTCAATTTCAGTCAGTTTTTACTTAAACCTTTACTCACTATCTTATTCTCAATCGATAGGGAGTTGCAAAGTAGTCCATATAGCGAGCTGCGGAACAATCATGTTCATTGGTTATTTTTAAAGACATATTTGGCTTACGTTTTTCTCAGGTTTATGACGATGAACTTGATTGTTTACTTGAGAATGCAATTTCAAAGTAGATTAAAAATAACGATGAATTAACCACTCTTTGACCCTTAAGCCACACTTAAACCACCCTGCGTGTCCACCTTTATGCCTACCTTTATATCTGTCTATATGCATGTCTACCCAGTTGCGGATTACTTATTATGGGGCCTGTAGGCCAAAACAAAATTAGTCGAATATCAATTCCTCCCACTGAGTTCAGTCTCTTGATGATATTTGCGTTCCTTACGCTCTTTTGCCTTTGCGTTTCCCAGCTTGTTTTTGTAACTCATCGTATCAACTATAAGGAATAAATTTAAAGTTCGAACTTCGCGAGTTCTGACTATCGTGAATTTGAGCGGCAGATCGTACGGTTTTTAACAGCATATATGGTCTGAATTCTAAACATTTAACTGGTCCGGAATGGAAAAAAAAACAAAAAATAATTACGTCAAAATCCCGGGCCTTTAGGCTTAAGCCTATTTAGTCTACTGGACATGAACGACATTTCAAAAAGACGACACAAACGACATTGAAATAACGACATGAACAAAGAATAGACAGAGTGAACGGCATTTCAAAATGACTACATGAACGTCTTTTATAAAAGATGACATGCACGACTTTTATAAAAGACGACATGAAGAACGACATTTATAAAAGACGAGATGAACGACATTTATAAAAGACGAGATGAACGACATTTATAAAAGACGACATGAACGACTTTTCGAAAAGACGAGATGAACGACATTTTAAAAAGACGACATGAACGTCTTTTATAAAAGATGACATGAACGACTTTTATAAAAGACGAGATGAAGAACGACATTTATAAAAGACGAGATGAACGAGATTTCAAAAAGACGACATAAACGTCTTTTATAAAAGATGACATGAACGACTTTTATAAAAGACGACATGAAGAACGACATTTATAAAAGACGACATGAACGACTTTTGGAAAAGACGAGATGAAGAACGACATTTATAAAAGACGAGATGAACGACATTTGTAAAAGACGAGATGAACGACATTTCAAAAAGACGACATGAACGACATTTATAAAGGACGAGATGAAGAACGACATTTATAAAAGTTGTTATTTCATACGAGAGAATATTAGATTAAGTCGTCATTTTATATGAGTGAGTCATCGTTTCAACGTTCTTTCTTTATCTTTGTGTCTAATTTTTTTGCCTGCCTTTATGTCTGTTTTATGTCTACCCTTATGTCTACCTTTGTGTTTACCTTTATGTTTACCTTTATGTTTACCTTTATGTCTACCTTAATGTTTACCTTTATGTTTACCTTTATGTTTACCTTTATGTCTACCTTTATGTTTACCTTTATGTATACCTTTATGTCTACCTTTATGTTTACCTTTATGTCTACCTTCATGTCTACCTTTATGTTTACCTTTATGTCTACCTATATGTTTACCTTTATGTTTACCTTTATGTTTACCTTTATGTCTACCTTTATGCTGACCTTTGTGTCTAATTTTTTGCCTTCCCTTGTGTCTACCTTTATATCTACCTTTATGTCTTTCTTTTTGTCAACCTTTGTGTCTACCCTTGTTTCTACTACACCACTCTTAAATCACCCTTATACCATCTTTAAATCACCGTTAAACTCTCAAACCACCCTTAAATAACCTATATAAAAATTCCTCAAACTATCTTTAAACCACCCTTATAACACCCTTAAACGGTAAACCAAAAAAACTATGGAAAACTATGACGAACCTTTTCTATAATAATGCCAGTTTCATTCCAGTATAACAATCAGATTTTTCTTTCTCAATAACCCGCCCTCATCTACTATTTTTTCGAAGAGCCAGAAAAAATTTGCTTACGCTAGATGTTCTTATTTTTTCCCCAATTTCAGGCTCAAAAATGTTCTTAGCCTGGTTTATTTTGTGCAGTCTTTTGTAATTTAAATTACTATATCACGCAAGATTAGTTGATGGCTATTGGGAATTTGGAATTAATATTTTTTCGAATTTGATATATTACAGTATTTTTACTGCAATAGCTGTTACGAAAGCTACTATTATCAGTTTACTGAACAGTTGTCAAAATTATCCTGTACATTTTTCTTCAGCCTGAATTGATTCTTATATTGTTTTGATTTATGGAAAAATTCAGTCTCGATGCTCTCACTAACTTGGTTCTCATAAAAAAAGTGTGTAAATTGAGCTCGTGATCTCATTTTTAAATTTTAATTATTGTGGATCCATCCTAATTTGCTGTCGAGGAAAATTAATTAGTGAAATTGCGACAAAAATTGCAACATTAAAACTATTTTAAGAAATTAACTCTATTGAGATCAGTGATTTGCTCGTTTGAATCTCCGCAATTTCATTGGCTGTTCCAGAATTTCTTCTTATTTCAAAAACAACCGGCCATTTTGAAATTACTATTCGCATTTGAATAGGAATGCCTTGAAAAATTGTCGTTTCAAAGCGTAATTCAGCTTCAAGAATTTGAATTGGACGTCGCATCAAGGCTGTGCTGCATTCGGGCATAATTCTTTGTAGTTTTTTTTTGTGTGTCTTGTTAACCACATTTGCCGACGACCGAAAGTTGAAAATGGCAAAACCTTCAATAAACGTCGAAGAGTCCATTCTAGTTGTCCCCGAGGATGGCATCTTGGGATCCAGTGTATTGATTCCGATGGGTATCAACATCAACAAGCCAAACAACGAGACAAGATTGAGGGAAGTTTTCAATCAATTCAACGATGCATATACGGATATGATGGACTTTCTCACGCAGATTGTACCACTTGCCCATCAACACTTTTCAAAGTAAGATTTGCTATTTTTACTTTGAGAAATAAGTAGGATTTTTGAAGTATGCCGATTTGTGCAGCAATTTTATATAGTGTATTATAAGTGTATTAATTTATTTTGTGTACAATTATTTTACTGCATCAAAGTTTGTACGATTTCAATAGAATTTGTATCAAGTGAGATTTCAGGTATTTTTTCACAGTTTTCCAAGTATATGTTCTTGCTGACATTTAATGTAATGAATTTCTACATTTATGATAATCAGTTAAGTTTGATAACTTGATTGCATTACCTTTGGGTTACAACATGTCAATAAATTACAAGTGTTATTGCATTCTCCTCCCAGATCTGACAACCTCCTCCTGCCAAAGACCCCGTCCAAAAAGCGCCTTGCTGCAACATGGCAGCAACGAGTAGAAAACAATGAAAATGTGGATCCTAACATCAACCAAGTGGAAGAAGTCCCCTTTTTGAGGCGGTCAAACAGAATCTCTCAGCAGATCAACACGTCTTCGAAAGCAGATAATCCAATTAAGCAAAGAAAGACAAGAGCACAAAAAAAAAAGTCGTCATCATCAATATTGGAACAGGCGAAATTCACATCAACAGCAAAAGTTATCCTCAAAGACTGTCAATTGCCATCAAACAAACTGAAACGCACATTGCCAACCAGTCCCTTGGCAAACAAACCAGCCAAGAAGAAGTCCAAATCAAGTGATGAATCAAGTGTGGACGAGGAAGATGTAAACTCTAACGATCTACCACCATCCAAAATTATCAATCATATTCCCACAAGGGCACCAGAGAATCCCAATTCGACCATTGTTTCTGGAAATGGTGTCCAGTTAGATGATACCAACAATGTGAAAAGTGTTGCTGACGATCAAGTTTCTCATGGTAGTAGTGTGGAGAAAAAACCTGAAATCAAGAAACTTGATGAAATAGAAAATAAAGAACATTGTAAAGTGCCACACAACTCTCCCGATATCCTTCCTAATTCCTGTATAAGTACTGAACCCAACAATGTGACTGATGCCGTTTCCCCTGCATCTAAGACTGTGAGTAAAAAAATTGGGCAGCCAGATTTGTCTGACACCAACAAAACGCCCAACGAGCTAGCTCAAAAGATAATTGCTCCTGATGCACATTCTGTTGTTTCTGTCAATGAAGTGAATGCCCTAGCTACCAAAACTAGTCACCAACAAGCTACTGCAATGACAAACAAAGAGTCTGAAGTTAAGTCATCTGAACCCCAAATTAGTCTTCCCAGCAATGAAAATGACATTTGTAATGACATACGTCAAAGCCAACGACTATCTAATCCTCAACGTAATGAAATCGGTGTGAAAAATGGCATACGACGAAGCCTGCGATTATTTAAACAGGATTGTGTTAAGTCCAAACCTGTAAGCAAGGAGGCTACCGATCCAGTTTTGCTTGTGAAGAATCAAGAAGATCCAATGATTGAGCGTGAAATAATTTCACAGAAACCTGAATCAAAACCAACTGTTGTGAATCAAGAGAAGCAATTTACAAAGGCAGATCCTCCTGCCACAGCTTTGAGTTGTGTAAATGCTCACGCTAAATTCCTTGCTCCTTCAGATCCACATGCAACACCCCTTGGTCCATCAAATGTACCTGCCACATCTCTGGGTCCATCAGATCCACTTGCCCAATCCTTGGGTCCCTCAGATCCACATCCCACATCCTTGTGTCTTTCAGACCCACCTGCTACATCCCTGGGTCCCTCATATCCACATCCCAAATCCTTGTGTTTGCCTGATCCACCTGCTACTTCCCAGGGTCCCTCAGATTCACATCCCACATCCTTGTGTCTGTCAGATCCACCTGCTACAACCCTGGGTCCCTCAGATCCACATGCCGAATCCTTAAGTACATCAGAACTTAGTGCCCCACATCATTTTGCCAGAGCGCTAAATACCTCTGAATCAAGTCATTCACATCTCAAAGACCCAAATAGTAGAGTGCTAGATCAAGAAGCCACGAATTCAGTCTCTGGAGCCAATGATATTGCAAACATGGATCGAAAACCCACCAACCCAGACGTACATGTTGCAAACATTAATTCAGAAAATGCAGATGCGCACCTTCAGAAGAATGTTGTTCAAACAACACCTAAACGCCAGCCGACTCGGCGTAGCGCTCGACTGTCCAGACGCGTGAGTAAAGTATCTTCAGGGTTTGTGAGGCGCACGTCCAGAAGATCGAGCCGGAAGTCTTCACATTACAAGAAACCAATATCGTTGAAACGAGTTGAAGTTCCAATGGAAAATATTGGTATTGAAAGTGATGGCAACGTTAATGATTGTGCCGAAGTTACTTGCCAGGAGCAGTCTTCTTCAAATTCTGAAGACGATGTCCCAAAACTATCTTCAACAACTATAAATACACCAAATAACGTCAGGTATTATTATTATTTTCACTATACTTATATGTATTACATTCCCTCTTTTCACTCACGAAGTTTTTTTGAAATATTTAATTCCGTGTGCGTAAAAATCAAAAAATACATGCGCGAGTATTTTTGCCATTAATGCTAGACATATCATCTCTACAAACGGCAATATTTCCTTATGCTTAAATTATACAATGAAAATCCTGGGCAGCCGGTAAAATCATCTCGTTTTTTCTAATTTCTTTCAACACGTCGTATGCTAGCGTGCAGAAGTCGAGTGTTTATTACTGATTGTGCAGTTATTAAAAATTTCTGCGCAAGTTGCAAAAATGACGTCAATATTAGACCAGAGATAATCGTCCGAAAAGCAATGTTTTTCTTGTAAATTTTTTAATTACATACGTTGTGTACTAATGAAATGACTGGTGATACTTTACCGGTTGTCTGGGATGAGAATATTGAGTTTCTAACAATTTATCCGTGCATTGAAATAAAGACGAAACGATGTATCTGCTATTTTCATTGAAGGGAAGGCTACACGAGTGTTTTGCGGAAAAATTTGGCCGAATGGAAGTTCGGCCTTATTTGCCGATAGGCAGTCTCTCGGTTATGTATTTCGTTCAGTTGTTTTATTTCACGTTTGTGCTGAACTGAACGCGACTTTATCCAACTTACGTCAATGCATAGGCAAGAAAATTCACTTTTCAAGTGCCTTGTGCGTCGCACTTGGTATTCAACATGGTGCGTTGTGTTTTCATGTCAGGTTTTATTTGTAATTTTCTTCGCCTTTTTAATTAAGCACCGTCTGCGTGTCCATTGATCATATGAAGGGAAAAAAGGTACTTGTTTTTATTTGGAATGATAAAAATGTATTTGGCAAGGTCTTTTTTGACTCATCTTTCGATATTGACAATTTTTTCTCTGCTTTTTCTGTTAGGATGGAAAGGTTGCAGATATCGTTCAAAAGTTGAACGGAAACAATTTGCACAAGGAGCAACCAAGGTGAGTTTTCGCATCGTGATTTACGGAAGAGGGATTTTATTGGCTGGGTGCAACCTTTAAAGAAGTGTACAGAAACTGTAGCCACTCCCCCCGGTCGTGCATTTCTCCTCCCGGAAATTCTAGTAAGACGTACATTCGACAATACAAGGTGTACAGAAACTGTAGCCCCTTCCCCAGTCGTGCATTTCTCCTCCCGGAAATTCTAGTAAGACCTACATTCGACAATACAAAAACTCACAAATCATGCATAATGTTTCTTGTCGTGTAGCGTATGCAAGACACCCAATGTCATTCACAGTGTAAGGAGAATTGGTTCCACAATCCAAGGATCCACTCACAAACCTTCTAATCTTATTGGAAATGTCAAGACCATGATTAAGAGGCCGTCTGTTAAGAAACCGGATGCAAACGTACGTGCTCTGCTTTAATTTGTTGACTGGAGGATGCAAGGGATTGTGGGTGACAACTGGGTGGGTTTATGATGGCAGAATGTTCACTTTCAACGTTATATACACATTTAAGGTAGTGCTGCGTAAACTCCGGTGGCTTCATCTCCGGCTACTAGTGAAAAAACTCCTGCTCCAGAAAAAAGCACGAACTTCTGTCAAAAAGTCCCGGCTTCTGTTAAAATAGGCCTCAACTCCAGAAGAAAGTTTACAGCGTGCCCGAAAACTCGTGATATTTTGAAGCGGAGCATACCGTTTCTCAATAATTAGTCCTCGCCAGATTAAAAGCTCGCATAACATGTATTTTAAAATAATTGTCACTCTTGGACTTGCTAGTTTTGGATACAATATGCCGTCATGTTGTACATAAAATACTCTGCTTCTGTGGAAGTGTTTACTTTTTCAAAATCAATAACTTATGTTTGCTGTATTTTTGTTGGAGTTTGGATATTTATTTAGTTCGACGTTTACGAAAACCTTCGTTTTTTCCTGAACTCAGGCTCCGCTGCACAGCTTTACTACAAGAATTCCAAGATGATCTGCCATTTTCAATAAAACGTACAATCCCCTCAACAAAAAAACGGGGAAATTTCTATGATTTATTTAGCTTATTAGAGTGCGATGCATAATCCAAGCATCTGATAACAGCTCAGTGAAATGCACTGTTTTTCCGTGCATTGGCTCTCTGATATTCTACAAACTTTTGTGTTTCCGGATTCGAAACTAAAACCGACGAGAGTGAGATCTCATAATAATTTTAGAAAATTTTGTCATTTAAGTGCAAATTATCAATGTGGTGTTTCTTGCTTAATCTTGCAAGAATACATTAGGAAAACAAACCGCTCTTCAACAATTCTCTTCTGTGCAACTTGGTACACGTTATACTTGTGCAATTTAGGAACTGGTTCGGCAGAAGATGCTCGAATTGCAGCGCAAGGAAGCGAAAGAGAAGGCCCGTAAAGATGAGATGGAAATGAACAAGAGGCTATATGCTGAAAAAATAAAACGGTCAGTTGTGCGGACGTCAATCTAACGTTAAATGAGGGGACCATATTCATATATTCTGCTTTGTCAGGATGGTATCTTTGGAAAGTAAAATAGTTTTCAAAAGAAATTTGCCAGGCATACCAGAAAATACATATGAACATCGTTACCCTCAACCCCCCGTCATATTAAAGTACGATTGACGGCAATGTCAGTCAGTTAATTGAGGCTCCTATGTTATTAGTGTTTAGTCGCATGATTAAGGAAATCTAGCTTAAGTTCTTACGTAGTTGAACTGTGAGAACAGCGCCAGTCTTTTGTAGCGCGCCAATTTAACAGTTGTTTAACTGTTAAAACAGTGGACGATCTATATATGTAAACAAATTATGTTGTTTGTTTTGGCAAATGAACGTAATGATTTACTTAAAATCGACATTCAGTTTTTTAAGCGCACTCAAGTCACCGAATGCGAAATATAGAAAAGGCCATTTCGATGATATTTTTCGTGCCATGCACATCTTATTAGCTACACATGGGATTACCATAGTGGCAGCCAATCAACTGCCCTTTTTTTACCTTAACAGGAATGATGAAATGGCCAACCTCAGCCATCAATCCACTTTAAACACACAGCGAAGTGGCCCTTTTGTATATTCCTTATTATTGCGTGACAATTGCCGTGCACGATTACCGCATAAAAGCTATATATTCATATTTCAGTTGTTTCTCAAGTGTTACGGATAAAATTGAAAGCGTCATCACTTTTATCTCCACCAATTTTTAGAAAACGGGAGGAAAAGCAGAAGCGTGTTGCCGAAGCCAAAGCGACACGTGACCGCGAGGAACTCGATAAAAAACAACGTCTGATTGAAGAAAAGCATCAGATGTTCCAGGCCTCCGAACAGGCGCGTAAGAAACGGGAGGGTGAGTATAAATCTTTGAACTAAAATACATGGAACGCTACCTGTAATAGAAAAGCCTAATAGTTTTTTAAGCCAAATCTTACACCCAGACAGGCGTGTGTAGTTCAATCAATTGTCACCACGCGAGAGAATCCCGAAACACTACACACGCGTGTCTGGGTGTAAGATTTGGCTTCAATTATTTACTTCAGGAGCGTTCCATGTATTTTAGTTCAATACATGAAATAGATCAAGCAACTGCGGAAGTTTTTTGTAGAAGCAAAGTCATTGCATGATGTGTTTCCTGTTTCGCCGAAAATTCTATTGCCTGGGCATATTCTAAAAGCTCTCTCACCCTGAGCAGGGCCTCGAAATCGCCTCGTGATCATTCCAAAACAGTATTTTCTCTCCACTGATTTTTGATTCGAAATTCTTTGAGCAAGAATTCTACCATCTATGGTCGTTGATTGGTGGTAGCGCATCGAGTGTAGGCGGGCTTTTAGAATGCAGTGTTGATGGAGGAAGTCATGAAAATGTTATGTGGTTACATGAATGTCACATGATTTGCAGCTACTGCACACGTGATCACTATGTGAACATTCATTTTAGAGCTCTAACAACGTCGCTCATTTGTTCGAGCAAATTCCGGTGGCGTAACCAGTCCGCAAGTTTTGGTCGTGCTATGTAAATTTTATATCATTAACATTATTCATTTCTTCAGAAATGTTTTGTTTTTACAGTGAGTGAACACACAAAAAATTAACATAGCAGGATGAAATTCGCTGGCTGGCTACGCCACTGAGCAAATTAGTCGCTAGCTGTAAATCAAAGCCTTCTCACACTCCTGAATGTCATATTTGTCACGGATATAGAAAATGACTTAACGAAAGGTCATTATCACGAAACATTCCTGGATTTATATGGCATCGGAAGTCGTGTGCATAGCAATAGACTAACAAGAATTTCTTAGTAAAAACGGTCTGAAATATGCAAGTCGCGAAAACTTGATATTCAATGTTGTTTTCATGAAGTTCTTTGCATATAAAGAGGGATTTTTTGATACAGGCCTTGTTTTTGAAACTTCGTACCATTTTTTGATTCCTATATTTCTGGGTTTTTTTGTCGTGATTCGAAGAAATTCGTCATCTTGATGACAAATGTATTGGTATACTTCCCTGTGATGGTCGTTCTTTGAACAGTCCAGTTTTAAGTTTGCGTCCAACGTAAGCATGTCATATTTGATCTTGCAGATGACGAAACAAAGAAACGGCTTCGCGAGCAGCGTACGAAAGAGGCCGAGGCAAGGCGATGTAAAGATAATATGGAACGGGCGAAGAAACTGAAGGAAAAGGAAGAAGAAGAGAAAATGTACCGCGATATGCTCAAGCGAAGACAGGTATCAGATCTGTTTAATCTTGTCAAGCAGGTTTTTTTATTATAGATCTTGAGCAGCACGAGTTCTTCAAAGTTCTCTCGACGCTTGTCTCCAAAATTAGTACAATTTGAATTACATGGCTGCAAAGCAATTTCCAAGGGATTTTTACTTATTGAGTTCGTCTGGTGTCAAAAAATGAAATTGTTTTAGTATATACTTTCACCATCGTGTAGTTTCATGAAACAATGCACTCGACGACTGATTTCTTTGGAATTTTGGAATGGCCTCATAGTACTTGGTTTCTGCATTGTTGGGAAGCATGCCAAGATTTTTTGTGAAAAATCCTATACTTTCAACTATATTGTGTCAATTAAAATGATTTTCTGGGGGCAAAGAAGAACTTTCTTTGATACTGAAACCCCACTGATTTCTTTCGAAAGCCAATTCATTTTCAAGAGAACTCACTCTGTCATTACTAAATACATCATTACATCATCCGTCCCATAAAACGTGCCAACTATGGCCACAGAATAAGAACATACAGAAGAGTCACTCGTGTCGTAAACTTTGATGTTTTTGTCCTCGCGCATGTCGTGCTGCGCATGGTGGCCGCCATTATTCCAGCCAGATGATGAGGGTTTTTGACTTTTTCCCAACCTTTAAAATGATCCGAAGTCATTTCTTGAGTCAAAATATACTTGAATTCATTATTAAGTATACACCTGAGTGCCTTCTGTATAATCATTATTCTGTGCTATGGCCCTGCTCACAACCTTACATAAGGATACACCCCCCTTCCCCCGCCCTAGTGAATGTCTTCTAAGCGTAGTGTAGTTAAAGTATAAATGAATGGTTATTTGAAAATATTTTGGAAAAAACTAAAAGAAATAATCAGTCACTTGAAAAGTTACTACTTTTTCACTGCAGGAACAAGAAGAGCAGGAGCGTAGACAAAAGATCGAGGAGGAGAGACGCCTTCACGAACAGAAACAACGCGAGCGAGCTCGTGAAAAAGAAGAAGAAAGACAACGAAGGATAAAGGAGATCAAGGAAAGAGAAGCGAAGAGATGCGAGAAAGAGGATGTCGCCAAAAAGTGAAGGATGAAACGTAAGTTGATGTTTCGACAACATCGATTTTGTTTGTACTTAAACAAGAAATTTAATAGTGATGTACCGATATGGGCGTATCGGCTCTAAAATAGAATTATCTGTATCGGTATTTCTCTTGCTCATAATACTGATATTTAGACATTTCTTTGAAATGTCAATACAATTGAAACGAATCGTGGTTTAACAATACTAAATATATTTGCTTAACAATTTTGTTAAATTAATACTACCTAAAATTTGTTAGTTCTACGTGATATTAATTTCCATTGACTATTGTGTTGTGAAATATGGCTACAGGGTAAACAACCACTTTGAATTTCATATATTTTTTATCAAATGAAAACAGTCACTGGTGAGCACAAAGTGGCCTACTTTAGATGTTTAAGTTTTGTAAAATGGTATAAAATATCGGTTAATCGGTATATTGATAAAATCCTATGTCTGTGCATCACTAAAATGTAATTTGTTGCAGACTGTGGGAAGAAATCTTTTGTAGGCTTTCAAACGTCTGAGTTGCTGACGCATCGTTTACAGAGTTTAGCTCGGAAGTGTCTATTGCATTTGATTAAAAATCAGATGTCTGAAGCAAGCTAACTAAATCTTTAGGGATAAAGAACAAGATGAAAAGGAAAAACGATTGATTCAAACAGTCAAGGAGAAATTGGAAGAGGAGAGGAGGTTAAAACAAGATAAACTTCAGATGGAAGAAAGAGAGAGGTTTGGCCTGCAATATTGGTTTGTTCAATAGCAAACCCTTCCTTGTCTCGATTACTGTTCCACTTTTTTATGTATTACTGTTCCACTGTTTTATGTATTACTGCCATTGTCGAATTTGGAATAGCTCTCACCTAAAAAATTTCTTTTATATAAATTATCAAACCATAAACTCTATCCCCTCAATGACAAACAGACGGATTGTACAGTTAAGGACTAGTTTCTATAACTTTTTTATGTTCAATATTTTTTCCCCAACGAAACTGTCAAAGTAACCTAAGTTTTTCGTCTCTTAGATACCAATTACTAATTCTATATTCTTGAAAAAAGTATGAAGTATAGGCCACATATTTTGGGCCGACAACTTTAAATTTCTATGTTTTCTGCTTTGAAGGCAAGAACAAGAAGAGCAAAGGAAACGAGAGGTGCAGAGAATGGCTGCTCTTCGAGCACAACAAGATGCCCAATCTTATCTCATGACACCTCCGCCTGCACAAACCCGCCGGCCTGCAACTGACGAGAACTACGACATCAGCGACTTACGTAGTGACGAATCGACAGACGACGAAGGCGCTCCTCGTAAGAAGGTCCCAAGCTGGGCTCAGGGAATTACCTTGAAGTCTGCCTTACTACGCCAAGAAGAACCGCGAAAAGTTTTCGAGGCGCTCATTTCAGGCTTCGTACCCCACGCTCCAGATCTGGATAAGATATTCGTGAAGAAACGAAAACGCTTCTATCAGCGAACGAGCTCGGCTCATTGGGGCACCCCACCTTTGAGATCAACTTGTTCGTAGCGTTTTCGTAACATTTTATGTTATTAACGCGAAACAATTACTAGTTGTTCGAATCTAATTTAATGTTCGTTCTCCCTTCGATTGTCGTCTCTCTTATCATTGTATATAGTCCATGTTTTGTTGTTTGTTTTCAATCGAATCACTGGGGGACGAAGGACCAGCTTTCTTTACGACTGTACATTGACGTCAGCGGTTATTTGGTCCTTCCAGTGAACGGTAAAGGCAATCGTTCAAATTCTGATCTTTGCATATGGAGAAGTTTTTTAAGAAAAGATGAATAGCAGTACTTGTCGCAGAATCTTAAAAATGAACGAATATATTTTTTACAAATATTGTCATTTTCTTCATCGGTCTTTACTGCCAATGAATTGCAAGTGTTGGAGTTTTAGAAAATAAATGCGAATGGTAAATCTTACGGGATGATGTTGATGTGAAGACAATGGCAATGAAATAAAGTCTTGCCCCGTGAGAGAACTGCTTAATTGTGCAAATAAAATACATCCATTTTAAAACGCGCACGTTTATCGACATGGAAGACTGTGTTGAATGAAGTCAGGGGAACGTAAGAAATTTTTATATAATGTGGACAATTATTGTGCATCATACATTTTGTAAATATGAAGAATTAAACTTTTGTTGTATATGATGAAATAAATCTATACTGTGAACTCGGTTTGTCTTTCTTGGCTTCTCTTAGAGCTCGCCATAGCGAATCATATTCCTTCATTTAGTTCTGTGAACTGCATCTTTTTGATTCAAATTACTAAATTTCAATACATCATGTGTTTTTGACTTCTAGGCTTCTTACCAGGTAGCTCTAAATTCAGTATCCTTCCACATGATGAGCCCTCCTTTGTATCCATAATTTCCAATCTCTAGTCCCTAGTATTTTAAAGACTTACATTAAAGACGTTATCTACTCCCATTGATCCCTGATTGTCCCATGCTCCAACGACATCCCAAACAAATATGGTTGCTGAGTAATGCGCGTTTCAAGATATCGTCCCGTAGTTTATCTACAATTGTTGTTTCTCTTCTTCGACATTTTCATCAATTCGTTTGGTGATTTATTCAGAACAGAAGACGTAATCCTATTAGTGCTGTATATGTAAGTGTGAATTTGACGTTTTCGAAAAACCTCTTCGTAAAATTTTCAGATGTATTGTGTACATGCCAGTTATCATCGCCAAGACAACGACGATGATATCAAAATGTCCCATCGAAAATAATGTGTTTCTGATGCATTCTCATCGTTTTTACCTACGAAATAAGTAATTCAGATGGTTTGGGTAGTTGCTGTGGTTTAACACTCAATTATCAGCTGTGAAGCCTCAAATTTCTAATCATATTGTGTTTCATTTTGTTCATACGAAAAGTACCTGCGCTCACTTCCCTGGAGGCAAAGCATTATGTCTGTAGTTTGTACGTTTGTGAGAGACCAGTGGTAAAAGGAAGTTTTGGACAAAAGAGCTCTTCCAATTGACATGATTGCTTGCTATATTGTTTTAGTAGCTTCAATTATGCAATCCTTTGCTATGATTCTCTTCATTTTTCATGCTTTTTCTGCATTTTTCCAGCATTCAAGATGTTTGCATTTTGTTCGCATTGATTGTCGTGTTTTTGGTGTTCTTCAACACTTACATATTTCAAGCTGGACTTGTGTTCTTGCTCATTCGAAAGTTCAAGACAACAATCACCATAACTGTCTTTTATCTTTTTCTTTCTCTGGGTTTGCATGTCTGGACTATGGTAAGTTATAGATAAGTGCTGAAATTTGTTTGCTGGTGTTACAGCTGAGTTATCTTTGGACTGAAGGGGGGGAAGGGGAATAGCATTTTAAAAGATAAGGGAGGGTCATTTGAATTAACTTCTAGCCTCTAGATGAACACCTGAAATCCAGGAATTTTGGCTAAAAGTCATTAAACTATTTGTCGTTTTAATAATCCACTTTACAACATAAGTTAATTCTTTTAGACACAGTGGTGAAGCCAACCAGATCTTTTACTTTTACCATGCAAAATTTTTCAGCAATATTGTCATTCATTTCTTTAGAAAATTAATTCCATTCAACTTGTTTCAATGAATGGACACAAAATATTTGCATCATAGGAGTAAAAAAAACTGGCTTTGCTACTGCATAGATAGGTTTGCTAAATGTATTTCCATTTGAACACTTAATATGCAGTCCTTGTTAATGATTAATAAATTTTCAGCCATACTTCTTATTTATAATAAATAAAATCTTATTTCTGAAATTGGGATGGAAGTGTTTGTTACTCATGATGATTGTCCAACTTCTCCATCACTATTATATGTAAATGCAAAATATACTGTTTGTGTGCAAGATATATTTTTTTGTTGTAGACAAGGAAATGGGGAGATCCACAGAAGTACATTTGGGATGGTGGATATCAAGTTGTTTATGTAATTCAAAGATTAGGTATGATGCTATTATCTTACAAGAATGTTTGTTGGTTTTCCCATGGCATTTGGTTTTGTCTTGAGCTGCAGTTTTTCTTTGATTCTCATTTGGTTCAGCCTTCTTATTGTGTTCTGCCATATTATTTAGTTCTCCTGTCGTATTCTGTTTTGCTTTGAGATAAAGATTTGTCTTGCCAATATTTGGTTCAGGTTTTGTCGAATTTGTTTTTGCATATTTTGCCATATTATGGCTGCAATTTTAAGAAGTTGATTCTGTTAACCTAGCTTGACATTTCAATCCGCATTATTCACATTTATCCATAAGTTTCCAAGTGATCAACATTGATCCCTAACATTGGATGCTTGATAGATTATCGCGAGCAATGACTTAGGTCTTTCTTCACCTGCGTCGTGTCTTAATTTCATCGCGCATGCGTTTTTGTATGTCTTCTCCGATTTTCACCGCTCTCAGTGAAATATCTATTGTTAGACAATTTCAGTAGTATAATGGCGTCGATCAGTATTATTTTTACCAAATCAAGAATTGCCTTTATAACAATTATAATTTTTGCTGTATACCTATCAATTACTAAATCCAATGCATAAATATTATTCAGTTGATGGATACTGTAAAATTTATGAACTCCACAACAGATTGCGGGAAAGGAACATTTCTCAATCTTGCAAGGGAAAGCAAGGTGTTGGTCCAGTTCCATCGAAGAATAAGAAATATACCGAAAGGCCACTCCTTTGAAATTTTTTTTTGTGCGCCATGCATATCTCATAACGCATTTGATTACCATAATGTCAGCCGGTAAATTACGGCTCTGATTGTTATCGCATTCATCTCGATATTCTTCTCGTCGGCAAAAATTGTTTCTCTATTGATAATTTTTTAAGAAATTTCGATACATTTTCCGTAACTACGCCCAAAACCGCGACCATGCCACGCCCAATTTGTCGGCAAATTTTCATGATATGACCCCTCAGAAACGTAGACTTCGTCGCTACGCCCATGGCATCGAGTCGCTCATCGATATGGACCTACTCTTTACTCTTTATGCTGTGATTCCATCTCGAAAAATTACTATTGTGTACATTATTTTCCAGGTTCTGTTTTATATTACTATTATTACAAAAGAACGTGCCTGAAGCTTGGGGATCCAAGGTACTACCAGGAGTCTCAATGGTTGCGCAACGAATTTGCGCGTCTACATTAATTTATAACGACGGGTTGTGAGTGATCATCGAGTTAGAAGATCTGACATTGATATCATGTTGAGTTGTTCGCGTGAAGGTCTGGGGCGAGTCGTACGATATGTTGCGTTGACGATGTTCGTTGGGCGATGAAGTATCCGTGTTGAAACGAGTTTCTTCTCTGCGAAACATGGAAATTATTTTGCCTTTATTTCTCTATCAACCAACAAGGTTGACGTTTGTTGTCACTTAAAGTTTACGATCAATCAAGACAATCGAATTATCTATCGTCTTTTCTACTGTTTTTATGTTACATTTATCTTTCTTGTCGCAAGAATGTTTTTCTTTCACCTCAAATCAAAAGTATCTGGTAAAATGTTGCCATTTTTTATGTGACGTAAATAAAAAATCCCTAAAGAATGTCTTGGATCCAGACTTTTATGCATGTACGTATATATTATAAATAAGTTTTTAATTGTAAATATACAGCGGGTTTAAGCGTGTCGTGTTCCATAGTATAAGACAAAATATTAATATAAATAAAATTAATATAAGTTAAGATTTATCCTTAATTATATAAACAATAAATTGATCAGTGTACGATTACTCTTAAATAAAGTTAACCAACGTTTTTGCTTGGATAAAGTTATGTTACATAACAAGTACATTATCCAACCTTTAAACTTGAATAAAGTTATGTTGTATAACAAGTACATTATCCAACCTTTATACTTGAATAAAGTTATGTTGTATAACAAGTACATTATCCAACCTTTAAACTTGGATAAAGTTATGTTGTATAACAGGTACATTTTCCAATCTTCATACTTGGATAAAGTTATGTTGTTTAACAAGTACATTATCCAACCTTTAAACTTGGATAAAGTTATGTTGTATAACAAGTACATTATCCAACCTTTAAACTTGGATAAAGTTATGTTGTATAACAAGTACATTTTCCAATCTTCATACTTGGATAAAGTTATGTTATATAACAAGTACATTATCCAACCTTTAAACTTGGATAAAGTTATGTTGTATAACAAGTACATTTTCCAATCTTCATACTTGGATAAAGTTATGTTATATAACAAGTACATTATCCAACCTTTAAACTTGGATAAAGTTATGTTGTATAACAAGTACATTTTCCAATGTTTTTACTTGGATAAAGTTATGTTATATAACAAGTACATTAACCAACCTTTAAACTTGGATAAAGTTATGTTGTATAACAAGTACATTATCCAACCTTTAAACTTGGATAAAGTTATGTTGTATAACAAGTACATTTTCCAATGTTTTTACTTGGATAAAGTTATGTTATATAAAAAGTACATTATCCAATCTTTATACTTGGATAAAGTTATGTTATATAACAGGTACATTTTCCAATCTTCATACTTGGATAAAGTTATGTTATATAACAAATACATTATCCACATTAAATTGGTACACCTTTCGAAAACAACTATCCACCATGTGCTAAAATCGGAAATATAGTGTTTTCTGTTATTGGCATAGCGATTGGCGTGTATTGAATTTTATTTAAAAAACACAACGTGTAAAGTAGTACACATCAAAACTTTGTAAAGTAGGAAAAGCCTGTAGCCCCAGCCTGAACTTTTAATTGCTTTTGCACCTATTTTCAACACTAAGTACGCATTTCATGGATTCATTAAAGTTTATCAACGATACCATATCCAGAGAAAAGCTAACACCACAAGCAGTATAATAGAACTAATGTTCAATAAGATCTTTTCCTTTCGACTTTCAAACAACATATCGTGCTCCGGAGTCATTGCTTCATCGAATTGCGATTCTGTATTGCTCTCCGAGAAATCTTTGTATCTTGTTAGCTCAATGCCTATATACATGGAAATTCAATGTTTTATTTATAAATGGTGTACAAAGATAATATTTGGAAAGATATTTAGAAATTGCCAGTGCCCATAACCAGACCAGGCCAATGAGTGAATAAAGTGTTTTTAGCTACATTCATACGTAATACACATTTCTTTTGCAAGGATAAAAGCTTTTCCGAACACAAAAATGTGCAGAATAACCCACCCACTTAGCATAATGAACAAGATTTGAAATTTCAACGACAGGCCGATTTTTTTAGATCCCTTTTTCGCTACATCCTACATAATCGAAAAGCTGGCTTGTGTCATAAAGGTGAATTTGCCTGTGTTCGACACAGGTACCTTACCGTTATCTGACATGGGAGGTATGGGACTTTGGCCAGTGGAATTGTTGATGGTGTCGTTCGTAAAATCATTCTTCTTGCTCCTCAATGTCGTCCAGGTTAAACCGTTTAGTTGTTCCCTTGGTATTGGAGCAGTTAGTAGACTGATGATGACAATTGTAACGACACTGACGAGGAACAAAATGATTCCTGCAACGAAGAAATTCTCATATTGTAATTTACGGTACAAAGCAAAATGAATATGACTAGTTGTTAGAACGCACCGAAGTACATGTAATTTAGGGAAGCGAACCCAGGTCGCGTGTCTTTTTCACCACATCCAGGACTGTCGTAGATGTATTCAGCTGCAAACCTGGCTGCAGCCAATAGGAGGCCAATCACGAAGCCACTCAGTGCTCCCTTTCCATTCGCTCTAGGCCACATAAGTCCAACAATGAAGATTGCCATGATCGGTGATCCAAGTAGAAACTGGATTGTTTGAATATAACGAAATAGCTTTCCGCTTCCTCCCCCTAAAATGCCAGACACAAGTAGTACGAACATGGTTCAACCACGCAATGTTTACTAGTCCATTGCGTGTATATCTTTGAAAAGAGATTGCTCGATGTTTTCGTACTTTCAATTAAGGGCATCCATACTAGTCCCAGGATCACAAGAACGGCAACAATAACGCGGCCAACAAATAATTTTTCACGATCACTTGCCTGTCAAACAACTTCGAATCAGTAGTGAAAGGCACGATAAAATAATAACTTTATAACACACTTCGTTGATTACGAGTTTAACCTACAACTTCAGGAAGGAAGATGCATTATTGTCTTGGAAGTGAGCAGTTTAAATGAGTTGCAGTACTGCTTCTTTTTTCCAAAAGCATTTTTATTAATGTCATTTAAATGTCCTTTGTAATTTCGGTGAGTATTCTGTTAGCTTCAATTACAACTACTGAGATACTTAGCACTTAAATTCCCTTGTGCTAAACTAAAGAAAAAGCCCAACGAGTGCGCTGCTTTGCTTTTGTTAGAAGTAATCATTATAGTCATTATTATGATTGAAAATTATAACAGCCCCGAATACTAGCCCCACCACCATATTCATCAATCTGCCGCCGCAACAAACCCCAACAAGTTCCCACAAAATACATTCATTTCCATTTAGGTAACATCATAAAGTAGTTATCACCAACCCTCTTTCTTATGCGCTGCCATATATCAATGGTGAAGATGGTACTCGCGCTGTTGTAGACGGACGATAAAGACGACATGACCGCAGCCAACATTACAGCCATCATCACTCCGACCATTCCGGTAGGTAGAAGATTAAAGACCAATCTACACAAAGACCAATCGATATCGCTCTCACTGTGGTGGTTGGGAGGGGGTGGGTGGGTGTGTAAAGTCTATGAAACATTTTGCTACGCATTTCCCTATAACGCATCCATACCTTGGATAAGCCAAGTTGGAGCAACTCAGTTTGTTTCCACAAGCTCGTTCACAGCTCTCAGCGTCCGGACACGCGACATCATCTTTGTAAAGCACCCTGCTGATCATTCCAGGAAATACCATAATGAACAAGGGAATGATTTTGAGAAATCCGGCAAATATAGCGCCACCTTTGGCGTGCACGACATTTTTAGCGGCGAGAGCACGCTGCACCATCACCTACATCATTAATAATGTGAAATTTTTTGTTTTATTCGCTTTTATTTATTTTATAATTTTATTCGGTGCAACTCGTTTACTTTCCCCTGCTGTAATGTTGATCACAAATTTTAGTCAGTTCTTATAAGGGATCTCGGAGGTAGTTCTCAAGCTGAAACTCTTTATTTAGCAGTGCATGGTCACGGATATTACGCTAAAGTCAATGCGTAATGGATCTTTCATGGACTTGCATGGAACAGTAATCGTTTATAAAAAGTACGTAATTAAAGTTTTCGAGCAAAAACTGCTTTTAAAAACAAGTGAAAAAAACCCGATGGAAGGAACTGACGTTTTCACGTGCACGACTTCCGTCGAAAAGGTGAAATGCAATACCAGAAATCAGTGTAACTGAACTAAATAGGAGTCTGGGGCGAAACTTGAATGGGGAAGGGGGGAGTGAATTTTCATATGAATACATGAAAATTAACCCTCCTCCCCGATGAACGTTCTAGTTTCTTCCCTGAGAAGAGTCAGCAACCGACCCTCAATTAAGAAATAAAAGACGTTTACTGTGTTTGCACAGGCTTATGCAAACCCGGGAGATCTTTGGTAGAACTCTAGAGCAGATCAGTGCAAGCCCGAGACCGAAGGTCGCACCTGCTCTAGGCCAATCAGCGCACGCGTTTCATTGTGTTTATTTTATAACAGACAATATAAGAGGGTTTATTTATTACCGAAACCAGAATACCTGATCGGTACACCAGTACCAAACTTCCACAATAGGAAGTGCGAACCAAACACCGAACCAAGGAAAATCGGGGTCATCAAACGGTCTGAACATGTTGTCCCAATATGGAGTAAGACCGTAGCAACTTGAGCTCGCGTTTGCATGCTCTCCTGGCAAGCTGCCATTTATAGTGACGTTCTCGACAACTCGCCAGTTACGACCGAATGATTGTGGGTATTTCTCCCAGAGTTTTTCCAAGCCGCCAATTTCTTGAAAACCTGAAACAAAGCATTTATCGGAGTATATGGGGAGTATATGGCTAATAACACCAAGCTAAGTAAATCTCCGGTAGTAAAGTTGTACTTTTCTTCCTTTTCTAACGTCCAATTTTAGTGCACAACACAAACAAATAAGAATCACCCACCCAGAATACTGAGAACTACTGCGCCGATCAACATGATGGTCACTTGAAGAAGGTCAGTAAATGTCACTGCTTCAAGTCCGCCTGAAGAAAATATGCTATCGATGAGAAAGCAGTATGCGATAGTAGTATGTCTGGTGCGCTACCACACAGTAGCTAACGTCCATGCACGTTGCATTGCTACAAAAGTACTGCATTGATATCGATTACAGTGCGACTTTTAATCCTAATCAAGACAAGTGTCTTTTGGTGTTATACTTAAAAAGACGACTTTTTTGGGGGGAGAGGACAGTCAATATTTAACATTGATGACATCATCGTTTATTTTTTACCGAATAGTTTCCATAAAAATATACACACAAAGTTTTCTAGGTCAAAAGATTTTTATTGCTTCTTCGATATTCAAGTTTTACCACGACCTTACTTCTAAGATGGGAAAGTCGTCATTATTGTCAAGTGGGGAGTGCCTTAATATGGCCAAACAAGCGGGGAAATCATGACACTAAGAGTCGAACCATTGAAAATTTAGAGATTACCGACAATGACATAAACAGCTGTAATGGATAGCACGACAAACGCCGATATGTAAATATTCCACCCAGTTGCCTCTCGAAAGTACACACTTCCAGCATATATGTCGATCTAAGAAAAACGAGAAGATGGTGTGATAAAGACGTCAATTCAGCTGAACCACTAACTATAAATATCACCTTGCTTCACATACCGATATTTTGGTGAAAACGTAACTGACCAGCGTTATGAAAGTGAGTATCGTGCGAATCGACTGACTCTGATAGCGTTTCTGCATGTACTCTGGCATGGTGTATATCTAGACATGTGACAGACAAACAGAAAGTAAAGAGAAGAACTGGTCTTTTTCACCGTTCGACTACATGTTTTCAAAATCTGTCAACATTATATGATTTTCTTACTCCGGAGGTTAGGTAAACCGGTACGAAGAAATATCCAAGGATTAAAAGCGTCCACGATGCCTAAAACGACCATTCAAAATTAGCGTGAATTTTTAAATTACTGGGGCCGGTTTCGTGAAGCCCGGATAGCGTTATCCTTTGGACAGCAAGTTTTTTTAAGCTTTTATAAAACCTTTTAAAAAGCAAAAGTATGAGAGTCGAACTGAACAATCGCTGAAATAAAAATGTTTTCGAAGATTGCGAAATTTCTTTGTGGTAAGAAAAATATAAACACCTTTTTTACAAGTTTGAAAATTTTCGCTATACAATGGATAACGTTATCATGGCTTCGTGCCATCGGCCCCTGGTGAATCCACAGTTTTCTTAAGCTGGTTGTACGATAAGGCAGTGTTTTTAATTTCACAAGACAATAATTGACATAAGCCATATTACGAGTCCTGAGAAGGAGTGCTTGTATTGGTGTTGACTGATGTTTCGACATCCCTTAGCGGTAGTTTTTACTTGACTTTAAATTCTCAGTCAAAATCAATTCAAACATTCCCTCTCGGGACTCGACTTATCGTGAAGGTCAACGTATCTATAATCATGCGAAGATTCTTGCATCGATATTTTGATCACCTGCCATTCGTAACAAATAACAGCGATGCCAGTTGCTGCACCATCACCCGCTATACCAATGAAGTGAGTTCCACCAATGTTACTGGCAAAAATACTCCCTCCAACCATCCACCAGACCAAGGAACGACCAGCGAGAAAGAAGCTTTCAGCCGATTCCTCTTTTCGCCCCCGTCGAAATTTCACCTAAATTGTAACATGGTAAATTTTGACTTCAAGGCAGATGACCCTGGACAAAAACATACCGCTAGTCCAAGGCCTATCGTAACAGCAAAGTAAATGCCAATGGAAAGCCAATCTTCCCAGTGTAACCTGCGGCTGTCTTGTCTCATTTCCCCTGTTTCAGTAAAAGAAAAAACGAAAACTGCTGGGGAGTGAGCCAAAGATGACATGTTCACTTAATAGAAATATTTACACAACACCTAGGCTTCTATATTCGTTTCGTAAATTTTTCTTCTCTCCTTTTTCTCCATCCCATCCTTTCTTCCTCAATCTTTTACCCTCCCGCTTTATTTTCTTTCTCACTATCAATTTACCTCCTGTCTTTTCAAACTACCTTTATCTTTCTCACTATCAATTTACTCCTGTCTTTTCAAACTACCTTTATCTTCCTCCCTCTCTAGCTTCCTCTCAAACTCCCTCCCTCCTTCTTATCCTCTTCTTCTCTCCCTTTCTCCCTCTCTCACAATATTCCTTCATCTTCCTTCCTACCAGTTTCTGCTCTTCGGTAAACCAATTGAAAAGAATTTTAATGAAGTTTGTCTCTTCTAAGGACTAAAAAAGGGACTCAGCCTCCATCGTAGAAAGTGTGACGCTCTACATTAGATGTAACCACAAAGACCTTGAAATGTAATTCAGCGATATTCTGGTTTGTATAACCTAGCTCTGTTACAAATTACATTTACTGGCACTAACCAGTCTACGTTAATTTTTCCGCGTTTACTTACTGTAGAAACAATGTGTAGAAACGACAAAACTAAAGAAATAGTTATGAAAATGTCCTGAAATTTACATTGGACCGAAAGTTGCGGGTTGGCTACCCTACTGTTTGTATTAAAGCGTCTTTGACTTATAACATGTTGCCAATGACGACAATAACCTCCGCGATTTCTTGCTTGAAAAAGCCCGTCTATATATTTATATTGTGTTTTGCAAGATCACACAAGTAACGCAATCAAATAACACATCTGCATGCCAAGTGGAACCTAACTACAAAGCAGAAAAATGTTCGAAACATAGAATTTCCATTTGCAGAATTTGCTCTGTGATAAAAAGACCTCTTGACACCGACACAAATGACAGGTGAAATGAAATAAACGGACGAGATTGCTAACGCTATCGACAACCGTAGCAATAACAATCGCCACTCGCTATTTGCAGAAGATGTAACTTCAGATTCGTTCACTTTGCGCGCAGATAAGATAATCCTCATCAAAAAGCTGCCTAGCTATTCAACGATAACGTGCGTTTAACAAAGATGTTTAATACCTTTTTCTCAATCTATCTTGAAAAATACGATGGTTCAAACTAGAAATTTGAAGTGTACCACGGCGTTTAGCTGAAATGTATAGTTCCAAATAATGTAATTGGAGACGCATCTCCTTGTCATAAAACCAATAATACCAATTTTTTTTAAACTGGTCGATTAGAGTGGGGTTTTTATGAATAGTGAACAAGAATAATACTTTGTCACATAGTATTTTTCTTGTTCTTGTTTACTTTTCCAAAATATAGTGTTCACCCACACAACCTGTCATAAAGCATAACTTTTTTTCAATGGTAATGGAAGAGCATTCGAGCCGATAGAAATTTGACCTTTGGCTCCTAACAAAAAACTTTTCGACCTTTGATATGCTTTGCTTTGAAGTTTAACATAAACTTAACCGGCTTGGAGCTCGAACTGAAATGTGAAATCAAAAATGTGAAATCATTTATTTCTTAAATTTGGCTGCTCCCTAATTACTTTCACTTCCGGTGATTGCAAATATGGCAAAACCACTCAACTCTTGATGACACGACGTTTTTCCGGTACCAATTGTCTAGTCAGCAGGCTCATCTCCACATAACACGCAGTTCATTATTTAACTTTTAATTATCGCTCGTCGTAATTTTATTTGAAAGTCTTCCTACAAAGCCTACACCTCACGATATTTTACAGCAGATAAACATGTACAAGGCACCGTGGATGGCGATTTTTATTAGCATGCTATGTCTGTCTTTGATTTTTGTGGAACCTGTTGATTCCGACGAAGGACACAGCCACGGAGAGCATGGACATAGTCACGACCATTCGAGCTGTAGTGACCCAGGACACAGTCACGATCATCATGGACACAGTCATGAGCATGGACAAAGTGACGAACTATAAAACGCTCTGTATCTGGTGTAGCTGCGAATACTTAGAAATATTAATCGACGATAATCAATCTTGTAAAATCGCGTTCTTACATACATTGCATAGTAAGAAGAGTCTTTGGTTTATATCATATAATCATGTGGCAAATGAACTTAATTTCAGTATCATGTTGCTTCTTATGAATGTGTATTCTTTTATGTTATGATTTTCGAAAATTGGTCGACAAAAAATTTGCAGTTTTGCGTTCGAAACATTGAATTTTTCTTTGAAAAATTTATTTCGCAATCCCAAACTTTCTTTTATTGAATTACGCTTTCGCGTCGGCCGTGTGCTTGAATTTTTTTGCTGCTGGTCTAGATAATTTTGCCAACGAATGCAGATGAGAATTACGCGTACATGTATAAAATAAGCAATATATTACTTGTTCTGGAGATTTCGATCAGTCTTTGAATATTCAAATCATGTGATGATTGATGTCTTTGTTATTCAGCAATCGTCAAGGTTGAATTAATACTTGTGGCGAATCCCACGAAAATGATAACACAGTTATTGCACAAAAAGGACAGTTCACATTAAGGTGATTTAAATGTTAAACATTAAGGGCTATTTAAGTAAAAACAGTTCCTTAAAAGGATCCATAGTGAATTGTTCTCATTGCAATGTTGTGTTGTGAGGATGATTTGGTTATATTGTATCTTACTAAAAACAGTTGTTTCCATTCATATGTCAATTTCATGCTTGGTCCATCCAAATTGATGATAGTTATTAAATTGGGAAATCACTGTATCAAATGCTGTTCATTTCCATGAGGCACTGTTCAGTGAAGACGTGGCAGAATTTTTGAATACAATCACTTTGTGCAAAAAAGAGGGCATAAATCACGAAATTTTAAATATAGCACGATCTGTTGATTAATTGTTGTTTATTTCATTGGTTGTAGATCTGTTTGGGATATTGAAGTATTTTTGAAAGAACTTTACTTTAGTTGTATCTAGATATTTGTAATTAGTATGCACTTACCAACTGACAATATCTTTTCAAAGAACCAACCACATACTTTTCACTGTAAAAATCAAATGGCTTAGTCAAAACTGGAAGCTACATTCACTTTGAAAGATGTCACTTCATTCATAACTGCCGTACTAAATCTACTTAGACAATCTGCAAAATGGTATTTGACCTGTAGATTGCAAATGACAAATGTTGCTATCAAATATTTTCCAGAATGTATTTGCTGTTGTGAAAATAGGCTAGTTCTGCAATCAACACAAAACTTTAACAGTCATGTTTATGATGTGTTGAAAGTGCTTTGGTCAGCTATTAGGTAAATTTATTTGTGTTGGTAATATAAATGCCTACCCAAATTTCTGCCAAGGGCAGCGTCGACTCAAAACGCTCAAATAACACGACGTTTTGCACAAGAATTGTCCTATGTGCGGTCGTGCGGGCTCACCACCCATTGTCCGCTTTCAATTTCGTTACAATTGTATACGTGTTATTGTTGGTTTGTCGTGGTTGCAAATTTTCCAAAAGGTCAAGACTGTACGGTATTTTAATCTTAAGAAAACATGTTCACTGCAGCGTCGAAGGCGATTTTTTTATGTTTGCCTTTAATTTTGTGGCTATGGTTAACTCAAAGGAAAACCACGGACACAGTCACGGCCATCATGGACATAGCCATGATAACCATCACGGTCACGGTCATCACCCCCATCACGGTCACAAAGAGCATGGCCACGGTCATTTGGATGCAGAACATCACGAGCATGAGGATCACAGGCATCTGTATTACAAACCGAAAGATCATCCGTCCATAGATAAAAGTGAAAAGAAAGTTGAAACAGGTCATCAAAAAAATAATGATTCGGACAACGGCAAGGCAAACAGTCATGATGGTGGACACATTCATGGTCATGAAAGTTCAAACCACAAGGAGAAAGATCACAAGCCTACTGACCCAGGAAAAAGTCCACAAAAGCCAGAAAAGGTTCATTCTCACAACCACCATGGACATTCACACAAACATGAACATTCACACAAACAAGAACATTCACATGACCATGGTCATTCACATGATCATGGCCATTCACACGATCATGGCCATTCACATGATCATGGCCATTCACACATGGAAGACCATTCACTAAAGCAAAAGAAGAAACCATCCAAAATATCTAAAGATCGTTTTGCTTTGTCCACATGGGTAAATGCACTTGTTGCAACCCTTTTGATAAGCGCTGCCCCCTTTTTTTTGCTCTTCTTCATCCCGATGGATAAGAATACAGAGGAGCAAAAACCAGTGTTAAATGTACTGTTGAGCTTTGCATCTGGCGGATTGCTTGGCGATGCATTTCTCCACCTGATTCCCCATGCCATTTCTCCTCATTCACATGGAGAAGATGGCAGTCACTCCCATTCACATTCTCACGGAGGAGAGGGTGGCCACCATGGTCATGATAGAAATATGATAGTGGGGATGTGGGTATTGGCTGGTATAGTGGCATTCTTGATGGTTGAAAAATTTGTTCGTCATGTCAAAGGAGGCCATTCGCATGGTCATAGCCACGCCGTCAATGTAAACAAACACTCTTCGAAGTTTAAGGAAGATGAAAGTGAAGAAGAAACAAGCAATGGTATGCTTGCTTTACGTCATCAATTATTCAGTTTTATTTAAGTCTTGCACTAGTTAATATGAATATTTTTTCGTTTTTTTACATGAAAATGTTTTAATATCCATGCACAATGTGTTATATTGCCATCACTTTTGCAATTTTCGAATGAAGTTGAAGTCTTTCTAAACCATCATGTGTCAATGCAGTTCTGTTTACACATGGATATAACTTTTGAAGTTACCACAAAACTCCTTCATTTTCACCATGGGCTTTGAATAATTAGTGGTGTCCCATTAAGTGTAATTTAGTCTTGCTAACTACCATAAAAGGTAAACTGCTTGTGGTTGAAACTAACCAAAAATAGACTATAGTCCGGCTTAAAGTTACACTGATTTTGTTTATTCTTCAAATGATTTGTTTTCATAGCATACACACTCAAATTACTTGAAATGCTGGTGTGTCTTGGATGCAGTCATTCAGACATGGGCAGTGCAATTTTTCACAGGAATGGCAATTGCGCGAGGCATTGGCAGGAGGAAATTTTAGCTATTGTTTCTTTTAGTGTTACTTGGCGAAAGTCACATCCAAATTAACCAAAAGCTTTATAAACAATTGATAATTGGAGTATTAACTAAAAGTATTTTACTTTTTTGCATGGATAAAGATCATGATGATGATAACAATAGCAAAGAACATGCTGATGGTGGCGAGAGTGATATTAAAGTAGCTGGTTATCTAAATCTTGCCGCTGATTTTGCACATAACTTCACTGATGGGCTGGCTATCGGTGCTTCGTTTCTCGTGAACAGAAACCTGGGGTTAATTACAACCATGACAATCCTGCTACATGAAGTTCCTCATGAGATTGGAGACTTTGCAATTCTCGTGCAATCAGGCTGCAGCAAGTACAAAGTAAGGATAGCATGAGTGAGCTGCCATTTTTTGCTTTTTCTTGTTGTTTATCTTAATATATTTGTACACATTTGTGATCCTGCAGGCAATGTTCCTACAACTGACCACAGCAACTAGTGCAATGGCTGGTACCATTTGCGGTCTTTTGGCCGAAGGCAGCAGTAACTCAGCAACCTTGTGGATCCTACCTTTTACTGCAGGTGGCTTCATATATATTGCCACTGTGTCTGTCATACCTGATCTTCTTCAAGAAAGCAAACTTTGGCAATCTATTAAGGAAGTAATTGCTCTCTTTGTCGGTGTACTTATGATGGTTTTGATTGCCAAAATGGAGTAGTATATTTTAAATTCTTTGGAATTTTGAGTTGGGGAATCCTCATGAGTATTTAGGTTTTGCACAAGTTGAATGAGCCATTCATTGGGGATGCTAGGCATTGTTGTTGTAACTAGGTAGATGAACATTAATTAGATAGATCATTTGGTCATTCATAGCTTTTCTTTACAATATTTTTTTGTATCGAAGCATTAAGCATTGTAAGTATTCTTTTAATGGATTCTCATTCGGAATGTGTGACAATGAAATGTTTTGTTTTCACTTGAAGCATTGTTTTATTCTAAGAATTTTTTTATGCCATGGTCAACATTAACCACTAGGTAACGACATATGCATATGTAGAGACAGCTGAGCAGGCATCTCAAGGGGTTATGTGAGGCATGGGCTCAGGTGTCAATCATTACATATATCATACGGTTCATATCATACGGTTCATACCTATCGGGACATGACTGTGAGACCATAACAGCAAACAAGGAAGCTAAATTGATCATTTTTATTTCTTTACTTTATCTACTTTGTTCATCCACATGTCAATATGAATTACATGTGGTGGACAGTTTGCCAAGGACATGAATCCTAATCAAGGTCTGACCCATTGGCCTGACCACCCTTGTGTCAAACCAACTAACACTTATCGTCCTAAGCATCCAAATGGTAAGTATAGTGAATTAGGATGTAAAATATTTACATGTTGCTGTTGTGTGGTCACACCATTGAGTTATATAATAACTGAGTTATTATAGAACTCAATGGTCACACGTCGCTGACGTCGCTTGAACTTAACGTCATATGACGCATGTGATATGACAATAGTTATGACGTGCCATTGAATTTGGTTGGTGGTTTGCGTGGACGCGGGCCAATGCGCGAGACCTGCGCGATGTCACGTTTTCAACATGGCTGCCACAGAAGAAATAGCTTATTATAAAATATACAAGAATCGACCAATTTATTTTCATTTATATGTCACCCCGTTCATAGCAATCTATTCAGCATGGCTTTATGTGTGGTTTGTAGTCTATGGCGTGTCTGATCATTTCGAAATTGGCGCCATCGCTGGAGTTATCATATTTTTATCGCAAGTGCTTCTTGCGTTGTTTGGCATGTGGTCAGTTCATGTTCGTTGTTTCTTAACCTGTTCCAAGGTAACGCATGAAATACTGAGCTGTTTTCCATATATTTCGAAGTAGTTCATTGCTGCAGCTGTGGCTGAATCAGCAGTTTCTTTATTCGTGCACAAGTATTTAACAAGTCTGGAAAGCATATCATTTTAACTCGTTTATCTGCGAAATTTTCATTGTCCGCGAAATCTTCGGTTTGATGGCGTGAAATTGATATTTGCTAGTGTATAAAAAGCGATTGATACTGTGACTCCATCAATAATCATGAAACTTAAAACGCATGTTGGTTTTGCAGATTATACAACAAAAACAAAGTAAAGCCAGTTTTTTCATAACAAATTTTCCTTTTTTACAAAACAGTTTAATAAGAAAATCTTTGCTGTGTGCTAAACATGCCAGCTTACATGAAAAATATAACATTTTCAAGTATCTTTACAGGCCAGAAGCCCTTACCATGCTGACGTAGTCAAAGTTATACCAACTCCTAATAATGGATCTCCAGAGCTTGTGAAGCTGCATCATTCAAAGGTAGGCCTTGTAAATTTCTCCGGTTTTAGCAAGGTTTGATTATGCAATCCATGGTATATATTTGCATAATTTGCCTGATGTTGGTTGTTGTTTTTGTCATAAACTAAACAAATGTGCATTTAAGAAATAAAAGATGTTTACTGTGTTTGTATGGGCTTATGCCAACCGAGGAGACCTTCGGGAGAACTTGAGGGCAGCAACCAAAGACCAAAGGTCTAGAGTTCTCACATACATCTCCATGGTTTGCGTGAGCCAGTGCAAACACACAAAACATCTTTTTATTCTTTCATAAATAACAATAATTCAAAGCAGACAAATTTCAATCAAACGTTCCAATTTTACTTTTAAAATGCATTCATGATTGATTTGCAATTTCTCTTTAATTAATTGATTGATTTGAATGGTTGAGCTCAGATCAGTTTGCACTGGCTAATGCAAACACGGCTATTGGCCAATCATCGCACATGTTTTATAATGCTCTAATTGAAAACTATGGGGAGTTTGCTTTTCTCAATGATACTCTACTGAGAAATATTACCAGGACACCTATTGTAGAATTTGACATCTCTTGGCTACATTAAGTATTGAACAGATAATTTTATTTGAGATCAAAAAATGAAGACAAGAAAACAGCAATATATTGTTTTTATTCATTTTTGCCTTTTCGGATACTTGTTTTGATTGAGAAAGTGAACAAAATTGATGACAATGGCAGTTTTGTTTTCATTAGACTTTAGAAACCGGTGAAGAGGTGTTATGGTTCAAGTTTCAAAAGCTCAAATACATTTACGATTCGCAAGAAAAGAAAGTTTTCTTGCCTGTTGATTTTCCCATCAACAATACGATGGAATACTATAAGAACGCAAAGGGATATCAGGATGAAGCAGAGATCACAAAGTTTTCCACCAAATATGGAAAGAACAAGTAACTTTACATGTTTGTCAATGCCAAAGATATGTTGTGTTTAAGATGACAATCTTTTTTTTTCACATGCGTTTTTGATAAGGTTGGAGATGAACATCCCTGAATTTATGGAGTTATTCAAGGAACGAGCAACTGCACCATTCTTTGTCTTTCAAGTCTTTTGTGTTGGTCTTTGGTGCTTGGATGAATATTGGTATTACAGCCTTTTCACCCTGTTCATGTTGGTGGCATTTGAAGCAACACTTGTACAACAGGTAACATGATACATGCTCACTTTTGATGTTCGTGTTATAATGCTACAAATCGTTGGCAATGATTTAGAACCCAATCCCCCAGATGTCTATTTACCGTGTCAAGGTGAGGCAAGGACGCCATCTTGAAACGTGTCAAAACGCAAAATGAAAAATGAGTTAAAAGAATGTTTGAAAAACGAATCCTATCAAACATTTTAAAAATCAAACCAAGACTATCATTTTTGCAACTGTATATAAACTCAGATATTTGCCATGAATATCCCCAGTTTTCCCACCTTTCAAAATGTAACCTCACGCAAATGTAACCTCGCTCATGGCTACAGAATTTTTGCAGAGTCAGATATCTAGTAGATTGTGTTCTAGGTCATTGATTGTCACTTCCCTTTGTTTCGACATTTATTTTGTTTTCTAAAATAACTTTGTTTACCTCCTGTTGTTGACAGTATCTAAGAGCAACTGTTTTTACATGTTTGTATGTGTAGATTGTACAGTTTAGTGCAATCTTTAGAAGGACCAAACTCCAGCATCAACAGTTTTTCTTCCTAAAGACTGCACTAACCTTTATGATGTACTTACACAAAAACATTGGAGAACTATTGGTGTTGTTTTTGTTGACTATAATATTAACACCAACATTTTTTTTACGAACTGCACTAAACTGGGCGATCTACATGTACAATGTTTGTGGATGTAGATCGTCCAAGTTAGTAGAGTCCCAAGAAGGACTCTTGTTGGTGGTGTTGACTGACGTTTGGACAACCTTGACTCTGAAGATGACTACCACTAAGGTTGTCAAACGTCAGTCAACATAAACAAGTCCTTCTCACGACTCTACTAACCTGGATGATCTACGTCTACAAACATGTAACGATACGCCTGGGCTTAAACCATTTACTTTACTGCACGTACAGCATTATTAAAATAAAACAGTAAAATATAATTTGCTCATTTGTTGACTTGTCGCATAATGTATTTGAAGATTTTGATTGAGGCCTCCACGTAAAACGAATCTTTAAATGTTTGCATGCTTGTATATGTGCGAGAATGGATTCCTCGAAACATTTCAAACATCAAATCTTCTTTTTCCAGCAAATGAGGAATATGAAAGAGATACGAAACATGGGTAGTAAACCTTACGACATTCAGGTAGAATACAAACTTCACATTTTTCATTATTCTATGTCTTAACTTATGGCAAATTATCGCACCAGATTTTTCGTAAGTACCCGCTCGGGCTTCTTTAAAATTAGTGGCCTCAAGGGGTGGCTGCTTTTTTTGGGGGGGACGTTTAGTTTTGCAGGGCGCTTTGTTTTGAGATGTTATTTTCAGCATCGGTTAACTCTCAATCTAAGAGGTGTTTACCCCCTGTATAAACGGTATTTTTCACTGCGTTTAAAAGTTATGTAAGATTTCGGTTGGGGACACATATGTACATGAACGTTCTATTTGGATTAAAGTGTACACGTTGCAAAGCTCTTTAAAGTTCTTTAAATAGCGTAGCTCTTTTCGAGAGGGCGGTTACTTTTACGATTCTTTTGGTGTTGAAAAAAGGCGGGTACTTTCCACCTGGAGGTGGCTATTTTCGCGACTGTATGGTACATAAGTGCACTAACTGTTACAAGATTTGTGTCATAATTTTGTTTATTGAATTCATTTGTTTGACATGTTCAAAAGTAATGGTTGTTTTTCAACCATTCAAAAATATACTGGCTTAGTGTTTCCGAGGGGGGGGGGGGCATTTAAGGGATGGAAAACCCAATTAAAGGAAATGCATAATCCAATTTAAATGACGATTCTCTTTAAGGTATATCGAAACAGGAAATGGCGACCCATTTTAAGCGAAGAACTTTTACCAGGAGACATTTGTTCCATTGGTTTGTCGTTTTCTGTGACTATGAAAGTTTGATCTTTCAATTTTTAACGTTTAAGTGTGGTAGCGCGTTGCAAGATGTGCACTTTACGATTACTTTTAGGTAGATGTCAAAATCAAGATATATTGGTTCCCTGTGATCTTTTGTTATTACGCGGGTCGTGTATTGTAGACGAGGCAATGCTGACCGGTGAATCTGTTCCACAGATGAAGGTGCGTTTTTTGTTAGACGCCGTGCGTTTTGCCGTTAGACGCCGTGCGTTTTGTCGTTAATTGCCGTGCGTTTTGTCGTTAGACGCCGTGCGTTTTGCCGTTAGACGCCGTGCGTTTTGTCGTCAGACGCCGTGCGTTTTGTCGTTAGACGCCGTGCGTTTTGTCGTTAGACGCCAACAATTTTCTATGCAAGTTGCTTTTCCGTGTGAAACAGTTGCGTTTTTTTTTGCATTTTATAAAAGACATTTAATGACCCTCTTTTAGTTTTTCTCAGCAGTTCTGACAAACGACACATTACGTTTTCTGTAGTTCTTTAATTCTATTCTATTTGCCTTGAAAAGCGCACTTTCCACTTGCCATTGACAACTGGGGGTGATTTCATTACTTTTTATTTTTGTTATAAATAGTGGTAACTTTTGGTTTTCATTTAAGAAAACGTGACACCTGATGAGAACTCTGCCGAAATGCATCGTGCCATTTAATTTTTATAGTTATGCTCTGGTTTCAACAATTCTTTTAAGAAATACGCAATCGTCATTCACCCAGACAATTACGATGTTTTGAGGAATATTCAAGTTTGTAATCTCTGTTTTATTAGTGAAGTCTGTATCATCAAAATTTTGTAGGAATCCATAGAGGATCTTGCCGACAGTGAATTTTTGGACCTTGATCAACATGGCAAGCTTCATCTTCTCTCTGGTGGAACAAAAGTCGTTCAGCATTCTGCTCCTCCCAAGACAACATCTGGTCTTAAAGGTACGAACTTATTTGTGATGAATCGATATCGATATCGGCAAATAGAATTATCGGTATCGATATCGGCAAATAGAATTATCGGTATCGATATCGGCAAATAGTATTATCGGTATCGATATCGGCAAATAGAATCATCGGTATCGATATTTTTCTTGCTCAAAATACCGATATTTAGACATTTCATTGAAATAGAAATAAAATTAAAATGTATCGTAATTTAGCTATAATAAATATAATTCCTTAACAATTTTTGTTAAATTAATACTACCTAAAATTTGTTAGTTCTACGTGATACTAATTTCCATTGACTATTGTGCTGTAAAATATGGCTGCAATGTAAATAACCACTTTGAGTTTCATATATTTGTTTTTTATCAAATGAACAGTCACTGGTGAGCACTATGTGACATACTTTATGATGTTTAAGTTTCGTAAAATGGCATAAAATATCGGCATTTTAATATCGGTTAATCGTATATCGATAAAATCCTATATCGATACATCGCTAGATCTTATGCCATTTTACACTTGGGCTTTTCTTCATTTTTTGCCTTAATTATACTGGCTGTTTCTGGTTTTGTACTGAACAATGTCCACTCTCTTTAGCTCCTGACAATGGATGTGTTGCTTACGTTTTAAGAACCGGCTTCAATACATCACAAGGTCGATTATTACGAACCATTCTGTTTGGTGTGAAGCGTATTACAGCGAACAATTTGGAAACGTTTTTGTTCATTTTGTTTTTATTGGTATTCGCCATTGCGGCATCGTCGTACGTTTGGATTCATGGTAAGAAGTGCTTGGTCTTTTGCAAGGATGGATCCATAATGATTTTGTAGGTGAGGGGGAGCGAGGCGTACCCTAGTTTGGATTACATTTCTTTGGCTGCTTGTTGCCGTAGCACATAATTCTGTTACTTTTTTCTTGTGATAGTGAGATTTTTGGAATTGTGCTCTATCAAACACTAATGATAATTGCTTCAGCTGAATTGTTTGATACATCAGTGTTTTGTAGGAAAATTGACACCCATTTTGCACCTCTCTTTTGCACCCCATCAATCATCTTTACCCTCTCCGCACCCTTCCCGTAAATCCTTCCCAAGTGTGTTGTTTAAATAGTTGGTTTTATTTGTTTTACAAGTTTAATGATATTTTTTCGTGTCTTTTTTTTATCAGGCACGGCTGACCCCCGTCGCAATCGCTATAAATTGTTTTTGGAATGTACTCTAATACTAACTTCCGTCGTTCCGCCTGAGTTGCCCATCGAACTCTCTCTGGCCGTCAATTCGTCTCTTCTAGCTCTCACGAAGTTAGGTAAGAAAACATTATGGTTTTTGATGTATATCGTTTTGTTCTAATCCGGGTTACATCGTCATATTTTGCGCCTAAATTGTTCTTTTGTCTGCCGCTGACCTTACCTTCATTCGTGACGTTTCTCGGGCCTCGTCTCAATTTCATGTAGGAATGCATGACGTGCATTTCTGCATGTCATCAAATTCCTGATAACGTAAATTCCTTTTCATCGCTCTGCCTCGCAGATTTCTCCCTGTTCAAGTTTTTAAATGATGTATCGATGATTTCATAGGTGTATTTTGTACCGAACCGTTTCGCATACCGTTTGCTGGTAAAATTGACGTATGTTGCTTCGACAAAACTGGAACGCTGACCAGTGACAACCTTGTCGTGGAGGAATTGCCGGAATAAGGTGATATCTTGCTGTGAAGTTTTCGTTTTTCATTTTTCAGCATAATAAACCACGCGAAGCATTACCTCACATGCGAGCATTATATGTACAAGTTATCTACGAAATTGCAAAAGTTGATTTAGCCTAAAAATTGTCATGCTCGCGTCCAGGCTCTCAACTAACTTTTTATGTTGCTGTCGGTCAGTTGAGAGCCTGGATACGAGGCTGGGAGATTGAAATCGATTTGCACTTTTCGACTTTTGCTTTCTAGGCTTAATCTAATTCGCGCTGCAATATGCATTGATTTCTAGTTCTCGGTAGGTGGAACAAAACTCGTTATTTTTTCTACAGCGAAGACTCTCCAAGCGAATGTTGCGAAGTATCCAAAGCGCCTAACGCGACCCTCCAAGTGTTGGCATCTTGCCATTCTTTAGTGTATGTTGATACAAATCTCGTTGGTGACCCGTTAGAAATTGCATGTCTCTCTGCCGTTGACTGGACTCTCACTAAAGGTGCGTTGAAAAGAAAAAGAAATAAAAATGAAAATGAATGCTTTAGCGTAACTGACAAACTCATTATAAAATAGCCGTGTGCGTTCGATTTTATCTACCACTTGTAAAATCTTCGGGCAACAACCCCCTTTGTTTTAATCCCTTGATCACAAGCAATGGCTTTCAGAACCAGTTGAGATACGTGTACAGTATATTTGCTATTGAAACATCAGACAAATTGTATGTCTCTCCCCACATTTGCTCACCTCATACAATGAGGTGAGAAAATGGGGCAAATAAAATGCCTAGTTTTACGTTTATTGAAAGGTAGGGATAGTAGGTAATGGTGTGATGTTATTGCATTTTGTGACAAGTGTAACGACACTAGGTGCATGCATACAACGAATATTTCCTTGACGAGTACTTTCAAGGTTCTTTCAAGCTTATCTTCACTTCCCAGGGGACATTGTGATGCCAAAGAAAGGAAGGAAGCAATCATTACGTATAGTCCATCGATATCACTTCGCCAGTTCTCTGAAGAGAATGTCCGCTGTCGTTTCCGTGCAAACGCCAGGCTCATCCGCCTCCAACTACATCGCCACCGTGAAAGGCGCTCCGGAGACTCTACGCTCAATGGTTTGTGTTTTTGTAATAAACGATGAAACAGTTTCTTAAGAATTTCCTTTTCTTTATGATGTAACAGCGGCACACAATATCCTCTTTCTCTGTGTGTTTTGTCCAAAGATGGATCCATGATGGTTTTACAGGGGAGGGGGTGCTTTACAGGGGGCTTCTCGATTATTGGATTAGATTTTGGTGGTTGATTATTGCCGTACCAAGTATGACTTCTTTTGTTTAATTTTGTTACCATTTTATTATGATTGCGAGATTTTTCAAAGTGTGCTTCATTAAACACTAATCACAACTGCTTTTGCTTAATTGTTTGATGTATTAGGGAAATTTGCGCTCTTCCAGCACTCCCTCTAGCAAAATCTGGTGCGCACACACCCATCTCCCAAATTCCATCAATGCCCGTTTTAGTCGTCTTACCATATTTATTGCGCTTCCAGTTCCAGGCTTTTAAAATTAATTGCTGACTTACTCTTTGTTTCTGTTGTTCTCGTAATGTATTTGTTATTCTTTATTTAGTACACAAGTATTCCTGAGCATTACGATGTTGTTTATCAAAAGATGACCTGTCAAGGAGCCAGAGTTCTTGCACTCGGCTACAAAAGTCTTGGTGAGCTTCAGGCTAAAGATGTAAGTAAGCTAGAGACTAAAGATGAAAGTAAGTTTATGACTAAAGATGTAAGTAGATTTACAACGAAAGATGTAAGTAGGAACTTTAGCAATCTCATCTTTTTGTACAAGAAATAATTTGATGGTTGGCCTTAAGTTTGTGTTGCTAGATATTTATTCTTAAGTAGTGAAATAATTCAACTACTTTTATCGATTTACATTGTTTACACGGAAAGACAGAACAACTTTGTTACCGTTATTGCAGTCATCCGCATACTACACTATGTATTTTCCAACTTTTGTTAATTATTTACATTAATTTATGAGTTTCGTTGATGTGTTTTAGTGGGTGATATTCCTTTCTTGTGTTTATAGGTAAGGGAACTTAAGCGGGATACAGTTGAATGTGACCTTACCTTCGCCGGTTTTGTCATCATTTCGTGTCCTTTGAAGTCCACATCAAAGAATGCAATCAAAGAAATTCAGCATGCGTCGCATCATGTAAGTTTCATTATGATCAATCGCTGCTCTTATGTTGTCGTTGATGTTGTTGTTGGTGGTGGTGGTGTTTTTTGTTATTGTTGTTGTGTGTTGTAGTGTGTTGTTGTTGGTGGTGTTGATAGTGTTTTTTGTTCTTCTTGTTGTTGTTGTTGTGTGTTGCTGCTGTTGCTGTTGTTGCTGTTCTTGTTCTTCTTGTTGTTGTTGCTATCGTCGTCGTCGTTGTTGCTGTTCTTGTTCCTGTTGTTGTTCTTTTTGTTGTTGTTCTTGTTGTTGTTCTCCTTCTTCTTCTTCTTCTTTTTGTTGTTGTTGTTGTTCTTGTTGTGCGTTGTAGTGTGCTGTAGTGTCTTCTTGTTGTTTGTGATGGTGATGTCGGTGTTGTTTTTTGTTGCTGCTGTTGTTGTTATTGTGTAGCATTGTGTTGATCCACCAAAACTTGTCGAAACTTTGCAAACTCAATACAGATTGTGTTGAGGTTTTCAAATTCCACGCATTGTATTGCAAGATTGTATTGTGCAGTTTGCTTTACCTGCAAGTGTGGGTCATCATATAGTGACAATAGTTCTAACCTAGTTTTTTATTCGACATTTGTTTCAGACTGTAATGATTACAGGAGACAACCCGCTGACCGCTTGCCACGTTGCTCAAGAGTTAAAGATAACCAATAAACCAACGCTTATATTGACTCAAAGTTCTAATGACGCCGATGGTGAGCTTTTTCTAAAGTTTTTGTTCAGTCTTTGTCAAGCAATGCGTCGTTTTGTTTAATGAATTGTCTGCATCTTTTTTCAGATCTTCAAACCTGGTTTTGGCAATCTTCAGATAAAACTGTATCAGTTCCGGTAATTCCCGAAGGAGGAATAAAGAAACTAAAGAAAAATTATGATTTGTGTATCACAGGCGAGGTAACGTTGTGATAAGTTTGAGATTTTATTTTTTTTGGGGGGGGGATGTTTTATTTTGAAGTTTTCTCCTTTGTTCATTGTTTAAAATTTTTACTACAAGTTGTAGCTTCGAAACAAGTTGCAAGATACCTGTCTGATAAACGAGCTGTTAAACCCTTCGAAACATCTATATAATTTAAATAAAAGCTTTTGGAATAACCATTTTCTACATTAAATCGTGTGATAATGACCATGATGATAATGATAATGATAATGATAATGATAATGATAATGATAATGATAATGATAATGATAATGACGATGAAGATGAAGATGACGATGATAATGATAATGACGATGACGATGAAGATGATAATGACAATGATAATGATGATGACAATGAAGATGACGATGATAATGATGATGACGATGACGATGAAGATGATAATGACGATGACGATGACGATGACGAGGACGATGAAGATGATAATGACGATGATAATGACGATGACAATGATAATGACGATGACGATAAAGATGACAATGATAATGACGACAATAATGACTTTGACAATTGTTATAATGAAGCAAATAAAACAAGTCTATTTCTTACCCCTGCTATGAACTTGCATAAAAGCTAAAAATCGAGAACAATACGCGTGTGTCAGAAAATAGACGTAGGATAATCAATGTATTTAATACGATCAAATCCCGACCAAAAAATTATCCTCACGCTTGCATATACTAAAATAGAAGCGTGCAATAATGTTATGTTTTACCATTTTTAGGCGTTTCACTTGCTTCAAAACAGTACGCATTCAAGGGATGTCTTGTCATTATTGTGGTCCGTGGTCAAAGTATATGCCAGAGTCGCACCAAAACAAAAGGTTTGTTCGGGCATGCGCAACAGAAACTAAGGACGTTTTCAGAATCACAAATTTAGTACTGTTCCTTGACAAATTTGTATCTGCTGCTCATTTTCTCGTCATTTTTCAACAATTTGGGCATGGAGTTCGTTATCAGCAGGCTGCTCACCGCCCTTATTTTACGACAAAATAAGAGGAGTGAGCAGAAACGTGCTCTCATTCAACTCTTCATTAAGGTGGTGAAAGAGTTGCCGGGGGTGTGAATCCGCGTGTGTCGTGCTCTTGAGCATTACAGGACTGTGTACAAAAAGTGGCTATGAGCCGAATCTAGTTTTTTTCTGTGTTTAACAATTCTATTTACGATGTCATATAAAAAACAACTTTCCCCTTTGAGTAAAGTCTCTCCTGCTTGTAGTAAAACATAACGAACACGAACAAGATAAACTTGCACCACAAACTTTATTGCCTTAAACGTACAAGAGATAATATTTTTAGTAAAACATAACAAACGCGAACAAGATAAACTTGCACCACAAACTTTATTGCCTTAAACGTACAAGAGATAATATTTTTAGTAAAACATAACGAACACGAACAAGATAAATTTGCACCACAAACTTTATTGCCTTAAACGTACAAGAGATAATATTTTTAGTAAAACATAACAAACACGAACAAGTTAAACTTGCACCACAAACTTTATTGCCTTAAACGTACAAGAGATAATATTTTTAGTAAAACATAACGAACACGAACACGATAAATTTGCACCAAACTTTATTGCCTTCAACGTACAAGAGATAATATTTTTAGTGAAACATAACGAACACGAACAAGATAAACTTGCACCACAAACTTTATTGCCTTAAACGTACAAGTGATAATATTTTTAGTAAAACATAACGAACACGAACAAGATAAACTTGCACAACAAACTTTATTGCCTTAAACGTACAAGAGATAATATTTTTAGTAAAACATAACGAACACGAACAAGATAAACTTGCACAACAAACTTTATTGCCTTAAACGTACAAGTGATAATATTTTTAGTAAAACATAACGAACACGAACACGATAAATTTGCACCACAAACTTTATTGCCTTAAACGTACAAGAGATAATATTTTAGTGAAACATAACGAACACGAACACGATAAATTTGCACCACAAACTTTATTGCCTTAAACGTACAAGAGATAATATTTTTAGTGAAACATAACGAACACGAACAAGATAAACTTGCACAACAAACTTTATTGCCTTAAACGTACAAGTGATAATATTTTTAGTAAAACATAACGAACACGAACAAGATAAACTTGCACAACAAACTTTATTGCCTTAAACGTACAAGAGATAATATTTTTAGTAAAACATAACGAACACGAACAAGATAAACTTGCACAACAAACTTTATTGCCTTAAACGTACAAGTGATAATATTTTTAGTAAAACATAACGAACACGAACACGATAAATTTGCACCACAAACTTTATTGCCTTAAACGTACAAGAGATAATATTTTTAGTGAAACATAACGAACACGAACAAGATAAACTTGCACCACAAACTTTATTGCCTTAAACGTACAAGAGATAGTATTTTTAGTAAAACATAACGAACACGAACACGATAAATTTGCACCACAAACTTTATTGCCTTAAACGTACAAGAGATAATATTTTTAGTGAAACATAACGAACACGAACACGATAAATTTGCACCACAAACTTTATTGCCTTAAACGTACAAGAGATAATATTTTTAGTGAAACATAACGAACACGAACACGATAAATTTGCACCACAAACTTTATTGCCTTAAACGTACAAGAGATAATATTTTTAGTGAAACATAACGAACACGAACAAGATAAAGTTGCACCACAAACTTTATTGCCTTAAACGTACAAGAGATAATATTTATAGTAAAACATAACGAACACGAACACGATAAATTTGCACCACAAACTTTATTGCCTTAAACGTACAAGAGATAATATTTTTAGTAAAACATAACAAACACGAACAAGATAAACTTGCACCACAAACTTTATTGCCTTAAACGTATAAGAGATAATATTTTTAGTAAAACATAACGAACACGAACACGATAAATTTGCACCACAAACTTTATTGCCTTAAACGTACAAGAGATAATATTTTTAGTAAAACATAACAAACACGAACAAGATAAACTTGCACCACAAACTTTATTGCCTTAAACGTACTGGAGATATTTTTTCGGAACGTATCGACTTATTTTATCACGCACCCGAACACCCGCATGTTTCTTATTTCTGTTGTTTTTCTCTTCCAGGAACTGGTCGTTACTAAGTTGAAAAGTCTCGGCTACGTCATTTTAATGTGTGGCGATGGAACGAATGACGTCGGTGCCCTCAAGCATGCCGATGTCGGTGCGTTTGTCTTCGATGTGATATCTTCGATTATTATTTCCGTTTCAATGTAGTTTTGGTGTGTCACATGACTAGAATAATTGAATTGTAGCCCCTTTGTTGTAGCAGTGTAATGATTACATGCTCCGACTATGACTTATGACTGAGTTGTTTAGCGAATTTGTGTTGGCAAGCCAGATAGGTGAAATGTGATGTCAACTGGAACTCTAACCTTACCACCATCTTTGAAATTGAAAGGGAATTTAATTTTTCAAAGCGTTTTTAGAAGCTTCTAGTCGATGATATAATTTTGAAAAAATTAGCAGCGATGTACATAAAATGCTGTGGCATAAGTTGAGATGATAGTTTTAACCATGCGAGCTGGTTATTATAGTTTTAACCACACAAGCTGGTTATTATAGTTTTAACCACACGAGCTGGTTATTATAGTTTTAACCACACAAGCTGGTTATTATAGTTTTAACCACACAAGCTGGTTATTATAGTTTTAACCACACAAGCTGGTTATTATAGTTTTAACCACGCGACCTGGTTATTATAGTTTTAACCACACAAGCTGGTTATTATAGTTTTAACCACACAAGCTGGTTATTATAGTTTTAACCACACGAGCTGGTTATTATAGTTTTAATCACACAAGCTGGTTATTATAGTTTTAACCACACGAGCTGGTTATTATAGTTTTAACCACACAAGCTGGTTATTATAGTTTTAACCACACAAGCTGGTTATTATAGTTTTAACCACACAAGCTGGTTATTATAGTTTTAACCACACGAGCTGGTTATTATTGTTTTAACCACACAAGCTGGTTATTATAGTTTTAACCACACAAGCTGGTTATTATAGTTTTAACCACACGAGCTGGTTATTATAGTTTTAACCACACAAGCTGGTTATTATAGTTTTAACCACACAAGCTGGTTATTTTAGTTTTAACCACACAAGCTGGTTATTTTAGTTTTAACCACACAAGCTGGTTATTATAGTTTTAACCACACAAGCTGGTTATTATAGTTTTAACCACACAAGCTGGTTATTATAATTTTAACCACACAAGCTGGTTATTGTAGTTTTAATCACACAAGCTGGTTATTATTGTTTTAACCACACAAGCTGGTTATTATAGTTTTAACCACACAAGCTGGTTATTATAGTTTTAACCACACAAGCTGGTTATTATAGTTTTAACCACACAAGCTGGTTATTATAGCTTTAACCACACGAGCTGGTTATTATAGTTTTAACCACACGAGCTGGTTATTATAGTTTTAACCACACGAGCTGGTTATTATAGTTTTAACCACACAAGCTGGTTATTATAGTTTTAACCACACAAGCTGGTTATTATAGTTTTAACCACACAAGCTGGTTATTATAGTTTTAACCACTCAAGCTGGTTATTAATCGAAACAAATGTGTAGTTGCAGGCTTTTAACAATTGGTGTTAAAATTCCAGTTTGTATTGCAGTTCACTGGCCCAGGTTTAATATAGTGGTGAATTGCATCAATTATTATTGTGTCATTCTGATCGAAATCGCCATCAATGATTTTTTTCATGTAGAGTTCAGCTAACAACACTTATGAACAAGCAACAAAGTTGTAGCAGTGTCATAGATGAATTCTAAATATCTTCCATTGCACGGACTAGCTGTATTATAATGTGTAATGTAATACAAATTATTTCTTTAGGTGTAGCGTTGTTGAGTGGCTCTCCGAAGAAGATGCGAAAACTAGAAACAAAAGCGAGCAAAGAACGTAAGTTTATGTCTTTGTTCACGTTTTAGATGTAAAAACTTTCGACTTGTAAGGTGCAGCGATTATATTTGGCATAAATTAATGTCAGGAACGTTGGAAAATCTATATTTGGAAGACGTTGGATGATATGCATGATATGTGGTATTGAGTTCCTATGAAAACCTTTGTTTCCTCTGGATTTCAACTTTTGCCTACTTGTATGATCATGACCTCTGTTGAGCACACATGCTACTTCGAGTACTTGTAGGAAAAATCATATTTTGGAGGAAACTCTCTAGTTTATCTACAATTCATTTTATTATGTATACAGTTATTATTTCGAACTTTGGGGCTGCTTCAAGGCATTGATAAAATGCATCGCTACATGCCCACTTGATTGCAAGAGCCTCTAATTCTGTGTGAGACCGTATCGTGTTTCAATTACAACTCCTACTTCTGGTCGTAAACGATCAGTTCTTTTATCTTTCATTAACACTCTTTATCACCTACTTTGATGTGTGATTTCTTTACATGTCTCTTTCTATCATAGTATTTCTTTGATTTCTCTTTATATTGACGATCATGTTGTCTCATCATTCTGTCTTATACTTTTCTTTTCATTGATGGGATAATATTTACTCCCAAAAACTACTTTATACGGGCTTTTCAGCGTGGATGGATGTGGTGTAGGTCTATAAACTTCTAACATTACATTTATCATGCATATATCATTTGCATTTACGTATTTCCTGCACAGCAACCTCCCCCCCACTCAAATATTAATCTCCTTACGTCCATGATTCACTTGCATGTTTTATGTTTCCATGTTCCCATCTGCCAGGATGAAGTCGACAATGACGTCACCGTTCCATCTAAAAAGAAACCGAGTGCTAACACTTCGAAAGCTGCTAAAATGCGGGCTGTAGCACGTGGCGAGAATACTGCCGCAAATAGCAAAATGGAACAAGAGGTATGATGGGAATTTAAGGCGGGGCCTTAGGCTTGATGGGGTGGTGTTCAAGCTCGTGCCCAGTTTCAACGCTCCTTCATTGTTAAGCATGTGCACGGATACGTTATTGCTTCGATACTTATCGTAGAAAGGGTTCTGTATACTTTTTCCCGCCGACAATTTCAAGAAAGAAACATATGGAAAAACAAAACATCATCTTGTAAACTCAAGTTTCGAGATATGCTGTATTACCCATCAGATAAGATTTTCAAAAGTAATCTTTCCACTTTATATCATAGTCATTATCAAGCTGAGGGATTATTTACCAGCTAGCAGATCCAGTCGTTACGGGGAAATGACGTTGATATAAAACAGAATCTTGCGTTTACAAGATGATGCCTTTTGGAATATGTTTTATCTTATATTTTGATAATAACGTTTACGAAAGTGTAATTTGTTTAGAAAAAACTTCAAGAAATGTTGAAAGCCTTGGATGAAATGGAGGAAAACAAAGTGGTTCGCTTGGGAGACGCATCGATTGCATCGCCTTTCACCTCAAAACATTCTTCCATAAACAGCGGTCAGTGTACTAGAGAGGGGTAAATATGTAATCGAGAGACGTAAAATTGAAAAATTGACTTGAGGAAGTGATTAATGGTTGTCGTGGTTGAGTTTAAGGTTGCATTGTGATTGATCTATGAATTGCATGGAAAAGTCCTGTATGTCAGGAAATTTTTTCTCAAAATTACTCGCAGGAAATATTTTTCGATGTTGCATGTAAGTTTTCAAAAATATTGCGCGAAGTAAAGAATACAGGTGTATCAAAACGAAAGTCAAATTACAATGTACATTGTACATTTTTGTACTCCGTAAAGTGGTATTCAAGATTTTACAGGCAACCTCGAAACACTTGCCAGAAAGTGAAACACTTTATACACACACGCCTGTCCATATTTCAGACACTTCTTGTGAAACGTTATATGTTCTTTTACATTTAACTAAAGCTTGTGGCACATTGCTTTACCGCTTTTTTAGTGTGTCACATTATCAAACAAGGAAGGTGCACGCTCGTCACAACGCTTCAAATGTTCAAGATTCTTGCGCTCAATGCATTGATATTGGCGTACAGTCAGAGCGCCCTCTACTTGGATGGAATTAAATTCAGTGATGGGTATGTTTGATCACCATTTTGTCCGGATTACGAGACATTGTGTTACCTTGAATCCGTGTTTGTGGAAAATATTTTGGGTTATTTTTCTTTTGAGAAGTTTATTATTGAGAAATATTTATTGGGAAACATTTGAGAATTGTCTTTTATTCACAATGTTGAGTATAATGGTACTCTGGTTGAATGCTAATTTTTTTTTGACAAACTCAGTCTATGTAGTATAATGATACTCTGGTTGAATGCTAATATTTCTTTTGACAAACTCAGTCTATGTAGTATAATGGTACTCTGGTTGAATGCTAATATTTCTTTTGACAAACTCACTCTATGTAGTATAATGGTACTCTGGTTGAATGCTAATATTTCTTTTGACAAACTCAGTCTATGTAGTATAATGGTACTCTGGTTGAATGCTAATATTTCTTTTGACAAACTCACTCTATGTAGTATAATGATACTCTGGTTGAATGCTAATATTTCTTTTGACAAACTCAGTCTATGTAGTATAATGGTACTCTGGTTGAATGCTAATATTTCTTTTGACAAACTCAGTCTATGTAGTATAATGGTACTCTGGTTGAATGCTAATATTTCTTTTGACAAACTCACTCTATGTAGTATAATGATACTCTGGTTGAATGCTAATATTTCTTTTGACAAACTCAGTCTATGTAGTATAACGGTACTCTGGTTGAATGCTAATATTTCTTTTGACAAACTCAGTCTATGTAGTATAATGGTACTCTGGTTGAATGCTAATATTTCTTTTGACAAACTCACTCTATGTAGTATAATGGTACTCTGGTTGAATGCTAATATTTCTTTTGACAAACTCAGTCTATGTAGTATAATGGTACTCTGGTTGAATGCTAATATTTCTTTTGACAAACTCACTCTATGTAGTATAATGGTACTCTGGTTGAATGCTAATATTTCTTTTGACAAACTCAGTCTATGTAGTATAATGGTACTCTGGTTGAATGCTAATATTTCTTTGACAAACTCAGTCTATGTAGTATAATGGTACTCTGGTTGAATGCTAATATTTCTTTTGACAAACTCACTCTATGTAGTATAATGGTACTCTGGTTGAATGCTAATATTTCTTTTGACAAACTCAGTCTATGTAGTATAATGGTACTCTGGTTGAATGTTAATATTTCCTTTGACAAACTCAGTCTATGTAGTATAATGGTACTCTGGTTGAATGCTAATATTTCTTTTGACAAACTCAGTCTATGTTTCGTAACAATCAAACAGGAGTTTTTATATTCGTGCCAGTCTCTTTAACCCGTGGCGTAGTTAGGCGCTCAATGTGAAAACTGTGATTTTCCAATGAAATGTTCTGAAATTTACATTGCTCGACTAAAACATGCAAGCTGGCTACGCAGGCGAATTTAATTTTGTCTTTGACTGTACAGATCTGTGTCGATATGCCTCCTTGCCGCCATTGTTTATGTGTCAGACTTGGTTTGGTTATAATCAATTTCTGTTCTCAATATACATCTATCGTTTTAACTATATTTATGGATCATTGTAAAAATTTATATTTGTTAACCGAACATTATCTCTGCCCTCGTCACTGTTTTCATCATTTATGTAGACAAGCTACATTACAAGGGATCCTCTTGGCCGGATGCTTTCATTTCAAGAAGATCCAAGGTACATCGTGTCTTAGTAAAGTCCATTTGCTATAATTTCTTAATTTTGTCGAAATCGTATTGAAGAACTGCTATGTTTTTATACGTATTAAATCGTAAGCGAATAGGATTATTGCATATTTGTTTTTTAGCCATTGAAGACTTTATCCAAAGAAAGACCTTTGCCGAACATATTCAATTTCTACACAATTCTCACCGTTTGTTGTCAATTCGCCGTCCATTTTTATTCATTGTACTTTCTTACAACTCAAGCCAAGCGCTGGACGCCTGGAAGGTATGCGCATGCTCCATGTTTTTTGAACCGGCCGGCCTTTGTTTATTTCATACAGACAGCGTTGACACTTGATTTGCTTGGAGCTCCGTCAATATGAACCATAAGACACAGAAGAATATATTTTGCCACAAGCCTAGACATCTCTTTCACATTTAGAACCGACAATTATGTTGACCTCGACTCAAAGTTTGAAGCTAATATTATCAACAGCACTGTTTACCTCATCTCAATGGCGATGCAACTGTCAACGTTTGCCGTCAACTACAAGGTTGGTCAGTTTGATATAAAATTCTTGTATTCCGGGAAAACTATTCCTGGAAAACTTAGGAGTACGGGATTATCGTGACATTTTTGTATAGTTCGTCTTCCAAAAAGACGTTTTCCATTCATGATAAAGTTCACAAAAACTTTCTCTCTCCCCCAGGGTCACCCGTTCATGGAAAGCTTGCTGGAAAACAAAGCACTACTGTATAGTTTAATGGCATCTTCCGGTGCTATACTAACTTTGACAACTGGTGTATCCGAGGATTTTTCGAATCAATTTGAAATCGTCGCAATGCCCGACAAGGTTTGTATAGGAGGTCTGCTTGGATGTTGCTAAAAAACAACGGGGAATGTAGAGTTCTGCGTTTGTTGGGAAGTGGAAAAATTTGCCCAATAAAAGTAATATTTGTTTTAATGAAATCAGAATTGTGAAACGTAACTCGGTGTACTTGTCTTGACTTTCGACGCTTAGATCATCGACTTCATCTTAAGTCATTTTAGTCGTTCACAGGAGCTTGCAAAACAGTGAAATAAAATCACCCGTTCAAGGAAAAGTGTGAGGAGTACAAATACGTTTTAATAAATTAGAATCGCTGGAAACGCTTTTTTCAAATCATTAAATGTTCAACCCTTCCACCGGAGAAACGCTTTGGTCAAATCATTAAATGTTCAACCCTCTCACCCCACCCCACCCCATCTGGAGTTTTTCTGTGTCTCATCTTTCTTCACTGCTGCGTATGTTTGAACCACCGTTTGCCGCAAGACCTGTATGCCCTAAAAATTGTATCCTATTTTTAAAAATTTTCGAAAATATTTCAGATTCTTGCCTTGCAATAGTTCATTCCTGGTTAAAAAAAACCAGTTATGAAAACTGGCGTACTAAATTACTAAATCCCGCACAAAACTTTTGCTTGTGTCATCAAGTATGAAAAGTTTGCAAAGCTTTACGCGATGGTCTGTTCATTTTCTAGCATCGAACCGATATCCTACAAGTAATGTGTTTGAACGTCGTCAGCTGTTGGTTCATCGATCGACTGCTGCAGTTTATTCTTGGAAATGTGAGAATGAAATCCACCTGAAACACGTGCTCATCCACACGAGTCAACCAAAGGGGCGTCGATTCGAGAGGGAAATAAAAGAAATGGTTTAAACAAGGTTTTCGATACAAGGAAGTATATCATGTCCAACGTGGAAGGAACAGAGCATCGACATGAACCTTGCTTGTAGTTTCCGGTGGGAGAAAATATCCAACGTCGATATTTTTAGTTGCTTTAAATTGATACTGCGGGCTCACGCTGTGATATTCTTTGCACTTCATTTTTTAGTTGCTTTAAATTGATATTGTTTTCTGCGGGCTCACGCTATGATATTCTTTGCACTTCATTCAAAATGCAATCCACGATTGACTACAATAAATGAATCGTTTTTGATTTTAACTCGACACTACCGAGATCTTTTTTAAACGAACGAAAAGACTTTGTATTGCATACATGTCTCCATTTAACATTATGTCGAGTTGCTATAAAAATGCTATCCTTCACCTCAAAATTCATCAAGTTTACAGATCTTGGGTATTTTTTGTGTTTTTCCGTGGTCTTTAGTCTTTCATATCGCAAGTAATTTACGGCAGTCTTTCGCACCCATTTTTTGAAACCATTATTGTACTATATTATGTCCTTACTCTGTGCTTACCATTAACTATTCAGCATTTCGTTTCACTTTGTTAAAAAATACGCGTACCTTCAGTTCTTACTCCTGCGATCAAACTGTCCTACTGTGTTTCGTTCTTAGTTCCTTCCCCATGACGTTCAGCGTAATGTGATTAGGTTTCCACATGGCAGCACTAAATTATCTTATCATCTGCACACGAGGCCTCAATGTAAAACCCTAAAGTTTCCAATTGCCACAATTATCGAAAAATTATCGAAATTACCAAAATTAATTGAAACTATTACGTTAGTATGGCTTGGCCACAGCCATATGGCCACAGCTACAGCGGAGGAATTGACGGGAGAGGACCGCTGGCTGAAAACGAGCGCAGCATTTCAGTTGAAGGAATCTTTCCTCGTTTTTGTGGAAGCACGCATAAACAAATTTGTACGAAAATTATACTTGTTCAATGTACTTTTTAGTTATTTATCCATCTTTTTGGGAAACATGATGCCTGAAGACATTGTCCTTTGACAATTGTGATTAAGAGTATTGTTGTGATTCAAAGTTGACCTTAGGATTGTCTACGAATGTATTTTGGCTTGTCTGCAGTGCGACAGATCAAGTTGGTCTTGCCTGATTACTTTTTCGGTAATCCCGCTGCAAAACAATGCTTGGTCAGGTTTTTGAGGAAATGCCCAAAGCATTCTGCTGCGAAAGCATCACAGATCGTTTGGGAAAAGGTATTGATGACAATTTCACAGCCAAGTTTTTGGGTGTGATGGAATTTTTAATTATGTAAGAGTACGTATGTTAATTATGCATTGCATATGACGTCAAATGAATAATGTATGTTTTAGTTATTCAGTTCTAAGTACTTTCAAGAGTATGCCCTGTTTGATTTCAATGTATTTTTTGAGCTGCAATGTTTTAAAAACTCTCAATAGATATTGTTTGATGTTTTTCTCTGCCAGCTCAATATAGGCATCCATCTTCTCCAGCCTCTCTGTTTACAGATTCTGCTATCACTTTGGCATATCCTTCCTCTTTGAAGTCGTTTAGCATTATGATTGTTTTCATTTTCTGTATGTTCTTATTGTCAACATGTTTTTTCTTATTGTTTCAGAATCAAGAAGGAATACACAAAGCCGACCAGCTGAAGTCTTGATGATCAAAATCTACTTGCCGGAAATAGGCTGAATAGCATTGTCACAACAGACAACAAATGCAACAGAGGTTTGTCATCAAGACATGAAATTCCTTGCAAGTTGGAGTATGGCCATTGCATGTACAGACATCAACTGTTGTGGCAGGATATCCTCACGGGATCAGGCCGTTTTGAAATGAATGGTAAAATCAACAAAACCAAGCATGATGAAAAATGTCCGAAGAAGCATCCAAAAGAAGGTGTTGCAACTTTTAAACAAAACGCTCGAAAAACAACGACTCCATTATCAACGGAAAGACTAATGACTAGTGGACCTACACCTGGGCAACTTTCTTCAATTTTATTGCAGCTTAGAGAGGATGTATGTGCTTTCTGTCGGAATTTAATCATTCGCACAGGGGGGGTGTCACCTTCTGAAATATCAGTTTTTGCCCTCATAGAAACGTTTCACTCTCATTAGTGTGATTCTGTGTGAGGAGAATGGAAGGATTGCCACTTAAATCAATACCTTTGTTTTGTTTTAGTGACACTGCCATGTATCAACTTGTTGAAAATCCATCTGTGATAAAAGCCCTCTAAAGCCTGGTTCTCATATAGTCGTCCGAGTCGTTTCAGTCGTGCCAAAATTTCACAGACGACCCGTGCGACTGTATGAGAACATTTCAAAGTGACAGGGATGACCTCAAATGACTCACACGACTGAAACTAGCAGGGTCTCTTGGTTAGAACTTTGCTTTATGCGGACGACCGAAACGACCGTTGAGAAATGCAAGCGACCTTTTTATGGCGCAGAACGATTTGAAGAAGCAAATAACTCGCCAAAAGACTTTGTCTCTGATAAACAGCAACCGCCATTTTAAAATGTTTCGCTAAAAAATCAATTAAGCAGTCTCTCGGCAGCGCTAGTACGAATATATTAGAAGTACAATAGCTTGAGTCGTCCCTGTCGTATTAGAAGTACAATAGCTGTCCCTGTCGTTTTGAAAAACAACGAAACAACTCGGAACGACTCGGAACGACTCGGATGACTGAAGCGACTTAATGAGAACCAGGCTTTTATGCTTGCTGTACAAGCTCACAGGAGTTGTATAATTGACCTTTTTGCTTGCCATAGTTTTAAGTTGTCAGACATGAAGTTTGTTTTACTGAAAAATCAACTCAACCATGTCTTGAGAGCTCATTTGTAAAGTTTGACTGAAAATATCAATGTCGTTACAAATGACATGACACGCTAGCTTTAAGAGAAGATGGAAATTTTATTGGATTATTTTGCCTTCTACTGAATAATTTTTTTTTTGCTTTTTTAGCTTCCGCAGTTTTTTTATGGAAATCCGGAGTACTCTATGTACAGTGAAAATATCCTCTTCATAAATAAATTAACGCGAACAACGACAAGGTAATAACCAAGACAAGCAGACAATTTTAAGTAAAACAAAATAAAACAAATTCCGAAAACAGACATCTCGTTTTCTTGATATTCAAGATGATACAAGAGTTTTAAAACAAAAGATAGTGTAATATTTCGTCTTTATTCCAAAGACATTGTCAGACTCATCATCAGACTCATTAGTCTGACAATGTCTTTGGAATAAAGACGAAATATTACACTATCTTTTGTTTTAAAACTCTTGTATCATCTTCAATATCAAGAAAACGAGATGTCTGTTTTCGGAATTTGTTTTATTGTTTTGACTAAATAAAGAATCAATGAAGTAGGGCTCGGTTGTTCAAAAGTTTTCTACGTTTGTCTTGTTTAATTACGAAGAACACACATGAACTGACAAGCTTTACTTTTACTATGACACCAGATAATGTTCATGACTGATTCGAATCTTTGTATATTTTAGTTTATCGATAGTCCAGCTGTTAATGAAAAAATTCTTCACTTTGACGATACAAGTATGAAACTTTCTCACATTTTTACTATGCCTAGAAACACAAAATTTTGATATAGGGCCAGCCCATATTTTACATTTATAACGAGTTCTGCGAATGTCGTGTTTGATGACGCCATCGGTAGTAAAAAAAAAAGTTCAGAGAAATCTGCAATTTCCCTGTATATTCTTATACAACAGCTAAAGGCGATAAAAAACTATATTACAACTTTTTCTTTTGGGCAATAAATTGTGAAATATTCTACATTAGATGTGTTTTAAAAGTGCTGACTCAGCACTTTTGTTTAGTGCTATTGCTCTTTCTTAAATACATTGGAAAAGCGCCTAACGAAGAACAGTAATATTAAAATAATTTTAATGCCCTCATGTTATTGACAATCACCCCACAATTACACAAACGAGTACAAACTAAATGTGCTTTGACGCATTTACAACGACTAGAACATGAACTTTTGCATCCGCAACGAATAAGCTCATAACAGGCATCTTTAACTTGAGGGAGATTTGTCCACTTTGGTAACCAAGAATTTTCATCACGGTACCAGCCCCAACCTGACGGAGTTGGTATAACCTGCTCTTTCAAGCAGCACTGCCCCAAGAAAAATCCACCTTGTAACAATGCACGCTTGGTGTGCTGAAGCAACGCTTTTTGGGTTGGTGGAATGTTATCCAGTGTTCTGGACTTTTTGGCAAACAACTCTTGTCTAGCCTCATTGACTCTGGTGAGATTGCTTGTACGATCGTATAAGAGGACCACATATCGCTCAATCACCTGCAAAACATTGCATGAATCATAATAGAGACCTTATTTGATAGATAATACATGCCTTTGGCGGTTTCTGAATTACCTGCAAGGACGAACAATCAATCCTTTCTGGCAACAAATTTAGCTCTTGCAACGCTAATGTTAGCTCTGGAAATACATTCCATACATCCCATGCAGTTTTCTTTCCTCGACCTCCAAAAGGAAACAGTATCACACCCCGTAAAGCGTGAAACAACGGTAGAACAGATGCCTTGTCAGGTCCGATAGTCGATGCAATTGTATGCGCGGGAATATACGACGAGTGCTTTCCTGTGCCATAAAGAATCCATAATTCTTCTGCTTTGATGTTTTCACAATTGAAATGGCTAGTATCAATACGTCAGTATCATTTGTTCTTACAACAATCCTCTGGTGGCCGCAGTCACTTGCATCTAACACGTGCACCATCAATCGTGTGTCAGCCTCTTCATGATTACATGGTTCCAACATTGATACTTCGGTTCTTTTAGGGAAGCACAAGACCTTTTCTTCAAATGTACTGTAAATTTCTCTTCCTTCTTGAATCTGCTGGGAAATAACTTTCTGCGCTAAGAAATTGAATAGATCCATTTTGTTGGCATCTACGCGCAGGAAGCCCTTCCAGTCAGTAGGGATACGTGCTGTCGATGAAACCTTGCGGCGTTGACCAAAGCCTCTCTTCTCCCGTGCGTTCTTTTTCAGCGAATCCTCTTTGTATACATCAAACACTAAATCAATTCTTTTAGCTGATTGAAATTGCTTTAACACATAAGGAATGAAAGCAAACTGAGCGTACTCTTCGAACGTTTCCCAAGTTCCAGGTGAAATCATTTGAACAACAAAAGCTCCGTCTAAAATAATAACATCGGGAGTTGGTGACTGAACTTTGGTAATGGGCTCGATACACTTTGTCAAGTCTGCTTTATTACCAGTACGCAAACTTCCTGCTTGTGAGAGAGATGGTGGCCATGGTTGGTTCTCATATTTAAAGAAATCATCGAGATCACCACTTCGATTTTGACTGGCTATATACAATCTTGAAAATAAAGCACAGTCTAGTTTCAGAGTTTGTATATTTACTTTATCTTTTGACGAAACTCTTTTTCTTCCTGTTTTAAACGTTGGCAGATTATTTTTTCAACGTTTCAGTAATACTCTTGCTTCTCTCAACAAATCTTTCTTTAACAAATGCTTGATATTGTTCTTCTCCAAAGGTTACAACATTCTTCACCGTGACAACAACGGAACTGTTCATCACGTCATTTGTGTGGATGGCAAATAGGTCTTCGCTCTCTTCTACAAAAGGATTCCCCATCGCTTGAAAATTGGAGACGACATTTGAGACATCTTTATAAAATTCTCTTTGAATGGATGGAGTTTGCTCATGGTGTAGCTGACTTTCTACATGTGTACTCATCTCGAATTCCCTAATTATTCGTGCAATTTCTGGACCTGCAATCATCCATCTCCTTAAAGCTGAAAGGTTTTCGGTTAGTCCCACAGCACCACCTTCTCCCTTTACCACTGCATTAACTTGCTCGTGAGCATGATCTAATGCTATAGCTGAAAACTGTTTCTTCGTTTTATGCACCACAAACGAGCCCTTGGAGAACTGGTTAAAGACGTCAGGGTGTTTGAATGGAAGCTCCGACATATTACGGATATGGACAGAAAGCCATCTTGCATAATTAACATTGTCCAAAGGAAACATACAAGGGACAAGTTGCTTAATTGACTGGAAGTATAAGGAGAAATTAGCTTCTCTAAATGATCGCACTAGTTGTAAACAGAGTAATTCTAGTTCCAAAACTCTGGTCCAATACAGAAACTGAGGATGATCCTTTGACATATCTTCTTTCCAAATAGGTTTTTTCAATTAGGTTATGCTGAATGCTAACACAAGTAAGGTAATAAATCTTAAAGAAACTTAATTGAATGTTCTTCATTGTTTCGATACGATTTATCATTGCACTATGGTGAAAGCCGGGAGAGCACATTGTTATACACTTTATATATATATATATATATATATATATATATATATATAAAAGTGCTGACTCAGCACTTTTCAGAATATTCCATGCCCAATATTTGGGAAAGTATTGCCCAAAAGAAAAAGTTGTAATATAGTTTTTGTATCGTCTTTAGCTGTTGTATAAGAATATACAGGGAAATTGCAGATTTCTCTGAACTTTATTTTTTTTTACTACCGATGACGTCATCAAACACGACATTCGCAGAACTCGTTTTAAATGTAAAATATGGGCTGGCCCTATATCAAAATTTTGTGTTACTAGGCATAGTAAGAATGTGAGAAAGTTTCATACTTGTATCATCAAAGTGAAGGGTTAGGTGTTTTTTCTGTCGTTAACAGCTGGACTATCGATGTCAACAGATGATTACGAATACATGTCATCATTTATTAGCCAATTATATCCTTTCTTTGAATAAACCAGGCCAAGCGTACACTAATTTTTTTGGTCGCTTAATTTACAGAACCCTAAAGTCGTACAAGTGCATCATGAGCGTGATGTCGTTTGCTGGCAGAACCTTCTGGACTCGACCTTCATTTGATATCGTTCGGATTACGAAGCATTCCGAAGATAACACGATCAAAGTTCGGTGGACTGCGAAAGGAATCCCATGGCACCAAGTTGTGCTCCTCATTTTATCTGGCAAATCAGAGTCCTTGTTTTATCGGTATGAACATGTTAAATCTCACCTGTTTGGACAATTTGCCTCATTTTATCTGGCAAATCAGAGTCCTTGTTTTATCGGTATGAACATGTTAAATCTCACCTGTTTGGACAATTTGCCTCATTTTATCTGGCAAATCAGAGTCTTTGTTTTATCGGTATGAACATCTTAAATCTCACCTGTTTGGACAATTTGCCTCATTTTATCTGGCAAATCAGAGTCCTTGTTTTATCGGTATGAACATGTTAAATCTCACCTGTTTGGACAATTTGCCTCATTTTATCTGGCAAATCAGAGTCTTTGTTTTATCGGTATGAACATGTTAAATCTCACCTGTTTGGACAATTTGCCTCATTTTATCTGGCAAATCAGAGTCCTTGTTTTATCGGTATGAACATGTTAAATCTCACCTGTTTGGACAATTTGCCTCATTTTATCTGGCAAACCAGAGTCCTTGTTTTATCGGTATGAACATGTTAAATCTCACCTGTTTGGACAATTTGCCTCATTTTATCTGGCAAATCAGAGTCCTTGTTTTATCGGTATGAACATGTTAAATCTCACCTGTTTGGACAATTTGCCTCATTTTATCTGGCAAACCAGAGTCCTTGTTTTATCGGTATGAACATGTTGAATCTCACCTGTTTGGACAATTTGCCTCATTTTATCTGGCAAATCAGAGTCCTTGTTTTATCGGTATGAACATGTTAAATCTCACCTGTTTGGACAATTTGCCTCATTTTATCTGGCAAATCAGAGTCCTTGTTTTATCGGTATGAACATGTTGAATCTCACCTGTTTGGACAATTTGCCTCATTTTATCTGGCAAATCAGAGTCCTTGTTTTATCGGTATGAACATGTTAAATCTCACCTGTTTGGACAATTTGCCTCATTTTATCTGGCAAATCAGAGTCTTTGTTTTATCGGTATGAACATGTTAAATCTCACCTGTTTGGACAATTTGCCTCATTTTATCTGGCAAACCAGAGTCCTTGTTTTATCGGTATGAACATGTTAAATCTCACCTGTTTGGACAATTTGCCTCATTTTATCTGGCAAACCAGAGTCCTTGTTTTATCGGTATGAACATGTTAAATCTCACCTGTTTGGACAATTTGCCTCATTTTATCTGGCAAATCAGAGTCCTTGTTTTATCGGTATGAACATGTTAAATCTCACCTGTTTGGACAATTTGCCTCATTTTATCTGGCAAACCAGAGTCTTTGTTTTATCGGTATGAACATGTTGAATCTCACCTGTTTGGACAATTTGCTTTATTTTACTTTTGCTAAATACTTTGCCCTATAAACCTTGACAAACGAAGTTGTTTCTGATCGACTTTCTAGTTACGTTGACGGGTTCTCGATTTTCGAAGTTGGAAGAGATGGGTTGATTCACTGCCATCGTTTGGATAAGGTGAGCATTGATTCCAAGCATCACAGCGAATATATGTAGATGTTTTCAACGATTTCGTTTTGGAACTGTAGGTTGACGAAATCTCTATGCAACCAGTTGTGTTTGCCATCTGAACTAGAGAATAATTCTTTTATTTTGTTTCTGTTAAGGTGATTCCCACATCTAGTTCAGAACGTCCTAAATGGAGCATTAAAATGCATATTCTTGGTTTAATCGGCTTAGGAGAACTCGCTCGCGAAACTTGCAAGGCTTTTTATGTTAAAACTAAAGACGTCATCAGAAAATAAGATGTCGGATTTTTACACTGGAGGTAATGCGAATGAGCGTGTGCTATTTTCTCGTGTCGAACTGAAATAACGGGCAGGATTATCGAAGTCGATCCAGTTATTTGTTGTTCAAATACAATAAGTACAAATGTATCTGTGACTTTGAACCCAATCTACTAGACATCTGACTCCGCCGATATTATTTAGTAATGAGTGAGGCAAGCCGCCATCTTGAAAGGTGGCAAAACTGACGATTTTACGATTAATATCTGCTTTTCCTGAGTTAATATACACTTGCAAAGTCTATAGTCTAGATTTGATTTATATAATATTTGATAAGATTGTTTTTTAAACTTTCTTTTAGCTTGTTTTCCATTTTAAGTTTTGTTTTTTACCACCTTTCAAGATGGCGTCCTTGCCTGCCTCACTGATTGAACTAAACTACATGGAACGCTACCTCAAGCAAATAATTGAAGCCATATCTTACGCCAGACACGCGAGATTTTACCCCAGACACGCGTGTTTAGTGTTTCGAGATTCTCTCGCGGAGTTATAATTGATTGAGTAAACACGCGTGTCTGGGGTAAAATCACGGATTCAAAAAATTATTAAGGTTTTGTATTGCAGGTAGCGTTCCATGTATTTTAGTTCAATGGCCTCAGCTTGACATGGTAGTTAGACATCTAGGGGATTGGGTTCTAAATCATTGGAATGTATCAATGACCTAGAACCCAATCTATTAGATATCTGACTCCGCCAATATTGCATAGTAATGAGTGAGGCAAGTCGCCATCTTGGAAGGAGGCAAAATTGACAGTATTTACGAGTAATATCTGCTTTTGCTGAGTTGCTATAGAGTCGCAAAGTTGATAGTTTAGGTTTAATTCTTTAAATGTTTGATAGGATGGGGTTTTTAAACTTTTTTTTAGCTTACTTTTCATTTTCAGTTTTGCTTTTTGCCTTTCAAGATGGCGTCATCGTGATACGGTAGTTAGACATCCAGAAGATTGGGTTCTAAATCATTGGAATGTGTAAACGTATCAAAATGGCTTATGTAAAAGTGCAATGAAAATTCCTCTGCATTGCCGAGGACTGGTCTCTCTAACGTCTGACTTTGACAGCATCACTCAAAAGTATTTATAATTGTTTATGACAATCTGTTGAAGAAATTTTTAAACAACTTGGCATTACCGTGTATATAAAAGTAACCCGTTGAACCATGTGCTTGGAAGTTCAACTCATCATAGTTCAACAAAAATGGCGGCTTATGAAGTTTTTTTAGGCGTATTCATCTTCGTTCATAACAGACGACCGAGAATTACATTTTAAAAGAAAAATGGAAGCGTTCGTTTTAAATTTGTTTGTTTTGCATTATTTTCATTTTCTAAAAGAAATAAAAGATGTTTTTCGTGTTTGCACTGGCTTATGCAAACCTCGGAGAAGTTTGTGAGAATTCTCGTGCAAGTGCGAACCTCGACCTTCGGTCTCGGGCTTGCACTGATCGGCTTGCAATTTACTTTTCAGTACAAATGGTTTAAGTTTTCGAAATATGTTGAGTTCATGGTTGGAGAAACGTTGAGAATATTCAAAGACATAGAAGGTTAGTGGCGGTCTTAATATTTCGAATCTTTCGTCTGAAAGCTTCATTGTCGATTTCGGGTAACGTCTGCAAAGTTAACGCAAAAGGTTGGCTACATTTGTTGGTCTTTATATGAGGCTCGCTTTTGATCGAATCTAAGTTGACAATGTCTGAATATTTCAATAAAATAAATACACAAGGTGCATGGAATGAACGTGTTAAGACTTGTTTTGTCGCCGGAAAGAACAATGCAAGCTATACAGTTGCCAGCGCTATCCTTAGAATGTTTATCGAGGGAGGGGCGTAATCCTTCCAACCGACTGGGCAACGAACTTGTACCGAATACACTATAGGACAAAGCCTCGACAATTTTCAAGTTCTACTAAATGACGCCTCTTAATTGACGCTTCATCGGTGCTATATTATCGTGAACTGCACATGTCTTGCTCATAAGTTATTCTTGATTCATACCACAATTTAAGTCTCTTCTTAATTACGCTTTATCAAAATCGTTCATAATATTGTTGTTTAGTCGTCAATAATCTTTTTTCTACCGACTGATATAGTAATTCTACCGACTACATTTAAGAAATAAAAGATGTTTACTGTGTTTGCACAGGCTTATTTAAACCGAGGAGACCTTTGGGAGAACTCGAGAGCAGATCAGTGCAAGCCCGAGACCGAAGGTCGAGAGTTGCACCTGCTCTAGACCAATCAGCGCACGCGTTTTATTGTGTTTATAATTCAAAATGAAATATTTTGGGTGTGACACCCTACACCTTCCCATATGTACGGCCCTGGCAATTGCTGTTGCCGTATAAAGAAATTCTCAGGTTTCTGGTGTGTATAAAGCTTGTTGTGTTAAAATTGGAGAAATTGGTCACCTGCCCAAATAAGAAAACACTTCATTAACTTGCACATTTATTTCAACGCGAATGTTTACAATGCCATGACAAAGGAGTACCCTTGAATACACAACTACATTTCATGTGACTATACTATTCATCCTCGCGCGTACCACCAAACTCCTTTTGTCCTAAGCAAGTTCTGGAAGACGTACTAGAAGAAATTTAAAATAAAAGTTAAAGAAGAAGTAAATTACGTGCCATTTTTTGATAGTTTCGATTATTTGCGCTGTTGGGAGTGCTTTTGTGAAGAGCTGTCGGTTATTTCCTGTAACTAGGCGATGATGTTCATGCTGCATTATGGGCGTCCGAATCAGTCAAAGAGAGATTTAGCAAACACGACGTATAGTCTAAGGCGCCGTGAAAATGGCGTAAATATGGCGTGAACAAACGTTCGTAATATTGACTGATTCGGACGCCCATACTGCATTGTGTGACAAATTGCTCTCAAAAATGAACTTTCTGTACGGCAAAGTTCCCTCACTTTGGAAGTTTGGGAATACTCATGCACAAATCATATGTCTGACTCTCGAATATTTCTTTTGTGTACTTTCTTCAACAATCCAACAGAAGCGGATATGCAAATGAAACACGTGAAATTCACGAGCATCGTCAGGCAGAAAAATAGTAGAACCTTGTACCTCTTCTATAACAGTTGTGGACACCCTCTATGTGGTCATCCCAACAACATCCTATTTTTCACATAGTTTTCTGTTATTCCCACTTTACCGCAACCAACTCTTTCAACTGGTTAGAAACATCGCAAGATTCACCTAAATATGTGAAATTCATCGTTAAGGTATTCAGCTGCACGAGTAGAAAATTGTTCCGTTTGTATGAGGTTTGAAATAATAAATCAATAATCAGGATTTTAATGGTCCTTAAGTCGTGTATTTGAAATCAAATTTCGTGTAGTCATGCATTGCAATCCATCCAATAATTATAAAGTATTACTTTCATGCGGATTGGTTTGACCGTTTAAGTCACTTTAAAACGATGGGAAACATTTGCCTGAGCAATATTTATGGTTTCTCTTTAATTGCATGAACAGCGGATGAGAATAGTTATGTAAAGTTGAATTAGAAATTTACATGTGTTCAAGTACGATAAAGTTTTGTAATTACTTTGGTAAAAACAGTAGGGGACGCCTGATTTTTCTTTGTCCCAGCAACCTTTTTTTACATTGTGTTTCCGTGATTCCCGGATAACCACAATGTAGTCGTTCTATCTCCAGCACCTCAGAGCATTCATGACCTAGAATATAATAAATATCTATTAGCTATCGATGTCATGCAGAATCGCTGCTATTAGTTATGTACATATGGTGGTGTGCATGGTAAACAAGCTAGTCGAAAACCCCATAGGAAGAGTTTGAGATAAATTTCTTGAGCTTGAAATTTAACTCTGATATAGTAGCCGTGAAAGTTTTATTCAATCGAAAGCGGAATTTTTAGGCGCTGATACACGAGCCCGGGCAGCCGGGATTCGGCCGAGCGATAAATGATTTTGGCAAATGGAAACGATTCAATACTTATCATCAGATATATCTTTTAGAGCAATTTTGCAATTAGTATTCTAATTTAATAACTACGCAAAGCATTTAGAATCAAAACAACCAATTTCGCCTAATTTCAGTGTACAGTAGTTTTTCCTACAGCTTTGGCGTTTTTCGTCATTAATAAAAACTAAAACATTTTTCGCAATGAACGAGTGTGTAATGTCGTCGTGTAATTTATATATAGTTGGTTACCTCTAAAATAGCATCCAAACTCGCTCGATTCGCCTTGCATTGCTTAAGCATTGCTCCTCTGTTATCCCATATTGACCACATTTTATTTTAGCCGATATATTGTCGCATGTAGCGCCTAACAATTGTCAAAACCAGACGTGTGATTAATGGCGTAATTAAGTAAGGCATGCAAATAAATGTGGCGGTATTTCGTCTCAGAAACTATACTGCTTGATTTCAGTACTTAAGTACAGAAACTGTATGAGAAACTTCTCTCAAAGACAAAACCATTCATTAGCATTATGTGTGCAATTTTCACCGTATACATTAAAGGGTACGCCAAGTTAGCACGGCTACAATTTCCACATTATCAATGTTCCCCAGGAAAACGAAGCATCTCCACTAGTTTTAAGAGGCTTTCTCCTTGTGACGTAACATATTGTTTTGTCACAAGGTCTGAATTGTGAATGGTCAAATTGAATTGGCTTTTCATCTAGATGGTTGTTTGCCTGATTACAGTTTCATATTTAGTAAATTGTAGTAATAACCTTCATGCTTCACGTTCTTCGTGCTATTTTTGGATTTCGATATATCAGCTGCTAAAAAGATGTAAAAAAAGTAAATGTTAATGGTGAAATGATCACGGGAAAATTAAAAGGTGATTTTTCGCGAAAAATAGCCAGCGATGTGGTCAGTTCGATAGAGTTGAATATCTTTAAGTCTTATATTAATGAAACAGATGAAAGCTTGTGTATTCAACGTTAGTGAGTGGATCCTGATAGCTAACTGAACTTGAATAGTGTGTTGCGTTGTGCTACAGAGTTGAATTTAGGTTAACTCAACTCGCTAAGTTAGAATTCTGGATGGCGCAGAAATTATGCTGTAAAAGCCCAACTAACCGTTTTTCGTGGAAAAAATCAAAAAGGGTCGTTTACTATATTGTTAGAGCATCTTCTAACTCACTAAAGGTTTTTATCGCACCCCTCCAGCTCAGCAGATTTTCTAAGCTGCATGCAATAATGTAAAATCATACCAAACACGCAGGCCAAACTGAGTATAACGATTGAGAGGACGGTTGTCTTCATAATTCTTGCTTAATCTCAAAGCTTCACTCTTGAAATGAACTGAACACACAACTGAAATCTGACTGTGCCAGCTCAATACTAACCCTGCTTTTTATAACCCCCCTTTCTTTGAAAATTTGCCTTTCTAATGTGCGTAGAAACCGTTATTTTTGACTACGTCACATCATAAGTTGTTCTCAGCAGTCCACTTGAATATTATGTCTCTGTGTCTGCTTTTGTCGCATGGTCAACAATTGCGTCCACATTGTTTATTCATTCTAACCTGGTTTACAATGCTCGAGCACGTCGTTTTTACGAAATTGATCAATCTTATGTTGTGCAAGTGTAGAGAACTATTTTTTTCAAAAGATTTTGGCAAAACCCAAGTTTTTTATCACATAGTTGTCTCTTCCAATGAATTTTCTATATTATCCATCTCTACATAAACAGGCCAATATACGTTCTGACGTTTTACAGTAGTGGCGGTAATTTTACACACTACGCATCCTGTACACACTTAATTTGAGCTTTGCACAACAAATTTGGATAGCTTTGCAGAGCTATATTGCTGAGCGTTGTTTAATTGAGAATTGTAAAGATGATAATGAAAAGCAAACATGAAGGAGTCGGTTCGACAACTTTGAGACAATCAGCTACCACAGTGTTACAATGTTCTAGAACTATGCGATCACAATCAAATTACCGGTGTGGAAATTTAAAAAGAAATCATCCTCTTTCCATACATTCGTCCGTAAAATCTATTTGTCAAATCTAGTTTCCATTTTACTAACCAATTGGCAGTACTTGTGAACAATACTATCGCTTTGGGAAACATTTTGCCATCTGTGCATTGATATCGAAAAATCACAAAATATAGTCAATATATAGTTTTATATAGTAAATACATAGTTTTTTCTATATGCTGTGTAGACAATACGTTTTCTCATGTAGGCATTCAAAAATCACTGAATTCAAAATATTAGATGCCGGTACGCTTCATGGTGTATGATATGATTCTAACGGTTAAGTGTTTTTTTCCGATGGTTAAATTTAAATTTAGAATGTTCGATTTGTGGAAAATCCTGAGAATTCCTTATCGATGGTAAAATCACATGCAATAATTCAGCAGTTCAGGAGCTTGACCGCATGTTTTTCAAACTTTCATTCATAATGCGCAATTATGATTAGTTTTGATTTTTTTAAATTCCTCTCATACATCGTAAGTTTATAACGCGATCGTTTGATTAATGTCGAGAACATTAAAGATTTTATCGAATGAAAGATTTGATGCAAACTGTCGCATACTCTTGAATGTAGGGCTAGACTTGAGCATGTAAAATCGAGGTAATAATCAGCCTACAGATAGGGCTAGTCCTTTCAGCTGGGCTCATGTAAACAGCCCCTCGGTCATCATTTTAATAATACCAGTGATAATATGAATGACTTTATTCAACAATGTCCATCTATGCATCGATATCCAAATATCACAAAATATGGGATGCGACATACGCTTACCACCATTGTATCATCCCTTGAAAATGTGCAAAAGTGAAATATGCTTTGTGATTGTTACTGCGCATTGTGATTGTGCATTGATTATTGATATTAGATAAAACAACTAAATGAAGATATGAACTTCGCAAAGATGATATCTTCATTTAATTTCAAACACCGCACTGCATAAAACATTCATTAGATAAAACAATGACGTTATGGCGACCGGCCAGACGTTTACTTCTAAAAACAAAATATTATGTATGGGTATATGTTGTTGAAGAACATACTGGTATAAGTATACGTGTAGTTAAAAAATGAGAAAGTTTAGAAAGTATTTTTAGGGATGATACGTCCACCTTTGGAAGCGAGGGAGTATAAATAATTGTTTTTAGGTGACTCCGTTTCACTAAGAAGACATTTAGATGAGGCATGACAGACATCAAGTGCAGTCCAGAAAACAAGTGAACTTCCCATTTCTTCGACATTCAGATTTTATCACGAAAAGTTCACTTAGCCCTACCTTATCTTGTCATCCCTCGAAAATGTGAGTTTACACGATGCGGGAGCAGGTGTTGCGTGAGTGCGTACGCTTCGTGCGTGTGCACGTAGCGGCTAAGTGCATATTTCCGAAAATGTTGGCGTCTTTTCTTTTGAAAGGAAATTAGCCAGGAATAGCAGAATATATGAATGTAGTCTCCCTCAATTAACACAGGATTGACGCCAATGTTTCCGAGTAGCAATTAATTGTAGGTTTCAAATGATGTTGTTCGATTTTTCGAGAATTTCTAACAATTCTTATCTCGATGGTGAAATCACATGCAATGTTTTGGCATTCCCGTAGCTTGACCGCATATTTTTCAAACTTTCGTTCAATAATACACAATTATGATTAGTTTTGATTTTTTTCAATTAATCTTACATACCTTAGTTTGTCATGTTCGTTTGATTAATGTCGCCAACATTAAAGATTCTTTATAGTTTGCACGACAACATAGTGAAACGAATGAAAGATTTGATGCAAACTGTGTATTTTATTTGTGTATGATATAATTGATAATACATAAAAGAAAGCTGCGAAAAACGACGAGGCGTCTACCTCGACGATATTGAATCATGAAATGTGCTGTAAAAAACTTGAAAATAACTACAAGTTACTGTAATCTTTCTTAATGCAAAATCTTTCAGTGCCTGGTCTTTTATGTAAAATACATAGGAGGAAAGGACTACAGATATATCCTGGCGTTTGTATTTCCCCATATAAGAACATATTAGATATGGTAAATTATGGTGAACGATAAACTCGAATAAATATATGTTTAATTAAGCGATGGAGTAGTGGTATAATCTTTATATGATTTCATTTCACATACACACACATATAAGTGAATGATGGCAGACATCAAGCGCAGCCCCAAAAAATATGGAAACTGCACATTTCTTCCACACATAGATCTTGTCATCAAAAGCTTACTCAGAACTTTGCATTAACTTGTGCTATCGCCAGCCACTCTCTGACAAAGGTTTTTAGTGTGCCCCTATGACTTTTAATGAAACTTGTTCACAACGATGAAGTCTTTCCTCCACGAATGTCAGTAGGAACATACAGTAAGGCCTGTCCAATGAATTTTTATGCAATGCATATATCTTACTACGCATGTGATTACCATAATGTTCCAGTAAATTTCATTTTCTGACCAATAGGAGTGCTGAGCCGGCGAACAGTCACCATGCATTAGCCTAATTAAATATACATGTTGTTAAATCTATTAGCATTGTCTTGTAGACCTCGTACCAATTTACTGTCTTTCATAAGTCAGTACAGTCACTACACACGCAAAATATGACGTTTTAAACTGTGGCATCACTGTTAGATTATCGCCAATATTAATGTTTTTATTTCAGTATTTTCATCGCTGATGCAAGAAGCAACATTGAGTACATTAAATTCATATTGAAATCATCGAACTTGTCATACTAAGCATTTATGTTGATGCTTTGCGCTCTTAAAACATAATCCTAATCTCCTTTTTTCATTCTGTTCTCTCCCAGAACAATCTTTTAATCTCTCACCCAAATAACATTGCCCACTCTCTCAAACTCAATCAGGAGATTATCCGAAACTGGGTCATGTTCCTGATTTTTCACCCTAGCGGCAAACTTGGCTGCTAAATTGTCGGTTCATATTATCTGTCACTCTTTTAACAATTCACATCAGCACATAAATGCATAAATCCATTTCTGACAAGTCTTACTGCGTATGCAATTGATGTTTTAACTTCACAATGTTCGCCATTTGGTCACGTTTACCTACAAAGTTTGCTGTTGATGCTGGTGTTGGTGTTGGTCTTCGTGTTCGTTTTTGATGTTCGATGTTGATATTGGTGTTGGGTGTTGGTGTCGCTATTGGTGCTGATGCTAGTCTTGACGTTAGTGTCGATATTGGATGTTGGTGTGGCTGTTCTTGGATGTTGGTGCTGGTGTTGGTGTTTGTGTTAAGGTTGGTGTTGGTGTCGTTGTTGGATGTTAAGTGTTGGTGTTAGTTTTTGCGTTAGTGTTGCTGTTAGTGTTTGATGTGATGCTGGTGTTGGTGTTAAGGTTGGTGTTGGTCCCGTTTTGGATGTTGGGTGATGATGTTAGTGGTGCTGTTTTAGTGTTTGATGTTGATGCCGGTCTTGGTGTTAGGTTTGGTGTTGATAGTGGTGTTGGTATTGGTGTATTGGTGTTGATGCTGGTGTTGGTGTTAGTATTGTTGTTGGTGCTAGTGTTGCTGTTGCTGTTGAATGTTAATGTTGGTGTTAAGGTTGGTGTTGATGTCGTTGTTGGATGTTGGGTGTTGGTTTGGTGTTAGTGTTGCTGTTAGTGTTTGATGTTGGTGCTGGTGTTGATGCTGGTGTTGGTGTTGATGTTGGTATTGGTGTTGATGCTGGTATTGGTGTTGATGCTGGTGTTGCTGTTGGTGTTGCTGTTGCTGTTTAATGTTAATGTTGGTGTTAAGGTTGGTGTTGATGTCGTTGTTGGATTTTGGGTGTTGGTTTGGTGTTAGTGTTGCTGTGAGTGTTTGATGATGGTGCTAGTGTTGGTGTTGATGCTGGTGTTGGTGTTGATGCTGGTGTTGGTGTTGATGCTGGTGTTGGTGTTGATGCTGGTGTTGGTGTTGATGCTGGTGTTGGTGTTGATGCTGGTGTTGGTGTTGATGTTGGTGCTAGTGTTGCTGTTGCTGTTGAATGTTGGTGTTGGTGTTAAGGTTGATGTTGGTATTGGTGTTGATGCTGGTGTTGGTGTTTGTTTACGTTTCGACATTCAAGAGAAATTGACTCATTTAGAGAATTTTATCTATGTATTATGTTCGTATTTAATCAGCGTAGTTAACCAACATCAACACTAACACCAGCATCAATATTATGTACGTATTTTATCGACGGCCCATAATCCGAGCACCTTAGTATGACGTCTACAGTTGGGCTTCATTATTAAACTTTAATTTGTCAATAGTGTTTCCACATTGTAGGAAATTTCGTATTTGCTAATGCCAAACATTTAGTCGTTAGCATATGTCAATGAGACAAGTGGAGTAATGCTTTGAAATTCCTACTTTAGATTCAAGATTTTCTTGGTATCATGGCTATTTTCATGTTGTTTTTTAACTGCTTTGTTACCTGGCTGATGGTAAATTTATTATTTCAGCACTATTGAAGAAGCCTGTAGTTTGTTTTAGAAGCCTGTTCATTTGTGTAGAAAGACTCCGGAAATTTAAGAATATTTTTTCTGGAAAATTGAAGAAACTTTACCTTTGAAGCGACAAATTTTAAAATTCACTTGTGGAAACATGTGAATTTGTCAAAATCCTCAAAATGGAGAGAAGCTGACTCCTTCGAAGAAAACGTACTTATTTTAAAAATGATTTTGAGCTATTTATTGGAAAATTTTCGAGAATATTCAGAGGCAAAGAAGGTAAGTGATGCTTCTAATCTTTCGTTTTAAAAGTTTTACACTCGTGTTCAATTAAAAACTTGATATGTTCCATCGTTCCATCAAAGAAACCGTTCTCGCGAAAGGTTGGCCATTATCGGCCGTTTTTTACTTCATTTCTCGGCCAGAAAGGCTCACAGTCAATAGTGAGCTTCACGTTTTATGAAAGATGACCAAGTTGACTTTCCATGTCCATATTTTAGTAGCAAACGCCACAAGGAGCGTGGAATTTTCGCATTTTATTTTGTCGTCTGTCGGAACGATGCAAGCAGTGCAAGTGCACTTGCGGTTTAATTTCTCGAGGAAGATGAGTGTCATAATCCTAATTTTTTGTTTGAAAGTTTTAATATTTCGAATCTTTCGTCTGAAAGCTTCATTGTCGATTTTGGGTAACGTCTGCAAAGTTAACGCAAAAGGTTGGCTACATTTGTTGGTCTTTATATGAGGCTCGCTTTTGATCGAATCTAAGTTGACAATGTCTGAATATTTCAATAGAATATTCAAACTTGTTTTGTCGCCGGAAAGAACAATGCAAGCTATACAGTTGCCAGCGCTATCCTTAGAATGTTTATCGAGGGGGGGTGGGGGCGTAATCCTTCCAACCGACTGGGTAACGAACTTGTACTGAATACACTATAGGACAAAGCCTCGACAATTTTCAAGTTCTACTAAATGACGCCTCTTAATTGACGCTCGTCGGTGTTATATTATCGTGAACTGCACATGTCTTGCTCATAAGTTATTCTTGATTCATACCACAATTTAAGTCTCTTCTTAATTACGCTTTATCAAAATCGTTCATAATATTGTTGTTTATTCGTCAATAATCTTTTTTCTACCGACTGATATAGTAATTCTACCGACTATATTTAAGAAATAAAAGATGTTTACTGTGTTTGCACAGGCTTATTTAAACCGAGGAGACCTTTGGGAGAACTCGAGAGCACATCAGTGCAAGCCCGAGACCGAAGGTCGAGAGTTGCACCTGCTCTAGACCAATCAGCGCACGCGTTTTATTGTGTTTATAATTCAAAATGAAATATTTTGGGGGTGTGACACCCCCTACACCTTCCCATATGTACGGCCCTGGCAATTGCTGTTGCCGTATAAAGAAATTCTCAGGTTTCTGGTCTGTATAAGGCATGTTGTGTTAAAATTGGAGAAATTGGTCACCTGCCCAAATAAGAAAACACTTCATTAACTTGCAGATTTATTTCAACGCGAATGTTTACAATGCCATGACAAAGGAGTACCCTTGAATACACAACTACATTTCATGTGACTATACTATTCATCCTCGCGTGTACCACCAAACTCCTTTTTGTCCTAAGCAAGTTCTGGAAGACGTACTAGAAGAAATTTAAAATAAAAGTTAAAGAAGAAGTAAATTACGTGCCATTTTTTGATAGTTTCGATTATTTGCGCTGTTGGGATTACTTTTGTGAAGAGCTGTCGGTGATTTCCTGTAACTAGGCGATGATGTTCATGCTGCATTATGGGCGTCCGAATCCAGTCAAATCGAGAGATTTAGCAAATACGACGTATGGTCTATGACGCCGTGAAAATGGCGTAAATATGGCGTGAACAAACGTTCGTAATATTGACTGATTCGGACGCCCATACTGCATTGTGTGATAAATTGCTCTTAAAAATGAACTTTCTGTACGGCAAAGTTCCCTCACTTTGGAAGTTTGGGAATACTCATGCACAAATCATATGTCTGACTCTCGAATATTTCTTTTCTGTACTTTCTTCAACAATCCAACAGAAGCGGATATGCAAATGAAAACACGTGAAATTCACGAGCATCGTCAGGCAGAAAATAGTAGAACCTTGTACCTCTTCTATAACAGTTGTGGACACCCTCTGTGGTCATCCCAACAACATCCTATTGCTTCACATTGGCTTTCCGTTATTCCCACTTTACCGCAACCAACTCTTTCAACTGGCTTAGAAACATCGCAAGATTCACCTAAATATGTGAAATTCATCGTTAAGGTATTCAGCTGCACGAGTAGAAAATTGTTCCGTTTGTATGAGGTTTGAAATAATAAATCAACAATCAGGATTTTAATGGTCCTTAAGTCGTGTATTTGAAATCAAATTTCGTGTAGTCATGCATTGCAATCCATCCAATAATTATAAAGTATTACTTTCATGCGGATTGGTTTGACCGTTTAAGTCACTTTAAAACGATGGGAAACATTTGCCTGAGCAATATTTATGGTTTCTCTTTAATTGCATGAACAGCGGATGAGAATAGTTATGTAAAGTTGAATTAGAAATTTACATGTGTTCAAGTACGATAAAGTTTTGTAATTACTTTGGTAAAACAGTAGGGGACGCCTGATTTTTCTTTGTCCCAGCAACAGCCTTTTTTTTACATTGTGTTTCCGTGATTCCCGGATAACCACAATGTAGTCGTTCTATCTCCAGCACCTCAGAGCATTCATGACCTAGAATATAATAAATATCTATTAGCTATCGATGTCATGCAGAATCGCTGCTATTAGTTATGTACATATGGTGGTGTGCATGGTAAACAAGCAAGTCCAAAACCCCATAGGAAGAGTTTGAGATAAATTTCTTGAGCTTGAAATTTGACTCTGATATAACAAAAAAATAGTTTAGCCGTGAAAAGTTTTATTCAATCGAAAGCGGAATTTTTAGGCGCTGATACACGAGCCCGGGCAGCCGGGATTCGGCCGAGCGATAAATGATTTTGGCAAATGGAAACGATTCAATACTTATCATCAGATATATCTTTTAGAGCAATTTTGCAATTAGTATTCTAATTTAATAACTACGCAAAGCATTTAGAATCAAAACAACCAATTTCGCCTAATTTCAGTGTACAGTAGTTTTTCCTACAGCTTTGGCGTTTTTCGTCATTAATAAAAACTAAAACATTTTTCGCAATGAACGAGTGTGTAATGTCGTCGTGTAATTTATATATAGTTGGTTACCTCTAAAATAGCATCCAAACTCGCTCGATTCGCCTTGGTTCCAACAACAATCATTGCTTAAGCATTGCTCCTCTGTTATCCCATATTGACCACATTTTATTTTAGCCGATATATTGTCGCATGTAGCGCCTAACAATTGTCAAAACCAGACGTGTGATTAATGGCGTAATTAAGTAAGGCATGCAAATAAATGTGGCGGTATTTCGTCTCAGAAACTATACTGTTTGATTTCAGTACTTAAGTACAGAAACTGTATGAGAAACTTCTCTCAAAGACAAAACCATTCATTAGCATTATGTGTGCAATTTTCACCGTATACATTAAAGGGTACGCCAAGTTAGCACGGCTACAATTTCCACATTATCAATGTTCCCCAGGAAAACGAAGCATCTCCACTAGTTTTAAGAGGCTTTCTCCTTGTGACGTAACATATTGTTTTGTCACAAGGTCTGAATTGTGAATGGTCAAATTGAATTGGCTTTTCATCTAGATGGTTGTTTGCCTGATTACAGTTTCATATTTAGTAAATTGTAGTAATAACCTTCATGCTTCACGTTCTTCGTGCTATTTTGGATTTCGATATATCAGCTGCTAAAAGATGTAAAAAGTAAATGTTAATGGTGAAATGATCACGGGAAAATTAAAAGGTGATTTTTCGCGAAAAATAGCCAGCGATGTGGTCAGTTCGATAGAGTTGAATATCTTTAAGTCTTATATTAATGAAACAGATGAAAGCTTGTGTATTCAACGTTAGTGAGTGGATCCTGATAGCTAACTGAACTTGAATAGTGTGTTGCGTTGTGCTACAGAGTTGAATTTAGGTTAACTCAACTCGCTAAGTTAGAATTCTGGATGGCGCAGAAATTATGCTGTAAAGCCCAACTAACCGTTTTTCGTGGAAAAATCAAAAGGGTCGTTTACTATATTGTTAGAGCATCTTCTAACTCACTAAAGGTTTTATCGCACCCTCCAGCTCAGCAGATTTTCTAAGCTGCATGCAATAATGTAAAATCATACCAAACACGCAGGCCAAACTGAGTATAACGATTGAGAGGACGGTTGTCTTCATAATTCTTGCTTAATCTCAAAGCTTCACTCTTGAAATGAACTGAACACACAACTGAAATCTGACTGTGCCAGCTCAATACTAACCCTGCTTTTATAACCCCTTTCTTTGAAAATTTGCCTTTCTAATGTGCGTAGAAACCGTTATTTTTGACTACGTCACATCATAAGTTGTTCTCAGCAGTCCACTTGAATATTATGTCTCTGTGTCTGCTTTTGTCGCATGGTCAACAATCTGCGTCCACATTGTTTATTCATTCTAACCTGGTTTACAATGCTCGAGCACGTCGTTTTTACGAAATTGATCAATCTTATGTTGTGCAAGTGTAGAGAACTATTTTTTTCAAAAGATTTTGGCAAAACCCAAGTTTTTTATCACATAGTTGTCTCTTCCAATGAATTTTCTATATTATCCATCTCTACATAAACAGGCCAATATACGTTCTGACGTTTTACAGTAGTGGCGGTAATTTTACACACTACGCATCCTGTACACACTTAATTTGAGCTTTGCACAACAAATTTGGATAGCTTTGCAGAGCTATATTGCTGAGCGTTGTTTGATTGAGAATTGTAAAGATGATAATGAAAAAGCAAACATGAAGGACTCGGTTCGACAACTTTGAGACAATCAGCTACCACAGTGTTACAATGTTCTAGAACTATGCGATCACAATCAAATTACCGGTGTGGAAATTTAAAAGAAATCATCCTCTTTCCATACATTCGTCCGTAAAATCCATTTGTCAAATCTAGTTTCCATTTTACTAACCAATTGGCAGTACTTGTGAAAATACTATCGCTTTGGGAAACATTTTGCCATATGTGCATTGATATCAAAATATCACAAAATATAGTCAATATATAGTTTTATATAGTTAATACATAGTTTTTCTATACGCTGTGTAGAAAATACGTTTTCTCATCTATGCATTCAAAAATCACTGAATTCAAAATATTAGATGCCGGTACGCTTCATGGTGTATGATATGATTCTAACGGTTAAGTGTTTTTTCCGATGGTTAAATTTAAATTTAGAATGTTCGATTTGTGGAAAATCCTGAGAATTCCTTATCGATGGTAAAATCACATACAATAATTCAGCAGTTCAGGTGCTTGACCGCATGTTTTTCAAACTTTCATTCATAATGCGCAATTGTGATTAGTTTTGATTTTTTAAATTCCTCTCATACATCGTAAGTTTATAACGCGATCGTTTGATTAATGTCGAGAACATTAAAGATTTTTATCGAATGAAAGATTTGATGCAAAATGTCGCATAGTCTTGGATGTAGGGCTAGACTTGAGCATGTAAAATCGAGGTAATAATCAGCCTACAGATAGGGCTAGTCCTTTCAGCTGGGCTCATGTAAACAGCCCCTTGGTCATCATTTTAATAATACCAGTGATAATATGAATGACTTTATTCAACAATGTCCATCTATGCATCGATATCCAAATATCACAAAATATGGAATGCGACATACGCTTACCACCATTGTATCATCCCTTGAAAATGTGAAAAAGTGAAATATGCTTTGTGATTGTTACTGCGCATTGTGATTGTGCATTGATTATTGATATTAGATAAAACAATTAAATGAAGATATGATCTTCGCGAAGATGATATCTTCATTTAATTTCAAACACCGCACTGCATAAAACATTCATTAGATAAAACAATGACGTTATGGCGACCGGCCAGACGTTTACTTCTAAAAATAAAATATTATGTATGGGTATATGTTGTTGAAGGACATACTGGTATAAGTATACGTGTAGTTAAAAAATGAGAAAGTTTAGAAAGTATTTTTAGGGATGATACGTCCACCTTTGGAAGCGAGGGAGTATAAATAATTGTTTTTAGGTGACTCCGTTTCACTAAGAAGACATTTAGATGAGGCATGACAGACATCAAGTGCAGTCCAGAAAACAAGTGAACTTCCCATTTCTTCGACATTCAGATTTTATCACGAAAAGTTCACTTAGCCCTACCTTATCTTGTCATCCCTCGAAAATGTGAGTTTACACGATGCGGGAGCAGGTGTTGCGTGAGTGCGTACGCTTCGTGCGTGTGCACGTAGCGGCTAAGTGCATATTTCCGAAAATGTTGGCGTCTTTTCTTTTGAAAGGAAATTAGCCAGGAATAGCAGAATATATGAATGTAGTCTCCCTCAATTAACACAGGATTGACGCCAATGTTTCCGAGTAGCAATTAATTGTAGGTTTCAAATGATGTTGTTCGATTTTTCGAGAATTTCTAACAATTCTTATCTCGATGGTGAAATCACATGCAATGTTTCGGCATTCCCGGAGCTTGACCGCATATTTTTCAAACTTTCGTTCAATAATACACAATGATGATTAGTTTTGATTTTTTTCAATTAATCTTACATACCTTAGTTTGTCATGTTCGTTTGATTAATGTCGCCAACATTAAAGATTCTTTATAGTTTGCACGACAACATAGTGAAGCGAATGAAAGATTTGATGCAAACTGTGTATTTTATTTGTGTATGATATAATTGATAATACATAAAAGAAAGCTGCGAAAACGACGAGGCGTCTACCTCGACGATATTGAATCATGAAATGTGCTGTAAAAAACTTGAAAATAACTACAAGTTACTGTAATCTTTCTTAATGCAAAATCTTTCAGTGCCTGGTCTTTTATGTAAAATACATAGGAGGAAAGGACTACAGATATATCCTGGCGTTTGTATTTCCCCATATAAGAACATATTAGATATGGTAAATTATGGTGAACGATAAACTCGAATAAATATATGTTTAATTAAGCGATGGAGTAGTGGTATAATCTTTATATGATTTCATTTCACATACACACACATATAGGTGAATGATGGCAGAGATCAAGCGCAGCCCCAAAAAATATGGAAACTGCACATTTCTTCCACACATAGATCTTGTCATCAAAAGCTTACTCAGAACTTTGCATTAACTTGTGCTATCGCCAGCCACTCTCTGACAAAGGTTTTTAGTGTGCCCCTATGACTTTTAATGAAACTTGTTCACAACGATGAAGTCTTTCCTCCACGAATGTCAGTAGGAACATACAGTAAGGCCTGTCCAATGAATTTTATGCAATGTATATCTTACTACGCATGTGATTACCATAATGTTCCAGTAAATTTCATTTTCTGACCAATAGGAGTGCTGAGCCGGCGAACAGTCACCATGCATTAGCCTAATTAAATATACATGTTGTTAAATCTATTAGCATTGGCTTTGTAGACCTCGTACCAATTTACTGTCTTTCATAAGTCAGTACAGTCACTACGAACGCAAAATATGACGTTTTAAGCTGTGGCATCACTGTTAGATTATCGCCAATATTAATGTTTTTATTTCAGTATTTTCATCGCTGATGCAGGAAGCAACATTGAGTACATTAAATTCATATTGAAATCATCGAGCTTGTCATACTAAGCATTTTTTAATGTGCGAATGAACTGCATGTTGTTGCGCTTCAAAATCAACATAATCCTAGTCGATCCTTTATGTTGATGCAAAACTTAATCTGTCTCTCTCCCAGAACAATCTTTACTCTCTCACCCAAATAATATTGCCCACTCTCTCAAACTCAATCAGGAGATTATCCGAAACTGGGTCATGTTCCTGATTTTTCACCCTAGCGGCAAACTTGGCTGCTAAATTGTCGGTTCATATTATCTGTCACTCTTTTAACAATTCACATCAGCACATAAATGCATAAATCCATTTCTGACAAGTCTTACTGCGTATGCAATTGATGTTTTAACTTCACAATGTTCGCCATTTGGTCACGTTTACCTACAAACTTTGCTGTTGATGCTGGTGTTGGTGTTGGTCTTCGTGTTCGTGTTTGATGTTCGATGTTGATATTGGTGTTGGGTGTTGGTGTCGCTATTGGTGCTGATGCTAGTCTTGACGTTAGTGTCGATATTGGATGTTGGTGTGGCTGTTCTTGGATGTTGGTGCTGGTGTTGGTGTTTGTGTTAAGGTTGGTGTTGGTGTCGTTGTTGGATGTTAAGTGTTGGTGTTAGTTTTTGCGTTAGTGTTGCTGTTAGTGTTTGATGTTGATGCTGGTGTTGGTGTTAAGGTTGGTGTTGGTGCCGTTGTTGGGTGTTGGGTGTTGATGTTAGTGGTGTTGTTAGTGTTTGATGTTGATGCCGGTCTTGGTGTTAGGTTGGTGTTGATAGTGGTGTTGGTATTGGTGTATTGGTGTTGATGCTGGTGTTGGTGTTAGTATTGGTGTTGGTGCTAGTGTTTTGTTGCTGTTGAATGTTAAGTTGGTGTTAAGGTTGGTGTTGATGTCGTTGTTGGATGTCGGTGTTGGTTTGGTGTTAGTGTTGCTATTAGTGTTTGATGTTGGTGCTGGTGTTGATGCTGGTGTTGGTGTTGATGCTGGTATTGGTGTTGATGCTGGTGTTGATGCTGGTGTTGCTGTTGTGTTGCTGTTGCTGTTGAATGTTAATGTTGGTGTTAAGGTTGGTGTTGATGTCGTTGTTGGGTTTGGGTGTTGATGTTAGTGATGCTGTTAGTGTTTGATGATGCAGTCTTGGTGTTAGGCTGGTGTTGATGTGGTGTTGGTATTGGTGTTGATGCTGGTGTTGGTGTTGGTGTTGGTGTTGGTGCTGTGTTGCTGTTGCTGTTGAATGTTAATGTTGGTGTTAAGGTTGGTGTTGATGTCGTTGTTGATTGTCGGTGTTGGTTTGGTGTTAGTGTTGCTATTAGTGTTTGATGTTGGTGCTGGTGTTGATGCTGGTGTTGGTGTTGATATTGATGCTGGTGTTGATGCTGGTGTTGGTGTTAATGTTAATGTTGGTGTTATTGGTGTTGATGTCGCTGTGAGTGTTTGATGATGGTGCTAGTGTTGGTGTTGATGCTGATGCATGCTGGTGTTGCTAAATGTTAAGGTTGGTGTTGATGTCGTTGTTGTCGGTGTTGGTTTGTTAGTGTTGCTATTAGTGTTTGATGTTGGTGCTGGTGTTGATGCTGGTGTTGGTGTTGATATTGGTGTTGATGCTGGTGTTGATGCTGGTGTTGCTGTTGCTGTTGCTGTTGAATGTTAATGTTGGTGTTATTGGTGTTGATGTCGTTGTTGGGTGTTGGGTGTTGATGTTAGTGGTGTTGTTAGTGTTTGATGTGATGCCGTCTTGGTGTTAGGGTTGGTGTTGATAGTGGTGTTGGTATTGGTGTTGATGCTGGTGTTGGTGTTGGTGTTGGTGTTGGTGCTAGTGTTGCTGTTGCTGTTGAATGTTAATGTTGGTGTTAAGGTTGGTGTTGATGTCGTTGTTGGATTGTCGGTGTTGGTTTGGTGTTAGTGTTGCTATTAGTGTTTGATGTTGGTGCTGGTGTTGATGCTGGTGTTGGTGTTGATGCTGGTATTGGTGTTGATGCTGGTGTTGATGCTGGTGTTGGTGTTGCTGTTGCTGTTGAATGTTAATGTTGGTGTTAGGTTGGTGTTGATGTCGTTGTTGGATTTTGGGTGTTGGTTTGGTGTTAGTGTTGCTGTGATGTTTGATGATGGTGCTAGTGTTGGTGTTGATGCTGGTGTTGTTGTTGATGCTGGTGTTGGTGTTGATGCTGGTGTTGGTGTTGATGCTGGTGTTGGTATTGGTGTTGGTGTTGGTGTTGTGTTGGTGCTAGTGTTGCTGTTGCTGTTGAATGTTAATGTTGGTGTTAAGGTTGGTGTTGATGTCGTTGTTGGATTTTCGGTGTTGGTTGGTGTTAGTGTTGCTGTTAGTGTTTGATGTTGGTGCTGGTGTTGATGCTGGTGTTGGTGTTGATGCTGGTGTTGGTGTTGATGCTGGTGTTGGTGTTGGTGCTGGTGTTGGTGTTGCTGTTGCTGTTGAATGTTAATGTTGGTGTTAAGGTTGGTGTTGATGTCGTTGTTGGATTTTGGTGTTGGTTTGGTGTTAGTGTTGCTGTGAGTGTTTGATGATGGTGCTAGTGTTGGTGTTGATGCTGGTGTTGTTGTTGATGCTGGTGTTGGTGTTGATGCTGGTGTTGGTGTTTGTTTACGTTTCGACATTCAAGAGAAATTGACTCATTTAGAGAATTTTATCTATGTATTATGTTCGTATTTAATCAGCGTAGTTAACCAACATCAACACTAACACCAGCATCAATATTATGTACGTATTTTATCGACGGCCCATAATCCGAGCACCTTAGTATGACGTCTACAGTTGGGCTTCATTATTAAACTTTAATTTGTCAATAGTGTTTCCACATTGTAGGAAATTTCGTATTTGCTAATGCCAAACATTTAGTCGTTAGCATATGTCAATGAGACAAGTGGAGTAATGCTTTGAAATTCCTACTTTAGATTCAAGATTTTCTTGGTATCATGGCTATTTTCATGTTGTTTTTTAACTGCTTTGTTACCTGGCTGATGGTAAATTTATTATTTCAGCACTATTGAAGAAGCCTGTAGTTTGTTTTAGAAGCCTGTTCATTTGTGTAGAAAGACTCCGTGTAACAGGAAATTTAAGAATATTTTTCTGGAAAATTGAAGAAACTTTACCTTTGAAGCGACAAATTTTAAAATTCACTCTAGGAAACATGTGAATTTGTCAAAATCCTCAAAATGGAGAGAAGCTGACTCCTTCGAAGAAAACGTACTTATTTTAAAAATGATTTTGAGCTATTTATTGGAAAATTTTCGAGAATATTCAGAGGCAAAGAAGGTAAGTGATGCTTCTAATCTTTCGTTTTAAAAGTTTTACACTCGTGTTCAATTAAAAACTTGATATGTTCCATCGTTCCATCAAAGAAACCGTTCTCGCGAAAGGTTGGCCATTATCGGCCGTTTTTTACTTCATTTCTCGGCCAGAAAGGCTCACAGTCAATAGTGAGCTTCACGTTTTATGAAAGATGACCAAGTTGACTTTCCATGTCCATATTTTAGTAGCAAACGCCACAAGGAGCGTGGAATTTTCGCATTTTATTTTGACGTCTGTCGGAACGATGCAAGCAGTGCAAGTGCACTTGCGGTTTAATTTCTCGAGGAAGATGAGTGTCATAATCCTAATTTTTTTGTTTGAAAGTTTTAATATTTCGAATCTTTCGTCTGAAAGCTTCATTGTCGATTTTGGGTAACGTCTGCAAAGTTAACGCAAAAGGTTGGCTACATTTGTTGGTCTTTATATGAGGCTCGCTTTTGATCGAATCTAAGTTGACAATGTCTGAATATTTCAATAGAATATTCAAACTTGTTTTGTCGCCGGAAAGAACAATGCAAGCTATACAGTTGCCAGCGCTATCCTTAGAATGTTTATCGAGGGGGGGTGGGGGCGTAATCCTTCCAACCGACTGGGAAACGAAATTGTACCGAATACACTATAGGACAAAGCCTCGACAATTTTCAAGTTCTACTAAATGACGCCTCTTAATTGACGCTCGTCGGTGTTATATTATCGTGAACTGCACATGTCTTGCTCATAAGTTATTCTTGATTCATACCACAATTTAAGTCTCTTCTTAATTACGCTTTATCAAAATCGTTCATAATATTGTTGTTTATTCGTCAATAATCTTTTTTCTACCGACTGATATAGTAATTCTACCGACTACATTTAAGAAATAAAAGATGTTTACTGTGTTTGCACAGGCTTATTTAAACCGAGGAGACCTTTGGGAGAACTCGAGAGCAGATCAGTGCAAGCCCGAGACCGAAGGTCGAGAGTTGCACCTGCTCTAGACCAATCAGCGCACGCGTTTTATTGTGTTTATAATTCAAAATGAAATATTTTGGGGTGTGACACCCTACACCTTCCCATATGTACGGCCCTGGCAATTGCTGTTGCCGTATAAAGAAATTCTCAGGTTTCTGGTCTGTATAAGGCATGTTGTGTTAAAATTGGAGAAATTGGTCACCTGCCCAAATAAGAAAACACTTCATTAACTTGCAGATTTATTTCAACGCGAATGTTTACAATGCCATGACAAAGGAGTACCCTTGAATACACAACTACATTTCATGTGACTATACTATTCATCCTCGCGTGTACCACCAAACTCCTTTTTGTCCTAAGCAAGTTCTGGAAGACGTACTAGAAGAAATTTAAAATAAAAGTTAAAGAAGAAGTAAATTACGTGCCATTTTTTGATAGTTTCGATTATTTGCGCTGTTGGGATTACTTTTGTGAAGAGCTGTCGGTGATTTCCTGTAACTAGGCGATGATGTTCATGCTGCATTATGGGCGTCCGAATCCAGTCAAATCGAGAGATTTAGCAAATACGACGTATGGTCTATGACGCCGTGAAAATGGCGTAAATATGGCGTGAACAAACGTTCGTAATATTGACTGATTCGGACGCCCATACTGCATTGTGTGATAAATTGCTCTTAAAAATGAACTTTCTGTACGGCAAAGTTCCCTCACTTTGGAAGTTTGGGAATACTCATGCACAAATCATATGTCTGACTCTCGAATATTTCTTTTCTGTACTTTCTTCAACAATCCAACAGAAGCGGACATGCAAATGAAAACACGTGAAATTCACGAGCATCGTCAGGCAGAAAAATAGTAGAACCTTGTACCTCTTCTATAACAGTTGTGGACACCCTCTATGTGGTCATCCCAACAACATCCTATTGCTTCACATTGGCTTTCCGTTATTCCCACTTTACCGCAACCAACTCTTTCAACTGGCTTAGAAACATCGCAAGATTCACCTAAATATGTGAAATTCATCGTTAAGGTATTCAGCTGCACGAGTAGAAAATTGTTCCGTTTGTATGAGGTTTGAAATAATAAATCAACAATCAGGATTTTAATGGTCCTTAAGTCGTGTATTTGAAATCAAATTTCGTGTAGTCATGCATTGCAATCCATCCAATAATTATAAAGTATTACTTTCATGCGGATTGGTTTGACCGTTTAAGTCACTTTAAAACGATGGGAAACATTTGCCTGAACAATATTTATGGTTTCTCTTTAATTGCATGAACAGCGGATGAGAATAGTTATGTAAAGTTGAATTAGAAATTTACATGTGTTCAAGTACGATAAAGTTTTGTAATTACTTTGGTAAAAACAGTAGGGGACGCCTGATTTTTCTTTGTCCCAGCAACAGCCTTTTTTTTTACATTGTGTTTCCGTGATTCCCGGATAACCACAATGTAGTCGTTCTATCTCCAGCACCTCAGAGCATTCATGACCTAGAATATAATAAATATCTATTAGCTATCGATGTCATGCAGAATCGCTGCTATTAGTTATGTACATATGGTGGTGTGCATGGTAAACAAGCAAGTCGAAAACCCCATAGGAAGAGTTTGAGATAAATTTCTTGAGCTTGAAATTTAACTCTGATATAACAAAAATAGTTTAGCATGAAAAGTTTTATTCAATCGAAAGCGGAATTTTTAGGCGCTGATACACGAGCCCGGGCAGCCGGGATTCGGCCGAGCGATAAATGATTTTGGCAAATGGAAACGATTCAATACTTATCATCAGATATATCTTTTAGAGCAATTTTGCAATTAGTATTCTAATTTAATAACTACGCAAAGCATTTAGAATCAAAACAACCAATTTCGCCTAATTTCAGTGTACAGTAGTTTTCCTACAGCTTTGGCGTTTTCGTCATTAATAAAAACTAAAACATTTTTCGCAATGAACGAGTGTGTAATGTCGTCGTGTAATTTATATATAGTTGGTTACCTCTAAAATAGCATCCAAACTCGCTCGATTCGCCTTGGTTCCAACAACAATCATTGCTTAAGCATTGCTCCTCTGTTATCCCATATTGACCACATTTTATTTTAGCCGATATATTGTCGCATGTAGCGCCTAACAATTGTCAAAACCAGACGTGTGATTAATGGCGTAATTAAGTAAGGCATGCAAATAAATGTGGCGGTATTTCGTCTCAGAAACTATACTGTTTGATTTCAGTACTTAAGTACAGAAACTGTATGAGAAACTTCTCTCAAAGACAAAACCATTCATTAGCATTATGTGTGCAATTTTCACCGTATACATTAAAGGGTACGCCAAGTTAGCACGGCTACAATTTCCACATTATCAATGTTCCCCAGGAAAACGAAGCATCTCCACTAGTTTTAAGAGGCTTTCTCCTTGTGACGTAACATATTGTTTTGTCACAAGGTCTGAATTGTGAATGGTCAAATTGAATTGGCTTTTCATCTAGATGGTTGTTTGCCTGATTACAGTTTCATATTTAGTAAATTGTAGTAATAACCTTCATGCTTCACGTTCTTCGTGCTATTTTGGATTTCGATATATCAGCTGCTAAAAGATGTAAAAAAAGTAAATGTTAATGGTGAAATGATCACGGGAAAATTAAAAGGTGATTTTTCGCGAAAAATAGCCAGCGATGTGGTCAGTTCGATAGAGTTGAATATCTTTAAGTCTTATATTAATGAAACAGATGAAAGCTTGTGTATTCAACGTTAGTGAGTGGATCCTGATAGCTAACTGAACTTGAATAGTGTGTTGCGTTGTGCTACAGAGTTGAATTTAGGTTAACTCAACTCGCTAAGTTAGAATTCTGGATGGCGCAGAAATTATGCTGTAAAAAGCCCAACTAACCGTTTTTCGTGGAAAAAATCAAAAAGGGTCGTTTACTATATTGTTAGAGCATCTTCTAACTCACTAAAGGTTTTTTATCGCACCCCTCCAGCTCAGCAGATTTTCTAAGCTGCATGCAATAATGTAAAATCATACCAAACACGCAGGCCAAACTGAGTATAACGATTGAGAGGACGGTTGTCTTCATAATTCTTGCTTAATCTCAAAGCTTCACTCTTGAAATGAACTGAACACACAACTGAAATCTGACTGTGCCAGCTCAATACTAACCCTGCTTTTATAACCCCTTTCTTTGAAAATTTGCCTTTCTAATGTGCGTAGAAACCGTTATTTTTGACTACGTCACATCATAAGTTGTTCTCAGCAGTCCACTTGAATATTATGTCTCTGTGTCTGCTTTTGTCGCATGGTCAACAATCTGCGTCCACATTGTTTATTCATTCTAACCTGGTTTACAATGCTCGAGCACGTCGTTTTTACGAAATTGATCAATCTTATGTTGTGCAAGTGTAGAGAACTATTTTTTTCAAAAGATTTTGGCAAAACCCAAGTTTTTTATCACATAGTTGTCTCTTCCAATGAATTTTCTATATTATCCATCTCTACATAAACAGGCCAATATACGTTCTGACGTTTTACAGTAGTGGCGGTAATTTTACACACTACGCATCCTGTACACACTTAATTTGAGCTTTGCACAACAAATTTGGATAGCTTTGCAGAGCTATATTGCTGAGCGTTGTTTAATTGAGAATTGTAAAGATGATAATGAAAAAGCAAACATGAAGGAGTCGGTTCGACAACTTTGAGACAATCAGCTACCACAGTGTTACAATGTTCAAGAACCATGCGATCACAATCAAATTACCGGTGTGGAAATTTAAAAAGAAATCATCCTCTTTCCATACATTCGTCCGTAAAATCTATTTGTCAAATCTAGTTTCCATTTTACTAACCAATTGGCAGTACTTGTGAAAATACTATCGCTTTGGGAAACATTTTGCCATCTGTGCATTGATATCGAAAAATCACAAAATATAGTCAATATATAGTTTTATATAGTAAATACATAGTTTTTTCTATACGCTGTGTAGAAAATACGTTTTCTCATGTAGGCATTCAAAAATCACTGATTTCAAAATATTAGATGCCGGTACGCTTCATGGTGTATGATATGATTCTAACGGTTAAGTGTTTTTTTCCGATGGTTAAATTTAAATTTAGAATGTTCGATTTGTGGAAAATCCTGAGAATTCTTATCGATGGTAAAATCACATACAATAATTCAGCAGTTCAGGTGCTTGACCGCATGTTTTTCAAACTTTCATTCATAATGCGCAATTATGATTAGTTTTGATTTTTTTAAATTCCTCTCATACATCGTAAGTTTATAACGCGATCGTTTGATTAATGTCGAGAACATTAAAGATTTTTATCGAATGAAAGATTTGATGCAAACTGTCGCATACTCTTGAATGTAGGGCTAGACTTGAGCATGTAAAATCGAGGTAATAATCAGCCTACAGATAGGGCTAGTCCTTTCAGCTGGGCTCATGTAAACAGCCCCTTGGTCATCATTTTAATAATACCAGTGATAATATGAATGACTTTATTCAACAATGTCCATCTATGCATCGATATCCAAATATCACAAAATATGGATGCGACATACGCTTACCACCATTGTATCATCCCTTGAAAATGTGCAAAAGTGAAATATGCTTTGTGATTGTTACTGCGCATTGTGATTGTGCATTGATTATTGATATTAGATAAAACAATTAAATGAAGATATGATCTTCGCGAAGATGATATCTTCATTTAATTTCAAACACCGCACTGCATAAAACATTTATTAGATAAAACAATGACGTTATGGCGACCGGCCAGACGTTTACTTCTAAAATAAAATATTATGTATGGGTATATGTTGTTGAAGAACATACTGGTATAAGTATACGTGTAGTTAAAAATGAGAAAGTTTAGAAAGTATTTTTAGGGATGATACGTCCACCTTTGGAAGCGAGGGAGTATAAATAATTGTTTTTAGGTGACTCCGTTTCACTAAGAAGACATTTAGATGAGGCATGACAGACATCAAGTGCAGTCCAGAAAACAAGTGAACTTCCCATTTCTTCGACATTCAGATTTTATCACGAAAAGTTCACTTAGCCCTACCTTATCTTGTCATCCCTCGAAAATGTGAGTTTACACGATGCGGGAGCAGGTGTTGCGTCAGTGCGTACGCTTCGTGCGTGTGCACGTAGCGGCTAAGTGCATATTTCCGAAAATGTTGGCGTCTTTTCTTTTGAAAGGAAATTAGCCAGGAATAGCAGAATATATGAATGTAGTCTCCCTCAATTAACACAGGATTGACGCCAATGTTTCCGAGTAGCAATTAATTGTAGGTTTCAAATGATGTTGTTCGATTTTTCGAGAATTTCTAACAATTCTTATCTCGATGGTGAAATCACATGCAATGTTTCGGCATTCCCGGAGCTTGACCGCATATTTTTCAAACTTTCGTTCAATAATACACAATTATGATTAGTTTTGATTTTTTTCAATTAATCTTACATACCTTAGTTTGTCATGTTCGTTTGATTAATGTCGCCAACATTAAAGATTCTTTATAGTTTGCACGACAACATAGTGAAGCGAATGAAAGATTTGATGCAAACTGTGTATTTTATTTGTGTATGATATAATTGATAATACATAAAAGAAAGCTGCGAAAAACGACGAGGCGTCTACCTCGACGATATTGAATCATGAAATGTGCTGTAAAAAACTTGAAAATAACTACAAGTTACTGTAATCTTTCTTAATGCAAAATCTTTCAGTGCCTGGTCTTTTATGTAAAATACATAGGAGGAAAGGACTACAGATATATCCTGGCGTTTGTATTTCCCCATATAAGAACATATTAGATATGGTAAATTATGGTGAACGATAAACTCGAATAAATATATGTTTAATTAAGCGATGGAGTAGTGGTATAATCTTTATATGATTTCATTTCACATACACACACATATAGGTGAATGATGGCAGAGATCAAGCGCAGCCCCAAAAAATATGGAAACTGCACATTTCTTCCACACATAGATCTTGTCATCAAAAGCTTACTCAGAACTTTGCATTAACTTGTGCTATCGCCAGCCACTCTCTGACAAAGGTTTTTAGTGTGCCCCTATGACTTTTAATGAAACTTGTTCACAACGATGAAGTCTTTCCTCCACGAATGTCAGTAGGAACATACAGTAAGGCCTGTCCAATGAATGTTTATGCAATGCATATATCTTACTACGCATGTGATTACCATAATGTTCCAGTAAATTTCATTTTCTGACCAATAGGAGTGCTGAGCCGGCGAACAGTGACCATGCATTAGCCTAATTAAATATACATGTTGCACATGATGTGGTTAAATCTATTAGCATTGTCTTGTAGACCTCGTACCAATTTACTGTCTTTCATAAGTCAGTACAGTCACCGCACTCGCAAAATATGACGTTTTAAACTGTGGCATCACTGTTAGATTATCGCCAATATTAATGTTTTATTTCAGTATTTTCATCGCTGATGCAGGAAGCAACATTGAGTACATTAAATTCATATTGAAATCATCGAACTTGTCATACTAAGCATTGTTTTTAATTCAACGTGCGAATCGAACTGCATGTGAAACAAAATGTTGCAAGATGCAAAAAGGTTCAATTTTAATCACTGCATGAATTTGTTGAGTCAAAGTTGTCTCATGATAAAGTAATAGGCCACGAAAGGAGGGGGGCTAGTAAATAGAAAGAGTAATGCGATAATGGATTTAAGTGAAGATTTCAGCATTTATGTTGATGCTTTGCGCTGTTAAAACTTAATCCTAATCTCCTTTTTTCAGTCTGTTCTCTCCCAGAACAATCTTTTACTCTCTCACCCAAATAATATTGCCCACTCTCTCAAAATCAATCAGGAGATTATCCGAAACTGGGTCATGTTCCTGATTTATCAATTAGCGGCAAACTTGGCTGCCAAATTGTCGGTTCATATTATCTGTCACTCTTTTAACAATTCACATCAGCACATAAATGCATAAATCCATTTCTGACAGCGTATGCAATTGATGTTATAACTTCACAATGTCACGTCTACTGTTGGTGTTAGTGTTTGTGTTGCTGTAAGTGTTTGATGTTGATGCTGGTGTTGGTGTTAAGGTTGGTGTTGGTGTTGATAGTGGTGTTGATAGTGGTGTTGATGCTGGTGTTGGTGTTGCTGTTGCTGTTGAATGTTGGTGTTGGTGTTAGTGTTAAGGTTGGTGTTGGTGTCGTTGTTGGGTGTTGGGTGTTGGTTTTGTGTTAGTGTTGCTGTTAGTGTTTGATGCTGTTGCTGGTGTTGATGTTAAGGTTGGTATTGGTAGTGGTGTTGATGCTGGTGTTGGTGTTGATGTTGGTGCTAGTGTTGCTGTTGCTGTTGATGCTGGTGTTGGTGTTCGTTCACGTTTCGACATTCAAGAGAAATTGACACATTTGGAGAATTTTATGTATGTATTATGTACATATTTAATCAGCGTAGTTAACCAACATCAACACCAACACCAGCATCAATATTATGCGTATTTTATTGACGGCTCATAATCCGAGCACCTTAGTATGAAGTCTACAGTTGGGCTTCATTATTAAACTTTAATTTGTCAATAGTGTTTCCACATTGTAGGAAATTTCGTATTTGCTAATGCCAAACATTTAGTAATTAGCATATGTCAATGAGACAAGTGGAGTAATGCTTTGAAATTCCTACTTTAGATTCCAGATTTTCTTGGTATCTTGGCTATTTTCATGTTGCTTTTTTAACTGCTTTGTTACCTGGCTGATAGTAAATTTATTATTTCAGCACTATTGAAGAAGCCTGTAGTTTGTTTTAGAAGCCTGTTCATTTGTGTAGAAAGACTCCGTGTATTACAGGAAATTTAAGAATATTTTTTCTGGAAAATTGAAGAAACTTTACCTTTGAAGCGACAAATTTTAAAATTCACTTGTGGAAACATGTGAATTTGTCAAAATCCTCAAAATGGAGAGAAGCTGACTCCTTCGAAGAAAACGTACTTATTTTAAAAATGATTTTGAGCTATTTATTGGAAAATTTTCGAGAATATTCAGAGGCAAAGAAGGTAAGTGATGCTTCTAATCTTTCGTTTTAAAAGTTTTACACTCGTGTTCAATTAAAAACTTGATATGTTCCATCGTTCCATCAAAGAAACCGTTCTCGCGAAAGGTTGGCCATTATCGGCCGTTTTTTACTTCATTTCTCGGCCAGAAAGGCTCACAGTCAATAGTGAGCTTCACGTTTTATGAAAGATGACCAAGTTGACTTTCCATGTCCATATTTTAGTAGCAAACGCCACAAGGAGCGTGGAATTTTCGCATTTTATTTTGTCGTCTGTCGGAACGATGCAAGCAGTGCAAGTGCACTTGCGGTTTAATTTCTCGAGGAAGATGAGCGTCATACTCCTAATTTTTTGTTTGAAAGTTTTACTTTCGAGTTCGGCTAATATATCGCGTCAAAGCGACTATTTTCGCGAAAGTTTGGCCAGATGTAGTCCGTTAATCAGCCGTTATTTATTTCATTACCTGCCAAGACAAAACTTTTGCAGTCGCCATTTTGAGCTTCACTTTAGATTGATCGTTCTAATTTTTCTACACGCATGGCGATGGCGCTTGAGATGCTTGTGTTTGGATTTGTTTTGTTGTCTGAATGAACAATGCAAGCTGTGCAATTTTTTATTTCACAAACAAGTCCGCCGTTATAAAATTATTTATGGTCTGTACAAAGCAAGGTTTGTTAGTAAATTGGGGCACATTCACAAAAAAAGATAAACATTTAGCAAACTCGCAGATTTAATGCAAAATAAATGTTAACAATACCATAACAAAAGAACATCAGACAACAGCAAATGTCGTTTTAGCAGTTAAGATTGTTAATAGTCTTGCAGACGAGAATCTTCAATTCAACCTTTCCTAAAAGAAAGTTGAACGGTAAATTAGTACTGTTGCATCGCTATTTTTTTGCATGAGGTAGATAACACTATTTTCTTGATAGATTTTGATATATTTCATATTTTCTCCCTTGGGATTATTTTTGTGAAAAGCAGCCGTCCTTTCCTATAGCTAACTGACTTTCATTTTGTTATGCTTGCAGTGTGGCGAGCGATAAGTTGCTCCCAAAGTGAAATCTTGGTTCAGAAATATTTTATTTAGACAGTTTTGGATTTTTTGTTAGTCATGCACAAAATCAAGTGAAAAGCTTTGGAATATTTCTCTTGCTCAGTTTCTTTAACAATACAAAGTACAAAAGCAAATAGACAAACGTAAACACGCACTGTATAATTGAGAGACAAATTTGGAATACCCAATGACCATGAGAAATAGGAAGACTATACCTTTGTGAAAACAGTAGTGAGTATTAGGAATACTGCTATCATAACAACATCCTTTACTCTCACAATGGCTTTTAGTTATTCCACTCCAACCACAATATATTCTATCTCTTGCTTTAACAACATCGCAGGCACTACTTATATATGTGTAGGTGCAAATTCGTAGTTAGAATGTTCTGCTAATAAGGTATTGTTTTCTTTGAATGCGATTTCTCAAAACTTTAAAATAATAAAGAGATTGCTTCGTACGGAAGCATGTAATTTAAAACGCTATAGAAATAAACATCTATATAATGAAAAATCATGTATTCATCGTTATTATTTGATACTTTGATTGATGCAATCTTTATAAAAAAACAGGGAGTGGTGGCAAAAGAAACAAATCATAAACGGTTAAAACGTTAAACGTTAACAGTTTTGAAATTTTATGGTTCGTTTTTGGTGACGATTATTGACAGAAATACACCATCCTCGGCTTTTTGCACCAGCGCATTCAAATTTTGAAACAAGAAAGAAGTTAAAAGAAAAGCGCAGAAGGAATTCCCCTATTTTAGAAACAGGCAAAAAAACCAATAATTTTATTATTCCTCCGTGTGAAACACAGGAATAAGTAATCGACATATATTGCGGTACTGATAATGTTATTGGGGGTAGGGGTGGCCTCTTTGAATATTTTTACCCCTCCTTTGTCTACCCCCCTTGAGCGGAAAACATATAATAAGTTGAAAAAAAGTTCAGAGTAAAAGACAGTGGCGTAGCCAGCCTATAAATTTGATTGTATTATGTAAATTTCAGATCATCATTATTCGTTTGTTTAGATGTCTATTGTTTATACAGTAAGTGAACAGGGATAAATTGACATAGCACGACCAAAATTGCGGGCTGGCTACGCCACTGGTAAAAGTATGACAAAGTTGTTTAAGTACTTTGGTAAAAACACCAGGGAACTGAGTCTTGTTGTGTTGGGTCCCAACAGCAGCCTTTGCTTTCGCATTCGTTTTTGTTGATACGAGAATCACCGCATTGCAGTCGCTTACTTGGTATCACTGACTTGCATTCATGACCTGGAATATGATAAATATTTATTTCATATCGATGTTACGTTGAACTGCTGTTGTTAGCTTTACACATATCGTGGTGTGTTGTGTAAACGAGCATATTAGTAAAAGAGTTGTTTAGAAAAGCTCCTATCTATAAAAGTAGATTTTATTATTGAATATAGTGCTTTGTGCTCGTGATATTCACGTGTTGAGTGACAATTCTGATAATACGAACCGGTTTGTCGTGTTTTCTCGATGAAAACTATAATGAATAGTTTAAAGATGCCGTCGAGTTTTCTTACCTTTAAAAACAGAATTTGGCGTCAGGTATACTGGTGTCATAGCAACAGCCACGTGATTGACATTCCTCGCGTGTTATTTCTGAATAACCACAATCTATTCTGGTTTTGGTATTACGGCACTGCAGGAACTCCTAAAATTTGTAAATGGATAAACTGAGATTAAATTTTTTAATGGGTAAACTGAGAGAATCGTGATTAATAATTTATGTTTATTAAAATTTCTCTTGCAATATTAACAACTGAATCTAACGAGTTCGTTATCGGCGAAGCTAGAACGTTGATTGGGTGTGTGGTGGGGTGGGGTAAATATTCATATATTCAGGTGTGACAAACTAATTTCTCTTCAAATTAAAATCGCTAATTAGAATGGTCCGTATGAATTAGCTTTAATTTATAGTTACATTATGTAAGGAGCAGTAATGACCTGGGTGTGGATATATCAGTTCATCTTCGGAGAAAACCGCGTCATCAGCCTTGTCATAGTAATATCGCGCTGTAAGAAAAGGTTTCGTAAATGAAACTTAGTACAATTGAAAATAATGATCACGGGTATAAATGAAAGAGGATTTATTAACAGAAAACAGTTAGCAGAGTTGGTCAGTAGGAGGAATGCAATTCGTTTTTGTCGCTTCCTTTAAGTGAGATAAATGAACGCACTTGTTGTTTAAGTTGGTTTAATGAGTAAAAAACGATAACCTTAATCTTCCTTGCATGCAGAAAATTGTTCTTGAAGGAATTTTTTGTATTTTATTAATAAGTTTACGTTTTTCGTTAACTTATATTAAATTACTACTGTGGGTAATGCTTTGTTGCAAATACGTCCCATGCAGTAGGTTTGAATATTGACACTACTTGAAGTTTACCGTGAACCTTTGATATCTTCGAAAACTTTTTTCTAATTATGTAACATTTCTATCCGACACTCCTTCCAGCGTAAAGCAGGTTTTTCATCCTTCAGTTTAGTAAAATTTCATTGTACTTACCGCACACACAGGCAGGACCAAGCAAAACAATTGCGAGGAAAGCTGGTACAATCGTCTTCACGATTTTTCCTCTAACTAAAAGTTTGACTTTCAGTGAACTTGAAACACACTAGAAATCTAACTGTGTCGGTTTAACGCGTTTAAACCTTTATATAACCTCATTCTCTGTAAAATTTGCTATTGTATTGCGCGTTTAACCAAATTAAAATGATAAATGGCCGTCAACAAACTATTTGTGAAGACTTTGTCGTCATGGCAACAGCATGGAACTTCTGTTCATTCATTCATACATTTGTTTATCTCTCAGCTATGATGTAATTTTACCAGTGCGAAGTTATTTCACAAGCTTTTTCTGTAAAATTTTTATGTATTGAACTTTTGATCAAAGATTGAACAAATGTTTACGGTAATGTTTTCATTGGGCAACTGTTATGCACAGTAGCTATTTTACATCAAATTGGGTGTTAAAACGACCAATTACAAACGGAAAGAGGGGTTGAGGCTGTATTTATGTAGACTATAAATCACATTGCCAGCTTAATAAGTGGAGAGGCCAATATTGGTATGTTCATGTTCTGTCCTATTAAGCTCCTTTGAAATAGATATTTTTATGGATTATTTTTATGGATTATAATATGCTCATACGAACATTGCCCCTTCCCAATTCAGAGAGGCTAGCTACGGCACTGCTATTTTCAAAACAAAAATTTACTTAGAGTTTAGAAAAATCATTAGGATATTTTCCAAATGGTAGACTTTAGCAGTGGTAGGCAAATTGTACATGTAGCGGTATAGTTGAGAGTACTTATTTTCATAGGCTATGAATTCATATCCCTTTTAAAATTAAGAAGCAACATCCACACTTTTTTGAAATTCTGTATGCTGAATAAAGAAATTAACTACTTATAAATGGAGAGTGCTATCACCAATGTATTTTGATTATTGTACAATATGTAAAACTACTGAAACATTATTCGAAAGCTTCATTCATAGAATCAGAATTCGAATTTTTCGTTTCATTTTTGTTACACGTTATGTGGTAGAATTCAAATTCTGGCATTGAAACATCAATGCTCCTTCCAAACTTTGCAGTTTTACACAACATAATAAATAGTTCATAGTCATATCGGGTTAATTATTAAATTTCTCATGCAAACTGTGAAGTTTTACATAGCAAACGAAATGTTTGGTACGGTTAACTATAGCTTTGCAATTCAAAATAGACTGTTTTTGAATGATTTGAACCCCGGAGTATCGTTAAATGTTTGTAGATGTTTCTCGTCTTGATTAGTGCCCTCATCAAAAAGACTCTTGGTGTTAATGTTGACTGACGGTTTGTCATCATCAACACCTGCACTCCTCAGGACTATATCAACCTGGACGACGAAATGGACAACTTCTAATAAACTGGGGTCGGATGCACGAAGCGCGAGGATAGCGTTATCCATTAGAGAGCAAATTTTTTGAAAAGATTAAAAAACTCCTTGAAAAGGAAAAATATAAGGTTTTAAATGAGCAATCACTGAAATGAAATACTGCTTCTAAGATTAGAAAATTTCTTTGTCGTAACGAAAATATAAACACCTTTTTTACAAGTTTGAAAATTTTACTGTACAAGGATAACTCTATCCAAGCTTCGTGCAACCTGTCCCTGTATTTTAAAATGCTTGATCACTAAAGTTGTTTATGAAGTGCGAATTTCGCACTATTCTATTCAACGAAGCATCTTTTGCCCGTATTAGTAAAATATCATCAAATATATTAAGTTAATTCTCGTTTTACAATATGACGCCACTGGTTGTAAAGACGGGAGCATTTTAAAATAGCAAAAACGCTGATACCTCGTGAAATTCATAAATTGTTTTAGAAAGTCTGCTGTCGTTTAAAAGCTCTGTTTGATAAGACCATAATTTAAAACGAAAATTTTCTCCTCATAAGGACTTTCAGAATGTAATGAAGAGATTCCGTGCACTTACAAGAATTTCGCATGAGTGTAGTATCCATATAGAAAAATTAGATAAGAGACAAAGAATATCATGTTTTGCCATCATTGATGTAAGATTGTCTAATCGGTTTCGATTGTATAGAGTGTTATTTACAGTGGTCAATTGTGACACATGAGTCTTAATTACCAGTTTGTAACTTATTTAACGAGTAACTCTTCACATATTTCAATGAAATTCCACAGTTCTAAAGAGCAAAGTGTATCACAGCAATTGTGCAAAAGTTTTGCGTCTGTTATATCGGTGTTCATTATGATTTTCTCGTCAGTTTGCATGATGAGTAGAGGAAATTTTCTTTGTCAATCAACAGTGCAGAATGTCTTCATGAAGACGCCTCTGCATATATACTTAAGATACGAACCACAAGTAAAATATTCACAGCTCGCAGTCTAAGTCAAGATATTCTGACGATCAGCTGAACTAATCTGAAGATGAGATGGCCAAGAGAGGAAGATTGACTCTACAAAAGTCAACCGCATTTATATGGAAACTTAGGAATGTAGTCATAATAAGAAATAAAACATATTAATCCTTAGATTATTAGTATGCCGTATGATATTACAAAGATTAGTCTGTGTACAAAATATTAAATGAGAAATTCGAAGAAAAGAGAAAAAACAGGAACGATAAAGACCGATATAGAGATCGAGGTTGTCGCGGGGGTAGAAAGAAAGATAAAAGACTTACTAATGGCATTCGCCAAAGTGAAGAGATCAGTGGTAAAGCAATGGAAAAAGCTGTTTTCATGTGAAGCGATTTTTCAAACTTACCTTAGAAGAAGAATATTAATTTTGTCAAATAAGCTCTACCATCTATGAAATGGTTTGTTTCCCCATCAAGCATCTTTGAAAATAATAACGAAAAAGTTAAAATTAAGCCTTAAAGAGATTATAGAGAAAACCATGTAACTGCCATATATTGAAAAATGACATGGTATTAAAGGGCATAAAAAAGTGCCATGTGGGAGAGCAGCATCGATGACGTCGTCGATGCTATTGAAATCACTATGCTGCTTGTTGTGATAGTAACACAAATATTAAGAAACTTTGGAGTAACTATACCTTGTTGTAACATAATAGCACAGTTGTTGAATGTAACATGTAAAATGCGTTAAAATGTTAAGAGATGTAAAATATAACATTTCCAGAGACCGCATAAGATCGATAAGGGTCGGAAGGCAATCCTTATATTCATGTATCTTAATCCCATTTTAATCCATGATCACCGTTAATTTCGATATAGGAATTGAAACGTGCATATAGTCATGAATATCAATTATATCAATCTTCTGCGGTCCTCGCATGGTTTATGCAAAATAGTGATAGTTTTAAGAAGCGATCTTAAATTTTAGCACACTACTGCATGTATGTATAAGTCAAACAACACATTACACCGACAGTTTTGAAAATATACATACACATGTAAATGTAAATTTTGTACTTTGAAAGCCTTCTTTGACACACGACTATAACTTGTAATACTGTATCAGCAGGGCAAAAGTGCACCTTAAGTGCAACAAAAAGTTTGTTGAGCAGAACAATTACATTTATGAAGTCTTTAAACGTCACATTTCGCTGCTGCACCATGCTTATCAACTATCCATTGGTAACGATCATGAGGCAATGTGAGCTACGTTTCCATTACTGCATATATGTTCAAGACATAGTGCGTTTAAATTTAATAGTTGGGTCACCTGCCCATAAAACACAAACACTTCGATAAACAAGTAGATTTAATAGAATGCGAAACAAATGTTAACAGTGTCATTACAAAAGTATCTGTTTGACTACTGTACAGCAACAGTTCATATTTATACACTGCAACTATTTGTGAATTGTGACTACTATTCATCGTCGCTTGTCAGAAGCTGTTTGAGCATTTGCTAAAAGAAAAACTTTGGTTAGCTATATATTTTCACATCGTTTACATGCGGCACATTTTAGCAATAAATTGCTCTCAAACCAACAATAATTTTATTTCGATAGTTTTGAAATTTTTAGTTAGTCATGCACGAAATCAAATGAAAAATGACAAGCAGACAGACAAATGTAAACACGCAATGTACAATGGAGAGACGAACATGGAATACTCAATCACCCAGAGAATTATGAAACACTGTACCTTTGTGTCAAAACAGGCAGGCACAGCCATCAGGCGATATCGTTTCTTTTCACATTCGCTTTCACTTTATCCACCTTCACCACTTTTACTATTTCTCCAAAACAAAAAACATTACCTGCATTTCTGCGCTGTGTGAAATGTCATCATGTCTAGTGCACGATTTGTGCACAACATATTTTAACACAACGCAAAAAGAAAGTTCCTCCGAAAATATTGTTTTTAATACTAAGTAGATGAATCCCAGTAAATGTGTTCAAGATCAGCACTGCATGCGCAGTGAGAGGTTGAATTTTAATTAAAAAATTACTCTCTGAGAATGCTAATTTATGTGAACTCCCACGCGGGTTGAATGAGCGAGAGATTTTACAATTGAAGATGTCATGTTGTTTGATGAAGTTGCAGTTTCATAGCCAAAACTAGGATTGATTGATTAATCAAAAAGAGAAGTGCAGTCTAATGAAAAATATCTTTCTTTCATAGTTCTGGACTCGAACGAATTGTATGTAATGTAACATTGGAGACTGCCCTTGGCTCGTGCCAAAGGAAAAATACACATGTAGGGCGTATGAACTTAAAGTAGCCATGTAAATTAAGGCGAGACACGTTTCCTTGATGCAAATGCGACAAAAATTGGAAATTCAAACATGGACAAATGACAACGTGTACAAAGTTTTATACAACCTGAGATACACGAAAAAGGTTCCCAACGATAAACTTAAATTGAGACTTTGACTATAGAAAAAAGCTGGAAGGCGGTTAACTCCTCACTTGCCGTCGATAATTTCATGCTATTATATTCAAGTGTCGATCATCAGTGTGCAAAGGTAAAAGAGCTTAGTAATACTCCTAATATTTGTCTGAAAGTTTGCTGTTCAGTTGAACTAAAATGTCCCGTTTAACCTATCATTACTTTGTTTTAACCTCTGAATGACAGCATGCAAGGAATGCAATTCCATTTGTGGAATAATTACACGAACAAGCCTACCGTGATGAAATTCTTGGGCTTTTTGTACGTGCGTATGTTTAGAATTGAACACTCTCCCAAAAAATACAAACGCATCATAAACCAAAAAATTTAATGCAACGCGAATGCTATACCAATGCCGCGACAAAAGAATATAGAAGAGAACTACAAGCATAGTTAATGTGACAATCCTATTATTGTCGAGTTTATCAAACTAAACTGTTATTAATATTAATGTTCATGTTTACCAAAATCTCTATTTGGTTGGTGTAATATATGCACATAATTAGCGCTATAAACTTCCGTTATGTTATATATATGATTGACATTCACTAAGGCTAGACTTCATTATTAGCACATGTAGAGCACAAACGTGCAAGCTAAGATATAGCAGAATAAACGTAGAGCTATAACTATCAGAGTTTTTACAGTGGGATCACGTCCTAAAAGGAAAAGGTAAATTAGTTTCACGCCACTATTTTATTTATATGAGGTAGATTATACGTCTTTTGTTATTATAGTTTTTGATTTCTTTATTTATTTTCTCTCTCGGGAGTATTTTTGCAAAGAGCAGTTGATGGCTTTCGGTAATTTTCTGTAAGTGTGCGCTGACTTTTATGTTGTTGTCATGTTTGCAGTGGCGAGCGATAAATTGCTCTCCAAATTTTTGAAAGTTGGAATTTCTGGTAAATCATCATTCATGCAGAAAATCAACTGAAAGCGTCTGGAAGTCTCTCACACAGTTTCTTTAACAATTCCAAGTACAAAAGCATACTGAAAAATGTAAGCTTGCAATGTAAGATTGAGACAGAAAAAACTTGAAACACTCAATCAAAAAGAGAAATAAGAAACAATCACAAAGAGAAATGAGAAACACTGAACCACAAAGAGAAATAAGAAATACTCAATCACAAAGAGAAATAAGAAACACTGAACCACAAAGAGAAATAAGAAACACTGAACCACAAAACCACAAAGAGAAATAACAAACACTCAACCACAACGAGAAATAAGAAATACTCAACCACAAAGAGAAATAAGAAATACTCAACCACAAAGAGAAATAAGAAATACTCAATCACAAAGAGAAATAAGAAACACTCAATCACAAAGAGAAATAAGACACACTCAATCACAAAGAGAAATAAGAAACACTCAATCACTAAGATAAATAAGAAACACTCAATCACTAAGATAAATAAGAAACACTCAATCACTAAGATAAATAAGAAACACTCAATCACTAAGATAAATAAGAAACACTCAATCACTAAGATAAATAAGAAGCACTCAATCACTAAGAGAAATAAGAAACACTCAATCACTAAGAGAAATAAGAAACACTCAATCACAAAGAGAAATAAGAAACACTCAATCACTAAGATAAATAAGAAACACTCAATCACACAGATAAATAAGAAACACTCAATCACAAAGAGAAATAAGAAACACTCAATAACAAAGAGAAATAAGAAACACTCAATCACTAAGATAAATAAGAAACACTCAATCACTAAGAGAAATACGAAACACTCAATCACTAAGAGAAATAAGAAATACTCAATCACAAAGAGAAATAAGAAACACTGAACCACAAAGAGAAATATTTACAAAGAGAAATAAGAAATACTCAATTACAAAGATAAATAAAAAACACTCAATCACAAAGAGAAATAAGAAACACTCAATCACAAAGAGAAATAAGAAACACTCAATCACAAACAGAAATAAACACTCAATCACAAAGAGAAATAAGAAATACTCAATCACAAAGAGAAATAAGAAATACTCAACTACAAAGAGAAATAAGAAATAATTAATCACAAAGAGAAATAACAAATATCAAACACAAAGAAAAATAAGAAACACTCAATCCAGTGCTAGTAGCATAGCCAGACTTGCAAACTATCCTGTTATGAAATTTTTGTGTGTTCACTCACCAGAAACAACTTTTTAAAGAAATGAATAATGTTGGTGATATGAAATATACATAGCAGGACCAAATCCTATGGATCTGCTTATTTACTGTTTCAATCACAGCAGAAATAATAAAAATCCTATTCGTGAAAACAGTTGTATTGACATCAGAATGCTGCTATCATAGCAACATCCTTTACTTTCACATTGGCTTAGTTATTCCACCAACCACAATCCTTTCTTTTTTTATTTGCTAACAACATGGCAAGTATTAGCTAGATATAAGTAAAAATCCATATAGAACCACTATGTGGCTCGAAATTTGTTCTGTTTGTATGTGATTTCACGAAACTTTGAAACATTAAAAAGATTTAACTAAATGGTGTGAACCCGGGAGAATCGTTACATGTTTGTAAATGTAGATCGTCCAGTTTGGTATATAGTCCTGAGAAGGACTGTTGTTGTTGGTGTTGACTGACGTTTTAACAACCTTAGCGGTAGTCATCTTCAGAGTCAAAATGTGAAAATCTCTTTTTGATTGAATATAAAGTTCTTATGAAGATTAAGTAATTACTTGGATAATAACAGTTGTAAGCGTTCTTATGCATCCTGTCATAACAACAGCCTTAGCCGGTAATTCTCTCTTCATTGATTCCTGAGGGACCTAATTTATACTCTAAAGGTTGGTTTCACTGAATTGCAAAAGCCAGCTAGAATAAAATAAATATCTATCAGATATCAATGTTATGTAGAATTGCTGAAGGTAGATATGTACATATAGTGGTATTTATGGTGAACTAGCATTGTTTAAGATAGTCAAGTGAAGATAGATATGTACATATGGTGGTATTTATGGTGAACTTTAAAGTTTAAGATAGTCAAGGAAGATAGATATACATATGGTGGCATTGTTTAAAATAGTCAAGTGAAGATTGATATGTACATATGGTGGTATTTATGGTGAACTAGCATTGTTTAAGATAGTCAAGTGAAGATAGATATGTACATATGGTGGTATTTATGGTGAACTAGCATTGTTTAAGATAGTCAAGGAAGATTTGAAATTAAATGTCTTAAAGTTTAAATTTTGGATAACAAAGAATTAGTGTTGATTCCTTGATATGCACGTTATATACCTGTATTTTGGGAGAAGTGATTGAATATATACTGCCTGCAATTCTACATTGGCTTATTTGTAGATGTGTGCACCTTAGTGTACCTTAATGTATCGTGGTTCACTTTACTATACAGTACCACAGTTTTTCCATATGTTTGCTTAACACAAACTGCTTTGTTTTGCTTTCTCGACGCTATGAAAGTCTACATAGCTTAATATGTTCTGGTGCTTTTTACCTTTATAGTAACAGTAAAAATCGCCAAATTTTAATGTCAATGCTCAACCAGACTATGAAATTAACATGAATACTTTTCATTTTTATGCATTTCCAACATGGCTTTAATGATGAACACTCTATAGTCATGTGTTTAACGACATACATGTGATATACATGTGAAACCAGCCAGGGGCGGATCTAGGATTTTTTGAACATCAGTCATAAAACTTGGAGACGCTCCGCACCTGGGGGGTGGGGACTGAGGCATCTTCCCTGAGAAATTTTGAATTTCAGAGCCTTGAAAATGCCCTTTTCAGCGTTTTAGAGCAATACAAATGTATTTTGTGGGCATCGTTTTTGCATAAAAACAACACATTTTGCTTACGTTTTTTTAAAAAAAAAAGAATGAAGTGAACAATACTTGAATGTTTTGCCAAATATTTCGGCTCGTTGTCATGCCAAATATATCGCTTATTAGCATGTCTAGGAACGTAAAATTTATTTTACAATAACGCTATTCCAAAATAGATATTGTCTTTAAAAATTTCTACCAAGTTGTCAGGCATAGACCCCAGTAGATCATTGCGTGCAGAAGAATTTTGTTAAATTTTGCAACAGATTTAAATTTAAGGTTAATACAGCGGACCTTCTTCGTAACTGGAGGATAACCATGTAAAATTTTAAAAAATTACTATATTGTATACTTCTAAATAACTAAGGTTGTTCATTGTACCTCCTTACAGCCCAGCAGGCATTCAATGCTGCAGTATAGGTAAAATTTCAAAGTACTTACCAAACACGTAGGCCAAATCAAGTAAAACGATTGTGAGGAAAGTTGGTGCAAATGTCTTCATAATTATTTTAATGATCGTTCGAAATATATACTCACAAATCTTATTTGACCGAATAAACAAGATGTCTTCGCCTTCGATATGTATATTTTACTGACGTATGATTGACATGTTTTTCTTTTCTATTGTGCATTTATAATTAGTAGTCTAATGTTTCTTACACTTATTGCTGAATTTTAAAAGTTGACTTGTAGCGAACTGAACACACAACTGAAATTTGACTGTGTCGGTTGCATAGCTATTTATCCTTTATTAATTTATTTTGAACGGTATTGTTCGACATTGTGAATTTATGATCTGATACATGTCACTTTCAATCAACGTTTTTATATTAATAAATTTTCCGATACTTGCAAAAGTTTTACACCCAGAAGCTCGGTAGCTAGTATAGGTTTAACTTTTAAACGCGCCGTCAAGAAAATACTTTCAGTTTGGGTTTTGCATGAAAAGACTGTGATTTATCACGTTCAGCCATTTTCGAAAGACATAAGATGTTCTTCGTTTTTTACGTGTCACTACAATTCATTATGGGATTGATGTTTGAAGTACTTAAGAGTTATACATTTTGAAGGATTTTTGCAATGAAAAAGCAAAAAGGAATCATTGCCTGAAATTACACGATTTCGTTTGTTGAATTTATTTGGAATTTTTTACAGTTTTCGTAGCTATTCTTTTTTATTCTTTCGTGCAAGATGTCAAGTGGATGACAGCGGATAGACCAATGTACATAAAGAATAAGCAACAGATATATTTGGAACGTAAACAAAACTATACCATGCAGCAAGTAAGAGTTCGTTATGAATAATTACATTACAAATGATTTATAAGACAGTATTGGAAAATGCAGCATTATGTTTACGAAATATAAACTTGTCATCTCTAGATAACATGAATTTAAAACGATGGGGGAAATAGTGTTCAGTTTGCACGTGCCTGTCCGTATTCGCATGTATGTATGTGCTCAAGGTCAGTGGTTAAACGTCTTTGTTCTAATGTTAACTATATGAAGCATTTCAATGCGAGATAAAATGTCTCTGACGTTCAGCTATTATACTTATTGGCCCTACAGGAAACACGTGCAGAGATTTTTTTAAGTTAATTCTGGTGCTTTTGCGGATATTGGATTTATGCATTTTGTGATATTACAGTTTTGTTACTTTTTATAATTTATTGTACCATCTTAATGAAAATTACATCCTTTTGAAAATGTTAATTTATGTTTAGTCCTATACCAGTTGAAAGAGAGGTTTTACAATTGAAGATGTATTTCAATTAGGTGTAGCGATCTTGCAGTTTCATATAGCCAAGAGTAGGATTGATTGATTTAGTTAAAAACAAAACTTCTGAACAAACACTCTTTTTTCTAGTTCTCGACCCAAACAACCTAAAGACACCCATACATTTATGCCAGAGGAAAAATGAATTGGAGGCTTATAAATTTAAACAAGGGCCATGCAAGTCAGAAATGTTTCCTTGATGCAAGTTGACGCAAGTAAAAGACAATTTAAACGTGGACGAACGTCAACATATAAGCAAATAGCTTCAAGAAGAAAAGTCTTACCTTTCTTGACGTCACATACAAGTATTGCGCAATCTGAGAAACCTGGCAAAGACTCCCAACGATAAACTCGTATGTTATGACTTTGCACGAAACAGACTTTTCAACGCGTGAATATATTGGGGTTTATATACCACTTGTTGTTTAAATGCAAGTTTTGAAAGATTGTCTGAATTTTTCGGTAGCGTCATGGATGTTGATGATGTTAGAATGCTCAAGTGTCATATTCAAACGAACAAAGGTTAGTCATTAAATGAAGATATGATCTTCGCACTTTGCTGGACAATTTAAGCAATCGTCTCAGGACCTGAAAAAATCAGGTGACTCAACGGGATTCGAACTTATGACCTCTGCGGTGCCGGTGCAGTGCTCTGACCAACTGAGCTATGAAGTCACACAGTGGTGAGCAGGTCAATATTGTTGGGCTTATGTTTTCTCATGAGAAACTGTGTGACTTCATAGCTCAGTTGGTCAGAGCACTGCACCGGCACCGCAGAGGTCATGGGTTCGAACCCCGTTGAGTCACCTGATTTTTTCAGGTCCTGAGACGATTGCTTAAATTGTCCAGCAAAGTGCGAAGATCATATCTTCATTTAATTTCAAACACCGCACTCCATAAAATATTCAAAGGTTAGTCATGTCATACTTCTATTTTTGGTCTGAAAGTTCTACTTTTGAGTTCAACTAAAATATCCCTTATTATATAATATTATTTGAGTTCAACTAAAATATAATTTTTGCGCAAAAGGTTGGCCTTATACGTCCGTAATGAGCCTGTTATTTATTTCATTACCTGCCAAGATTCTTTCACAGTCGCCATTTTAAGCATCGCTTTCAAATGAATCTTATACAACATGGCGCTTAATAACATGTTTGTAAATGTAGATCGTCCAGGTTGGTATAGTCCTGAGAAGGACTGTTTTTGTTGTTGTTGACTAACGTTTCAACAACCTTAGCGGTAGTCATCTTCAGAGTCAAATGAGGAGAAAACATTAGGTTAGCCGTATTTCTTATCTGGTTCTTACGTCATTGTATTGTGTGTACAGGAAATGTGTGGGTGTCAATTGTGTATTGTCATTATGAATTAGTGTGAAGTGAAATGTTTTTAGCTGTGATGTGTGATTTAGGTATTATGTTTTTAGTTGTAATGTTTGGGTGTCAATTGTGTATTGTCATTCTGAACTAGTGTGAAGTGTAATGTTTTTAGTTGATCGTTTGGTTTGTATTGTGAATAAGTCGTTTGTAAGGTGCCGGTAATTGCTGTGATCTGTTCAGGGGGGCTTGTTCCAAGTTGGTATACCAACTTTCTAATGCAAGCCGTTTTCTATAGTCAGTACCGTAAGTAATGAATTTTGCCGAGTCCCAGTCAATGTTGTGCTTTGTGATTCGGTGATGTTCGGCAATGTGATTAGTTTTGTCTTGTTTCTTAGTAGCTCGTTTGTGTTCAGTAAGTCTTATGTTTAAGTTCCTGCCAGTTTCGCCGATATGGGAGGCGTGGCAGTCGGAACATTTTATTTTGTAAATTGCACCTTGTCGTTCGTTGGGTTGTTTTCTGTCCTTTATGTTCGTTAGTACTTGTCGTAACGTTGTGATTGGTTTATGTGCGACACGTATGTTGTATGGTCGTAAGATACGCGAGATAGTCTCAGACGTACCTTTAGTGTAAGGTATCGTTGCTGTTGTCACCGAGTTGTTCGTTTCGCTGGGTTCGTTGGGTTTGTAAGTGTTGCGTTTGATAAAGTCAGAGTTATAGTTGTTTTTATGAAAAACACGTTTGAGATAGTTGTTTTCGTTGTGTAGAGCGTCCGGTTAATCACATATGATTTGTGCACGTCTTGTTAATGTTCTGATTGTGGTGGCTTTGTGTGATGTAGGGTTGTAAGATGATTGGTCTAGTAGTCGGTCAGTATGTGTTGGCTTGCGATAAACTGTTGTTCGTAGTTTTTGATTGTCATGTTTTACCAAACAGTCGAGAAAAGGAAGCGTTCCGTTTTCTTCGACATCTTTGGTAAATTGTATGTGGCTCCTCTGTTTGTTGATGTGAGTGTGAAAGTCATCAATCTCGTCTGCATGTAGTGCTGTGATTGTGTCATCTACGTAGCGGAACCAAAAAGGTAGTGCATGTTTGTAAGTCGTGAGCGCCCGTTCCTCTATAGATTGCATTACAATTTCAGCAACTACAACAGAAACGGTTGAGCCCATTGCTGCTCCATGTAATTTGTTTGCAGTGTGTACCTTTGTACTGGAAGTAAGTCGAGGTGAGGCAGAGCTCCAGTAGCTCCATAATGTCTTCTGTCGGAAATGGCAGTACGTCCGTGGTGTTTGTAATGAGGGTTTTTGAAGAAGTAAGTGCCAGATTAAGTGGAATACTGGTGAACAGTGATTTCACATCAAAAGACACTAGTATATAGTTGTCAGGTATTTGTATAGTGCACAGTTTTTTAATGAAAGTTTCAGTGGATTGTAGCTTGTGTTTTGATTTGCTTGTAAGTGATTGCAGTATGTCAGTCAAGTATTTTGAGAGTTCGTAAGTAGACGAACCACAGAATGATACAATTGGTCGCTTGGGTATTTGTGGTTTGTGAAGTTTTGGTAGTCCGTATAGTCTGGGTGGTTGTGGTACTGAACATCTAAGTCGATAGTAAATACGTTCAGATATAATGTTAGATTTTCTCATAGAGAAGATTTTGCTGTTAAGTTTGCGTACTAGTGATGGTGTTGGGTCTCGTTTGAGTTGTTCGTACGTTTGTCAGTCGTTAACAAGGGTGTCCATTTTGTGGAAGTAATCATTCCTGTCCATGACCACAGTCACGCGTCCTTTGTCTGCTGGTTAAATGACGATGTTGTTGTGGTGTTTTAGTCGTTTGAGTGCTTGTTGTTCGTCCTTTGTCAAGTTGTTGTCACGTATAGAGGGCAATTGTAAAGCGGAGGCTACCCTGCTTCTGATCTCGTCTTTGGTTGTTTCTGACAAGTCTCTTTGATACGCTAGGACAGCCTTTAATTTCCTCGCGTGTTATTTCTGAATAACCACAATCTATTCTGAATTTTGGTATTACAGCACTGCAGGAACTCCCTAAAATTTGTAAATGGATAAACTAAGATTAAGTTTGTAAATGGGTAAACTGAGATAATCACGTGATTAATAATTTATGTTTTTTAAAATTTCTCTTGCAGTATTAACAACAGAATTTAACGAGTTCATTACCTATTACATTTTCTCTAAAAGTATTTAATATATAATATGATTTCTATGAAATGACTATATGAAATATGAAATATAAAATACAAAGGAGAATCTAAAGGTCTGCTTTAAATTAAAAATATTTAAAGTGGTTATATCACGAATTTTAGCCCCCCTTTTTTATGAGCTTAATTGAAAATTTGGATTATTTGAAGAATTATGACATGTCGCTGGACTTAAACAGATAAATATAAGTTGCTTAATTTTGCCTCCAAAGTCGGGTATTTTTTGCGAATTTTTTACGACGCCATATTGATACTTGTGACGTAGATAGTTGAACACGTCTGTTTCCGTCAATATAATATTATATTATAGAAGGTGATTTTGTTGTCGTTTTTCTTGTCTTAAAAACAAATAATGATAGTATTTTCAATAAAATATTAAAAGGAGCAATTATAGAATACCCGTCCAATTTCTAAAGGCACCCTTTTAATTCTGCGGATACGTGGATACGCAGTGACGAGTTTAAAGAACGAGGCATAAGATAAGAGGACTAGTACCTATATAAAGAAAGTTAGTTGAAGCTATGTTTTTTAGTGGATACGCGGATACGTGGATACGCAGTGACGAGTTTAAAGAACGAGGCATAAGAGGACTAGTAGATAAGAGGACTAGTACCTATATAAAGAAAGATAGTTGAAGCTATGTTTTTTAGTGGATACGCGGATACGTGGATACGCAGTGACGAGTTTAAAGAACGAGGCATAAGATAAGAGGACTAGTACCTATATAAAGAAAGTTAGTTGAAGGTATGTTTTTTAGTGGATACGCGGATACGTGGATACGCAGTGACGAGTTTAAAGAACGAGGCATAAGATAAGACGACTATTACCTATATAAAGAAAGATAGTTGAAGCTATGTTTTTTAGTGGATACGCGGATACGTGGATACGCAGTGACGATTTAATTATCACTGACCGCATAACCGTGTATGGACTACAAACCGTAGCCCGCACTGTTAACTGCTGACCGCGCATCCGCGTATCCATTAAAAATTGGATTTGTAGTAAGTGGACGGGTATTCTATAATCTAGCCTATTAAAAAACAAGTTGTCCGGAAAGTATGGCCTCAAATCAGTGCTCAGATAATTCGAATTCGATGTCTGAATGCGTATCTGATGCGAGCTCGGAATCCGTGGGTTATGTCGAGCATTTAAACGACTTCGCATATGACGATGAACCGCTAGCACGAGATGGTGATGATGAATTTCATACTCCAGATGATCCCGATGGAATTCTCCCTGCGACATTAGAACAACGAAGTGATGGCGTAATTCCACTTGGTGAATGGTAAGTTGTTGTTTTCTCCTGTTTGTAATATACATAAAGTTACTTTATAAACCAGAATGCTCCCACGTTTCAGGTGTAATTGTCAATGCTGTCATACCGATTTGTTAGAAGGCGCATTAGAGTACAGATGCTGTAAGAAATGGACCAGCTTTGCAGAAAATGACATTCGATAGCAGCATTGAGAAAATATCATGCATAACACAGCACGTCAAATTTGGGCCTTTAGTTCATGAGGCTGTCCTTGAAAACGTCGGGCCACTATTGAGAGATAGGAATGGACGTGCTTATCGCCGCCAAGCATCACAATCATTAAATATGTAAGATTGTAAATTGTATGAGAAACAATGTTATAATCAACATTGTTTCATCAACAATAATTAGTCCAACCTTTTTATTTACTTCAGGTACTTGAGAGCTGTGTATACAGATGGTTGATGATGGGTCTATGGGAGGAATACTCGGCCTTTACCTGCTTGTGTTTACCACTTTATTCGGAAAGCATATCCAAGTGGTAACACAACAGGTTACATACCATCAGAGGGGCGATGATGGAATAGTCTTTAACTTGTGCACTGTAGAGACTGTTGACCTTCTTTGCTGAGTTTGGAATGGTCAGGAAATATGCCTAGATGAAAACCAAATAGGAGATACATGGATGCACTATATAAGTTGACATGCAGTTTAATGGATTGAAACAAGAGTAAACCATTAAAACAAATTGGTGCAACTACTGAGAGGTTAAGGACCTTTTTGATCGGTCATTAGCATACCGATCAAAAAGTTCGCAAAAAAAATGCTGAAAATCGGGACTTTGAACGTCCGTAAAATCACTTTCACCAATCCAATTTCAATTATAATTGCAGATTTAAAATCACTGAAACAAGGTCTTTCAATTTAGCTAATAAAAAAGGGGGGCTAAAATTCGTGATATAACCACTTTAAAGGTAATTCTGTACTAAAAGTTCTAGAATTGTTCAAAAGAAGGTGGCTTTTTTGTTCAATTCTTAGTCTACGATTCCAATTAGTTGTTCTGGTTTTCGAAAGAAGATTGCGCAATGGGTGATCTTCATTTTTAGTTTTCATCCTATATTTTTTCCACAGTTGCTCTAGCTGCTCTTTACGGAGCTGCTCTGCTCTCTGACCAATCAGAAATTGATGTGTAAACCACCTGTGAAGTGTGCATGGCATGTTTAATGTTGGCGGAATTTACTCTAGAAAATCGTTTTCTGATTTCAATTCCATGTTTCAAAAAAAGAACTAGCTTCAAAAGACAAAAATTTTTTTCAAATGTATGCGAGCTTCGCCATAAATCAAGGGGTAGACTAAATATGCATGGCTGCAGAGGCGAAGCTAGAACGTTGATTGGGTGCGTGGTGGGGTGCCAGCTTAGCCATGAATTAAGGGGTAGACTAAGTATGCATGGCTGCAGGGGCGAAGCTAGAACGTTGATTGGGTGCCTGGTGGGGTGGGGTAAATATTCATATATTCAGGTGTGACAAACTAATTTCTCTTCAAATTAAAATCGCTAATTAGAATGGTCCGAATAAATTAGCTTTGATTTTTATATAGACATGTGCTCTCTGTCTGATTATAGTTACATTAAGTAAGGAGCAGTAATGACCTGGGTGTGGATTTATCAGTTCATCTTCGGAGAAAACCGCGTCATCAGCCTTGTCATAGTAATATCGCGCTGTAAGAAAAGGTTTAGTAAATGAAACTAAGTACAATTGGTAAAAATGATCACGGGTATAAATGAAAAGAGGATTTATTATGAAAACAGTTAGCGAGTTGGTAAATGAAACTAAGTACAATTGGTAAAAATGATCACGGGTATAAATGAAAAGAGGATTTATTATGAAAACAGTTAGCGAGTTGGTCAGTAGGAGGGAATGCAATCAGTACGTTTTTGTCGCTTCCTTTAAGTGAGATAAATGAACGCACTTGTTGTTTAAGTTGGTTAAATGAGTAAAAACGATAACCTTAATCTTCCTTGCATGCAGAAAATTATTCTTGAAGGAATTTGTTTTATTTTTTATCATAAGTTTACGTTTTTCGTTAACTTATATTAAATTATTACTGTGGGTAATGCTTTGTTGCAAATACGTCCCATGCCGTAGGTTTGAATATTGACACTACTTGAAGTTTACCGTGAACCTTTGATATCTTCGAAACTTTTCTAATTCTGTAACATTTCTATCCGACACTTCCAGCGTAAAGCAGGTTTTTCATCCTTCAGTTTAGTAAAATTTCATTGTACTTACCGCACACACAGGCAGGACCAAGCAAAACAATTGCGAGGAAAGCTGGTACAATCGTTCTTCATGATTTTTTCCTCTAACTAAAAGTTTGACTTTCAGTGAACTTGAAACACACTAAATCTAACTGTGTCGGTTTAACGCGTTTAAACCTTTATATAACCTCATTCTCTGTAAATTTTTATTGTATTCTCAGTGCTGTTTTACCAAATTAAAATGATAAATGGCCGTCAACAAACTATTTGTGAAGACTTTGTCGTCATGGCAACAGCATGGAACTCCTGTTCATTCATTCATACATTTGTTTATCTCTCAGCTATGATGTAATTTTACCAAAGTGCAGTTATTCACAAGCTTTTTTCTGCATTTTTTGATGTATTGAGCTTTGATCAAAGATTAAACACATGTTTACGGTAATGTTTTCATTGGGCAACTGTTATGCACAGTAGCTATTTTACATCAAATTGGGTCTTAAAACGACCAATTACAAACGGAAAGAGGGGTTGAGGCTGTATTTATGTAGACTATAAATCACATTGCCAGCTTAATAATTGGAGAGGCCAATATTGGTATGTTCATGTTCTGTCCTATTAACACCTACACTCACAGGATTATATCAACCAGGACGACGAACTGGACAACTTCTAATAAACTGGGGTCGGATGCACGAAGCGCGAGGATAGCGTTATCCATTAGAGAGCAAATTTTTTGAAAAGATTAAAAAACTCCTTGAAAAGGAAAAATATGAGGTTTTAAATGAAATCACTGAAATGAAATACTGCTTCTAAGATTAGAAAATTTCTTTGTCGTAACGAAAATATAAACACCTTTTTTACAAGTTTGAAAATTTTACTGTACAAGGATAACTCTATCCAAGCTTCGTGCAACCTGTCCCTGTATTTTAAAATGCTTGATCACTAAAGCGTTTATGAAGTGCGAATTTCGCACTATTCTATTCAACGAAGCATCTTTGCCCGTATATTAGTAAAATATCATCAAATATATTAGTTAATTCAAATTCTCGTTTTACAATATGACGCCACTGGTTGTAAAGACGGGAGCATTTTAAAAATAGCAAAAACGCTGATACCTCGAAGTGAAATTCATAAATTGTTTTAGAAAGTCTGCTGTCGTTTAAAAAGCTCTGTTTGATAAGATCATAATTTAAAACTAAAATTTTCTCCTCATAAGGACTTTCAGGAATGTAATGAAGAGATTCCGTGCACTTACGTAAAGAATTTCGCATGAGTGTAGTATCCATATAGAAAATTAGATAAGAGACAAAGAATATCATGTTTTTATCATTGATGTAAGATTATGTCTAATTCGGTTTCGATTGTACATTTAGAGTGTGATTTACAGTGGTCAATTGTACACATGAGTTAATTACCAGTTTGTACTTATTTAACGAGTAACTCTTCACATATTTCAATGAAATTCCACAGTTCTAAAGGAGCAAAGTGCATATCACAGTACTGTGCAAAAGTTTTATGTCTGTTATATTGGTGTTCATGATTTTCTCGTCAGTTTGCATGATGAGTGGAGTGAAAATTTCTTTGTCAATCAGTGCAGAATGTCTTCATGTGAAGACGCCTCTTGCATATACTTAAGATACGAACCACAAGTAAAATATTCACAGCCGCAGTCTAAGTCAAGATATTCTGACGATCAGCTGAACTAATCTGAAGATGAGATGGCTAAGAGAGGAAGATTGACTCTACAAAAGTCAACCGCATTTATACTGAAACTTAGGAATGTAGTCATAATAAGAAATAAAACATATTAATCCTTAGATTATTAGTAATGCTGTATGATATTACAAAGATTAGTCTGTGTACAAAAATATTAAATGAGAAATTTCGAAGAAAAGAGAAAAAACAGGAACGATAAAAGACCGATATAGAGATCGAGTGGTTGTCCGCAGGGGTAGAAAGAAAGATAAAAGACTTACTAATGGCATTCGCCAAAGTGAAGAGATCAGTGGTAAAGCAATGGGAAAAAGCGCTGTTTTCATGTGAAGCGATTTTTCAAACTTATTCTAGAAGAAGAATATTAATTTTGTCAAATAAGCTCTACCATCTATGAAATGGTTTGTTTCCCATCAAGCATCTTTTGAAAACAACGAAAAAGTTAAAAATTAAGCCTTAAAAGAGATTATAGAGAAACCATGTGACTGCCATATATTGAAAAATGACATGGTATTAAAGGGCATAAAACAAGTGCCATGTGGGAGTTGTTGCATCGATGATTGACGTCGTCGATGCTATTGAAATCACTATGCTGCTTGTTGTGATAGTAACACAAATATTAAGAAACTTTGGAGTAACTATACCTTGTTGTAACATAATAGCACAGTTGTTGAATGTAACATGTAAAATGCGTTAAAATGTTAAGAGATGTAAAATATAACATTTCCAGAGACCGCATAAGATCGATATAAGGGTCGGAAGGCAATCCTTATATTCATATGTTTTAATCCCATTTTAATCCATGGTCACCATTAATTTCGATATAGGAATTGAAACGTGCATATAGTTATAAATATCAATTATATCAATCTTCTGCGGTCCTCGCATGGTTTATGCAAAATAGTGATAGTTTTAAGAAGCGATCTTAAATTTTAGCACACTACTGCATGTATGTATAAGTCAAACAACACATTACACCGACAGTTTTGAAAATATACATACACATGTAAATGTAAATTTTGTACTTTAAATGCCTTCTTTGACACACGACTATAACTTGTAATACTGTATCAGCAGTGCAAAAGTGCACCTTAAGTACAACAACAAAAAGTTTGTTGAGCACAACAATTACATTTATAAAGTCTTCAAACATCACATTTCGCTGCTGCACCATGCTTATCAACTATCCATTGGTAACGATCATGAGGCAATGTGAGCTACGTTTCCATTACTGCATATATGTTCAAGACATAGTGAGTTTAAATTCAATAATTGGTCACCTGCCCATAAAACACAAACACTTCGATAAACAAGTAGATTTAATAGAATGCGAAACGAATGTTAACAGTGTCATTACAAAAGAATCTGTTTGACTACTGTATAACTACAGTTGATATTTAAACATTGCAACTATTTGTGAATTGTGAACACTATTCATCGTCGCTTGTCAGAAGCTGCTTGAGGATTTGCTAAAAGAAATATTTTGGTTAGCTATATATTTTTACATCGTTTACATGCGGCACATTTTAGCAATAAATTGCTCTCAAACCAACAATAATTTTATTTCGATAGTTTTGAACTTTTTAGTATGTCATGCACGAAATCAAATGAACAATTAGAAGCAGACAGACAAATGTAAACAAGCAATGTAAAATGGAGAGACGAACATGGAATACTCAATCACCAAGAGAATTATGAAACACTGTACCTTTGTGTCAAAAACAGGTGCAGGCATCAGGAATACAGCTATCATGGCGATATCGTTTCTTTTCACATTCGCTTTCACTTTATCCACCTTCACCACTTTTACTATTTCTCCAAAACAAAAAACATTACCTGCATTTCTGCGCTGTGTGAAATGTCATCATGTCTAGTGCACGATTTGTGCACAACATATTTTAACACAACGCAAAAAGAAAGTTCCTCCGAAAATATTGTTTTTAATACTAAGTAGATGAATCCCAGTAGATGTTCATTCGTTTGATGAAGTTGCAGTTTCATAGCAAAACTAGGATTGATTGATGTAATCAAAAAAAGTGCCGTCTGATGAAAAATGTCTTTCTTTTATAGTTCTGGACTCGAACGAATTGTATGTAATGTAACATTGGAGACTGCCTTGGCTCGTGCCAAAGGAAAAATGCACATGTAGGGCGTATGAACTTAAAGTAGCCATGCAAATTAAGGCGAGACACGTTTCCTTGATGCAAATGCGACAAAAATTGGAAATTCAAACATGGACAAATGACAACGTGTACAAAGGATTTGCTTTAATTAAAAAGAAAATTCACCGCTTTTGACGTCACATTCAAGTTTTATACAACCTGAGATACACGAAAAAGGCTCCCAACGATAAACTTACATTGTATGACTTTGGAACAGACTTTATAAACACTGAACATATTGTGGATCACTGTTGTAGCACAATCTTTACACGAAAAAGCTGGAAGGATATTAACTCCTCACGTGCCGTCGATAATTTCATGTTATTATATTCAAGTGTTGATCATCAGTGTGCAAAGGTAAAAGAGCTTAGTAATACTCCTAATATTCGTCTGAAAGATTGCTGTTCAGTTGAACTAAAATGTCCCGTTTAAACTATCATTATAAAAAAACCCAACGTGAAAGTAAACAACATGCCACATTGGTTATTATTCTTTGTTTTATGTTTGTAAATGATGATCGTCCAGGTTAATAAAGTGACTCTGAAGATGACTCTGAAGATTGACTCTGAAGATGACTCTGAAGATTGACTCTGAAGATGACTCTGAAGATTGACTCTGAAGATGACTACCGCTAAGGTTGTCGAAACGTCAGTCAACAACAACAAAAACAGTCCTTCTCAGGACTTTATTAACCTGGACGATCATCGTTTACAAACATTACTTTGTTTTGTCCTCTTAATGACAGCATGCAAGGAATACAATTCCAATTGTGAAATAATTACACGAACAAGCCTATCGTGATGAAATTCTTGGCTTTTGTATGTGCGTGGTATGTTTAGAATTGAACACTCTCCCAAAAATACAAACGCATCATAAACCAAAAATTTAATGCAACGCGAATGCTATACCAATGCCGAAAAGAATATAGTAGAGAACTACAAGCATAGCTAATGACTATCCTATTATTGTCGACTTTATCAAACTATACTGCTATTAATATTAATGTTCATGTTTACCAAAAATCTCTATTTGGTTGATCACGTCCAAAAGGAAAAGGTAAATTAGTTTCACGCCACTATTTTATTTATATGAGGTAGATTATAATGTCTTTTGTTTTATAGTTTTGATTTCTTTATTTATTTTCCTCGGGAGTATTTTTGCAAAGAGCAGTTGATGGCTTTCGGTAATTTTCTGTAAGTGTGCGCTGACTTTATGTTGTTGTCATGTTTGCAGTGGCGAGCGATAAATTGCTCTCCCAATTTTGTAAGTTGGAATTTCTGGTAAATCATCATTTATGCAGAAAATCAACTGAAAGCGTCTGGAAGTCTCTCACAGTTTCTTTAACAATCCCAAGTATGCAAAGCATATTGAAAATGTAAGTTTGCATGTAAGATTGAGACAGAAAAACTTGAAACACTCAATCAAAAGAGAAATAAGAAACACATAATCACAAAGAGAAATTAGAAATACTCAATCACAAAGAGAAATAAGAAATACTCAATCACAAAGAGAAATAAGTAATACTCAACCACAAAAAAGAAATAAGAAATACTCAACCACAAAAAGAAATAAGAAATACTCAATCACAAAGAGAAATAAGAAATACTCAATCACAAAAGAAATAAGAAATACTCAACTACAAAGAGAAATAAGAAATACTCAACCACAAAAAGAAATAAGAAATACTCAACCACAAAGAAAATAAGAAACACTCAATCCAGTGCTAGTAGCATAGCCAGACCGCAAATTTGGTCCTGCTATGTAAATTTTGCTGTGTTCACTCACTGTAGAAACAACAAATTTTTAAAGAAATGAATAATGTTGGTGATATGAAATATACATAGCAGGACCAAAACTTGCGGACTGCTTACGCCACTGTTTTAATCACAAAGAGAAATAATAAAAACTATACCTTTGTGAAAACAGTTGTACGCATCAGGAATACTGCTATCATAGCAACATCCTTTACTTTCACATTGGCTTTCAGTTATTCCACCCCAGCCACAATCCTTTCTTTCTTTGGGGTTTACAACATGGCAAGTACTAGCTAGATATATAAGTAAAAATCCATAGTTAGAACCTTCACTCGCGCGGCTCGAAATTTGTTTTGTTTGTTTGTGATTTCGCGAAACTTTGAAACATTAAAAAGGTTAAAGTAAATCTTTTGACTCTGAAGATGACTACCGATAAGGTTGTCGAAACGTCAGTAAACAACAACAAAGACAGTCTTTCTCAGGACTATACCAACCTGGACGATCTACATTTACAAACATGTAAAAAAAAGATTGATGGATTTTTTCACTCGGAATGCGCAAAGTGTTCATTCGAAATTGAATCGGCTATGATTGTATGTAATCCATCTGATGATAATTAAGTTTTTCATTCTTGCGTCATGATACAAAACGAATGTGCAACATTTGCGCATGTGCGGTCGTTATGCCTCCTCTTTGTGCGCACAAATATCCGACCAGAATGATTATTGAAAGTTGAATTAAAAGGTTTATATGAACAATAGAATATGAAGATTGAGTAATTAAATGGGTAATAACAGTTATAAACGTTCTTATGAAGATTAAGTAATTACTTGGATAATAACACTTGTAAGCGTTCTTATGAAGATTAAGTAATTACTTGGATAATAACAGTTGTAAGCGTTCTTATGCGTCCTGTCATGACAGCAGCCTTTGCGTTGCACTCATCTTCATTGATTCCCGAGGGACCGCATTTATACGAAAGCCTGGTTTCACTGAATTGCAAAAGCCAGCTAGAATAAAATAAATATCTATCAGATATCAATGTTATGTAGAATTGCTGAAGGTAGATATGTACATATGGTGGTATTTATGGTGAACTAGCACCTTTAAGATAGTCAAGGAAGATTTGAAATTAAATGTCTTAAGATTTAAATTTTGGATAACAAAGAATTAGTGTCGATTCCTTGATATACACGTTATATACATGTATTTTGGGAGAAGTGATTGAATATATACTGCCTGCAATTCTACATTGGCTTATTTGTAGATTTGTGCACCTTAATGTACCTTAATGTATCGTGGTTTACTTTACTATACTGTACCATAGTTTTTCCATATGTTTGCTTAACATAAACTTCTTTGTTTTGCTTTCTCGACGCGAAAAAGTCTACATAGCTTAATATGTTCTTGTGCTTCTTACCTTTATAGTAACAGTAAAAATCGCCAAATTTTACATCATAGCAACAGCCCTTGGATTCACATTGCTGGCGTGTAATTCCTGGATAACCACAATTTATTCTTCGTTTGTCTCTCGAGAATTTACCTTTATAGCATTTGCCTAAATTTTTCAATAGAAAAAGCTACTGTAATGGAGTGTTTGCATGACGTCAAAGAGCCCATGTCGGGGAGTACATCAGTGTCAATGCTCAACCAGACTATGAAATTAACATGAATTCTTTTCATTTTATGCGATTTCCCCCCAACATGGCGACTGCTGAAAACACTCTATAGTCATGTGTTTAACGACATACAAGTGATATACATGTGAAACCAGCTAGTCAGGCACGAGAGATGCAGGCGCATTGTGCATGCGGTATATCGACCGTCGGAAACCGCCGTTTGATTCCTGTGTAAACTTTGCCGTACATTTTAAAGTAGATAACAGTAACGATGCTTCTTAGAAAACGTTGTATATGCACTAGTATTAGAAAGCTCTTGTTCATACTGATCATACTGATCATAAAAACTGTTCATATTGATCAGTCACAAAGTCTGTTATATTGGAATGATCAAACTGAAGCGGCTTTTTCTCTAGGCATTGGTTGCTTGAATAAAATAACATTCACAGTAATAACCTCCATCGCGTTTCGTAAGTTCAACTTCTGAGAAAATTGCGTCATCGACATAACCATGGCGAGGATGAGCTGTAAAAATAGTAAAAATCTCACTAAATAGCCAATATTCGTGAAATGATCCCTGATGTATGAAAATAATCAGTGCTGAGGTTAGTTTGAGAGACCGGAGTATCTTTTTGTAGCTTCTTTAAGTTAGAGAAATCAAAGCATAACGACAACCTTTGATCGTTGCGTGCAGAAGAATTTTGTTAAATTTTGCAACAGATTTAAATTTAAAGTTAATACTGCGGATCTTCTTCGTAACTGGAGGATTACCGTGTATTTTAAAAATTACTGTATTGTATACTTCTAAATAACTAAGGTTGTTCATTGTACCTACTTACAGCCCAGCAGGCATTCAATGCTGCAGTATAGGTAAAATTTCAAAGTACTTACCAAACACGTAGGCCAAATCAAGTAAAACGATTGTGAGGAAAGTTGGTGCAAATGTCTTCATAATTATTGTTGAATCTTAAAAGTTGACTTGCAGCGAACTGAACACACAACTGAAATTTGACTGTGTGGTTGCATAGCTATTTATCCTTTATTATTTAATTTGACCGTTATTTTACGTCAAACGATAATTGATGCTAAACAATAAAACTTTTTCATGTGCAACAATGTGGAACGGTAGTGTTCGACATTGTGAATTCATCATCTCATACATGTCACTTCCAGTCGATCGTGACCATTGAGTTCTATAAGACCTGGAGGGGAAACGTCAACAAAATTAGTATAAATTATTAGCGCGCGGCCGCGTGGTCAAAAACATGCAGGGATTTTGGCTGTCAGTCAAGGAAAGACGCGGGCTCATAAATGAAATTTTTTTTCGCCCACCCGGATTTGACAACCACAATAGCGATTATGGCAAAATATCAATGCCAAACACAAAACTTTTAGAAATTTTATCTTTAAAACATGTTGCAAACTTGTTTGGTAGATGATGCTGAAGTATTGCCAGAAAGGAAACATTTCATGATACCGGTAAGCAACGTAAGATTGTTTACCATTTAAAGTGTTCAGTGTTTTGTTTTAAGTCAATACTTGAAGTGTGATGGTATATATTTTGTGAATGTTTTACTTCTAACTTATAATTTAAGTTATGTATATCCAGTCTTATTTGTTACTTAATCGCTTGCTGGACGAGGCAAAGCAACCAGTTCTTATCGAGATATGCATATCTTAAAACTCCTTGTTTCAACTGAGTTGAAATGGAGGATTTTTCATGATATTTTTCTGAAAATATGAAGCAAATATTAAGGACAGAGCTGTATTGAAATCAAATGCAGTGCAAGATTAATTAATGAGCTCTTTGGTACATGTCGTACAATAAAAATACCTGTATTAAACAGCTAGCCTGGACAATTTGACAGATTATGGACAATCATGATGATGGTGTGTAATGGTTTGCTTTATGCTAAAAGTTTTATGAATGCCATCTGGTGTTTCTGTAAATGAATTGTTTGTTACACAGTGTAGTAAACAGGTTAGTACATCAAAATCAAGATAAAACTACTTTGTTCAATAATGTGCCAAATTTTGCTCCTACCTTGAAATATTTGCTCAAGCAAAGCTTATCATGACATGCATGAAACATTAAATACAGTACTGCATCATCTGACAAAGTCCATATGTTTTTCAATTCCAGGTGATTAAAATTCACATAAGATGCATTGGTTTGCAATGAAGTTGAATGGAAGAAGCAAAATTGATGACAAAGAACTTTTTATGTCTTTTGAAGAATTACGATATCATTTAAAAGAATAAGAGTAGCAATCTAGTAAAAAGAAGCCACATCGCCTTCAACATGAGACTTTTCCATTATGTATAGTTATTTTGTACAAAATACTATTTTAGATAAACTTGATTTTTAAGTCATTTACTGATATTTTACCAAAAGACAAAACAAAAATTCAAGGCATAATGTAAAATTCAAAAGTTTGTCAAGTTGTTTGAACCTAGAAAAAATTAGTATAGGTAACTGTAATTTGTAAGGACACAAGAGAAAAGTAGTGTAAGGTTAGCATTTTGAGAGTTAATAAGTTCTTGACATACATTACACAAGGCCATAATATTTAAATAATGTCTGTATAATAACAATTATACAACATGCTAAATATCTTCACCTACATTATAATTATTTAAACAGGTTTGCCTTCATGCAGCAATAAGAAAAGTGTTATGTCAGAAACCAATGCACTTTAATTTAAAAATCGTATTTTCAATGGGAAATTAATGTAGTTCTGTTCAATAGTAGATCATGGTTGTCAATGACAATCCAGTTACTAATATCTTGGCTCAAAACAGAACCAGCAACATGATTATAGAATTTCTGAATTTCGTTCTTTGCTCTCCTAGTTCGAGATATTTTCTTCATAAGTTCTCAGTAGATTTATCAGAATATCATAATACCTTATAAGACACCTAGAATCAATCCTACCAAAAACTCAAAAAAATACATACCTACTTATAATATATTTCCAGTCGACTTAAGTCGTAGGGTAAGCTAACTTTTCTAACTCCTTGGACATTTTAACTAATATTTACCCATCTATTCAAGAAAGACAGTTGCACGAAGCTGTTAAAAATAGTCAAAAACACAAGTATTGCGCATGGGATTATGCATTAAAGCTTAACGACACATTGACAGTGTAAAGAATGCCAGTTTGATATTTATTTCTAACATAGCTAAAGCATTATTTGACAACATATACGCTTATTTTACAGTAGATTTACCTCATTTAAATGTGTGTGTCTATTTCACAAAAATCTGAAGCATTATTTTCAATATTTTATGCTTACGGTATCGTGGTTGTTTTCGCTGGTTGTCATTGATATAAGCAGTAATGGAGTTCCGGATTCGGGAGGAGCGAATGTTAAAATTTTTCTCAAAGTGGAAGTTTTGACAACCAAAATCCGCCATTACCGCCTTTTTGACCACGGGTCCAGGCCCCTTTGCCCTCCAGGTCTTATAGAGCTCAATGATCGTGACTAAAACACCACACGAGTACATACAGTAACAACATATGCATACGAGTAACATACGAGTACATACGAGTGACATAATATATTTCTGGTCAACAAATGAGAAACAACACAATTTCTTCATACATTGATATTTGCGTATATCGTTACATGTTTGTAAACAGATCGTCCAGGTTGGTATAGTCCTGAGAAGGACTGTTTTGTTGCTGTTGACTGACGTTTCGACAACCTTAGCGATAAGTCATCTTCAGAGTCAAAATGAATGTATAATCGCTTTCATAAATATGTATTTCCTTGGTGAAAGTGTGTCAAAGTCAAATACTGGCAAATCGCATCGACAAAATATCTATAAACAAATTCAACTAAAACATACAAATGAATGTAGTATGAAAGTAAAATACCTTTTCAGCATTTAAATCCATCAAATTTGCCCCAAAGTCCACACAAATACAAGGAAAAATAAACTCAAATATCAATGTATTGAAGAAATTGTGTTGTTTCTCATTTGTTGACCAGAAAATAGTCATGTATGTCACTCGTATGTACTCGTATGTTACTGTATGTACTCGTAATTTCGTGGTGTTTAGTCACGATCCTTCCAGTCAACGTTTTATATTAATAAATCTTCCGATACTTGCAAAAGTTTTACATCCAGAAGCTCGGTAGCTAGTATAGGTTTAACTTTAAACGCCGTCAAGAAAATACTTTTAGTTTTGGTTTTGCATGAAAAGACTGTGATTTATCACGTTCAGCTATTTTCGAAAGACATAAGATGTTCTTCGTTTTTACGTGTCTACAATTCATTATGGATTGATGTTTGTTAATTTAAGAGTTCAACATTTTAAGGATTTTTGCAATGAAAAAGAGAGGAATCATTGCCTGAAATTACACGATTTCGTTTGTTGAATTTATTTGGAATTTTTACAGTTTTCGTAGCTATTCTTTTTATTCTTTTCGTGTAAGATGTCAAGTGTATGACTAATTTTGCAACGAACTTTTGAATACTTAAATTGTTTAATAAACTCTATAAAACAGTGTGAAACAGCGGATAGACCAATGTGTGCAAAGAATAAGCAACAGATATATTTGGGACGTAAACAAAATAATACCCTGCAGCAAGTAAAGAGTTCGATATGACTAATTACATTACAAATGATTTATAAGACAGTATTGAAAATGCAGCATTATGTTTACGAAATATACTTTGTCATCTCTAGATAACATGAATTTAAAACGATGGGGAAATAATGTCAGTTTATAAGCGTGCATGTCCGCACTCGCATTTATGTATGTGCTCAAGATCAGTGGTTAAACGTCTTTGTTCTAATGTTCATAAAATGTCTCTGACGTTAAGCTATTATATTTATTATCTCACAGGAAACCCGTGCAGAGATTTTTTGTTAATTTTGTGCTTTTGCAGACATAGGCTTTGTGATATTGCATTTTGTGATATTTCAGTTTTGTCACTTTTCATAATTTATTGTACCATCTTAATGAAAATTACCTCCTTTTGAAAGTGTTAATTTATGTTTCGTCCTATACCAGTTGAAAGAGAGGTTTTACAATTGAAGATGTATTTCAATTAGGTGTAGCGATCTTGCAGTTTTATATAGCCAAGACTAGGATTGATTGATTTAATCAAAGACAGAACTTGTGAACAAATACTCTATTTTGTAGTTCTGGACCCAAATAACCCTAAAGACACCCATATATTTATGCCAGAGAAAAACTGAATTGGAGGCGTATAAAATCAAAACAAGGCCATGCAATTATTGCAATTATTGCGCAACCCTTTGAAACCTGGCAAAGACTCCAAACGATAAACCGTATGTTATGACTTTGCACGAAACAGACTTTTCAACGCGTGAATATATTGGGGATTATATACCACTTGTTGTTTAAATGCAAGTTTTGAAAGTTCGTCTGAATTTTCGGTAGCGTCATGGATGTTGATGATGTTAGAATGCTCAAGTTCATATTCAAACGACCAAAAGGTTACTCATGTCATACTTATTTTCTTCGGTCTGAAAGTTTTACTTTTGAGTTCTCACTAAAATATCCCGTCAAAACAACTTTTTGCGCAAAAGGTTGTTCTAAGTCCGTGTAATGAGCCTGTTATTTATTTCATTACCTGCCCAGATACTTTTACAGTCGCCATTTTAAGCATCGCTTTCAAATTAATGTAATACAACATGGCGCTTTATTGGAATGTTGGTATTGTGAAGAAAGCAAGCGATGAATGTTATATTTCACAAACAAGTCCGCTGTTTGTAAATAGAAAAAAATTCTCGTTTGTGGTTTGCGGAGTTGTGGTTTAGTTTCATTTAGTTTGTTTTGTGAATTGGGACACCTTTCCAAAATAGGCAAACATTTCATAAACCATTGAACTTTAATGAAAAACGAACGTTAACAATGCCATGACATGGGAGTATATTTGATTACGACTATACTACAAGATTATTAATCGTCGTGCGAACGAAGAATCCTCACTTAAAGACTTCCTAAAAGAAAATGAAAAGGTAAATTAGTTTCATGTCGCTATTTCATTTACATGAAGTGGATTATACGCAATTTGTTATTAGTTTTGATTTATATCTCTCTTGGGGTAGTTTTGTCAAAAGCAGATATGCAAGGTTGCACTGTAAAATGGAGAAACAAGCTTGAAATGCCCGATCACTAAGGAGGAACATAT